CCTAACCTAACCTAACCTAACCTAACCTAACCTAACCTAACCTAACCTAACCTAACCTAACCTAACCTAACCTAACCTAACCTAACCTAACCTAACCTAACCTAACCCTAACCTAAGTCGGCGAAGGCGTCAGGGAGCGGCCACCGGACAGAACGCTCTGGATGGTGTAGACGCTCGAAACGGTCTGTGCCTTGAGGTAAGGCTGCGAAAAAGCGTGAGCGCGGGGGTGAACGACGCACGATACCAATATTACCTTGAGATCCATCCAGACGTCCTCGGAGCCCTCCGCGACCTCCGAGTCGTCGCTGAGCACGCCTGTTGTGCTCTCCGTGGGCACCTAACTAAAGATCGGCGGCGGCGAGCAGCCCGCGGAGCTCGAGCACTCCGACGACACTTTGCGGAAGCGGCCGTCGCCCGACGAGCGCCCTGACAACAGCAGACGCCTCGACGGCGACTCGGCCGAGTAGGGCGGCTGCTGGCGGAGCAGATTGGGCTGCAGCGGGTAGTGGTCCTCTGGGCGGTCCACGCGCCTGTTCGAGGCCGACAATGAGCTCGCGCGCTGCACAGGCGCCGCCGGCTTTGCCTCCTCGACCGAGTACAGGGTGGGCGAGAACTCGTTCGATGCTGATGCTGGGGCGGGCGTGTACTGCCCTAGCTCCTGTTTGATCGCCCTGCAGATGGACACCGCGCGCCCGATCTCAGTGATCACAGCCGAGACGTGGCTCGCGGCGTGCGCCCCCAATCAACTAACTACCCTCCAAAAATGAACCACACAATCCATGTCGTCGCACGGGCACTTATCACGAGCACAAAGAGCTGCGAACGTACCTTCAAGAGGAACCGCCACCCCGCACATCGTGCACATCTGCTCCCGCACCTCTCAACAGTTTGTGTAGACCAACCAACATAGGCGGAACCCATATGCCCACATCGGCTCTCACGCGGGCGCGCCGACCACGACTTCGTCTCACGCGGGCGCGCTGACCACGACTTCGGAAAGTGCGATGACGGCCCTCAGGACGGAGAATATCGAGAGATCGAGAGCGTGCTCGTGGAGGCTGTATAAGCGGCAAGGAGGGTGTCCGTGCTGGCAGTGCTAGGGTAGGCAGTCAAAGATTTGGTGATAATGTTGATAAGGAAGAGGCGGCGGGATCCTACTTAGACAGAAAGACGCCGCGCAACTGGGGAGTGACGGTGGATGCGTTGAAGCAGTGTTTGAGGGAGGAATATAAGAATCGCCTGCACTGATACATGTTCTTGTCTGGCGGGTCCGCGACATCGCGCGCCCATAGTGTCTTCAGCGTGCGGTTCTGCGAGACGTCGCGTCCAAAGCCCACACTCGCAATAACCTGACCGAAGCGCGTCGCCGGGGGGAGTGAGACGAGGCGGGTGTCGAAGAGTAAGAGTGCAAGGAACACAAGGAGAGGAGGAATAGGACGTGGCTGACATGACGAGCCTCGCTGCAGCTGGAGAGGCTCATCATGTCAGCCATGTATTGGCAGGGCTGAGTCCTGATACGCGGCTGACATGACGAGCCTCTCCAGCCGCAGCGACGCTCGTCATGTCAGGCATGTATCGGGACTCATCCCTGTCAATACACGGCTGACATGACGAGCCTCTCCAGCCGCAGTGAGGCTCGTCATGTCAGCCACGTATCAAGACTCAGCCAAGCTGATACGCGGCTGACATGACGAGCCTCTCTAGTGGCAGTGAGGCTCGTCATGTCAGCCGTGTATCAAGACTCAGCCAAGCTGATACGCGGCTGACATGACGAGCCTCTCCAGCCGCAGCGAGGCTCGTCATGTCAGGCGTGTATCAGGACTCATCCCTGTCAGTACGCGGCTGACATGATGAGCCTCTCCAGCCGCAGTGAGGCTCGTCATGTCAGCCACGTATCAGGACTCAGCCCTGCCAATACACGGCTGACATGACGAGCCTCTCCAGCCGCAGACAGGCTCGTCATGTCAGCCGTGTATTGGCATGGGTGGCTTCTTCACCTCTTAATGGCCTTTTTAGCCCTGCCATACCCCTGTCCTACCCTGAACCTTCTAGCTTTTCAGGTTAGAATATCGAACAAGCGACGGCAACGGCGAGTCGGTGGAGGAGGGGTCGTGCGAGGGCGAGGAGCCGCTCTCCTGCATGGACGCCGAGTCGGGGCGCAGGGGTAGGATGAACTTGCTGAGCGCGGGCGCAAAGGCAGGGGATGTCGCCGCTCAAGAACGGGCTCAGGACGCGGATCCTGGGCCCGTACACGTCGGTGGCGGAGTCGGGCAGGCAAGGCTGTCCTTGATGCGCTCCGTGAGGGAGATGCGAACGCGGAAGGCCTCGGCGACGCGGGAGAGGAGTGCAGGGTAGACGATAGGGGTGCGTCAGATGCCGCGTCTCCTCCTCGCCGATCTTCTGCGTCGCGCGCCGCGCGAGGAGCTTCTCCGTCCTGTACCGTTCATACAGCAGCCAGGGGTGGAGGGGGGCGTGACACCGGGAGAAGAGAAGGCCGGCCAGTGCGCGAGGATGCGGATGCGGCAGCGGCGACCTGGTCGAGGAGGGCAGCGTGTATGTGAGCGGTGCTCACCGCGGACATGGACTTGGAGCGGTCCTGCGGGGTGCGGTTGCGGTCACGGCGGTTGGCGCTGGGCATGGTGCGCAAGGACTCGGAGGAGCGGCGTGAGGAGGAGGAGGAGGAGGAGGTGGTGGTGGTGGTGGTGGTGATGTGGGTGGTGATGGTGGTGACGGCGGACGAGGCGTCGGAGGCAGAAGCGTTGACGAAGGTGGAGGAGGTGGAGGATATGCTAGAATGGTGGGTGGTGTCGAGCTGTAGCAAGCAGGCGAGCGCGACGTCGAGTGGGAGATGCGGGTGAGTCGAGCGTGGGTCCGGGCAACGCATGCGATGCGCGAGGCGATGTGGACGATGCAGGCGAGCCGGCCGGTGGGCCAGTGGGCATGAGATCGTGCGAGGAGAGCGGGGAGGGCGGTACAGCGAGCGATGGGGTCGAGAGAGCCGGACGAGAGAGCAGGTCGGACGGGAGAGCGGGTCGGACGTGGAAGAGGTTGAGCGGACGAGAGGAGGGGGCGGGTAAAGTCGAGGGGTAGATCGTTGAAGGCGACATGGAGAGTTAGGTAGAAGGCGGGAGGTGTACGTGTACGGGGGAGGAACTGGAGCTAGTGACGACGTACCTTTGCAGATCTCCTCGTCGACCGTTTCCTTGCCTCTTCTGTGCTCCTCCTTGTGCTCCTCTTCGTTGTCGTGGTTGTCCGCGTCGTCGAGCCGCGCGAGTACGCAGGCGCTGGTGGAGCGGGACGCCATCGCCATGGAAACCGTGCAGCACGCCAAACGAGACAGTGATAGGCGTAGGCGTGGGGTCGAAGGGGCGCGTGTGCAAGGGGCTGAGGGAAGGAGTGAGGAGTTGGTGCGAACCGTCGAGGGATCGAGGGAGCGTGCGTGCGTGCGTGCCGTTGAGGAGGTTGAAGGAGGTCGAATCTTGGAGCTAGGTAGCGGGCATGTGTGGCACGAGGGAAGGAAGGTCGAGTGTTGAAGGGGTTGTGTGTATGGTCGTCGCCGCTTTACTAGTGGGCACTGGTGGAACCGTACTATATGGACTGCCCATGGTTAATGATGGAAGAGGCGAAATGAGATTCGTCAAGGAGAACGAGGGTGTGGTGTCGGAGCGCATCGAGCAAGCTGGCAGGTGTGGTGGAGAACAGGTGAGTGGGCGTGGCAGATAGACAAGATGAGTGTGGGGGATACGGATGTCCGGGAGAGGGATAAACTGGCGCGAAAGACGGCGACGTACCGGCCTGCTCAACGAGTTTGCATCCATTGTGGATGTCCTCGTTGTCCGTTTCAACCCTCTTCCCAGTGCGTCTCTCCGCTGCAGCCGTTCCTTATCCTCGAGGTAGGGTCTGGGTGCGATCCGCGGGCAGTCGACAGTTGGGGATTTGAGGGAGTGAAGGTCGAGGGTTTTGAGAGGACGAGTAGGAGGGCAGGAGTGGTGTCGAGGAGACAAGCGTCGCCCCTGCAACACTCGCAAACCGCCCGTTCCGGCGTGCGTGCACCTCCACCCCCCCAGCCCCTCCTTCTCTACTTCCACCACGCCTTCCTTCCCGTCCATGCCGTCGACGACATCTAACCGCTCGCCGTGGTCCCGCCGCGCGTTCTCGCACCACAGAAAAGTATAGTACGTAATCGAGGTGACGACACCGAGCTCGATGTACATCAGAACAAGCCCGTGCCCGAGGGTGTACCAGGGCTGGTCGTGCGTGCGGTACTATTTGGCTGGGCGGGGTAGGAGGATATTAGTCGCAGGCAAAAGCGGGTGCTTGAACCTGAGGGGACGAGGGCAGATGTGGGATCGACAGTAGAGCGGGGCTAGCACTCGAGCACACGAGTGCCCATGGCGTCAAGCAGGAAGTCCGGGTGTGTCGAGTAGGAGTCTGGACAATGCAGACGATGTGCGGAGGGGACATGGACGACACAAGCAAGTGGGCATGATGTCGAGCGGGTCGAGCACGAGAGCGAGCGAGCAAGCAAGCAGGCTGAGAGGGTCAGGCAAGCAGGTCGAGAGGGTTGGGCGAGCAGGTCGAGAGGGTTGGGCGAGCAGGTCGAGAGCAGGACTGAATGAGAGGAAGAGTGGGCGTGATGCCGTGCGGGGGCGGGTAGATAAGTCGAATACAAGAGGTACGTGTGCGGGAGAAGAACGTAAGTAAGAGACGACGACATACCTACATCCCTTGTGGATAGCCTCGCCATCCGTGCCCACTGTTCTCAGCTCGTCTCTCCGACGCACTCGTTCCTCGTCCTCCGTTGCCAGCTGGGTCTCATCCTCCTCGTCGACACTAGAATGGTCGCGATGCTTTGCGTGTAGCACGCGCGCGGAGGTGTCGACGGAGCAGCTTCGCAATTCAGCCCTCAGTGATTGAAGATGTTGAGGGCGGTGTATCGCGGGGGTGTCGGGGGTGTGGGGATGAATGCGTACAGGATCGATGAGACGAGCAGGAGGGCGCCGGGTGGAGGCTGCGTGAGTATCTAAGGGAACGAGTGTGCGTGGTTGTACGTGACAGGACGCAGGCGAGAACGAACACATGGGATCGAGGAGATGGGCGACATTTGATGGGATCGGGGCCACCGGGGGCTCTGGGTGGCGAGCGTTTACGACGTCGAGAGTGGGGACGTCGACAGCAGAGGAGATGAGCACGAGGGTTCTGGGCGCAAGCGTGCGAGGGTGCTGGGTGGCAGGGTGGCGCGGGCTGAGCGGACGACAGGGCGCGGGGTCAATGGCAGGAACGTCGCCATCGAAGGGGTCGAGGGGACGCAGGTCGAACCGAGCACTCGAGATCCGTATGCATCCTCTGCACGTTACCCATCCGATCCGACAGATGCGACCACTCAATCGCAAGCGCCTTGTTCTCTTCCAGTAAGCGGCTCTGCACGCCCTATTGACATAGATACAGTCAGCATATACGCACCCACTCAGACGGTTGATTGATGTCCATCCAATTAAGAACACAGAGGAATAAACAGTAAAAGGCGCAACAAACATCTCTCAGATCCGCTTCTCCGCGCGCAAGTTCGCGCGCTCATTGACAAGCTGCTCAACCTTTCCGTTCGCACTGATAACGGCTGTGATCGTGCGATTGCACTCGATATTCGCTCGCGCGTACTTATCGTGCAGCTCCTGCAGCCAGACACTCATCCCGCAAATCCTCCGCCTGGTTCGCGTACTGCTCCAGCGCCATCTTGTGACGCTCTACAGCGACCATGTATAAATAAAACGATGAGCACGGTCGACGACACACACGCGGATGAGACGCAACGCACCCGCCGCATACTTGATCTTTGCGTTAGCCTTGGCGAGCAACGCCCCGAGCTGCCCGTTCTCCCACTGCAACTTCACGAGCTCGTCGCGCACCCGCACGCTGTCGGCCCCCATCTCCATCTTATACGTACCGAACTAGCTCTAGATCTCCGCCAGCTCCGACTGTAGTACGACCTCCTGCAGCTCCGACGCGACACTCCCCGCTGCGCCATTCACGCCCCCGCTCCCAGTCCAGCTTCCAGTTCCGCTGACATACGGTTCCGCACTAGCGCCGCCCCCGGTGCGCGCGAGCATGCTCTTCAAGGTGTCGCGCTCCTTCGTGTACGCCTGCACCATCACCTTGTGGCTCTTGTGCTGGCTCTCCAGCCGCCCCTATAGCTTGCAGATCGCCGGCGACGTAGGCGAAGATTTGGCGTGCGGGACGGGGGAGGCAGCGGGAGCAGCAGCAGGGAGGGGTGACGGGGACGGGAGCGTGCGTGGATGCCGGGGACGTGTTAAGCGAGGCGAGTGGAGTGAGCGGGGAAACGAACGGCGGAGGCGGTGTCTGATCGGGGAGGGCAGGGCAGGGCAGGGCAGGGCAGGGTGCCGGATGGGAGAGAGAGGGAGATATACGCGCACGGAGGGGCTTGCGACGAGCATCGCGGCAATCTCGTCGTCGGACGAACACGCAGGACCATCTGGGCTGCGAGGTGGGCTCCGCGGGAGATTGGGGGCCAGGAGAGAAGCAGAGGCGGTGTGAGTGGAGCGAATATTGAAGTAGGATGGGGCGTGCGCATGGGGGGGGGCGTGTCAGGGTCGGGATCGGTCAAGTCGATGATGGGTGCGGGGAGCACGCGTGGGCCCTGGTCCCAGGGGGCAGGTTCTGGCGGAGGGAGACGGGAGACGGAGAACTGAGCTGTGTTTGAGGAAGAAGCAATCGGTTAGGAAAGCGGATGAGCGTGAGGAAACGGAGTGGGCGAGAGCGGGGGTATTGGCGGTTGGGGGAGCATATGCAGTCTATGGCAGGTGTGTGAGCTCGAGAGAACACGCACGCACACGGGCTTAAGGGCAGGATCAGTGTCAGAGGGGTCGAGTAACCAAGGTGGTAAGTGTGGCGTAGAAGGTCGCAGTTGTGGGTGAGGGTGTCAGAGAGAATGAAGGCGCGGTGTTGAGCCTGCATAGCATCGAGCAGGGAGAGCGGGAAATAGAGCGTGGCGTCAAGCGGGTGCGCAGAGCATAGACAGCGGGACCATCGTACCGCTCTGCCTGCTCGACGAGTGTGTGTCCGTCACCATCGTCCCGTCGCTCCACCCTCCTCTGCCTCTATCACCATCTGCTCATTGTTCTTCTCTTCAACGTGCTCAACCTCGCGTGATAAGATAGTCGCTTTGCTCCATATGCCGTGAGACAGGATGGGCGCAGAGCAGTCGTGTAAAGAGGATGGCGCTGACACGGATGTCGTGGATGTTGATGAGAAAAGAGACAGCAGTGGAGGTGGCAGAGGGTGTGGAGAGAGCATGGAGCGGGTGCCTCGAGCATTGCAGCTGCAAACTGTAATAAAAAATGCTATCAGCAGTGCGCACTTTCTCTGAGCATCTGTTGTCTGCTGGCGTCGTCGAGAGCACGCAGAGGAAGGGTTCAGAAGAAGAAAAAGCTCACTAATGAAGTCTAAAATGTCCTGAAAGAGCAAGGAGACCTCGGCTGAGGAAGCATGTTGCGCTCGATGTTCAAAGGTGCGGGGAGGGTCGACGCGACGCGACGCGACGTGGCGGTGTGCTTGATCACGAGACGTTGGAGGGCACTGTGTGCCGACACAGTCGGAGGGAAAACTCGGACTGTCTCCGACACAGTCGGACTGTGTGGCGCGACAATCAACGGACTGTGTGCGGCACGGCCGGACTGTGTGGCGCAGATTCACCGCCAAATCTCGGACTGTCACCGAGAATTCGGACTGTGTGGCGCTGAACCAGCGCCAAAATCCGGACTGTGTGCGGTCTCGGCCGGACTGTGTGGCGCAACAGAGAGACTGTGCACAGTGTGACAACAGTGTGACGACTGTGCGCCCGCAATCTCCCGACTGTGTGCCGCCCTTTCCCGATGCTGACTAAACTGTGTCTCCGGGTTGCAGAATACCCTCAACATCACAAACAATTACATATCTCTCGATCCCCTTATCCAAATGATAAAATTAGGGGACTATTTGAAAGGTAGTGTATGTAGGAGCATTTTATTAGTTTTGCAATGGAAATCAAAGGACAATTGTGGACTGGAGACTCGGTTTTTTGAGGTTTTCTTTCAATTCTGTATTTTGCCTGTAACATCTTTAGTACTCCATTTCTACTAATGAAAATATTAGGGTACCATGACAAATACATTTTAGGCCTATTGAATCAGACAGAATTGTGTGCAACTTCGGATTTGGTTCCCAAAACCCAGACTGTGCTTCACACAGTCTGGTTTTAGGGGGTAGACTGTTTAAATCCATATCTATTGAACCCCTGATTCAATCTCACTGCTTCTAGGCCTCAAAGTTGAAGCAGGGTATGAAGATTATAGAAAGGATTTTTTCATATTTATATTTACATTTAATTGGCAACACAGTAGTTTCGGATATCGGTGGACTCACAAGTGTCGGTAATACTACTAGAGTCAAGTTTGTGCAGGTTTTGTGCTTGTTGGCACAGCAGAATCCTGATACGCGGCTGACATGACGAGCCTTGCTGCGGCTGGAGAGGCTCGTCATGTCAGCCGCGTATCAGGACTCAGCCCTGCCAATACACGGCTGACATGACGAGCCTGTGCAGCTGCAGCGAGGCTCGTCATGTCAGCCATGTATCAAGACTCAGCCAAGCTGATACACGCCTGACATGACGAGCCTCTCCAGCTGCAGCGAGGCTCGTCATGTCAGCCGCGTATCAGGACTCAGTCAAGCTGATACGCGCCTGACATGACAAGCCTCTCCAGCCGCAGTGAGGCTCGTCATGTCAGCCGCGTATCGGGACTCAGCCCTGTCAATATGCAGCTGACATGACGAGCCTCTCCAGCCGCAGTGAGGCTCGTCATGTCAGCCGTGTATCAAGACTCAGCCAAGCTGATACGCGCCTGACATGACGAGCCTCTCTAGCGGCAGTGAGGCTCGTCATGTCAGCATGTATCAGGACTCAGCCCTGCCAATACGCGGCTGACATGACGAGCCTCTCCAGCTGCGGACAGGCTCGTCATGTCAGCCATGTATCGGCATGGGTGGCTTCTTCACCTCTTAATGGCCTTTTTAGCCCTGCCATACCCCTGTCCTACCCTGAACCTTCTAGCTTTTCAGGTTAGAATTGGCAACACAGTAGTTTCGGATATCGGTGGACTCAAAAGTATCAGTAATACTGCTAGGTTAGAATTTTACAGATTGTGCAGAAAAATGATAAAAATCAGGATATATTACTATTTTGGGAACTCTATTTTAAACCTTAAAAACCGAAGGGTTTGATATACACCTGTTAATAACGCATTATTAACGCGTTGTTAACACATTATTAACACGTTATTAACGCGCTATTAACGTGTTATTAACTCGGTTAAAAATGAGGGGTTCCACACAGCGCCCTACTGCGATGGCGACGACGCCAATATCGGACTTGTTGCATATCTGCCCGTCGATGTACTCTGAGACGATGAGACCGAAGTCGCCCCGCATAAAGGCGAGGTAGACACGAGGGGCATGCACGGCAGCAATGTTTTGCTCTTCAAGGTATTGCGCGACAAAACGTTGTGTCTTGGCCTCTCCCATCGTTATGGTGTGGCCGAACTTGACCCAGACGTTGCTGATGTCGAGATCAGAATTTTTGGTGAGAGACATTCGTATGCCGTTTATGTTGATGGTGATAGCCTGGTGGCGACATAGCTCGAAACTCCTCTTGATGATCGACTCATAGCCGGAATGTTCATCGGCTTGCCTCTGTCGTCAATGTAGACAGTGACTGTGGAGGACATGGTGATAGCTACCAACGAGACAGAGGATTGTGAGGACTGCAAGGGCTTGGCGAAATTTGGCCTGCGAATCTCCCCAAGGCAGCAACGTAAGCGATCCTCCTTCAACCTCCGACTTGGTCTCCGGATACAGGTTTGAGTTCAACGTTCAACAGTGGTCCAATGCTACTTTATTATCAAACGTGCAATCTCACGCAGGCGCTTCGGCTCTGTCGTGGCTATTGGACGACGTTGCGCTCATTTAGACACCCCGACCCGCCCTCCAGTGCCCACCCTGCTCCACCCTCACGGCCCCACCCACCAGATGGCACTGGCGTTGCGGCTGCGAGCCGCAGGCGGGTGTCGGTGTACTTGTGGTGGAATGGAGTAGGCGTTATTGGACACAGGCGCGTATTCATGATTGCGAGCTTTGGCAAGGACCTGCATGGACCCAAAGGACCGGAGCGGGGCGATGACTGAAAGGGGGAGCCAGAACACCTACTTGTGCACGCCGCCGGTCAGCAGACACGGCCATTACGTTGTCCGTGAGACATATAAACCTCGCCCTCCACAACGTCACCCTTGTCCACGGCACGCCATGACGCCCCACACACAGGCATCGTTGCTGCTCGGATCTGTCATCGCCGCTGCCGCCAATCCTACGTGGTCGGGCAATGTCTCCTCCTGCCCAGGTGAGCATGCTCTGACACGCCCGAGCTCCCGCTCACGCCCCGTGCCCAGGGTACACGCTCAAAACGCTCCAGGACACTCCGTATGGCCTTACCGCTACCCTCGCCCTCGCTGGTCCCGCTTGCAATGCCTTCAGCGATGATTTCCCCCTACTCACCCTTGAAGTCTCCTATGAGTCGCAGTCTAGGTCCGTGCCTCCCTTCTGTTAATTCTTCACTACTATTATTCGTCACATATTCATGCTCTATGTCTTTGAGGACAGGCTCCGCGTCCATATTTTCGACGCCGACAATCTGCAGTTCACGCCTCCACGCGAATATTTTCCGCCTCGTACCCCGTCTGCCCCCGGTCCAGCCTCACTTCTCAACTCCTCGGATCTTGTATTCAACTACGAACAAGTCCCCTTCGCGTTCTGGATCTCGCGCCGCCAGGATCCAGGCGCGCCCCCGCTCTTTGATACCCGCCTCGTCTCACTCCCCACCTCGTCGCGCTCCAACGCAACAGTGGGTCCCTTGCACACTCCTGTGGCGCTCGACGCGTTCCCGCTCGTGTTCGAGAAGCAGTATATACAGGTACGTGAGTGTTCCCCTTCCTCCATCACGCTGCTAATGGTGCGATGCGCCTCGGGTGAAGCTCACTTCGGCGCTCCCGCGTGATGCGAATGTTTACGGCCTCGGCGAGGTTGTTGCGAGCGCGGGCTTCAGGCGCGACGTCGCGCAGAACGGCACGCTGCAGACGCTATGGGCGCGCGACGCTGCGGACCCGCTCGACGAGAACATGTGCGTGCACACATGATTCCTCTCTTCTTCTGGCGGCGTCCTGATGACCGCGTGGGTGTAGATACGGCTCACACGCATTCTACCTCGAACATCGCTTCAACACGTCTACCAACTCTTCCCAGTCGCATGGCGTCTTTCTGTCCAAGTATGTCCCTGCTGCCTCTCTGCCTAGCTATCGTCTTCACCGTGCCCCCAACCACCCGCCTTAGTACTGCCGGTGCCGATATCATCCTCTCCACCCCTTCCTCCTCTAACGCATCCCTCATTCAATACCGCCTTCTCGGTGGCACCCTCGACCTCTCCTTCTTCTCTGGCCCGGACCCGAATGCCGTTATTGCACAGTACGCGGGCGCGGTTGGTGCGCCCGCGTGGCAGCCGATGTGGGCATTTGGGTTCCACCTGTGTCGGTGGGGCTACTCGAACTTGTCAGAGGTGCGAGAGCAGGTAAGCGCGATGCGCGGGGCGGGGGTGCCTCTCGAAGGTGCGTCTGCGGTGTCTTGTGCTCGTGATAGGTCGGTTTATTGGGGGCGCACAGTTATGTGGAACGATATAGATCTCTACCATTCGCTGCGCGATTTCACATCTGACCCTATAAGCTATCCCCCGGAGGAGATGCGTGCGTTCACGCGCGAGTTGGTACGTCCTGCAGCTTGACCTTGTTCTGGTACTTATCAACGGACTTGTGTGCACGTTTACTTGTCTGTCCTCGACCACCCATAGGCTGCGAACGGACAGCACTGTGCGTACAATGCCTCTGTCCTTGTCTCTTTTCCATCATGCACCGTGCACTCATGATGCCAATGCCGACCCTGCAGATATCCCGATCGTAGACGCTGCTATCGGACACGTCGCGAATGCCACTGATGTCGTGCGTTTTCCCCTTTGCACTTCTCTTATCACTGATACCAACGTGCCGCCCGCATGTTCGTGCAGTACGACCCGTACACACGAGGAGTTGAGCAGTGCGTGTCGTTCTGTCGTACGTATGTGTGTGTGCGGGGCTGATGCGAGGTGTGCTTAGGGACGTGTTCATTAAGAACCCAGACGGGTCAATATACATCGGACAAGTCTGGCCGGGGTACACTGTGCGTGATCCTTAAGGCCCCCGCTCTCACTGCATACTGACCATCAGGGCTGCTTGCTTCATCTGACCCCTCTTCGCACGCGTAGGTCTTCCCGGACTGGTTCGCAAACGGCACAGAGGCGTGGTGGGCCGATGCGCTGCGTAACTGGAGCGCGGCGGGCGTCGAGTACTCCGGTATATGGCTCGACATGAACGAGGCGAGCTCGTTTTGCGACGGGTCCTGGTCCGTCCTTTTTTTTAAATATTCTTTTACCCGCACATGTGAACTTCACTGTATCGGGATGCATCGCCGTCTGCTCATGTTCACGCTTTGTTTGTTTGTCGATGCAGCGGAACGGGCGCGGACTTGTCGAATACGTCCGTCCCCGTGTCGTTACCCGGCGATCCTGACGACCTTGTCGTAGACTACCCCGAAGGGCAAGTTCATCACCCTGCCATGGTCTCTTCGTTCCTCGCCTGACGCGTCTCCGTGTGCGGCAGATACGACTCTACTGTGTCGGGGTTGAGCGGGAACATCACTGTGAACGGCACACTCACGTTCGGCGCTGGAGATGCCGGCACGATGTCGGCAGCTTCGAGGCAATATACCCTTGTCAAGCGCGGTTTGGGCGCTGCGAACGAGTCGAATGTGGACCTGAGCGCACCGCCCTACGCCATTCACAACGGTATACCTGCCGCCTGCTCATCTTAGGCTCTCGGCTAACGCATTACAGGGTTCGGCGCGCTGCTAACGCGCACGCTCGCACCGAATGCAACGCATGCGGGTGGGTACGTCGAGCTCGATACGCATAACATATTTGGGTATATGGAGGGCCGCGCGACGAACCTCGCACTGCGCGCAGTGCACCCCGGCAAGCGACCTTTCATCATTGCGCGCTCGACATTCCCGGGTTCGGGGCACTGGACGGGACACTGGGTATGTCGTCGTCGTCGTCCTTCCTTCCGCCGTACCGGCGTTTCGCCAAGCGGTACTGATTCGCGGATGTACCTGTCAGCTTGGGGATAACTACAGCAAGTGGGCGTACATGGCGCACAGCATTGCAGGTGTGCTCCAGTTCCAGCTGTTCCAAATCCCGATGGTCGGCGCCGACACGTGCGGCTTCAGTGCGTAGTCCTTGCCGTCGATTCACCTGCTTGCTTGAGCCTAACCGTGGGTCATATTGTGCATACGCGGAGCAGTCGGCAACACAGACGAGGAGTTGTGCAATCGCTGGATGCAGCTATCCGCGTTCACGCCGTTCTACAGAAATCACAACCAGCGCGGTGCGCTGTCCCAGGAGCCTTACAGATGGGATAGTGTCGTCAACGCGAGCAAGACCGCGATCTCAATACGCTACGCGCTCCTGCCGTACTGGGTGAGCCTCTTCGTATGCTAGAGATTCAAATCCGCGATTCATCGTTGACCGCGGACGGGATCGGGCAGTACACACTGTTTGCCAACGCCTCGACGAACGGCACACCTCCTGTGCGCGCGCTCTTTTTTGAGTTCCCCGACGAGCCGGAGCTGTTTGCGGTGGACCGCCAGTTCATGGTCGGGAGCGACATTCTCGTCACGCCTGTGCTCGAGCCCAATGTGTTTACTGTCGACGGTAGGTCGACATGGAATTCATACCCGCTCGATTGTTCATCCCCATTGTGTCATGTCAGGCATCTTCCCTGGCCGCGGGCAGATAACCTGGCGCGACTGGTACACCCACACTGCAGTAAACGCGACCGTGGGCGCGCCGACCACGCTTTCCGCGCCCCTCGGGCACATCAATGTGCACATCCGTGCGGGCGCCGCACTCCTCACACACGCGCAGCCGGCGTACACGACACGCGAGACGCGAGCGGGGCCGTACGCGTTGCTCGTTGCACTCGGTGCCGACGGCGCAGCATACGGCACGGCGTATCTCGACGACGGGATCTCGCTCCCACTACCGGACTCCCCAATCGCGAACCGGACAGTGCGGTTCATCGTGCACGCGGGCGCGCTCACGATTGAGAGCGCAGGTACGTTCCGTGTGGAACAGCCGCTCGCGCGCGTCACGGTGCTCGGAGTGCCGAGCGCGCCTGGGAGCGTGTTCGTCGGCGGGCAGGAGGCGGCACGGGGCGGATGGACGTACAACGCAGACGTGGAGCAGCTCGTGATGGACGGGTTGGCAGTCGACTTAAACAACGGGACGCATCTGTCTTGGTTGTGACGCATCGCACGTTTTGGTTTTTGAGTTGGTTCTTTTCCTTGCTTGTCCTCTACATTGACCTCTCCCTACGGGCGCTGGTCGTGAAAATAGTCCACTTACTGGCATTGGTACTGACATTGAATTATATTCACAAGTGAACAAACAGTGTCCACATTGATGATACGGAGTATGTTCAAAACTCAAGCGATGCAGAGGAATGTCCAAGAAAGTTTGAGTTGTTATGTAACTTCACAGCGAAAAACGGAAGAGAGGACTAGCTCAACTGCGAGCTCGGCTGATTTACGAGTGCTGGACCCTGTGATATTCTCAAATTTCAGCGACGAAGGCTGGCAGGTGGAAGGATAAATCTGACGTACTGCACGAACCACCGCTGGTCACTCGCGACGCAGTTGCCACCATGCGCGTTCTCAGTCGATTGACAGTTGAACGCGATATAATCGACAAGGGAAGACTAGAAATAAAAAGAGGTCAGGCAGATGAGCAGCAAGAAAGGCGACAAGGTGTCACACCCAGTCACTGCGACAGTACTGCAGCGATGTGTTGGCCTGGTTGACTATAAAAGTTTCGCAGCTGCGATACGTCATGACGATCAGAGACGAATTTTGCTGTGTGAGGGGGAGAGGACGCGGGGAGGGGGGTTAGATTGGCTGAGGCGATCGGAGACGGGCAGCACTCACAGCGGGGTCCATCGTGAAGAGCGGCCCTTTGCGCACAAAAATGTCAGCTGTCGAGTTCGAGCGAGGACACTCCAAAAGGCGCGCGCACCGATGTTCTGGCTGTCGTAGAGCAGCGCGTCTGCGATGACGTTGCACTCGTTCGGGTCAGGACCTCCTCCCGATGGAGTGAAGCAGTTGGTGGTGCCTAGGCATCAACGGTCAGTCCTCGAAGCGCATGCAGAACATGCCTTCGGCTGGATGGCCGAGGGACGCACAGGTTGCTCCGCAGACGTTCGCCTGGCGCTTCTCGAGGACGGGGACATCGCGCACAGCAATGGTGTCGGCAACGGGCGTGATAGTGTTGGAGCAGTGAACGACTTGGACGCTGACGTCCTTATTCGCGCCTATGACGGTCTGCGAGAGCGTCTTCTTGTCGTCGCATTGGACGGCGAGCACGGCTCCAGAGAAGGAAAGGGCGAGGGCAAGAATGGAAAGGAGCTGCATGGCTGTGATGGTCTGAGAAGTAGAAAAGTAGGTGTGCATTACACAGGTCAAACAATCGTGACTTTATAGGCCTACGAGCGCCTCGACGGATCCGCGGTGTCAGAGAGGGAACGAGAGCACATGAGAAAAAGCGGGTGGAGTAGACCGAATCAGACGTTACAGCAGTCGTAATATATCAACGGTGCGCAAATATGCAAGCAAATGATGGCCTGGATTTCGAGGGAAGGGCACACGTGAGAGTCGAAGGAGTGTCTAGGGTGGCAGCGGATGCTCAAGACCGACGTGAGGGGCCACAAAGCCCTGGTATGACGACAGGGCGCCTCGGGACGGTCGTGAAGATTCCAAGTTTGGAAAGAACGGGAATGTACGCGATCACATGGCTCACCGATGGCTGGCGTTGTGCGGCTCAACAAGGTCAGAGCACGGGACGAGGCCACGCTGGGGTCAACCCACCGCATATGCATTGACGCCCAGTGGAGATAGAGTTACATGAACGGCTCGAGGGCGCCAGCACAAACTCTAACGTTTCCTCGCCTCCACCACACGGCGCGAAGGTGCTGAAGCTTGACTGTGATCCTCCCTAGTCGGCCTCCTTTGCGATCTCCGAAGCGACAGGAAACGTAGGCTTGCCTGCCTTGTTACGCACCTTATCCGAAACTGGCAGCGTGATCTTTGGAAAGGTGTTTAGACAGCTTCAAGTGGCTGTTTCGCTGGCCGAAACCCCACCTATCGCGCAAGGTAGATGCCAGGAGTCGCTAATCGATCGGGAGAGATGATGGCCGTGTGTGGACCGCGCCTTAGAGATGCGGAGAAAATCAATAACATTGTACCAGCTTTGCCTGTTTTGAAGTAATGCCTGTCGACAACTGGACATCGTTCAACGTCGTTGAAGCGTACGTGTGCACAGGTATGCACCGTGGACAAAACGCGGTCACTGATCAGCTGGAAGTTGCTGACAAATATTGACTGACTTTGAACATCTCGCATTGTCTATCGTCACTGCTGCCACCATCAACAACAGCCACCTAACTCTGTTCTGTGGCTAAAGCGTCTTGTTCTCGGCTGGCATCAATAATGCTTGGTACAGTGGTCTCTTATTATCAAACCCCGTATGTCCACGCTTTCGCTTTGTGGCGGTGTAACAAGGCGGACCGCTAGCCTCAAGGCCTGCCGTAAGGAACAATGGATTCCGCATGCCCACCTCGTTTTTGTCTTCACTCCTATAAATATCGATATCTTAACCTTTAAAAGTATCTTCCATCGCTCTCGACGAGCTCCCTCCATACATTCCTCAAACCCTTCTTATACTGACATCCTTCTTACGCCTCCTTCTCTTCCACGTTCACCATGCATCCTCTCTCCATCGCCCCCGCACTCCTAGCTCTCGCTGCGTATCTTCCTCGCGCAGCTGCACACGGTTATCTCGCATCGATCACTATTGATGGCACCACATACAAGGGAAACGTCCCCGCCGGCAACACCGATCCCAGCCCGATCCGTCAGGTCGACACCAACAGCCCCGTCAAGGGCGCCGACAATCCTTTCCTCAACTGTGGTCAGAACGCTCAGCTCGCGAGCCAGGTCGCCAATGCCAACCCCGGAAGCAAGATCGACTTTCTGTGGAGCGACATCGGGTCCAACGTACGTAGTTTTCCCTGCTGAACATCCATTCATCGTCTGACCTTTCTTTTTCGGGTGGCAGTGGCCTCATAACACCGGGCCTGTGATGACTTACATGGCCAAGTGCGATGGGACGTGCGACAAGTACAACTCGACCGACGCCCAGTGGTTCAAGGTCGATGAGCTGGGGATGAAGCCCGACGGGTCGACATGGTACCAGCAGGACATCAGTGCGTCGCCTCCACTGTCAGCCCTCCATTCTTGTCTGATCATTCCATAGTGAACGGCCAGCCTGTGTCCGTCACCCTCTCCAATGATATCGCCCCTGGCCAGTACCTCATCCGGCACGAGATCATTGCGCTCCATCTTGCTGTCTCCCCCGGCGGTGCCGAATTCTACCCTTCTTGCACGCAAGTGAACATTGGCGGCTCGCAGACAGGACAACCGAACCAAACGGTGACGTTCCCTGGTGGGTACACCGACACCGAACCCGGAATCCTTGTTCCGGATGTAAGCGCGTCTAGCTCACTTGGTGATCGGACTCGACGCTGATATGGTTATCCCAGGTGTTCAATCCAGGACTCGTTTACTCCTTCCCTGGCCCGGCCATGTCGAATCTGGCTGCTATCGCTGACACTGCCACTGGACAAGGCCAAGCTCCATCGAGCGCTGCCGATAGTCCTGCGCCCGCGAGCACCAGCGCCAAAGGACAGCCCGCGTCGCCCACTTCAGCTGCTGCCACAGGTTACCCGACGTCGTCACCGTCAAACTCGTCGCCGTCGAAACAGTGCAATCTCAAGAAGCGTACCGCCGTGAACGCGACGAAGAGGGACGTCGCAAGCAGACCGAAGCACTTGAGCAGGATCATGCGGGATTTGATCCACCATCCGTGAACGAGGAACTGACGCGCTGGGTACGCTGGGACACGACACTGACATGATGGGCGACGTTATATTACGAGCGGACATGCCCTGGAGGCCCCGTGTAGCCTTATTATCGTATATTATTGGGTCAGGTGGATATGTATCTCTATAGGTCTGTCCGAGGTTATTATCGAATGTATTTGAAGCCGCTTGCTATGCATTTTTAGAGCCGAGTGCAGCGCTTGCAAGCGCTCAGGTGTGACGGTAAGCGCTAGCGTGTGACGGTGAGTGACGATGACGTATGCCTCGTGACGAAGACGGGCTATTAGGGGCTGGCCTGGTTTGGCGGGAGGAAAGGGGCGAGTTCGAAAGGAACGGACGGCCCATTGAACACATTTGGAGCATGCAGTCATCCACCCCGGCGATACCCACCGCCAGATCGGCAACTTGCACAGCCAACGCCTCGGCACTCCTCTCAATCCAAGTCGGCATCCAATCCTTTCTTAAACCCTCCAACCTCCCCGCCCTCGCCCTCCTCCTCTCTCCCATGTCATTCTCTCACATCATCTCTCCCGTCCCCTGTCTTCCCCGTCGTTCCCCCTCGCAGTCTTCCCTGCCCCAGGCGCCCCAGTTTCAGTCACATTTGGCCCTGGAGCAATGGACGCTCGATCTAAATTGCGACGGCATGCACACCTTCCAACCGCAGCAAAATCTGGGTTTCGACACCCACTCTACAGGTTTTCATCAGTTCTACTCGGCCCTCAACCATTTCCAACCGCATTCTCACACCGAAATACCTATCGCCATCCCTGACCCTTTGATTCATCATTCCCCACAACTCGCTCACGCCCCCTTACCGAATAATAGTGTCGTTGATGCCCCTGGCGTATCCGGATCGCTCGATCCTTCCACTGGTCTCTTCTCGCGCACTGCCGAACACTCCCGCATCCGTACAGCGCAAGCGTGTGAGAAGTGTCGCTCGCGCAAGGCGAAGGTCTGTCCCTTGATTACCCCTCTCGCTCACAGTCTCACTGCTGACAATGATTTTCTCAGTGCTCCGGCGAGCATCCCGTCTGTCGACGCTGCTTCAGCCGTGGCCTCGTCTGCGAGTACGCTCCAGAGCGGAGGATGCGCGGGCCGAACAAACCCAAAGTGCCTGGTGCGCTTCCCGCCTCGAACAAGCGTCCCTCTAGCAGTGGCTCCCCGAAATCACAAGATGCTGAACAACCCGCGAGAAAGCGCGCGATGACTCTTCCCTCCCGCTCTGCACCAGAGTGTAATCCCAAAGCGCCACAGCCTTCGAAGTCGCCGATGATCGATACCCCTATCGCTGAATTGCACCGAACTCCTATCGCCTGCGAGCAGCAGGATGATCCTCGCACCGAATATCTCCCTGAAATCCGTGATCCTGTATCTTTCAGCGGTGACCTGGACGGCGTCGCGCAGGTGGTGGACCATGGGTCTCGAGTGGGAATGCAGAGGCGTACCCGCCCTCCGCCGCTAGATCTGTCCATGTTCAATGCCTTCGGACAGACTTCCCTGCATCCACAGGCACCCATACAGCCTCTCAACTCTTATCACGTACTTGACGACCAGCAGTGGAGATTGGGTCGCAACCATGTTGGCTTCATGGGTGTGGATTCGACGAGCATATATCACAACGAGGTTATGCACAGGCAAAATTATCCGCCTCTGCACAACGGTAGGGCTCGCGCATTTTCTGAAGCGATGCACATGCCATTGCCTGTCTCGATGGAAACCCCCTTGCCGCCTTTCTCTAATGAAGGCGTGCCACTCGATATCCCATCAGCTAGCTCGTGAGATTTACTTCAGCCGTTATGCTCATCCAGATTCTGATTAATTTACATTGCAGCGAGTCCTTCCCCCCCTCCCCGATGTCAACTCATCCATCATCCGTCTACCAAACTTTGTTAGATCACACGAGATCGGGTTCGAGCGGCACCTCGAACAGATCGGATCCCTCACCTGTTACGCCGTCTGGTCTATTGGACGGCTTTCCAGTTTCAGTGCTTGCATACCCAGGCGAACACGAGATCATGCACTCTATGGACTTCCAGCCGACGACGACGCACAGCACTGAGACAAGCACTTTTGTGGATTTCGCTCACGCGGATAATGGGTTGGAGAGGTCGTTTGAAAAGTTTCTAGGTATCTCGGACATGGATTTTAAGGACGGGCGCGTCTTTGGCTCGTAGAGCCGTTTTACAGGATCCTGTCTGCGCTTTTCACCTATTTTTGCTTCGTCATATTATTATTCCTGCCTCGGCCATCCTTCTCTCTCTGGGTCCAGCTTGTCGTGCAATATTTGTCCCACACACGATGGACTTACTACTGCTCATATGGACATTACACTACTTGGATATACACGATTCGTCGTACATCTCACTCTATGAGTGCTCTAGATCATTTTCCTGCGCGTTGACAATCCGGTGAATTGCTGTCTGCGAGACTTTTACGTTGGAGTCAAGGCGAAAAATTCCCGGCCTAGGTACAATTTGAGCCCCTTAGTGTATTCGCAGAATGGTTGCGCTTATAAAAACATCTGAAAATCCACAAGCGCTCGGGCGGGTCATAGTGGCAATTCCGCCCACCGCATTGTCTAAGCATTGCTCATAAGAGGATACAGGCCAGGCACCTCCATTAGACCTGTATAAGCCGTGTGTCACCGTGATGGGCCACGATTTATCACGCGCAAGCCAGGCGCACGGAGCGCGTCCCACTCTATTACTCCACACACCGTCGAGGAAGATCTAGGACGATTAGCTGAGACCTCCCAGGAACTGCGACTCACACAGCCAGCAAAACCTGCGAGATTTAACAGACTATCGGCCGAAGCGAACCTCGGAGTGTTTCGTTTGTCAGACATGCTGAATAGAATACGGGGTGTATGGGAAAGTGGCAGTTGGGTATTCGGCAAGGAGTGTGCGATAAATAATGTGCGAGTCAATTAGTGGCAAGTGTCGAGGCCCGAGTAGGTCCGAGTCGCTCAATGGAGCTGAAACTTGAGGGAATGTAGGATACAAATATGGAGCACAGCGTAGCGGTTTTCACGGACAACATACCAAACTTGGAAAGCAGAATTGATAAGTAAAGCAGCACACCGAACAAACGGAAAGCGTCAATGGCGGCCATAAAATCGTCCTTAGACATCCCTCACTGCGCAGCCTTGATGAGGTCAGCCGCCTTCTCCGCGACGCCGTACAGTGTGCTTGAGAGATGCGCGCTCACTTGCAGCGGCAGTACCGATGCATCGACGACTCGCAAGTTGGCAGTGTCGTAAACGATGAGGTGGGCATCCACCACGCCTCCGAGGTCACGCCGCATCATGCTTGCTGTGCCGATTGGGTGTGAAACGGCGGCGAAGCCAGCTTGGGTGTCCAGGATCCACTTCTTCCATGCGTCGTCTGAGCCACCGATCGCGTCGTTTGGGACGACAGAGTAGCCAGGGTGTGTCTCGCCGGTGGATAGAGAACTGTAGATAGGGATAATCGGTAAGCATCAAGACCGTAGAGCATGGACATCGCGATACCACGCACCTGGTCGGTGAGCTGCTGAGAATTTTGCGCGACAGACGTGCTCCAGCGATTTGGACATCGAGGTCCCAAGGGACGCCAAAGTAGTTGACATTGACCGCTGGCTTCGTGAAGGGGTTCGCGTTCTGGTCCCAATTTTAGCCAGTGTTCACATATGGATTTGACAAAGAAAGATGCTCACCGTGATGGAGACAGTCCCCCTGCTGAAGGGAAGCAGCTGCCACATGTCGATGCCCAAATCACTACAGCACATATCAGTTTCGGTACATTGCAAACAGCTGACAGAAGCTTACTCAGGGTATCCGGTATCATAGAACAGCTCGACGACGGGGGCTATTGGCAACATCCAGGGTTGGCCTCGTCGTTTCGTGCCAGAACAGAACGACAAACGCACCATTGTGATTGATAATTTGGTCGGCCTGTACCTTGTAAATGGTTTCCAACGCCTCTGCAGAAAGAGCGGAAGATGCCTGAGATACCGCCCATTCATTTAAAGAGTTCGTGATATTCTGCGCAACAGCGGCCGCGGAGGATCCGAAAACTTGGTTGAGGTTCGGGTATGCAATCACACCCGACGGCCCGTTTCCACCTTTATCGAACCCATTCCCGTGCGCACCAAGAGAGTTCATTGTCTGACAGGTCCGATGAGATATTGCGCAAAGCGATGACTGCTCGTAAACATACCTGCTCCTGGAGGTTACGTCCAACGGTCTTGAGATCGATAAGCGTATTGACCCCAATCTTACTGAGCAGAGCAGAGTCACCGATGCCAGACAATTGCAACAAGGCTGGAGTCTGGATAGCACCCGCAGCAATAATCACTTCCCGTCGAGCATAGGCAGTGTAACGAGCACCGTCTGATGAGCCGTATTCGACACCGGTTGCCCTGTGCGGGGCAGTGCTACCGTCGGCAAATAGGATCTTCGTAACCTATGAAAGCGTGTCAACGAGGGCAAGTAATGGCAAGCGAAAATGAATGAACCTGGTTGTTGACCAAGGTCAGCCAATTTTTCCGCTGGTCTTCTACGGGTGAAAGATATGCAGTTGCAGCAGACGATCGATGGTCTCCATCGTGCCAGTTGAGGGACTATATCATACAGATTCTCAGACGTGGTATGCTTACAATTCGGTGTGATTATGCAACGTACCACTGGGGTGAATGATACGCAATTCGAATCACCACCATTAATATCAGGTAAAAGCTTTATACCCGTCACAGCTTGGACAGTCTTCGCGAAATTCGGTTGCTCAGGGCCGCCATACATGAGGTCAGGGTAGGTGACCTGGACGGGGCCATTACTTCCGTGATACGAATCGACGTCATTAGCGCCCTTAGCACGCTGCTGGTCGTTGGGAGCGGAGAACGCTTCGGCCTAAAGGATGTGATGAGCTGGATACTAGACTCGGACCGATCTTCGTGACCGACCTTCTTCATGTAACCCCACAAGTTGTCCCAGTTCCAGCCAACGCTGGACTCGGAGCTCTCAAGTAGAGTGGACCAGGCGTCGTACTGAGAACTCATACCTCTCGTCCAGTGTCCTCCGTTGATGGAGGAACTTCCACCAAGAGTCTTGCCGCTATACTGAAGGTAAGGCACGTCCACGTACATTGGCTAGAGAACAAACGCACCCTCTCATGGTTTTACCTTGGTCGGTACTCCAAGCCCAGTCAAGTTCAGTTCCGAAGGCTTGTGAGTACGCGTAGATGTCGTAAACCCGGGAATCATCTCGGTTGTCATCGCCCGCTTCCACAAGTAGGACCTTTATCTCTGAGTTCTCTGCTAGGCGTGCGGCGACCGTGGTTCCAGTAAGGCCGGCTCCCACGACAATATAATCGTAGGTGTGTCCCGCTGCAGCAGAAGGATCCGAGACTACACCGTGCGCGCGCTTCTGTAGAGGTTGACTTGGGACGGCCAAAGCCAGATGTATAAGGGAAAGGAGAGGAAGTAAAGACCGCATTGGTCGTCAGTCTAGAAAGAGGGAAAGGGAAAGAAAAAGAGACGGTTGCTGGAGACCGATCTACTACCATCTTTTATACCGTTGCGCTCTTTAATGGCCTCTGGGGTACAGAGCGGTCGCTGCATGTGTGGACCGGAAACAAGTCAGACGCATTACATAACGGAAACAGCCGGTCTACGATCCCCGCGATTGGTCCTGTCCATCATTGAAAAAAAAAAGATCAAACTGCCAAGACACTGATCGCCACGCGCTGGTAAGTCACTAGCACTGCACTAGAATTCTAGGACACAAAAAGCACAAACAAACACCAGACTGTATTGTAATATCGGACGATGCATGGGTGTTTGGGCATTGCGAGACCATCTACAAAGGACCTCTGAACGATCCTATTCTATCGAGCCTCATAACGTTATGCCAGGCAATCACGACTGTCGAATACGAGCAAGACGACAGCCCAAACGGTCCTTTGAAGACGGGGAATCATGATATTGTACGTTGACAGAGGAACAAAACATGCATAAGTGGCTTCTCATCGACTCGCGGATCTAAATGCACTCACGGCGGTGATCAGAGCTCAACAGCACGACTGCTTCGCCACATAACGAATGGAGCGATGAAACCGGCTGATGGCACGCTGGTAGCTAGAACGCAGGGGATCAGATACTTAATCATCTGCAGAGGGGAGAAGGTCCAAAGAAAGAATGAGGCGGTCGTCCACACCACATCCCATCCAATGGAGGACTGAGCGGGATGAGAATGTAAGGTTTCCCACAGGGCGGACACAGCACCGGACACATGTCGAGCTTCAACCGGCAAGGAGGCAAAAGCAGTCGAAACTGTACGAATACGTGGAAGAATGGAAGCCAGTGCAATCAAGCCATATAGAGTCCGTGCTCGCATCCGAAGCACGGCCGAGGATAGCAAGGCATCTGGAGAGGCGAGTGGAATAACTAAAAGCACATGCATCGTGAGGAGATTGGAGAGGAAGTATCCCTGTTCGATTGACGTGGGAACGAGGTAAACAGTGGAAAGGGAAAGCAGAATGCTGCTCCAAAGAATCATAGGGACAGTGTTTCGCCGCCGAGTAAGTTTCTCTTCTGGCTTTGGGTCAGGATATAAGGCCAGCGCTATATAAAACAAGTTCGCTGCGACGGAAATGGCGACGACCTGCCCTAGCATCATATAAGCCCAGATATGTTTTATTTTGCGTCTGCGGCCTGAAACAATGAGATGAGCTGTATGCATTTACTGGATGATAGCAACCACGAACCTTCCGACAATAAAAAGACAGTCCAGAAACCCACAGTATAGAGGCATAACTGTTCGCTCCACCACCAATTCCGGGGAGTTGAACATACGACAGCCCACGCTTCCTCGAACAAGCCTGTATTTGCTAGCCAATTTCCTACTCTCTCCAGCATCGGTTGCGTTGCTTCCGCGGAGTGCAGCCGCTCATAATTGGAAAAGCTCCACTAGATAGCAGAGCGTCACGAACGATGCCTCTGATGATGATTGGTTAAGCTTACTCCCATGAACGCAAACATGTCTATGATCCGTTCGAAACCGATTAAAACGTGAAGCTGTTGACAAAATTGAGACTCACAGTACCAAGTGTGAGCGAAAGAGCTCAGCGTCAGCACAGTAAAGGTATAGGCACGGTAATTGGGGCCATTGCGGGGGACATTGAGAGGTAAAAAAGAAGCGCAAATAATATATAACAGTACAAATATCAGCAAGAAGTAGGATGCGAGCACAAGCAGGCCGATGGTCTGCTGTGGATCCATAGGATGTTCGAACAGTATCGAGGTTGCAGAGTCGCGCGATTCCGCTTTGCGTCCGAACCTGTCCGATCCGCGGAAGACGGTTACATCACTCCTAGTGTCACATGAAGACCTGTGTTGTGACCGCTCGTGACGGGTCGCGTTTAGTCTTACCTTTGACATGAACAGGACACATAGATGTCCGCCCCCGGCAACGACATAAACGACTCACCTGTTGGACTCGACCGCCGTCTTAGAGGTCTCGAGCAGCAGGTACCGCCTTTTCATAGCTTCCGATATCGTTCAGTGGCTCACGTACGACAGGTTGCGAACCTTCGTAACGCAAAGCGCGAATCAGAGCGCAAGTGTTTTGAAGCTACACAGCGGGGACAGCGGCTTGCGTCGGAACTTGGTTTTGGGAACATTGAAGAGGCAGAAGAAAATATATCAATATACCCTCAGCTCTACAACCGCGCCACTATCGAATATAACTCGACACGAGTGGCTCTGCTGGAACAGCAGCTCAATAGACTGCAGGAGCTTCGGAAAGGCGACTTTAACAAGAACCAGGAGTTATCTCGCGCCGTCGCTTCACTTCGTCAAGAGAACGAAGAGCTTAGAACACAGCCAGTAAATCCCGCAGGTGAGCGAGAACGAAACATATGTAGTCACTAAACAACAATCGAGAGGATTCGAAATTCTATCCAGATCGACGCGTAAATCATGCGGATCTGCGCGAGTTTTTTCAGGCAGTCAGGTATGCGCGCATATATATCGTTTTGTGTTTTGAAACGAAATTGTTCATAACTCCCATAGCCATGCCTCCGTGCCGACGAGTGTTGAGAGCTCTTCAATTGCCGAACGGCTTGTGGATACCCAGGAAGAGCTCTCCGAACTTCAGAAACGCTACGACAGTCTGTTGGAGGTGAAAGAGCGTGCCACCAAAGAACTCATGAATTCCATCAAGAAATACGATAGGTTGAGGAAATGGGCTCATAAACAAAAAGCTCACAAGAAGTTGAAGGACCGCATGAGAAAGTCCGCCGACCCGCCTTTTAGTACACCACAGTCCCGCTTCCCTTCACCTTCCGATCTTAATAATGCGCCGGCGCCGTTTGATTCACCGACTAATCCGCGTCTGGCTCCAGTTGCATCTCTAGACGCTCCCAGTCAGGCCTCGCAGAACTCTCTGCCATTGTCACGTAATATCTTGAACGAGCAACGGTACAATCGAATACCACTCGGATATGACTCTCAATATTGACTTCACTTTGACTAGGCTTTCAACGCCCAGGGAATCCCCTTTGAGGAAGGCGGCCCAGTCTCAGCCATCTTCGCTGAAGAGGAAGTACGACGGCGGTGACTCAGAAGACCTATCCCAGACAGAAGATGACTCGCAAGGCACGATACCCTGTCATCTGCGTAACTTCAGTTGCTAAATTCCCTATAGCCCCTTCTATTTACGTCCCGACTACTCCACGCACGCCCCGTATTGCCAAGGCGCTCCCGCGCGTCGGTGAAGCCCGACCTCGTGGTGTCGGTTCAACAGCGCAGAATAATGACCCTCCGCATCCCGTGAACGACGAGCGTTTTCCCCCAACGCCGCACAGTACTGCCTTGAAACGATGGAAACAGATCGATCGATCGTCGATCGAGAAGGATGCTGCCCAGGACGTTACCAGTAGCAATGCGGAGCGGTTAGCTTTCCGTCTCGCGAGCATCTACCCCCGTGCACTAACTCGCTATCTCTCTGCAGGCCGTTGAAAACTATCAACGCGCAGTATGAGATCAATCCAGACGTCAACGAGAAGCTAGATTATCAATTCGACGAAGTCGTCAGAGGTCGTCAAGCACGGCAGAGGCTCCATGGCACCGACTGTGACTGCTGCCGCGATGTACGTATCCGTGCTCTGAGATACGTAGCGCGTCCAATTGATGTCAAAGTAGTACTATGAAGCGGTCGGACCGCTTCCCCCGCGCCTCTCCGCGCCCATGTGGCGGTCCCCGTCCCCGTCCCCTGCCCGGCCTGCCGAACGTCAGGACGCTATCGACAGCCACAAGCAGGAGATATCGCGGCATCGGCAGCAGTGGCAGCGCGGCAATACGCCGCCTGACTTTTGGGTCATCGGGTTCCCGGATACACAGGCAGCATCAAGAATCAACGCGCAGGCTGAGCAGATGCACAAGGAGAAGGTGGAGATGGTGGAACGAGAGACAAGGTGAGCGATCCAATGATATGGCATCGGTGCTGCTCTTCATGTACATCGTCTTTAATAGGAAGGAAGGAGGGATGTACAGGAAGCGTGGTCAACTCTGAGTATGCCGGTTCTGTATCATAATTGTATACCAAATTAGGATTGTAAAATAGTTTCTTGTGTGCGTTCAATGTTACGTGTCATTAGATGGGCCGTCAAAAAATCAAGCTGCATGAAGGGCACGAAGGCCTGCGGCGATTGCAAACGTGACCTGGTCGCTCATCAACCCCCCAAAAGTAGTCGCCAGTCCAACTGCAGCTCCTTGCATCCCCGACGCCTCCTGAGCAACTCCTGGCACGACCGGCTCGGGCACCACCACAGACAGCCCCACCAAGCCCAAATCGAGCCCCAGGCCCGGCACCTCCCCTAACCCCGCGTCCTCTCCGAGAACGACCTCCCCCGGCCACGCGCCGCCATCGCCATCGCCATCGTCCTCGTCCGGCCCCGGCAACGACAGCTCGCTGCTGGTCGGCGACGCCAGAGGAGAGTCAGAGAACGGATCCGGCATCGGCGCCATGAGCGAGCGCCATTTCCAGCGCGCGCGCAGCGGCTCGGCGCTCCCGATGTACAGTGTCCCCGTTTTCTTCGTTGTCCGGCGCCGCGCCTTGACGACGTTCCCGTGCTCGTCCACCTCGCGAACGCGGACCTTCCCCCACGCCTTGCGCGGCTTCCCAACGAATACGTGTGTCGTGGTCGCCTTCTTGCTGCTCGAGGGTGCCGGAGGCGCGGGCGCGGGTGACTCGGCGATGCGCAGGACAACTTCCTCTTGATCGGAGCCGACGAACGCCGCGCCGACCTTCTCCCCCGTCAGCCCGTAGACCGTGCCGAAATACGTCCCGCTCGGGTACGCAGCGATTGAGAGCCTCTCGGCGGGCACCACCGAGGGCGCGGTGTCAGTCGTGGGCCCCACAGCCGCGCTCGTGTGGCCAGCAGGCGCTGGGACGTAGGAGATGGACCCGCCGCCGTCACGATCGCGACCCCACCTTTTCCATCCGCCGTCGCGCTCCCTGAGGTAAGCTTCCCCCCGCCGGAGGGAGCACACGGAACAGTTGCAGATGTCCAGGCAGTACGGGCAGCTCGCGAACCACTTGCTCGCGTCAAACACGACGTCGGGGTACCTGCAAACGACGGCGGGTTGTAGTAGTGACAGGAAGGGGGCCCACGCCACCCACGCACCTTTTCTGGACGCAGCGGCAGCAGAACAGCTTCTTGCACTGCTCGCCGCTCAGCATGCCGTTCGTGCACCCCATCTTGGCGAGGTGTGTCGTGTTGCGGCAGTGGTGGCAGAAGCTGGAGTCTTGCGCGTATGTCACGGCCGTAGCACGGGGCCCCCGCTTCGACGACTGTCCTTCGATGCGGGTTTCTCTGCCCTTGCCCTTGTCGGTCTTCGCGCCTTCCGTTGTACGGACACGCTTCTGCGCTGCAGGCCCAGGCTCGAACTCGCTTTTGTCAGAGTCGGAGTCAGACTCCTCGTCCTGACGGGCGGGAGAAGAAGAGGGGTATTGGAGCCTCAGCTCGGACGGGTCGGGCGAGGGCTGCTCGCTACGCTCCGACGGCTCCGCGCTCTTGATCCTCGCACGCGCGCGGGGCTGTGCGTACAGCGCCAAGGGCACGTCGTCCGACGCCTCTGATGAGGACCGCAGCGATCCCGGAGAGCCCGGAGAGCGTAGCGCGCTGGGCGTCGGAGGCGCGGGAGCGGGAGAGTGGTGCGACGGCTCTGCGGGTGCTCCGCCGAGCAGCGACGGGTCGATGGTGTTGATTCCAGCGTACTGCGCGTTGAGCGGCCAGAGATCGTCCATCGCGACGTCTCCGGCGCCGCCACCGAACGCGTGCGCGGGGTACAGCGGCAGACCGAGTGTGGGCAACGCGTCGGAGAGGAGCAGAGGGGACCCAGATGTGTACGCATGGGCGGTGGCGGTGGGTACGACGGGCTCTTCCGCATCTGGACAGGGCGCGTGCCATGTGCCCGCGGCGGGCACAGCGTCATCAAAGCCCGCGGTGTGCGGCTGCGCGTGCTCGGCGGGGTCGATGGCCCCGATTCCGGTGTATGGCGCGTCGAGCGACCAGTGGTCGGCCATCGTGACGTCTCCGGCGTCGTCGAACGCGTGCGTGGGGTGGTGCGACAGGTCGAGCGGGGGCAGCGCTTCTGAGAGGGGCGGGTGCGGCGCGGATGTGTACGTGTCGGCGGCGGCGGCGGCGGCAAGTGCTGGTACGGGTGCGATGAACTCCTCCGCGTCTGGACAGGGCGCGTGCTCGCTGCCCGTGGTGGGAACAGCATCGCCAGAGCCCGTGGGGCGCGCCTGCGCGCGCTCGATGGACCCCGCGACGCTAGATGCGCGTGGCAACGCCGTCGTGGGTCGCTCGGGCGGCATGGCCGCGCGGATGTGGCGCGTCGCGACCATGAGAGCAGCGACGGGGTGCGCGTACGGCGCGTCGAGGTCGAAGATGTCGACCAGGGTTGCGTCTTCTGCGGGCGTGGCGCACGGGGGCGGCGGCGGCGGCGCGGTCGAGGCGGACGCAGCGTGGCCTTGCGCCGATTGTGCATGCGATCGACGCGGCTTGGGCTTGGGCTGGGGACAGGGAGCGGCGCGCGAGTCTTCCGTGCGGATCTTCTTGGGGCTGCCGTGCGCGTCGCCGTCGTGCAGATCCGTGCGCGCACGTTTTCGTCTACCGGCTTTCGAGGGCGCCGCATGGAAAGACTCGTGCGCGTGCGCGGGGATTGCGTCGGGCATCGGGTGGTAGTCGGCGGCGGACGTGCCTGATGGGAACGGCGGGACCGCGACGTAGGCGAGGACTTGGCGCGCGGGACGGCGGCGGCGGCGGCGGGAGCGGCGAAGGGGAGCGGCGACGGCGACGGGAGCGTGCGTGGATGCCGGGGACGTGTCGAGCGAGGCGAGCGGAGTGAGCGGGGATGCGAACGGCGGGGGCGATATCTGATCGGGGAGGAGAGGCAGGTGCGGAGGGTGAGAGATGGGGGCGGAGCGGGGCGCAGGACGGGACAGAGGGAGGCGTACGCGCTCGGAGAGGCTTGCGGCGAGCATCGCCGCGGCCTCGTCGTCGGGGGTGCTGTTTAGCGGAGGTCGCGCGACGGGGCTTGAAGGTTGGTGGGCGGCGTGGGAAAGCGCTTGCGACGGGTCGCGTTGGGGAGGGTCGGCGAGGGCCCGTGCCAGCGCATTCTGGGGGCCAGCTGGGTTATCCGACGGACGCGCAGGACCGTCTGGGCCTCTGAAAGGGCTCCACGGGAGATCGGGAGCCGGGAGAGAGGTAGAGGCGTCGTGCGTGGAGAGGGTATTGAGGTAGGACGGGGCGTGCGCGTGGTTGGGCGTGTCGGGGTCGGGATCGGTCAAGTCAATGATGGGAGCGGCGAGCATGCGCGGGTCGTGCTCCCAGGGGGCAGGTTCTGGCGGAGGCAGACGTGAGACAAGAGATTGAGCTGTGGAAGAGGAAGAAGCGGTTGGCTAGGAAAGCGCATGAGCGTGAGCAAATGAAGTGGGGGGACATGACACGGACCTGGGATGAGGGGAGACGAGGATGGGCATGAACAGGTTTCGGGGTGGGCCGACTGAGATACGATGGCGCGTACTTGCGGGGCAGAGGAGACGCTCGGGGCTGGAGGGACGATGAGCTGCGAGCATCGGTGAACTGGGACCGGGCGGCGGGCACCTGGGGCACGTCGCCGGTGCTCTGTGGCGGATAGCGATAGTACGGGCTGCGGTCCGTGCGCGCGTCTGGAGGATCAGAAAGCGCGCCGTCCCAGTTTGCGAGCTCTGAGTATTCTGGCATGTATTATGGCGCGGCGCGGTTGTGCGGCGACGCGCGGGGACGCGACTGGACGGCTGGCTTATGTGAGGAACGCGCTGATGTGACTCGGTCACGGACAAGGGGGTTATCTCCGGAGACGGCCGAGACTCCGCCGGGATAAGTGTGTGGATATAACCCTTGACCCGCGTTCACGCTCACGCTCACGCTCCACGCCCTCGCTGCAATCGCTGCTCTCCCAGAATGTCCTCCACCGTGCCCATCTCCCAGAACGACCTCACCGCACCCACCCCCCAGAACACTCCCCTCACACATGCTCCCATCACCGCAGGCCTCTCCCGCCCCACCGTCCCCGACATCTCGGAAGACAACGAGCCCGCAGAGGACGCCAGCCCCGCCCACCACGCAATGCTCGGCCTCGTCCACGGCAAGATCGCGGGCCTCCTCGGCAAGAGCTCCGGCTACATCGAGAGCCTCCCAGACAACGTAAAACTCTCCGTCGAGGCCCTCAAGGGCGTCCAGGTCAAGCAGAACGAGCTCCAAAATCAGTACAAGCGCGAGTGCTTCGAGCTCGAGAAAAAAGTCTGTTCCCGTTTTTTTCCCTTCATATCGCCTCCCCCATGCCACCCCACTCATCACACTCCCTCTCTACAGTACCTCGACCTTCAAAAACCTCTCTACGACCGTCGCCACGCCCTCATCTCCGGCACCGCACAGCCGACGCCCGAAGAGCTCGAGGCCGGCGCTGCCCAGTCCCTCAAGGACGATCCCGACCACAAGCCACTCGACTCCTCCTCAGCCGCCGCAGCCGCTGCAATCCCAGAGTTCTGGCTCACCGCCCTCCGCAACCACGTCGGCCTCGCAGAGCTCATCACAGAGCGCGACGCCGCCGCCCTCAAGCACCTCACCGACATCCGCATCGAGTACCTCCCCCCCACAGAGCCCAAGCCTGGCTTCAAGCTCCTCTTCTCCTTTGGTCCCAACGACTACTTTGAGAATTCCCTCCTAGAAAAAACTTACGTCTACCAGGAGGAGGTCGGCTACTCGGGCGACTTTGTCTACGATCGCGCCATCGGCACAGAGATCAAGTGGAAGGAGGACCAGGACCTCACGAAGGAGTTCGAGATCAAGAAGCAGCGCAACAAGAGTCCGTTTTTCCCCCTCTTTTCCTCTTGTCGTCCCTCGGCTAACCTTATTTTTGCGTGCTGCCAGACACGAATCGCACCCGCCTGGTCCGCAAGGCCCGCCCAACCGAGTCCTTCTTCAACTTTTTCTCTCCACCCGTGCCACCCAACGAGGATGCCATCGACAACGGCGACATCGAGGAAGAGGAGCTCGACGAACTGGAGGAAAAACTCGAGATGGATTATCAGATCGGCGAAGACATCAAAGAAAAGGTTCGTCCGTCCTTCCATTCCCCATTCACCGTCCCCAGATCCTCAGCCACGTCCTCATCGCCATAGATCATCCCCCGCGCGATCGATTACTTCACTGGCAAGGCGCTCGAGTACGACATGCTCGATGAAGACGATGATGACGACTATGAGGATCTCGACGATGATGAGGATGACGAGGATCGGTTTGAGGACGATGTGCGTCTCGCTGTTTCCTTATCGCCTCGTCTCGTACTCAGTGTTTTCCACAGGACTCGGACAGCGAGGAGGAGTTGCCGGCAAGACGCCGTGGCGGACCCAAGGGCCGCGGCGGCGCCCCCGCTTCCGCTGCGAGCGTGAACCCGGAGGAGTGCAAGCAGCAGTGATGCTGCGTTCTCCCCGACCTAAAAGACTGTCCTTCGTTCATCCTGAAAAGACAAACATCCATATGCCCCCCCTTACCCCTCTCCCACTCGTCTGTCCGTGCTTCCGTCCGAATCCTTCATTCATAGGTTACGCCCCTCCTTCCTCTTCTTCGGTTTGCGTGTGGTGGTTGCTAATTCCTCCTGACCCGGCTGCTTGTCCCCCCTTCCATTTGTTTTTTTGTCGTCTACAATCTGTTCTTTACATACATCCTTCCAACCATGGCACACATCTGCCTGCTTCGTGAACTCTACGTGTTAATCAAGTGCGATCGCCAGATCATTCATCTGCAGTCGCCTCGCCTCGAGGGCCCGACGGTACCCCACGTAGTACATTTCGACGCCGCGGCGCGCTGTAACATCGATCCCCAACCGCAAACTGTAGCCTACTTATCGTACAATCGATCCCGATCCGCTGATTCGCCTTCCCCATACGCCCGTGTTCCGCGTCTCATGACGCCTCAGCCTCGTGCTTCCCCGCGCTTCCCTTCAGACGCGCTCGAAGACGTACAGGTACGCCAGCGCCTTGAGCTCCCGCACGCTCTCCGCGTCGGCCGCGACGACCTTCTCGTCGTTGAACAGCACCCACCGGTCGTCCCCGTCCGCGCTGCGCACGCGCACGTGCGCGACGTAGTGCCCGGAGTGCACCGACGGGCCCTTGTGCGACACGAACGCCTTGAGGACGTAGCGCGCCGGGAGCGCGCGCGTGCCACCAGGCCCAGCCGCCGTGGACGCGGGCGAGGTGGCGTTGGCGGGTGCAGCGGCGGGTGCGGCGTCTTCGCCCGTGTCCTCGGGGTGCGAGAAGAGCCACTCGACGGCGCGCTCAGGGTCCGCGTTCTGCGACGCGACAGGATCAGCGAGGATCAGCGCACGGCAGGAAGCGCAAGCCTACCGTCTCGCGCAGGGCCTTGCGCGCTTGGGCGGGCGTGAAGCCCATGTCAACGAGCATGCTGATCTGCTCCGCGCTCGGCTCGGGTCCGGCGCTGACGCTTGCGCCTGCGCCTCCCGCATTGCCGATCACGATCGGCGCGTCGATGTCTGCGTAGCGTAAGGACGTGCGATGGGTCAGGGATTCCGCGCGTGCAAGGGGGTGTATCTAAGCGCGCGAGAGAGAGGGCGGGTGCACGCACCGGGATCGTCCATGTGCGCGAAGAGCCACTCCATGGCGGTGTCGGCGTCGGTGTTGCCGGTCGCGAGCAGCGCTTTGTGGCAGCGGAGGGTCGGAAAGCCCATTGCCTCGAGCTGGGACAGCGCGGCCTCGTTGAAGGCGGGCAGCCCGGGCGCCTCTGCGGCTCGAGTGGGTCACGCGTGCCCGGGGCAGGGTCATGGAGGAGCAAGCACGTACCTAACTTGTCCTCGGGGAGCGCGCTCTCGTCGGGCTGCAAACCCTGGCCGAGGAATTGGTCGAGCTGGAGGATATCGTCGGAGGGGAGCACGAGGGGGATGTCTGGAACGATCGGAAGATTAGGAAGAGCGGGAGACGCATCGTGGATGCCTTTACCAAGTTTGGTCGGCACCCAATTCACAAGCTGGAACTTCTTGGCGTGCAGGACCAGTGTCTGCGGGAACGTGGAGAACCTCGACTGCCTGGGACAAACGTGAGCGAGACTCTTGCGCTGAAGAACGCGTGCCGACTGACTTGGTCGCGACGACCTGCTTTTGGCATCGGGGACACTTGTACTCCAAGGCCTCTGGGCCGGTCACAGCATCTAGGCATTCGCCGATAAGGACCTCCTCGTACTGTGCTCTTCCGTCTGCATCCTTGCCCTTCTCTCTCGGCGGCACAGGGATGCTCAGCACGTCCTGGCTGTCGACCCTGTACCGCACGCCCCGGCACTCGGTGCACTGCAACCGCTGCTCCATGCCGAACGAGAAAATCTCGGTCGGCTCGGCGGACGCAGACGGGCGGGCCCTCTGCGTGTGGCGCCGCAGCGTCGTGAGCAGATGCGAGAAGAACTCCTCCGAGTCCTGCTGCCTCATCGTCGCGAACTCCTCGTGGCCCTTGCCGATGAGCGCCTTGAACAGCGCGGGGCGCAGGCCTTCTTGGAATACAGGCGTCGGGGACTCAGCGTCGGAGGCTTTGGCTCCCGCGGGCAGCGGGGCCTGGGAAGAGAACGTGCGAGGGTGCGAGTAGCGGCCCGAGAGCAGCCCGTCGGCGATTTTGTGCATCTGGCAATCGAGGCAAGCGGCGGGCAGAGGCTCCGAGCAGGTATCCCAATGTTTCGGTGCCGTGGTGAAATAACGGTCTTGGAAAGGAGATAGCGAAAATAAAGTTTGAAGGACGGACGCCATGTAGCAGCTGTAGCTTGGTCAGAAGGTGATCACACTCCGCAGGCAAATCAGAACACAAAACCTGTTGCCCAAGTTTGCCAGACCCGTGAGCCCTGGACCAAATACGGGCTCGAGCGCCTTCCCAGACTCGTCGGTCAGCGAAAAGTCAAACTTCAGGTTATGTTCGATTTGCTGGAATGCGGTTGAGAAAATGCGACGCTCGAGGGATTAGTATAATCTCACAAGTTCGGTCATGGATTTTTCTGTCTTCGTTTGCGCCTGGATGTTGATCCCAAAGTTGGAAAGGTGATGCACAAGCGCGGGGTCCAGTTTTGAGTCGTTACACGCGTAGCAGTATATATCTATCGCGATCTGTAATCAGCATGCGAAGCCTTGTGCGCGAGGGATGAAAAGGTATCACCAGCTTCACCCTCGGGAGTGATGGTTCCCAGCTTCACGCTAACAGGATGTCTGGTTTCCTCATAGTGGCTGAGGCCATGTCCGTTACCGCCAAAGCCGCCGAATTGCTGCCGACCGCATCCCAGTGAGCCGCAGGTGAGGCAAAGCCAAAGGTTCTCGTTCAAGGTACACTTCGCGCAATGTGCGAGACCTAAGAAAGCATCGGTCATGTCTACCTCCGCGTGTGGGTTGGGACGTACCGGAGGCAGGGATTGGGCCCGTGACCAGCTGTTCAAGGGTAAGCGTATGCTCGCAAGGGAGAATCTCTTCCTCCCAAGCTTTGACTTCGGATTGGCGGGCGGATGACATTGATTTCATCACTCCGTCAATGACAGACTTTGCGAGTGCACCGACGTCGGGATGAACTGGAGCGCCGTTCTGAGGATCGGTCCTCCAATTCTTCAGGGTGGTTATATGCTCGTATCTGTCTTCTTCACGATCTTCGACGATGGCAAGCTTGGTTATTTTCGTCGGTGGTTCTTGACCATCTTCCTGGAAGCTCAGCACATTAGCAAAGTCGTGGAACCGCCATCGAGCATCGAGACTGACACGCTGGACAGACGGCTTGCGCTTGCGCTTGACGTTTAAGGTATACAGATGGCCAGTCTTTTGGGCGTGCGTTCTCGCGTGGTGTCTTTCCGCACTCAGACATCCCCCGTTGAAGCAAATCAAACAGACATCGATGCCCAGTGGACTGTCCTATTACGCAAGATGTGTAAGACGCCGCACAGAACAAGAGTGCGACGCTGGAAAGAACCTGATTGTCAAAACATTGAGTGCACTCTTCGCGGTGAACTGCCTGAGAGAGCTTCGGGTGTTGGAGACGCGAAATCTCCGCAAGTTGCTCGTTCGTGGAGGTCATCGCTGGTGTAAAGATTCGACAGGCCAGTCACGAAGGAGTCGCAGCCACTCCGATCTGACGCGTGCCCATCTGCATGTCACGTGCCTCATAAATTTGTGGAGGACACTTCTGATTGGTCTTTTGTCCTCTCCCGCTTTCCACCCAAACAACTCCAGGCAATGGCTGTCGAAAATTCCCTACCCAACGGCAGTGCACAGGCACCCATAGAAGTATCCTCTTTGCCCACAGTCATCGGCATCAATTTTGGCAATTCATATGCCTCCATCGCCGTAATCACAAATGTACGCACCAGTACTCCCTTTCAGTCTTTGGACGCTGTCTCAACAGATATAATCATCCAGGAAGGTCAATCCGAGTGTATCGCTAACGAAGACGGAGAGCGTCAGATAGCATGCGTCATATCATTCCATGGCGAGGAAATGGTGAGTACATGCTTTCTTCGCTTTTCACTCCGATCTCACCGTCTTTCGTTAGTATGTCGGAAACCAAGCAAAGCAACAGCTTGTTAAGAATTCCGAAAACACGATCACTGGCTTCCGGAACCTTTTGGGAAAAAAGTTTGTCGGATCTTTCTGGATCTGTCAATGGCCATTGACCTTCTACATTCAGATTTTCGGAGCTGCCCCAGATTCAGCCCACGGTTTCCGCGACGGTCATTCAACACCCCGATCTTCCGGATGAACCTGCCTACAGAGTCAAGGTACTCCAGGCTTCCCCTTCGCCCCTTGCCTCTGCGGTGAATACCAAGATGAATACCCCCGCCGCGTCGCAGACCGCAACGCCTCGCTCCGAGCCGATTCCCACAGAGCGACTCCTCACTCCCTTTGACGCGACATCGATCTTCTTTAAATCCCTTCTGCAGTCTGCTGAGGATTTCTTAGGGAAAAAGGTTGACGGTGCCGTCATCTCAATCCCTGGTTGGTTCGGCGAGACCCAGCAGAACGCACTGCGCAAGGCTGCAGAGGCTTCGGGAATCAAAGTCTTGCAGTTGTTGGAAGACGCTGGCGCCGCCGCCGTGACTGCATCATCCGCGCCTTCAGCAGAGAGTGCGTTCCCCGACCGAACTCAACTCATTGTTGACCTCGGCGCCTCGTCTCTCTCCCTTACTGTTCTTGCCGTTCGACAAGGCCTCTTCCATTCGCTTGCCAGCTCTTATGACCACACGATTGGTGGAGACCGCATCGACGACAAGCTTGTCAAATATCTTGCCAAGGAGTTCACCAAAAAAACAAAGACGCCGTTGACGGTCTCCCCAGCCACGGACAAGGCCGATATCCGAGCTGAAGCGCGCCTGCGTCTTGCTCTTGAGCACACCAAGCGCACCATCGCTGCCTCACCTGGAGCCGCCACCTGCTCTGTCGAATCACTCAAAGACGGGCTCGATTTTAATGGCAACATCAACAGGCTGCGCTTCGACATGGAAGCGCGCTCTATCTATAATGCCGTACACACAAAAGCGCAGGATCTTCTTTTGAGCGTTGGCCTTGACTTCTTGAACGTCGACGAGGTCGTATACGTTGGCGGTTCCGCCTGCCTCCCTGGCCTTGACGAGACGCTTGCGCAGAGCTATCCGGATACGACAGTGTCCCCCTTCACCTCTGGGACTGTCACTGGCGGCGGTATCGGCGATCCGATGACCATGCTTGCACGCGGTTGTGCCTTGCAAGCGAGGTTGTTGTCCCTTGTTGGTCATTCCGGTGAAGACGAAGAGGTGCGGGCGTCCTTCGACCACACCAGCAAGTGGTCCAACGTCAGTGTCACGTCGCGGACTATCGGCATCTTGTTCCCCGAGGAGGGTGCGCCGGCCCTTGGCGGCCAATGGATTGGCCTCATCTCCCGGGAGACGGCCGTCCCCGCGCGGAGAACGTTCGCGTTTGACGTCGATTTGGGCGAAGTGGCTGGGGAGAAAAAGATTGGTTTCGAGGTGTGGGAAGTCAAGGAGGGCATCAAAACCGAAACAATCAAACCCTCGAAGGAGGATGGTGAACCGGAAGAGGATGATGAAGAGGAGGAGGAGGAGATCGAAATAAAGGAGAAGACGATCGAGAAGGATGTCTTTTTGTCTTCGCTGAGCTTTGAGGCCAAACAGGCACAACAAAGCCAAAGTCGATGGAAAACAAGAGTGGAAGTCCAGGCCTTGGTGAGTGCGGACGGCGGTGTGGAGGTCTCCGTTTGGGAGGTAGGCAAGCAAGGCAGGGGAGAAAAGGCTTCTGTCTCTTCTCCATAGTCGTAGTGCTGTTTTAATTCGTCGACCATGCGTGATCTTTCACTTTAGGCTGTGGACAATATGCTGCCACTGTTAGACGGAGGTGGGATGAGTGGCATCAAGCGTAGCTCGTCCGGTTTTTCTTTATAAGATGTCAGGCCGCTCATCCTCGCGATTCATAAAATGTCGCCAAAAAACGCTCGTTGTGGGAGACGAACCCACGGCCCCTCAGGCTTTCAGGATGGGACCATCCCTCATAAGAGATTTGCGCTCTAACAGACTGAGCTAACCAAGCTGGATTCGCAGTCATTGCTGCCAAATTCGGTATATCAAAGCACTCTCTTCTAACTGCTTGCCAACACTGCCAACATGTCTACCTTTCTGACTTACAAACATGATGCTGTCAGAACAACATGTAGTGCGGCCAGGCTGTTAGGTTTCTGCTCGACCGATGCAAGACTCCAGTTGAGTTCTTGGATACTTGACTTCCAGACATACGAACGGCATTCCCTGCGGCCACCACGGAATGTATCATAACCTATCATAACGCTCCTCCCCGCTAGTAAGTGCCTCCACATCGTGTTGTTAAGTCTTCATCGCGGCCGCCTGTCATTCATTTTTGAGAATCTCAGAACGCAGCGGCATGCCAGGACTGCACACATACTTCTGTTGATATTTCGAAGCTATTGGATCCACAGCTACGACAAAGGCCTTTAATTGCACACCTTCATACATAATACCTCTGGTCATCTCTAGTCATCAGCTTGGGATGGAGGTGTTGTCCGAGAATGTGGCTCCCTCTTCACATCGCGGAGACTCAATCCCGAAGGGGTCCAACAACTAGACCAACAAGCACCCATTCCAGCAACTTCCGAACATGCACCACTCGTCCTTTCGCTCCACAGGGGTGAAGTAGCTGATGCTCGCGATGGATCTTGGATACTTCTGCGGCGCTGGTCATTGGAGTGCCGCAGGGTGATAGTACCATACCTCCAAGTACGTCTGCTGTCACGTCGCGCCGTCGCTTCATCATGTCGTTGATCAAACCATCATATAGAGGTCGCAGCGGCGCGACCTTCCTTGGAATGACAGAGCGTCTCACATTTTTATTTCATGTCCTTTTTACGATATCGTTCCCGCTGCTGTGACCAGTAGTACGCGCGCTCAAGGCTCAGGGCATCCAATGGTGCTGCTTCGCAACAAGGTCCAATAGGAGCCAGGTTCAGCGATGTACTGCAATTTGTATTGGACAATATATATATATCTTTACTGCCCACCTGTCAGTGTGAGTAAATTCTCCTCCACACACCTCAGCCGACCGAAATGGTCTTTTTCCTTTCTCTCACGACAACTTTGATTATCATCTCACGGTTGGCTCACACATTCGCTCTGAACGAATGGACAGTTCCTTGCCTTCATGGTCAGTGTGCATACGATTTTGCGGAAGATGGGCCCTTCTTGGGATCTCTACAGCTTGTGAGTCGTATCTGTGACCTCCAATGAAGGAAAAAGGTTGACGGTTATGCGGGCAACAAGATAGGCGCTCCAGATTCTATTTCCGATTTGACTGCAGCTGGAGGATGGATGATCATCGAATGCCAATCGAATGCCATGGCACAGGACATACGTCTCGTCTGCACCGACGATGGCGAAACGCCAGGCTGCGATCACCTTCTTTCAAATGGCGCTGAAGGCAAGATTGTCCGGCTTCCCGATCATGTCGATAACCCTCTCTCTTGCCACTTGGGATGGCATGCTGATTCGTATCTATGTTAGTGTGGTCGGGTACCCTTCGCCAGGGTGGCGAAGTCGTGGATTTCATCAGACCAGTCTCTTCCACCCTCGCTGATAGATCGGCACCGAGGCTATATAAAGCGGCCCTTGGTCCGCGCCCTCTCCTTGGATACAGACCTTTCTCGCATCGATACAGAGAAGTATGCATTTTTGACGCATTCTTGAACAGTACGTGCTCATTTTAGCTTTGGCTTAGGCATGGAGATATATCCTTCTCAGTACAAGGGAAGGCCTTATCTGAGGGGGGGAATCAAGCTCGTTCCCCACTAGTCGCTGAGAAGAGATTGTTCGAAGGCCGGTCAAGCGCATTTCGGCGAGCTGTCGCTCCGTCAATCGGGCCACGTGCGATCTCACCCATTCGAAAGTACGCACAACTACACACTGATACTTTCCCGTTTCAGGATTCAGCGACGAAAATACCATCAGCTTCCCCATTGATGTCGAGCAGTCCCTTAATCTAATCGACTCTTCCATCAATTGTCCCGCAGGTGCCGCCTCACTCGTCGTCGATGTCGGCGCTGAGGCGCATATGCGTGCCGAGATAAGTTTTGACGTGACTGGCTCGTTGTCTCCGTTCAACATCACGCAGTTTGTGTTGTCCGCAGGTGCGCCCAGCTGATCTGGCTCGACTTATCCCAAGGTAAGACTTTGCATGCAGACATGAACGCCACGATAAACGGGTCTATTCATGTTCAAGCCGATATTGAAGGCAACTTTGACACCGGACGCGTCCCGATTTTCCAGCTCTCCCCATTGCTGGAAGCCAATATCACCATCCCAGGGTCAGAAAAACACAAACTCCAGGAGTTCGATGAATGCTCATCTCTGATTTGATTAGGATACTGACCATAGGGACTTCATTTGAAGTCCTGGGTGAATTCTCGGCGGACTTTGCGTCCGCGCTCGACCTAGAGGTCGGCCTCGCGTATACGGCGCAAAATGTGCACATGGTGTTCCCTCCAGACCACGGAGCCAGTACTGGGGCGTTCGGGCCGTCTGACAGCAGTACGTTTTTTTGTTCTTGAGGGTAGTCGGCGCTCACGTCTGGTCATGTACTTCTACAAGGTCTGTCAATTTCTGCTAGTTCAACCTTAGATACCAACGCCGACATGACGGCCCATATCATTCCTAGGGTAAGCACGACCTTTTGGTCCATGTTCACATCGGCAAACAATGCACGCCCATAGCTCGAGTTTGATATCGTTGCCAATGTCAAAAACACATCGGCGTCGATTTTCCTCGACTTTGACGCGTTCGCGACACTCGACCTGCAGGGAGACGTTCCACAGACGACGAGCACGATGGGCTGCGACGACACCGGTACATCAACCGCGCTGCCCGTTCAAGGCTGCGTGGACATCAGCACGGGGTTTGACGTCAACGCGGGCGCAGACGCGAACTTCTTCGGCCTGTTCGATGCGGGGACGCAATTGACCCTGTTCAACAAGACGTTTGACCTCTTCAGCGTGAGTTTCGTCCGGCATGGCGTGCAAACGACGAGCACCGATCTGACGCGTCTCTCAGCGCTGCTTCAATGCGCCCTCAAGCTCGAGCTCGCGCAAGCGCGCGCTGGATGGGAGCACGCTGGACAGGCGAGATCTGGCCTGCTTGGCACCGTATCTGCTCGAGACGACGTCGCTCGTCAAGGACGTCGTCGTCAGAGCGTCGGAGTATGCTCTCTATCCTTTTCATTTTATTTATCGCTCACGCCCCGTGCGCTCTGTAGCCAGACAGCGCGGCTTGCGCTGCCCCCGAGGCCCACTGCGCCGTTTGACGCGCGTGATGGGCTCACGTGGTGCTCGAATAGTAACTCATCGAACAGCAGCTCTTCATCACAGACATCGGGCGCTGTCGCTGCTGCAGGGGGGATGACGCTTGGGGGCGCCAGGGCCGGTCTTTTGCCGGGAGTATCGATAGCTGTAATGCTAGTGTCGGTAATAGTGATTTGATTCCATAGACTTCTCCGAAGTTGTGCTATATGTTCTCGTTGTAGGATCGCTATTTTCATGCAGAGCATCCACTGGAAGAAGTTGGGGTCGAAGCCACTAAAATTACGCGGTTTGCTGAAAAGGGTCCGTAACTGCATCCAAGTGTCTCCGCTACTGTCTGTGGCTGTTCTCACACAGGAGAGTGTCGTTTTGTGTGCAAGAGTCAAGCACTGATGTTCGACGTCGAGGCTTCTAGGGTTCGCGAAGGTCCGCTGTTGCACGCTTCGTACGCGATTATTACTGAGTACTCAAGCACCGTTTGCGTCTGTGGGTGAAAATACCGAAGCGGGGAGGCAATGGTCCCAGGTCGATAAAAATCTGACTCACCTGATGAAAAGAGAGCGAAAGTCAACCTACCGGACGAGTACTATGTATACAAGTGTGAAGATGATGGGCGGGCGGGATTAGATACAGATATCCGGAGACCACGTCGGAGGTTGAAGGAGAATCGCCTACGTTGCTGTCTTTGGGAGACTAGGATTTTCCCAACAAGGGACTTGAGTTTTTGAGTTGGGTGGTGGGAACTAATTGCATAATGTATAAGTGACGGCTCGAGCTGGCATGAAATTAATATTTCCGTCACTCCTCCGATACCTACTGCACGAAGGTCCAACCAGTCCCAGTAGCAGCTTAGACAAAAGGCGCAGGCTCGGAAAACGTGAGTTGGCATCAACCTGACCCTGTCGAAGGCAGACTTACCGCCGCGCGTCTCCAGCGAAGCCTCATGTCCTCAGTCCGACTCGCGACGACGTGCCGCACAAGCGGAACGTCCCTCGCGCTGTATCGCGCCTTGCGGAGCCGCATCGGCGGAAGCCCAGGCGCGAGGCCTGCCTCGAGTGAGTGCGACATCTGTCTCTCGCTCTCCAGTCGCCCATCCCGCACCGTCCACCACCAGCGTCTCATAGGTCCTCGCGAACACGGCTCACGGAAGAGCTCTCCGCCCCGCCCTCGGCTCGACGCTTCAAAGGGAAGAAGCTGCTGGAGGTCGCCCCGCGCGAACCGCGCCCCCAGTTCTCCCGCGACTCTGCGCCTCACGCCGGAGCTCGCGAGAACGGCAGAGACGGAGACAGAGAGAGGGACAGAGACAGAGGCGCGGCTCGCCCCGCGCGTCCACGCGCCTTTGCACAAAATTCATCCTTTCAGCGGAACCGCGCTCCGCCACCGAAAGGTAAGAACACACGGCCGGGCTGGGGTGCGCGTCCCAACTATGACAACGCCGCGCACAGACCGCGCTCGAGCGCTCCTTTCTCGAAGCCGAACGATGGGTACAGAGCGCGTTCAGGCCCTCCCTTTTCAAAATCAACCGACGATGCGTACAGAGCACGCTCCGGCCCTCCCTTTTCAAAGCCAACCGACGACGCGTACAGAGCGCGTTTGGGCCCTCCCTTTTCAAAACCAAACGACGCCACGTACAGACCGCGCTCTGCCCCCCCCTTTACAAAGCCGAACAACGCCGCGTATAGACCGCGCTCTGGTGCCCCTCCCTCCTCTTTTTCGAGACCGTCTTTTGCGCGCACGCCGGCTCAAGAGGTAGCCAGCCAGGTCGAGGCCGAGTTCGATTTCTCCACGCCCGTCGGTGCCACGCAGGCCCTCCCCACGCGGTTCGCGTCCCCGCCGCTCCTAGACGGGCTCGTGCAGTCCCTGCGCGACATCCTCGGGCCCGACGCGCGCCCAACGCCCATCCAGGCGCTCTCGCTCAAGCACCTCTTCGCCGACGTCCCCGCGGGCCAGTACAGGCAGTTCCTGCTCGCGTCGGAGACGGGCACCGGCAAGTCCCTCGCGTACATGCTGCCGATGCTGCAGGCGCTGAAGCAGTCCGAGCCGGACGAGGCCGCGCCCGCGACGACGCAGCACGCGCTAAACCCGCGCGCGCTCGTGCTCGCGCCGACGCACGAGCTCGCGCGGCAGCTGACCTCGTTCGCCAAGGCGCTGATCCACAACGTGAAGCTGCGCGTGCTGGGCGCGTCGCGCGCGAACGTGCCCAGCTCGTCGCGCGAGTACGACCGGCGCGGCACGGGGATGCGGGCGTCGAAGATGGCGGAGACGTTCCGCGGCGGCGAGGAGGACGGCGAGTTTGAGGTCAGCGCGGCGCGGCGGAGCCACCCCGTCGACGTGCTCGTCGGCACGCCGTCGAAGCTTTTGGAGCTCATCAAGGGGCGCGGGTGGGATCGTGTTGACGAACCGCTGGAGGCGTTCGAGACGGAGCCGCGAAGGGTGCGACGCCCAGGCAGGCCCGAGATCGGACTGGCCAGCGTGGAGTGGGTCGTGGTTGACGAGGCGGACATTTTGTTCGGTGAGCAGTTCCTCTCAAGCACGACGAGGCGGTCGTTTGACACGTATACATTTGCTCGCAGACGCAGACTTTATGGAAGAAACCCGTACACTGCTGTCAGATATCGCGGCGGCGAGGGGTCACCCAGTCCCCGCCGAGGCGGCCGCACCAGCGGAGACGCCGACAACGACGACGCCTGCGCCGGCGCCCGTCCCACACCAGTACCCGTTCCACCTGATCCTGACGTCGGCCACGATCCCCGTCTCTCTGGCGACGCACCTGCGCACGCACCACCCAGAGATGACGCGGCTGGCGTCGCCCCGGCTGCACAAGCTCCCTTCGAAGCTGAAGCTCGAGTTTGCGCCGTACACGTCGGGGAACCGGAATGCGGACGTGGAGAAGAAGATCCGGGAGATCTGGGCGGAGGACGCGCTGAGGGGCCAGGAGCAGTCACAGATCGTGGTGTTCGGGAACAAGCGCACGCGGGTGGAGGAGCAGGGGAAGTTTCTGACAGAGCGAGGGGTGGCGAACGTGGTGGTGACGGGGAACAGCGGGCGGTCGCATGGATCGAACCGGCACCTGGAGGGATTCCTAAAGCCGCTGGCGAGGGGAAGCGGCGCGGCGACGGCGGTGGAGGCCAGCGTGACAGAGGCGGTCGAGGAGGGTTCAAAGCAGCCAGAGGAGAGGCCGCGGATCCTGCTGAGCACGTCGCTGCTGGCGCGGGGGCTGGACTTTGCGCCGAGCGTGAGGCATGTGCTGGTGCTAGAGCCGCCGCGAAACACTGCGGACTTTTTGCACCGTGCGGGGCGGACTGCGCGTGCGGGGTTGGGGGGGCGAGTGATCGTGTTTGGGAAAATGGAGGGACGGGGGTCGGAAAAGGTGAAGGAGCTGAGACGGAATGTGGAAGCGTTGAAATTGCGGTGAGCGGGGACGTGTATGTCATGTCGGATGATGGTAGGTGTGTGCGGGGTGGAATTACTATATGCCATTTTGACGGGAGCGGGATGGGGGAGCGTTGAGATGAGCCGGGCGGCTTCGCGATCGGGGTAGGAAGAGCGTGCAGCGAGCGATAAGATGGGTGCCCTGGCGCGAAGGCTGGGGAAGGAAGCCCGGACCGAGGTGAAATTACCCCGCATGCCGTTGCCCGAGCTGCTCCGAGTGCGGGGCTGTGCGGGGGCCCCGAGCGCCGTGTCCAATCGTCGCGCCCGCCGCGTCGACATTCGTCAGCGGCGTCTGTTTGACCACGATCGCGGGCCATCGCAGAACATCCCGCGCAGCCCAGGCTCCTTCCAAGTCGCACGTCGAGAACCACCGTCCCCATGACCCGATACGGGGAGCTCCGCCAGACCCGACGTACCTTCCCACATATATAAGCCTCCCTCCCTTCCCCCACCGCCTCTCCATCCCTCGCCCTCATCCACCATGTCTACCTTCACCCACAACTTTGATACCCCCGTCTACAAGGCCAAGATCTCCTTCCCCACCGGCGTCTTCATCGACGGCAAGTTTTCTCAGGGAAGCACCGGGAAAACCCTCGAGTGCGTTCCATCCGCCTCTCCTCCTTCCCACTCCGGCTCACGCTCTAATCCTCCACAGCGTCATCAACCCCAGTCCGTCTCCAACCCCTCCTCTTCTCGCTGATAGTCTCTCATCTCCCGCACAGCCAACGGCAAGGTCATCACCTCCGTCGACGAGGCTACCGCCGCCGATGTCGACCGTGCAGTCGTCGCTGCCCACAAGGCTTTCAACACCACATGGGGTCTCCATGCGCCGGGTGCTACCCGCGCCGCCCTGCTCAACAAGCTCGGCAACCTCATGGTCGAGCACTACGACGAGCTTGCCGCCATCGAAGCTCTCGACAACGGTTCGTCCCCCCCCCCCCCCTCCCCTTTTTTTTCCCCCTCCGACGACATCTTCTCATCCGTTGCCTCCTGTCAGGCAAGACGTTTGGTTGGGCCAAGGCTGCCGATCTGAGCTTGGCCGTCGAGACCATCAAGTACTACGCCGGCTGGGCTGACAAGATCCAGGGCAACGTGATCGAGACCACCGAGGACAAGCTGGCCTACACCCGCCACGAGCCGATCGGTGTCGTGGGCCAGATCCTTCCGTGGAACTTCCCTCGTACGTCTCCCGCCGTCCCGCTGTTCCGGACGCTTCTGATGGATCCGCGCTCGTGATCTCTCGATCGCAGTGATGTTGATGTGCTGGAAACTCGGCCCCGCCCTCGCCACCGGCAACTGTGTCGTCATCAAGCCCTCCGAGTTCACCCCGCTCACCGCCCTCCGCATGGCGTCCCTTATCAACGAGGCCGGCTTCCCTCCCGGTGTCGTCAACATCCTTGTCGGCTACGGCACCACCGTCGGCGTCGCCATCTCCGCCCACATGGACATCGAGAAGATCTCTTTCACCGGCAGCACCCTCGTCGGCCGCAAGGTCATGGAGGCAGCCGCGAATAGCAACTTGAAGGACACCACCCTCGAGCTCGGGGGCAAGAGCCCCAACATCATCTTCAACGACGCCGACCTCGACCTCGCCGTCAACTGGTCCTCTCACGGCATCTTGTGAGTGTTGTTCCTCGCACGCGGCCTCGTTCTGATCTGACGCTGCGCGGTTTCCTAGCTGGAACCACGGTCAGGCTTGCTGCGCCGGTTCGCGCATCTTCGTGCAGTCGGGCATCTACGACGAGTTCCTCAAGCGGTTCACGGAAAAAGCCCAGTCGCTCAAGCTCGGCGACCCCTTCGCAGTCGACTCGTACCAGGGCCCCCAGGTCTCGCAAGGCCAATATGACGTCCGTTATCCTATCCCTTGCGTATACGATATCCGCGCTGACCCTGTCTCCAGCGCATCATGTCCTACATCGACTCTGGCAAGTCCGAGGGCGCCACGCTGCACCTTGGCGGCCAGCGCCACGGCGACGAGGGCTACTGGATCCAGCCGACGATCTTCACGAACACGAAGCCGAACATGAAGATCGTGCAGGAGGAGATCTTCGGGCCCGTCGGCGTGGTCATCAAGTTCGAGGATGAGGAAGATGTCGTGCACCAGGCGAACGACTCGATGTACGGCCTCGCCGCCGCCATCTTCACCCAGGACATCACGCGCGGGCTGCAGATGGCGCACAAGCTGAAGGCGGGCACCGCTTGGGTACGCTCTGCCGGTCTTCTCCCGGTCTTTCTTCGGTTGGCTGACGGCGGTGTGACTAGATCAACTGTGCGAACCAGCTTCACGCGGCGATTCCGTTCGGTGGGTTCAAACAGTCGGGTGTCGGACGCGAGCTCGGCGAGTATGCGCTTCTCCAGTACGCCCTTTTCTCTGTCATACTGCCCCTTTCTGGTGCTGATCCCCGGGCGCAGCTACACCTCGGTCAAGGCGGTCCACGTCAACCTCGGCCACAAGATCTAAGGCTGCGCGGCCCCTCCCATCTCGAAAATATCGGTCGGCGTCTTGCAGCTCGGTGCTCGTTCGGCGGCAGAGAAGCGTCTTTGTAACATGTTGTATCATATGCTATGCGCGGTGCTAGGTTGTACGTTATATGACGATCCATGCTGAAATTGGGAATGCACACGTTCTTTCGCTATGAAAATCTTAATTGCGGCAGTTCAGATACGCGACTGAGGCTTCGCGTCGCGAACTACCGCGGAGCTTGAAATAAGAGACCCTTTTCTTCACGGCGTCTTCCAGCGTCTTCCTTGACTCGCTTCGCGCCAATACCGAGCCTACAATTACTAGTGCTTAGTATGCCCTGCGCGCGTCCGCCCAGAAGACGTCCTCGAGCTCGGGCACGCATCACCCAGCCGAACGCGGCGCTCCTCGAGTCGCGCTTCTTCGCGCCCCCGACGCCCTCCGCGTCTCCAGCAGCCCGCGAGCCCGCGACTTCCGCCGCGCGCTGCACGCATGGGCCCGCAGCGCCGCTCGAAGACGCCGCGCACGCCGAGCTGTACGGTATGACGTCTGGGGAGGAGCATGCCACGCTGCGTGTCGCGCACGAGCGGATTATGGACGAGGAGCCGGGGTACTGCGCATTTTTTGTGGAGTGGGTCGATCGGCGGCGGCGGTTGCTCGACGCGAAGCCCGTGCTGATCCAAGGTGAGCGCACCGCGCGCGTGTCCGGTTCTCCAGCGCACAAGCTCACGGCGCGCATATGCATACACTCGCTCTCCCACTTGCACACGCGCGCGCGCGAGAAAGAGCACCTCGCGTCCGACATGTGGCGCATGCTCGTCGCCGTCACGCTGCTGAACAAGACCGCAGGCACGCACGCGCTGCCCATCTTCTGGCACCTCATGGACAAATGGCCCTCCCCCTCCGCACTCGCCCGAGGTCCGTGTCTCTTTTTGCTCCCCTCCCCACCCCAATCATACACGCTCGAAATGAAACGAAACGGATGCATTCGGCGACGGCTGATTGCTCACGCGCATTCGGGCAGCAGCTGACGTCACCGAGGTCGTCGACGCGATCAGGTCGCTGGGCCTCCAAGCGACGCGCGGCGCGCGCCTCGTCGCGATGTCCCGCGCGTACCTCTTCCGCGCGCCTCCCGCCGCCGTCGCTCCAGAGCCCGCGCGCGCGGTATGCCGGTCCAAGTACTACCCCGTCGACGCACCCGAGCGCCCCAGCGAGTCCGCGCCGGGGAAGCAGCAGCGGCGCGCGCGGCGCCCTATCACGCCCATATCGGGGCTCCCCGGCAGCGGGCAGTACGCGGAGGACTCGTACAGGATCTTCTGCGCCGGGGAGGACGAGTGGCGCCGCGTGGTGCCGAAAGACAAGGAGCTCGTCCGATTCATCGTAAGCACGCGACGTCTGGCTGCTAATTTTTTCAGACGCGCGTGAACGGGCCCGCTGACACGCTTCCTGCTGTGCACAGAAGTGGCGGTGGGCCGTCGAGGGGCAGCGGTGGTCGCCCGACGGCGACGGCCGCGCGAATGGGCCGGCGACGCAAGACTACCTGGAAGCCCTGATCCAAGAACTCGTCCTCGGCGACCCCGCGCTGCGATAGCCCCTTCCTCCCGCCCGATAACACCCGCCGCTGCTCGGCGGCTTCGAGGTGCCACCTTCGTGGAGCGTGCGGAGGGTGCGGGCTTCCAGGCGGCCCCGCGCCGCGCTCGGGCGAAAATCATGTGCGTGCCCGAGGTGCGAAGAAGCGGCGGTTCTGCCGCGTTTTCTTTTTTTTTTTTGTTGTTGGGGGGAAGATGGTGTCGAAGCTTGATGAGGTCGCGGCGCGGAGGGCGTCGATACGTACGGTGGAAAGAGGGACGGAGCGGTGTTCCGCGCGAAGGACAGAAGGCAGGCAGGCAGGCAGGCAGGCAGGCAGGCAGGCAGGATACAATGCGTGAGCGAATACGTGGAAGGCAGGTCGCTCATTCTGGACTGCCGGCGGCGCATACAATGATCCACTCGGACGCGAACACACCCGCAACGCCCAGAGCGGCCTGTTTAGCGTGAGCATCATGCGGTACGCGAACCTGCTGCGCAGGCGCGCGCCCCGGCAAGGGGGACCCCATGCACGCCCGCATTGCGAGCCAAGACAGACCAGCGGTGGCAGACGGCCGCGGGCTCGAGACTCGGCGGCATGTCCTGCGGTGCACGCGGAGGACCCGTTCGTACCGAGGCGTCCGCTCCCGCCCCAAGCACCGGGCGGCGTCTGCCATCTGCCGAGCGAACGGAGGGGGCTGTCGTTGCGCGCGCTCGGGCTTGGACGGAGGCTGTGCGCACGAATGCGTGCTTGGAGGAAGCGCGGCCGGCTGGCCGACGGTGGTTATCAGCTCGTTGGGGAGTCATCTGCGGGCGAAGATGCTTGGATTGGATTGGAGGCGATCGAGGGTGCTCACGAAGTTGTGCGTTGGTTGCCGGTGCGCGGAGAAGCGCGTGGAGCCTCCGGTGTGGCGGCTGGTCGCGCAGGGAGGCATGCCGTGTTACTCCTTTGCGTGGGGCTGGCGGCCACGAGAGAGATGGGCTTCTCTATCGCGTCAGTCGCACAGCCGTCAGTGTCTTGTGCCCTCCACTAGGATCAAGACGCGAGTTCTTAGTGAGAGAAGGGCGGTGGCACTTCGTGGCGCCGTCCTGTCTGGCTATGAGGATCTCCTTGCCAGACGCGTCTGAGCGATTGACTGCACCGCGAACGCGTTGGATTCGCATCTGCAGAAGTGGCGATGGCTAAGATGTCCACCTCAGATTCGAGGCTCTGCACCCGTCAAGTCATCGGTACATCATCCGATGATCATGCTTTTCTGTATTGGAGTCCCGAAATAGATCCAATTAATACGATAACCAAGAGCTGCGATGCAGCAAATTATGAAAAATTACAATACACAAGACACAGGTGCACCGCTAGAATAACAACGGAAAACAAGACACCAAGCGGTCCAGCACGGATATCAACAGCCGAGACGCACCACAGAGTCAGTTATCCCCAGAGAAGAGAGTGTCGCTGTCACAGTCGCTGCCCAAGAACACCCAGTCGGTCGAGAACACATTGGAGCCGCCCTCGGCGCGCAGCAGGCGTCGGACGTGCGGCGTGTCTGGTTTGAGCGAGCCCGCTCCTGGCGCGAACGTCCCGCGGAACGCGTACCCGTCGCGCGCCCAGGACGCCTGGTAGACTGGCCACGCGCGACGCTGCATGTGTCCATCGGCGGTCAGCGGAGGGCGTACGGACGAGAGTAGAGGGGTGCTCACGTCTTCAAGAGATGCGGGGGAGCCCTCGTCGGTGATAGTGACGCGGCGCCAGGTGCTGTTCCCGCCAAGTGCCCAGGCGATGTCCCCTTCCTGCGCGTGGGTACGTAGAACGGGGATGTGCGTGCATGCAAGCGATCAGGATGAGGCGGGGTGGCGGGGAGTGAACGGACGTACATGGAAGACGTATGGCCAGGGCTGCGCGGCCCACGTCGGGTGGCTGGCCTCCTCCGGGGAGGCTTCTTTGTCTTGCGAGCGCGCGAGGGTATTTGTGGGCGAGCAGGCGGTGCTTGCGGCGCTGTTGGTGGCGGTGGCAGGCCGCAGCGGTGCCCGCACACCGCTTTCAGTGCGGCGAGCGCGCGAAGAGCGCAAGACGGGAAGACGGATGGGCATTTGGATGGAGAGTGGCAGCGAGAGGCGCGGCGCGGCGATACCAGCGGGATGCCCGGGTGCGAGAAAGGGAAGATTGGAAGCCAGGGCGCTCCGTATAAGGTCGGAAGCCACTGTCGAAGGTAAAGGAGCAAGGCGATGGGGGTGGTGGAGGCATCTCAGGGATCGCGAAAGATGGCTTGCTCGTGGCGGATTGCCACAAAGCCTTGCCAACTGGCCTCGTGCTTACCAAGCGGAATAGGCCAAGCGGGCTTTGAAAGGTCACCGCGCTTTCGTCGGAGTCGTGCCGGCCGGGAGGGCCGAGCTGGCTCTATGCCCCTGGGCCACTTGACGGAGTAGCGGGATTCAAATTCCCGGTTGTGTCCGAGTCCAATTACTATCACTGGCCCTATGTTCGGACAAACTGGACGAAAAAAAATCCTGCCCTCTGTAGACTTCGCCTTGTACCCCCAAAATTTGCACAAACAATGCCTGCTAGACCTTTTCGAAGCCTGTATACTTTATTCTGGTGGAAATGGGGAAAAAAGTAGAAATTTGTGAACGAGACCGTTGTTCGGACAGTCTGGTCACACCGGGTCACGAATCCGCATTGCACAGCCGAAGCGGCCGCCTCTAATTTTAGACTCCGACACTTGCACCTGTGTTCGGACGAGGATCACAGTGCACACATGATCATGAATTCAAGGAGGGACATTATGTTTCTTCCCAGCCTTGCAAAGGCTAAGGCTGTCATTTCCTAGTTCTTTGACGGCTACTTGGGGTTGCTCTTCAGTGTGCTAGATTTGAGGTTTATGCTTGTTGCCACCCTGCAGGGTTGGTGTGGAGAACAGTTGTGAGACAAGGGTGTCACCTCGGGTAAACACAGAAGTGGGGGGAAGTTTGTGACTTAGGAGGCTGTAGGTTCAGTATAGTCTGTGGCACGGTTGAGGAGGGGAGACAGTGGGGACAATGTTCGGACACGACTTGTTGCTGGTAGAACTATGTGCGGAGAACGAATTTGCACTCCCCTTTTTCGATGCTCTGTGTCCGAATGTCACGCTTGATACCTTGTATTTTCATACGAGTGCAACAACACACCGTGCATTTTCTTCACATACCGGAACCAATATATATGGGCTACACTAGACTACATAAAAAAAATTGGATCATCAGGATCCTTCCTCGCATGCTCCGACTCATCCGAGGCGTGACATTGGGCTTGCAAAGGCACATTTTCAACATTTAGGAACGTAAATCACCTTTAAAAAATCTCAAAGTTTCAGAAACCAAGTCTACACTATTTAACACGATTTATGGTCAAAATATTGAGGTTGATATGTCGAGCAATGAGCGAGAAACATAGACTGTCCGAACATCGGTACTGTCCGAACATAGGGCCAGTGATAGTAAGACGCATCACCATTGGTCGAGATTGTAAACATCTATAAATAACAACAATCATGTTGAACAGCAACTTGCTCATGTGTGTAGCATATAGACAGTGCATCTCACACCATCACTGCAAGGGGTGGCCAACCAAGGCCAGCTATGCCTCAAGCCCATGTAAAAGACTGGGGTCATCAATTATGGTTGGTGCTCCCCAAGTATGGTACCAGGAACCAGTCCAGGTTTAAGCTTGACCCTCTCCATTAGGAAACAAATCTAGCTTGAAACTTTCAACAATCTGTTCAACAGGACCATCATCACTGAGTGATTCCCTCCCACATCCTTGTATAAACTCCAAATAAGTCATTGGTGCAAACGGACCTCATCTGTTCTTTTCCCCTCACAATCTCTACTTCAACCTACTAAGCAGGTCAACTGTATCAATTGTGCAAGTATGTCAGCAACTGTATTGTCTGTCCTTACTGTTTCCCTTGACCTTTACCCCTAAATCCTTCAAATTATTGGCACAATTATTGTACAAAGCATTTTGTATGGTCTGTCGCTGCTCTGGCTGCCAACTATGTCTAATCTGATGACAACATCATCTATTATAGGCATATTTATCATTATTATTTTATTCTCAACCTATGTTGTGTGGTAAGTGGATCTAAGTGACTTGTGTTACACTAGAATTAAAAATAAAGAAAGCTGCAAGGGACTGAAGTACAAAGTGGACATTATGATGTTATATATAATCATTATTATCTATGCAATGTCTACCATTTACTGGCTTTTTATTTTAACCATCTTAATCATATCTATACAAGCTTTGTACTATCCTGAACTGATTACACTGCAAGAAGATAAATATATTACTGGTCTGTGCATTGTTCAGATCTATCTTCCTATGCTAAATGTATGATCTGTTTTTATTCAAGTGGGAACTCAGCTTACAATCTATTTTATAGTATATTCTCAGTGACACCATTATCACTTGGAGAGCCTGGGTGCTTTGGTAGCAAAACACAAAGATCACCTTTATTCAATTTGTTTAACTTATAGGCTCATATGGTATGGCTAGAGAAGGACTAGTTAATTCAGTGCAAGGCACCCATGGTTTACTTTTCAGTTTCCACTATGCTCAGTATGGTATCAAAGGTCAAGATTTTTGAATCCTCATTTAAGGACAGTCTCCTTGTAGCTTGGTTCTTATGTCTTGCAATGAATGTGATAGCAACAGGTTTAATTGCCTGAAAAGCTTGGTACAATCAACATTTATCACATTCAGGTTTTTATTGAATTCTTCTCTGAAGGCAGCATTAGTGAATGATCATGTCTGTGGAGGTTTAAAAAAGACACTCACAGAAAAGGTCCTAAGCCTTTTGATCAAGTCTAGTACGCTATATTGTATGTTCTTGGTCAGTATAAAATTAGCATTTGTGGCAGGATCATAATTGTTGTCATTCTATGTCCACAGGTCTTCCTTATCATAACTCAATTTGCTACCATATCTGCTGCCCAGTCTGAGATTATCCAGGATGCATTGGTTCAAATTGCAGTAAAACAAGTTCATTGTCCCTTCCCTAAGTCTGTATCCTTACAACCTACCAGAGTATCTACCCTACAGTGATAATCATTTTTGTGACTCTCCAGAAAATAGCTTGGGACCATGAGCCTTTTGAGAGTCTACATCTAAAACCACTAAACCTGCTACTCACTCTGACACCTAGGCTGCTGCCCATATACTACTTGCCAATATAAAAACAACACTTGGAGTGATCATAGGGCATCATTCATATTAGATCTCACTACAAGCTTTGATGCCAATGAGCACAGACTAGAGGTTCATCCTTCTTTCACCTTCACCTATGGCTATACACTGGGCTGATGAGATGTAGATATTGGCATGTCATAGAGAAGCTATGCTGCTGGAAGGTCATATAGGGCAGCAGGAGCAGAAGAGTGGGTAGGCATATAAATCATAATATTTTATAAATGACTATGGCCAAAACTCTTTCATCATTTGCTTGTACACATTATACATCATCCCCCTACCCTTAGCTATACATCCCCAAGCATGCTATCCATAGTCAGTTCATATATAGCTATGCAGCCTCAGGCAATTGTGGAACCCAATCTTATCACTGTTACGACTGCTCGTCGGTAACCCCAAGAGTAGGAGGTTCTTCCCTAGGTCACTCGTGGAGGATGTGTGGAACGGTGGTCTCGACTGTACGTGTAGCACAGGAGCCAAGAGTGTATTGCGATATAGCAATAAAGACTGCAGTAGGAAGACTACAGTGGATGAGGGTGCTGTGGTAGGAAGACCACAACGAACGAAGAGAATAGACTGAAGAACCTCAGCCTACTCTATGGGCCTTTTATACTACTTTAGGAAGTAGGGCGTGAGAATACCATATATGTATCCGTAGGTATACTCTAAGTCGTTCTCTCTCAATAACGACTACTCTTGTGTTTCTCCGTTAGTCTCCTTCCGGCCAGGAAAGACTAGGAGCTCAATGCCCGATGTGTGAGTAGTTTGTAAGGCAGCGTTCCATGCCCGCTGCGCAATAGGCCCGTGATACTCGACCAACGATAAGGTGATCCGTTGGGAGTGGATGACCAAGGTTACTATCTGTACCTTGTTTGTACGCCTCTCCTTGTGAGGCCGCTTGATATTTGTGATGATCGTGTCGGAATAGACTGCCGTTAAGGCCCGACAGAACGTGATCATAACAATACCCCCTTTCTACGTCCTATTCGCCTGGTAGGACAGCGCTGTGCGCTTCATCGCCACTCCATATACGATTTGCTTTCTTGATCCAAAACGGTCTCCGGATGCGACTTCCGGGACATGACTTCGTTTTCTGGGAGGAAGACCGACTTACGTCGTTTGATCCTCTAGGAGTTTTCCATCTCCGTTGAGCTGTTTGTTTCTCGGCCATAACGCAGGGGTATCCAAGCCCTGGGCCACTAGGATGTTCTTCCTTCACCCGTAAGGATTAATTTTGCCGCGGTAAACTCATCGCGGTCTTACTTCCAGCCTCCTCTGGAACAGCATCAAGAAAGGCGCATGAATGCGAGTGGTGTATGGATGAGTAGAAACTCTAGCATGTGGGTTCCGATTCGTGTCATCAGGTTCTTCTTCTTCCTTCTCCGAGGGCCAAACCTCAGTGTTTCCAGGATAGTCGTTATCCTCGTGATTTGTGTTGTTCCTCTTGGCGTTCAGAGGATGTCGTCCACGGGCAAGTAGGTTGATCGCTTTACCAAGGCTTAGGCCTACTTCCCCAGACTTCATCTTGACGTCCCAAGCAGTATCGCTCCCATACGGTGAGCTCATCTCCGGTGAGGTTGCAGCCATAAATCCCAAGCAGTATTGCCCCCATACGGTGGGCTCATCTCCGGTGAGTTAGTTCGACGTCCAGAGTTTGTTTGATTCACTATGCGTATTGGGTTTGAGGCAAGGATGTGAAGAGAATTAGACTTGAAGGGTGCCGTGAGGAGTAAGGAGGAGTCTGACTCCTTCTCCGGATCGGCCCGTTCGCTTGCACAAATGGACATCAAGACCACAGCTGATATATTGGTCGGGTCGCGAGATATATCCACGACTAGCAGTTTAAACGTCTTGCCGGACGTTCCGTAGTTTATCGTCGTTGCGGACGATAGTAGTTTTACATCGTTTCGGATGTTATTAAGGCGCCCTGCGCTGCCTTGTAGTTTACTTCTAGGTCATTTGCGGACCTTCTTCATCATCAACATGGAATATCTGTGGGGAAAGATGTTTCTGCACGCCGGAATTTCCATCGGTTGTGTGCATAGGGCCCTAGACCAGACTTTATCCCGCAGGTTTCCACTGAGGCATGATGGGAATGGTTTATGCTATATCAAACCGGATAACTTATACGTCTCAATATTAGGAGACCGCTCAGTTTAATGCCGTGAGGTAGGCATCCTCGCAGTTTAACGCCATGCGATAGGCGAGCTATCGTCTGACTATGTCCCTCGAGTCACGATAGGCTTTTCCTTCCGAGGATGAAGGTAGCTTACCGTCATCTCGGACGTTATCAGCGTCGTCCTCATCAAGGACGACGTTGATGATGATCCCTATACTAAAAGGGACGAGTAGTTTAACGTCATCTCGGACGGTTGATGACCATGGTCTTGGTCAACAACCACAACTCCTATTCGGTAAGGAGCACATAGTTTAATGTCATTGCGGACCGATTGACAGCATGGCGGTCAATCCACAACTCCTATGCGGTAAGGAGCAAATAGTTTTCCGTCATTGCGGACGCATTGGTGTCCAGGGGATTGGACATCAATGACAACCCCTAAGTCCAGGGGCACTAGTTTAACGTCGTCGCGGACGTGCGGTATCTTGTCAAGATCGCCACGCACAATCCCTATACTTGAAGGGACAAGTAGTTTAACGTCGTTTCGGACGCGTGGGGATAACCTTGATTTCCACCACGCACGATCCCTATGCTTAAAGGGACAAATAGTTTATCGTCATTTCGGACTAGGAGACATCCCAATATTGAGACACATCCTAAGATCCCTAGAACGAAGGGACAGTAGTTTTACATCGTTTCGGATGCCCGTAGTTTACCGTCGTTGCGGACGTCGATGCCATTGGCCTCGAACAATCCCTATGTGGAAAGGGACAATAGTTTAACGTCATCGCGGACGTTGTTTCGCCACAAATATTGTGGAAAAACAATGCTTAGTTTAACGTCATCCCGGACATTTCGTAGTTTATCGTCGTTGCGGACGATGACCTAGTTTTACGTCGTCGCGGACGCCAGTAGTTTTACATCGTTTCGGATGAATGGCGGAATAGACTTATGAGTGGCCCGCTCTTGCCGTTCTTCCGCTATGTGGGCCAGACGAGAGTCGTATGACCTAGTCCCTTCCTACTAGATCTTTGACTCGAGGCACGTGTCCTAGTTGCCTCCTGACTAGGTCTTGGAGCGGAATTTCTTGTACTTCGACTCCAGGACTAGACTGAGCGCTCCATGAAGAGATGCTTGCTCTTCCATGTCCTCAGACCCCTTGCTTGGAATTGAACCAAGACGACCCGATATTCTTTTACCGAAAAGCGAGTGAATATCGGAAGCGCTTCGACCTCTTACAGGCAGGGTTCTGCGACGCGGATCCTCCCGAAAATCCGCGCTTCACCAGAATGCAACCACACTCCTTGGGTCAATGGTAGTTTTACGTCATCTCGGACGATGGTAGTTTTCCGTCATTTCGGACGAGGGTAGTTTTCCGTCGTTTCGGACGATGACTAGTTTAACGTCATTGCGGACCCTAGTAGTTTATAGTCATTGCGGACCAAGCCTTTGGTAGTTTTACATCGTTCCAGATGTAATTTATGGCCTCGCATCAATTAGGAAGACTTGTGAAGTAGAGGTGGCCCGCTCTCTACATCATCTCATGCGCCAGCTGTAGGATCCCCTAATGCGGAAACGATCCTGTAAAACGGGAGATCCAAAGTGGGACGTCCCAAAACACCAGTCAGACCTTGACTGTGAGGGTTCACTTAACGAGTTGTGCATCATAATTTCTTGACTCGGACTTGCAACCGGTTATGTATGGGCACTTCGCTGTACCAAGGCGAAGAGCCGGCTTGTCGACACCTACGAGTAGAGTATATGTCATGTAGAGGGTTCCCTAATGCGGAAAAAACCCTGTAAAACTGAGGATCCAAATGGGACGCTCGATGCATCTGTCAGATTAACTCCTTGACAGCGAGGATGTGAAAGGTTCCGCCGTAGGTCGTACGTGGAATTATGCCCGCTGTTGTCCTTGATTTGTACCATCATTTGAACCTAGGACTAATGGTCAGGTACTTCCCCTGCCTTCTTATCTTTTCACAGTTTTAAGACATGCAGGTCCGATAGTTTAGACGTCATTCCGGACGCGGGGTAGTTTAACGTCTCTTTCAGACGAGGTCGTACAGTTTAACGTCTTGAGGGACAATCCTAGTTTTACGTCGTTGCGGACGAACAATAGTTTAAGGTCATTTCGGACCCTAGTGGGGAAGGAGTTCCTCAACTTCCTTACCCCCTTCCTCGCCCCGCAACTGGCCCTCTTTAGTAATCATAGGGTCCTTGGTATCCGTCGCCTCCTTCGTCAGGCCGATAATAGGGATCGGCGTTGTTACGCTAGAGGTGGCTCTAAGTGCCGAGCACAACACCAAAACAACCTCTAATGCAGGGGGTGCTGGAGCTAGTATCTAATACACAAGGAATTGTTAGTGATGACTTTAGAAATCGATGGCGTACTGAGAAACAACGGGGAGTATGAGATTATAGCGCCCGAACGGTTTCGGGACTGCGCCGAACACCGACCGAACGTTCGGTCGGTCGAGTCGGGGATTCGGTCGGTAACGAGAAGGTAGTGTCGCGACCGACAACTACGTGCTTCAAGAGCCACACGGGACTCTGACAATATACGAGGGAGGATGAGGGGTACGAGCGAAGAGACGAGTACGAACGCGAATGAGGCTGAACGACGAGGATGACAAGTTTTCGGGAGTCGAGGAAGACGATTTCGATGGTTGAAACGAGTGCGAATGAGCTCTGAACTGTGGGGTGCGAAAGCTGGTTTATTCCAGAGTTGTATGTAGGTTTTTATAGTAAACAGAGCCCCTAAGTAAAATATTAAACAAGAAATGAGAGTAGATGTCGAATGGGCGCCAAGCCCCAGCGATCAGAGAAGATAAGAAGGTAGGTGAGATGTCCATATGGGTTCCGAAGGTGATAAGGTAAAAGGTAATCAGTGATGTCGAAATCCCGAACGTTCGGGATCCGTCGCCCGAGCGTAGGTAGCAGGAACAGGCGTTGGAGAGCCAATGAAAAATAAAGAAGAGGTATCGTACGACCAGGGTGGCCAAGCAATGGTGCAAGATCGCGTTTGACCGACCATGCGGAAGTCAGGAAGATAAGCGATAAGGACCGACCGACTCACGGAGGACATCGGCCGATACGGAATACTGGCTCCGATCTCGTAAACATCTATCGTAACACTCCTATGCGGTCATGGTAAGTACGTGAAGTGTGGGCGAACTGACCCAAGTGCTGCCGAATGTCCTTCGGTGGCTTGTCGTCGGTCGGGTAGGGACCGACCGTGTTCGGTAATAGTCGGCATCTTTGGTACTTGTCTAGCGCTGTTCGGTGTCTCCCCAAAGCTTCCCGAATACCTCCCTCGGACCCTAGCGTGGGTGCATGCTCATCACCGTCATCCCAGGGGCCCCCACAAGATGCATCATGGAATAAAGACCCTGATGACAGAAACCCACCGGGCTCTGATGAAGTACCAATGGGAGTTCCACCTCCTGCTACAATCGCGGCGAACGTTGGAGCTGCAGGTCCCTCGGGACTACGAGCAAGAACAGCAGCTCAACTCCCAAGCCATGGAGAAATTAACTCGATACCAGTTATACAGGGAGCTACACCTCCGCCAGTACCAACTGGTGGACAGGTTCCCCGCTCCATGGGAAGAACTACCCTTGGTACAAATCCTCACGCCGGAGAATTGGAGCGACACGCGGACGCGCTCCTCCAGCGAAGCACTATCTCCGCGGGCAACCCGGGAATGAGCATAGCGACATACCTCGACGACTGGCTAGTGCCAGTCTCCAGATCAGAGGACTCGCCCTCCAAACAGACCCCGACACCGCCTCTTGGTATGAACATAACGACGGACGACCACGAGCTCTCCTCATCCATCCCGACGAATTCTCCCAGTATGTCAACAGAGAGCTCCTTCCAGCTCTCCTCTTCACCGGAGAACTGGGCGCCGTCCAACCAAGTAGGACCGACCCTTTCCGTGTTGTCGTCTGGAATGTACCACGTCCCGGAGAACGTCCCACGGCTGTACCAAATCCAAGAAGGGCTCCGTGCACGGTCGTGGAACGCCCTCCACCGAGGCCACGGGAAAGTCGCCCAACACATAGCAATCCCACGACGTCCCCCTCTCACCGGGTACGAAATCTTCCCTTATCCCATGGGGGCACCGACGAGGAGGAACCGCCCGTCTATCGAAGAAACGAGGGAAGAAGAAGTCGAGGAACCCAGGCAACCCTCCGCCGCGGAACAACTACTGGCGGGAGTGTTCGACACCGGCCTGGAACGCCTCCTCCTAGTGCTCGATTTCGTACAGACGAGGGACAGAATAACCGAAGTAGCCGCAGAACTCGCCGCGCTGATTCGGAGGCTAGAAGAAATCGCTCTTGGACTCGATCCGAGCTCGATGCATGGGATGCTTTCGATGATCCGGGAAATTATGACGACGCTGATGAGCATGCACCCGCGCTAGGGTCCGAGGGAGGTATTCGGGAAGCTTTGGGGAGACACCGAACAGCGCTAGACAAGTACCGAAGATGCCGACTATTACCGAACACGGTCGGTCCCTACCCGACCGACGACAAGCCACCGAAGGACGTTCGGCAGCACTTGGGTCAGTTCGCCCACACTTCACGTACTTACCATGACCGCATAGGAGTGTTACGATAGATGTTTACGAGATCGGAGCCAGTATTCCGTATCGGCCGATGTCCTCCGTGAGTCGGTCGGTCCTTATCGCTTATCTTCCTGACTTCCGCATGGTCGGTCAAACGCGATCTTGCACCATTGCTTGGCCACCCTGGTCGTACGATACCTCTTCTTTATTTTTCATTGGCTCTCCAACGCCTGTTCCTGCTACCTACGCTCGGGCGACGGATCCCGAACGTTCGGGATTTCGACATCACTGATTACCTTTTACCTTATCACCTTCGGAACCCATATGGACATCTCACCTACCTTCTTATCTTCTCTGATCGCTGGGGCTTGGCGCCCATTCGACATCTACTCTCATTTCTTGTTTAATATTTTACTTAGGGGCTCTGTTTACTATAAAAACCTACATACAACTCTGGAATAAACCAGCTTTCGCACCCCACAGTTCAGAGCTCATTCGCACTCGTTTCAACCATCGAAATCGTCTTCCTCGACTCCCGAAAACTTGTCATCCTCGTCGTTCAGCCTCATTCGCGTTCGTACCCGTCTCTTCGCTCGTACCCCTCATCCTCCCTCGTATATTGTCAGAGTCCCGTGTGGCTCTTGAAGCACGTAGTTGTCGGTCGCGACACTACCTTCTCGTTACCGACCGAATCCCCGACTCGACCGACCGAACGTTCGGTCGGTGTTCGGCGCAGTCCCGAAACCGTTCGGGCGCTATAATCTCATACTCCCCGTTGTTTCTCAGTACGCCATCGATTTCTAAAGTCATCACTAACAATTCCTTGTGTATTAGATACTAGCTCCAGCACCCCCTGCATTAGAGGTTGTTTTGGTGTTGTGCTCGGCACTTAGAGCCACCTCTAGCGTAACATTTTGGAGCCCACCGCGAGGGGTTAGTATTCAAAATTACCTCAAGGAATCTACGTCGCTCGTCCCGACCAACAGCAGAGCGCGAAGAACGACAAGCAGTTATCGATAGCTTCAATACTCAGGAAACATCTGCCGACCGAAGTTTGTTCGGAGACGCCGATATAGTCCCAGAACACTTATCCCACCATCACTACCTTGATCTTGAATCCTCGCCATCGCTCTCACCACCACCCGACTCCACTTTCTTCTTAACCCCACCTTCGTCGCCGAACCGATCGCTACTCCCGCCGATTTCCCCCATCCTCGACCTTGCACTCTTAGAACAATCACCCCCGTCTCCTATCCCATCTCTCCACGACTCCATCTCTCCGTTAATCCCACGCAGCCCCGTCTTCTGGATGCCGACCATCCGACCGACTTCACTAGAACGCTCCTTCGAACCAGCGACTCCATCCCCGATCACCTTAGAAAACAATACCTTCTCCCCCACCTTTGACTTTCTCACTATGGCGACCCCATCCATGCCCGCCCGTGGAGATCGAACGGCCCCGACCTTTGACCCCCATCAACCCCGCGAATTAAGACGATATTTCTCCGATCTGGACTTCCACTTCGTTCGGTCTGCGGTAGTAGACGAACAAGAAAGAAAGAAACACGCTTGCCGATTCCTGGACGTCGACACCTGTGAGCTTTGGGAATCGCTCACCACTTTCACCGACGCCACGAAGACCTTCAAGGAGTTCTGCGAAGAGGTCTTCAGGCTATACCCCGGATCGGAGGAAGAACGCAAATGGTCGGTATCGGATATGGACAAGCTAGTCGGCGAAACGAGCAGGGTCGGCATCTTGTCTCTCAGCGAACTCGGCGACTATCATCGGCGATTCCTGGCGATCACGGTATTCCTCCTCAGCAAGGCACGGATCTCGGTCGCCGAACAAGGACGCGCCTTCGCTAGAGGATTCCAACCGGAGCTATGGGCAAGAATCTCTCAACGTCTACAACTCAAGTTCCCCGATCATTTCCCAGACGACCCATACAACCTCCAAGACATCCACGACGCGGCCCGATTCGTCTTGCACGGCACCACGTCCGCCTACAGCACGACCCCTACCGACATCTCTCGAGCAGCCCCCGCCGCGCCGCCCACCAACGCGATCAAGGCCGAAGACCTGGCGACCATGTTCGAACGGCTCACCGACACCTTTGTCAAGGCCATCACAGCTCAGGGGACGACCAGGCCAGCCGATCGACCATCCCGACAGCCAGGACAAGGCGGCGACAACTGCATGTTCTGCGGCAGTCCCGAACACTTCATGCGCGCCTGTCCCGAGGTCACCGAATACATTCGGATCGGAAAATGCAAGAGGAACATCGAGGGGAAGGTGGTATTGTCAAGTGGGGCATTCGTACCGAGAGAAATCACGGGTAGTAACCTGAAGGACCGAGTTGACGAATGGCATCGCAGGAATCCAGGCCAGTTGGCGACCAGACAGATGATGTTTACGGTAAACGCGGTGCCGACTCACCCAATGACGATAGCCTCCCATCACGATTCACCCTCATTGCTGGATGTCACCCCGACTTACCAACTCACCGACGTCCAGCGAATCGCGAGCCTCGAACGCGAACTATTCGCGCTCCGAACGCGGGGAGCAAGGGCACGCGAAATGGCGCAGACAGGACGTTCGGCACCTACCCCTTCACCGGCCCCCGAACGACGAGCGAGGACCGAAACTCCCGAACCCGAACCCCGACCGACCACCCCAACTCAGCGACCGCCCCCGGTACCAGCCAAGGACGATGCTCCGATCCACCCATACGCCAAAGCCCAGGACGCCACCTATGCACCACCACACGAACGCAACATGGGAGCCCCGGCGAAGATACCATCGGCAAAGAAGGACGCTCCGGCCTACAAGACTACAGCGCCGATCTACGACGAGAAGGTAGCAGCCGAGGTCTACAACAGGGTGATGGCCACTCAGGTGACGCTTACCCAGCGCGAACTACTCTCCCTCTCCGCCGAAGTCCGTTCGCAGGTCAGGGAAGCCACGTCGGCACGCCGATCGCCTGCCAGAGACGCCAGCAATGTTCGGACCTTCTACCAAGATGCCGATCTACCCTATGCCATCGACGATCTCGAACCACCGACTCGACCGACCGTCTCCTCCTTCGTCAATGTCCTGCACCAACCGGAAACACCCCCGCCTGGCGCGATCATCATCCCCGACATGTACGAAACGTACCTGAAGAATCTACAGCCCAGTCAGGTTCCTCAGCCATTGATAGTTGCTAAAGAATCGTCTGCCCTAAGGTCTATTGTTCCCCTCGTCGATCATCAGCAGGAAGTCGAATGCGTCATCGATCCGGGCTCACAAGTCATCGCCATGTCGGAAGGCATTTGCAATGAACTGGCGCTCATCTACGACCCCGAAATCGTCCTCAATATGCAGTCGGCGAACGGCGAAATCGACCGATCCTTGGGTCTGGCACGCAACGTTCCATTCCTCATCGGCGACATCACCCTGTACCTCCAAGTCCACATTATTCGAAACCCCGCCTACGACGTTCTCCTCGGTCGGCCCTTCGACATCCTCACCGAAAGTATCGTCAAGAATTATTCAAACGAAGACCAGACGATCACCATCAGCGACCCGAACACGGGACGACGAGCCACCATTCCGACGATCAGACGAGGACCCCCTCGAGTCCTTCACCGAAGACAAGCGGGTTTTCGCGACTCGATGAATTGATCCGAGATCAAGGAGAAGTTGCACTGATCATTTCCACCGATCATGATACCCCCAATTTCCCACTTATCGAAGCGTCCTCAGATTTCCATTCTCCATCTCCCTCTCGTCGCGATCTTTGTCTCAAGTACATTATGGCCTCCGATTTGGGGCCCGAAAATCATCTCAAAAACAATCTCGATTCCGATATGTCGTCCTTATTTTCCTCAGTCGTCCCCGGTTCTTTCCATTCCACTAATATCGCCGACCCGGTCGCCATCTTTGCCGCCAAGCGCAAGTACAAACCGGTCGCACAGAAAACACGACCAGTCTTGGCCGACCTCCCCGAAAAGTTCCGAATCGTTCGGAACATCCTTGGTGACCCTCTCGCTACCCTTCCGACGCTGACACCGAACCCCCCACCCTTCACGCCGACCGGCAGATACACAGCCGAACGGCGCGACCTCATCGACAAAGTCCACTCGGACGACTTCCTTTGGCCCGCCGAACGACAGCTCATGCACCATTTCATGTGTCTACAAGAGATGGGATTCGCCTGGGACGATTCGGAACGCGGACGTTTCCGCGAGGACTTCTTTCCTCCAGTCAATATGCCGGTGGTCGAACACAAGCCCTGGGTTCAACGCAACATTCCGATTCCACCAGGCATCTACGACGAAGTGTGCCGACTCATCAAAACCAAGATCGCTGCTGGAGTCTATGAGCCGTCGAATTCGTCCTACCGATCGCGTTGGTTTACAGTCATCAAGAAGACGAATAGCACCTCCACTGGCACCAAACTCCGAATCGTTCACAGCCTCGAACCCCTGAACGCAGTCACCATCCAGCATTCAGGTGTGCCTCCATATACCGATCAGATCGCTGAACAGTTTGCAGCTCGCGCTTGCGGCGGCATTCTGGATCTCTATGTCGGCTATGACGAACGAGGGCTCGCCGAATCATCTCGCGACTTCACCACGTTCCAGACCCCATTCGGCGCCCACCGACTCGTCACCCTGCCCATGGGATGGACAAATTCGGTCCCGATCTTCCACGACGACGTCACCCACATCCTCCAGCCATAGATCCCAGACACCACCATTCCTTTCATCGACGATGTCCCGATTCGGGGCCCACCGACCCGATACGAACTTCCGAGCGGCGGCTTCGAGACGCACCCCGATAACTCCGGCATATGACGATTTGTGTGGGAACACTTTCAAGGCCTCAATCGGGTGGTTCAGCGAATGAAGTACAGCGGAGGAACATTTTCGGGACACAAGGCGACACTCTGCGCAGCCGAAATCACGGTGGTCGGCCATCGCTGCACGTACGAAGGAAGATTACCCGACGAATCTAGGGTAGAGTCAATTATGAAGTGGGGACCTTGCAGGGATCTCTCTGACGTTCGGGCATTTTTGGGGACGATCGGTGTCGTTCGGATCTTCATTCGGAATTTTGCACACAGGGCGCATGCACTGACAATGTTAACGCGCAAAGATTTTCCATTCGTGTTCGGCCCAGACCAGATAGCGGCCCAGGACGACCTCCGGTCGGCACTTCTCGAATCGCCAGCCCTTCGGCCGATCGACTATGGGTTGGCAGCCAACGTCATCCTCGCCGTCGATACCTCTCAAATTGCGGTCGGCTTCCACCTCTGTCAATGCGCACTCGACAATCCGCGGGTTCGGTATTATGCCCGATTCGGCTCCATCACCCTTAACGACCGCGAATCGCAATTCTCCCAACCCAAGCTCAAACTCTACGGCCTCTTCCGCGCCCTCCAATCGCTCAAAATGTATCTCATCGGCGTTCGGAACCTGATAGTCGAAGTAGACGCACGCTACATCAAGGGCATGCTCACTAACCCGGATCTCAAACCCAGCGCCAGCATCAATCGGTGGATCGTCTCCATCCTCACCTTCCATTTCACACTTGTCCACGTCCCCGGCACCTCTCACGGCCCCGATGGTCTCTCCCGACGACCACCACAACCCGCCGATCGACCTGAACCCAAAGACGACTTTGACGATTGGATCAACAATCTCTACGGCTTCCTCCATCAGATCAACAACACGTTTCCCACCGCCAACTCAACCTCGACAACAGCCATCTTTACCTCCTCACTCATAGGCGACCTCCCGACCGATGCAGACTCCGACGACGAAGGCCCGACCATCGACTATTCGGATATCCCAAGATCGCAAAAAGCGTTGGAAGCCGAAGAACGCCTATGGTTGGTCCGCGACTGGCACCGAACATTGGTTCGGCCCCCTTCTCTCTCCGACTCCGAATATGCCACCTTCCTACGATATTGCACTGAGTTCTTTATCGCAGCCGACAAGCTATGGAGAAAAGACTCACACGGTCGACACAAGATTGTTGCAGCCCCCTCTAGTCGGATCACAATTCTCACTGCCGCCCACGACGACGTTGCTCACAAGGGTTTCTACGCCACGACTGCCTTGATCGCCGAACGCTTCTGGTGGCCGCACATGAGGCAAGACATTTCCTGGTTTGTTCGGACCTGTCACCTTTGCCAGATTCGCCAGACTCGCAACGTCCTCATTCCCCCGACCGTCGCTACGCCTGCACCACTCTTCGCGAAGATGTATATGGACACCATGCACATGCCGACCGCTGGTGGTTTCAAGTATCTCGTGCAAGGCCGCTGTTCGGTATCACACTACCCCGAATTCCGGATGCTGCGACGCGAAACAAGCTCAGCTCTTGCCGACTGGATCTTCGAGGATATCCTGTGCCGATGGGGAACACTGGTAGAGATCGTCTCCGACAACGGACCAGCATTCGTCAAGGCGCTCGACCAGCTAGCAAAGAAGTACCACGTTCGGCACATTCGCATTTCGGGCTACAATTCCCGTGCCAACGGCATCGCCAAACGACCTCACTTCGACGTTCGGCAGGCTCTGTTCAAGGCCGTTGATGGAGACCAGGCCAAGTGGAATCGTGCAGCTCATTTCGTATTCTGGGCTGATCGCATTACTGTTCGGCGCCGAATGGGTTGCTCGCCATACTTCGCAGCGACCGGAACCCATCCCCTCCTTCCCCTCGACATTGCCGAAGCCACATATCTTCTACCACCACCGACCACGGCCCTCAGCACCACCGACCTCATTGCTCGACATGCCATCGCTTTGCAGAAACGCCGATCGGACCTCGCCCACCTTCGCAGCTCAGTAGTCGGCGCCCGTGTCCAGGCCGCCATCCGATTCGAACAACAGCATTTGGCCACACTTCGCGACTTCAATTTCCACCGAGGCTCACTTGTCCTAATGCGCAACACGGCCATAGAAAAGGTGCTCAATCGGAAGATGCGTCCACGGTATTTAGGACCTTTGCTAGTAATTTCTAGGAATCGGGGAGGAGCGTATATTTTGGCCGAACTCGATGGATCGGTCTTTGATCGGCCAGTTGCAGCATTCCGCGTTATTCCTTATTTTGCTCGCAGGTCTCTGAAGCTCACCGACCTTGAAGCCCTCCTCGACATCTCGCAGGAACGCCTTCGGGCCATGGAAGAATCCCGATCGAGCGATGACGACGCCGAAGACGATAGTGCCGATGAAGATACCGACACCAGCTCAGTCCGATCGGCGGAGGACGACGATGCGGCTTCGGTGACCTCCGACTAGATCCCACCCTCCCACCCTTCGCTCTCTTCGGTCGGTGACTGGGGACAGTCACGATTTCAGTAGGGAGGAGGATGCACAGATATACCCATTCCTTATCTTCGTTTATTCGTCACAGACATGGACTGACGCCCAATCGTTTCCACATCTCTTAGTACTTTTACCACCGACCGATCGCCGACCGAATAGTCGGCACTCATTTTCCCCATCACTCCTTCAAGTACCAAGCCGCATTGAAGACTTCTTCCGATTTGCGCAAAACCATAGGGTTTTATGCCTGTGATGACATACTGAGGCTTCCCCTAATATTCCAATTTATTTTCTTCATTTTGCCGAATGCTTCGCTTACAAGTACATTCACACAGTCATTTCGCCGACCGATTTCCCGAACGACACCTCTAGTCTTCGCCAAACGTCTCGTTCATCTCAGGACAGTCCTTTCACTGTTATTTTACATTTTACTGTACTACCGACACCTTGAAACTACTTTACACATCGGGAACAAAGTCGCCCGACACCGACATTCCCGAATCCTCGGCATCCGACGAGTCTTCCACCAACACCACATCCGAAACCGCCGATCCACCCGAACGCGCCTCAAGAACCTCCAACTCACCCTGCCACATCGCGATCAAACGCGCCAGCGAGGCACGAGTACCTTCGGCCACAGCAATGCGGTACCGAAGCTCCGACGCGATGCCTTGCGCGACGACAGGAGACAGGCGAGAGGAGTCGGGCAGGGCGGGGACAGCAGAAGAACGGGGACGGGAAGGGGCCAGGACGGTACAGGTGGTGGTTGGGAGACGCTGGACGGGCTTCCGAACCCGAACAGCTAGACAAGACGATGAGCTCACAGCCCAGCAATGACGAATTGATTACTCACCTTTAGTCCGCGCAATACTCTCGCCGACAGATCGTTCGGGGATGAGTACCTCGACCTTACGCTTCTTAGTCGGGCGCGATGGTTCCGGCTCCCCCGACTTTTCGGCCGCCTTCGCTTTCGACTTCCCTTTCCCCTTTGACTTCCCTTTGTCCTTCGGCATCCACCCGGGCTGGAAGCTACAGCCTTTCTGCTCCTTGGAGCACTTCGTACAAGAAACTCGGCCGGCCCTCGTGTAGCACCGAAAAGCTACAGTGGTAAACTCGGTGGCGCACCGATGGCACGCGTATTTGGCCTAGAAGAAAGAAGGGTCAGCAAGCAACAAAAGGCGGCAAGAGGGAGGGGACTTACGAGGACGTCATCCGGCAACAAGCCCGGGGGATCCTGCAGCAACTTACCAGCTCCGTTCCGCTCCACAGGAGGCCGAACAGACGACATTCGGCCTGTGCCAGGACCCAGAGGAAGCACGACACGTCCAGCGGTCGGCGTCAGTTGACGCGCGAACTCGATGACAACGGCAGCAGCCGATTGCTTGCCCTTCGCGTCAGTCGGGGCAGCGGCGGCGACCAGGCCCACGCTCATTCGGTCCAGGGCATCGGTTGCGGACGCAAGCTCCGAATCATCGGCGGACGGGTCGGGATGAGAAGAGTCGGCGGACGGATTGGGATGAGAGGAGGACGCGGCGGTAGAAGGAGAAGGGGAGTGAAAGAAGAGAGGAATGGGAAAGACGGACTCTGACTCCAGCTCGGCCAGCTGACGATCACCCTGTTCAGGATCGAGCGACCCGTTGAACATGGCCTCCACCAAGGCCTCCCGACGCCGCTGACGATCTTCTTCGGCCAACTGACGGGCAGCGGCAGCCCGCATCGCCTCGGCTTCCTCAGCCTCACGTTCGGCGACAGCGACCCGCGCAGCCTCCTCTGCCAGGGCCTGTTCTTCGGCCGCTTGTTGCTGTTTCTGCGCTGCAAAGCGCGCCGCACGCTGCGGCAAGATGCGCGAACCCCAGGCAAGCCAGTCGTCGGTGGCAACATGATCGAGGCCACTCTCAGCCTCGGCGACCCAGGCCGCGAGTTCGGGCACGTCCTGCCCACGCGCCGAACGATCGAAAACAGCCTGCAAGGACGTCAGCAGCCAGCAGAAGGCAAAGGGACGGACCGACTTACCACTCATTTGGCGAACCCCTGCGCCCAGGCCTCGTAATCTTCGTACTCGGCGGCGCCGTCGGGAAGAGCGAGCATGTACTCCCCGAGCTTGGTTTTGAGGACAGAGAGGATGGAGGACATGTTGGAAGGCCGAAAGGATCGGACGAGGAGACGAAGCGGCAGGAGGATGGCGATGAAGGACTTAGTCGCTGGAGAATCAACGATCGGCAGGGGATCGTGGTCACCTGACAAAGCCCCGTGCCACTGCGCTCGGCAGAGGCCGCGATACGCGCCACCGCTTTTTGCCGACACAACTCTCATGCCAGCGTCTAGCTTGGGCGCTAGGACTCAGCCACCCCTTCACCTAATCAGTTGCCACGCCACAGGAGTTTGCCGGCTCCGCTTCGGTCTCTCTCGCACATTGACCCAGGTCTTTCCACGCCATCGCTCTTTGCCGATTCACCGCCTTTTGCCGCACCACTCCCATGCCTCAGCCACATACTCACCTAATCCGATCCCACTCAAGTTTTTTCCACGCCTCCACCCCAGTCTCCACGCCACGGGACTTTGCCGACTCCGCTTCAATCACTGTTGCGCACGCCACAGCTAGTCTTCCCACGCCACCGCTCATTACCGATCATTTTCCCACGTAACTTGCCACATTGCCACTTATTTTCCACGCCACTTTTCCCACGCCACTTTTTCCGCTCCAACTCATAGCCACCGACCACTGACTGAGGACAGTCAGGATTTCAGTAGGGAGGAGATGATGAGCATGCACCCGCGCTAGGGTCCGAGGGAGGTATTCGGGAAGCTTTGGGGAGACACCGAACAGCGCTAGACAAGTACCGAAGATGCCGACTATTACCGAACACGGTCGGTCCCTACCCGACCGACGACAAGCCACCGAAGGACGTTCGGCAGCACTTGGGTCAGTTCGCCCACACTTCACGTACTTACCATGACCGCATAGGAGTGTTACGATAGATGTTTACGAGATCGGTGATACGCTAGAGGTGGCTCTAAGTGCCGAGCACAACACTAAAACAACCTCTAATGCAGGGGGTGCTGGAGCTAGTTTCTGTTACACAAGGAATCGTTAGTGATGACTTTAGAAATCGACGGCGCACTTGAGAAGCAGCGAGGAGTGGAGATTATAGCGCCCGAACGGTTTCGGGACTGCACCGAACACCGACCGAACGTTCGGTCGGTCGTGTCGGCGATTCGGTCGGTAACGAGGAGGTAGTGTCGCGACCGACAACTACGTGCTTCAAGAGCCACACGGGACTCTGACAATATACGAGGAAGGACGAGGGGTACGAGCAAAGAGACGAGTACGAACGCGAACAAGGCCGAACGACGAAGATGACAAGTTTTCGGGAGTCGATGAAGACGATTTCGATGGTTGAGACGAGTGCGAATGAGCTCTGAACTGTGGGGTGCGAAAGCTGCTTTATTCCAGAGTTGTATGTAGGTTTTTATAGTAAACAGCGCCCCTAAGTAAAATATCGAACCTGAAATGAGAGTAGATGTCGAATGGGCGCCAAGCCTTAGCGATCAGAGAAGATAAGGAGGTAGGTGAGATGTCCATATGGGTTCCGAAGGTGATAAGGTAAAAGGTAATCAGTGATGTCGAAATCCCGAACGTTCGGGATCCATCGCCCGAGTGTAGGTAGCAGGAACAGGCGTTGGAGAACCAATGAAAAATAAAGAAGAGGTATCGTACGACCAGGGTGGCCAAGCAATGGTGTAAGATCGTGTTTGACCGACCATGCGGAAGTCGGGACGATAAGCGATAAGGACCGACCGACTCACGGAGGACATCGGCCGATACGGAATACTGGCTCCGATCTCGTACACACCTATCGTAACCCTCCTGTGCGGTCATGGTAAGTACGTGAAGTGTGGGCGAACTGACCCAAGTGCTGCCGAATCGTCCTTCGGTGGCTTGTCGTCGGTCGGGTAGGGACCGACCGTGTTCGGTAAAAGTCGGCGACTTCGGTACTTGTCTAGCACTGTTCGGTATTTCCCCAAAGCTTCCCGAATCCCTCCCTCGGACCCTAGCGCGGGTGCATGCTCATCATCTCCTCCCTACTGAAATCCTGACTGTCCCCAGTCAGTGGTCGGCGGCTATGAGTCGGAGCGGGAAAAAAATTGGCGTGGAAAATGTGGTGGCGTGGCAAGTTACGTGGGAAAAGGATCGGCAATGAGCGGTGGCGTGTATCGCGGCTTCTGCCGAACGCAGCGGCACGGGGCTTTGTCAGGTGACCACAATCCTGATGATCGTTGATTCTCCAGCGACTAAGTCCCTCATCGCCTTCCTTCCTGCCTCTTCGTCTCTCATGTCGTCCCTTATCTCTGTCCTGAAGGCGAAACTCGCCGACTACATGCTCTCCCTCCCGGACGGCGCTGCCGAGTATGAGGATTACGAGGTCTGGGGGCAAGGGTTCGCCAAACGGGTGGTGAGTCAGTCCTTCCTCTCGTTTTCTGCTGGCTGCTGACGCCCGACAGGCTGTTTTCGACCGTTCGGCGCGTGGGCAAGACGTGCCCGAACTTGCCGACTTTATCGCTGAGGCCGAACGTGGTCTCGATTCGATGGCTACTGACGACTGGCTGGTATGGGGAGCGCGAATCCTGCCGCAGCGGGCGGCGCGCGTCGCGTTGCAGCAACAACAGGCGGCCGAGGAACAGGCACTAGTGGAGGAGAGGGAGCGTGTTGCCGTCGCCGAACAGGAGGCTGCCGAAGCTGAGGCGACGCGGGCTGCTGCGGCTCGGAAGTCGGCTGAAGTAGATCGTGAACGGCGCCGGGGGGTGCTGGTGGACGCGATGTTTGATGGCTCGCTCGATCCTGAAGAGGGTGAGCGTCAATTGGCTGAGCTCGAGGCCGAGTCCGTCTTCCCTCTCCCTCTCTTCCTTCTTTCTCCTTCTCCCTCCGCCGCCGCTTCCTCTTCTCATCCTGTCCCGTCCGCCGACTTATCCCATCCCGACCCGTCCGCCGACTCGTCCTATCCCGACCCGTCCGCCGACTCGTCCTATCCCGACCCGTCCGCCGACTCTGCGCTTGCATCCGCAACCGATGCCCTGGACCGAATGAGCGTGGGTCTGGTCGCCGCCGCTGCCCCGACCGACGTGAAGGGCAAACAGTCGGCTGCGGCTGTTGTCGTCGAGTTTGCTCACCAACGGACGCCACCTCTTGGACGCGTTGTCCTTCCTCTCGGCCCTGGGACGGGCCGAATGTCGACCGTTAGGTCCCCTGTGGAGCGGAATGGTGCCGGTAAAATGCTCGAAGATCCGCCAGAGTTGTTACCCGGTGATGTACTGGTGAGTTCCCTCCCTCTTGCCGCCGTTTCCTCTTGCTAACCGTCCTTCTTCTAGGCCGACTACGCTTGTCACCGCTGTACAACCGCCTTTCTGACCAAGGCGTTCCGTTGCTACCAGAGACCTGGGCTGGTTTCGTGCACTAAGTGTGCCAGGGAGTCGAAGGGGTGTAGTTTCCAGCCCGGGTGGATGCCGATGGAGAAGGCGAAGGGGAAGTCGAAGTCGAAGGGGAAGGGGAAGTCGAAGGAGCAGTCGGCGCCCAAGGCGGAGGAAAGGGAACGTCCCTTAAAGCGTCGTAAGGTAGAGGTGGTTGTCCCCGTGCGGTCAGTCGGGGATAGCATCGCCCAAACGAAAGGTAAGTCATTTTTCGGTTGGATTGGAGATGGGAGCTCATCGTTCGGTATTGTTCGGTGCAGCCGTTCGCACCCGAAAGCCGGTCCAGCGGCTTCCTACCACGGCTAGGGCCGTCCTCGCTCCTACCCGCCCTTCCCGTGCTCGTTCGGCTGCCTTCCCCGCTCCTTCCGACTCTTCTCGCCTCTCGCCCATCGTCGCCCAAGGCATCGCGTCTGAGCTTCGGTACCGCATCGCGGTGGCTGAGGGTACGCGTGCTTCGCTGGCGCGATCGGTCGCGATGTGGCAGGCTGAGCTAGAGTCGCTCGAGGTGCGGGCGGGTCCATCCACGTCCACCGACGTTGTCTTGGTCGAGGACTCGTCGGAGGCAGACGATTCGGGAAGGTCGGTGTCGGACGACTTTCTTCCCGATGAGTAGAATAGCTTCGAGGGTTCTGTCGTATAGTAAAAATGTATCATAAAAGTGAAGGGACTGTCCTGAGTTAACTGAGACGTTCGGTGAAGACTAGAGGCATTGTTTCGGAAAATCGGTCGGCGAAATGGCTGTGTGAATGTAGTTGTAAGCGAAGCGTTCGGCAGAAATGAAGAGAATAAATTGGAATATTAGGGGAAGCCTCAGTATGTCATCACAGGCATAAAACCCTATGGTTTTGCGCAAATCGGAAGAAGTCTTCAATGCGGCTTGGTACTTGAAGGAGTGACGGGGAAAATGAGTGCCGACTATTCGGTCGGCGATTGGTCGGCGGCAAAAATACTAAGAGATGCGGAAATAATCGGGTGTCAGTCCATGTCTGTGACGAATGAATCGGAATAAGGAATGGGTATATCTGTGCATCCTCCTCCCTACTGAAATCGTGACTGTCCCCAGTCACCGACCGAAGAGAGCGAAGGGTGGGAGGGTGGGTCTAGTCGGAAGTCGCCGAAGCCACATCGTCGTCTTCTGCTGATCGGATGGAGCTGGTGTCGGTATCCTCTTCGTCGGCATCGTCGTCTTCAGCGTCGTCGTCGTTCGATCTGGATTCTTCCATGGCCCGAAGGCGTGCTTGTGAGATGTCGAGGAGGGCTTCAAGGTCGGAGAGCTTCAGAGATCTGCGAGCAAAGTAAGGAATAATGCGGAATGCTGCCACTGGCCGATCAAAGACCGATCCGTCAAGTTCGGCCAGAATATACGCTCCTCCTTGGTTCCTAGAAATCACCAGCAAAGGTCCCAAGTACCGTGGTCGCATCTTCCGATTGAGCGCCTTTTCTATGGCTGTGTTGCGCATCAGGACAAGCGAGCCTCGGTGGAAATTGAAGTCGCGAAGGGTGGCTGAATGCTGCTGTTCAAATCGGATGGCGGCCTGGACTCGGGCGCCGACTACCGAGCTGCGAAGGTGGGCGAGGTCCGATCGGCGTTTCTGCAGGGCTATGGCCCGTCGGGCGATGAGGTCGGTGGTGCTGAGGGTTGTGGTCGGTGGTGGCAGGAGGTAGGTGGCTTCGGCGATGTCGAGGGGGAGAAGGGGATGGGTTCCGGTCGCTGCGAAGTATGGCGAGCAACCCATTCGGCGCCGAACAGTAATACAATCAGCCCAGAATACGAAATGAGCTGCACGATTCCACTTGGCCTGATCTCCATCAACGGCTTTGAACAGAGCCTGCCGAACATCGAAGTGAGGTCGTTCGGCGATGCCGTTGGCGCGGGAATTGTAGCCCGAAATACGAATGTGCCGAACGTGGTACTTTTTCGCTAACTGGTCGAGCGCCTTGACGAACGCTGGTCCGTTGTCGGAGACGATCTCTACCAATGTTCCCCATCGGCACAGGATATCCTCGAAGATCCAGTCGGCGAGGGCTGAGCTTGTCTCGCGTCGCAGCATTCGGAATTCGGGGTAGTGTGATACCGAACAGCGGCCTTGAACGAGATACTTGAAACCGCCGGCGGTCGGCATGTGCATGGTATCCATATACATCTTCGCGAAGAGTGGTGCAGGCGTGGCGACGGTCGGGGGAATGAGGACGTTGCGAGTCTGGCGAATCTGGCAAAGGTGACATGTCCGAACAAACCACGAAATATCTTGCCTCATGTGCAGCCACCAGAAGCGTTCGGCGATCAAGGCGGTCGTGGCGTAGAATCCCTTGTGAGCAACGTCGTCGTGGGCGGCGGTGAGAATTGTGATCCGACTAGAAGGGGCTGCAACAATCTTGTGTCGACCGTGCGAGTCTTTTCTCCATAGCTTGTCGGCTGCGATAAAGAACTCAGTGCAATATCGTAGGAAGGTAGCATATTCGGAGTCGGAGAGAGAGGGGGGCCGAACCAATGTTCGGTGCCAGTCGCGGACCAACCATAGGCGTTCTTCGGCTTCCAACGCTTTTTGCGATCTTGGGATATCCGAATAGTCGATGGTCGGGCCTTCGTCGTCGGAGTCGGTATCGGTCGGGGGGTCACCTATGAGTGAGGAGGTGAAGATGGCGGTGGTCGAAGTTGAGATGGAGGTGGGGAACGTGTTGTTGATCTGATGGAGGAAGCCGTAGAGATTGTCGATCCAGTCGTCAAAGTTGTCTTCGGGTTCGGGTCGATCGGCGGGTTGCGGTGGTCGTCGGGAGAGACCATCGGGGCCGTGAGAGGTGCCGGGGACGTGGACAAGTGTGAAATGGAAGGTGAGGATGGAGACGATCCACCGATTGATGCTGGCGCTGGGTTCGAGATCCGGGTTAGTGAGCATGCCCTTGATGTAGCGTGCGTCTACTTCGACTATCAGATTCCGAACGCCGATGAGATACATTTTGAGCGATCGGAGGGCGCGAAAGAGACCGTAGAGCTCGAGCTTCGGCTGGGAGAATCGCGATTCGCGGTCGTTAAGGGTGATGGAGCCGAATCGAGCATAGTACCGAACCCGCGGACTGTCGAGTGCGCATTGACAGAGGTGGAAGCCGACCGCGATTTGTGAGGTATCGACGGCGAGGATGACGTTGGCTGCCGACCCATAGTTGATCGGCCGGAGGGCTGGCGATTCGAGCAGTGCCGACCGGAGGTCGTCTTGGGCTGCTATCTGGTCTGGACCGAACACGAATGGAAAATCTTTGCGCGTTAACATAGTCAGTGCATGCGCCCTGTGTGCAAAATTCCGAATGAAGATCCGAACGACACCGATCGTCCCCAAAAATGCCCGAACGTCCGAGAGATCCCTGCAAGGTCCCCACTTCATAATTGACTCTACCCTAGACTCGTCGGGTAATCTTCCTTCGTACGTGCACCGATGGCCGACTACCGTGATTTCGGCTGCGCAGAGTGTCGCCTTGTGTCCCGAAAAGGTCCCTCCGCTGTACTTCATCCGCTGGACCACCCGATTGAGGCCTTGAAAGTGCTCCCACACAAACCGTCGTATGCCGGGGTTGTCGGGATGCGTCTCGAAGCCTCCGTTCGGAAGTTCGTATCGGGTCGGTGGGCCCCGAATCGGGACATCGTCGATGAAAGGAATGGTGGTGTCTGGGATCTCTGGCTGGAGGATGTGGGTGACGTCGTCGTGGAAGATCGGGACCGAATTCGTCCATCCCATGGGTAGGGTGACGAGTCGGTGGGCACCGAACGGGGTCTGGAATGTGGTGAAGTCGCGAGATGATTCGGCGAGCCCTCGTTCGTCGTATCCAACATAGAGATCCAGAATGCCGCCGCAAGCGCGAGCTGCAAACTGTTCAGCGATCTGATCGGTATATGGGGGCACACCTGAATGCTGGATGGTGACGGCGTTCAGGGGTTCGAGGCTGTGAACGATTCGGAGTTTGGTGCCAGTGGAGGTGCTATTCGTCTTCTTGACGACTGTAAACCAGCGCGATCGGTAGGACGAATTCGACGGCTCATAGACTCCAGCGGCGATCTTGGTTTTGATAAGTCGGCACACTTCGTCGTAGATGCCTGGTGGAATCGGAATGTTGCGCTGAACCCAGGGCTTGTGCTCGACTACCGGCATATTGACTGGTGGGAAGAAGTCCTCGCGGAAACGTCCGCGTTCCGAATCGTCCCAGGCAAATCCCATCTCTTGTAGACACATGAAATGGTGCATGAGCTGTCATTCGGCGGGCCAAAGGAAGTCGTCCGAGTGGACTTTGTCGATGAGGTCGCGCCGTTCGGCTGTGTATCTGCCGGTCGGCGTGAAGGGTGGGGGGTTCGGTGTCAGCGTCGGAAGGGTAGCGAGAGGGTCACCAAGGATGTTCCGAACGATTCGGAACTTTTCGGGGAGGTCGGCCAAGACTGGTCGTGTTTTCTGTGCAACCGGTTTGTACTTGCGCTTGGCGGCGAAGATGGCGACCGGGTCGGCGATATTAGTGGAATGGAAAGAACCGGGGACGACTGAGGAAAATAAGGACGACATATCGAAATTGAGATTGTTTTTGAGATGATTTTCGGGCCCCAAATCGGAGGCCATAATGTACTTGAGACAAAGATCGCGACGAGAGGGAGATGGAGAATGGAAATCTGAGGACGCTTCAATAAGTGGGAAATTGGGGGTATCATGATCGGTGGAAATGATCAGTGCAACTTCTCCTTGATCTCGGATCAATTCATCGAGTCGCGAAAACCCGCTTGTCTTCGGTGAAGGACTCGAGGGGGTCCTCGTCTAATCATCGGAATGGTGGCTCGTCGTCCCGTGTTCGGGTCATTGATGGTGATCGTCTGGTCTTCATTTGAATAATTCTTGACGATACTTTCGGTGAGGATGTCGAAGGGCCGACCGAGGAGAACGTCGTAGGCTGGGTTACGAATGATGTGGACTTGGAGGTACAAGGTGATATCGCCGATGAGGAATGGGATGTTGCGTGCGAGGCCCAAGGATCGGTCGATTTCGCCATTCGCCGACTGCATATTGAGGACGATTTCAGGGTCGTAGATGAGTGCCAGTTCATTGCAAATGCCTTCCGACATGGCGATGACTTGTGAACCCGGATCGATGACGCATTCGACTTCCTGTTGGTGATCGACGAGGGGAACAATGGACCTTAGGGCTGAAGATTCTTTAGCGACTATCAACGGCTGAGGAACCTGACCGGGCTGTAGACTCTTCAGATATGTTTCGTACGTGTCGGGGATGATGATCGCGCCAGGTGGAGGTGTTTCCGGCTGGTGCAGGACATTGACGAAGGAGGAGACGGTCGGTCGAGTCGGTGGTTCGAGATCGTCGATGGCGTAGGGTAGATCGGCATCTTGGTAGAAGGTCCGAACATTGCTGGCGTCTTTGGTAGGTGATCGGCGTGCCGACGTGGCTTCCCTGACCTGCGAACGGACTTCGGCGGAGAGGGAGAGTAGTTCGCGCTGGGTAAGCGTCACCTGAGTGGCCATCGCCCTGTTTTAGACCTCGGCTGCTACCTTCTCGTCGTAGATCGGCGCCGTGGTTTTGTAGGCCGGAGCGTCCTTCTTTGCCGATGGTATCTTTGCCGGGGCCCCTATGTTGCGTTCGTGCGGTGGTGCATAGGTGGCGTCCTGGGCTTTGGCGTATGGGTGGATCGGAGCATCGTCCTTGGCTGGTACCGGGGGCGGTCGCTGAGTCGGGGTGGTTGGTCGGGGTTCGGGTTCGGGAGTTTCGGTCCTCGCTCGTCGTTCGGGAGCCGGTGAAGGGGTAGGTGCCGAACGTCCCGTCTGCGCCATTTCTCGTGCCCTTGCGCCCCGTGTTCGGAGCGCGAATAGTTCGCGTTCGAGGCTCGCAATTCGCTGGACGTCGGTGAGTTGGTAAGTTGGGGTGACATCCAGCAATGAGGGTGAATCGTGACGGGAGGCTATCGTCATCGGGTGAGTCGGCGCCGCATTTACCGTAAACATCATCTGTCCGGTCGCCAACTGGCCTGGATTCCTGCGATGCCATTCGTCAACTCGGTCCTTCAGATTACTACCCGTGATTTCTCTGGGTACGAATGCCCCACTTGACAATACAACCTTCCCCTCGATATTCCTCTTGCATTTGCCGATCCGAATGTATTCATTGACCTCGGGACAGGCGCGCATGAAGTGTTCGGGACTGCCGCAGAACATGCAGTTATCGCCGCCTTGTCCTGGTTGTCGGGATGGTCGATCGGCTGGCCTGGACGTCCCCTGAGCTGCAATGGCTTTGACGAAGGTGTCGGTGAGCCGTTCGAACATGGTCGCCAGGTCTTCGGCCTTGATCGTGTTGGTGGGCGGCGCAGCGGGGGCTGCTCGAGAGATGTCGGTGGACGTAGTGCTGTAGGCGGATGTGGTGCTGTGCAAGACGAATCGGGCCGCGTCGTGGATGTCCTGGAGGTTGTATGGGTCGTCTGGGAAATGATCGGGGAACTTGAGTTGTAGACGTTGAGAGATTCTTGCCCATAGCTCTGGTTGGAATCCTCTAGCGAAGGCGCGTCCCTGTTCGGCGACCGAGATTCGTGCCTTGCTGAGGAGGAATACCGTGATCGCCAGGAATCGCCGATGATAGTCGCCGAGTTCGCTGAGAGACAAGATGCCGACCCTGCTCGTTTCGCCGACTAGCTTGTCCATATCTGATACCGACCATTTGCGCTCTTCCTCCGATCCGGGGTATAGTCTGTAGACCTCTTCGCAGAACTCCTTGAATGTCTTCGTGGCGTCGGTGAAAGTGGTGAGCGATTCCCAAAGCTCACAGGTGTCGACGTCCAGGAATCGGCAAGCGTGTTTCTTCCTTTCCTGCTCGTCTTCTACCGCAGACCGAACGAAGTGGAAGTCCAGATCGGCGAAATATCGTCTCAATTCGCGGGGTTGATGGGGGTCAAAGGTCGGAGCCGTTCGATCTCCACGAGCGGGCATGGATGGGGTTGCCATAGTGAGAAAGTCAAAGGTGGGGGAGAAGGTATTGTTTGCTAAGGTGATCGGGGATGGAGTCGCTGGTTCGAAGGAGCGTTCTAGCGAAGTCGGTCGGATGGTCGGCGTCCAGAAGACGGGGCTGCGTGGGATTAACGGAGAGATGGAGTCGTGGAGAGATGGGATAGGAGACGGGGGTGATTGTTCTAAGAGTGCAAGGTCGAGGATGGGGGAAATCGGCGGGAGTAGCGATCGGTTCGGCGACGAAGGTGGGGTTAAGAAGAAAGTGGAGTCGGGTGGCGGCGAGAGCGATGGCGAGGATTCAAGATCAAGATAGTGATGGTGGGATAGATGCTCCGGGACTATATCGGCGTCTCCGAACAAACTTCGGTCGGCAGATGTTTCCTGAGTATTGAAGCTGTCGATAACTGTTTGTCGTTCTTCGCGCTCCGCTGTTGGTCGGGACGAGCGACGTAGATTCCTTGAGGTAATTTTGAATACTAACCCCTCGCGGTGGGCTCCAAAATGATACGCTAGAGGTGGCTCTAAGTGCCGAGCACAACACTAAAACAACCTCTAATGCAGGGGGTGCTGGAGCTAGTTTCTGTTACACAAGGAATCGTTAGTGATGACTTTAGAAATCGACGGCGCACTTGAGAAGCAGCGAGGAGTGGAGATTATAGCGCCCGAACGGTTTCGGGACTGCACCGAACACCGACCGAACGTTCGGTCGGTCGTGTCGGCGATTCGGTCGGTAACGAGGAGGTAGTGTCGCGACCGACAACTACGTGCTTCAAGAGCCACACGGGACTCTGACAATATACGAGGAAGGACGAGGGGTACGAGCGAAGAGACGAGTACGAACGCGAACAAGGCCGAACGACGAAGATGACAAGTTTTCGGGAGTCGATGAAGACGATTTCGATGGTTGAGACGAGTGCGAATGAGCTCTGAACTGTGGGGTGCGAAAGCTGCTTTATTCCAGAGTTGTATGTAGGTTTTTATAGTAAACAGCGCCCCTAAGTAAAATATCGAACCTGAAATGAGAGTAGATGTCGAATGGGCGCCAAGCCTTAGCGATCAGAGAAGATAAGGAGGTAGGTGAGATGTCCATATGGGTTCCGAAGGTGATAAGGTAAAAGGTAATCAGTGATGTCGAAATCCCGAACGTTCGGGATCCGTCGCCCGAGTGTAGGTAGCAGGAACAGGCGTTGGAGAACCAATGAAAAATAAAGAAGAGGTATCGTACGACCAGGGTGGCCAAGCAATGGTGTAAGATCGTGTTTGACCGACCATGCGGAAGTCGGGACGATAAGCGATAAGGACCGACCGACTCACGGAGGACATCGGCCGATACGGAATACTGGCTCCGATCTCGTACACACCTATCGTAACCCTCCTGTGCGGTCATGGTAAGTACGTGAAGTGTGGGCGAACTGACCCAAGTGCTGCCGAATCGTCCTTCGGTGGCTTGTCGTCGGTCGGGTAGGGACCGACCGTGTTCGGTAAAAGTCGGCGACTTCGGTACTTGTCTAGCACTGTTCGGTATTTCCCCAAAGCTTCCCGAATCCCTCCCTCGGACCCTAGCGCGGGTGCATGCTCATCATCGGAGCCAGTATTCCGTATCGGCCGATGTCCTCCGTGAGTCGGTCGGTCCTTATCGCTTATCTTCCTGACTTCCGCATGGTCGGTCAAACACGATCTTGCACCATTGCTTGGCCACCCTGGTCGTACGATACCTCTTCTTTATTTTTCATTGGCTCTCCAACGCCTGTTCCTGCTACCTACGCTCGGGCGACGGATCCCGAACGTTCGGGATTTCGACATCACTGATTACCTTTTACCTTATCACCTTCGGAACCCATATGGACATCTCACCTACCTTCTTATCTTCTCTGATCGCTGGGGCTTGGCGCCCATTCGACATCTACTCTCATTTCTTGTTTAATATTTTACTTAGGGGCTCTGTTTACTATAAAAACCTACATACAACTCTGGAATAAACCAGCTTTCGCACCCCACAGTTCAGAGCTCATTCGCACTCGTTTCAACCATCGAAATCGTCTTCCTCGACTCCCGAAAACTTGTCATCCTCGTCGTTCAGCCTCATTCGCGTTCGTACTCGTCTCTTCGCTCGTACCCCTCATCCTCCCTCGTATATTGTCAGAGTCCCGTGTGGCTCTTGAAGCACGTAGTTGTCGGTCGCGACACTACCTTCTCGTTACCGACCGAATCCCCGACTCGACCGACCGAACGTTCGGTCGGTGTTCGGCGCAGTCCCGAAACCGTTCGGGCGCTATAATCTCATACTCCCCGTTGTTTCTCAGTACGCCATCGATTTCTAAAGTCATCACTAACAATTCCTTGTGTATTAGATACTAGCTCCAGCACCCCCTGCATTAGAGGTTGTTTTGGTGTTGTGCTCGGCACTTAGAGCCACCTCTAGCGTAACAACGGTCGGCGAGTTCTTTCCCTTTCTTTGAACTTGGCGTAGTCCTCGGCGTCGTCATCTGAGAAGTTATTGAGGTGTGGAGCGAGGGTGACGACGGCGGGCTCTGGATGGTGAGGGCTGGTTCCTCTATCAATTCGTCCAGCATTGCTTGGGTGAGGACTGGTTCCTCTATCCACTCGTCCGATGTCTGGATTGGACACCATAAGGACGACATCGGGGGAGGAGTTTCTGGATGGTGATGAAGCATCGTGGTCTTCGTGAAGGAGCATTTGAGTGAAGGAGAGGGAGCTTGAGAGAAAAGTGGGAGACGATGTGGGAGGATGGTCTGTTTAGAGCTCTCTGGACGCTCTTTTATAGACTTTTCTTTCTGCTTTTCAGGGTGCTCCCGGACGAGGTTTATCAGGGTATTGGTCATGAAACTCCTTCATAGCTTCTTCCGCTGTCCCTTTTAGGAGAGTGTAGGGTTCCCAGGTGTTGTCCGCCTCGGGATATCCCATCCATTTGACCAAATATTTGGTTCCCCGTCCTTGTTTCTTTGAGTCCACGATCATTTCTACTTCGTAATGTTCTTCATCGTTTAATACCTCCGGCAATGGTCTGGCGAAGTTTTCTCCGTGTGCCTCGGTTTCCCTATACTTGGTTAGCGTTGCGGCATGGAACACCAGGTGGATTCTCCATTGTTGGGGAATTTGGAGTTTGTATGCCAGGGTTCCTATTTTTGCCAATATTTTAAAGGGGCCATACCTCCTAGGAGCAAGCTTGAACTTTGGATGGGTTGTCCGGATATGGGTTCCTTCTAGCCATACTTGGTCTCCTTCTTTCCATTGAGGGAGTTTCCTGTGGAGATCCCGGTCCTTGGCGTAATTGCTGGCTATTTGTAGGCTGGCTGCGGCTTCTTCCTGGACTTCTGTGATCACCTTAATGCGTTCAGCTACCGCGGGTACCTTTGTCTCCAGCGCAGTGTCGGCTGAATAAGGGGGATTGAACCCGTATAGCACTTCGAAAGGAGATTTTCCGGTGGCTGAATGTTTCCGCGTGTTGTGTGAGAATTCGGCAAACGGCAAAAGGTCTACCCAGTTATCTTGGTGGTAGTTGCAGAACGTTCTCAGGAACTGTTCAATCTCCTGGTTTACTCGTTCTGTTTCTCCGTCCGTCTGGGGATGATAAGCCGTGCTGAGAGCGGCGGTGATTCCTAGCCGTTTCCAGAGTTCGCGGGTGAACTTGGCCGCAAATTGAGGGCCACGATCGGATACTATTTTGGTTGGTAACCCATGCCGATTGAAAACGTTGTTCTGGAAAAGCACGGTTGTTTCTTCTGCCGTGATCGTTTTCTTGCATGGGGTGATGACTATGCCTTTGGACAGGCCTTGGTCCACTACCACGTTAATTGAGTCGAAGCCTTTGCTTTCGGGTAGGTCCGTGACGAAGTCTGTCGAGATGAAGCGCCAGGGGACGTTGGTAGTTTCTAAAGGGTGGATAGGAGGGTGCGTTTTGTGTGTCAAATTCTTGGTTGATTGACATACCGCACATCCATCCACATATTCATGGATGAACTTTGTCATGTTTTGCCACCAATAGTGTCGTTGTACCATTTCCAACGTTTTTGTTCTCCCCGGGTGTCCTACCGCGGGTGCGTCGTGATGCGTTTTGACAATAAGTCTTCGTATGGCATCGTCTTTTGGGACGCATATGTGGCCGTTTCGTCTGGTGATTCCGTCTTCGTGTGTCCAGTGTCCTAGTAATCCTCTCATTCCTTGTGGGCCTACTCGCAAAAGTTTGGCAAGGGCTACCCTTGTCAGGGCATCATGTTCCGATTTTGAACGTCGGATGAGGGAGATGAGGTCCGAGGATGCAATCTCTGTGGACTTAATATGCCGTGTCGGGGACGGTTCTACCAGTGTTTTGTCGGATTTGTTAAAAAGGTTGGCCGGGAGCAAAATTTGAGCTTTGTTGTCAGATTCCACCCCCTCACTTAGATCTGGATGCCTGGACAGAGCATCGGAATAATTTGTTGATCCCGCTTTATAGCTGAGCGTGAAGTCGAATCTGCTCAAATAAAGGCTCCAACGGGCGTGTCGTCGTGAGAGATCTCGCGCCGTTTGGAAGTGTTCCAAGTTCTTGTGATCTGTCCAGATTTCAAATGGGTGTCGTGCACCTTCAAGGTAGTGATTCCAGTGTTCCAACGCTTTTATGATGGCCAGGAGTTCGCGATCGTGGACGTCGTAGTTCCGTTCTGCTGGTGAAAATGACCCAGAAAGGAATGCGACTGGGTGCCAGTTGCCATCTTTTCCTTCTTGCAGGAGGGTGGCTCCATAAGCGATTAGTGAGGCATCCGTTACTAGTCGATATGGATGCATGGGGTCCGGGTAATTCAGCACGGGTTTACTAATAAATGCCCTTTTTAATCGTTCGAAAGCTTCTTGGCACTTCGAAGTCCAGTTCCATTTTGCATCCTTTTTGGTGAGGTCGTGTAGAGGTCGTGCGATAAGAGAGAACTTATCGATGAAACGCCTGTAAAAGTTTCCTAGACCTAAAAAGGAGCGAATGTCTCGGACGGTGCGTGGGACTGGCCAATCTTGTATAGCGTCCACCTTTGAGTCTTCCATTGCGACATGGTCTTTTGAAATTGTGTGTCCCAGATATTGGAGTTTTTCTTTATAAAACTCGCACTTTTCCGGTTTCAGATAGAGGTCGTTGTCGCGCAAGATCTGGAAAACTTGGTTCAGGACCTGGATGTGCTCCGCCATGTTTTTGGAAAAAAATGAGGATGTCGTCCATATACACGGTTATTTTCCGGGCCGTGATGAGCTCTCTGAAGATCATGTTCATCATGGCTTGGAAGGTGGCGGGTGAGTTGGTAAGGCCGAAGAACATCACCGTAGGTTCATAAGAGCCCAACGGAGTGATGAAAGCTGCCTTCCACTCGTCGCCCTTCTTGATTCGTATATTGTTGTATCCCCACCGTACATCCAATTTGCTGAAAATGGTGGCCCCTTTGATCACGTCCAATAGTTCTTGGATTAGTGGAAGGGGGCACACGTTTGGGATGGTGTACGAGTTCAAATGGCGATAGTCCTGTACCGGGCGCAGTTTTCCATCTTTCTTTCCTATAAAGAAAAACGGGGCTGCCGTTTGTGAGGTGGATCGACGGATGGTCCCCCGAGTGAGGTGTTCCTTGATGAACTTTCCTAATTCGTCGTGTTTTTCTGGGCTCAAGGCGTAGATTTTTGGTACTTGAGGTTTGAAGGTCGATTTCAGATCTATGGCGTGATCCCAATAAGTGTGCTCTGGGAGTCGCTGCGACTTTCGTTCGCTGAAAATGTCCAAGAATTCGTGATGCGCCTTGGGGACTCTTTCTTTTAGATTGGTGATGACAATTTCGTCTTCCAAGTCCTGGTCGAAGCTGGCAAATCCTGACGGTTCGGGAGCCAGTTTCCGAATAACTGGTTCCTCTATGGCCTGTTTTCCTGAGTTTTCATGTGGGAGATCAGGTTCTCCCCCGTTTGGTGAAAGAGATGGTTTGGCTCGAGCCTTTCGTTTCTCTTCTGCGTATTTCCTTATGTCCTGTAGGAGCCATTTCCTTTTGAGGTATGCTCGTAGTTGGACACCAAACGTTCCGCTGTGATCGCGGAGTCCTACATCTTCCGACAATCTTCGGAGATGTTCTAGGCGCTGTTTTTCGCGCTCGTTAATGCGTGGTTTGTGCCGTGGCTCCATGTCTGATAACCGCCTATTGTTTTGCGGTTCTTCCCTTGCCCTAGTGAACCCATGTGGTTGCTGGCATTTCTGGGGGCACCGATCAAAGTGCACTTCACGTCGCCTCCACTCGATGGAGGGATCGTGGTATTTCAACCAATCTGTTCCTAGGATAAGGTCGTCTTTCCCTAGATTGGAGATAAACATCTGGACGCGCTCAGTATGCGTTCGTCCTCTGATGTCCCGAATGGTGAGGTTCACATCCAAGGCTGATCGGATGAGACCTGCTTTATTAATGGTGTCATCGACGTTCCGGACGTGAATGGGGTTGTTGAGCATGTAGGTGGGAAAGCGATGTTTCCTGACCCAAGTTTCGTTTACTATAACCCCTTCGCATGCTGAGTCGATGGTTGCCTTTGCTCCAGCGTATTGACTCCTGTTTGATACTTTCACGTTCAGGCGTATGGGAGTGATGATACGGTCGTTCATTGCTCCGATACGAATACAAGTGCGGGCATCAAACTCAGGTCGTTCTTGACCTCTCTCCTTCGCTGGTGAGGGAGAGGTCAGGAAAAACGCTCTGCGTGTCCCAAGATTACTTCTCTTGCTTCATCTTCCCCTAGTTCTCCGAGCACTGCTCCGATTCGAGCAGAATGACTGACGCTTCCGTCTCCCCGTCGTCCGTTAGGTAACATAGCGCGTTGCCCATGGTTCGCCTGGGGTCGTCCGGATGGGGCAGAGTGAGGACGTTCCATCGAAGGACCAGGTTGTGGTACCCGCTGGTCGTTGCGATGAACATCCTCTGTCTCCATTCCTCGATATATTCCCGCTTGGTCTCCCATAGCGGGTGCGTCGTCTTCTCCTTCCAAATCAACCGCGCGGTTTCCTCTCCCTGTCGTACCCAGGCGTTTCTTCGAGTTTCCTTGAACTGGGCGAACGCTTCTACGTGGTGACCAATAGTTAGCACTAGAGTGCCCTGTCTTTCCGCAGTTAGAACAGGGGGTGGTTCGCTTGCCGTCAAATTTTCTCTTTTGACTTTCGGCGTTACGCTTTCTGGTAGCGTCAATGTCCATGTCAACCACCTGGTTGTTCATTCTGCGAGGGGCAGTTGTGGAGTTATAGCGGACGGTTGGTTGGGTATGGAAACGATTCAGATAATCGCTGCGAAAGGAGGTGGAGTTGGCAAGAATGGCTTTTTGAGCGGATCTGGCTCTGAGTCGTCCGTCTATTTCGCAGGCTGTGTTAATCCAATCCTGAATGGTGTCCTTCGGTTGAACTTCCTTGTCATATATTTTATCCATGACGCGCGGGTCTAATCCGCGTTGGAAGTAAGGGACTTGTTCCTTGTCGGAGATGTCGGCATCGGCGGCGATGAGAATGAATTGGTTGGAGTATTCATCAACCGTCATTCGTCCTTGGGAGAAGGCCATGAGTGCGCTTCGCGCCTTGTCGGTCTTGCCCGTCTCCCTAAATTGGAGCTTGAACTTTGTTAAAAAGTCCCTCCAGGTTCCTAGATCAGTGGGGGGGTCCGCTCCTACTGATTTGAGGAGGAAGTTCTCGGCCCAAGCTCCTGCCGTGCCATATCTCATGCATGAGAGCACCAGGGATATCTTGTCTTGATCGGTCTTGTACCGATCGGATTCTGCTGCGAAAAGAAGGAGGCATTGGAGCATGAATTTCTGGGATTCAATGCGGTTGCCTGTATAGTTGTCTGGGAGTTTGACCTTTCCTCTTCCGGGTTGTACCGTCGTGGAAGGGGGGTCTGTAGAAGTCGAAGCTTGTCCCGACATGTTGGCGAGCGGTTCGTTTCGGGTGTTGATCGGTGTTTGGTCTGGTGAGTCGGAGTCTGATTCCGAGGTTGTTTCCTCTTGCTCCGAGTCTTCGGGGATTACCGGCGCCGGTTCCCTGTATTGTGAGGCTAGTTCCCACTGAGCTTCTGTTTCGTTCCAAATATCCTCTTCTTCTGTTCCGTCTTCAAGGGTGAAGTAATACCGCCCGTTTCGGTATGAGCAGTTATCGTAATTTGGGGGAGCGTATCTGTTGTTGTCTTCGTAGACCCAGAAGTTCCCTCCGCGCCGGATAGGGCGGTTGTTGTGACGGAGTTGGTTATTGATACGTCTAGCGCCGGGTGGATATTCCTGGCCTAGGTCTTGCTCCAGAGTGTACGCAGTAACACTTTCTCGATGGGGGTCTATATCCCCACTGAGTAAGGTTATGAGAGAGAGTGTGGCAGCAAGCTAGTGCGAGCAAGGTAGGGGCAGAAGAGTCTATTCTAGTGTTACGACTGCTCGTCGGTAACCCCAAGAGTAGGAGATTCTTCCCTAGGTCACTCGTGGAGGATGTGTGGAACGGTGGTCTCGACTGTACGTGTAGCACAGGAGCCAAGAGTGTATTGCGATATAGCAATGAAGACTGCAGTAGGAAGACTACAGTGGATGAGGGTGCTGTGGTAGGAAGACCACAACGAACGAAGAGAATAGACTGAAGAACCTCAGCCTACTCTATGGGCCTTTTATACTACTTTAGGAAGTAGGGCGTGAGAATACCATATATGTATCCGTAGGTATACTCTAAGTCGTTCTCTCTCAATAACGACTACTCTTGTGTTTCTCCGTTAGTCTCCTTCCGGCCAGGAAAGACTAGGAGCTCAATGCCCGATGTGTGAGTAGTTTGTAAGGTGGCGTTCCATGCCCGCTGCGCAATAGGCCCGTGATACTCGACCAACGATAAGGTGATCCGTTGGGAGTGGATGACCAAGGTTACTATCTGTACCTTGTTTGTACGCCTCTCCTTGTGAGGCCGCTTGATATTTGTGATGATCGTGTCGGAATAGACCGCTGTTAAGGCCTGACAGAACGTGATCATAACAATCACTATCAATAATAAAGCACAACAAACCTTGAATATACTGTAGTGAAGGACTGATGTCTTAGTGGTATAAAAAGAAGCATTGTGCATGCCGATACAATCATCTTCTAAATAAACATTAAGTATACAATACACCACAAAGGGCCCTTAGAAATTTATAAATTTATGGCAGACAAGAGGCTCTCTAAGGCCAAATTAAGAATCTTGGTACTATTTCTGTATGTACACAATTCCTGCAGACTCAGCAATACCAAAAAAATAAGCTATGAGATCTGCAAATAATGCACAACAGAAATTCACCAATGTAATTTGCTCCAACTTCCTCTTTAAAGGCTTGTGCTGCACATAGAGCTTGGGATTTTCCACCCACCAAAATCTTATGGAGCTGTATTAATAGACAAAAATTCTACCCATGGTTATCAATCATTCTTGTTTATCTAAGAGACAAAAGCACTGCTATTAGATCAGATGAACATAAGTTAGGTGCTTTCCATCTCGTGTTAGGTGTCACTGTCAGAATTGGAATCAAAGCATAGACAAAATGGGTGATGCTAGGCAAAATAGAATATGATGTAGTGGCCTGGCATAGTAGAAGATATAGATCCCCTTGGACATTGCCAATGACCTATTTCCAATGGCATTGCATATTATATTTCTAGGGAAACAAGCACTATATGCAGTGTTGATACTAGAAACAGGTTTCAAACTTGCTTTGCCATAGAGATATCATTGGGATATACATGGCCTACATCTAGAAAAACCGCCTCTTCTAATTAGATCTAATTATTCAAAATACTAATCTAAGCTAATTAGAATATATTATCCATAATCAACTTTATTATCAAATCTGCAAGTAAAGATGACATTGTCTATACTACTATAGTCCCATTAGAATCTACAATCTAATTACAATTTTACACATTTCAAATCCAAATTGTATAAGTGCTATAATCTTATTTTTACTATATTCTTTATTTTTTATTAGTCTAGTGCCCAAATTCAAATATCAGCCTTGATTTCTAGGGTATTTATTGACCTCTTTATATATAGAATAGATAAAAGATAAATGTATGAGAAAATCAGAAATGTTGAGATTGCCTTATTTATATTAATATATTTAGGTTACTAGGTAAATATTTTAGACCTTGTAGCTTAGTGGTTTAGAGCACTAGTCTGGGGTATGCAAGCATAAGGTTATTGGTTTAATTCTAGTAATAGTCAAGTTTATAATAAGGTGTGACTTTAGTTTGATTAGTAAGCTCTATACATACTCTATGATTGGAGGTATAGTAGTAGTAGAGAAACTATAGAACTAGATTGGTTGATAATCCATATAATAAATTAGCTTCAATTAGCTCTGATTAGATCTTATAATTTCAGGATTAGAGGGGGATTAAGCTAAAAATCCTTAATGGTAATTGGTAAAAATATAGCTATATTTATGCTTAACTATGGTTAATTTAATATGGAGCTTTTCCCTGATGTCATGTGACATGCAGAACAGATTCCTTCCTCGTTCCCTTTCTTTTTCTCTCGGTTCTCTCGCTCGAGACAGATGTCAGTAACTGTAACTCACCATATACACACGTTATTTCATCCAAACACCTCGCAAAGGGTAACTGCAAAAACATAGCACTATTCATTCTCCACCAGGTCCCAAGTCTTGCCCGAAAAGCCATGTATATTTAAATTTTTCTAATGAATCAAAGCATGATGCTGGCAGACACGAGCTAACCTCCCTGTGAGTACCTAAATATATCTTCAAATTTTGAAACAATCTGTTCAACAGGATCACAGCTATATCTTAATGATTCTCTCTCACGGTCTTGTAAGATAAACGCCAGACAAGCCGTTGATGGAAACGGGCCCCATCTTCTTCCCCTCCCTCACGTCCTTCACTACACCCTGCTGAGCAGATCGACTGCATTCATCATGCAAGTATGTCGGCGACTGGATCATCTGTTCCTGCTATTCCAATAGACCTTTACCCCGAAGTTATACAAGTTATCGCTACAATCGCAGTACAGAGCACTTTGTATAGTCTGTCACTATCTACTTTGGTCTCCAACTATGGCTAATCTAACAACAACATTGACTGTTTTAGGTGTGTTTTTTGTCGTTATGTTTCTCTCAACATACTTTCTGTGGTGAGTGGATCTGAGTGACATATATTGCGCTTGGACTGAAAATGAAGAAAGCTGCAAGGGCTTCAAGACTAAAGCGGACGACATGACGTTGTCTGTGACGGCCATCATGTTTGCAACGTCAACCATCTACTGGGCTTCCGTTTTGACCATTTCAACCATGTCTGTGTGAGCTTTTTACCATCCCGAACAGATCACGCTACAAGAAGGTAAATCTATTGGTGGTCTGTACATTGCACAAACATATCTTCCACTGCTGAATGTATAATTCTGTGATTCTAAACCGGAATATGGCTTACATCTGTATTTTACGGTATGTTCTCAGCGACACTATTGTTGCCCGGAGAGCCTGGGTTCTTTGGCAATAGAATACAAGGATCTCCATTATTCCATTCGTTACACTTTTGGGCTCATATAGTACGGCCAGAGGACGCAGTTATGAGTCGCTGCAAGGAACTCGCGGTCTGATTTCCAGTTTCCGTCGTTGTTAGCGCTGTATATAAATCCAACAACGTCAACTCTCAAGCTGCGAACGGTCCTTTCACAGTTTGGATCCTGCGTCTTGCTACAAACGTGATAGCAACAGGCCTCATTGCTTTCAAAGCTTGGTACGATCACCACTTGTCACGTTTTGGTTTCTGTTAACTCTTATTGAAGGCAGCACCGGTGGTCTATCAAGGCTTATCTCGTTCACGGAGAGTCAAGACGGACGCCTACAGAAAAAACCTTTGCCCCTTCTGATTGAGTCCGGTGCACTCTATTGCGGATTATGGGTGACTAGTAAATCAGGAATTACGATCGTGAATGCCGACATTTAACGTTAGGTTTTACTCATCTCAAGTCGATTCAGTGTCATCTTTGCTGCCGACTGTGAGCTTATACAGGACGCATCGGTTCAAATTGCAGCGAGACGATTTCTTTGTAACGTCAGCGAGTCTATATCCTCACACTCTACCAGGGCATCTACCCCACAGCCATCGTCGTCCTAGTGACTCTTCAGGAAACGGCATGGGATGAGCGTAATGAACATCCATACATGAAGACAATCGACATGCAATTCGCCCTGGCCCCTACACTGCTCACGCATCATTCGAGGCGACACCAGCGATCGAAGGGTGTCGACCAGATCGAATCGCACCGCAGCACCGGCTCGTCCGACGACGGCTTTCAAGACGCCACCTCGTCCGCGCCGTGCGCCTTGTCCTCAACCACGGACCTACGGGCGAGCGCCGTGTCAATGTCTTCCCCTGCGGAGTCACCGGCTGCACCTAGCATAGAGACGCACCAACGCGTTGGTCTCCAAGGCTGGCCTTACACAGAAGGCGGACGTCTCGCGGACAAGCCGACGCGCACCCACGTTTCTATCTTGGTGCACTCACTTCCAGATACCTTGACCAGAGAGTTCCCCTACCATGGCTCATCGCATTCCTCAGGACAGCCCGTCCGCATTCACATTTGACGACGCCCCTCTCAATGCGGAGGACCTCCTCCTTTTCCCCCCATTTTGATACTTAAGCCTTCGATGTCTTGAATGAAGCACTACGTTACAATACGATGCTTCTCCCCTGGCCGCCACTGGCCCTGCGCCGCGCGAAAAAGGGAGAGCGTTGATCTTCATACACATAAAGAGAAAAAAAGACCGTAGAGACGTCGTCGGGACACGCATGGCCTCCCGTCCTGCCCCCATGAGCGTCTCAGAGGTCTGGAGACCATTCAGCGAAAGTCCAGCCAAAAGTGACAAGAGATGAGCGCTGAACGGTGCATTTTCGGTGCCAACGCGGCGCTGTTCGACGTTCGACGTTGATCGGCGCTTCGGTGTTGGTGCTGAACGTCTCCAAGCCAGCGAGCGTCTCAAGAGGTCCAGAGACGTCGCGTCGGGCGCAGTGAGGTGGCAGCTGAATGAAGCTGAACGCAGCTGATCGAAGCCGCCCGCGATCGCGATCAGTCAGTCCAGCGCCATGCCCGGTGTTCAACGTTCAACGTTCACCGTCCACGATCGACGTCGACGTCGGCGTGCGACGCGGATCGAGCAGGGTCCAAGCCAAGCGCCGTCCGTCGAGACGCGAGATCCACGTCGGACGACGCGGAGTCTGCTGACAATTCGAGAGCGCGCGGCGGCGGCGGCAGGGCCCGCCAGTCAGCGTCCGACTCGGGTTAGGCTATTCGGGCAACCACATGGGCACTGGGCGGCGGCGACGGCTACGGCGAGACAGCACGTCACGTGGTACTGCGGGGCTAGACGTGCTCTGCGACAGCGAGCGAGGCTCGAGCGACCCCCGATCTACTAGTAGTACTGTATGTACATGTCCCACGCCCCACGCCCCACGCATCACGCACCGCAGATCACGCATCGGGCGCCTCGAACGGCACGACCGCGCCCGCCGTCCACTCGTGCGCGCGCGCGCCGTTTGCTGCGGGGCGCATCTCGAGCTCGTTGAAGACGTCGACGCGGCGGACGACCTCGAAGCCGAGGGACTCGAAGAGGCGGATGCTGGGCGCGTTGTCCTGGCCGATGCGCGCGACGAGGCGGGCTGGCGGGACGGGGAGCGGGGCGGGGGCCGCGGGGGACGTGGCGTAGGCGAGGAGGAGGGAGAGGGCGGTGTGCGCGAGGCGCTGGCGGCGGTAGGCGGGCTCTGCGGCCAGGGTGAGGACGGGCAGGACGAGGGGAGAGGGCGACGCGAGGACGGACCTGCGATCATGACCTCGACCTCGGCTTCGAAGTCGTCGTCTTGCGGGGAGCCCTTGAGGAAGAGGTTGACGTCGCCGATCATGGGCAGGGCGCGGATGTCATCGTCGGTGAGCGCGTCGTCGGGGGCCGCGTGCGGGGGGCGTGCGAGGACGATGAACGTGAGCTCTGCCAAGGGGGGTGGTCAGCAGAGCCGGCGAGACGGGAAGCCGGGGGTGGGAACGGACTATCTTGATCGTTCTGCCAGCTCTCTGGGGCGTGAGTGCGCGTGAGTGGGTGCGATCGAAGGCAAGAATGGAGTGCTGACGTTGCATGGCGTACTCATCGTGCAAGGACAGCGGCTCGCTAGCGGTCAAGTGACGGAGGACGGGGCTCTGCATCCATGCATGGTAAGTCTGTCGGAGCGATCAGCGTGATGCGCCTCGACAGGTGGGGGAGACGGGGCGGACGGGCACGTGGTAGGGCCTAGCATCGAGAGGGGATGAGTGTGGGGTCGCTGTGTGTGTGAGAGGGGACGGACGGACCTGTACGGGACGAGGACGAGGGCGGGGTGTACGAGGGCGGAGTGGTGGTTGGCGAGCATCACGGGGGCAGAAGAGCGGTCGGGGGCAATTGATGCCAATAATGGAGGGGAATTGATGGCGGGATGACATTAGCCGCAGAAGGGCCCCAAGTTGAAGCCGGCGCGAGTACTTTAGGCCCACCCTCTCCCTCCTCGGCAGCGTCTGCCTGCTCCCCTCCGACCAGCACCAGCCAGCCCAGCCTGCTCACCAGACACTCGCTGACCCAGACATGAGCGACATCGAGAAGGCCGAGATCTCCGCCAACTCCCTCCCTCCGCACGCGCGGTCGTCCCCCCAGCCCCGCAGACGCATCGCCAACCCAGGCCCGCTGTAAGTCCCCCACCCCCTGCCCAGCGACGCCCCCGCCGTCTCACTTTTTCTCACCCCGCAACCCCGCACCACGCACCACAGCGGCCTCTTCTCCTTCGCGTCCACCACCCTCATTCTCTCCCTCTACAATGCCCAGGCCCGCCACATCACCGTCGGCAACGCCGTCGTCGGCATGGCCCTCTTTTGTGGGGGTCTCGCCCAGCTCCTCGCCGGCATGTGGGAATTTGCAACGGGCAACACGTTTGGAGCTACCGGTGCGTCGCCCCGCACCGCCCCGCACTTCCTGCCCCCCGCACCCCACACGTCCCCCGCCCTCTTCTCCCCCGATCTCCGCCCGATCTCCCCACTAGTAGCTGCTTTGACGTTGCCACTGGCACTGACACGATTTCGCGCGGGGCAGCGTTCACGTCCTACGGCGCCTTCTGGCTGTCCTACGCCACGCTCCTCATCCCCGGCTCCGGCATCTCGGACGCCTACGACGGCAGCGGCCAGGAGGACAACGCCCTCGGCATCTACCTCATCACCTGGATGATCGTCACCTTTTTCTTCCTGTCCGTCTTTCTCACGCTTTCTCACGCTCACTCACGCTCGATCCTTCGTGCGCGCGCTGATACGATGTCTGTCCGCGCAGGCTCGCCTCGCTCCGCCGCAGCGCGGGCTTCATCTCCCTCTTCGTCATGCTCACCCTCACCTTCATGCTCCTCGCCATCAGTCCGTGCCCCTCCTCCTCTCCACCCCTTCCCGCCCGCTGACCTTTTCACCCGCTTCGCTTCGTTCGCGCAGGCAAGTTCCTCGACAAGCCCTTGGTCGGCAAGGCCGGCGGCGGCACGGGCGTCGTCACCGCCTTCATCGCGTACTACTGCGGCATGTGCGAGCTCCTCACCGCCGAGGACTTCTTCACCCTCCCCATCGGCCGCATCCCGCCCCGCCGCCTCGACTGAGCGCCCCGCCACCGCCTGCCGTCGCACCGTCGCACCGTCGCACCGTATCGTCGTTTTGCAACACCGCCGTTTCCCGTTCCCGTCGTTCGCACTTCGCACCGGATGGATCCATACCAGTCCGCTTCCGCCGTTACTTATGCAGTAAGAAATACATACCTTATATCCCGCCGCGCCTCCAGCACCGGCGTTTTGTTCTCGATCTGTCTCTCTGTCTCTGTCTCTGTCTCGGATCGTGTCTGTCCCCCTTGTTCGGCTCGAGTTGGGCCCCCCGTTGTAATCCCCGCGCCCGCCCGCCCACGTACGCATGTAGGTACCGCGCGTGCGCGCGCGCCTCTGCTGACTCTTCGTTCTCGTTTCTGTCTTGTGCGCGAGCGGCTCGGTCGCCCCCCGGCCATCGGGCAAAATGCTCTCGATAATCAATGAGGTGATCAATAAACGCGTCTTTCCGCCACAGCCACAGCCACAGCGCGCGCGCGTCTGGGCGTGCCGGATGGAGATGTGTGGTATACGGGGATGCGTGCGACTTGTGTACGTTGATTGGGGTTCCCCTGGCCCCTGTCCCTGATCCTGACGGACGGTGCGCGCCTGCGCCTGCCTGCGCCGGGTGTTTGCTTGTCGGCATCGTGCCATAACTGTGTCGTTGTATGCCACCGAGACATGGCGATGAGACCATGAGGGCGCGGTCAAATCAACCATGCCTGGGGAGCTCCGGGCGCCGAGCCGACCGATCCTAAGTCACACAAACGCTTGCATATAATACCGTATATGACTCTGAGGAACTCTGATGCTTTTGTCGCTCGAGACTTGTCTCAGGCCTCGGCGCGGCCAAATATGGCGACGTGATATTCGGCGCCCGTTGCATTGGCGGGTCCCCCGCACCGCGTGTCTGCGTGTTATCAGACCCGCGACGAAGTACGTTACTAGCCGTCATGTCTCGCGCGAGCGCCATACACGAACGAACGAACGAACCCACTCATAACCCCTTCACCGCGGCACTGCACTCCCACGCGGCGGGCGCCAGTCCAGAGGCAAGCCCGGGCTCGAGGAGGACGGAGGAAAGTTGCGCCATGTACCGCATTGGGATGTCCGACATAGGGTCCCATTACTTACTTACCCCGCCAAGACAATATACGGGGATTAAAAAACGGAGTAGAATAAGAAAGCTGATCACGACGCAGCCCTCCTGGACGAATCCTGTCGCGGGCCGCGCAAAGCACGGTAGGTGACGATAATGATAAGGGAAAACCTCCCCCCTCCCCCTTCCCCTCCGCTCGGCGCTGAGAGCGCGCGCGCCAGGATGGCGCCACTTCGAAAACCGCATCAGACAGGTATCAGATCGCCATTGGGGATGGTGCCGGCACCATTACCACCGCGGCCATCGAAACGCCAGAGGAAAGACCGGCCTAGGCGCCCCCGGGTGGCAAGCCCCTCGGGGACGCAGCAGCAGCGCCCGAGGTGTGCGATGAAGCGCTGCTGCTGGTGGACGACGTGCCGCCGGTTGGACGACGTGCCGTTGGCGAACGAGGTGCCGTTCGCGCACGACGCGGACGTGGCGTCCGCACGCGCGTCGAGGCGCATGGCGGGCCGCGGGGCCTGGGCGAGCTCCATTTGGCTGTGGAGCGTATATTCAAGACCTGCCCATCGACCTATCCAAGGTCATAGACCCGGAGGTCGATACAAACACCACAACAAACGTGCCCGTCCACCCGGCCGCGGTAATCGCGCTTCTGCGTGCCATCAACTACGATGACCAAGGGTTACTCATGGCACCCTTTACGACGTCAGTCGCTGCATCCTTCAACTCAGCAGCGGTGTATATACCAACCATCCTCTTTCCTGCCTTGCGCCCGCCGATATTGAGCGGTTCGTGATTGGCCTCGCGCGTCTCCGGATGACGCAGGCCCAAATGTACACCTCACCGATGCTCGTTGCTGTCCCCGAGCACTAGGGGACATGCCATTCATATATCCGTGCATTTTGGACACACACGGCTCAGTCGCTACTGCTTCCAGCGGGCCTCATGTCGCAGCCGGTCGAGGATTTGGAGACTGTGAGGCAGATGGTGCGGTCGGCCACGACAGAGTCGGGTTTTCCTTGGAGCGTGTGTTCGGCGTGTCGCACGGAGGTGCTGCAGCACGTAGAGCGGCAGCAGGCAGAACTGTGGCGCTTGATGCCTACGTTTTTTGCCCTCGAGTAAGGTATCTTGATGAAGTGTTCTATCTTGTTGAGTTAGCCGCTTGGTTGTATAGTCTCTTTGCTCTGCTGTCGTTTTGTTTTGGTTCCGTGCTCACAATCTGCTGCTCTCTACATAGATCTGGTCTCGTGAACGCCTGTACGTCTCTTCGTATCTATGGATCAGCCAGATTTATCTCTTCTTTTTCCACCATGTACAGTGCTTCGAGATATCTTATCTGGCTTCTCACTGCGATGCAGACTGTGATCCGAGTTCTTGTAAAATATACGATTTTTTGTGGATTGCGCGAGGGACCGCTGATACCTAGAAGATTCAACATTTGCGCGTCCCTAGTCATACATTTAGCCAAGGGTCCTCTAATGTAAGACAACGTCGCTTCAGCGCAGCAGAGAGCCTGCTGGAGCTGCCATACACGCAAGGACTCAATCAAAAAAGTCTTGGCCTCAGGGAACACATAGCGAACTCGAGCATGAATGGACAATGCAAGTGGTATAGATAGCCGAATGTGAGAGTGCTGGGATGTACATGGACAACAACGATCAGAGCATATATGAGAGCAGACTTGGCGATCAGTGGACGATAGATGATATACTTGGTATGATATTACGCAGCCGGGGACGGGCCAGCATGGTTCAGGGCCGCGAGCTGCTGCCGGAGAAGGGCAACCTCATCGTCCAGCAGAGCCCTTGCCGCCGCCTCCGCCTCTGCCGCTGCCTCTGCCGCCACCGCCCTTGCGTCGGCTGCCTTCGCTGCCGCTGCCGCTGCCGTCGCTGCCGCTGCCGCTGCCGTCGCTGTCGCTGCCGCTGCCGTCGCCGCCGCTTCCGCTGCCGTCGCCGCCGCTTCCGCTGCCTTCGCCGTCGCTTCGGCCTCCACCCTCGCTGCTGCCTCTTCCTTTGCAGCGGCTTCCGCACTGTCCCTCGCCGCTTCCGCCCTCTCCCTCGCCGCTGCCTCTTCCTTTGCAGCGGCTTCCGCCCTCTCCCTCGCCGCTGCCTCCTCCTCCGCCTTTGCAATGGCCGCTCGCGCCTCCTCCTGCGACCTCACCCACTTGGCGGCGGGGTGATCCTCCCGGGCCCTCTCGTCCAACAGCGCGGCAAGTTGCTTCTCAAACTCAGACTTAATCTTGCCCAGCGGCGGCTCAGGGGGCTGGATGGTGAAGATAGTGAGGAAGCGCCCACGCTCGTCCTTGAGGTTGTCGACATTGAACTCGACCTCCTTGCCGTCCTCGTTGCCAAGGCCGATGAGGCGCTCGCGGAAGAAATCGTAGATCACGGTCGCATACCAATAGCACTGACGCGAGAGGAGCGCGTAGTCGGGAGCGTATTCTTGGAGCGCAAGCAGCAACGCAGCAAGATCGTAGTCGGTAAAGCGCTTATTAAACGTGAGCTTGCGGCAGTGCTCATACGGGTGGCGGGCGTGGCGGTCGATTTTGCTGACGGGCGCGCCATTCGGGGGGATGATGATGCGGTCGAAGGCGGGCGGCGTAAGGGAAGAGGACGAGGACGAGGCCACGGAGCTGGGGGACAAGCTGAGGCGGGAGGAGGACGATGAATGGAACAAGGCGGAAAAGCGGCTGCCGTTCTCGCGGGAGAGGTCGGCGCCGGGGCGGATCTTGTCTTTGGGGAGCAGGCTGGTGTCGATCGTGCGCTCGACGATGATGGGCACGGTGAGCGGGGGAGCGTCTAGAACGGGGTACTCGAAACGGATGATGAGAAACTCGTGGAAGACGCCGCGCTTCCGCTTGCAGTGTTCTATGCTGGCGATGCGCGGACGTTCCTCTGAGGGGGTGGGGGTGAAGAGGACGAACCCCGCCCATCCAGTCACGTTGTAGGCGGATTCTTCCTTGGGAAAGTAGAGGACATCGTTGGGGGCGGACATGGCTCTATGTGAGGGGGAAAGACAAGGGAATGCGCTGGAGAGTAGGTCGCGCAGAGCGGCTGATAAGTGGTGCATAGTGGCAGAGAGACTTGAAGGGCTATGGGCAGTGGGCATGTCCGCGTGCAACCAGCGAGGAGATGGGCGTCTAAGGGATTTGGTATTCGACAACCCCACATGCACGTGTATCTGCGCACATCAGTGAAACAGTCAGCGACATTCCGGAAGATTGAAGTTGCATGAGGCCTACTATCGTACTTGTGTGTGTCGAAGATGAAAGCTTGTCGAATAGCAGTGACGCGACGTTAGCGAAGACGCTGTCACGTGATCAGGAAACCCTTCCCCTCGCTAGCGACAGGTTCGACGAGCATGGCCTCCATCGATACACCCTCTGACCGCGAACGCCCGCGCACCGAGCTCGATGCCGAGCTGCTCATAAATCACCCAGCGCTTTACTTCGATGACGGAGACGTCATCTTACAGTGCGGCAAGACCCTCTTCCGCGTCCACCGCGGCATCCTCCTCAAGCACTCCACCTTATTCCAGGAGATGCTCGCCCCCGCGCGTGACACCCTGCGCGATTGTACGTTGCTCAAGGTCGTCGACGACAAGGACGATATGGAGGCTTTTTTGAACACAATACACGATGGTTTGTGCGTAAACCCATTTGCGGCCTCGCCACTCAAAATCTCCTCATCCATTGTTCACTCGCCTGGTCCTTCTCTTCTCCCTGCTCCTCTGTCAGCACTATCGATGCTTCCCACATCACCATCGAGAAACTTCCGACACTCTCCGGTATCCTCCGCCTCGCGTACAAATATCGCGTCGCGCGCAGCCTGGCCCTCTGCCCTGGATAAGCATCTCGCGCGCGCACGCGCACCACGCTGCGCGCTTCGCAGCCGCACACCGAGGATCTGATCGTGCACCCCGCCGCAGTGATTGCGCTCCTCCGCTCCATCAACTACGCCGACAACGCCCTGCTCTCCGCGCTTTTCTACGACCTCAACCGCCGCACGCAGCAGCTCGGCGGTGCCTACGGGCATCATCTCGCCTCGCTCTCGGAGGCCGACATCGGGCGCCTCGTGCTCGGCGGCTGACGGCTCCCCTTCGCGCACGCCAATCTCATCATCGCGGGGCCGACCCTGACCGCCAACCCTTTGCACCAGATGTCCTGCCACGCGCTCGTCTCGGGGTTTTGGCACTCGCCCGCGGGACAGCGGTGCCTGCTGAACATGCAGGACCTGATATCGCAGCCCGTGGAGAATTGGGAGCTCGTGAAGGGGCAGGTGCAGGGCACGCTCGCGCTGCCAGGTCTCAGTCTGACCGGCCTGTGTTCCACATGTCGCGCGGAGATGGTCAAATATGTGGGGCAACAGCAGGCGACATTGTGGGGATCGCTGAGCCGACACTTTGACCTCGCCGAACATTGACCGACACCACCCGCGCAGACCGGAATCTCAATTCCTGCTGATTATTTATCGCTTTGTCCCCGTAAGTCTGTGCTGTATTGTTGGTGTAGCGCTGCTTAATTCTCGCTTTCATGTCTGCTATCACGGAATGCTTTCATGTCCTATCCTACGGAATACAACATGCCGTACAATATATATTAAAACTATTGTCGTTCAAGATTCGGACAACAGTAAGACATCGATTTTTCGGACATCCATCCCGACGATCATGAGCTTATTATCTTAGAGAAGGCGTTAAGGATTGAGCCTGGTGAGGTTATCACCCTATGAGCTGGCCCATGCCCATAAGAAATCGCATAGCGTCTTGGGTATCAGGAACGACACATAATACGTGCACGAGTTGACTCCCATACTGCTCCGCCGCTAGAGAGCCGGGCTTGTACTTGACTACGATCGGTGCGCCCAAGGGGCTCTGCAGAGAGGGACAAAGCATCGTGAGAACAGGATGACAGAATTCTGAGCTCGGACGTACCACAATCGTAGCAGGGCTCCACACCCATCCTCGACGTCCCTGTAATTCCTCCGCCACGAGGTAATTGCGCTGAACATCATGTCGTGAGACGAGATTGAAGACAAAACACTGAGAGCAATGAGTCGGCTCACCAGGCGTTCGCAGTAATCATGCACCTCCTCCGCCAGCTACGGTGGTGAAATTAGATCATGCCAATAGGAATGTCTCTCCGAACCAAGGGTGGACGAGAACCCTCGCGCTTTCTTTGCGCTTACCGAGTGGTGGGCATCTTGACAATATACCAAGGGATGGCGACGCCGACCTTGAATGATGATGATTCAACTCAGCAAAAAGATGGTCGAACAAGCACACCGTCCAGACGCACCAGGCCCTTGTTGACCCCCCATCTCAACTACATTGCTTCTATCCCAGGGGCCGTAGACGGCCTTGTTGTTCGAGTCTCTAGTGAGACAGCGGAAGTTCTCCATATGGTTGACCCGACGCAGCGTATCCTCGGTCAGTGAGTCGAGTGACAGACAATATTACATGGTATTATTTACAAAAGGCGTCCCAACAATTCTAAGAAGCAGTCTGTTCGCAACGTCTTCTTTCAAAGGGACGACGGTGTTGAGAGAAGCTTGGAACCGCAATCAGTCTGCACGGATCGAAAAGATGCCCGATAGTCGAAGCGCCTCACAGTATATTAATTTGCGTAGCGTCTCCAAACTCCTAAAGTCCAACAGATATCCTGGATGCGGAAATGGGGCAAACTCCTTGACTGAATCGTGCGGAATGTCATCTTGACGGCGGTGATACCTTTGCGGCACGTATGGGACAAAGTCAACATATGGGACGGGATCCATTATTCAGAGGGGAGGAGATGATAAGATGAAGATGTGCTATTGGGAGGGCGTACCACTATGATGCATGTTTTTTATGATGCTGCCGGCCACAGAGGCCATGGTGACAGAGAGAAACTGCACGCACGCGCATCCTAGCGGTGATCGGTGTTGGACATTTGCCTCAGAGAAATTGGAAACTGTCAGTGTAAGGGATGGACAAACGAGTCAATTCGCAAATTGCACCGCTTGAGCTGTGGCGCCGTTCGGGTGGCCAGGCGCATCATCTAGATCATATGTGGCGGGTGCATCAGAGGAGCGGTGAAGTCATCGGTGACACACAAGCGAAGTTGAAGCCAGGTTGCCTACATGGAGCGCAAAAGTTATTTTGCAAGGACGGATTGAGAGAAAGAACGGCTACAAATATTTCTAGCAAAATCCCAACCCTTCCAAGGTAATGTTGAGTCTCTGAGTGTCCAAACCTATGAGATGGAGAAAATCTGTATTTTGATAAACAATCGAGGTGCCTACAGAGGGACCGGTCAACAGCTCTGAGAGCAAGATTTTGAGCGAGATTTTGAGCAAGAATAAGTTCTTCCAAAGGCTTCATCCCGAGAAACGCCATCAAGGTGACTGAACACTATGAGACCCATACAGAGCATTGAACACCTTCGCTCCAGTCGCTCTCGGCGCTGACCAGTCATATTGTATGCGAGTTCTGGTCCTCGCGACGTACCTAACCCCAGAGGGGCTGCATGGCCTGACCTTCGTGACCTTCGCATTGCAGATCTCTGATTAACAAAGAAGGAACACGATATGCGCTTCGTACTGCCAGAAGAGATCCCAGGTACGACTTTCACCGACTGAGTATATTGAGAACCTAGCATCGGAGTTGAGCTGAGATTAGCGCAGAATAATCTGTTGTCGAGGAGCCATCCGGTCAAAACCTCGCGCGTGCATCTTAGAGCTGGTTGCTCTAGCCATGTTGCAAAGTCAAGACGGACGGACGCGAGGTAGATGTTAGTGAGCAAAGCTTCTTCCATAGTCATTAGCGAGCGAAGTTATTCTGGGAGATGAAAGAGAGGGATTGACAGCCAAAGAGGAGCTCTAGACGTACACCGTCATGTGGGCACGGTAGAACCAGCTTGAGGCGAGCACTGAAGGACGAAAGGAGGGAGTAACAGCATAGTGATCCCGCCAGGTCCACAGTTGCAACACTTAGACCAGCTTGAAGAAGAGACGAGAAACTGAAGGGAGGCTCGCTGCCTGCCAAAGGCCTAGAACTGTTGCGAGTTTCCTTGAGCTATGAGCCCTTCCCTCATTAGAACCTGCGAGGCATCTTGCTTGATGTCAAAACCTAAAAGATTCGTGTGCAAACCTATTAGTATTGTTAGCTGGCCATGCACCGTGTCCTCTGATGTGATGTTCCGGATTCCAAACATCGCAAACAGTCAAGATAGTCGATGATGATAGAAGCGGAATCTCTGGAGATGTCGTCGTACACAGAGGTGCGTTCGACACACAGCAGATAGAAGGTAACTGTTTACGTGAATTCAGGTCCTATTTGCTCGACCTGGCTTATTTCCCTTTCGAGACAGTACATTCAAGTTGCCTCGCCGCGACCTCACATCGAGTGATCTGTCGGTGAACGTTGGACTTCCTTCCAACTAGCTCGAGCTGAACATTGACCAGCACACCCAACCTCATTATCTTCGAGATCGCTCCATGGACAGCACATTGCGACTTCCTACCGAGATCATCGCTAAGATCTTCGTCCACTGCCTCCCCCGTCTATTCGACGCCACGGATGAATTGGCTTCATTCAAGTTACGCAATGCGCCTACCCTCTTGACAACGGTCTGCAAGAGATGGCGGGATATCGCTCTGGACACTCCTCAATTATGGTCCAATATCTATATCGGGACACCCCAAGAAGCGTTCATGTCGTCTGCCAAACAGACACTTGGATCTTGGCTTGCTCGTTCTACTCATTTTCCTCTCACCATCACCATCTATGCCATGGGTATTGGAGACTACATAGAGGCCTGCTTTGACATGCTGGTCGCTCACGCTCACCGTTGGGCGTGTGTCATCGTTCTGGACGCCACAGTCGCATTGAACTTATTATCCCGTCACCCAGACAGACAGCAGTCCGTCCTATCCAGATTTCTCTTCGAACAATGCGTTAAAGATATAAAATCGAGCGAAATAGATTCTCTTTCGGACCTCTTATGCCATGCCCCTCGACTTCGGGAAGTAGTCATGCGCTTCACATCGACACAGTGGACGTTACCTTGGACCAATTTGACGCACCTTTCGCTGCGTCCATATCATCCCGCCAGCATTCCTGACACGGTCGATATGTTATCGCGGTGCAGTAACCTCACCTCTCTGCATCTCAATTTTGCAGATTCACGCATTGATCTCGTCTGGGACACCAAGGGCGCTGTGTTCCCTCCACTAGTCATGCATCATTTGCAGTTTTTGATGATTAAAACGCATGTACGGGGGGTTTGCCAACTGCTCCTGGATGCTTTTGAATTTCGGGAGCTACAGCACCTGCTCATCCATGTTCTGATCGATTTCAGGAGGTCAGAGATATTCGTTCCGCCTCCATGGCCGGCACTCCGCCGTGTGCTTTCACACAGCACCCATTCGATGGAGATATTCGACCTCCATCTCTTCGACTGGAAATGTGATGACGACCTGGCTGACATTCTCGCCACCCTGCCAAACCTCACTTCGATCTCAACCTGCCTAGTCTCTGACGTCCTGATGGACCGCCTCACGTTGAAGTTTTCCCCTGACGGACGCTTGATATCCGGCCAGAATCTGAAGTTGCGAGAGCTGGAGATCGGACAGAAGTACAATGATGACATCTGGAAGGACGACGGTGTGAATCCGGAGGCATCGCACACGAATTTCCTGGACATGGCCGAATCGCGCGTCTCGCTGCCCGCGAATGCAGTCGACGCCGATGGCGGTGCGATCACTCGGCTCAGGACGCTCCGATTCGGCGGGAAGAAGATGGAGGTCATGGAGAGTGACGCACCCGCCGAATGCGCACGGATGAGAGCGCTGGAGGACCAAGGATTGTCGTTTGTCGTTATGCCGCATGACCGTCTTTTGTCCCTGCATTAGCTGACTTTTCACTGGAATTTTCTGTGATTTGCAGCTATATCTTGAAAGTCGATGGCCTCGGACACGACATCATTTTGTGTAACGAAATTCCTGTTCGGTAGTTTTTCTGATGATACTCAACTCTCACGCACCGTCTGTACCTATGTGGTTGTGCTTCGAAGCTTTCGTATGATGACCTCCTGACTCGTGTATTAGTCCGCTTGTGTAGGTTTATGTGACAATCCAGACGTACTGCCAGCATCGTTACTCGTTATGGGAGAGACACGGCCTAGAAAGCAGGTCATGAGATGATGAACGTCGTCGGCGACGGCTTCGGCCGAGCGAGACGCAGCAGCGTGAGCCGCCGGGACGCCGAAGGAAGGCCGCCCGCGGCGAGAGCGATGCGGTATCAGCAGGATGTGGACGGAGGGACAGAGGGCGAGCTTGCTTTGCGGCGCCGACGACGACGCCCTCGACGAGCGACGCCACCTGGGGGGCGTCAAGAGCCAAGTAGAGGAAGTCTTGGCTCGCGTGCGTGCTCGCGTTTGTGCGTGCGCGAGAGCCCGTGTTGGAGCTGCCCGTCGCGCTAGAAGAACGCGGGGCGCGGGAGAACGGGGCTCGTCAGCGGTGCGCGATGCGAGTCTCTCGCGATGGCAGAGACGGCGCTCACGCTGAACAGTTCGAACTTCTTCTTGTACAGGGTCACATGCCCCCCCTTGTCGAACAGGCCAAAGAAATTCGCGTCCGCGCCCCCGTTGGCGTCGAACCCCGTGCTGACGTCGACGCAGCCTTGAACGGGCAGCGCGGGGGGCGCACCGGGGCCGGCGCAGCCTGTTGCGCTCGCCGCGTGCGGGACGTTTCCCTGCAGGTCGAGCGTCGCGAACGTGTCGAGCTCCAGGGAGACGGACGCCGACGTGTTGAATAGGTTGGTGAAGATGCCGAACGCGAGCTGCACGCATCCGTCGTTGGCGCATGCCGGGGACGTGGATCAGAGGGGCGTGCTTACCCTTGGGATGACGTGCGCGGTGATGTTAGCGTTAGCGTTCAACATCGAGCCGGCGGAGACGGCCAGGCCTTGCGAGGTGTGCGTGAGTCGACGGGCACGCCCAGAAACACACGGAAGTAACTTACTTTTATCGGACGGAGCGAACGTCCCAGTGCTGGGCCCGTAGCTCAGAGGGAATACAAAGTGCACATTCTGCGCCGTGTACACGAGGCCGACGTTGAGGTCGAGCGCGGGCGCAAGGTCCGCCGTGAGTTCTCCCAGGACCTCGAACGAGGGCCCAATCATCGCTACCCTGATCAACTGACGGCTCGTGAGCATCGTCGCAGATAACGTGCAGGTTTTTGATTCGCTTACCCTAGTATGACGATATTCACGCCCGGGATCGGCACGCGCGAGAGAAGCGAGATGCGCCCGGAGTCGTGGCTGCCTTCGATATCGGCTCGGACGTGCACGGAGCCATTCAAGGTCGCATTCATATCTGCGCTCAAAATAGCATCTCGGGACGAGTCGAGAGTGAGAGGTCAGATCAGCAGGGCGCACCAGCATGCAGCATAAAATTCGTGACGATCAAAGGGAAGAAGCCGCTCAAATTGAAGCCGGTCTCGACGCCCGCCTGCACCCAGATGCCCACATCGACGGCGAGCGATGCGTTGAGCGGCGCTGCGTTGAGGGCACTTGCAGGACAGCTGGTCGAGGTGTTGAATAGAGGGACGGACTTTTCGTGCTTGATGTGGAATCTGGCGTTGCGTTCCCTGCTGAATCCTGGGAAGTGGAAGCATCAGTGGATAGAGATACGTCTTTGAGAGACTATGAAGATCACACCCTCTACCAGTGGCGCAGCTTTTAGTTTGCCGAAACGCATCTAACGGGCCTCTGTATCGCCCTTTCTCGTTGATCAGTGGGGAGGAAGGTCGACTGGATCCCTTAGATATCACCTTCCCTTGTGCCGAGAAAGATATATTTCCATACCTGTGCCAGAGCAAGGGATCAGCACGCACCGGTCAAGAAATGCGTCCATACAGCATTACTTGTCCTGGTCAAAGCGTGATAAATCTGTGTCCAAGGACAGAGCGTGGACCAATGACTGTTTGACATGTCGTTTCATCAACAAAGGCGGAACAGACTGATTTGATGAGATCCATGATTTGGCTATTCTGGCAAAAGGCATCCCACCGCACTAACGTAACGTATCAGCGTCATATCCAAGGAGGTAGGAAGAATGATTTGCGACATGATCGGGAAGCCGGACGATCTTGCCTTCGGCGCCATTCGAAAGGAGGTGATCGCAGCCTGGCGTTTTGCCGTCGTTAGCGCATACGACACGTATGTCCTGCTCCATAACATTCGGTTGGCATTCGATAATTATCCATCCCGCAGCTGTAGTCAGGTCGGAAATGGAGTCCGGCGTTCCTGTCTTGTCTCCCGCACGACTCTGTCAGCTTTTCTTTCTTTTGGTCGTGTATCGTTGATGGTGAATACGACTCACAAGTTGTAAAGATCCTGTAAAGGCCCAGCCCCCTCCAAAGTCATATGTACAATGTCCATCGAAGCAAGGGATTGTTCAGTTATTCTGAGCGAATTTGTGAGTCAACGACGAGACAACAGCCAGGGCTGTAGCCGCGAGAGAAAGGAAAAAAGGCCATACTGGTCGACCGGGGTGTGTAGGGGAGAGTTAAATGACACTGACAGGTGCTGCGGGTGAGGATATATATCCAGCGTCAATGCAAAATTGCAGTACACCTTGAGGGACCTAGCGACAAAGGGATCTCATTTCCCATCAGGACCAGTGCACATCCCGCTCCCCAAGCGCGCAAGAGATCTGGAAGATGCATTCTACAGAATAGAGGCTTTGCCTTGCCGAACTGCCAGAACTCTGATCTGATAGTGATCACCGGCATAATACGCCACAGCACACATACTTGAAAGTATGCTACTATCCCTGAGTCACCCGAATGACTAGCTTTGTAGATGATGCACGAGAAATCCATCGCGAACGTCGCTCGTCGTTGAAAGAGATATCGGAAATTGAGAGTCCGCGATTCTATGTCAAAAGGGAGCCGAATGGTCGGATTCGACCGCCATCCAACTGCTGCGCATTTGGAGACAGCATTCTGTATCAAGAAGTACCAGCAAGTCGTTTGTCGAACCAGTCAATATCATAGTCCTCGAGAATAGACGAAGATCAACAGAGCAGAGGAAGTTTCATGAGATAAGGCCCCGTGATCAAAGGCGTCCGATCGGACGTGCTCTCACATGTTTTTGGTTTCCTGAATGGTGCACTCTCTCTATTGTCAGTAATACATCTAGTAATGAATCATAACTGTGTACCGTTAGCACAAGACTGAATCGTTATCCCAACTATATGCCGAGCAGAGTCTAGAATAAGGTTTGCAGGGTATATGCTGTGAGGGCGGTCATTGAAACGAACATGATGATGTATTGAGGGATTAGGAACGGAGCAAGGTGTTCTGCAGCGCCAGTCCCTGAGAAGATTTGAGTCAAAAATACCTGGAGGGCGCGGATAAATATCAAATGATACACATCCCGAAGCTCGTTAGGCGGCTTACTTGTGTCGTCGCCGTTGGAAGACATGAAAGGAAGCTGCATCGGTTAACGCAAAGAGTGTTTCAGTATGCACTGCACAAAATAAGGATACATAGTGAATGACGTACATGCACACGAACTGGAGCACCTTATCATCCTTGCTAATCACGTCCACATGCACCAAGCCATGGACAATGAGCACGCCTATCACAGGCATGATAATCATTCTCCCAACGGCCAATGACACGATGGCGCCTTTCGGAATGGACGTCCAGTTTCCACACGGAACTTTGAGCCGCGCAAGCGCGCTTCCAAGGCATATAAGGCCAAGCGGAACCGATGCACCAGCTGCAAATGATGCAGTATCCATGATGAAGGCGAGAGGAGGTTGACCATCCGGAGCGTTGGGAATGGGTGAGTTGGGAACAGCGATGAAGAGCGCTTTGAGGGGCGTCACAAGCGCGATGGGAAATGCGAGGATGATAGAAAGCGATGCTGGGGTGATTAGGCTGGTCACAAAGATGCGCAACTCTGCTAAGAGTTTGTGCCTGGTTGTGTGCGGATGTGGGGCGCGCAACACGACGCCTTCGGAAGCAGGTACGGGAGAAGCATCGCCATCGATTGGCAGCGACGCGGGTGCGCTGGGACCATCTATGTGTGTGATTGTTGCAGTAGGCGAGGTGACGTGCGAAGCCAAATTCGGCTCGGATGGAAGCGGTGCGACGGTGGCACCATCGTCTTGATAAAAAGATACGTGTTTGGGAGTGGATGTTGGAGATCGATGTCGAGCTGAGGGCAATTCACCGCAAACTGAGCTGTCGACGGGCTTGAACGTCTTTTCGTCACCGATGTCTTCGAGATCCTCACATTTTTCGCTCAAGGAGCGTGTAAAGCCGGAGATCGAGGCTATCTTGCGCAGCAAGGAGATCCAACTTGTGAGCATCCATCGGCGCTTCTCTCTCATCTTCTCACGAACTTCTTCCGGTTCTATGTCTGGCCCCACGAAGTCTTTGGCGATCAGACGTGTTCCGCCAGCGGGAAACAATGTGACCTAGATACAGTGATAATAAGGAGTGTTGTGGAAAGGCAGCGCAATACAGGCTCACAAAGAAGACAAGTATGAATGCCGAGATGTATGCAACTGACAAAGTCTGGTCTGCGGAACCATTGAACGGAGCAACACCTGTGATGCTCATAATCACGGACGTGGCTAGAGGCAAACAATCAATGTTCAGTAAAATATCAAGCGCGTGAACGACTCACGGATGTCGCCGACATTCCCAAATGTCCCAGCAACGAGGATCCCGTACCGGAACTGATGGGGGACCCAGAAGAACTGCTTTATCACCCACGCCATGATAAATCCAAGGCCTTCATATACGAAAGCAACCAGAACTAACGGGCCTGAATTTGGAATGTGCAACATGTGAGTATGTAGCGAAATGGGACCGGGGTCGGTATGTACCAAGCGCGGAGATGTTGTCCGACGTGAATGCAGGCACGATGCGTGAGAACATGAGGCACGGAAGGGCGATGTTCTGTGCTTTGACGACGATTAAGATGAGCCCATAGCTTAGAAGAAAGACGCACCAGCATGATTTGACCTGCTCCTCTTGCAGCGACGGGAGGAAACAGGTCGGCCTTAGTCAAAGCGAAGCCCGATGCAACGACGAGGAACCTGAAAAAGTCGTGAGACAAATGTTCAACCATGCCGCCGAGGCTTACAATCGTAATAGAGGACGCAGAGATATCCATATCAGGGTGCCCGCAGACAGCATACTGCTAATCGTCGTTAGGTCGTGAGGACTCGCTAGGCCGACAGATGTTGATTCTGGGAACAAACAAGCCAACTCGCAAGCCGATTCGGTCTATGAGCGATTGCCGTGTCTGACGCCGTGAGGCAAACGGCTCGAGAACGCGCCTGCAGTGGGAACAGACTTTTAAAAGAAACTGCGTGAGCGGAGCCCCGGACCGAACAGGACCGAACCATCGTGCCTCTTGGCCTAGGCCCATACCATCGTAGTAGTCCAGCCGTAGTCCCTATGTGTTGAGGTTCTCAGGAATGAGGGACTCATGTGAGACGACCGTGAGGAGACCCGATAACAACTATGACAATGGATGCGCTTAGCGGGGAGGAGGGTTATGTTGCATTACGTCGCAGGAACTGTCATGCGCCCGTGTATGGAGGTCAAGTATCCAAAACTCGATCGCAGGATAGTCGTAAAGCAGGAACTTGATGGCTCAGTTGAATCACATGTTGGACTACGTTGACCTGACGGTATGTTCCGCCACGTCAGAAAGGTAGTGGTGGCAGGCAATCATCAATCAGGTCCAAGGCCAGGCAGGATAACTGGCAGGACCTAATTAGGACCTAGTCATTGGGAATGCTGCCATCGAACTATGGATACGGAATGCGACACAGAAAATTGCATACTTAGCTTGGTTAACTCAGTTGGTCAGAGCGCAGGTCTCATATGAGAGTATGAGGGATGAAGCATCCTGAAATCCTGAGGTCGTGGGCTCGTATCCCTCACCGAGAATTTATTTTAGGATGTTTGGCAAACTCGACAAACGACCTTTTGATCATTGATTGGTCGAGTGAAACGGGCGAACATAATCTCCTCCAAGAGTATCGACACCAGTGCATGCACGTGTTGCCCACAGAGCCCAATATGGTATCGTCGACATGCTCTTACACGCCGCCATGCGCCTTGTCCGAACGCGTAAGCCAGACTCTAAGATGAAAGGACACTCTAACAACGATGAACCAACTTGAAACCCAAAAACTGAAACTGAAACTAGAGAAAACGTCTTTGACCCATCATGCTACCTATGTATCCCATCCCGACCCCACCGCCTTCCAATGACACCCTATTCACAAACAACGAGAAAGCAACCAGAAAACCAGAAACTGAAAAAAAAAACTCCCGGCCACTCACGCGTCGTGCCCGGGCCTGAGCGAGCTCGTCCGCGTACTCATCTCGACCCCGCCCGTCTTGGACACGAACCCAACGCCATGGATGTGGTACTGTTCCCCGACAAGCTCCTTCGTCGCCACCATGAGCCGGTCGAGCCGCGTCACGATTCCGAAGGCCGTAGATACGCCGACGCAGAAACACCTGACGTCGGTGAGCAGCGACGAAAAGCATGGAACGAGGCCAGAGGGATTTAGTCAGTCTCGGCCTCGGTCTCACGGAAAGAGAGCAAATGAACACTCACAGGTACTGCTCGTTCTCGAGCGTGTCGATCGTCATCGTGCGCGGGAGCCCATAGTCGTCGTCCGCCTCCTGCCGAATGACATTCAAACCGTGCTGGTGTTGGATGAACCGGTCAAAGAGCGGGCACGGCGTTATCTGCGGCAGGGGGTTGCCTGTCCTGATCGCCGTCGATACGAGGCCTAGAAGTCACGACGGCTCATGTCAGCACTGACATCGGAGAAATGCACTGCTTCCGAGGAGGGGCGTGCGCGCGAAGAGGAACCTACTAATGACAGCGAGGACGTCGCCCTGAAAGTCGGCGTCGAGGAAGCGTGTCCTTCTGAGGAACGCGCGCGACCACGCGGGTTCGAGGTGCTCGACCACCGACATAAGGTGCGATAACAGGTAGGCAATCTGTCTGCGGAGAAAGTCAGGAGATGCCGGCACCCTAATAAAAAGTTCCGCACAGTTGAATTTCTAATATCTTGTGATATCTCTCCGCGGGCCACCTTCCGCGCAGTGAGAACTAGATAGAACCGCAGACCGCTTGTCAGAGACAGTTGTGCGGTGCTTAGATTAAGGTTACGAACCTCGTAAATGATGTTAGTTCGTAATACAACAGAGCGCTTCAGCTTCATGCGGATCGCGATCAAACTCTGTATAATCTCTTGCGTGTCTTCAGTGTTCCGGGCGTTGGCGAAGGAGACAATCGAGCAGTATACGGTGCCTATTTCGGATGCTGTAGTCGCCAGCGTATTCCGTTGATAACGTCGTAGGGTGGTCGACGGGGGAAGGAAAGAGAACACGCTAAGGTTATGGACTAAGAAAAAAGATGTTCGATATGTCCAAATGCACTCACAATGCAGCGGTGACTCCAGCAGCCACAAGGACAAATCTCCTCTGATTTATAAGAGGATGTCAGCGGTGGATATCAGTAGGGTAACATATAGCAGACCTACCCAAGCAAGGTTGATCCCGTAGTACGCAAAGGTTCCCACGCGGAAGTGTGTATTTTGCCACGAATATCCCAAAGTCTACTTTTCGTTGGGCCATGCTCCTCAGTCACAACAAACGATGAACTCACCAAGGCAGTCGTAACGAAAAAGATCAGGTTTGTCATAGGTGGCCCAGGCCAGTACAGTCTTGCGTAAAAGAAAAGCGGGAAGGCAACTGCGCACGTAGCAGCCAGCCCGTAGGGACTCCCATGGCCTGTCCCCGTAGAGATATACCATACAGCAGAGCCTACGATTCCGCCTAGGAATGTGCTCATGATGCGCGCCACGAGTCCGAACGTGGTGTCGCCACGCCATCGTGCAATCGTCAACTGCCCCATGAAACTGAAAGGTAACCGTGAACACAATGACAGATTAACGAACTACAAAAACACCCACATTGCCCAATTGAATCGTTGACCTTTCATTCGCAAGAAATCAGAGCCAGGCCACGACATGATGCTATGCAGACATACCATATGCGAAGCTAGCAGAAGACTGCAGCAAGGAGGGTAGAGATAGTAAGACTGATATGGCACACAAACCGTTAGCCTAGAGTTATTCGGGCGAGAAGGATTCGCATACTTGTGAGAACGCCGGCCTTGATGGCAAAAAGAACGTTCCCGCTGGAAAGCGCTTCGAGCATCCGATGCAGAAGGTTCATGAGACTCTCGAAAAGGTTGCGAGGAGGTAAGGCGTCTGGGTCTCGCCGCTCCGCCATCCCAAGATCCCCCATCCACGCACTGTCCATGCCTTGGATGATATCTTCAGATCGTGCAAAGTCTGTATCAGTTGACCGAATCCGTTGATGACGTTAGTACGTACCAGGGTTTTCATCGTCTTCGCGATCTAGATCGACGGTCTGATCCCATATGCTCCAGGTGAAAAGATTGCCCACCGGCATAGAAGGAAACCAGAGTCGAGAGCTGATACGTTTTTCTTCGAGATCGGTGGCCTCTTGTAACTGATCCAAAAAAAAGTGAATTTTCCAGATTTCCACGCAAGGTGCAGATGAGCTCACCAAATCAAGGAGGTTCATTGAGAAGTGCATTAAATGATATTGATACACGTAACAGTGAAAGAGGTAGCGATGGGGAGGTACATCTTCTCCGGTGATTGAACCAATATGTCTAGGATCAAACGCGGACCTGTATGGATCGACGACCAGATGTCTGTGTGTCACAGAGGATCAGAGCTGTGAAAACACCAACAGCACGCGAACTCACCTTTTATCCTTCCGAAACCGTTTCAAGATGTCTGCCAGATTAGTGGTCACGGTCTGTATTGCTTCTAAACGCTCGTTGTGAACGCGCTGGATGGTCTGTTCATTCCTCCAGAATGCGAAGCGATTCGTCCTCGACTGCTCGAGCCAGAAATCAAGACCCTTCAAGGAGTTCGCACAGCCCTCCAAGAGCTCATCACAACTCTCTTTTAGTAGAAACGTGGCGCGCTCGGTGAAATGAGACGACATCGGATGCGCAAAGTGTGTGGACTCGAGGTCGAGGTATCGCTGCGATTCGAAAACGCCAACGACATGCTCGCGCTGATGGTGATGCGAAAGAGAGAGATGCAGTTCGCGCAAAAGGTGCGAGTGGTGATGGTGGTGATGGCGATGCCCTGACCGCTCACGGAGACTCGGCGTGGGCGTATTCGTGCGCGTCAGCGGCGGAGATTGGGCGATACTGAAGTGTGTGTGACGATGACGTGCCCTTCGCGGAGAGATCGGCTCTATATCTGTGTTATGTGTATCCACTGTGGCCGTTGGTGTCAGAGGTGTCAAGGGGCTAGCAACATTTTTCTCTTCGATCGGGGATGGCGGACGAGAGGGTTCGGGGGTGCCAAAGGCAGGGGTGCCAGGTCGAGAGGGAGCAGGCGTCATGGGGAAACGCTCACGAGTCGGGTCGATAAGCCCAAAATACACGGTCATTCCGTTCGCGCGGACCGCCATGCGTAGCAGCTTTTTTCGGAGACTGGCCAAGTCGGTGGGAGAGTAGCGTGCCCATGAGAAATCGCGTTTTAGGAGACGTGCAGTTGCAGCAAGGGGAGCTAGCGCTGCTTCTGCCTTCGCGACAGATGCGATTACCTCAGCAGGAGAAAAGTCAGAGGATGAGGTAGGGATGGAAAGCAGAGAGCGATGATGATGAAGGCCTGCCACGAGGGGCTCCAGCACGGCTCGGAAGCGGGCCGTGTATTGTGCGGACATAGTGGATGGAAAGATGAGAGCAGACGTTATTATAGCTACAGCAGAATGAAGTGCGAGAGGAACGACGACGGCTCTCCCAATCTGTGCACATTAGCCAACGAACACACGCTTCAGGCGGACAGCACTTACTTGATAGTATGGGTATGGGAAGAAAACGGCAGTCGTCAATGATATATCTGTGTTCCCTGTCAGTGCAAGCATGGGGCCTGGTCATCAGACTACGCACCAAGACAGATGCAGCCGAAGATAGTGGCGAATAGAAATGGCCCAGGACCTTGCCGGGCTTTGATGTACAAGAAAAATACGACGCCAAAGAAAAGGAATATGGCCATGATGACTGACGGCTGTTGCAGTGTGAGCACTTTGGTGCGGAAAGAGAAGAATGCACAAACAGCAGCTTCGATATATTGGCCGGAGAAGATGGACTTGATGCTTGCGTTTGGGACAAAATTGGTGCGTGCTAGACTAGCAAGCTTTATGCCCAAGCAACTCCATCTACAGACAATCACGTATGAGATTCAAAAGGACGGGATGCTAAAATACTGGCTCACGCGTATGCCATTGAAACAAAGAGCAAAAGAACAAGCTCCCTTTCGAGGTTAGCGATGAAAGGATCGCTTGGCGGAGAAAGAAATGCAGCTGGATAGACGCAAGCATTCAATATTCAATGCAGATGAGTGGCACAGTCGAAAAGTCTCTACTAACCGATTATTATCAAGAAGCCAGCCTTGAGCGTCATCAGTTTGCAGTCGACATTCAACTTTAGTATAACATACCTGACCCATAGTCCGCAAAACAGGCTGAATGACTATAAGTAGAACAGACACCCATCCTGCCAAAGCACATCGAATGACTGGCTTCAATTTGGACCATGTCCAGTTAGCCGGGATCCACAGAAAGTTGGAAGGGAGTTTCGACTTGAAAGGCGGATCTGCGCTTTTTGTAGGGGCGGATTTGACAGGACTATCATGCTCCGGTTTTCTGGGCTCGGTCGTGTGGTGCGAGACCTCTGAGACTTGTCGAGCACTAGAGGAGGAGGTCGACGGGCCTTCGTCGCCAGTGCGAGGGTCATGGTGGACAGTACTCAGAAGCCCATCTGACATGGTAAGGGATGGAGTGAGGGATAAAGAAAAGAAGACTTTTTATCATGTCTCAACCTCTCGACCGTCGCCTCCCCGCCGCGGCCGCGCATGGTCGGGTTCGGAAGGATAAACTATGACGTAGTGTGGTTAGGGTTTTGCATTTCTTTTTTTGGCTCTTTCGTAACTTGTCACAACCACACACATGGACAGCTCTCCACCGCCCCCTCCGCCTGCCGAATCTACTCCTCCCCCTCCCCCTCCTATAGGCCCGTCGGGATCACCCACAGAATTTCTGAAAGGCGTCGTCGGCAAACGCGTCGTTGTACGCCTCACTTCTGGTGTCGATTATCGCGGTACGCACTTCCTGTTCTTTCACGATCTCGTACCAATCGCCATCCAGGAGTCCTCTCATGCCTTGACGGTTATATGAACATCGCCCTTGAGCAGACGGAGGAGCACGTCAATGGAGTAGTTACCAACCGCTACGGTGACGCATTCATTCGAGGCAACAATGGTGAGTGTTAATCTTGTGGCGTTCATGCGTTGCTAAATTAGGTCCCTGAAGTGCTATACATATCGGCTGCCGAGCCACTATGACAACCTCATATCCCCTGCTGTTTGATACCCTTGCGATCAGCTGCTCTGTTCTTCATTTGTTCCATCCACACGTCTCGATCATGTACTATCAACGGGCTCCAAGTTACTCTTGCCTTTACATGACCCCAAACTGGTACATCATTCTCTTCTTCCACAGTTGTAGTACCACTAATCAAGACTGCATGACGCCCGCTCCTTTACACGAGGAATCAGTCCATTGCAATCAATTGCAGAGCATCAGAATAAAATTAGGCCCACTCGATGACTTGCCGTGCGATCAGATCTGGCACTAGGATGTCGCTGAGATGTCTCGTGAGCTAATAGCCGTCGCAGTCGAATATTTTTTGCTGGTCGCGAATCGTCAAGTGGAGTGTCCTGGCCTCATGTGTATGCTTCAGTATAAACCAATTCACCGACGATGGGCATAGCACCAAGCATAGACCGCATGGGTTTGACCAGACCTAGGTACCCCAAATTTCAAGAAGCTTAGCTCAAGTCGGGACGCCGTTCAGGTATGAACATATCTACAGTAGCCTGGAGTTGGATCTCCTTGAATCCACTAGGCCGATAGCGAGTCCTCGCTTGGCACACTGAGATAGGCCCGACAGGACGTACTCCTATGGGCCAAAAGTCCACGGTCGACTTGGTGAATAAAAGGAAGTGCATTGGCGTGAAGCTCGAGAGAAATAATGACAGTTGACTCGTATTTTTTCCTACACAGCTGAGTTGATTTGTACATACGGAGAGCTCACCATGCATACGCATGATCCACCAAGTAGACTTGCCAGTTCTGGTGGTGGAAAGAAAGAATTACGATTTCGTATGCGTGACCATTGGCGTTGGTGCGTCACATCTTGTTGGACGAATCAGATCACGGCGATCATTGAGTCATCGCCATACTCCGACTTGCAAGAGGTCAGTCAGATCCTGTTAGATCATTTCTCGATTCGATTTTTCTAAACAGGCTTGGTAATGCCGCTATGGCAATCGTTCCCTCTTAGGACTGTGGGCCTCATCCCTCCATCCCTAGGGCTGAAGGACTTGTCTATATCTCGCTAAATCATCAAGGCATCTGTCGTGGGTGCGTTTTCTCCGGGCTTACAGCAATGCACCATCTTCTGATTGCGTGAACATTATGTTTTCGCTATGCCATATCGGTATAACCTCGGGAATCGCTTCTGTGAAAACGTAGTAAGAGCCTCATCTTTCCTTAGTACAGGGCTGATCAGTGTTGTTCGTTGGCAGTCGCCCCCCATTTCACGCATTTGACCGGCGGCGAGGTTGATGCGTCTTTATTTTAATACGCTTTCAACTCCATGTAATCTGCGATGTCTCGGTATCCCGATATTTCCCCTCGCCAACCTCGATTTTTTGAGATCTCGTATAGGTTCCAAGATGCGTTGATCTCCCTGTGCCGAGAGGGCTCGACGATCTTCGAATGGGGCAAAGGGCGAACTTACTCATCGATTTTCATTGCCGTATCCTAGATCCAGTCATGAAATTTGAGGCACGTGCTGAGGTGAGTAGACGGCATGCAATAGATCCCACTTGTCCCTCCCGGGAATTGACTGCACGACTGATCAATCACTATTCTGCTTGGGTTTAGTCGTGACTAACAATCAGATTTCAAGATCTAACTGATAGCGGCTGGTCCCGTCGGTATTCCCTTCAAAATCTCTCCATCCTACGACGTTCGTTCTTTTTGTTTCTCTCGCGATCGCTTGCCCACCAGATCCGGCCGACACCTCTTTTCTTCTTTTCTTTCGGTTAGTGCCGGCGCGTTTCACGCATCTCGCCACCCCTTCCACGAGAGAGTCTGCCGATAATTCCGCCGAGCCAACTGCAGCTTACTCGAGGTCCCGACGACTGGTAATGGTGATCGTCTCCGCAGTCGTCCCCTGGTATGATGGTTCGGTTCTCCTTTTTCCTTACAAGAATCATCCCAATTACGTCCCACCCTGAAAGACTCCCAGAATCTATATGGGTCTATGTATCCCTCCTCGTCCACCGAATTCTTGGGTAGCTTGCGCAATGGTCGGCAAGTTCCCTATCTCGTTTCGGGACACCGCTGTTCTCACTGCGCCTCCCTTTGTGTCTTCGCACACATGCACCGGTACCAGATAGCTAATTCTGCGGTGACGGGGCATGGGCGCTCTCAAACGCATGCCAACATGGGCTAAGTGTTTTGCCTTGCTTTTGCGGCCTCTTCCGTGGTGGAGATCCAATAACAGGATTCCTACTTCGATCGTGCTTGATGCATTGATGAGGCACTCACGATCGAAATTGAAACAGCGAGATGCTGTCGTACGCCCGCCGCACCGCTCAAACATCGTTTGTACGAGTCTACAATATCTCACCAATGCATCTGTCCTTCCAGAGGCAATCTGACTTTCAGCCGACTTCAAGTAAGTTGAGCCCTAGATCGAGAGAGACTGAGTGTGATTCTTTTTGATTAATTCATTTTGCCACAATCTCACGGGACGCATCAGCTCGTGTTCGATAATATACAGTGACTATAATACAATGTAAAGTGCTCAAAGACGAGGTTTGATAGAGTCCCTGATGGAAGCAGGATCCAGAACACTCTGAGGATAAGGCAGCGTCAGAGACCTTACATGCTCAGAGCCACCGTCGACGACGATGATCTGTCCGTTTATAAAGCTAGCTGCATCGCTGAACAGAAATACTGCTGCATTAGCACAGTCTTTGACGTCTCCCATGCGACCTGTGGGCACCATCGACGCCGCGTGAGCTTCTTGAGATCCCGACCCTTTGGCAGAAAGGCGATCCATGCCCTCCGTGCCACCGATAGGACCAGGGGCAATGACATTGGAACGGATTCCATGAGGGCCTTCTTCGACAGCAAGTACAGCAGACGTTGCATCTACTGCCGCCTTTGCTGCGGACACGTGGACCTGGTAGGGTGTAGCTGGAGTCGAATATCAATTACATGGCAGAATATCGGCGTTTGAATGGACACGGACCGCGGTAATGGAGAGTGGCGCTGACATGAATGTAAGAGCCCTTGGATGACCTCACGTGAGGCAAGGTAGCCTTGATTGTGTGATACGTTCCGAGCTATACGGTCGCAATTCATTGGGATGTGTATCAAGGTCAAGACTATCACGAATCTTACTGTGTCGATCTCTATCACAGTCCTGAAGGCGTTCTCAGATAAACCTGAGATAGGCGCGAGAAAGTTCCCGGCTGCGCCTACATTTTGATTCATACAACATGTCAGAATGGTTGGAGCGGTGTTCGGAGGCTAGACTGCACTTACCGCAAATAACATAATCAATTCTTCCGAACCTTTCGATCGTCTTCCTGACAGCTTCTTGCAGCTGCTTTGGTTGTCTAACGTCGGCTTGAGCTGGAAGGCATGCTCTACCAGTAGCGTCGGACAACTCCTTCGAGGCTTGAGTGAGGCGTTCCAGGCTACATTGGCAGTCAGTCATATCTCAGCCGTCAAGTGAGCACGAACACGTACTTTCTGCCAACTATGGTCGCACTTGCACCGTGACGCATCTGATAAATTCCGGAATAACTAAGAAAAACTTTCAATAATGATGCAAGCTAGAACCGCACCACAGCCTCCGTCATTGCGCGACAGATGCCTGAACCTCCTCCAGTGCAGAACAGCACCTTGCCATCGAAGATATTCTGCTTGAAGACCTGAGTAGAGTCGGTCACGGGGTGAAAGGGTGCCATTGTTTTAGGTCGAGTGGGTTGGAACTTGGAAGTAATGGTCGTTTGAGAGGAATTCATAGTCGATCCTCGACGTGGGGTATCCGGCGTCGGCGCGATCACTTCCCGAGCACGGGGATCGCGTCAGCACGTGATACTTTCTCCTTGACACATTTCATTTCTGTTCGTTTTTCGTTCATGCATCTGAGGCTCCTGTAGGCTTTTGCAGGCCCCTAAGCTTTCTCACACTTGAAGCTTGAATCTTCAGGACGCCGCAGCGATAGACGCTATGTCGTGATGACCTGCTAGTCTCTCAACATCATGGAGCTGTCGTGTTCGACGGCGGTGTGTTGCTTTCACCAGAAAGCTCAAGGTCACTCACAGTACTCACGGGTATTGGCCTGTTCCGTACTGATGCCGCAGAAGATAAGTACGCACTTCAAGTCTGACGTAAATCGCAAGGTTTTCTGATTCGCTGCCGCATGTACGGGTGCTATGTATATGATAGCTTCCACAATGTCCGATCGAGCCAAAGGAGATTCATGATACGTTTAATTTCCAGCTCGTTGTTCTGCGTTTCTATGTCATAAACTCTTCGTTCGAGACGCTATCGGTCCTACTGAGGCGTGAGATGACTGACCACGTCGAAACTGACTGCAAGCTGCACGCCGAGAACCCCGTGCAAACAGCCGACCATCTTTAATCCCTAAAGGACATGGCTCCCCGAGTCCGAGCACTCCGATGGGGCAAACTTATTCCTGGCCAGCAATCAATCTGACAGGCGATCTCCGCGCCCAGTTTCCCAGCAGAATCAGAACTCTCACACAACGCCAACGGCCAAATAGACACGCGACCTTCGAGGAAATATATTTTAGTGTGGCTTATACTGTGACTCGCATATCCTCGATTTCGTCGGGGCTCAACTCCATTGGGAGTTCCGTCCCCCTAACGCAGATTTAGCTGTTGGCCTAGATAGGTAAGTTGCGAGGCAAATGTTTCTCGTGATGCCTATAACCCCGTGTCAACCTAAACTCTTTTGAGGCTCATACCGTGTTCTAGTCGTTCACGAACGTTTTCCAACTGGGTGTGCGCCTGTGTGCGCACTGTTCCCTCAATGTGTCCGGTTGAACACTCACACGTAATGCGCTCACCGTCGTGGTGAAATCTCCTGACCGCCTAGCTCACTTCTCTTACCTCAGAACGCGACGCCTGCTCCAAAACCTTGTTACTCTCTCTCGTTCTTACCCCGTGCCCTGACCTGACACTCACGCAGAACGTCTCTGCGCTCCTCCAATGGACTTTCTTGCTTCACGCCCCTGTCCTGGCTTGGGTGACTCATCCTCCCTCACCCTCCTGCGCCCATTCAGTCTAAAAGTGTGTTCCACGAAGGCGAGCAGAGCAAATATCTGATTTGCAAATGCCAGCTTTTTCCGCAAACCCCGAAGTTTGTTCAACCTGCGTGCGCGAGCGCTGAACATAGGTGGCACCATCTTCCCTCGAGAGTCCAGGCTTGGGAGCCGCCTGCGCACACACCGAGGTACGGGCTCACGTGAAGAACACGATACGTCGCGGGACCCGGCTGTGCTTCCTTTCGTTTTTCTTCTGTTTCTCTCATCGCACCGCTGCGTGCTTGAGCATCAGGACCAGCTTCGCGCTGCTTGCCATGTGGCCCGGAGCCCTGCATCTATTCTCACAGGGGGGCGAAGTCGAAGCCCCGCAGAGCCCCGCACGCCCTGATGCGGTGGCGCACGCACGTCCTCACCTTCATGTCACGGGTCCCGCCCCGCCCGACTTCCGACTTCCGACGGGTCTTCTGTCGATGGAAATCTGCACGGAACACTGCACGAAGGGCGGTGTGGGTGACAGTGTGCCCCTGGGTTCGCAGTCGCGCCCACGGCGTGTGCTCATCGCTCATCGCCCAGGCGCCCTAGCCTGTCTGTCAGGCGTTGCTGGCGACGCCACGTCTCGAAACCCACCAAGGTTTGGCTTGGCGCCGCAGACGTCAGCGTCGGCGCGGTGGGCGCAACGGTCGCGGAATCGGAGCGATGTCGACTTCTCGAGGCCCAAACTATCTTACCAGGCGTGCCCTTCGACTCTCAGGCGGTCGGAGTCGGAGTCTATGTGCTTTTCGTCGGGCGAGGAGGCTCGCATGGAGAATGCACAGGCCTGCGAAAGCAATCCACTGCCCGCTGTGAGCGAGACGTCGTGTACCCTGCACCGTGGCCGAAATAGATCTGCGTACCTTACCATGGGTTCGCGAGTGAAGATCGATTTCCAATTCTGTTCGCCCGTGTTGACACCGATAGAACACCGAACTCGGATGCCAAGCCAGGCGTCCGCAGAAGTTGCTCAGCCGAAAAACTCATTCTTCGTCGATGGCCAGAGGGAAGAAAAAAATAGCAAATCGGCTCGTAGGGCACTGGGAGTATGTATACGGCGCGGGTACTGTACGGATGGCATGGCTATAGCGGAGGACAGAAATACAACAGTCGACGGGGCCCGGGTCGAGCAAGACAGACAAACTGGGATGATGATAGCTGGACAACGAAACGGTGACATGAGACTGGACGACACGAGAGCAACGAATTATGTAGGAACGTAAGATACTTTGACTTCTTCGATACACAAGGTCACTGCAAGATAAGGGAATCAAGACGGAACAATAAAGACAGGCCAGTATACCCGTAAAAAATATATGCACAGAAAATAACGTCCGCGCAGGCGGATGCATGGACTTTGAGGCTGGGCTGTCAGTGCCCATCCACCTTGTTGCGGTCCCAGTAGCTCACCTGAGAGCTCGTGGAGTAAGGGCCTGGAGGATGTGCGGAGGCTGCCATGGCGTGCATATTCTGGGACAGCGAACTGGCTGACAGGGTGCCTGCAGCAGAGATGGAGCGAGAGATAGCGGAGGAACGCGCGGAGAGCTGAGCATCTGGGTCATGGGCGCCGTGCTGGTAGGGCGAGGTGGCTGAATGGGGAACGGATGACTGCAGCTGCAGAAAGCTCGTCGGCTGATCGTATCCGGCGCTTCTGGCTCCGAACGACCCGCCCTGGAAGTGGCTGGACGAGCCGAAGTAGGTCTCCGGGCTGCTCGAGTGCGTCGAAGCCGAGGACGGTGTCGAGCTCTGATATGTACCCGGGGAGTGTGGCTGGGTGGTGTAGTAGCTGGAAGACGAGAGCGCGTGGACGGGAAAATGCGAAGACTGCGACGACAGGTGGGAAGAAGCGCTCGAGTTGCTTGGGGAAGGCTGCGAGTGGGTGCTGGACCATGCGCGCTGTGAGGGCGGAGAGTATAAGTCACTTTGGGGTGCGGTCAGCGTGGACAAAGGTCGATCACGAATGCTAGCGGTATTCAGCGGCGGGACAGAAGGCCAGCCCGATCCGGCGTTGCGGGATTGAGCACCTCTAGCCATCCCCATCGCACTCGTCCAATATGCGGCATGTCCACTGATCGTCTCCGAAGGGAAAACATTTGACGACTGCGGATGTGCCGGCTGCTGGAGATGCGAGTTGGACGAATACGTGTGATTGAGTTCCGACAGATGCGGTTGGGGCGAGAGCGAGGACAAAGAAGACCCGGGTTCAGAGCGTCCTTGGGCCGGAGAGACGTGATGAACTCGGGGGTTCTGCTGAATAAACTGACTAGCCGTATAGTCGGGGGAAGAATAGGAATAAGGAGCGGACGTCGAATGGGAGGCCGGAAGAATCGAGTCCTCGTACACCAACGATGTGCCAGCGGATTGGTGGCTGCTGCTGCGGGAATGCACTATGATCTCACGCGTAGACGCGTGGACAGCTCCGTCGTCTTCGACGGATGATGCATAGTCGAAGCCGTGCGTCGCGCCGACATCGTCGAGGTGATCAGCTGACGAGCCAGAGTCGAGCAGCGTGTTCAGCGTGGCATCCAACTTGCGCTTCTTACGGGAATTGTTCGGCCGTCTCCTGTAGACATAGTCGGGGTACTTCGAATTGAAGTTGTCCTTGAGGTGCTTCGCCTGGTCAAGATAGTACTGCTTGTCGGACTAAGGGCAGCGACAAAGAGCGGTGAACGGTTATGAGCGCCCGAGGTGGGAAAGGTGAAGTGACTGACGAGGTCCATTGAAGTCCACTCTCTGCTCAGAATTTTGCTAATTTCTCCAGTGCGCATCATTTGATTTGCGGCGGAGACCTGGGGCCTCCTCCTGCGTGCAAATATCATGAACGCATTCATGGGCCGTTTGGGGGTGCCGTCCGCATTGAGGGTCTGTGCGGTTAACTGGACATCCTCTGGGAACGAGGCAAACGCAGTCAGTAAGCGGTCACAGAGAATGCATGTGGGCAGACCTGGAGAGTCTGCGCTTAATTTTTGGGTTTGTGGAGAGTGAGGGACGGAGGAGCTGTCGTCTGAGCCAGAGAGAGAGCTGTCACGGTCGAGCCGTCTCGGCGCGTCATCTAGGTCTGAGTTGTTGGGGCCGGCAGTTGCCGAGGTACGGTGAGGGTGATGGGCGAGAATGTGGTCTGAACGACTCATGACGGGACAGGTTGGGTGTGGAGGGGGGGGACAGCGAGAGGGCGTAGAGGGGGGCGGGAGAGGAGGAGGAGGAGGAGGAGGGGGAGAGCAGAGGAGGGAGAGAGGAGGAGGACGGTTGCGTCGTGATCGGTTCGGGGGCGGGTGTCAGTTAGATCGCAGACCAGATGGACGGGAGGCTATAAAGGGTCGTGCGTGAGGACAAGGTACTGATAGCGGGTCGAAGGGCGACACGGGTGCTGATGTGCGCGACTTGTTTGGCGTGTGGTGGTCTGCGCGGCGAACGGGTTCGCGTGTTTCTGGAGCCAAGCTGCTGCCTCGATACGTGCGTGCGCGGGCGCACAGACGTTGCGCGGGTTGCAGCAGCGGGCATTATAGGGGCTCGCGGTGGGCAGCGGCCAAGGCACGCGCTGAACCGAGCCAGTTGCAGAAACAGACTGGGCCCACTGTCACCGGTCCAGTGACAGCCTGCTCCTTCCTCGACCGTTACAGTCACCCCTTTCTCCGGCATATTTTTCGTTTCCCCCCTCCTTGCCTTGCCTTTTACGACCGCCCCGGCCGTCCTCAGCTCCCAACACGGTCTAGCGGCCCCCAGCGCTTCCCCTCGGGTCCCCTTGATCTCCCAACCCTGCCCTCGGTCCCTCGTCCGCATCCCCCGGGAGCCCTCTGCGTCCTTCGCCCCCTCCGCCTGCCGCTCTTCGCCCTTCCACCACCGCGCTCGCGGAGTCGTCCTTGCAGCCGCTCTCCACGTTCTCGCCGTCCAGATCTCATCTCAGTCCGAGACGGAACGTGTCGCGGAGATCGCGGGACCCGGAATCTGAATCTGTCAACTAGAGCCCAAGTCGTCTGTCGTCCGCCACCGGGTCGCTCTGCGGCCTTGCTTCATACAGCATCTCGGCATCCTCCGCCTCCCCCAGTTTCGCGCTCTTTTCTCCCTAAAAACACCGAAAACCGTCCGCTGCAAACTCTCTCCCCTGCACGTGAATCCGTCGCGTCGTCGCGTCGATCCTCGCCTCCCGTCGAGTCTTGACTCTGCGTTCCTTTGGAAATGTAGACTCATTCTTTCATTTCACAGCCCCGGCCTGCTGTAACCACATCAGACAGGCGGTTATCTATTTTTGGGAGCCAGATTTCGATTTTTCTAGGTTTCGCCAGCCTCAGATTCTGCATCTGATGAAGTTTCCCGCCTGCACATTCCTGATTGGTGCATCAGCACCACCGCCCGTCGTCGCCTTCCCTCGTCGCCATGCTCCACCAAATAAATCAGGGCCGGTCCTCGTCCTCGATCGATGGATGAAACTTCCGTTGGACGAAATCTTGACATCTCCCCACAGTATTACAGTAGTGCCCTAGTCCCCCAGTGCGCCAGCAAATCGAGCGCTCAATCCAGTCTCAGCGCGGCGTCTCCGTTTGGTTCTTATCTGCGACTGGCTGGAGCCTCTTAGGAACCTACCTCCCGCTTGGGTGCTCTACTCTCAGCCAACCAGCGTGCATCTCCCCAATAAAGCCATATTCGTGGCGAACGGATCTCGCAAGCGAGCCGTGTGCCCTCGCCGCGCAGCCGACTGCGGCAACGCTGTGTCCCCCCTCAAGTAGGTTAGGCCTACGATGCCCACCGTCGTCGAACCTCTCGCCCTAGCACCTCGCTTCATTGCCTAATCTCCACTCTATCCGCGATGCGTCCGCGTAGTACGTGTGACTTCATACAACATGCATTTCGTCCAAAAGCGCCCAAAGCGCTATCTGCAGCATAATTCCATATGTCCATTATGAAACTCATCTGTGATCGGAAGAGAGCCCTCGAGCGTCGGCCGGGTTCTCTTCTGTTCTTCTGAATGACGCACTGTCCAGAAAGTGATGTAATGGCTAGGAGCAACAGACTCGAGGCTTCCAGCCGTTCTGCGCGTGGAGGTTGGGGCGAACTCGAGCAGGACATGCCGTAAATATGCATGACACCGCAGACCTGTCCGCTAAGCTCACGTCGGACCCGCCGTATCGGCGATTTTCAGCGACGCCAACAACTCATCAGGCCGTGGCACACGCGTTGCCGTCATCAGGCTTTACGGCGCTCACACTTGTGATTGGCGATGCCGTGCGCGGCGAGTCCTGTTATCCGGCGTCCATCGTGATCTACGCGTTGGGACAGGCGCGCTCTAGGCTGCAGGGCCGAGAAGAGGATGCTGGAAGAAATGTAAATCCTGTCAATCGCTAGCGTAGATGGCTTCCACCCAGACCGTCGATGACATCGAGTCGACTGTGCATCAGTCGTCTTTTCGAAGAGAATCGAACAAGATACCTGGAGACGAGAGAAGCTGATCTGTTGCGAGACATGGCGGCATGTCAAGAAGCCGAAAGAGATGCGCACGCATGGTCGAGATGGGCAGACGGTTTCACCTATGAAAAGCGCACGGGCTTCACAAAGAAAGCAGATCGACATCAATGGCCGCTGATTAACGCTAAAAACAGGTTGATAAGAGTGATCATCATCATACGTGGTGGTGATGATGATAATGATGGTGATGACGATGTCTACACCGTGGTTGAAGTTCCTACCCAAACGCGAACGGGTTGCGGTGGTGGTTCGAAAAGATGGCAAGAGGCGTGGGGGGACGTGCTTGAACGCTACGCCGTATCGAGTGTTCTGATGCAACGCCAAGCCACTTCTTGCTTCGGCGAACGCACAGCCATCACACAAAAAAAGAACAGACATTATTGGAGCCTGACCTGAACCATAATGTCGCGAATTGGTTCGAACGTGGGGTCCGTCTCGTCCCCAACAGCTGGAAATACATTTAGAGTGCGTTCACACCCTCTTCGAAGGTCAGAGCAGCGAGCAGGTGGGATAGACGCGAACGCGTTGCTCGCTTTGGTAATTGAGTAAGATCGTAAGAAGAAGGGGGCGAAGCGGGGGCAATAGCTGCATCTTTGGTGCACGCCCACGCGTTGGAGCGGACGGTTCTACGAGAGAAAATCAGCTACGATGGAACTTACGGTGAAAATCAGCGGCGGACTTGTGTTGGCAAGCCGCCGCACTGCGAGCGCCATGCCGGTACCGCCGACGCGGCTTTCGCGGGTATGTGGCGGTGGCCTGGTCTAGATTCCCTGATGCGCCCGGTGCGAACAGAGCGTGATCCAACGTAAAGGCTAAAGCGTTCGGCAGTGCGCGTAGGAACGAAGAAGGCAACGGCGGGCTGGGGGGCCTAAGAAGCATGCATCATGGGCGCTGCAGGCTACCAGACTGGCGAAGGCGCAAGCAGGTAGATCTACCCACAGCGAAGAAAGCTCCAGCCCAGGCGACGTGCTGCGCACGTGTTGGTCTCACAGTCCTGGATGGCCGAAGAGAGGAAGGGTATGACCGTGGGCTTGTGAGAACGTCGCGACGCATTGGGGAAGTTGAACTGCAAGTTGATGAGCAGGTGGGGTGCAAGTTGGAGAGTCAACCTGCATGCTGGCGATATCGGGCTCTTTACCAATCGCATCCGCGAGTGCACGAGTAGCTCTGGCTGTCCAAGTAGGACCCGAATGTCCGTTGCCCCTTTCCAGCGCATCCGCTGTCTGTCAGTTCGAAGGGGTTCGTGACTCATATGGCCGCAGCCACAGTGACGCGATGGCCACTTATAAGCTTACATAATACGTTGACCGCGTGACCGCGACGCGCGCCCGCTGCCTGCTGCCTTTGTTTAGCACCAGCTGCGCCTACACCATCGAGCGGTAACAGTGCGCCCCTTCATTTCTTCGTAAAACATCACCTTTGGACGCATTGAAACGTGAGCTCAGATCCAGCGAGCGAACAGCGATAGATGCCTCTTCTTGAGGGCGTCACATTCCATGTCCCTCCCTCTGTGTCAGCCGAGCGCCAGCTTCATGTCTCTACGCTTCTTCAAGCCAATGGCGCCTCTCTCGCTCCTCTGACGGAAGCCGACTACGTCGTCACCAATGCTTTTGACTTTGAAGGCTGGCAGAGTGTCCCTGACAACGCCAAAGTGGTTACTGTGCGTACGCTGCTTCTGACCGGGCTTGCACAGAGACCTGACCGAACGCTAGGAGACATGGCTCGAGAGAACCATGATATTAGGAAAGATACAACCGTGAGTCGTGTCGTGTCCGATGATGTGCGCTTATGTACGCTCCATTTAGGGCGCAATACTATTCTCCGGACCCAGCGATGCTATTCTCGGGCGTAGTGGCGTGCGCAACTGATGTGTGTCTTCCGCTTTCTCGCATTCTTGTCACTCAGGCCGACCCGCAGCGATCATCTGTCAGCTGTCTCCACCAGACACCGAGGTGCTCTCCGCTGGTATCACCGCGCTGGGTGGTCAGTGGCGGCCAGGCCTCACGCGCGAGGTGACCCACCTCTTTGCCGTCGCACCTGGCTCCGAAAAGTACGAAACCGCGATGCATTACCAGAAGGACACATGTGTCAAGGTGCTTGCGCCCCACTGGTTCGATGACAGCGTCAGATTTGGCACGCGCGGTTTGGCGACGAAGCCATACGAGTGGCCTGAGCCCATGATCCTCCAACCCGGACCCCGTATCGACGGAGTGGGGGCCTCGAGTCAGGGAGATCTCAAAGCCAGGATCTCCGGTGACAAAAAGATGCTGTACAGGACGGCCTTGATGTCGCCGGGACAAGAGCATCGTCTGGGGAACGTGGACAAAGGGAATGTTTGGCAGGGCAGACGCATCCTTCTCTGTTCTGACCTAGGTCTCTCTCAAGGGCGAAGGGTGGCCATGGAAGCTAGTATCACTCGAGCGGGCGGGGTCATCATAAACAGCGACGCAACCAATGAAAACATCAAGGTTGATGAGGCGGACGTACTCATTGCGAGGTATAGGTGGGGACATGCTTATGTCAAGGTGCGTTCTATTCCCAGCCAACAAGCTCACGGCGTGACATCTGAAACGCCCCACCAGGCTGTGAGAGCGAACAAGTTCATTGGAACGCTCGCTTGGATATTTCACGTCCAGGCTGCGGGAGTCGTGTCTGCGCCGACGGCTCAACTGTTGCACTATCCTATCCCCAAGAAACCTGTTGAAGGGTTTTCTTCACACGTGCGTACGTCTGCTCTCTGCGAGAATGCAGTTATATTCATGCCGGCATACTCTGCAGGAGATCACGGTCACGAACTACACCGGAGAGTCGCGTGAATATCTCAAGAAATTGATCACGACCATGGGTGCCACGTTCACTCCCAGCATGTCGGGACGCAACACTGTACTCATCGCAGCATTGTAAATCTCCCTGTCCTCCCACCCTTGTAGGGACGCTAACGATGTGCCTTCATTCAGCATTGCCGGTAATAAAACTACCAAGGCCGGAAACTGGTCCATTCCGGTTGTAAACCATCTCTGGCTCGAAGATTGCTTTGTTCAATGGAAGAATATTACGGTCGGCAAGGAGAAGTACGTTAACTTCACGCCGGGGATCAACTTCACTGAGATGCTGGGCGAACGCGGTATTGGACGGTCGGTAGTTCTGGACGGTCTGTTGGAGGTGGAAGAAGAGATGAATGCGGCCAGACAAGCCTCCTCTGAAGGCGCAGAGACAAACCCACCCCCACCTCCTTCTAATATCAGTGCTCGGGAAGTCGAGGAAGCAGTGAGGGCGGTGGATGGCATGGACGTCGAGGACGAGCCCATCAGCAAAAAGGCGAAGACAATAAGACCCGAGCCTGATGATATGGAAGTAGACGAACCCCCAGCAGCGGGGAATAGTCGCCAGCCCCGTCCTCGCACGCTCTCGAATGCTAGTGAGCTCCGACGCAGCACACGCAGAAAAAGCATCAGCAGTGTAGCGGCCCCAGTTACCCCACGACCAGAACAGCCGCCTTCCTCGAGGCCCGAGGCCCCCGCTGAGCCCAAGAACCTCCCTGAGCCCGGCAAAACCGCACGGAAGCCTCCCGTATCTGCGCGCGCTCATAGCGCTCATAAGGGCAAGGACCGAGACCGAGACCCAAGGTCAGACGACGATGCCCCTGTGGCTCGCCCAAAGGATGCGCCCAATAAGACCAAACTCCGCCGGGAACCTATTCCTCCCCGAGGGTCTGACGACGAACTCGAGGTCATCGAAGATACGACAGTGTTGTTGAAGGACGGCGAGTCGTCCAAGCTGCCCACCAGCACGCCACCAACCCCCAAATCCTCACAAAACAAGACGCCGCGACGACGACTGTCTGTCCTCTTGCCCCCAATAGGTACAGGCGATGCGCTCTTTTCAGGATCCCGACACCGCATAGGCAAAGAACCGAGCTCGTCGAGGCCTAAATTACCACGTCCAGACCTGGGCTTGACATCAGAAAAGGAGGCCGCAGGCCCGTCGACGCGGAAGCGGCCTAAGCCCCGAATATCAGCAGCTGATCTCAGTCTCATCCAGAACTCGCCAGCGACGAGCCGGGCGATCGGGCGGCGGGCGGCGGCGGACAAGGCTACGCACAAGTTGAGAGAGGAGATCATGCCCGACGTCAGGAATTTCGAGAAGGAGATGAAGAGGGGGCACGTTCGTGCGATAGGCGAAAGCGATGGGGGGGTCGCGCGGGATGCCAAAGGCAAGGCGAAGGAAGTGACTGAGGAGGACGAACAGAAGGCAAAGGGCAAGGGGCTCGAAGACGTGGCGGAGAGGGTCATCGCTAAGAAGCGGATGAAGTCTAGGCAGGAGGCGGAAGAATCTGCGGACGATGGAGAACGGGGTCGTAAAAAGCGGAGAGTCAGCACGTCGAATGCTAAGGGCAAGAACAGGGCCGGGGATGATGATGATGAAAGTCAGAGTCGCGTGACCCGGGAGGGGAGGCAGGCCGTCCGATCAAGCAAGAAGGCTCCGGCACACACCCACGAGCCTTCGGACGAAGAACGACCAGCTCGAAAGACGCAGACGGCCAGTTCGTCGGCGAGGAAAGGGAAGGACAGGGCCGCCCTCGAATCAAACGAAGACGACGAAGACGAAGACGACGAAGACGAAGACGACGCAAGCGCTCCGTCCAAAAGCAAAGGGAAACACAAGGCAGCCCAGAGTGAGCATGTGCCCAAAGATGCCGCGCGTAGCGTCAGCCGGCAAGATTCTATGCAAGTCTACGTCCATCGTCAGAATCTGTCGTCGTGCTCATCCAAAGAATATTCGCAGCTCTGAACCACCCGACAAATCCGATGTCAGAGTGTTAGTGACGCAGCTGTCGCTCGGAGAGGAAGTGACGAAGGTCCGTCCAGAGCTTCAACTTGACTTTGGTCGGGCTCACCCGTGAAACTGCAGGCGTTGACCAAATTGGGCGCTAAAATGGTCTCGAAGCCTTCGGAATGTACGTATCTCGTGGTCAAAAATTTGGGCCGGACGGAAAAGTTCCTGTGTGCGATGGCTGTTGCGCCATGCGTCGTGACAGAGAAATGGGCTCTCGCGTCGGCGGCGGCAAAACAACTCTTACGTGAGCGTTCACCTCGTAGGCAAACGCGCATAACCCTAAGCCCACTGTATCGCAGCGCCCGATAGGTACTTCCTCGTTGATTCTCAAAACGAGGCGAAATACAACTTCAAGCTCTCCCAGGCTCTGCGCCGGGCAAAAGAGAACAAAGGGAAGTTGTTTGCGGGGATGGTATTCTACGTGACCCCAAAAGTGAACGTCGACAAGAAATTATTGAAGAACGTCGTCGCTGCCCATGGTGGTCAGGTACGTCATGTCTTGCATCTCGAAGAAACACCGTCTGATTGATCATCAGATTCGCATCCAACCGCCTACCGCTCGTATAATCGGCGGCAAGGGCAAAAACTTTGCCATCTCATGTCTAGAGGATATATCCATTTGGAGACCTATCGCTCTGGCCGGGCATACGGTTTATTCTCAAGAAGTGCTTTTGACCGGGGCGCTAACACAGCAGCTACTCTGGAACGACCCCCAGTATCATGTCAACAAGTAGCGGACGCAATCTGTACTACATGTGTGTCAGTCCGCACTAGGCCATATATTCTTCAGCGCTTACTTACTCCGTCGTCCAGATATCGTGTTATGTATTTTGGTTTATCCTTTTGTGTTGACTAGCGACTACATTGTCATGTTCATCAGCAACAAAGTGGTCCGCCATCCAGCAGATTGATTGCGCAGTCTTAACCCTCTTGCTTGGTGCCCGATACTACCAGAACTGAGCGAACCATACTGACCAGGCCATCTCATATATCATCATCGGTACGTCGGTGTCCCAGCTGAGCTGATTCGATGGCACACAGCGATCCGCAAGAATGTTGCCGATCATCATTAATCAAGTCTTTTCCTTGTGATACACTCAGGGTAAAACCATTCTTGCCCGCCAAGTATAACAGTTTCTCGGGGTTCACGGAGAACCGATGGCATACTCCGCGATCGTGACGACGGCGTACTTTTTGACCTGGTCACCGGCGGTTATTTGAACTGCCTTGCGTGAATTTGACTGCCCTTGGCCCGAGCGAGCGATGAACCAGGGTGATCTCGGTCGAAGGCGCGGGTAGCAGGTGTCGCCTGCCAGCCAGTCAGCCGCACAGCGACGCGCGCTGCTTTGGACTTTGAGGGGCAATTGATCAGTGCAGGGTCAGTTCAAGCACCGCAATGGATCGTTGTCAGGCAGATAACTCGCAGGTCAGTGCCCTTTCCCAACGTATCTCATCATAGCTTTCTGTGGGATAACACGGTCGCACCGTTGAGGATTCAGACAGGTACGCGGCTGATCCTCCTCTTTGCCGTGGCAGCGACGCATCCTCCACGGTCAATCAGTCTGACCCCACCGAGGACGTTTGAGCGGTGGACACACTGATAGGTCAGACACATTGTGGCCATGCACGCCCGAAATAGCTCACGCTGCACACACGCGACGGGAGAACACTGATATATAAGACAAGAAAGAAAGCTGATGCAGAGATGGAAAGATCGACAGCAAAGGACAGCGGGACACAATCACGACGTCGCTCGATCGTCCGGATCGAACGCGATGGCGACCACCAAACAAAGACGTGCACAGACGCCGCAGTCGCCCGAAGAAGAACGCACGCACGCACGCACGCACGCACGCACGATCGCACGAGCGCACGCGCCTGTACGCGCCCGGGGCCTGTTGGCGGTGCTGATGCTGATCGGGATCCCCCAACAGATCGCGTCAGCGCCGCCATCAACACCAGCGCGCGCTCACGCGGCGCGCCGCGGGGCCGGCACCGGCGCTCCATCCGCGTCAGGCCTCACACGCGACGGCGGCGGCCGGGCGAAATTCCGCGCGCACCGCACGCGCTTGGGCGTGATCAGCTCCTGGGCAGCGAGATCGCCTGCGCCTGGCCCTGCGCGAGCACGCGGGCCTGAGCCTGCGCCTGCGTCTGGCGCTTCGACACGGCCTCCATCTTTGTGCGCTGCTTGCGCACATCGTCGTCCTTGAGCTTGACGGAGCCCGCGAGCTCGACGAGCGTGTCCGGCGACGAGGACAGGAGGACGGCCGGCGGGTGGAGGAGGAGCGCGAGCACGGCGGCCTCGGACTTGGCGTCGAGCAGCGCGCGGCGGCAGCAGGTCACGAGCGCGAGGCCGATCCGGAAGAGGAAGGCGACGCCTGTGGAGCGAGAACGTGAGCCCGGACGATGCCGCGGCGAGACGCGCGCGAGTGCCTACCTTCGCAAAGAAAGATGTCCCAGGTTCGCAGGAAATAGTCCGGTGGGAGGCTCTCTGCGAACAGTGACGAGAACCTGCATCGAAAGAAGTCAGCAACGGGCGGACGGACTGACACGGCAGGGCGCGTGACGTACCACGGACGGCAAATGCGGATCGCTGGAATGGCCATGTCGACGAAGAGCTTCTTCGCGACGGACGGGTCCGCCGCCTCGACCGCCTTTTGGAACAAGAACGCGTCCACGTCCATCTGCGTCGCGTTGGACGAGAAATACGGCCGGAGGTGGGTATCCATCAGCGAGATGAAGATCCAGAACGCGTCCTCCTCCGGCGACTGCTGCAGCAGCTGCCCCGCGATGATGGCGATCCCTGCGCACGAGCGGCAGCGCGGTCAGTATCGATCCGCATTCACAATTGCACCGCACGCACCTCGATCGTACTGCACGTCCGGCACCATGGTCAGGTACGCCTGCAGCAGGGACACGAGCGGCCCGTCGGGCTCCGCCAGCGCGCCCTGGCCCTCGAAGCACTCGCGCGCATCCCGCTCGATCTCCTCCAGGCGTGCGACGCGCGCGCGGCGACCGAGCTGCGCGTACAGCCCATCGAGGCGGCGCGCCTTGCTGTCCGCGAGATGTGACCACACCTGGTAGCGCACCGACGCGGGCACGCCCTCCGCGAGCAGCTTGCGAATCTTCTTGCTCTTGCGCGCCTGCGCGGGCGGCGTCGACGCGATCGCCGCGAGCCACTTGAGCTCGCGCGCGCGGTGCGCCTCGACCTCGCCGCTCTTCGCCGCCGCCGCCGTCTTGGAGAGCGACTCGGCGGGGCTGCTCGCGGGCGAGCGCGAGCCGGGCGAGACGGACGACGCCGCGGGGCTGTCCGTGCGGAGGAACGCGCTCGGGTCGCTCTTGCCGTGGAAATGGGCGTTGCTGTTGGCGCTGTTGCTGTTGCTGTTGCTGCTGGTGCCGCCGGGCGCGACGTCGCCCGCGAGCGAGCCGCGGCCGTAGACAGACGATTCTTCGCTCACGCGCGCAGACGATGTCGAGGGCATGCTCGGGCGCACGAGCTCAAAGTCCATATCCTCGACCTGCACGGTCTCGCCCGCGTCACCCAGCACGCTCCCTGCGTCCTCGCGCGCGCCGAGCGCCGCCATGCTCGATTTCGCGCGCAGCGCCGACAGCGAGAGCTTCGAGCGCAGCGACGTGTTGCGCGCGAGCGGCGGCGGCGACGCCATGAGCGAGCGCACGTCGCTCGCGGTCGAGTACACGGTGTCGGCGCTGCGCTGGCGGTGCACCGAGTGCGCGGACACGGACCCGGCGCCGTCCACGGTCCTGAACGTCGACGCGACGGACTCGCGGTCGCCGTGCGCAGCGGACATCGTCGGCGACTGCGGCGAGCTCGCGGACGAGACCGCGTCGCTCGGCTTGCGCCGCGGCTTGGGCGACGCGGTGCGCTCTGCGAGCGCTTGGCGGAGGCTTGCGGCCATGGGCGGCGGGCTGGCCATCGCGAGCCGCAGGTTCGTCATGCTCTGCGACACGCTCAGGCGGCGCGCGGTGCTTGGGACGGCGGTGGTCGGCGGTACCGGTGCCGGTGCCGGTGGTAGCACGGGCGACGATGGGTCCGCGGGCGAGGGCAAGGACGCAGCCGCTGCGGGCGCTGCGGGCGCGGTGGCGGAGAGCGAGAGCGGCGACGGCGTGTGCTGGCGCTGCGCCAGCCTGGGATTATGCGACACAGGCTCCTCGCGGCTGTACAAGACGACACACTCAGAATCAGCACGCAATACATCACGGCGACGACGCGGGACCACCGACCTGCGCGACGCGCCCTCCGCGCCCGACCCCGACCCCGACTCCGACCCCACCACCGGACCCAGCGCGCTATCGAACCCGGAGAACGAGCGCGAGCGCGGCCGCGCCGTGCCCGCCTGCGGATAAAAATTCGCCCTCGGAATCACATTCCCCTGGCCCTGCCCCTGCTGCTGCTGCTGCTCGCCCACCATAACCCCCGTCGGCGCCTCCGGCCCCGCCCCAACCGTCGCCGTGCGCCTCACCATCCTCGCCGGCACGTTATTCGGCGGCTCGAGCCCAAACACAATCGGCACCGGCCCAACCGACGCCGCGAGCTCGCGCTCCGTCGCGCCGTAGATCGTCGCGACGCGGCCCCCGAGGCGCGCGGCCGCCGCCATGCGCAGCACGTGCACGACCGACGCGGCTGCGCCGGGGTGCGCGGGCGGCGGGGGCGCCTTGCGCCCGTACATCGGTCCGAGGGAGAGCGGGCCTGGGGGAGGCTTGGGCGCGTTTGGGTGCGGGAGGAAGAGGCTCGTGCGGGAGGAGCCGAAGGGGCGCTCGGGGGCGTTGGGGTCTGCGTGTTGGGGAGGCGGGCGCGGGCGGAGCTGCGGTTGCGGCTGCTGTTGCGGGTGGGGTTGCTGCTGTTGGGGTTGCTGAGGATGCGGCTGTGACTGCGGATGCGGGTATGAAGGAGCGTATGCGTTTGGTATAGGAGCGGCATGCGCATATATCGACTGCTGCTGGAACCCAAGCGGAGGCGGCGCAAAAACGGCCGGAATAGCGGGCGCAGGCATAGCATTAAACACCGCAGCCATCGGGCTCGCCTGCGGGATCGACGCCGGCGCCGACACGGGCGCGGGGCCGGGGCCGAGGTTGGGGTGCACGGTCTGGTGCGGCGGCGGGGACACGGGCGTGTACGGCGGCGGCGGCGGGGCGGGGTTGACGACGATGAGCGGGGAGTGATGCGCGCCGCCGCGGTTCTTCTCGTTCGGGTACGGCGGGGACATGGGCGCGGACGCGGACGCGGGCGGGGCGCCGTCCGCAGCGGGCGTCGCGGGGCGCGAGGGGCCGGCTTGCGGCGGCTGCGCGCTATCGTCGTTATTGTCGTGGTGGTGGTGCGCGAACTCGGGCTCGCCGACGGCGTCGAGCGACGCGCGCCCGTGGCGCGGCGCGTCAAATCCTAGGCTCTGCACGCTCGCCTCGTCGTCCTCACCATCCGCATCCGCATCCGCATCCCCATAGTCTCCATCCGCATCCCCATAGTCCTCCCCACCGTCCTCATCAACGCTCGAAGCGCGCCCAAACACAGCAGACGCCAGCTCCGGCTCGGGCGACGCGCCGTACGCGCTCGACGCGGCCTCCGACGCGGTGCGCAGCGCGGGCGAGGCGAGCGGGGACGCGAAGGTCGTGTGCAGGAGCGGCGTCTCGCCGAGCTCGGACGCCGAGATCGCGTGCGCGCGCGGGTCGTCGCCCGGCCCTGCACCCGCGTCCGGCCCCGCGCCCGTGCCGGCGAGGAGCAGCGCTGGGGGCACGCGGCGCGGCTGGTCTGCTGCTGCTGCTGCTACCGCTGTGGATGCGGATGTGGATGGTGCTGCGGATGCGAGTGTGGATGGTGGCGGGAGCGGGAGGGACTGCTGCGAGTAGCGCGAGTCCTCGGACCTCCGCCCCGCCTCGTGCCTGCGCCACTCCCACTCCTGCGCGCTCGGCACCGGCACCGGCACCGGCGGCGCGTCTCCCACAGGAGCCCCGGAGCCCGCGTGCGCGGCGTAGGCGGAGAGCTTGGACATGCGGGAGAGCTTCGAGGCGACGGACATGCGCGAGTAGCGGTAGTTGTCGTATATGTCTGCCGCGCCCTCCCAGTCTTCGCCCGTGTAGTCGAATTCGGAGCCCGAGTGCGAGTGGAAGGAGGCGCGCGGGGGGAGCGGGGGCGGGGGCGAGGGCGGGGGGGAGCGCGGGGGGGAGGGTTGTGATGGTGCATGCGAGAGGGAGGTGGCGGTGGCGGGGGAGGCGTAAGAGGATTGGGGAGGGACGAACGTGCGATCGAGCGGCGGTCCTTCAGCCGTCGCAGACTCCATCGAACTCCCACTCTCCGACATCATCGTCCTCGACCGTCGCCCGTCCCCGTCCCCACTCTCATCGTCATCGCCCTCGTCCTCCCCGTCCCCGCTGATGAAATCCTGCAGCAGCGACAGCCCAATCCCCGACACGCCATCCGACAGCGCAGCAGACACGCGCGACGCGCGCGCGCTCGCCGCGTCGTCGCCATCGCCGTCGCCGTCGCCGTCTGCGAACGCGCGCGCGCGCAGCGCAGACACGAGCGAGGACTCGGTGGGCGCGGGGGACGCGGACATCCCGCGCTCGTCGGTCGAGTACGCGGACTCGGTGGTAGACATGCGCGGCGCGACGGCGGGGTACTTCGCGTGTGCGGTGGCGCCGGGGGCGTGCGCGGGGAAGAAGGAGGGCGTGCGCGGGGACGAGTCGTCCTGCGCGGAGGAGCCCGAGGAGAAGCTCATGTAGGGTGCGCCGAGTGCGTCGGGGAGGTGCTGCGGGAGGGCGTGGATCGAGAGGTCGGAGGAGGCGGATGTGGAGTGCTGGATCGGCGGTGCGGCGGGGGAGGCGAGGGAGAGGGAGGAGGCGAAGGAGAGGCTGCTGGTGCGCAGGGGGTGCGGGGAGGCGCCGGGGGAGCGCGGGCTGGAGCTCGGTTCGCCGTCGTCGTCGTCGTCGTCGTCGTCGTCTGCGGTGGCGGCGGCGGTGGTGATGGCGGTGATGGAGCGAGCGGCGAGGGAAGGGGCGGGGCTCTGTGTTGCGAGGGCGCGCGGGGAGAGGGAGGCGCGGGAGGAGGTGCGTTTTGCCATGACGGGTGTTTTGAGGCGGGCGTGGAAGCGGACGTAGGACCCCTCGAAGCGGCCGACGACGCCCTCGCAGTAGCCCTGTGATGGGGCGGCGGGCGGTGCTCAGCGCCACGCGACGCAGGAGGGGAGGGAGAGGAAGGGCTCACGAGATAGGTGTCCTTGTGGTCTGCGAGCTGCATGAGGACGGTGATCTCGTCGTCCTGGGGGGGGCGTGAGCACTGAGCGGACGGGGCATGGCGAGGGGCGAGGGGCGGGGAGGGTGCGTACCTTGAGGAACATGAGGTCCTCTGGGTGTTTTGCGACGCAGTCTTGGAGGGCGGTGCACTTTCCGATGCCGCCCTTTGCTGCGAAGCGGGTCCAGCGAGAGAGCTCGCTGGCGTCCATGGTGAGGGCGGGTGCGGGTGCGGGGGCAGTGACAGAGGAGGAGAGAGAGGGAGCGTGGTGGTGGTGGTGGTGGTGGTGGTGGTGGTGGTGTGTGTGGTTGTAGTTGGCGGCGACGGCGTGTGTGGTTGTGGTTGGCGGCGACGGTCAGAGACGAGGGCCAGGAACGAGGAACGGATGGGCAGGTGGGAACGGAGGCACGCAGAGGCGAGCGACGTGCAGCACACAGTCCCAGTCGAAGCACGGCCGGCTCACAACCCGCTCGACGCTCGCCCGTGCCCCGCTCTCCCACACCCATTTCCGTGGCCTGCCTGCAGCCACTTGCGACCAGCGCACTCTCGAGCTAGAACACCGCCCAGTCGCTTCTGGCCACTTCCTCGCCGCTTCCTCGCCGTTCATCCTACATGCAAGTACAGCAACCCCCACCCTCGCACCCAGCCTCGCACCCTCGCACCCTCGCACCCACCCGCCTCGCCGGCCGTCCGCACGTCGTCCTAGAGACCGAGACGTGCGCGGAACAGGGCCTTTCCAGCAGCACCCCCCGTACCCCCTCGGCCCTAACCCGTCCACGCTTCGCGTCTTCGAGTTCTCGCACGATAGCCTATCGTAATCCTCGCCCGCTCGCTTGCAAATACCGCCGGGCCAGACCCCCCACGATCCACGGAGACGCGCGCCAGATGCTGTATACTGTAATGAACCGTCCCGACCGTCCGTGCATCTTGTATACCGTACCGTACCGCGCCCCGCCAGCCCCCGTGTAATCGAACCGCACATGCACGCTCGAGTCGCGACCACACCCCGCGAAAGTCACCAGCCCGTGCATTGCAGGCTGCATACACACGGTACATGGTACACGGTACACATCACGTCCACGCCCACATCGCCCTACGCCGTACGCCGTACACTACCCAACCGCGTCGGCCCGCTCACGCCTTGATCGCCCCCGCCCCCGCCCCCGCCCCCGCGGCCGGCGCCGCGCCCTGCTGCGCCTGCAGCGCCCCCTGTATCTCGACCAGCTACGAGCGAGCACATCGGTCAGCCGTGGGTCGCGCGACGCGGGACGCGGGGACGCGGGGACGCACCTCCTGTTTCTTCTTTTCTGATTTCTCGCTTACGCTTTGGAGGTGTGCCTCCATGCGTTTTCTGCGCGGCGAGGGCGCGGGACGCGGGACGCGGGAAATAAAACACGGAGTGAGGAGTGGGGGGGGGGGGGGGGGGGGGGGGGAAGAGGAAGAGGGGGACGGGACGGGAGGGGACGCACATCTCGCTGCGGATGAACTCGAGGCGCTTGGCGACGTTCGCGGTCGCCTCTGCCTGCTCCTGCTTCACGAGCACGGGCCCGATCATCTTGTACACGACGTTCTTCGGCGTCAGCACCGCGAACTCCTGCGCGCAAGCGTCAGCGCGCGAGTCTCTCGTCTCTCGCGTGTGCAGCGATGTGTTTGACGGTGGAATGCGGAGCGTGGAGCGTGGAGCGTGGGACGGGGGGCGGTAGGCGGACACGCACCTTCCTGACGAGCTCGTTCTCGGAGAGCTGCGCGTCGAGGCGCTGGCGGGCCTCGACGGCGTCGGCGAGCTCCGCCTGCAGCTTCTGGAAGTCGGCGGACGCGGCCTGGAGACGGGCCTCGAGCGACATGATCGATCCGGCGTCGGCGGGTCGCGCTGTGCTGGGTCTGTGTGCGTCGTCGCGCGCGACGAAGAGCCGATGGCGATTCCGAGGAGAGCTCGCCCGAAAAGGTCGCAGGAGCGAGCGTGCGTGCGAGCGTACGTAAGCCGCCACCGCCACCGCCACCGCCACGCCACCGCCTGGCAAGTTCGACTCCCACCCACCCACCCGCAGCACGACCGACACCGCGATGGACAGCTCGCCCACCGCCCTCTTCGACTCGTACGAACAGGACTTCCAGCAGATCCTCCAGAGCATACGCGACAAGCTCGACGGCGATGCCGCCGACGCCCGCGGAGGTGAGCCCGAGCCTTTCCCGTCGGCTGCCCAGCGCGGCCGCAGCACACGCTGACGCCGCGGTCCCGCCGCGCGCAGAACAGAAGAAGGCCGCCCTGCGCCGCGTCGAGATGGAGCTCGACGAGGCAGACGAAATGGTGCGCCCCACCCCGCCCCGCCCCGCCCTGCCCTCCCTCCCTCACTCGGCGCGCACAGATCTCCCAAATGGAGATCGAGATCAACGGCATCCCGCAGTCCCTCAAAGCCGCCTACCAAGCCCGCACGCGCACCGCCAAAGCCGACCTCGCGCGCGCCAAGAAGCGCTCCAAAGACGCCCACGCCCACCTCGCGCGCTCAGACCTCCTCGCGCGCTCCTCCTCCAGCCCCAACGGCGCGACGTCCGACGAGCCGTACGGCGCGGACGGCGTGCGGGGGGACAGGACGCGGCTGTTGGCGGGCACGGCGCTGCTGGATGACGGGACGAGGAGGCTGCAGGAGAGCCAGCGCATTGCGCTCGAGACGGAGGAGCAGGGCGCGGGGATCCTGCGCAGCCTCCGCGGGCAGCGCGAGCAGATCGAGAACGCGCGCGACACGGTGCGCTTCCCCCGTCCCGTCCCGTCTCGTCCCGTTTCGCTTCCGCGCCGCCTCGCCGTCGTCGTCTGATCCGTGTTGGCTTTTTGTTTGTTTGCGTCGCAGCTTGGCACGGCGGAGACGTCGATTGGGCGCGCGAGCGGGACGCTGAAGCAGATGATCAGACGGTACGTGCGCCCGCCCCCGCCCCGCCCCCGCGCCGATGCCCCGTCCTGACAGCCGCCTCTGACCCCGTCCGCGTGTCCGCCCTCCCACGCCGCGATCCCACGCCGCCCTCCCACGCCGCCCTCCCACGCCGCCCTCCCACGCCGCCCTCCCACGCCGCGCGACGCCCGCAGGATGTACCAGCAGCGCGTCGTCACGGGGGCCATCATCCTCGTGCTCGTGCTCCTCATCGCCATCATCCTCTGGGAGAAGCTGCACTAGACCCCGCGTCGCGTCGCGCGCGCTCGCTGGCGAGATCGGACATTAGCGTTGCGTTGCGTTGCGTTGCGATGCGTTGCGATGCGATGCGTTTTTGAGAGAGAGAGCGTGTGTGTGTGTGTGTTTGCTTGCTTGCGCGCGCGCGGCTTGGGGAGAGCGGGGCGCGGGTTCGATTTATGTATGCTAGGCTTGGTCGGGATGTGTGTCTTGTGTTCGTGCATGTGTCGCCGTGAGGCCGTGTCGGACACTCGTTCGGCGCGTCGTCGTGTCTGCTGGAGACGGGCGCCGCGCGGGCGCGGTACCGTAAGCTGCGAGGGAGGTGCGGTCGTTAGATTGTCAGACTGCGCGTGGCAGGAGGGCGGTCTGCATGCACTTTGGGCTGGGTGTCGGTCCGGGGAAGCGCCCGTCCGTCAGACGACTAAGACAAGCGGATGGAAACGCATGTGCATCGCGGCGAGGACCGCCTCGCCGGTCTGAATAAAGCGTGCACAGAGACGAGGCTGGATTCAGAGCACCCGTCACTCTGCACTGTTTTTCTGTGAACGGGCTGTTTAGGTGATGGAAGCGCGGCGTCGAGGTTGTTTGAATGATCTGTGGAGTGCGGGGCGCGGGGGCGGCGGTGCGGACCGAGGAGAGCGTCCCGCTCAAATACACGGCCGTCGTCGCCGTCTCCTCCAGCACTCCTCCCCACCCACTCCGAGTCGCAAGTGCCCCGTCGCCTCGACCGAAACAAGCCCCGCCTCGCGAGCACGCCCGTGCACCCCCGTCGACACACACTCCCGCCATGGCGTCCGCGTACAGAGCCTACAGGTGCGCCCCTGCTCTCTCCCTGACTCCGCGCACTGGACGCCCTGACCCGCCGCGCGCCAGCAACCTGCTCCTCCGCCGCCCGCTCGCGACCCAGTGCGTCACCTCCGCCGTCCTCTTCGGCGCGGGCGACGCCATCGCCCAGCAGGCGGTAGAAAAAAAGGGCACACACCACGACGTACGCGGCCCACCCCGTATCCCCGTCCTTCCTTCTCTCCTTTCCTTCTAATCTTCACTCCTTCCGTCCGTCCGTCCGTCCTTCTCACGCCCCTTGCGTCTGCCCCGCCCGACCACCTTCGCGCCGCAGCTCGCGCGCACCGCCCGCTTGGCGTTCTACGGCGGTGAGTCCGGATTCTGCCCCCCAACTCTCGACCGAACGTTCGCGCTGATGCTCCGCACACGCAGGCGCGCTCTTCGGCCCGCCCATCACCAAATGGTTCCAGTTCCTCGGCCGCCTCCAGTTCTCCACCCCCGCAAAAGCCGTCGCCTACCGCGTACGTCCCCCACCTCCTCCCACGCGCTCCTGCCTCACCGCCCGCCCCTGCTCCGCCCCACGCCCCACGCCCCACGCCCCACGCCCCACGCGCCGCCGCACCCACAGACGTTCCTCGACCAAAGCCTCGCCGCGCCCCGTAAGTCCCCCGCGCGCCCTCCCCCCGCCCCGCCGCGCGCTCACCCCGCTTCGCAGTCGCCGTCGGCTGGTTCTTCGGCTGGATGACGCTCCTCGAGGGCAAGGGCCCCGCCGCGATCTCTGAGCGCCTCGGCAGCGTGCGTGCTTCCCCGCCCTTCCTTCCACCGACCGTCCCTCCCTCCCTCCCTTCTCGCCCACCCCGTGCTGTGTGCTTCGCGCTCCCGCGCTGATGGTTCCGTGTAGGCCTACGCGCCGACGCTCATGCGCAACTGGTCAGTCCCGTCTCGTCTCGTCTCGTCCTGCCTCGCCCCGTACGACCACGCATATGCTGATCCCACGCTCCAGGGCCGTCTTCGCCCCGGCGCAAGTCCTCAACTTCGCGCTCGTCCCGCCCCAATTCCGGTTCGTCTTCGTAGGCGTCGTCAGCCTCTTCTGGAGTGCGTGCCCCCTCCCCTCCCCTCTCCTCCTCCGTCTCTCTATGCGCGACGCTCACCCACCGCCGTGCCGCGCAGACACGTACCTGAGCGCCGTGAACGCGCAGCAAAAGGAGCCCTCCGAAGTCGACGTGAAAGATGTAGGGCTCACGCTCGCCTGACGCGCGCGTCAATGCCGCCGCGCTCGCGCCCCGTATCTGCGACGCCGTGGACGCCGTGGGCGCCTGGTCCCTTGCATATGTATATAGAAGTACGCTACCGCTACTAGAGACGGCCTCGGCGCCTTGTTCTGTGCACGCGTTGCGCGTTGCGCGCGCGTCGAGAGACGGGGTGCACTGCGGCACCCTGAGGGGGAATTCACGTGATAGGCCGTTTGTGCGAGCGCGCGCGCCGCTCGGCTACCTCAGCGCCGTCATGTCCGCCGCGACCCCACACTCTCCTCCTCCTCCTCCTCTTCCTTACCCCACACTCCCCACACTCCTCACATCCACGTCGACGACGACGACGCAAAGATGGCCGCCTTGGAATATGCCGCAAACCTGAAGTTCATGAAGCTCAGCATTCCCTTCCCGCACGTCCTCCACGTCGAACTGGCGCGGTAAGCCGCCCCGCCCCATCCTGCCCCGAGCTCATGCGTGACCTCGATGACCTCCCGCCCCGCACAGCCCGCCCGTCAACGCCATCAGCGAGCCGTGCGTACCCGATCCCCCGCCCATGCCCATGCCCCCGCCCCCGCCCCCGCCCGCCGCAGGCTGATACGTAGAGCGCGCGCTGAGCACACTCTCGTCCGCCGTGCAGGTTCTGGCGCGAGTACGGCGCCGTGTTCGACCACATAGCCGCCGACACCGCCGTGCGCGCCGTCGTGCTCTCCTCCGCGCTCGAGAGGGCGTTCTCCGCAGGCGTAGACCGTGAGCCGGCCCCCTCCTCTCTTCCTCCACACCACTGAACCACCACCGAACCACCACTGAACCACCACTGAACCACCACTGAACCACCACTGAACCCTCACGAACCACCCCCCCATCCCCTCCCCACCGCTCAAACCCGTCCGCCGCCACACCCCGTGCTCGCCCGCGTCCCCGCACAGTCGACTTTCTCACCACCATCCCGACCGCCGCGGACCCCGCGCGCCGCGCGCTCAGGACGCAGCCCCACCTCCGCGCGTTCCAGCACGCGATCGCCGCGCCCGCGCGCTGCCCGCAGCCCGTCATCGCCGCGCTGCACGGCAACGCCATCGGGCTCGCCATCGACATGGTCACCGCGTGCGACGTGCGCTACGCCGCCGACGACGTCAAGTTCAGCATCAAGGCGCGCACCTCCCCTCTCCCTCATCCACCCCGCGCCACCTAATCACAAAACCCTCCCCTCCCTCTTCCCTCCTCTCCTCGCCGCCGCCACCGCCGACGCATCGCACGTCGGCATCCCAGGAAGTCGACGTCGGGCTCGCCGCCGACATCGGCACGCTCGCGCGCATCCCGAAGCTCACAGGCAACGCGTCCCTCGCCGCCGAGCTCGCGCTCACCGCGCGCGCCTTCACCGCCGCCGAGGCGCTCCAGCTCGGGCTCGTCTCGCGCGTCGTGCCCGGCTCCCGCGCCGCCGTCGTCGCCGCCGCGCTCGCGCTCGCGCGCGAGATCGCGGCGAAGAGCCCCGTCGCGGTCGTCGGGACGAAACACCTGCTCGCGCACGCGCGGGACCACACGTACGTCGCCACATACCCTCCGCGTCGGCGTCGGCGTCGGCGTCGGCGTCGGCGTCGGCGTGGTCGTGATCGCGGCTGATGCTGTGCGCTTCGGGTCGCAGGATCCAGGACAGCTTGGACCACACGGTCGTGTGGGCCTCGACCATGAACCAAGCCCCCGTGAGCGCCCTTCGCGCGCTGTCCCTCTGCGTGGAACAAATACTGATACGGCGGCGGCCGCTGGTCTCGCAGGATCTGGAAGACTCGGCGCGCGCGGCGCTGCGGAAGGAGAGGATCGCGTATCCGTCGCTGGGAGGGGGGGCCGCGCCGAAGCCGAGGCTGTGAGTGCGCGGCGGCGAGGGGCTGCTTGGGCGTGGGGGGTGCTGGCGCGCGCTTCGTGTTGGTCGAACGAAGATCGAGAGAGGATTGTGCAATGCGTTATACGCGCTGGTGGCTTGTTTCTGGCTTCTACACCGATTTTTGAAAAAAATCCTGTACGCGGCCATGTCCACACCCATCCTCGTCTCCAGAGCTCATAGCAGCGCGAACTTCAAGATTTGTGGTGTCGTGCATCCCTAAGAGCATACCGTCCAGCCTCTCTTCAATTGTTTCCCCTGCATCTATTGACCTCGGTCCCCACGCGATAGCGCAGAAGTGAGCAACAATTTCGACAACGTGAGCCTTGACTTGGCCTACTGTAGCAGGCCACACCATCAGGAAATTAAAGACAACGTGCTATGAGGAGGCGGGGTTTGGAATTTGATGGCTTGTTGACACGAACGGATATCTAAAAATAGAGATTGGCGGTTTGGGAGCATTCTTCACGTTAGGGAGAGAGGTGGACATCGTAAATGTTGTCCAGGGATATCTGTTAGGGTCTGTTGACCTCCAAAATGCTCTGGGGCTATCCCTCGTGGCCAGATGACGGTCAAGCAGAGGCGGAGGAATTGCTCAATGATGGATATTGACGCTGGAAAGATGCTTCGAGGCGCGTATTCCTTCGCACCCATATGGTCTCGAAAGGTTGACAATAGCCCAGCAAGTTTTTTCGTCACCTCAGAGCCAGCAACCGTGCAAATCTATTCTCAAAGACTTACTTTGCATCATGGACCTTGTCCGTTTCAATAGCACGCGTCCTTTCCAGAGCATCACAAACCAGCTACTTCATTGGCTCTTTAGCCTCGACGCAGCAGTGCACGTATGTTTACAGATCAAAGGGGAGGAAGAGAGTCTACGTGAAGTGTGGGCAGGTTTGTCTGACAAGACAAACAAGGTTACAATCAGCAAGACGCTTTTGCAGATGGCAGAGCAGACCTTCCACCGAGCAGGGCTCGCGATTCCGTGATGAATCCTTATGAACCTAAGACTTATCTAGACTTACTGATGCGATATGACATCGTTGCGAATTTTTCGCGCTTCAGCTTCAATCCAGCAGGGAAATTTTCGACGCTCCAACTGCTGAAGCTCAAACGTCGGTCCTCGTCGGCAACAGAGGCGTATTGTACATGTAATATCGTAGGGTACATGAACTCGGCATCTGGTCATTTGGCACTGACTTCCTGAATCAATGCTTCAACGTCACTTGAGACAATCGTCTGCAGAGGACCTGACAACGCCTCCCAGATGACGTGGAAGTTCACATCGGTGACCCCATACTTGTGCGCCGTAATATTGCACATGCTGTAAATCTGTTTCTGGACCTTCTAGAAATCAAGGTGACTTTGACGGATGGGATCGCTCGAAGGAAGGTTCAAGTTCTCCGCTACTGCCTCAAACTCTTTGATGATGGCCGCTCGAACGAGATACTGCGGGGTTCTTACTTGTGCCTGCGTGAAAGTCTGCCAATGCCAGAAGATTGGGAGGTGATTTAATGTGACTGCTCACGCACCTGTTCGGTAAGTTGGTAGTCATTGATATAGTCGACGATGAGTTTGATGCCGTCAACGGCCTTCGTAAGACGTCCAAGGCTGGTCGTCATATCTGTAAGCTAGACATTGCCTTTGTGTTCAAGAAATGAGAGGCAAGAGTCGAGTAAGACTCATGTATGGCAAGAAGCCCACGATTACTACAGACCTCTACAAACTCAAAAAGTTATTACGTTCAGGGAGATCTAGAAGATCGAAGGTCAAAGAGGTAATTTACTGAGCTCGTACTACACCTGAAGGCTGAGACTCACTAGGGATTACGACGCAGTGACTGGCTTTCCTCGGTGGAGCAGAAGGGCAGAGACAGAGGTCATAGGTCGCTTTATTCACATCTATCAGAACGGTCAGTCGATTAATGTAGGGCAAGTACGCCTAAGTACGCGTGGATCCGGGGTTGAATCGAAAGCCTCAGCGCAGTGACCATGTTTCGCACCTTGACGCTGTTGCCGAGATGGATTGCTGACTAACCGTTCTGCGAACATTGGTCCAGCAGTGTTCCAGCTCTTATACAACCACCAACAAACATCGAAATACTAAACCATGGCCCGTCGCTCCGCCCCACCCCACTCCGGCCCCGCCTACTACACCCCCGCCACCATCTCCAGCGGGCGGGGCCAGCTCCCCAACCCCAACGAGTCCGCCCTCTCCGCGTTCCTGCGCGAGCAGATTTTCGCGCCGGAGAAGCTGCCGGGGAACATCAACATCCTCACCGGCGTCGGCGTCTTCCTGGGCGGCATCCTCTTCGTGAGGCGGTGGGGCGATATGCTGATTCCTGCCTGAGCAGAGGGCCGGTCTCGAGGGGCTGATTGGAGGAGCAGACGATCGTCGATGCGACTCGTGCTGGTGCGTTTGCGTTCATGGTTTGTTTCGTGCGCAGTGCTGATGTTGTTGTTTCTCGTACGGCAGTCATTTGGTCATCGCTGGAACGTATATAACGCCCGCTCATGCTGCTCATAGCTTGTTGTTCATCCCATCCTCCGCTTTCGCCGCATACACCTGTATTATATAAAAATCTTAATCCTGCCTGGATACTCCCTCTTCACTGCATGCACGATCGCTCAAACCGGGGCTCTCCTCGGGGACAGCCGCAAGCACCTCATCGTAGCTCGTCGTGCTGTTTTTTTTTCCTCCCGCGTCACGTCATCAATATGCGCCGGCGAGCGCGAAAGGTGTCCCGAAAGCCTCTCCCACAATCTGACCGTGTTTGATTGTTGGCTCACGTCGCCGTCTGCTGGCACGCATGCTGCTTGTATATAACGGTGCAGGAGAAGGGAGGTTATGGTTCTTCCTGCCAGTCATACGTGAGATCGTGAATGGTCGTCTTCGTCACGGATGGTCCTGGTCTCAGCCCTGCGATGCGGTGAATGATGCCGCTCAGAGCAGTTGCGTAATGATCTCGCAGACACTATGGATATGTCGTATAAACACCTTTCTGCATCATCTGTCGGATGACCGGATCAACAACTTGGTGTTTCACGTCGCTGCCGAACCTTTGTGTTCATCAGCATTCTCTCCTTCTAGCTGCCTTGTCGTCAACACGCATTCTCACAGCGGAAATGAAATCCAGGTGCCTTTTCGCGAATGCACCGTGAAGGGTACGGCTCTTCCAGTGTGTTGTTGGGATTAGCGGCTGCACGTTAGTCGGCCCGATGGCCGAATGACGGTGACGCCCAAAGTGGGTCTATCGCATCGCACAATACCTCGACGCATCGTCAAACGATACCAAATGGGCTCGATATATATGTTCAGGAGATTTATGTGGAGCAGATTAACTATAAACTGTCGTGACGCAAGTCGCGACGGCATACATCGAACAGAGGCGCATGACTCGAGAGGTATAGAGGCGGACCGCGGAGAAATGCCTGCTCAAAGTAAAGAATGAGGTCGAAACGAAAGCGAGAATAACAGGGAGGATCGAGGAACGTGGGCGAAGTGATGCTGAACACGACGGTGTTGGTTATGCATGACACCCTGCTACTCATCTGAGCCGATGGATTCCTCGTCATTATATTTAGACCCAATCTCATCGACAGAGGATTCCTCGAACTGCCGCGGCGGGGCGAAGCCGATTGGAAACCCGCTCCTACGAATCGCTGCGCGAACAACATCGATCTTGGACTGTGCCTGGTGCAACTCTTCATCCGCCCGTTGCAGCTGCTTCTGCCAGAGGCTGGTCTCGATAGACAAACTTTGGACAGCCGCCACACATTCGAGGCGTCTGATTCGGCGCTGCTCAACAATGCTGCAGGCGATGGCAAGCAGGTCTTTGGCATCTTGTGTTGTGTGTGGAAAACCGGGCAGCTGTAGAAGCGCATCTACACCGAATGCCTAGGTGGTGGGACGGTTGTCCAGCGAGAAAGCACATGGGACATCGTAAAGTTCACGCACCTTGTCGAGATGAAGGTTGTGCGCGTCATTAGTGACGGTCGGCGGGGGCTGAGGGGCCTGCGCAACCGGCTGCACGATCACCGATCGCTGAGCGCCGACACTGTGCTGCTCGCTGGATGCGCTTTTGGAAGGGATCGAACCCTTCGCGGACAGACGATATGGTTGGTAACCGACCGAACGTGAGGTGGTCCGCCTGGAGTATCATCATCCGCAGCGCTCGACGACGGACGATGCATATAGCGAAAGGGCAGTCGAATGGTCGACAACGTGCGCACAAGAGAGGAGGGCTTGCGGCGACCGTCAGTGGACATCGTTGGCTTGTTGTGCGTGAGTGTGCTTCAGGCTTGGGGGAGGTGGGAGAGAGCGTACGTGGTCTTCTATATCGTGAAGTCCATCTGGCTTACGCAATTGCAGAGGGAGCGTACCTGCAGCAGGAGCAGCACGGGCATGTCGTGCAGCAGGAGCAGCGCGGGCATACCGTGCAGCAGGAGCAGCAGGAGCAGCAGAGTCCAGAAGCAGCAGAAGCGTGCCAGGGGTCGGACGCGCCGACAGTTCCCACGATGCATAGGCGCCAAGCTACGGGGAAAACAATTCCGCTATTTTACTGCAGGTGAACGTGATCGCTTCACGCAGGAAAGTGAGCATCCTTGGATCGTGCCATTCGGCGGTGGGGCGCACCTGGACGACGCAGACGCGGCAGATGTATAGCTCGCGCCAAGTGCAACTTCGGCCTCTCCCCAGACTGTTATACAAACGCTGCCATGAAGACATGCTTGCAAGTGAAATTGAAACCGTAGTAGCGTTGTCGGGGTTGCAGACTGGGATGAAGCGTCACAGAGGCAGGCGATCGGGATTCACGACAGGCCATCCAATGGCGTCTTTCCAAAGTGACCCTTCTGCATATTCGCGGACATACACGCACAGAGCCTATAATTACCTCCTCCTCACATCCAAAATGGGTCTATCTTCTCCCTCCTCACCAATACCCCCACTATCTTTCAAAACATTGGACCGGTGTACATAGCGACAAGCGAGCAGACGATATGGTGGTATTTTACGAACAGATCCCTCCCAACATCATCGATTGGATCAAGACGCAGCACTTGTTCTGGGTCGCCACGGCCCCGCTCAGCGCAGACGGACACATCAACATCTCGCCTAAAGGCCTCCGGGGCACGTTCCACATCGCGAACCCGAACCAGGTCTGGTACGAGGACATCACAGGGAGCGGTGCGCGCGTGAGCTCCTTGTTGTGAAGGATGGAGAAGCTTATCAGCAGCTATGCAGGCATCGAGACGATCTCGCATGTGCGCGAGAACGGCCGCATCGTGGTCCAGTTCAACGCGTTCGACGGCCCGCCGCGCATCGTGAGGCTCTGGGGCAAAGGTGCGCTTCGGCGGCAGATCATCCTCGTGTTTAGGCTGCTGATGGCCGAATGACACTGTTGTGACTTGACCGCACCCTTCGCCGCCCTTCGGCCGTCGGGAACCGGGATGCGCGCATATCCGCTTTGAGAAGGCACGGTACACGAGTTCGGCACGCCCGAGTTCGAGCGCTACCTCCCGGCCGAAGAGCGCCACCCAGGCGCGCGCAGCGCGATCGTCATCGACGTGCACAAGGTCTCCTCGGTGCGTCTTCCGTCCTGCTTCAGGCGCCGATCGGAGTCTGAGAGCCGAGGCGCCCCCGAACGCTGCAGTCGTGCGGCTACGGCGTGCCGTACTACGAGTTCGCGGGTCAGCGGGAGACGCTCACGAACTGGACTGGGGGGCTCGAACGGCGCGAGCAGGAGCACGCGGCAGCGGTAGTGGTGGACGGCGACGGCGAAGCGATGCCGTCGCACGCGGAGAAGGGGCTCATCGCGTATTGGTTGAATACGAACATGAAGAGCATCGACGGGTTGCCGGGCATGCAGAGCGCGCACCGGAGCGGGAAGGTGCCGGACTCGCGACTCGTTCGCGTTGAGGAGGCGAAGAGAATCACAGAGGGGGAAGGGAAGGGAGAGAAGGTGACAGCAGAGGAGGGCATGGCAGGTATCGTTGTGCAGAGGAAGGGAGACGGCGCGCGGTTGCTCGTCGCGTTTTTGTTGGGACTGGCGGCTGCGGATGTGTATGCGCGGTACGCGGGTCGGATAATGGAGCTGGGGGCGCGCTGATGCCATCAGCGCGAAGCCGCTGCCGCGCGCTGTGATGCTTTGAGTAAATGTGAGTACTGATGCCAATTTGTGTGCAGGAAGCGAGAGAGGAGGCCTCGTGTACGAGCTATGTATATCAGCGTCTGTATTCTCGTACATTCAGGGTCATCTGAGCACCGCTGAGTCCTCGTTATCTGCTATCAGAGTGCATGGAACCCCGGGATCGGTGCGGCTGTACGCCCATGGCGGCATCTGGAAACTCAAGCACCGGAACCGAAGAGAGTGCAAAGTTCATCAATGGCCATCAAATAACAGATACTTATGAGGACAGGATAGGGCGAGCCTTCGAAACGAGGGAGCATTGCACCCTAGAAGCTGTGCAAAGTTTGGTACGTGAGGTCTCTTCTGTGTCGCATGGTAGGATGCTCGCGATGAAGAGACCGGGGAAATTGATCTGAGGAAGAAAGTCTCCTATATCCGGGAAGTTGCAAAGGCTTCCAAGGCAGAAGCAGACAGAAACTGATCGCGAGGAGATGGTTTATAGTTGTGAGAGGCGAGAGGACACAAATGAAGTACGCGTCTTGTGGGCGCCATGAGCGTCGTGGCAGAGCGCTGCAGCAATGAGATCCCAATCCGGCAAGGCTTGGCATCAGGACCTCGAGGACCTCTGTTCTGAAAATCCTACGTCATTAAGGAACGGGGGCTCGGGACCCGCAAGCAGAGGCCTTTTCGTTCCGTTCAGCAAACCATTCATCTTGCCAGCGTTCCCTCCTCTCTCTCTCTCCTCACCCCTGCCCACTGTCTCTGCCATCCCCATCTGCCGTGCTATTCCACCGACGACGTCTACAGTCTGACCTCCTGCAGAGCTGGTGCCCATCATGCTCTCGTTAACGGAGAAAATGCTCCCCCAACCCCCGTCCTTTTCCAAGAAGAAACAGTATGAGATTCATGAGGTTCTTGGGACGGGCACATTTGGAAAGGTCATGGTACGCAGCTCGCTCTACCCTCGCCCCTACGTGCACCACCATTCTTCTCGCTGTCTGCTTGGCTTATCCGTATGCTATCAGCGTGCGACATGGCACGTCCCTCCCGAACAAATCAACGTCGCCTTGCGCGGTGCAGCCGCAACCCTACGCCCCTCCTCGCCCTCCCGCACATCCTCCACGACCACCGCATCGACCCGCCCTCCCCTCAGCCCGTCCTCCGCCTCTAGCTCCTCACACTCGCTCTCCTTTCCAAGCCCCATCCGCGTCGCTCGATCTATGTCTGGTGGCACGTTCGGGCCACACGCAAAGGAGCCCCCTCTGAAGCGTGACGTCGCGCTCAAGGTTATCCCAAAGAAGAAAGTCAAGGGTAACGAAGCGAGCGTCTGGGGAGAGATGGAGGTCCTCAAGGGGCTTGACCATCCCAACATTGTGAGTCTCTCCTCTTTGCCCGTCTCGCAGTGCAGAGTGCTCGTGCCGCTCTTTTGGGCCCGATGTGGCTTTTGCTTTGCGCCTGCGTGACAGCCAGAGCCTATGTGGTCTACCTCGGCGTATCGGGTACTTGGCTCTTAGTCGAAGACTGTTAGAATGTCCAGCCACTGTGGATCACTCCAGACAGGGCAGTACTCTCGCTATGAATGGCTACTCTGGTGGCATTCGCCGACATCTCAAATCAATACCATAGCAACGAGACATTGGTGGGAAGCTCGAACCCGCAGTCTGTCCAAACCGAGTTTATCCCTTGCCTCGGCCCAGAATGCTCTGAATTTTCGTCTTTGAGCGTGGAGAATATCTTGGCGTAGATCGCTGACAAGCCTGGGAGCCATGTACTCTTTCTCTATCTTTTCCCTTCTTTCCATTGCGGACATGAACTTTATATGCCGTGTTCTCATACCCTCTGTCCCGGTTCTAGGTCAAATTTTATGAATGGTTTGAATCAAGAAGCAAATATTACCTCTCCTTCGAGCTAGCTGTTGGCGGGGAGCTGTTCGAGCGCATCTCACAGCGCGGCAAGTTCACGGAGTCGGATGCTGTGTCTGTCATCCGGTGCGGACCTCTGCCATCTCATTTCTTGATGGCATACTGAGCGAATGCGGCACTAGTTCTATCCTGTCAGGAGTCAGGTACCTCCACGAGCACGACATCGTGCATCGGGACCTAAAGCGAGTCGTTCCTGGCAAATTCTCCCGTTTCCGCTCTGACCTGCCCTCAGACCGGAGAACATCCTGTATCGCACGCGCGATGCACACTCAGACATCGTGATCGCTGATTTTGGAATGTACGCCCCTTTTTCCGTGCCATCCACTGAATCGACGATAACGGTGTTCGTCTCTTCAGCGCCAAACACCTGCACTCGTCAGAAGAGCAGCTGACGTCGCTCGCGGGCAGCTTTGGGTACGTCGCGCCGGAAGTGTTGAACAACAAGGGGCACGGCAAGGCGGTAGACATGTGGTCGACTGGGTGTGTAGTCGATTTGCGCTTTATCTTCCCATTCTGGCAGTCATTTTAAATTCTGACCAGTATCAATGTCGCAGGATCATCACGTACGTTCTGCTCTGCGGGTATTCGCCGTTCCGCTCGGACGATGTGAAGCAGCTCGTGCGCGAGACGACGGAGGCGAAGATTGAGTTCCACGAGCGGTACTGGAAAGCCGTATCTAGTGAAGGTGAGTCGCGTCACGCGTTTTCGTGGTGGCTGCGGACGTCGGAGACCGATCGTCTCTGCATCATCTCTAGCCAAAGAGTTCATCAAGTCGTTGCTCAACCCCGAGCCGTCGAAACGGCCGACGGCCGAGGAGGCGCTGTTGGACCCTGTACGTTTTGTTCCCCCCCTCCTTTTCTACCGGTCCAACAGAATTTCGCTCATCGTCTGAATTAATTCCCTGCAGTGGCTCACCACGCACGAGCCCTCGACCGAGCATGATCTGTCTGGCCTGCGTAACAACTTCAACCCCCGTGCGCGCTGGAAGAGCGCGATCCACTCCGCCGTCGCGCTCAGCCGTTTCTCGCGGACGAGCGCGCGGACGAAGTCGCTCGAGTCGGCGGGCGACGGGCGGCAGAGCACGGGCAGCAGCGGCGGGTGGGTTGCAGCTGCTGCGAGCGGCAGCGAAGACGAAGGCTGGCGAGAGGCAGGGCCGGCGGCTGCGGGAACGAGCGCGGCCGAAGCCCCAGTTGACACGGGGCCGGGCGCGAACTCGAATGTGATGGTCACGGAGGCGGATGGCCCGAGTGGGGACAGCGCAGGGACGCACGAGACCGAGGCGGAGCGGGTGGTGAGGAAGGAAGGGGAGAGGCAGCAGCAGCAGCAAAAAGAAGAGCGCCCGCTTAACGGGAAATCCAAGGCATCGCACCGCAAGTCGCTCTCGCGCACGAGCCTGCTTGGGCGCCGCTCAACGCAGCCCGATATCAGGGTCGAGACGCCGACGGGGACCCCGGCAGCCCATACACCGTCGAACCACCACCAGGACGACGAGGAAGACTCTGACCCGCGGATGCCTGGGTCGTTCGATTTTGGGGAGGCCGGGGGCGGGCACCACCACGCGCACGGCCACGCCGGGGAGGATGCCCTCGGCCTGTTGACCGCGTGGTGGCAGCGGATGCACCTGCGCGCCTGAGTCCGCGCGTCGCCGGGCGTTTGGCGATGGCGTCAGCGATGGTGATATACTAGCTGCAGCTGCCGTCTCGATGCTCGAACGGCACATGACATGACATGACGACGACGACGCACGACACGGACTGCCCGGCTTGGGTTTCGTATCTTCTATTTTGACGATGGTATTATATGTACAGCATCGCGCTCCGGACTTGTTAGTCGACCTCCGCTCGTTTCCTTTCCCTCCGCTCGTCCCCTCTCCCCTCTCCCAACCTCGCCACCGCGACGCCGCCGCTCTTTTTTGTGTGCTTCCTTAATCTGGTTATGCTTTTTATCTATTTATTTCTAACGCCGGTGAGGCTTTTTGCGTTTTGGCTCTCGACTTCTGCGTCGCGTATTTATGTACGAGTAGCGCCCGCCCGTGTGGGGTTCGTAGTGTTGCGTACTGCTTGATGTGGTCTGCGTTTGTACATAGCGTGTTATGTGGTTAGACTTCGCGAAGGGAGTTGGTGTTCTGTTTCGAGTCGTGCGAAACGATGTCCTCGTCCCGGCATGTCATGGACGGGTCGATTTTTGTTTTCTGTCATTCTTGATATTTTTTCCGTTTTTTTTACAGCTAAATTCATAACGATGTTGGCGCGGGAATATTTCGACCGTGTCCGGTACAGTACATGCCGATATCTCCGCTTGTTGTCCGCTTCTCTCTCCACTCCCTCTTCCCAGTCGTACGCTGTCTGAATCTCGGGTTCGACGCTCCGACTAGGCCCTTTGGTCCGGAGCTTGGGCCTGTTGTTAGTATGAATCCAGTTGTAGCGGGAATAAGCAGGGCCAAATATGTCGAGTTTTCGGGCAATGCCGCCGGAGGCTCTGCGCACGTATTGATACGTCCACGTGTTTACACGGGTTCACACAAGCCTACACAAGCCCTCGTCCGACGACTCGACGTTCGTCTGGTGCATCCGATATCAGGCCTCAGGCTATAGGTCCGAACCAGGTGCTCTTCTCAAACGCGGTTCTGACGTCGGTCTCATTTAGGAAACTTCATAAGGCCCAATCATGCAGTCGGAAATCTCAGGCTTCTATCCCATGCCATCAACTTCTTCCACTCAGAACCATGACCATCCATCCACCGTGCTGTCCAGCATAAGCGAGTACGATGCTGAGATCCTGCAAAACGACGCCTTCATTCTCAGCCTCATGACCGCCAACGCCGGGCTTAAAGTGCGACGCAACGACCTGTTGCTCGTCAATCGACTACCGAACGAAGTCTTAGGGAAGATATTTCTATATTGCACCCATGGCTGGCCTCTGTTGGCAACTCGTAATCCATGGGTACTGGATATTGCACCTGCATGGATACAGCTCACGTATGTCTGTAGTCGCTGGCGGCAGGTCGCTCTTGGCTACTCTGAACTATGGTGCAACATCCAGGCAGGCATCGTAAGCCCGTGGATAGAGAGATTCATGGAGAGAGCGTTTCCTCGTCTCGTGAATGTTGAGCTAGTTGTTTTGAACCCCAATCAGATGGAAACACCCACGATCATCTCCCACATCTCCCGGATCCGGCGGCTGAACCTTGAAGGACTTTTGGATTCGCTCCAATCCTTCTTCCGCGAGTTGACGAGGCCCATTCCGTCATTGGAATTGCTGTCTATCTCAGGCAGGCCGGATGGTTACCCTAGGCCTGACGCTTTGGTACCCACAGTCATTGCAAGCTGCCTAAGTACATTGGATCTAGGAGATCACTGCTGGATCGAAGACAATTCCACGTCATTGCCATCGTTGCAGCACCTCTCCGTCTACGATGTATCATTGACTCAACTACATCGTCTGTTACAAAGAACCCCACAGCTCCTTTCGATAGATATACAGTGCCTCAAGATACGCGCTTCAGATGTCGAGGCAAAGGCTACGAGCTTGTCTCATCTCCAAAGTCTGCATGCAGCCAATGTAGATATCGATCACGGTGTCTCAGCTCATCATATTCCGTCATGGTCACTGAACCTGCCAGAGTTGAAGGATTTCCAGGCGCATTTGCTCAGCTCCATCCTCCTCTGCCAGCTCTTTCCCCATTTTGGTTTCCCCTCATTGTCAAGCCTTCACCTCACCGTTACTCACGACCTCGCAGTCCCTGACATCTCTGAGACGGCGCTGGATAGGACTATCACCGATTTGATCGCTCCCTTGCAACACGTTAACAACATCCTCCATTCGATCCTAAGTTTCACTATCGACCTTCCAAAGCAGACTCCTTCGGGCTATAAGATTTTGCAGTGCTTTGCTTGGTCCGAAGCCGACAGGGGCACTTCCAAATTACCATTCGAGTTTTATTTTGATTCGATGGCATGCGACCCTGTGGCTTTTCCTGTATGGATCGGGTACCAGTGGCCAGGGCGTGGTGAATTTGTGGCGTCTCATGGTCTCCGGATATTCCAAAAACTATCTGAGCACCTCGTCCTTGATGATGTGCAGACGTTGACGCTCAGCATCTGCGGCCGTGCCCCGCTCCCGCAATGGCTGTCTGCACTTTCTGCTTTCAGGCGTGTGGAACGCGTCACGATGCGCGATTGCCAGGACATGCTCACCATCATTGAGGCTTTAACGCTGCCAGGGGGCGCAGACGCCGCCTCGGCAGGAGCTTTTCTCTTTCCTGCTTTGACGAGGCTCGTGATAGAAAGCCTAACGAAGTATACGATCGATCCAGTCGACAAAGTCGTGCCCTCTGCCCTCTTGTCGCTGATGGTAGCCCGCGAAACGTTAAACTTGCCGCTCGAGTGGGTAGAATTTCGATCTTTTGATGGAACATGGTGTCGTTCACGAGGAGGGTGCATACACGAGGTCGAGATAGAACCAAACACCGATTGATGTCTAGTTTGCGAATAGGAACACGTTGATCTTGCTAACGATATTCAGAACGCTCGATGCCAATCTCCATTCTGAAGTAAAACGCACCATATTTCACAGACACATAGATCAATTCTGCGTGTAATACACTGCTCCCGAGCATCCCGCGTGGTTGAACAACAGACTAAACAGCCCATTTACCTGATTCTTGAGTCCGTCGCTATCCGAACCCTAATACCTTCCCTGAGGCTCTGGTATGAGATCATCAGATGGCGAAAGAAGGGTATATTACTTCTAGCTAGTCCGTTTGCAGCACATCGAGCAATGTACACGGTGAAGTCACAAAGTATGGAAGTGTGATAGGATAATAGAAAAAGGCATCATCATACAAAATTTGTTCCAAATCACGGAGAAGACGTGAACCCGTTCAAAGATACCCACACAAAAGTGCCTACGGGAAAAAGGGCAGAAAACAATGATGACATACATAGGCGAAGCCCACCAGTAGACGCTAAAAGTCATCCCCATCGTTGTTCGTTAACACCCCCCGTACTCCGCCACTCTGCGTTCGCCCACCATCACGCGCTCGGGCAGTACTCATCTGAGGTATTCGTTTCCTCTCTTCTGGGCTCTCCGATTGACTCGTGGGAAATGGGAAATGGTCCTGGGCGAGTGGAGGTGGCGATTGCATGACTGACGCATTCGACCGTCTAGAATGCTGGGCCTTTCTGCCGTTGTCCGACTTGTCGTTCGACGAATCAGTTCGCACACGTGGCCTTGCGGGAGTGAGAGGTTCGGCCGGCGAACGCGGTTGGGGAGTGGGGAGTGACGGGTCCACCCAATCGTCGTCGTCGTCGTCCGCATCGTCGGCGAAAAATTCACTGTCCCTCTCCTGCGCTTCAGAGCTATGCACCCTTTCAAACGTGGAGAGGGAGTGGGGTCCAGGGGTTATGGGCCCGAGTGGATCTTCTTCTGTATCCACTTCAGAAGGCAGACTCTTCGCCTCGCCGTTGCCGCTCATCGCGTCAGCATCAGGAGAGACTGAGCCAGGTCGAGCGCGGCCCTCGCTGGCGTCGAAAAAGTCGCCATCCTCCTCCGGCATGTCCATGTCCATATCTGGCTCTGACATCGATTCCAAGCCCATGTTATCGTCAGAATCTGATGGCCACGAAGGAGGCTCGTCATGTACAGAAAATATAGCCTTATGGGTGCGAGAGAGCTGTACATTATCTCAATTAGAAAACGCAAACGCAAAAAGCTGATGAAAGGTACGGACATCCGCAATTCTACTCCGGAGATCTATCCAATCGTTTTCATCCTTGCATAAAAATCCAATTAACATGCTTGGATCCAAGCCAGACATCGGCATCTTCCTGACACGGTCGCAGTGGAACGTCTTGAGATCAGCCACGCTGTACGCGCTGACGAAGTGCGCTTGAATCGGATCCAGCCCAGAATCTGGTTCCTCACGGAGTTCTCCTGACGAGAACTCGGATCCACCATGGGATGGTGTACTGGGGATGCTTGTCGAATGCCAACGCGCATGAGCATTGGAAGATGAGGAGGAGGAGACCTGATATGCCAGCGGTGACGGAGAATAAGGTGCATGATAAGAAAATGTAGACGACCCAGTGCGCACAGAAGATGGCGACGTTGGAGAGCGGTAATGATGCGAAGATGGAGGCTGTTTCTTGTTTTCTCGGTCGGAATCCGGACTGGTTTGTCGATCAAAGCGGTCTCGTGGCGTGACCTGGGCGGATTCGGGGAGCGAAGGCGGAGGACGAAGAGAAACAGCGGGGCGGGCATGATGAGGGTCGAGATAAAAAAGGTTATCGGCCTGAGAGCCGACGAAGTAGTAAGAAGAGGACGGCCGGCCGCCGGCAATGCCAATAGACTGGGGGAAAGTATATAATGTCTGGGTCGATGCATGTAAACGTACGCAAACAGGTGACTTCGTTATGCACTCGCCTTGATAGTATCATAATAAATCGGATTAACACCGTCGAGGCCCAAGCGAATGCCTATAAGCACGAGGACGGCACGGCCACCCCAAGCTGATGTCTTTCCCCGCTTCGGATACGATGTCTCTGGATGGGATGCTGCATATACATCTGTTTGGAAGATTTGGCTATCGACAGCTACAGATACGCCGAGACTCGCATTTGGAAAGGCGTGTACAAGGGTTCTGATTCCATTTAATTGGCCATCACGGTCACATGAAACAGGAAGACGTACTTGATCGCACCCGCAGCGGTGCTAGGTCCGAACCACTGTCCAACATCCTTGCCCAGCTCTTTACCCGCGAGAGCCATCCGGTGGACGCTGAAGGGGCAAGACGGAGATGGGGAATCGAAAAACCACGTCAACAATTGAACGTATGTTGCATAATCCGAGGTATGGACGGCGTATGGTGGTCTACGCCAATCTAGGACGACATGCCGTCTCAGATAGGATGATGGATAGAGATGTAGTAGAGAACACACCTCTCCCCAGATGTAAGTGCAGGAGCGCGTTCGCCAACAGCGACTGCCCTGTCCTCAGCATACAACCCCACCCGGAATCGCTTGTCCATCCTTTCTCGCCCGTCCCTGGCCAGTTCCATCTCTTGGGTTGTGGACTGCTCGCAACGGCACCGACGGAGTTCAGATCGGCTTGCTCGTAGTCCAAAGCCGAAAGCGTCGAGTCACGAATAGGCTGAAAATGTGAACGGTATGTAAGCCATATTCGCGACGTGAAATCCGAGTAAAATTCGGCAGGCCAGGTATGGCCAGGATGCTTCGACGAGGGTGACTGAGATTGAGAACGCGAGAGGTCGGCAGGGATGTTTGGACCGGTCACTGTCGAAGAAGTGGATGAGCGAAATGAAGGCGAACGCCGAGAGCCGACGGATCCCCTGCGGCCAGATGGAGGTGGTGTGGAAGGCGTCAAGGATACGGGGGGTTCGTAGCCGGAATGCTGCACGCCGAGTAGCCATATCACTTCCGGGCAGTCGTCGGGAGTCGCGTCGCTGTCCAGAAGATATCGCACAGCCTTGTCGAGATGTCCTCGGCCATGCTTCGCGGCGGTTAGCAGAGCAGAAGCCTTGCCTTTGGGTGAGGTGGTGGTGGTGGTGGTGGAAAGATGGGAATTCGAAAGGAGCGATGGCAGGGCAAGGTCGGTGGAAGAAGAATTAAAGGCGTGTTGGAACCAGCCTGACAAACGAGTGGGAAGATCAGATAGACGAGTGGAGGAGTGAGACGGCTGATAAAAAGAAACGTGATTTTCGGACGCAGAGCTCAATGGTCGCTCCGACCGTGTGCGAATGCGAGGAGAGATCGGTTCGATGATTACAGGAGGCTCGTCCATGCTATCTTCGACGATGCTTGCGCCCTCCGACATGTCTGCGTCCGGTGTCGCTTCCTGATCTGCCCTCGACTCCTGGGCTCCCATTAGCTTGCTTCCTCTCCGTGTCGGGGAGCGATAACCATTGTTCTTACGCGTACTTGATGAGGCCGTCGTCTGCGAGTCCGACAAAATGTGCGAGCTAGATGAAGATGAGCTGGCGATGCTGCTACCACTGGAAGGATCAATCATGGATTTGGAACGGTCCCGAGTCTGCTTCGATTGAAGAAATTTCGGCAGCTTGGGCGTATGGGAAGGAGATGATGTTGAAGCAGCATGGCGGGACTTTCCAGACATGATGTGAGCAAGGCGGCAACAACGATAGCGGGCTCGATGTTGTGGGCGTCGTCGTGGTCGTGGTCGTCGTTGCGCTTGCGGCGGTGGCTGGGCTGCTGATCTATCATCATCGGCTTATGCCACCATTCTTCCCGCTGTTATCTCTTCCTCGGCCTTCACTTCCCTCCAGCCATCTCAATCTTCGCAGCACTCCTCTCCGTCTCATCTGCCGCTCCTTTCAATTTGTCTCGAGACATGGCAATTCCTGCAGAGAAGGTCACCGGCCCTTCTGGACGCTGCCTCTCTTTTTTGGTAACAACCGTTTTGTAGGCGTTCTGGTGAAGCCCACTGCAATATGTAAACGCGTACATACATTCGGCAGCCAAACTCTGTGTCCAGGCGCTGGATGGATCGAACGAAGAGCTACACATTTTAACACTGCCAGCTTCGATTCCCGCCAGCTCTCACACAACCCCACGATTACAGCCTTGTCTCACTCGGCAAGAAACCCGTGGGGTCTCAATGAGTCCTTACCGAAGATCTGACGCGACGCAATCAAACACGCAAGATATCTTCATTGTATCTCTCCAAATGAATACGAAGATTGGACTTACGTGCATCAGCCATACCTGTGCGAAAAAATCTATCAACTCTAACGTACGCTCTCCTTTTGAAGTCTTGAGCTCCAAATGTCGATTCCAGCATGCGTCATCGCAATCAGGCCAAGTCCCCGACAGTGCCAGATATGACTGCCTCATTCATATGTGCATCGAGTTGTTGTCTCTACATAATCTCACTCGACCTGCACCGTTGCCCCCCATACTTTACAGCTTACACAACGTCTTCGGACGGTGCGTCGAGTGTCTCCTTTAAGCTCTCTTCGGGTCAATGTCCACCAGGGAGAGCTTGCATCACACAACATGGTCGAAGCCCGCGGATTTCTTCTCAAGAACTCTGGTTCAGCCAATACGCTCGTGACCATTGTCCTCCCCAGCTAATATCATTCGCCCCACAGACCTCCCCTGACCCCTTTCCCCTCCTTGCTTTCGTTTGACGCTCCCGATCCTGACCTCCATCGGGTTCTGGTGTCTCTAGGACGAAGACGGCAGAGTAGCCAGCCGAGTTTGGGTCGCTGCAAACGCGCATGACGAGCATGGGGGTCAGAAGACCTACTTCTGCCCACCGGCGGCCAGCAGAGTCCGGACACGGCCATAACTTCGTTCGCGAGCATTATACTCCAACGACGGCTTTTCTGACCTATGTGTTACTTATATTCCATACTTCGGATCATGGCAGATGATTCTGTAAAGATATAGCTTTGCGGAGACATGGGTAGGTGGCCGAAGCGCTGATGATTACAAAAGACTCAGTTACGGAAAAGTTCGCTGAGCTTCGCACTCCGACTCGTAAATAATTGAGTGCAATCCGCCACATCAACATATCTAGTCTGTATTTGTAACCAATACGCTTAGACTGCTGTCTGTCATTGCGATGTAATTCACAATATTCGCGGATGGAGATTTTCTGATCGTGCAGGACTCTTTGTCGCTGGGATTGGGCAGCTCGGCGATTGCCGAGCGCCGCTTGAGTTTGGTTGAGGAGGCTGCGCTAAACAACCGCTGCATCTACACTCAAAATCGATACGTTTATGAATTGCAGGTTTCAGAGCCCCGGCGCTCACATACGGGTGTGCAAGTCAAGAGTTGCTTCAAGCTGCTCATAGTGGAGGCTCGCCTCGCTCTGCTTGTGTCCGGGTCTTGCCGGCATCCGCTTCGAAATGCCAGCACGTTCAACCTGAAATTAGATTGGAGATGCCCGTTCTGTACTCACGCACTACTCTGTCTATTCCTGATATTATGCTTTAATCATGGATATGGAGGCCATCAACAAGGTCATCAGTATGAAGGGCCAGGTGTCGCGGATGGAGAAGGAGCTTGCCGCGCTGCAAGCTCAGCTGAAGGACATCCCAACGTGGACCAGACTTTCCTCAACCGATCCATATCTTTCGAAAATCAAGATTGAGTGGGATCCTGAGGTGTGTTATGCATGAGCCATACGAATAGTTAGAATTCCGGGTTGATATTTGGCGGAACCACCTCAGGTACAACAACGCAGGGCTGAAGAGGACGAAGCACGGCGGCAACAGCCAACCGTTCCAGAAACGATTGACCTCATTGAGACTCCAGAAGCAGTGTGTACCATCTCTCCATAAAATTTCTTGAAATCTCATTCCACATTTCCGCAGGAAGAGTCCAATGCTCCGGGAGATACCAAGGAGGGATCGGCGTCAAAATATCGACAAAAATACAGAGCCTTAAAACAGTCCCATAAGGAACTCAAGCAGGTATGATGTCTTTAGCCTTCGCTTTCCCTCTCTGGTACTCAAAGAATCAGATCGTGAAGACTCTTTGTACCCGGCTCGAAGAAGCTGAAGCAGAAAGGGATGCTGCAATCAAGGCAGCTTCGTCTGTGAAACAGGTTATTATATTAATATTTGCAGACAGTATATGTTTATTGACCTTCTCGATAATAGAGCCCTGTTAATGCAGAGATCTCGACCCGGATTACAGAGTGGCTGCAGACTCCTCATAAGCATCCTAATAATCGACCTGCTTTAGCCTCAATGCAGCCAGTGCTCAGGGATGCCAAGTTCACAACCCCACAAGTAAGTGTTGCCTGTTTTTAATGATGCTTGATTTCTGAATCATATATAGAAGGCTCTAGAACGATATGGGTGACTCCCGTCATCATTGCTCTGCGCGACCAGATATTAACTGTGCGTTAGATCCACAGCCGGGATTCTCCACTTCACTAGGCCGCAGATTATCTTCGGAGACTCAGATGTCAATCGCGGTCTAGTTATACTGCCGACCCATCGTTTCTTTCCAGAAGGGCACACAATGGGGACAGATAAATGCCGCTGGGAGTCAGGCAATCCTTTTCTCAGCACAGGCGAAGTGCGTGATCTATTCCTTCGACGGGAAGATTTCACTTGGGTATATCTCGGTGCATACAAATGCACCATTGACGAAGTTGTGGATTTTGAGGCTGTCAAAGACCTTCACCACTCAGTGAGATTACTTGCTCTTCTATGCATCCATAGGTTGATCTCTTCTCAGGCGAGACAGCACCCTGTTATCCGAACTACTGTCATGCACAGAAACTTGGTGCCCCCTGTCGTAGAGAATGTGATCGAAGCCATGATCTCCGGCGGGGTCCTCAAAGTCCAATGTTTTGGCCTCGAATGTGTTGGGTTTAGTGAGCAACTGGACCAAGCGTTGCACGACAAAAATGCTTTCCGCGAGCCGGATGCGTTGAACACTCAGAAAGGCCACAAGCGCAAGCACTCCGGGTAGAGGTTTGGGAGTAGACGGTTGAAATGGAGAGTAAATATTAAATTCCAGGACTTGGGTTTCTACCCCATTCATTCGAATGACTGCCACTTCGCTGTCGTGTATCCCACAAATTTCATGCACATTCTGATTTTGACAAATGTCAGCTCAGCATGTACGGGTGATTGCAGAAGGTGTTTGAGATTTTTATTCAATGTCAGAAATATTGGAGAACAATAGTCCCATGCTGTCAGAATTCAAGATCATGAAGCTCAACGTCTAACTAAATAAACTGCGATGCCACTCTTCAGCGTCTTAAGTCACCTTTTTTTCTTTTTCGGCTTCGGGCCCTTATGCTCAGCTCCCGATTTGCGCTTCTTCCCTGCTGCCTTTGGCGATGATTGAGGAGCCGCAGAGCCGCTCTTTCCACTTTGGTCGTGCAACTGCCGATCCAGTTCCTCATTGAACCCAACGCATTGGAGGCCGAAGCACTGGACTTTGAGTATGCTGGAAGTGTACATGCTCTTTATCATGTTTTCCGAGACACGGGTGGCCAGATCCTTCTGCATGATGGTGTTTTGGACGACGTGGTTACGTTTCACCTTGAAAATGAGGACAATCAAACCCACATCCAGTACATCGCATGACTAGATAGTTGACTCACGAAAGGTACACTATTCAAATCCACCACATCGCTGAAAACACATTGATACTCTCCAAGATATATCCAGGATACTTGATCGCGGCGAAGGAATACATCCCGTACTTGGCCTCTTGCTGGAGCCATAGGATTCAACTGCCATTGAGTCTTTTTGTTTTTTTGGTCGACCCCTTCTGGAAAGAATCGATATACCGGCAGTACTACCAGACCGTGATTGATGTCGGATGTGTGGAAAAACATCTCTGATTGGGAAAGTTGGAAGAAGCCATCTGTGGAGCTGAGAAAGGAGTGTCAGCAACAGCTCTCTGCGATGCGAACGACACCTCGGTCACATACGCAAGCGCTTTCCAGGCCTTGTGTATGATTTGATGTGATATTCAGCATCAGAGATTAAATGTCGAGTTTAGAATGCGACAAACCGGAGGTTTATGGAATGTTTTGCTATTTAGAAATGGGTTGATAGAATGCAATTTAGGACGCCGCAAGATGTTTGCGTGGGACGTCTGAAACCATTGGGTGACAGACAGCGTCCATGATTTAGGATCAAACACGTTTGTCATTGTCGCAGAATTCACGTATGTCTGGCGAGAGCGTCGTCAGCCGCATTGTTCGAGCACAGACGAGATGAGATCACTTTTTCTGTAGCGGCAGTCTCTATATCCAACGCGTTTTTAGCTTCTGCTTCTTCCAATCGAGTGCGTAGGTCTCGAGTAGTCTATGTTCTTCAATACCGGGGCAGTTATTCTAGGAGAGCACACTTCATACCGTTTTGAGTTCTTTATAGGCTTGCTTCAAGGCCTGATATTTTGTCTTATACTTTGAGGTTTCCGTCTCTGCGGCGGGCTACAAATAGTTTAACAAGATTTCGAAGCTTATACAGAGAGATACCAGATACCTCTTCCACAGCCTTGAGGTCGATCGTTTCTGGAACAGCACGGTGGTGGTGGCGACGTGCTTCGTCCTCTTGAGATTTGCGTTGTTGCACCTTCAATAGTCGCTCTTGAATCGGAAAGCAACTCCTCTCACAGCTAATGAATGACGCACGGAGGGATCCCACTCGAGTTTGATCTGCGAAAGATCTGGATCCGTGGAGGAAAGCCGCGTCCACGTGGGGATATCGCGCAGCTGAGCCTGCAGCGCGGCGAGCTCCTTCTCCATCCGGGCCGCTTTTCTCCTCACTTTTATGACCTTGTCAATATCTTCCATGTCCATGGTGAAAGAGAGAGGATGAACCGAGTTGAGGGTAAGAGAAATTGGAGCGATTGGGCCAAATTAAGGGCGCCGCTTGCAAGCGCTTGTCGGCAGGACCCGAATCGGCAAGCTTATCCTATGAGCAACTTGTACTATCGTTGCACCGGAGTTGCAAACGGGATGGGAGGTTCAAAATCGAGCTCCTCGCAGCATTTTTTGACGGCGCCTTTCGAGAAAATCCACATTTGTCTATTTAAGTACTCTTAAAGTATGCTAGTCTTTTTAAGAACAGAAACTGGGTGCAGCAGTGAGGAAGCAATGGATAATGGTTTTTAGGACAGAGTTCTCTCAAAGATGCTCAAGATCCCTCAGATCCTTGAGTTCAATCGTGAAAAGATTAAATTGTGAAGATAATCAGGTACCACTGAAAATATATGGAGCATTCGAGTTTAATTTGAAGACTTCAATGCTCTTCACCAAGTCTTTTTTGACAGCAGGCAGAGTGACAAGGAGCCTCGGGCCGCATGATGTTTGGTCATCTTTTTGAAACGCCGTTTCGCAAGTCGCCCCGCAACCAAAGTTCAAATTTGAATGTGACTCGATCGTCGGAAAGATTTGCAACTCTCAAGCTTTGCTCGTTTTCGGACTCTCCCTCTCAAACATTTTACAACAATTCTGTCCATGGCCTCAAAAATACGAAAACATGACAGGACGTATTTTGAGATGTTTCCACATGTGCAATAAAATTTTTGAACGAAAAAAAGTATAATCCACGATGCTATGAAGAAATCTTTTTTCTTTTGCAACTCTGGTGCAACGATAGTAGCGACAGCTCTTGACTTGCACGTATGTCTTCTGATCCCGGGGACGTGAGGCATGCATTTCTTGGACTTATCAATTTTGAGTGCGCATGCAGTGGTCGTGCAGCACAGGACGGGCCTCGACCAATCATAGTACGGAAAGGCAGTGCCGCTGAGATCAAGTGATGCGGCATTTGCCGGACGCTCAATAACCTCCACAATCCGAAATACATCTGGAGGCAATTCATGAAGCTCTGAAGCACAAGTCGGTGTATGACGACACTGGAACTAAGTCAAAAAAACTTCGGGAGTGAGAATATGAGGAGGAATGGTCTGTGGCAAATTCTTCTTCACTGACATTCAAGATCAATTCCAGGGAATGATGAATTGATTCAGTATAAAGTACACAGCGTTGGCTGCAGAGCGATCACATAACAAGATTTCACACACCCTCTGCTATCATCCGCTCAGGTTGCTCAACGTAGGCTCTCCAGCGTTCGACAAATGCCGCCAGCTCTGCGCCCTCTACAACACGGTGATCCGCGCTCCAGCTAACACCAACCTTGAGCCGTCGCTCACCCTTCCCGTCTCCACGATTGACGTCCCATTCCCAGCGCGCGCGCCCGAGAGCTACAATCGCTACCCCGCCGCCTGGCACAAGCACGGGCGCGGCGACCTCGCCCGCACCGATCGCACCGACATTCGATACAGTCAGCGTCCCACCGCGCTTGGGAAGCTCGGCGAGAGTAAGGCCGCTCGGGACCTGTCTTCCGAGGTGGGAGAGGTGCTTGAGCGACGATGCGAGCGCGTATATCGAGTACGTGTCGACGCGCTGGAGCGTGGGTGTGTATAGGCCTGTGGGGGTAGAAAGAGCGATGCTAATGTCGGCATGGGGGCGAATGGTGATTGTGGGCTTGGTATTGGGCGGAATAGAAGATGCTGTTGGTGTGATGGAGGATCGCAAGAGCGGCCATTCTACCATCGCCTTGGAAAGAGTCTTCAGGAGGATGGGCAGGTAGGTTAATTTCGTGTACCTTCCTGTGTCTGGTACAGGCGGTGGACAAGGCGGAGGATACAGCGATGCAGGAGAAACTGAGGCTAATGGGGGAGGGACAGAAGGAGCCGGTAAAAAGTGCTCTGGTATGTGAGCATTTAAGATAGGCAGGATGTTGTGCAAGGCCGTCAAATCTAGATAAGTTGAATAGCTACGAAAGAATCAGCGATGAGCCGGGACACGAGCCGAATCATACTTACCCGAAATGAGGAATCTCTAGACTCTGAAGATTCGAGTGAGCTGCCAGATGAAACTGAAATGGTAGATGAACTGACCTTCGTCATAGCCTTCCACATGCCATATCTTGTCCTCCCAAGTTCGACGACGACGTCTTCCTCCAAAGAGACCGCTCCACGAGCTCTCGTCTGTATGCCCGCTGCCTGCTTTCCACGAGAAAGGTATCCCTCAACATCCGACTTCTCGATCCTCCCGTTCTTTCCACTCCCGGGAGCAAGTAGAGACAAGTCGACGCCACTCAGACGTGCGAAATGCCGTACCGCAGGTAAAGCGAGAACATCCTTCGTGTTCTTCACAAACACTTGCTCTGCGTGGTTCGGATCAAGCGGATGAGGTCTGCGCAGCTCAGAAGGTCGAAAAGCGTCGCCCTGTATTTGTGCTGGTGATGACACGCCATCACTCGAGGACGCATGATCAGCAGAGTCGGTAGTTTCCTGAACCTGGTGAGGGGGAGGGCGTGCCGGTTCTGATAACGGCATTTCTTCGTCTGACACTTCTTCATCAACTTCTATGATGCAAAGATCTTCGCCGACTTTCGCCACCTCTCCCTCTTGAACTAGGATCTCCTTCACCGTTCCGTCGAAAGGGCTAGTTATTTCAACACTAGCTTTATCACTCTGTACCTCGCAGAGAGGATCAAAGGCACTGATGTTTCCTGATGGTATTACACTCCTGCAGATGAATATTCACGGTGTAAATTCATGGATGCTGGTAGGTATGGGCTGAGCGGATCACGGCCGGACCATGAACTGACCACTTTATGACCTCGCATTCTGTGATTCCCTCTCCAATGTCGGCGAGCTTGAACTTCTGAAGGACTTTACGCGTAGCCCAGAATGTTTGAGAGGAGTGAAAGTGAGAACGAAAGGCTGGACGACCGAGAAGACGACGCGATGAACGGAGGAGCAGCATTGAAGTGCGGGGTAATGCCCTTCGGCAGCTGCCGGGTCTGGGGTCAAGGCTTCATCGGCCCGAGTACCCCGCCTTGGCGACATATCCTTACCAGTGAAGTCTCTCCTCCATCATAGTTGTTCTGAGTGCGATTTGCGAAACTGTACCAGCTTGCAGACATCCCATAGCATCTGATTTGCCGTCGCCCAAGTAGCCTTGCCCCGGCGAAGTCGCGAAGACAACATTCTTGACGATCGGCAAGAACAGCCTATATGTGACTGGCTTCTCTGCTGGCATCTTCTTCAACACGAACTTTTGAACGCAATGCTGGCAATTTCGCAGCAGACGGACATATGTTGGGGTATCCATACTCTCGTTTGGTAACTTCTAGCTCGCAGCACGGTGTGTACCGGCCATCCACCCGCCGATTGCAGTGCGCATTCACAAGGACTCCATGATTTTTAGCGCTTGGGTCAAGCCATGCCACGAGACTAGGTGCGCACTTCTTATTATGAAATCAGAGATCGTGAAATGCCTGCTCACGCCTTCTCATTGATATATAGGAGTCGCTTCACGATGCCGCCGCGAATTCACGTCAGGATTCAGGACTCAACGATTGGCGCGCAGCGATTAGCCGATTAGCGCTCAGCGATCAGCATCAACAAGGTGTGATAACCGAGCCAAGATCATCTTACTGCATACAATGCGATACGTTGGTGAGACCCTTGCCATGAGTACGTCAGATCGACAGCAGACTTCGGAGAAGAACTCGACAATTGGTGGTCCGGCTGACTATGTTGATCTTCATGGCACTGAGTCGGCGGCATGCTCTCTCCTATCTAGAATCGTCGCTAATCGCCTCACATCAAAGATCTTTATTCATAGGGCTCCAATATTCCTATATAATCGACAGGCTATCTAGCGACCTGCACAAATCTTCTGCATCTTACATCGCCATCAGCTTCACTTTGTGCCCATGTCGAGCCCTTCCCCCCAGCTTTTCCAGCCCTTGACGGTTGGAAATGCCAAACTCCAACACCGCATAGTCATGGCCCCCATGACACGTTTCCGCGCGAATGTGCAACATGTTCCCACTGATCTAACTGTCAAATATTATGCCCAACGCGCGAGCGTCCCAAGCACGCTGATCATCTCAGAAGCGGCTTTCATCGCGCCCCAGGCTGGAGGATACGCCGATGTCCCTGGAATTTGGTCTGATGAACAAGTCGCGGCGTGGAGAAAGGTACGATGGTGCATTGATGTTGGCGTACAGTGGCTCATTGTTTTTTTCGTGTGCTGGACGATCAGGTTACGGGCGTTGTACATGCTAAAGGCTCCTTTATCTACCTGCAGCTTTGGGCCCTCGGGCGTGCAGCGGATCCTGCTCAGCTTGTGCTTGAGGACCCTTCAAGTGTGTCTCATCTGGGAATATCCAGCTTGTCTCGTTGGGGAATGTCAAAATAGAAGGTCAAGACCTTGCGCCTCACTCATCAACCGTGGATGAGATCAAGGAATACGTCCAATTTTACGCAACCGCAGCCTCGAACGCGGTCCACAAGGCGGGATTCGATGGGGTAGAAATTCACAATGCCAACGGATACTTACCCGATCAATTCCTCCAAGACGTCTCAAACAATCGCACAGATGAATATGGTGGTTCCATCGAGAACCGGGCCAGATTTGGATTGGAAGTCATTGACGCTGTCACGAAAGCTGTGGGCGAGAAGGCTGTTGGCATTCGCTTCAGCCCATGGAGCGAGTTCCAAGGTCAGTCATTCGCTTTGGGCATCGGAAGGCGATGTTTGTGCTCCTTGCGACATAATCTAGATATGGGCATGAAGGATCCCATCCCCACATTCTCATACATGATCGAAACCATCCGTGATCGATACCCTGATTTCGGTTACATTCATCTGGTCGAGCCTCGTATCTATGGTGCTGTAGATATAGAAATCAAACAAGGGCAGACTAACGAGGTCTTCCGGAAGCTTTGGGGATCCAAAGTCTATCTGACCGCTGGGGGGTATAAGGAGGATGCCCTGAAGGCGGCGGAGACGGACAACACGCTCGTCGTCTTTGGACGGTACTTCATATCCAATGTGGGTCTCCCAATCATCCTCGTCTACACGTATATGCTGACCACGAATGTCACAGCCTGACCTTGTTTTGAGGCTGAAGGAAGATATTTCTCTTGCGATGTATGACCGTAACACCTCCTACGCCCACACGGTACCCGAAGGTTACATAGATTGGCTCTTTGCCAATGAGACGAAGGGCACCGTAGTGTAGTCTAATACATCGCAGAACATACTGGTTTTCGCTGCTGACTGAATACTCTCAAAGGTCTAGACGAATAGATCATGGGCGAACGCTGGCATTCAGAGTTTGTATCTCTATGATGACGAGATACGTCAATACACAACAACACAATGCCTTTGTCTTCAACTGGACGTGCGAGAGAAGCGCCGTGCTACCCATGGTGAAGATGAATCACTCCCGGCCCGAATGCTCGGCCTTGGCGGGAATGGCCTCGGTAAAGTACTCAAGACTGCCTCCTACGACACTCTGTCTGACTTACGGACACACTGTATCAGCTCACCTACGACTACCATTATTTCGACTACAGAAAAAAATACGTGAATATCCGAAGGCGGCAGGGACGTATGTGATAAAGTATGTGATACTAGGTTCAGCGACGCCCGATGCGTAACGCTTCTTCCACTTGTAATCCGCGGGCTCAACCTTTCTTTAATTGATCAATTCAAACCTCACAACTTGACTGTGAATGCACGTCAGCACCGACCTGATGTGATGACTTATCCAAGTCATTTCAATGCTTAGATCGCGATAACCGTCGGGCATTGGGGTGACTGAACCACGCGATGAGTAAGGAAGGCCGAAAAGGAACCAGAGGTACTCGGAGAAGCCTCCAAGCTCCACCAAGTCTTGGTCAGGCCGACTTCTTTGATTCACGAGACGTTTTCACGCTCACGGCTTTACGGGCTCGAAATCGGCAGGATGTTCTCTTGTGATCTGGACTCGTCACCACTGGCACCGAATACTTACTAATCGGACTCAGGAAGTCCCTTATAACGAATAGACCATTCGATTCCCTCCCTGATATCATCTCTACTCTGCACCTATGTCGAGCCCGTCCCCCCAGCTTTTCCAGCCCTTGACAGTCGGAAATCTCGTACTCCAACATCGGGTGGTTATGGCCCCGTTGACGCGTTTCCGTGCGAACGCGCAACACATCCACACCGATATAGCTGTCAAATATTATACCCAACGCGCCAGCATCCCAGGCACGCTGATTATATCAGAAGCAACTTTCATTGCTCCTCAAGCTGGAGGCTACGCCAACGTCCCTGGGATTTGGTCTGACGAACAGATTGCATCCTGGAAAAAGGTACAATCGATATTATTCCTGGCATGCGGCAACTCACCAATCGATACTTGCGGTGGACAATCAGGTGACAGACGCTATACACGCTAAAGGCTCCTTCATCTACATTCAGCTTTGGGCCCTCGGACGCGCTGCGGATCCTGCTCAGCTCGTGCTTGAGGACTCTTCTTTTCAGGCTGTCTCGTCGGGGAATATCCGGATGGGAGGCCGTGAAGCTGCGCCTCGTCCATTGACCGTGGATGAGATCAAGGAATACGTCCAATTTTATGCAACCGCAGCCTCGAACGCGGTCCACAAGGCGGGATTCGATGGGGTAGAAATTCACAATGCCAACGGATACTTACCCGATCAATTCCTCCAAGACGTCTCAAACAATCGCACAGATGAATATGGTGGTTCCATCGAGAACCGGGCCAGATTTGGATTGGAAGTCATTGACGCTGTCACGAAAGCTGTGGGCGAGAAGATTGTTGGCATTCGCTTCAGCCCGTGGAGCGAGTTCCAAGGTCAGTCATTCACTTTGGACGTTGGAAGGCAATGATGGCACTCACTGCGACGTAACCTAGATATGGGCATGAAGGATCCCATCCCCACATTCTCACACATGATCGAAACCATCCGTGATCGATACCCTGATTTCGGTTACATTCATCTGGTCGAGCCTCGCATTAATGCTGCCGTGGATATTGAAGTTAAACAAGGGCAGACCAACGAAGTGTTTAGGAAGCTTTGGGGATCCAAAGTCTATCTGACCGCTGGGGGGTATAAGAAGGAGGATGCCCTGAAGGCGGCGGAGACGGACAACACGCTCGTCGTCTTTGGACGGTACTTCATATCCAATGTGGGTCTCCCAATCATCCTCGTCTACACGTATATGCTGACCACGAATGTCACAGCCTGACCTTGTTTTGAGGCTGAAGGAAGATATTCCTCTTACGATGTATGATCGCAACGCCTTTTACGCCCATACGGTACCCGAAGGTTACATAGATTGGCCTTTTGCGAATGAGATGGAAGCTGCTGTAGCATAGTCTCATACGTTGCTACAAAGAATGTATATTGCCGCTCAAAACAGCTGCGTCAGACCTGAAAAGCTTGCATCCACACCTTGTTTCACTGACTTCTCCGTTTTCAAGTTCAGAGAACGACCTGACAAGGCATTTGCACATCGTGGTACATGTTGACCGATGATTTATGGATGTGACTATCATGGGAGCAGTGCCCCGGCAGCATGCCATCTTCAATATGTTCAATTGAACCCACCTTTAACACAGAGGCTATGCCTTACGACAATGATCACGATGAGGGGCGATCTGGATATACTACGATAGATTCAGCGCATCAGCACTGCCTAAACTTAATCAGAGTGCTGGATGACTGACGGAATATATTACGGGCGAAAGCTGGCATATATATTACCGACCGCTGTACTTTTAGTCTATAACTATGATAGCACCAATGGTCCATTGGCCCCACCCATCTTCTCGCACGTCGCCAACGCATCTTCATGGAACGAGTCGTGCAATCCTTCCGATCGCCCCGGTAGCAGGATGTGGGGGAGCAGCCGTGTGTGGAATAACCTATGTGCGACCGAGCCGCCCTGAAAACAGAAATATATCAGTTCAGTTCATGATATATCTGTGATGACGAAGAGTGTGTATGCAGGGTGATAGAATGCGTACAAATTGGTGGAAAACCCCGCCCATGACTGCTTCTACCACTGTGCCATGCACCTTATATAGGCCAATGCCCTTTAAAGATGTGAGACCCTTGTCTTCGACTGGACGGGCAGGCGTCCACCGTATAACGTCACCCAGTGCCCATTGGGGTGCAACAAATTCGCCGAGTATGTAAGTGTTGAGTGCGCGCGAGGCGACGTCCTCATAGTCGAGTGAAGGTGGTGATGCAGTGGACGAATGCAAGAAGAGAAGGAGATAAGAGTGAAGAACGCGACGACCTGGACATGAGTTGATTGGATGGTATGGGAAATTCCGTATAATGGACATGATATAGCGAGTAGGAAGAGTGTTCAGCACAATAAGGCAAGGAAAAACTGGTTGTAGTAAAAGGCGTACCCATGAAGCTAAATCGAGCGTTGTGACCCTGAACAGCCTCTTTGTGACTCATATGTGTTAATATGCGCTGCGAGAGCTCCTGGTTGAAGTCTAGGGGCGCAAAGAGGGTGTTGAGGTGGTGCGCCAGCGGCGAATCGGAAGAACCGGACGCAGTAGACGGTGTCGACGTGGACATCGAGCTGTGCGGTAACCCCTCCGGTACGAAATGATGCGAGTCATGAGTAGAAATTGCATGTAATGTCCGCCGACGAGCTGTGACTTTGAGGAAATAAACGCGCTGTTAGCTGGATGGAGGATATTTTGAACTCACCCGACGGGGCCCGAGCAGCCAATGCAGATCTCGATTTGACTGCGTCCAGCGCGTGGCTAGCCAATTTTAAGCATCGCAGACCCCTCGACATCTGTAAAAGGCGGCGATGGCGATGGCGACGACGAGCAGAACAGGGACAGAGACTAGCAAAGTGAAAGAGCAAGCAGCACGCAACTTTGAAAGCGTTCTGCAACGCGACTCTTAATTCGGGTGACATTCTCGGGACTCCGGCCACCGCAATTTGGGCGTTAATCTTCACTCTGGAAATGTGACATGTACGGCTCTCGAAAAAAAAACACAGAATGTTCTACATTAACGTATCTACAGCACCGACTCATATTGACTATTTCTCGGGGATGTTACGCTGAATCTCGTCTAGAAATTCTGCAAGCTCCCCGTGCGCGAAGCCTATGGAGGCGCCCCATACACTTCTTTCATCCATTGAGCGCATACTCAGCCCAGCCTCTACCCCATCGCCGAGATCGCCAAAGCTGGTGATAGCTGGTTGTGACTGGAGCCATGCCGACATGTGGGTGAAGGGGGAGGACGAAGATGACTCTCCTGGGGGCGAAAATGCTGACTGGGCTATGTGATTCTCGAGCATTGACGATGATTCGGAGACCATATCACTGGCCATCGACATAGCCATGTCCAAAAAAGTAGCCTCAACCGAAGATCGAGCAGCCGAAGGTGATTTGTCTGACAACAGCGAGAATAACGAGGGCATCGTCATCGAAGATTGTCCGAGGAGAGCCGATGCGTGAGGCGAGTTGGAACCGATGGAGGGCGGGGTGGCGCATATATGCGGGGCAGGAGACGTCACCGTATCGGTGCCAACTGCTCCGGTGTAGGAAAAGGAGTCATAGTAGGGGAAATCAAGATTCTTCACCTTCGAGAGGACTTTAGTTTTCGTCTGCAACCGAGACTCCGTGCACTCCCGACCATATTCTTCTGAATACAACGGCCCCAACTCCTTGAGAATCACCCAGGCTTTCTTTGACATGGGCAAATGGCGAAGGCGTTCCAACGTGGAAATAGCCTTGTGAATATTTTGCCTCAAACGTGCGGATTCGGACATGTCTGGTTTATCGCTGAGGAGACGGGTGAAGAACATTGCAGCAGAAAAAATATGGATCGGACCAAAGCTCATATACCCTACGACTGCGGGAGAGGCATTTTCCAAAAACTCTGGACGTCCCTGCGAGGCAAGTGAGATCAAGCTCTCGGCAGCATCTAGAGCAATATCCCAATTTTGAGTCATGTCAGGAGATTGATGCGCTGCGATGACGTATGGCTCGTGCATGGCAAAGCGAATATGAAGGAAGATAGACCTGATGTGGACGCTTTGGGCACCAAAGCGGCATACTGCCGTGACTGGGGAGCAGAGACTATGGGTAAGTGCATCGTCATCGAGATTGAGCTCCGGAGGCAGGCTGTCGAGCCATTCTTGGAGATTTTTATCATGTGCGAGGACATTGCTGTAGGGAACGGGACGGAGGGAGAGCATGTCGTCTATGATATCCCCCAGAAGGTGTGCAAGCCGAAAGAGTGCAAAGTTAGGAACGAACAGGCGTCCGGTTGAGTCTACAGAAGGATCACAGACAGATGGGTATCTTGTATCGAAGTGATGCGAGGCGATAGATGGTGGTCTCCCAAATGTGAATGCCTGCCATCTCCGAAATATCGCATAGTGAATGATGACCAAGGTCGTATGAATCGACGATATAGTGGTTCGCTCACCTCTCTATCCCAACGATATGCCACCATGCCCATCTCCGTCTCTCCGCGACATCTATCGGCATTGCGGTACCTGGTTCCCTGTGCAGACCCATAGCGGTGCCAACAGCGACGAACTCTCTACTTACTCGCCAGATTTCCTCGTTATGTATGTTCGATCGCATCAGGACCTGTGACCTGATAAGCAGCAGCTCGACGAATTCCATACTGTAAGCATTGGTCTCTAGCTGATATCTGTGTAACGCACTCCGCATGATGTCGTAGTATCGAATACGTAGCCTCTCGCGACTTTCTTGGAGGCTGTCGAGAATAGGGTGAGACTCGGGAAGATCATAGAGCGTTTCTGTCATGATAGCGCATACGGTCGCCAGCACAACTCGATTAGCAGATTTTCCAGACTTGTATTCGGCCCACGCTTCCAAGAACGAAGGTTGATGAACGATAGAGAGTATCCAGGTGCAAAATTCGAAATAGTAGTCAACGAGGCTGTCGACAATGCTCAATGTCGGAAGTTGGGATATGAGGTCGATGTCGGCTTCATAATCCAGAGGAATCTTCGTAGGAAGGATAGCCTCATAAACATTGTTCATGTCCCCGTCGCCCTCGTCACTGAGAGATGAGATCTACAAATGACCGTTAGGAAGTCACGACAACAACGGGATGATACGCACCGATTCAAGATATGAAATCGAAGTTGTGGGGCCGGTATAGAAGCCACGGTGGGTCAAGCGCCCAGTCGTGCCGGGACTGAGACTGTTTGAGGCGTCAGGCGAAGATGATTTTTGCTCCTGTGTACCATCTCGGATCCACGAATGGTCAGACGTGGGAGCCCAGGAGGCTTCGAGCCGTAGGACATGCGCCTGCAGAGAGGCAAGAGATTGTTGGATTCTCTTGAATTCGAACTTCGAATTTACGACACGGTGGGGTCTAAGGGCAATCGTGAGAAGGTAGGCATCCGTATCGGACGAACGAACATACTTAGATTTATTGTCGTGGGCAGATGATGGACCTTCGTTCTGGTAGCAGAAGGCAGCATGGCCTGATTGTTATGATTAGAGTACACATCGTGCCACGGATCAAATAAAAGAGATACCTCTCAAAATGCATGAAGAGCACGGGCGCTTCCTACCGCATAAGCAAGAATATGAGCGGACAAACAATAGAACGCGTGGGCTATTAAGCGAGAGAACGCAGCAGACGAACCTGTCACACTTGAGCTTGCTATTCCTGCAAGGCTTACAATTCAGCGCTTGTCGGGGACGTTTCGCTGATATTCTACCGCTAGTACCGACAGTGGGAGACTCTCGCTCGGTCATGATCGGCTGTCTGGAGAAAAATTCGGTCCCTCAGAAGAGATAAAAGCATCATATAATGTTGCGAAGTACCCGCGAGTTAGCAAAATATGACAAACGTGTTTGGTGTTTCGATCCAAGAAATGTGGAACTGTCGGCGTGATTGTCCGAAGACGATCGTCTAGTGGGACCCTTGAGGGATATGTAGATTTAATGGGGAGAAAGCGCTCTGCGGCGTCCAATGAACCACACAGCGTGTGCTTGTATCACAGGACCGATGTCGCACAAAGGGGAGTTGGACAGCCTATCCTCACTTGAGGTAGCAGCCTTGAGATGAGCACTGGGTGAAAATGCTATAAGATCTATTGACGACAGGTCGAGATTAAGTAGCTGACCGGCAACGGATTCGCATTTCATCGAGGCGATAGGAGAGACGACGACGACATACCGGAATTTGGTACCTGCTCGACCCTGGTGTTTGTACGGCAAACATGTAAATCGAAGGGATCGGCAGCATCAGAAGATACAGCGGCAAGACGCGTGCGATGACTGTCGGCGATTACTCCAACAGTCCTAGAGCGCCTGCTATGATCATCGGGTCATGTGATGGTCGACCTGAGCTCTTTTACAACTAATTTCGAGGATGAACTTCCTGTGCGGGGGTATCGAAGGTGCGCACGGTTCTTCCACATGGCTGGCGCACCTAAGAAAGTCTCGAGATCACCGTACTTGACCGCATAAGCGCTCCTGAAGTACGATGGATGAGGTACATATTGGTCTATCCGCAATCTTTCAAGCGGCGGGCGGGCAGCTGATTCAGCATACACTATATCTACGACCATTGACAATGTTTGAAGAGAGGTTTGACGTACCTTCGACCTGCAAACATTCATTGTAATCCGTTTCAAGTACAGAAATATCGGCCAGTCTGCTCACACCTTCTCAACTTCTTCTAATGCTCTCGTCTGCCCAGTGCCCCACGTGTACACGCAGCGAATCTGCAACCCTCTATAACCACCGAAGCAGATAACAGTACCCTGAGATATTATGGGAGGTATGTTTCGAACACATGCTAGTTAAGCGTTATGAATTGTTGTTCATATCTTGATGTTCACGCGATGAGCATCGCGCTTTAGAACTCGATGATTGCAGCAGCCCGTGGAGATTCTTGAAATCTGATTTCACTGGGAACGAATATACACACAGATGAATGGATCAGATATAGGGGCTCACAGCATGTGGTAAATATTGTGTTGATTCGGCTAAGAACGAAATAAGGCTTCAAGCTGCGATGAATATACCAGGTTGGTAGTTGCGGATTTGGGGGTCTTATACCGGATTTTGCCAAACCCCGCGGATGAGGATTTCCCCACGGTCTGCCGTCAGGTTCTTTCGCACGCACTCTTTCACACCAACCCGCTCGTCCTCCACATCATCCGAGCATCGTCTTGGGGAAACTTTCACAACATAGCTAACGAATTTATCATATAATATATTGATCTCAACCATAGTGCATTGAAAACCCTCAACTCGATAGGATCCGGGAATTATAGTGCACATACTAGATTTTCCAAACTATCATTAGTCTCTCTATTCCGGTTTGCATCCCGTTTAGGCTGTCAGAATGATTCCAGGCGACAATCCCTGCGGGATAACTATCTCAAGAATGCAACGAAAGGTTCATCTTGAATACATATGGTCGTCATACGCGCTTTTCAAGGCTTCTCCCGACAGTATGCACAAACTTCATCATTTATTATGCTTTGAACCTAGAATGTTCCTTCTAAACCTTTGCTGATCATACTTTTGACTTGTATTCAGATCGGTGGCCGGACTTACTGCCATTTTCCGTACTTCTTCGTGCATGAACCAAATCTATTGCTGACTCGTGTTTTCCTCAATCACAATTAACTTATCAGAGGAGGCCAAATCCAAGGATAGCATGTCGTTGCTATGTCAATCTTTCTCTTCGGTCGAGGGTATGCAATCATACAACGCCTAGTAACAATAATATGGAAGCCATGGTGCATGACATCGTGAGTCTCTCCCCTTAGGGCCAGCAAACGTCCGCTCGCACCTTTTGCGATGAATATTGGCCTGATCTGTTGGCACTATAGGGGATTGATTTAACGCATCATCGAGTAAGCCGAGTTGGAGAGTTATGATTGCAAACCTCGAAATCTGTCCGCTTGTGGGCAGTCGGATCCAGTTGTATTTTTACACCATGCGGCTGCCAAGAAGTAAGTTCAGTGAACCTTTGCCATTGAATATCTCTGCACGGATTTCTCTGCGGTCAAGGTCGACACCTTTGTTGGTGTTCTGTGGTCTATATTCCTGCTATAGCTTTAGATCACCTTGATTTATTCACGAGTCTGTCGATGTTTCTTTGTGTGGAAACGGCGCTTCCAGGCGCTGATTGAGGGAAACGTATATGCTCAGACAGAGAGCGATGCATCCTGACATAATCTTCAATTCTACTCATCATCATGCGCACAATGTATGTATAGAGTCAAGCTTTAGCAGCCAATGTTCCGCCTCGAAGATGCGTCGTGAGCCCTTTCCGCGATCTATCTTTGACAAAATGCCTCACTCTCGTTCGAGAATACCTCGTTTTCTGACAGATCGCTTGGAAACACGTTCATATATGAACTCATCCATGAGACTGAGCGCCTGATGCGATTGGTATAAATGTCCAACTCGAAGCGTCACCTCTCATTAAATTCCCATCATGCTCTTGATTCAGGCAAAGATCGCTTTTGTTACCGGTTTACTCGGCGGAGCGCTTGCGGCCATTGGTCCTGCCAGTGTTTTGCATATCACTAACAAAGAGATATCTCCCGATGGATTCCCTCGCGAGTACGTCCACCCTATTCCACTGATGTTCTACGTCTTGATTATCATTTCGACAGTACCGTTCTTGCCGGATCTACTTTCCCTGGCCCACTCATCACAGCGAACAAGGTACAGTGCGAGCTTTGATATTTCGGAATCATCGAAAGACCTGGCCGATTCGCGTATCCAGGGTCAGAATTTCAATGTTCACGTTTTCAACGACTTGAAAGATACCAGCATGGACACTGTTACCGCTGTCGTAAGCTTTTTGTTTTCTCCATCGCAATATGATAGAAAACAGAACATCGATAGCACTGGCACGGCATCACGCAACACAACACGACATGGGCTGATGGTGTTGCATTCGTCTCTCAATGCCCAATTGTTCCTGGACACTCCTTCCATTATCAATTCAACCCCGGAAGCCAGGTGGGAACATACTGGTACCACTCGCATTACTCGACGCAGTATTGCGACGGTCTACGAGGTGCTATTGTCATATATGATCCTGAGGACCCTTTCGGGGAGTTGTATGATGTCGACAATGGTACAGTCATTCTCATATCACGATGCGCATATTTACTGATATGCCTAAATCAGAGAGCACGGTCATTACTCTGGCTGATTGGTACCATTATCTCGCTCCTCAGGTCCAGCCGGGCTTGGGCCATGTCGCGTGAGTTCCTTCAACCCATCTATCTTTCTGCATGCTAGAAAGAATCGCACAGTCATCCAGCTTCGACCCTGATAAATGGGCTAGGCCGTTACGTGAATGGAACTGCTGATGCTCCTCTCGCTGTTGTTGGTGTCCAGGCCGGGAATCGCTATCGCTTCCGCCTCATATCCATTTCTTGCTTACCGAGTTTCATCTTCTCTATCGACGGACACAATATGAACGTCATCGAGGCTGATGGTGAATACACGGAACCGTTGCTCGTCGACTCTATCAACATCCTTGCTGGTGAGATCATATCACAGCCTTCAGAATGGTCGCATCCTCACGTGTCTCGCCTTCAGGCCAACGCTATTCCGTCGTTGTAAGAGCTCTGCATCTCAATCAATATACCTCGCATTGAACGCACAACCCAGGTCAATGCTTCCCAGCCAGTTGGCAACTACTGTAGGCTATCCGTTTGCTGATTCGCAGAATATTTTCAATATCCAAACGCATCTTCAGGGATACGTGCCCAGCCTATATTGCCCCTTGGGACGAACACATCGATTGATACTTCCTTCAATGGTGGTCTCAATTCTGCTATTCTACGCTACCAAGGCGCACCGGTGGCGGACCCGAATTCAACCTTTGAAGACACCCTCAATCCCCTTGTCGAGAGCAATTTGCACGTATGTTCTCATCTATGAACTTGTCTGGACCGTTGCGTGTTTGACGCATTGTATCTAGGCCCTTGTGAATCCGCAAGCGGTATGTGATCTTCCCATAATACAGACATAACTCAAATTGAGAGTTCCCAGCCCGGAAATCCTACTCCCGGCGGCGGAGATGTTGATATCAACCTCCAAGTGACTCTAGTGCCGTTGGTCCGTCGAGCCTGATTCTCTTGATTGTCGATCACACTTTCTCATGGTGCCTATTGATAGCCGACAGATAACACTTCTTTCGTGTATGCTATGAATGGTGTAACATACGACCCTCCTAGCGTTCCTACGTTGCTTCAAATTCTCAATGGAAATACGGACTTGCTACCTAACGGCACCACGTACTTCCTTCCTCGTAACAAGACTATTGAACTCAGTATACCGAGTGGCGCGTCTGGTGGGGAGGTATGCGTCTCGCAACTTTCGACACAACCAAATTCTTATATTCTCATTGTCCTCTCAGCATCCAGTTCATTTGCACGGGGTGAGTCTACAACCATCCTTGCTGACATACCAACTCGACACGATATTATTTCTAGCATGCGTTCTCTGTGGTCCGCAGTGGTGGAAGCGATTCGTACAATTTTGCCAATCCCGTTCGCCGTGACGTAGTCAGCATGGGTGGCCAAGATTCGGGCTCAAACCTTACCATCCGATTCACGACCGATAACCCTGGGCCATGGATTTTTCATTGGTACGTCTCATACTACTCCATACTGTGAAGGTATAGATTTAATGATATCACCGCAGTCACATTGATTGGCATCTTGAAGAGTGAGAATTATGTTTCGTACGCCCGATCAAACTGATCACTGAACCAACGCCTTTTTAGGGGGTTCGCCATAGTGTTTGCAGAGGATGCTCCCGATATTGAACAAGCCAATCCTGTTACGCGTACGTTCTTTGGTATTATCTCGACGAGGGATGCTAAGTTGGTCGTGATATTTCCAGAGGAATGGCAGAACCTATGCCCGATCTACAATCAGTACATCCAGAACCATCCATCAGCCTCTGTGACGAATTGATAGACCAAAGTCTCAGATCCGGAAGGCCAAAGGTTGAGTGTCAAGTTCCTGCCTAAATGACGACAGAGGAATCTTCCCCACGTTTCTTGGTCATCTGTTCTGAGTTTTTGTCTTTTACCACCTGCTTCCAACCTGTATTGCTTCCTTGGTTTCTGGTCAATGTCGTGAAAATATACAAGTTCAAAGCGCGCTGTGTCGCTTGAGCTGAGAGCCATAAACTCCAGGTGAGAACGAAATGAAAGCTTAGTGCTGCTTCGGAAGCGACCTCCAATTGATTCCGCTGATTGGATCTCGATTCTCGTCAGCCATTCATTCCGCTGTTGTTTCCGAACCCACTCCGTATCATCACGCCCCGCACATTGCAACCCAACCGCCCACCACCTTTTCGTCGTCCTTATTCGCTTACGACATGGAAGCTAGTTACAGGTCCTTTGGTGTCCGTGACAGCTCGCTGGTGACGTGTCGCGTCAGTGACGCATGGTCTCTTTGCAGTGGCTTTTAAGCAACTTTACTTCGTTCAATCATCGCTCACCCCTCCGCGTCTCTCATCTTTTCCAGACATGACTCGCAGTCGCACTCGCTTGACCTCGAAGTCGAGACCTAAGGCGCCTCTCCAATTAGAAAAGACCGTGACGATCGCGAATCGCGTCCTCCCAGTGTCTCCCGTGTTGAACACGCTCTTCCTGTTCATGGCTGAGCGCCATGCAATTCACCAACGCCGTCTCGCAGGCGAGCCATACCCGTGGACTGAAGATCCTATCTTGCTCAAATACCCCTTCACGAATGTCTTCCGTATATTTGACCGCATGACGCAGTATATTCTGCAGAATGTGGTCAACAAGGGCGACAATACCTTAATGGAGTCGGTCTTTCGGGTGACACTCTTCCGCCTCTTTGCGAGGACGTCCACGTGGGAGCTGCTGCAAGATCGCCTGGGCGAGTTGACATGGCGCGACTTCGATATCGACGTTTATACGGATATCCTTCGCGACGCGAACGAGGGTGGTGTCAGCCTGTACGGCTGCGCGTACCTCATGCCAGCACCTAAACTCGGCGGCGACAGAAATTATATAAATCACCTCCGCCTACTGCAAATCATGATGCAGGTAGATTTGCCCGGACAGCTCAAGAAATGCGCCTACCTCAAGGACGCGTACGGGCGCATTTCCCTTTTCCCCAGCCTGGGGAATTTTCTTGGGTACCAGTGAGTGGCCTCTCCTCCACCGCTGGCGAGTTCTCAGACCACCTCGATTTTATGGAGACTCCTCCTCGACATTAACATGATCCCCCAGCTGTCCTTCCCCGAGAATTGGGCCACGTGTGGTCCTGGGGCACAGGACTGCCTCAAAAAAATATTCGGCCCCGGCGTGCAGGGCATCGAAGGGCGGGCCCTCGAATATCTGCACTATACCCAAGACATCCACTTCGCACGCGTCGGCATCCCGAGCTCGCGCCGCCCGCGCATCGCGCCAGACGCGCTCCCCGGCGTGTCCGTCGTCGACCTTGAGCACTCGTTGTGTGAGTGCGAGAAGTACTCGCGCGCGATGCACCCTGAGATCAAAGGCAAACGGACGAACGTCTCCCGCCATCGAGCGGGCGGGGGCTGGGAGCCCAGCCGCGAGCCGCTCACGGCTGAGCTTCCCCGCCGCTGGCTGTCCTCCGCCATGCGGGCTAAGCCCGTCAAGCCCCTCCCACCCGTAGATCCTACCGAACCCGAACCGTCCTATCACGTCTCCCACATTGTGTCAGAGGCGCCCGAACCAAGGGGCACTCTGTACCAAGTTCGTTGGCTCGGATACGGACCAGAGGAGGACATGTGGCTCGAAGAAAAGGAGCTGTGTAATGCACTGGAAGTATTGAAGGAATGGTCTGACTTCAAGGCTGTCATCGCTGCCAAAGTCTCTGCTTTTCAGGCTACTGAAACTCGAGGGAGGCTATGAGTTTCTCTCTGAGCTGTAAGATTGGGCTGAATCGCTGCAGGCGAAAATCGCATGTGGAGACCATTCAAGGTAAGGCCATCCCGGCCCCATTTATCGAAAATAGCAGTGACGAATACTCCTTTGCTAAGGTGTTTGATTCCGGAATCCAAGCGCAGGAGATACACTTATGCTACATACACATACATATTGGTCTCTTCCTCGTCTCTCTTCAAGTAATCTTGTTCGACGAGGCTCTCTATGCGCTTCTTGATGCTGCTTACGTCGGGTACGAAATGCTTCTTGACCGCCTCGATCGTCTCGGCCTTGAGCTGCTCGTACATGAGCTGCTTGCGCGCCTTCATGATGCGCACGATGGCCGCGTCGAGGTAGTGCTTGCGGTCGCCTTCGATGGCCGTCTGCGTGCGCGCCGCTTCTTCGACCTGCGGGAGAGATCCGTGAGCCCAAGAAGCGCGAAGGGGGCCAGAGGTGAGGATGTGCGTACCGTCTCCTTGACCTGAATGGAATTGATGTGGACTTTAGCTCGTGGATCGGTGAAGGCGTCGTTGAATTCGAAAACGTCGTCGTCGTCGACGTCCCGGCCAGGCGGCAGCTTCTTCAGCACTTTCTTCTTCCCGCAGGCAAGGCTCTGCAGCGTACGCCGCAGCTCCGCATCCTCTGTGGGTAGTCAACATCCGATCTCGAACGTGGTCGCAAAAGCGAGACCGGGCGGCATACATACCGATGCGGGTGCTCGCCTTGATCTCTGCGAACGGTATCTTCGGGCTGCGGTTGAAAAGGAGGAGGACGACGCCCTGGTAGAGGCTGACGGACAGCTCCTTTTGTCCCCCGCTGAAGCGGGACGTCAAAATGATCGTCCCAAGCCCGTGGTCCCAATCGAGTTTGTGGCCCTGGTGCTTGCCCTTGTAAAAAGCAGCGAACGCGGCGATCTCCGCTTGCATCTGTTCCGCCGCGCGGTCAGTGCTACGCGCAACTGCAACCGTGCCCGGGATCCCGAACGACTCACCTCGGGAGGCAGATCGGCATCACTCGTGCGCGCGGAGAAAGGCCAGAAGCTCTGTTGGAGAACCATCACGTTGAGATTTCGCGCGCTGCTGTCTTGTTCGAGCTTCTTGTGGTAGTCCTGCATAAGCTCGCGAGACAGGGCGAGGTCGTTGAACATGTGGTCGCCCATGCTGAACTCGGGATCGTAGACTGGCCGCGGATGTGAGCATGCGCGACCGGCGGGCAACCAGACAGACTCACGCTCTTTCAGCTTCTTCAAGATCGCCTTCTCAAAGTCGTCGGAGGCGCTGCGCTCCAAGAGCAGCCGCTTCGCGAGCGCGCGATGGTAGAACGTTCGGAAGACGTCCTTGTCGTCCGTGAACCTGTAGAGCGCGAGTGCGGCGTCGAGCTGCGCCGCGAACTCGGCGTCGGTCGCGCCCCGCTGGCCCTTGCGCATCATGCGGTCAACGTGCTTCGCAATCATCTCCGCGGGCTTGTTGCGCCGCGCCTTGAAGCCAACGCCGAACGCGTCGGTGACCGCGTACCCAAAGTCGCGGTTCGGCGTCCGCGCGAGCACGGACGTCGACGGCGCGGCGCTGACCACGGGGTCGGCGAACGCGTCCTGCAGCGCGCGGTCGAGGAAGGCTTTGAACTTGAGAAGGCGATCGACCATGTCGTCGTCGCGGGCAGCGTCGCGGACGACGGCTTTGACCGTTCGCTGCTTCTAATATATATAATCGCTCGCGCGTGAGAAACGTCAGGCGCACCTCGACGTAGGCTTTGAATTGGCCATTGAGTTCTTTCAGGCCGTCGACCCGGAAGAAAAGATGGTAGATCCGCGACAGCCCTTGTATGTCCTCGCTCTTCATCAGCTTGGGGATGCCTGAGGGCCACGCGTCAGAAACTCGACCATAAGTGAAAGTAGTCGTGCGTGCCTTCTTCTGCCAACCAATGAAGCCTGTCGGACAACAACGCGCGCTCGGTCGCCTCGAGGACGGCGCCCCAGCTGGACTTTGGCAAGATCTCTCTGGATCTCGCCACTTCTTCATCGATGCGAGACGTGCAGTGCAAGAGGAAGGCCGATGCGTCCTTGTCGGCCGCGCTCGACAGGCGGTCTGACTCGGCAGAGTAGTGCTCCGCGATCAGCTCGAGATAGTAGCTCTCGAACCGCGCTTGGTAGGAGTCGTGAGTCTGAAGGTGACCGATCAGCTGGGCCACCTTCGCCTGGGCTTCGTGCGGCTTTCTGTTAGCGATACGAGGGTTTTAGACGTTAGGGGACTGTTTTGCTGTGAGGAGTGGTTTGTCGGACCTGTTTTCCCTCTCCCATTGAATCCATGACTTAATCCCCTCTTCCAAATTCTTCACGATGGTGCCGTGCCATATGATGTTGTGTAAGAATAGATCCAACGCCATTCCGCTGATGATATTTCGAGACGTGAGCGGCGACGAAGGCGACGAGGAGCTACAAGCGTACCGCACACTCTGAGAAGACCCGTCTGAGGTCGAATAATCTCGATCCAAGAACGTCAACAAGGACTGAAGAAGGCTCTGAGCGACGAAGTTCGTCAGTCCAAGTCTAATCGCGAATGCTCGCGGCGCGCTCACTATTTGGGTCTCAAACCATGCACAGACGTCCACGAATCTGTACAGCCATGATAAGCCGTCAGGGGAGGTTTCCAATAGGAATCGTTGCAGCTGCCCGACGGATTTCTCGAGCTCGGCCTTCAAGCGCCCGTGCAATGCTTCTCCGTCGCGGGCGTTGCACACCACGTAGCGGCAGGTCGCATATATGCTCTCGTACGTCAGGGGCAGCGCGTCGTCAGAGTCCTTGGTCAACAGGATGCGAATGCACTGCTGGAGCCGGGCAAGGTCGGTGTCGCGCTTGTCCGTTTGTGACGGCGCTGCGTTTTGGTTCGGTGTGTCTGGTGAGCGGATGCGGAACAAGAGACGATAGCGAGGATGATGCACGCACGATGAGCGCCTGATATCTTGACGCGGACGACGCACGCTGTGTTCTTGGAAGGGGCGCTCGCGAGGCCCTTCCTGGAAGCGGAGCCGGGGTCAGAGTCTTGGGCGAGTCGCGGGACCTTGTGTAGAGGAGGGGGGGACTCGGACTCATCGACGATGGCGGCCGCGGAGGGGCGGACGGCGCTGAAGGCGTCGGAGGTGACGGGGAGGGTGAGCAGGGAGAAAAGAGAGCTGGCCATCGTTGCGAGCAGCGACGATCGGATCCCTCGGAATGTCGCACTCGATGCCGTGTCGCGAGTTGCCGCCGGAAGCAAACGCTCTCGCACCGTGATGCTCCCATGGCGTCTTGCCATCATCTCTGCGGCACACAACCTTCTCGCGGGATCTGCGCCTCGGACAGGGACGCGCGCTCTATTCTATGATGCTGTCGTACTGTGATGATTGCGCCCACCCTCGAAGATTCGGAACATCTATGCGAAGACGCGTGTATGAGGTTCAATTTAGTGCAGCGTGCAGCGTGGACAGGCGTGGAACGGAACAACGACTCGACATGATGCTGGGCTGTGATACACTTCTTGTTGTGCTGGCCCATCTTCCTTGGACACTCTTCACGTCTTGCACGCGTCAGCTTCATGGACCTTGTCCCCTGCCTTATTCTCTCGACTCCAGGGGGTCACCGCGCCAGGAGGCTTATTGTTCTGTGTTCCTTATATTTTTCGTGTGGTTTGTCTTCGTGCTACTCTCCCTGACAAGGCTGAAAGAACCAGGCGATGTTTGCTGCCGCGCACACAGCCTACGCGGTACGGAAGCAGCTCAACTGAGCGCACGCCTGGTGACAAGTGAAATAAGCGACGTGCTGAACGCCACGCTAGCCCTCCCTATCCCAGACAATTGACGCTGTGACCGTGGCGGCCCACAGTCTTATACGCATGCCTTCCATAAGCACCCTGTTCCGCATTCACCCCCACGTACAAGCCTCTCCTCGCCACAGCCCCGCAACGCCGAACCCAGCATGTCCCTTTGCGACTCCTCCGCCTCGTCGCCGAACTCCTTTCTGATCTTCGAGCGGGCGTGTAGAGCGCTCGAAGCCTCGCCCCTCGTCCAGTTTTTCCGTCACCCCGTAGTGATCAACGGGATATCGATGGTGCTCGTGACCGCCGGGTACCACCTCGCGCGGGGATTATGGCGCTGGCTCTCCCAGCCGTCGAACTTATGTGAGCCCTAACCTATTGTTTTTCCCTCTCTCGCCTGAGCGCTAAGCATCATGTTTAACCGGCGTGGCGTCGCAGCGCTCACCGTGACAGCCGCATTCACTCAAGGCGACCCCGCGTACGACTGGCTCGTTATGTATCTCGTGAGTTACGTGTCCATGCCTCCTACAGCGGCCCAGATATTGACTGTTCCCCGCAAGACTGACAGGGGCATCTGGCGCCACGAGTCCGAGAGCGTCATATCTGCGCACAGAGGCGAGCACCGCGTCGGCCCCGCCGTGTTCTCGAAGCTGCATTTCCCGCTGAACGATGCCATGGACTTCATCCCCATGGACGGGTACAAGGAGCGCTTTTTGTGGCGAGGATATCTCGCTGAGGTCGCGGTCAGCCAGGACGAGAGCTACTGGGCGTCGCCGGACGACCGACCGTCGCCATCGCTCCGCCTGAGGTGAGCGCTGTCTCCGGCGGATTCTTCTTTTATCTCGCCGGGGGATATTGCTCATTGTGATGTGGCGCCGTCGGTTCAAGGCTGTTCACTCGGAACGTTTCCGCACTGGAACGGCTCGTGGAAGAGGTGCACCAGGCCTCCGTGTCGCGTGGCCTCAAGACCGTCACGCTCCACCACATCCAGAACGTTCGTGTCTCTCTCTTCTAGATATCTTGGACTTTGGCTGAGTTCAAGTCGCCGATTGCAGAGCTACTTCGGCCGGCCCATCTGGACGACGGGGGTCAGCCGGTCTCTGCGTCCGTTCGACTCTCTTATATTGGACGGCAATATCAAAGCCGAGTTACTCGACGAACTCCGCGCTTTCATGAGCTCTGAGAGTTGGTACCATGATAACGGCGTGCCCTATCGCTGCAGCTATCTCTTGCACGGTCCCTCTGGCACAGGAAAGAGTGCGTGATACCCCTCTGGCGATGGATGATCTGAACTTCTGATGTGGCCCCTATTTGCCAGCGGCTACGGTATATGCATTGGTGCGCACGCACCCCGTGCCTCTCCGGATATCTGACATTCACCGACTGACTTAGGCCGGCGAGCTGAACCTCAAAGTCTACACGCTTTCTCTTTCCGACCCGATGTAAAAATATCCGGTCGCATCGCCTGAGCATCCTCTTATGATTTTGTTTCTTCCTCTTGTAGGATGAACGACGTGTCCCTGAACCGCCTGCTCGCGCGCGTGCCCGGGGATGCCATCCTCCTCCTCGAAGACATCGACTGTGTCTCCGCCGGCGCTCAAGGGCCCGACACCATGAGCCGCAACGGCGTACCCCTGCCCGACGCCCAAGAACAAATGATCACGGTGTCCGTCTCCGGCGTCCTCGGCCTGCTCGACGGCATCGGGAGCGACGACGGTCGCATCATCTTCGCCACCGTGAGCGGCCCACCTACCTCGTATACCATCCAGCGATCCCCACCATGCTCACACGGAGACGCGGTGCGTAGACGAACCACCCGGCGCAGGTCCACCCCGCTCTGCTGCGCGCAGGCCGGCTCACCCGCACGATCCCGTACGCACTCGCGTCGCGCGTGCAGGCGTCCGCGCTGTTCGACTACATCTTCTCCGGCGGGAGCCTTGCCTCGGGCGCTAGCTCCCCCGCTACCTCAGACGGCTCATCTGCGGTCGGCCGAGAGAGCGAGGCGCACGGGGCCCTACGTGCGCGGTTCGCTGCTGGCGTTCCGGAAGGGGCTCTTTCGATGTCGGATCTCGAGGGATACCTCGTGCGCCACCGGCGTGACTGCGAGGGCGCCGTCGCTGGCGTGAAGGCTTGGGCGGAGTCGGTCGTCGAGCAGAGGCGGGCTCTCGAGAGACTGAGGCTCGCTGACGGCACCCGCGCCTCCTCACGAGTGCTATGAGGCGGGTTTAGTTTAGGGTCAGCCTAGACACGGAAAATTTCAGAACGCCTTCCCTGCAGCAAGTAGCTCGGAGTTTTATTCAATGCGATTCGTATTTTTTTCTTCTTTTTTCCTGTGGTCAAAGACCGAGGGACGTGAGAAAAATGAGGGTCCAGTCACGCGCGGGGGTTGTGAGTAAGTCAATTTGAGCGAGGACGTGATGGCCGCGGCTGCTTGAGCACGCATATGATACTTTACTTGTTGCTTGAGTACGTTAGCGCTTTCTTTTCTTCTTCACATCCTACCATCATACGCCGTCTCTCCTGGATGTTCGCCGGTTCGAGTAGATGCTAGCCTCCACAAATAAGTTGCTCTGTGCTGGCTCTTTGCTGGCCTCGCAGCGCACGGCAGCGTCGCACTCTCGCCTCGCAATTAGCCACGCATTGAGACCGCTGCCGTCAAAGGACCACTCGAGACGACACGGTGTCCTTCTTCGCGCGCTTCACAGCAGCCAGCCACGCTTCGATCGTGTAAACAATCACGGGGAAAAAGCACCATTATTTAGTGCGTGCCTTATCTTCTGGCGGCGCTGCTTGTCACGGACTGTGCTTGCTGACTTGGCACCATGTCCTCCTCAGAAAAAGTCGCCCAGGCCTGGCGGCACACCCCAACGAAGTGGTATCCCCTCCCGTGGTTCATCGGCGCTCTCCTGCTCGTCGTGCTCCAGTACAAAAAGTCGGTCAGGAAGGATGTGTACGTAGACGAGGATGGGCAGGAGGTCATCAGGCTGAAGGGGCCATGGCAGGTGCGTGCTGGCACATCCTCTCCACCCCCTCTCCGTTCCTCACCACCTTTCCACTGCGCCACCGTGAATAGGTGCACATCCTCGGCGCGCTGCCGCTGCGCAACATGTCGCGCCTCTGGGGCTGGCTCAACTCGCTCGAGCTCCCCGTCTGGTTCCGTCCGATCGGCTTCACGATGTACGCCTGGGCCTTCGGCTGCAACCTCGACGAGATCGAGCCCGCGGACCTGCGTGCGTACGCGAGCCTCGGCGACTTCTTCTATCGCAAGCTCAAGCCGGGCGCGCGCCCCGTCGCCGCGGCCGCGCTCGTGAGCCCCGCGGACGGCAAAGTGCTGCACTTCGGCACGATCAAGGACCTGCGCGTCGAGCAGGTCAAGGGCATCACGTACTCGCTCGACGCGCTGCTCGGCGTCGAGAAGCACGCGCCCGGCACGCCTGGCTCGACCGTCGTGCACTTCCCGCCGCGCGCCATGGAGATCGTCGACGACGAGGAGTTCGCGAACGTCAACGGGATCGAGTACAGCCTCAACCAGCTCATCGGGACCTCGACGCCCACCACGCCCACCACGCCGCGCTTCGAGGACCCGCAGGGCCCCGTGTTCCCGACGGACCCGGAGGCGTACGCGCGGCATCCCACGCCGAAGAAGCACGGCGAGCGCATCGACGCGTCCGTTGTCGAGCCGGACCGCTCGCTGCAGGACACGGTCGCGCATGACGTCTCCGTCGCGCGCGAGATGGGCGTGCAGCCGTCGCTCAGCCACCGCCGCAGCACGTCGGGCACGAGCGTCAAGCCGGGCAACGCGCTCTTCTTCACCGTCATCTATCTCGCGCCCGGCGACTACCACCGCTTCCACAGCCCCGCCGCGTGGGTCGTCGAAAAGCGGCGGCACTTCCAAGGTGCGTTTTCGATCGAGAGCGGGATTCGCACGGCCGGTGCTCACACGTGAGGCGTTGCAGGCGAGCTGTTTTCCGTCTCGCCGTACGTGGCGAAGCGCCTGGAGAACCTGTTCGTCCTCAACGAGCGCGTCGCCATGCTCGGTCGGTGGAGGCACGGGTTCTTCAGCATGATCCCCGTCGGCGCGACGAACGTCGGCAGCATCAAAATTAACTTTGACCAGGTGACCTCTTCTTTCCATTCCGTCCCGCGGAAGGGCTAGCGCATCTGATGGCCGCGCATCTCAGGCACTCCGCACGAACGTCCGCGGCCGCCCACCGCCGCCCGGGACGTACACCGAGGCGGTCTACTCCGCCGCGTCGCCGATCCTCAACGGGCAGCCTCTGACCCCCGCGCAGGAGATGGGCGGCTTCTGTTTAGGGAGCACGATCGTGCTCGTCTTTGAAGCGCCGAAGACGTTCGAGTTTGCCGTCCATGAAGGGCAGAAGGTGAAGGTCGGGCAGGCGCTTGGAGATATTGGGCACGACAAGGACGATTAGATCGTCCGGTGGAGGCATGGGCATGGACACGTTTATAGATGACTCTATAGGATCTACTTAATGATGTTTGGATTGTGGACGGCACATTACATTCAACTGTAATGTTTTTGGCTTGATTCGCAACACGCGTGACTATCGTTTGCGTCCTGTACACACACATTTTTTGGCTAAGGACACTCGATGCGACTTGAAACTTGCGCTTTGAGATCCTGAAGTTGGACGGAGACCTGTGTATTCCTGGAATTCCCGAAGGCATTCATCGCACGATATCACGCCTTACCACTGACTGATCGTTCTGTCATCACAAGTAAGTGCTGCTCAAGTGTTTGTATCTGCGACACCCACGTCGATCTCGTCGAGAATGACGCTCGCAAAGCCTTACATAGTCTTCGGGTACGGCTCCCTCATCTTCAAGGTGCGTCTCGTCGCACAAGGCGCCTCGCTCTGCTCACGGTAACTTGCAGCCTCCGCCGCACACCGTCGCTCAAAGTAGGCACGCGCATTCTAGCAGCGACGTTGAAGGGCTCACTTTCCTTCTGACTGGAACAGCGCCGGGGTACCTGAAAGGCTATGTGCGTCGCTTTGCCCAGAAGTCGCATGATCATCGCGGGACGCCCGAGGTAAGAGCATCTGTTGTGTGTCGTGTGCACTGTGCGCAATGGCTTCCGCGATACCCACAACGATCCCTCTTCGCCATCCTCCGACAGAATCCTGGGAGAGCCGTGACGCTCGTCCATCAAGCAGACTGGGAAGCGTTCTCTGGGTCGGTACGCCATCTCTGCGCCTACTATCCCTGCATGACCGAGCATTCCGCTCATAACTCTGGGCCGATGACAAGGATCCCTTTCCTCATGAGGATGTCGTGTGGGGTATGCTTCCTGATTTTTCGTATTCCTCCCAATCTGTACGACCCACTGAACTAGGGCACTGTTACAGGTATCGCATATACCGTAGATCCTGCACACGCAGCAGAAGTTAGAGACTACCTCGGTGAGTTATAAGTCGTGTCTCCACTGCCCGAGAAAAAGCATCGACTCGACCTGTCAAAGACTATCGCGAAAAGGTATGTACCGTTCATTTCGAGTCCCGTCTTTGATTTGCGACGGGTGTGTTCATCAGGATGGTTACACGCTGGAAGAAGTGGACCTGTACGGAATAGAGAACGGCCAGGAGAAAGTGATCATACCCAATGCCGTCGTACGTTCTTTCTGATCCAAAGTCAATGTCAACATGCAATCATTCATCCATCGTTGGTCCTGATTCCAGTGCTACGTCGGCCGGAATGACAACCCCTCGTTCAGTACGTACATCCGCACCGCCCCTGATGAATGCTCATAGCTGCGACCCTCGTAGTCGGCTCGGAATCGCTGGATCAGCTGGCTGAGATCATTTGGCGCTCTGTTGGTCCCTCTGGGCGGAACAAGGTGACATCTTTGCGTGGCGGTGTTCTGCGTGTCCTGACGCGCCAAACGCAGGATTACCTCTACGAACTCGCCAAAGCGGTGCACAAGCTCTCGCCAGAGTCGCACGACTCTCATCTTTACGCGCTTGAGGTATGCCATAAATGGTCCCACCGTCTTCTCTGCCGCTCACCATCATTTGTATCATTTGGCTAAATGATTGCTTGTAGACACGGGTGCGAGAGCTAGACAAGGCGCGCGACCGAGACAATGAATAATTGTGATAGACGACGAATAAACAAGATAGTGTGCATGCGCGATGACAACTACGAGAAGAAGCGGAATAGAGATGTATTTGCTGATACGAATGCGGATGTTTTGTGAATGTTGAAAATTGACGCGTTGACGCTCGGAAAGGATTTGAGAGTTGTTATGGTTTTGGAGATTGGCTGAGCACCGCCGTGCCGTACTGCAGACGAGACGCGACGCTCGAGACGCCGTTCTGCTCCGACGGTGGACTCTGCGCTATCAGCGGCGTGCGCTCGCCGATACTTGTGTTTGCGGAATCGACGCGGCGTTCGCGCTCGACAATTCTAAGAGACCGTCAGGATCGCTGCCTGCGTGCGGTGAATGGAGCGGAGAGATGTACTGACCCTCGCATGATGGTGGCGTTTGTCATGCGCTTTGCGCGCTGTTTATTTTGGTTGTCTTCGTACCGATCTGTCTCGTCGACGATCTCCTCTGATATGATTTCCTCAATGATGTCTGAGCGACGGGATAAATGTCAGTGTAATCCTTGGACCTTCGACGGCAGTCGCTATTACCTTCGAGTGTGATCACTCCTATTGCGCCTCCGGCCATTCCTGGGGTTGTGCTGATGAGAAGTAGATGCGCGCGTCCCGTTTGGCTGGAGCAAGCAGGCTATTGATGAGCGTGCGCACCTTCGACGGACTGTCGTGAAACTCACAAGTAATCCAGAGCTTGGAAACAATTAATGGAAGGTTTGGCTTCAGGTAGAATCCCAAGTTGGAATTTGGAAACGGGCCAGCATTGCGCTGGATCATACGACAACAGCTGAAACGGCCGAGAAGTTGAATTGCTGTATATGGGAAACAATGCAATGTGTTTGATCCGTACCTTCTTGACGAGCAGGAGACCGATGAACGAGAAGGGGTTGCCGGGCTCATGCACAGGGAATCGGGAGTATCCACTGGTCAGGCTTCAATCCCAGAACAAAAGATCTTAGAGGGTCCGCCAAGATGAAAGCGCATTGTTACACACATATGCTCCACGGTCTTGCTATCCATGATGGCGTCAGAAGCAAGTGTAAGAACATCCTGTAATATGGTCGGTTTTGAACATCAGAAGAGTAAACACGTGAGGCCTTGCCTTCATGGGAGTCATGATCGTCTCCACATTCTTGGTGTTCAGCTCAAGTACGCCGTTGAGAATGCTGATCTCATCATCCCGCAGTGGCTCTTCCCCACTGCGGTGGAATTGGAGGAAGGACTTCAGCTCTGCCTTCTTGTAGGTGGAAATTTCGTTGTGGCCGAGTACGTAATCGAGAAGCTTAGCTATAGGCCAGGCGATGGGAGCTGAGAACAAAGTGTGAATATCAAGCTTGAATATGCGTTAAATGACGAACCAAATAAGTACATGAATGTGAGGACGATAGGAGCGCAAGCTGCCCCAATGGAGAGACCGTAACGCACGCTGACGGCTTGTGGGATCACTCTTACGGACCATCAACTTCAGTCTTGACAGCGTCGAACGACATTCACTCACTCTCTGAGAATAAGAATGATATTGCATAAGATTATATATGCATGGAGAAAGAGATGCAACGTACCCGAAAATAACTAATCAAATCGTACGGTCAATCGCGTTCACTCGAGCGTCAGTCCAAAGCCATATGCACGCACCAATCATGAACGTAGAAATAGCAACGGCAGCGATGCCACCACCGATCTAAATCTGAATGAAGCTTAAGTAATGGTCATAAGACGGTGGACTTACAGCTTTGTCGAGAAAGATGGGCAAACTTTCGTTCACGATCTAAAAATACAATTCAAACGTTGTAGTATTCCCGAGGCTGAGAAAGACGAACCACATTGGCCAATAGAAGAACCTTAAAGAAGAGTTGTTGGCTCATGCAAAGAAAAACAGTTTTTGACTCACAACCAAAACCCAGTGGCGACCCTTGCCCAAGAGTTTCAACACTGAATGATGAACATTGGACTCGTATGCCTGACAATGTGATAATCGAACATCGGCGCTCACCTTTCTGAGCATTAGCTTTCTCCTTCATATCTTCTGATGAGGTTGCGAGAACGCGTAAATGGAGTTCATCCAGTCCCATGAGCCCCAACGTCAACCTAAGCGCGTCGCGCGCATAGGGGTCAGCGCGTCGCTCTGTTCGATGGGATTACACGCAGCAGCACGTGTCCTGAGTGGTGAAGCACAAAGACTCACCCGGCGAAGACGCCACCAGACAGGACCAGGACGATACTGATTGCAAGTTTCCACCAGAACTGAGTCGACCCAACTGGCTCTGGGTCTTCCGCGATGGGTTCCGCAAAGGCCGCATTTAGAAAAGGGAAGGCATTGACAGAGGAAATCAAGGAGAATATTGCAGCGGAGAGGATCATGAAGAGGTGGACGAGCGTATGATGGCGTTAAGTACAGATGGAAGTTGAATGGATGGCGGTGACGCGTGAAGGAGAACCTTTAGTGGCACGTCGCGCTGGGCGCCAAGCACTCGGGCAGCCTCGGGTGCCCATATTCACAAAACGCACCAAACTAGTTGTTAACGCAACTGTTTTTCGCTGTAATATGTCGAGGCCATGGGATACAGAGAATGATTTGAGAGATACGCGCGCACATAATTTGTCCATCTTTTCACGAATTATCTGGAGATGGATCGAGATCACGTGCAGGGAGAGCTGCATTTGGTTTTCATTGCGTCTCATTGGTCCCCATCCAGTCCATATGCAGACTCTGACGCGCTCATTTGTTTTCCTTCCACGACGCTCCAGGGCCAGCATCCGCACGATTTACTTACGCTCTGGCTACGTTTCCACCAACTTGAACCGGAGAATGCTTCAAGATAACTCCAAGACGAGACCCGCATCAGCAGTCGAGGATCTCGCTCAGCCTCTTGCAGAGAAAAGGCCTCGATTAGAAGTTCCAAACGAAACGGTAGAAGACGGCGTACCAGGGACCATTCCTGCCGCGGACGAGTCCGCTGGCATATCTGAAAACCCTTCCGAGAGGGCAAAAGCAAAGCCATCGCGTCAGCAGAAGAGGCGGAAAGAGAAACTGCCTGTACCGGGCACTTCAGAGGACGTCATATTCAATGAGGTGGTTGCGCTACTCGGGAAGAGTGTTGTGGATGAAGCGTTCGAAAAGGGAACGGAGCGGAATTCACCGTTTGAATTTCGAGAGATAGTAGAGTTGACGGTGTCGAGCATCTCTCCCAGTGGTATGTCGTTGTCTTGTTTGACGTTCGTTCAAATCCTGTGGGGCGCAGCCTCGCTTCTATTGGGTCTTCGCTCGTCTGATGTAACGAATTACGCACAAACGTGGAGTGAGAGACATAGTCTTTCGCGTTCAGACGATGCTCAATTGGTGTCCTAGTACATGATACACTTTTCTTTCAGAACAGCCGTCTCAGTCTGCTCATAAAGACTATCAATCTGTGAAATCCGTTGGCTTATGCCTTTTCTTTGAAACCAGGTGAAGGGCTTGCTTTAGCGCCTGCATCTAGAGGCCCCTGGGTGGTCGTTGTTCCATTTGCTCTACCAGGCGAGGTCATTCAAGCACGCGTCTATCGCACTCTCAGGATGTACTCGCATGCAGATCTTGTCAGCGTCGAAACGCCAAACCCCGAGTTCCGTGACATGAGTCTAGTCAAATGCAAACATTTCGGCACTTGCGCAGGATGCCAATATCAAGTACGTGGAGCGCATCTGAATTTTTCATAAATGAACAATTCTCATTCAATATTGTGCAGATGATTCCTTATGATAAACAACTCGATCTCAAGCGTGACGTAGTTGTGAAAGCATACGAGAACTACTCCGGTCCGTCTCGATATGTCCATCGGTTGACTCGCTGAAAAGGCCTAACTCTCCCGGCTGCCTTAGACCTGCCTGAATCCTCGATACCACCAATTCAATCCACCGTAGCATCACCTCTGCAGTACGGGTACCGTACCAAAATCACCCCTCATTTCGATGCGCCTCCCAAGAAACCTAAAAAGTCTGGCCTGACGGAGGAGATTTCAGCCACAGAGAAGCCTGATTGGTTGAACATCGGATTCAATCAAATAGGTAAACGGAAAGTGTTAGACATTGAGGTGCGTCCACCCTTAAGCATTGCGCCTGGATTCTTTTTCCTGATACATACACGATGCTTCTCAGGAATGCCCGATTGCTACTCCAGTCATCAACGCGGCACTTGGACCTCTACGGAAAGGGATCATAAAGTGAGCTGTTCATTCCCTCTTTCGAAAATCAAATCTGAATTTTTTTCTACAGAAATATATATGAGTATAAAAGAGGAGTCTCACTTTTACTCCGAGATTCTCTCAAAAGACCTGGTGGGAAGTTAGGGGACTCCCGGAAGGCCTCTCCAAGAAGGTCGCCCTCACCCTCAAATTCAACCGATCATGACCTGGAAGCAGTGTCGTCCGCGTTGGAGAAGCATGTCTGCGTCACGGATCACAGGCACATCGTACGGGAACGCGTTGGAGACAAGCTATTCGACTACCAGGCCGGCTCATTTTTCCAGAATAATAATTCCGTCCTCGTGCCACTAACGGAGTTCGTCCGCGACGCCGTCTTCCCCTCTTCTTCCTCAAGCCCCTCATCCGAACGGCCGACTCATCTCGTCGATGCTTACTGTGGCGCTGGATTGTTTGCTATCACTCTCGCCCCCCACTTCCAGAAGGTAGCAGGCATTGAGCTCTCGGCTGACTCGATTCGCTTTGCGACGCAAAACGCCGAGCTGAACAGGCTTCAAAAGGGACTATGTAGCTTCCGCGCTGGTGACGCCGCGAACATCTTCAGCGTCGTGTCAGATTTTCCGCCCGAAAAGACAGTTGTGATCATCGACCCTCCTCGCAAGGGATGCGACGACAACTTCATTGACCAGCTTTTGACGTTGAGGCCGAGGACGGTGGTATATGTGAGCTGTAATGTCCACACCCAGGCGAAAGATGTGGGGCGAATACTGAGGTTATCGGAGGAAGGAACTAGAGGGAAATATGTTATAGAGAGTCTCAGAGGATTTGACCTATTCCCGCAAACTTCCCATGTGGAATCCGTAGCGGTGCTCAGGTTGTCTTCCATGATTCATTAGGCTGTACAGTACACATCTCTCGGAGAAATAACTTACGGTCTTCTCTTGACCGCTGACGTATCTGAGTCAAAGCTCCGATGACAGTGATCCGTAGCGAAGACTACTGTCAATACACAAGCGTTCTTGTGATTATCTCAAAGTTCTCTGCCCTCTCTGTTCAGCTGTGGTCGAACCAAGCGATATTTTGATAACCCAGGCGTAAGCGCCGGAGGTGTCCGGAGTCCTGGCTGGGAGCTGGAAATTCGTGACCTGGAACCAGCAGGAACCAGCTTGGAAATCGTACACTAAGCTCTACTAAGACCACGCATGATTCGCACCTCGGGCGTATCGCGATTCGCCATGGTGCATTTCTCGATATCAACGGTGAGTCTGCCAGTGTTTGACGATACTGCGTATGTTTCGTATTCATTCACTGATGTGAACTGATCAGATGCACTGTGTATCCTGTAGGCTGTAAAATCATGAACTTTTGACAAATACCATAGGTCTTTCCGGAGGCGAGAGCCAGAGAAGCATGAGTATTCTAGGACCTCGTTTGAGATGCGCTGTACTTCCTGGTTCAGAATCGTAACAATGAGGTCCTAGGGTCCGCCAGGCCCCTCAGGATCTTTCGATGGGTTACGCGAAGGCTTCTGTTGATGTGATTCAATGCTCCGTCTCCGACATTATTCCCGCATCGTCGTCTTTTCGCAGTCCAGGCTCCGTACATCATCCATCGATAGCTTGGTATGCTCGTAGAGGGTCGTCAACAGTCCAAGATGGCTGCAGGCGAAAGGCTCACCCCTTTTTGGCTCTTTTGCTATGTAATTTGGTGCGTCTGGAATCATCATTCGTATTTTTTCTTTCCGCTTGAACACTTGAACACTTACATTAGGAAGTCTTGAGCGCTTGGGCGCTTGAGCGGCCTGTCACGTGTGCTTGAAAGCATCAACATTGTATTGTATGGAGGTACGCGAGACGAAGCAATTATGATGTCTCTATGTCGTTGTACAAGCTCGTGCGCCTCGGTACTCAACGTTAAACCAATGGAGGAGAAGAGGAAGAGACGGCGGTCCGAGCATACAAGGGGCGGTCCGCCTCCTTGCGTGATTCAGCTGTTCCGAATATTAGCCTGGTTGCTATAGTGTACTCAGTGACATGTCTTGAAGGCACATGTCGAGATTGACCGCTGGATGGAAACTCTGAGATCATTTAGGCTTTGCAGCAGGCATGTGTATTCCTGATACTACTTCTCCCGACTAACTGAGCCGGCCCGCTCTCAGACAATCATCAACTACTTCGACTAGCGGCGCAATTCTCTCTGTTATGTTGCTCCTCGGCACATGGCCCTAGAACAATGTCTTCAGGTGATTACGACAAGCGATGTGCTTCCTTATGTCGTGGAATCCATAGGCGGCCCGCATGGGAGAACTCTCGGTAGGAGTATATGTCATTATACGGGCATCTCTTCATCAACGTGCCAAGAGCTTTTGTTTACTTTCCGAGGGTCTACCGAGGGTATGCAGACAGCCACATTAGTAGGGTATAAAAAGCGGCCGGGGGCGACTCTGACATACTCAGGACATCCTCAGACGTTCTATTCAAGTGTTCATCTCAGACAACCAAACATGAAGTGGTTGCTCGCTGTCATCGCCCTTACCGTCTCTGCCTTGGTCAGTTCTGTATTGCTCAGTACCCTCATATGCTAGTACTCATGACAGTATCACAGGCCGCCCCCGCTCTCGAGAAGAGGGCATCTGCCAGTGATGTCGCTACCGTCGGATATGCCGCATCGGCTGGGTTCGTTCAGCTCTTTGGTTTCCTTCTCAAGATGGCTAAGATCTGGTATATAGGACCACTGGAGGCTCTGGTGGCACCACGACCAGAGTCAGCACTCTTGCTGCTCTTACCTCCGCCGTATCCGGTAACGCCAAAAAGATTGTCATCATTGATGGTATGTACGCCTGACGTTTGGCTGCTGAATCGGATTAAAAATATCATCAATCTTAGGGACCATCACCGGTGATACCGTCGTGAAAATTGGTTCCAATACCTCTGTTCTTGGTGCAGCAGGAGCTTGTGCGCAGTTTCTTCTTGTTGACTCTAGAAGCACAGTAAATTTACCGTTCTTCATAGCTCTCGTCGGAGTTGGTCTTCGTGTCCTGTCAGAAAGCAACGGTACGAATTCTCTGACCTTTGTGCCTCTCTTCGATTTCTAATATCGAGTCTTCAGTGATTATCCGCAACATCAAAATCAGCAAGGTTCTTGCATCTGCTGGGGATGCCATTGGTATCCAGGCATCAAGCAACGTTTGGATTGACCACAATGATCTTTCTAGCGACCGCGATCATGACAAAGTAGGCTGATATCTTGTGCGTGTTGATGTCAGTGAACTGATACCACACAACTCCCTTCATAGGACTAGCAAGTATCGTCTATCCGAACAAACTAAAAAAAAAACATCCTGACATTTCCACCTGATATCAGTTATGATGGGCTTCTTGATATCACGCATGGTTGTACTGGGATCACGGCGACTTACAACTACATTCATGACCACTGGAAGGCTTCTCTTATTGGTCATTCCGACTCAAACGGTTCTCAGGATACCGCCATCACGGTCACGTAGGTTTCTTGATTATACGCTTCCGTATCCGAGCTGGCAAGTTGACATCCATCGACACAGCTACGCCCTCAACTACTTCAAGAACTTGAATTCGCGCACGCCCTCCTTCCGTTTCGGACACGGCCACATTTTCAACAACTACTACCAGACCAACAATGATGGTATCAACACCCGCGATGGTGAGCCGATTTCTTTTATATCGTCTGAATAAGCTAACGCCAGTGTTCTTGATATTAGGCGCTGAACTCCTTGTTGAGAACAACGTCTGGACCAGCGACAACAAAAATCCCCTCTACTCCACCGATGAAGGTATGATTGCAAGTGCCTCTGAAACATACACAGTCTAATCTATTGTCTATGACTAGGTTACGCTGTCGCTCGTGGAAATAACTTCGGTGGCCTGTCTAACACTGCTCCGACTGGCACTTTCACTACTGCGCCTTACTCCTACAGCTTGATCAGCGCATCCAGTGTTGCGAGCACGGTCAAGGGGTCGGCTGGTGCTACGCTTTCCTTCTGAAATAGTAGTTAAACGGTCGTACCATAACTTTCTTTCGTTGAATGACTGTCACGAAATGTGTATACATAACAAACATGCATTTGGTTGCTGTGCATGAATTTTGCTGGATGATATGGTGCTGCTGCCCCAAAGTAACACAGGAATCTTCATTAAGGTACACCATGAGTTCATCGGTACTACTATGGTTTACATTAAATTTCCTACTGAGAATTGCTGTAGGAATCGGCGGACCGATATCCCCGCTGATCTTTGTTATCTTATCGTGGCCACTCAGACGATCATTGCCTGACTCGACCACCCGGATTTGGTAGCTCGGATTGGTTTCATCTTGATTCTCGCCTAGCAGTTTCATCCATTTCACCCCGACCCTCTCATTCTTTCGTGCAAAAACTCGCGCACTCTTTTGCTGCCATGACCTTCAAAAGCTCAGAGTTGTTGAACGCGAATGGCCTTCCTTTGCCATCTGGTGACGTCCAAGTGATAAAGAATGGTACACTCCCTACCATTTCTGAACTCGATGTACGTGAGCTTCTGTGGATCTTTGCCGCCTGCGTACGACATAGTTGACGCCATTTGCAGCCATCGAAACTCAGTGTGACTTTGACCACTATTCCCAAGTCTCTGCCACATCCCGACAGCCTGGTATTTGGGCAGGTCAGTAAAGCTAACCCCTGTCCGTGCGCCAAAGTCCACTCAATTATTTAATACAGGAAATGACCGATCATATGCTGCTCATGTCCTACGACCCTTTGACCGGATGGTCGGCACCGGAGATCAAACCATATGGGCCACTGAGCATAGACCCTGCTAGCTCATGCTTTCAGTACTGTCCAAATGTATTTGAGGGTATGAAAGTATGTTATCGTATAATGATATGCAGTCGAGAGTGTAGATTGAATTTGAACTCTAGGCATACATCGGTCCAGATGGGAAGCCACGCTTGTTTAGGCCCGATCTAAACATGGCACGCATGAAAAAATCGAGCGATCGCGTTGCGCTACCTGTGCCTACTCCCATTTTCCCTCCAAAACCCATGATTACTTACATCACTTTCCTTCCCCCAGCCTTTCAATACTGGTGCTCTGCTGACGCTCATCAAGAAGCTCATCTTGGTCGATGCCCGATGGATCCCTAAAGCCAAAGGGTGCAGTCTCTACATTCGTCCAACGATTATCGGCACCCGACCAGCTCTTGGCGTATCCGCTTCAACACACGCTATGCTGTATGTCATCATGTCCCCTACAGGTCCCTACTTCAAAGTCCCAACCGGTATCTCTCTCCTGGCTGTTGGTGACCACGTCCGCGCTTGGCCAGGAGGCACTGGTGGTTACAAGCTCGGCCTCAACTATGCCCCTGGATTCCACCCGCAACGTTTAGCGCTGCAGCAGGGGTATCAGCAAGTGTTGTGGCTACTTCGCGAGACCATCACGGAGGCTGGCGCCATGAATATCTTTGTAGTATTGAAGCGGGATGATGGCGGTAAGCTCTCTGATGACTTGACAATGATATAGAAATTGACTCCGCCATTACAGACCTCGATGTGTTCACACCTCCGTTGGACGGCACTATTCTGCCAGGCGTTACCCGCGCTTCTGTCATCTCGCTGCTCGCAGCGCACCCAACCGAGACGTCCCTTCCCGAGCTCTCGAACAACACGCATCTCCATACTCGCGAGCAACCCATCACCATGCCAGAGATCGCAGCATGGTCCGAATCGGGTCGCCTGTCGGAAATCTTCTGTGTTGGAACCGCTGTTGTGGTCACGGCCGTCTCGCGCATTGGTTGGAAGGGCAAAGACATCGTGTTGCCTGAGTACAGTAAGGCTTTGGGGCCCGTCGCGAGGGCCCTCTGGGAAAGGCTGGTAGATATTCAAGAGGGGCGGATCGAATGGCAAGGCTGGAGTACTCCTTGCTTCTAGGCGTATAAAAAAAGTAAACACAAGACGTCTGATAGACGTGTAAAGTAATACATAATCAAACTACATCTGACATTCGTATGGTACCCGCACAACGTCCATCCAGTGGCTGTTGAACGAATGATGAGAGCAATGAGCAACCAGCCGCGGTGAGTCTGTGCGCCAAACTACTGGGTCCTGGTCCGTGCGCACGCCCTATCATACAAAACCAGCCGCCATCCGTTTCAGGGTCTTTATCTCTTGTGCTCGGGCACGTACTGTCGCCAGTGAGGTCTTTACCGAGGCACAGTCTTTTGCTGATTGCAAATTACACATCCGAACACGTCTGTTAGCTTCGGCTTTCAGCAATTTTTGGAAAATCCTCACCAGCTCTTCCGCTTTATCTTATCCTAATGACGGTGACTTGCATCAGAAGGATCAGAAGTATCAGAAGTAGTTAGCACCCTTAGATAGGAATAAATTTGCTTGATTATCAATATAAATACCAGTATGTTCAATTGCTGAGGGTGCTCAAAGAACTTGATTATCTTGTTATCTCTGTGGATGCATTTTTGTTGCTTGGCAGGATTGTGATGGTATTCCAGGATGTCTCACAGCTTTAAAGGAATTGGCAGGATGTAGCACAATGGTATTATTAACATATGAATGGGACAGGAAATGAATGTGTTTGATCTGTTAGTGTAGAGATCTAAACAATACAAGATGCCATAAGGCAAGGCAAGGCATGGCAAGGAAAAATGCAGGTCGTAACAAAGTAAAGAGTGGCAGTTCCACGAAAACCACCTCCGAAACATAAGGAAAGGAACAAAAAAGAAAAGAAAAACATGGTACCAAGAAACCGTCAGAACCTCCGCGCACCCCCGACCAAACCCTCGATCGAATGATGTTCAAGGTCATTCCTGGCCTTCAATATGGACGCGTGCATCTCCTTCATCGCGTTCCCGAGCTTGACCCCGAATCGGCTGAGGATATCCCTCTGCCACGCGTCGTACTTGGCGTTCACGCGCGCCTGCACCTGCTCGTAGTCGATGACGCACACGCCGAACGACTTCTGCGTCTCGGTGGTGTCGAACGTCGAGCGCGCCTTCTTGATCTCCGTCAGGAGCTGCTGCCAGTTCGCGAGCGAGTCCCCAAGCCGGTTGAAGACGTATTCCGCTTCAAGATCCCAGAGGGACTGGAACTGCAGCCACTTGCCGACGTAGTCTTTTAGCTGTTGTACTTTGGTCTCGACCAGTGCAAATGGCCGTTCGACAGTATCGTCGGGGAAGTGGATCAGCTACATGTGTTTGTGAGCCTTATCGACATCCATGAGGAATATATTGCAAAGTACACACCAGAGAGGTATATGTTGTTTCAAATGTGGTGGCCCCTTGCATCTGAAGACCAATCTCGTAACGAGAACTCTGTATCCGTCTCAGTCGACATACGATGCCTAGCATGATGGTCAGATTTGTGTTTAGGAAGGACAGAGTTAACGGCGGACCTAGCCAGTCATGCAACTGGTTGACCCAGGTCTGACGAGCATATTCTATTGGCGGATCAAGGAAGATGACCTGGTTCTGTATCCGAATTTCATGCACGATCGGCTTCAACGTCATGCTGCCCTCCAGGAACTGGAAACCTTTTGATATGGCATTATCGACGGCGATTTCAAAAGAACACACCTTCTCATTATGCCTCTTGTCCCCATGACGTTTATTCGTAGTCAAGATTGTATCTCGACGCATCTCCCCGTCATCTGTCTTGTCAAACTCTTGACACCAGACCTGGATGATATGCGTCAAGCGCTGCAAGAGGATCTCTTCGATTTTCTTGTCCAGTTCGGCTACCCATTGGTCCAGGTTGGCGTACCCTTCCAGATTGAGTTTGTCGGTCTATTGTTTGTGTCTGGAGATTAATGGGAATACTCGCTGTGAGATTTGCATGCAGACGTACTGCTGCTTGGATCCGACTGAGGAGCTCGCTGAATGCCTCAGTCGTATAGGAGCATGTGGAGAGGTCTTCGACGGCGCGGAGGATATCCTTGTAGAGATCGATGACGTTGTTCGTCTTATCCTTCATAGAGATTGAGCGCATATATCAACAGCACGACAGACGAGGATCTGCAACTTGCCTGCAGAACGGACACGACGCTCGCGAACTCTCTGACAAATTGGATGTGGCGGTTATCGCGACCGTCGCCACTAGAGACATAGCGAGCAGCATCATATTGGCTCACGAAGTGGTCCCACTTGATATTCATGCCTTTCCCGTAACCGTCAAGTCTATTCGCGTCTCCGCTGTCAACAGTTGAAACTCACCTCGAGTGATCATCCGCTGCGCCTCGTTCCGATACTCCGCGACCAGCCACTCGATGCCCTTGTTATTCTCCACTAGGTCCAGCGTCTGCCCGTATGTCCGCACGGTCTCCATCAAACTGACCGCGTGCGGGTACACCCGCTTCGCATCCTTGGCCATATTGGTGGTCGCATGTGGGACCTGGAAGTTCAGCCAGAGGAGGTTGCGGACCTCTTTGAAAAGCGTGATGATCTGCGGATCGAAGTTCACCGCAAGCTGAAAGCCACCCCCGCGCAGGCGCACGATCTCGAACAGCCGGCCGTTAACCCCCATATCGCGCCGGTTGATGTCGTGCAGCCATGCGTCGTAGACTGGCCGCGTATCGAGCTTCTTGCGGAACGCAGAGCTCTCGGACTGCAGCTTCTGGCCCTCTGCGTAGAGCTCCCACCCCTTGCCAAGAACGTCCTCGACACGCTTCATGTAGGTCAGCAGCTGGCGCTCGATCTGCCGTGCCCAGATGATGGCTCCTGCGATCGGAGGCAGATCCCGCATCTGTGACATGTGGTATGCTTCGGAGAACCGGTATTGCGTTTTGAACTAAACTAATGTCAGGGCAGTCCGATGCAGCTAATACGGGCGAAACACACCTTGTCGTGCAGACGTTTGATATCCTCCTTCACGGAATCGATCAGCTGTGTCTGATACTCTTGAATAGCACCGCGAATCTGGCCATGACGGCATTAGCTTGACCATACAGGGCGACTGGAAGGAAAGCGATCCGAGCCACACCTTTGGCCGCACGAACAACGCGTTGAACTTGGAAAACACACGGAACATCTCGTTGGCATTCCGCGCCGTTCCGAGGCGGTCGCGCAGACGAGAGATGATCTGGTTCTCAACACGAGCGACGCGCTCGTTGTACGCGTTCTCCGCGGTCACCCATATCTCCGTACCCTCTGTGTCATGTGGCATACACCGTGAGGGAAGATCTGGAATCAAGAAAATGTGCCTCACCAGTAGACACATCGAGGACGTCGATGCGCTTCATCACCTCATACGCCTCTTTTACCTCCTCTTCCATGTCCATCCCTCCAACCTCCATCCCCACACCACCTAGGCCCTTCGTAGGACCGGTCATGACCGCGAGCTGCTCATGCTGTTTCCGCCAGTCTCGAAGGTAGCGCGTGCGCTCTTGTAGCTTCGCGTGCGCGGGAACGACCTTGATAGGAATGAACTTCTCCGACCGCCTACGCGTCACCTCGCGCGCGACGTTTGTGAACTCCTTGATGAGGTCATCCCAAGTGCGGAAGATGTTCATTGTCTGAAGGAGCAAGCGCTCAAAGGTCTCGTACGGAGTGTAGAGCAGGCGGTGCGACGTGAGGATACGAAGCAGCTGATCGTTAAAGTCACGCGAGATAGCTTCAACGAGGGGCAGTGCACGGCGGATCGGGTACGGAGACAGCTTGAGCTTGCGGTTGATGTGACCGAAGATGAGCACGAGCGCCTCCTGGATCTTGTCAAGGTCCGGCGCGGACAGCAGCTCATTGAGCGGGAAATCTTTCATGAGCTGATTATACTTGTGGACTGATCGACCGGCGGACTCAGCTGGCGGACGGCGGAGACGGCGTCGTGAGACGGGCAAGAACACGCACCATTGTCCGTGGCATCCTTCAGACCGGTATCGGCGATGAAACTGACAGTAGCATGAAAACGCTTCGCATTGCGGAGGCAGTCCATGACCATGTTGACCTCCTCGCTCCGGAGCTGGGCCTCGATGCCCTCGAGCGCGCGCTCAAGACTGAGCCAGAAGTTAATCTCTTGGGAGGCCGTGCCGGAAGCGACGTCGCGATTGAGCTTGGTGACGGCTTGAATGGACTTGATCCAGGTGTTGACGTGCGCGTGCAGCGTGTTGAGGAAACTGCTGTCGTTGAGGAGTTTCGGCGGGATGTGCGAGATATTCGGCCGGTTGCCCGAGGCTTGTGCCTAGCACGATGTACGATCAGCACGTTTCCTGACCGGAAACTTCAAGGAAAGGACTTGCCTGCTCGACAGCTTTCTGTATGACAGGATGAATGATCAAGTGAGTTTCCGGGATTTCGACGTTCTGTTGCAAGTGTAGCAGAGAGAGCTCCAGCTCAGCAAATTTCTTCTTCGTCATTGGGATACCTGTAAGCATAGTACTTCAATAAATGAATCATCACAGACTGTAGCTGGCGATTTATTCAAGTAGATGGTCTCATGCAATATACACGCGATGCAGAGCCTTGACCATAGGCGTAGGCGAGGTCGTGTCATTTTTGACGCGAGAGGGGGGAAGCATCGAATGACGGTTCCAGATACACTACCGGTAACCAAGAACACACAAACCACTCACCCAATTTGCTGTCTCCTTCTTTACCTCCGCCCCGTGCGCCTACAAACGCATCGAACCAAGGTTTTACACCATTGCTCACGACGGCATGGAGACTCTCGTATGGTGTTTCGTCGCCACCGAACAAGTTGAGGAGGTGGAGCTGGGTGGCGAGAGGGGAGAGAGGATCGAGCGTGGCGGCTCGTTTGATGAGTGCGAGGGTGGTGTTGTTGGAGGGGGTATATGTTAGATGCGAGGTGATATGGTAGGTATACGTCGGAGGCGCGTCGTCTGTGGTGCGCGTGGGTTACGTCTGCGGTCGAGAACCGGGGCGGACTCACCTTCGACCTCGTTTTTCCGCTTTACAACATAGATTACACCGCCGCCTTCCGAGGCGAAGCGGGTGATGCGCTCGTCGAACTCGTCGTCAAAGATGGAATCCAGATCGGCCGGCGATGCTCCGAGGACAGGAGGGAGGAGGGAGAGGAGGTATGTGTGGAAGACGGAGGAGTCGAAGGCGGTCGCAGGCTCGTCATGGGGGATCGCGCCATTGCCATTACCGTTAGTAGTCGTTACGGGTGTGTGTGGGGGGTCCATTCGGAGCACAGAGTGTGCGTGGCCTGGCTACGCTGCGAGAGACGTCGAGCAACGAGCAACGGGTATGGGAGGGTGCGTGCGGGATGAAGGGTAGCGGAACGGCCGGGCAAGGCCTCGCGGTGGCTGAAGATCAAACACTGCCGCCAGTCGTCAGACATGCATTGCAGCGTCGTGCGTAAAACATACGACGAACGGTAAATAGGGACAATCACGAAAGGAACAAGAGTAGTCGTCGTCGTCGTCGTTGTCGTCGTGAGCCGGGTCAAAGCAGCAGTCCCAAAACCTCTGCGTATGTGCCCAATGCCGGTTCCAACTCCGCCATGCACTGTGTGTACTGCAAATGGATTTAGAAAGTGTAAAGAGTTTGATATTTTGAGAATGAGCTGCTTTCATGAGGTCTCAGACATTATATGAGGAGGTCTTCAGTCAAAAGAAATTATTATGGCAGATGATTCGACCCAGGCTCGAACTGAGGACCTTCTGTGTGTTAGACAGATGCGATAACCAACTACGCCATCGAACCATGCCTTATTCTCCATCAAGAAGCTCTTGTCCGTAACCTTTCCGAGCCACACCAATACTCATACCGAGAAATTATATTTTCTGCTGGCTTGTCTTCCCACAAATGAAGGAAAAAACCAATACAAAAGGTGTGCCCACCAGTAGAAAGCCGGCATGAAGACTGTCCCTTCCCCATCATCTATAGCTCGAACGGACCGAGCAGCGACCGCTGCCCTTTTCAGTCCGTGCTTGTTTGGGTCGGTCTCGCGCACCGGGCCCGAGTCCACGGCCGACGCGCGGAAGTCGCCTTCGACGGTGGACGGGAGGATGTATGAGAACGTGATGTTGGGGTGCTCGATGGAGAGCGACCGGTAGAGCATGAAAGACGCGGCTTTCGTCGAAGTGTAGAGCGTCCGCGTAGGGGCCGGGATTGCAGCGGCGAGCGATGAGATCAACAGGATAGAAGGCGATGGCGATTTCGACAGGAACGGTATCTGTGTGGTGTTGCGCTCGGACGTCGTGTTTCCTGAGCTGTAGATATTGAGGGAGAGGGACTCACGAGGGTGACTGCAGACACGAGGGGTCCCAAGTAGTTTCCTCTTGTCGCGGCTGAGGCAATATCTGCTGTATTTCGTATACCCTCTACGGTGGGAGCGTCGGCATCTATGCTTCTGCCTTCGACGCCAGCAAGGTGCATGAGAGGCTGAAGAGCTGATACGCCTGCAGAAACGACGAGGGTGTCCAGACCGCCCCATTCTGCGCAACGAAACAGTGAGAACGGCTCATGATATGCGTATGTGTCTATCTTCACCTTTGTCTAAGATCTCGCGTACACGTACCATATCGCCCGCGTCTGCAAAGTCTGCAACGACGCTCAAGACACCGCTCGAGTGGACACGCCCCGCCTCCTTTTGCACCGCGCCACACTCCTCTCGAGCGTCTTCGAGCTCGACTGCTCTGCGTCCTACCAGACACAGCTTGGCGCCTCGCTCAGCATAGCGTAGCGCTATCGCGCGTCCGATCCCGCTGGATGCCCCGATGACCAGAACTCGCTCTGCGTGTCTCGGGATCGTATCAGAACGTCGTGCGTGCGACAGGCGCTTGAGAGCGAGCCATCCCAGAGGCAGCGAAAGGCCCAGAAGAGCGAGCGAGTTTGACAGAATTGCCGTGCCCATCATGCTGTTCAGTGCGACCAAGAGACCTCAATTGGCGCGACAAGCAATTTCTGCGTAATGTTGGAATTGGAACGAGCCGTGCAGTCTTCCCGAAGCAGCAACGTTCGCGTTCAGCCTCCGACATAATGGTCTTCAGACAACTCCGATCGAATACTCGTACTACCCGACCATGACCCAACGTGCGAGCGATCCACGTATGTACCTAAACACCACCCCAGGGACCTCCTAAGTACCCTTTTCCCCTAAGATTGGGCCTATCGTTATGAATCTGTCTGTAATTTGTTTTAAAATGGACAATTAAGGCGGTAAGTTGATTAAGTGATTGTCTAGTTTTCCCGATGCTCGGGCAATGGGCACTGCAGTTTACCTCCTCAGAACGAATCCTTCGTCTTTGTCCTATCCGATGATTTGAAACTGCATAACTCGGAGATCGTGATGTACATACAAGAGGGCTTGAGTACTACTGAAAACCTTTCGTAGATCGTGTAGCTGCGTACTGTAAACACCTAGCTAACAGCTGTCAAGGTAAGATGCTCGTCACGAAGATGCCCCAGTCTTTCACAAAAGCCATCTATGTCGTGGCGTCCCTCGAACTCCCAAAATGGACGGTCTGGCTCTAATTTATATACTTCAAAGTGAATTGATCCAAAGGAAATTGCGCAGTAAATCGTGTGAGACTTGACACGATATTTGAAGTACCATTGGACTTGCCATTCGACCAACCACAAGAGATACCGACCAAGTTGGCGTCTTGCTTCTGTTAGCTTCTTGGCATCCCGTTTAACCTCAAGAAGAAGGATGGGCACGTCATCGTACAGAGACGTACTGCCCTTGCAGACCATAAAATCCGGCTGGTCGTCATTCTTGTTCGTTTCAACCTTCTGACCATATGAGTCTATAGAAAACCGCTCGTCGTCTGAAGCTAGCGTCTGAAGGCGTGCTTGAGGTTTGACAATGAACATATGCTCGGCTGGAAAGTAGCTTGTGAGAAGCATGTTGAAGGGGCCATAATAAGAGGCCTCGTAGTGTGCGGGTGAATGGCCGAGAGACAAAAGCCTCCTCATAACCCAGTCGGGACACTTCTTTTCCATCTGAGCCTTTAATGACCTCATTATATGATTAACTTTAATATCGGGACTGGACGATCAAAGGACATACTAATAATGATGGCCTTTCTGGGTAAATGCTATCTGAATGCGATACGATGGTGCCCCATGAAAAATCATTGCCGGTCCTGATGGTATAAACTGAGGAGACGTACGTTCGTTGAGCACAATAACCAGTCGAATGACAATGTACAGATGTCTGTGTGGGCAGGCAAGTAGAGAGCTTTGGGCTGACTTCGGATTGGGCACGGTGCTGGTGACCTGCAGAACAGATACTGACAAGCGACAGCTTTTATACAATTCAGCCTACATCTATCTGGTCGATTATCTATGATCGTTAATCATGAGGACTTCCCATGGTTTTGTCATCCAAGCATGAAAACTTGTAGATCCGGGATAGCTTCGTTAGTCGATGTAAGGCGTGATGTTCCGATCGAGACGTGTTCCGAAGTATCAATTGCCAGCCGTTGAAGGTGACGATGCTCACAGGATCCGACCAGATGGCAAGGAGCTAGAAGGGGTAGCACAGGATACAGAGGAACAAATGCGGCCACAACTCCGGCACGGTACCTGTCCAATCGGAAGTAAAGGAAGGGAGCCGGCGCAGCCAACTGCAGCCACGCATAACGATTAACTAGGAGAATCTCCAGAAAGCTCCAGGAGTTTGTGACACACGCCATGTCATTACAGATACGCAGACACGATGTCCGTCAGATATCAGCGAACTGACACATAGAAGAAGCCGATAGTTCTGCTGCACCGCATCGTCAGATCTACGAGAAATCGAGAAATCGAAGAGGGCGCCAGGGACACGAAGATCTGACAAAACATAACGATCACCGAGGTACTGGAAGTGAGTTCAATCATTCCATATTGAGTTCACTACCCAAAGACTGCTGTGTACCGCGACAAAGACGCCACTCGAGGCCTCGCTGGTCAGATCTAGCAGACGCCGAGACCTCGCTAGTCAGACGCCATGCCTCGAAGCCTAGTCGGACGTCGTGCCTCGTGGGCCCGCTAGTCAGACGCCATGCCTCAAGGCCTCGCTAGTCAGACGCCACGCCTCGAAGCCTCATTAGTCAGACGCTATTCTCTCTTGTGAAGAATAGCATATAAGATGATTGTCTGTCCATCAGACGGCTCCATCTAATAAGCACTGGACCGCCCGCGTTAGACTATATCACTTCAACCTCGATTTTGAATACAGAACTCTCTCGAGGTGAGTAGATCTAGTCTCATATGATTGCACCCAGAGACTCACGTTTCGCATGGCAGTATGAAGGAGGTTGCAGGATATTTTGTACCCATCGACATCGTCCACCAAGTTCTCGATACCCTCCACATACCCGATGACGGCATTCACGATGATTTCCTCGAGAATCCTATCAACGATTGGCTCGCCGATCAGAAGAAAAACATCCTTGCCGCTGTCCACGACCGTTCACCCATGGTGGGCACCCCCGACGACCTCGGGGTGATGTTCCTCACCCAGTTCGTCGAGGCTGTTGAGGGTGCAGCGCGCCCAGAGGAGACAGAGAAGGACTTGGAAGTCAAGAAATGGCTGGTGGAGGAGGGCGGTGCGCCGGAAGGGAAGGTGGAGTGGTTGAGGTTCTATGACACTGCTCGCATAACTTTGAACGGTACGAAGCCAGTGAGGAGAAACGTAAGGCCTGACTATCACAAGCGCGAGGTGTACGAACCGATCAGGCAGAGGGGAATTGAAAGAGAGAAAGCACGGTTGGCCGAATTGAAGAAGATGACCGCGGAGGATCTGGAGGAGTTACGGGCGAAAGGATATGGCTCGGAAGTCATAAGTGCAGCAGAATTGGAAAGGATAAAATCTCTCTGACGCACTCAATTTACTCGACCTTATATGTCTATATCCATGCTTCATGTTAGGTCTCTGCAAAGATCGTTGTTCTTCTATATGTGGAGTTGTGAGAGAGTGACGGCTCGGGCCGATCAACTTGCATAGAAAGCCGGTGGTATCATTTTGGCAGTCGACTCGAAGAGCTTCATTTCACTTTCATTTCCTCTCATTGCAATGTCTTCTCTCACTCGTAAAACTCCTCGAGACCCGACCTGTCGTGATGAATGCCATAGCCGTCTCAAACAGACCAGAGAAAACATTATGTTTAGCTGCCACGGCTTCACTGGGTAGTGCAGACGTCAAGAATGGTTTTCAGCGTGGGTTCAGGATCTATTTGGTGCTTTTAGCCGATGGCTGTGGTGGATGTCCCTAGGCCTATATCAGCCAATCGTCCCTATCGCACCTTTCCTCGACATTCTGCTTGGCGCATCATTTGAGGCGAAGCGCAACGATCCCAGCTACGAAGACGGTGCCCCGCTCATCGCACATCCCCGCTCACCCGTCATGACGTTAGACGATGCGCTTGCGGCCTACAGCGACGGGCACCGTAATGCCACAACCTTCTCGCATGAACAGCCGTTCCGCAGATATCTGACACATCACCGCAGCTACCGCAGGACTGCAAGACCAGTCACTCTCCCGTCGCGGTGGACATGCGAATATGAACGGAAGTCCAAAATTCCGTAAAACTAGTAGCAGATGACAGTTCACTCCAGATGACTCTCAACTACCTCTGCTGTGTAATGGGAAGGAGACGCCATACTAGTGCCATGCCTCGAGGTCGATGGTTAGACGCCAGGGGCATCACTGGCGGCAATGCATCCACTGGGGGCTTCTGTCGACTTCTACAAATAATACGCCACGCCTCAAGTTCTTACTGATCCGACGCCATGTGTATGTCTATTGAAGCGATTACATGTCTATGAGCTGGCTCCATTTATCGAGGACTGGATTGTCAAGCTGTAACATCGTCTTTCTAATTTGATCTTCGGACACAAGTACCCTCCGTGCCCCGCTATTCAGGTGAGCGAAATTTCTCTCACAGCGATTCCCTTTGGACACTTACATTTTGTTGCCAGTATGAAGGAAGTTGCAGGATATTTTGTACCAGTGGATGTCGTTCACGATGTTCTTGCCACCCTTGGGGTAGACCCTGAAGACGTCGAGGACAATTAAATTGAGCATCCTATCAATGATTGGCTCGCGGATCAGAAGAAAGATATCCTTGCCGCTGTCCACGACCGTTCGCCCAGGGTGGGCAACCCCGATGATCTTGGGGTGATGTTCCTCACGCAGTTTGTTGAAGCTGTCGAGGGTGGGATGCGCTCAGTAGAGACGGAGAAGGATATGGAGGTCGAGAAGTGGCTGGTGGAGGAGGGCGGTGCACTAGAAGAGAAGGTGGAGTGGATGAGTTTCTATGACACCTACCGCATAACTTCGAATGGCACAAGGCCGGAGAGGAGGGACCTGAGACTCGCACACGAGGATTGCGAATCGCATATGAAGTATATGTAGAGGATGGTAGAACGGGAGAAGTTGCAGTTACAGGCGGAAGAATTAGAGAAAGCACGAGCGGCAGAATTGGAGAAGGCACAAGCAGCAGCGATGTAAAAGTGATGGCCCGCTTGACAGACTCTAGTTATGTCGATGTTTATACATGCGCAAAAATGCTTGCAAAGTTTGATTATTCCCGTCACGCAGCAAGCCCTTTGCAGAGTGAAACGCTCGCCGGGCCGATCTACATAAGAGTCGGAAAACCGGCATCATTCGGCGGGGGTCACAGACGCTCAACAGATCATACATCCCTGCAATTTTCTTTTTGTCTCCTCTCGGTCCATCCCCTATCCCCTTCCTATCCTTAAATTATATCCTACGACCGCAAACCGTCTCAAAAGTACATCAAGAGCTTTGCTTATAACTGACTAATCGAGTCACCTCATCACGCAATTGCAATTTGACTCGACTTGTTCCCTCCCATTGTCTTCTCTCACTCACAAAGCTCATCTGTCACGATCAATGTCGCAGCTCTCCTCGCTCATAGACCAAAGCATACACCTCGTCCCGTCCTTCGAGCTAGAATGTGGCAGGGTATTACGCGACGTGCCTGTCGCGTACAAAACCTGGGGTTCTCTCAACGAGAGCAGAGACAACGTTATGATCATCTGCCACGCCTTCACTGGTAGTGCAGATGTCGAAGATTGGTGAGTCTTCGGGATTCATCCCGTGCTTGGCCGATGCTGAATACGATCGAGGTGGGGACCCCTTATGGGTAGAGGAAAAGCGTTCGATCCAAATCGTTTCTTCATCTTCTGCGCGAACGTCATGGGCTCTCCGTATGGGACTGCTTCCCCAATGACTATCGACCCCGACACGGGCAAGCCATATGGCCCCGAGTTTCCTGGCACGACGATTCGAGACGACGTGCGGTGGGTGTTCTGTCACCGTTTCACCTTGTGCGCTACGTCTAACTATGCGACAGCTTGCACAAACTTGTACTTGATCATCTCGGTGTTTCGTCCGTCGCGGTTGTAGTCGGAGGATCCATGGGTGGAATGGCCGTGTTAGAATGGCCGCTCTGTTCGCCACCCGGGTATATTCGCCATATCATTCCTATAGCGACTTCCCCCCGGCACTCTGCTTGGTGCATCAGCTGGGGCGAGGCGCAGCGGCAGAGCATCTACAGCGACCCCGGATACGACGATGGCTACTACAAAGCGCAGCCCGCGTCGGGACTCGCCGCCGCACGCATGGCCGCGCTGCTCACTTACCGATCCCGCGACTCGTTCGAGAGCCGGTTCGGTCGTAATCCACAAAAGCTCAAGGCAGAGGCCGCGCTCATCACACCTCCCCGCTCACCCGTCCTGACCTCGGACGACGCGCTTGCCGCCCACAACGACGGGCACCGTAATGCCAAGCCGCGACCCTCCCGCATGAACAGCGCCGCACCGTCCCCGGGGCACTCTGACGCATCGCCGCCTCCACCGCCGCACCATTCACCCTCCCCGCCGCCGATCTTCTCCGCCCAATCCTACCTCCGCTACCAGGGCGACAAGTTCACGGCGCGCTTCGACGCGAACTGCTACATCCACATCACGCGCAAGATGGACACTCACGACCTCGCGCGGGGGCGGTGCAGCCGTGCCCAGCCAACGGCAGACGAGGAGCTCCAAGCACTCGCGCAGGCCCTCGCGCAGCTGCCTCCGCGTGCGCTCGTCATCGGCATCGAGACCGATGGGCTGTTCACGACAAGCGAGCAGCGCACGATCGCGGAGCACATCCCGGACGCGGAGCTCGTGATCATTCCCTCGCCCGACGGGCACGACGGGTTCCTGCTCGAGTTCGAGCAGATCAACACACACATCATGCGGTTTCTGAAACGGGAGCTACCGGACTATTATCGGACATTGAATGGGGCGGTCGTCGATGAGCAACCCGTGGAGGGGTTCGACGTCCGCAAGACGAGCATGTTTGGCGAGGCAGAGGCGGACGTGACGAGATGGTAGCGCTGGGCGGGGCGAGGCGCTTGTCTTTATTCGGTAATTTGATTGTTGCGGGTCACATATGCTGATCTTCGACAGGGCGTACACATACGCATGCAGCTCGTATCCAACTGCGGCTGCCGTGGTGTAGATGAATTGCTTGTATCCAACATACGGCACTTTTGGATGTAAAATAGTGCATGTTGAAAGCAATGCGATGTTGCTCGGTTGATAGAAGAGTGGGCGGATGGGCCACTCAACGCGTCGTGCTCGGACAAGCATTGGGAGGCAAGTTAGCATATCAACATTTAATTGGTATATATATATGGTCGTCTGAGCAGATATGCGGATGCAACAATACAAGGCAGAACCCAAATAGTGCAAGATAATCAGAACACGACACAAGTAGAACATGTCAGATTAACACAACCGTCGCAGTGAACTTCAAGAGTCTTCAACGGGATATCCAGCCTCATCCTCAGCGACCTGAACTTCGCCGCGAAGGGGTGAGTCGAGATTGCGCTTCTCCACGTTCGGAGACATCGAGAAATTGGGGGAACAGGAGAAGAGCGTTCTCGCACCGAGGTCGGATGACTCGCTCCGCAGCGAATGTTCCCCGGTCTGCAGGCACTTCAGGCGACACTTGCCCGAGACCTCTCTCCGCGCCCATTCCGCCGCGTCGGCGACTGTCTTTTCGAGAGTCGCGTCACGGTACTTGATCAGATATCCTGAGATGTCTGCCATGGACAGCTCCATGTGCGGGATCGCCTTGGCGAACGTCTCGGCGGTGGCCGCGTCGCTCTCTGGAAAGAAATGTCTGAAGAGGGCGATGCCTTGCTCAGGCGACGCGAGCTTGTATTCCACTTTGACGTCGAAGCGGCCCGCTCGGATAAGGGCGGGGTCGAGCGCCTCTAGATGGTTTGTCTGCTGCACATGTTAGAGTGGATCTCGCGGTATGAGATGGGCATGCACTAACGGTGGCAAATACAATCCGACCGCTTTCGCTTGCGGCGCCGTCAAGCATGTTGAGCATTCCAGACAGGGTCACACGGCTTTGGCCCTCAAATGGGTCGGAGAGGGGGAGGCCATGTGGATCCAGCCTTGTCGAATCGTTTCGGAAGGAGGGAGGAAAGATGCAATCGATGTCTTCGATGAGTAATATTGCACCTTTGGGGATTGACGAGATGAGCTTCCCGAGTGAAACGTCGCTGATCCTAGTCAATAACAATGTGAACAGAGATCAACATATATGATGTTGATAATTACTTGGCGCCACTGATAGAGACCACATATACTTCAAGGTCGAATCGACTTGCCTACAAAACAGTCAGCTCTCTAATGATCGATGATCAGGCGAGCGTCACTGACCAAAGCATGTACGGTAGATGCTAGTGATAACAGAGAAAAAAAGTTCATCCAGACATGTGTCAGATAACAACCAGCGTTACTCACTCTTCCCCGACCCAGGTGGCCCGTACAGAAGGTATCCGCGGTGATACGGTACACCCTTCTTATGATACCAGGATTCTGTCTTTGGGTCCAAGAACTGTTCGACATCCGTAAACATGTCTTGCACGTTTTGGTCCAAGATCAGCGATTCGAACGGGCGCAGAATCTTGGCCCTGGCCTCTGACCAGACAGGCATGTCGTTCCGGTTCTGTGGCGTCCATGTCAGCTCGTATGCAAAGACTATGCAAAGCCACCGAAGAGCACACTAACTGACCAGGACTATGGTGTGAATACCTATGCAACGTTTGTCCAGATTCCGGTGCGATTCGAGGGCCTCTGCGATGAGCCGATCCAATACAGAGACGTTCCATGTGTACAAGCTTCGAAAGAACGTGAGCTAGACCTAACGATCGATGATCAAGGCACTCACGTCAAGATGAGGGAAGGTGGCGGAATGTCATCGATGTTGCCTAGGTGTTCTCTGCCTGCGTTGGCGAACTTGACCTGGGCCAGGTATCCGTTCCAGAAGAACCTCTGAACATACTCCAAGGCTGGGATATAGTCCATCGAATCATTGAGGGCGAACCGCGGAGTTGCAAACTCATCGCCGGCAGCACGCTGCTTCCTGGTTCGCGACAAGACGATGAATTCGCGAGTACCATTCTTCCACACGCCTCGGTTCGCCTATCGTGGCCATGTGGTCAAATGATCCACTCGGATGATCAAGATCAAGCCGAGGAACGTACCAGGTATCGTACCAGCCAAAGATATGCAGCATCGTGTTGATAGAAGGTGGCGGAGACGGTAAGGGCTGTCAACGGAGCACGAAAGTCAGCGCCTACGATAATAAATGGGGCGTAAGGGGGCGTACTGAGGTTCGAAGGCGACGAGAACCACCCGAGGAGGTGGTGGACCACCTGATACAGCAAGGTCATGAGCACCACCTTCAGCCCGTCGATGACAATAGAACTCTGAAAAAAGTGGGCGAGAGGCGACGCTTGCACGAGGCGACATATCCACTGAGTGGGTGAGGAGGCCAAGGCCTGGGGATCGCAGAAAGTCATTCGGTGCGGCAGAAGGGGGAGCGAGGGAAGAAGGTCAATGAAGAACATCTCCAAGGCGATAGGTTTATATGAACCCCTAGCGCGTGCCCTGATATAGAATTCAGCTGTGCCATCAAAGTGGCAAAAGAACGAGGACGGACAGTTTGACCGGGGGCGTATCAGAGTTGCTTCTGCTTCAGTTCCTGCCATCGAGTAAGGCAGGTCCCACGGTGAAACGCACTCAAAGACGCCACGAGATCCATCAGGCGTTCCGAGAGCATACCTCAATACAACATGACAATCAAAATACAAGGACGCTTGGTCCTTGTTCCGACGCACATACGAGTCTCTTGGAGATATACAACAGGGGTTACCGGTGATCGGCCATACCCAGTGGGAGTTTCAGAAGTATCGCTCATGAGCGACATGCTTTTGGAGCAAGACGTCTTTGGCGCTCCCACAACCAGGTATTGGGATAGCACTGCCGAACGGCCTTGCATACGCGGTACACAACCCAGGAGGCGGGTCATCCGAGCATTGGCCGCATTCCAGGCTAAGGGTCCCCATGCATTAGATCGTGTAAACGATAGGCCAGTGCTTGCGACCTCATGGCGTGTCCTCTCGGAAGGATGAGAACCCGTGGCAGCTATGAGAAGATTAGTGTCGAGATCCATTCCCATGCTTCCAGATGACATCGATTAAAGAGAAGCGCTCAAGGCACGAATTCACAATGACCTCGGCATGGATATCTAGATCGTGTTAGAGGGTTCCATGCGAACGGTATCGTGAAAACACTAAATACGTAGCAGGGGTATCCTAGTCCTCATCAACTTCCCCAGCATTCAATGGACGGCTTTCCATCTCCAATTTATCAATCTCCAACGCCGTCATCTTCTTGTGGTCCTGTGCAAACTGCTTTGGTAATAAAGCTAAGCCGATAGCATAGAGAATAGGAAGAAGCTTGTTTAGTTGGGCAGGACATTGATCAGCACCATCGAGTTCTCGGAGAATTGCGAGCGATACCCACAATAATCAGTACTATCCACGTATTCTCGATGGGTTTAATGACATCGCGGCCAGTAACGGCCGGCCATTCGTACTTGTATCCTAGTCTCACTTGATAGAACGACAAGGCGATGACTGTCAGACCAAAGACCGCGTGCAAAATGCCCCATATTTTGATAGCCGGTCTCTTCCAGTGAATGATGGCTCCAAACCCGCACTGCACGAAATACAAAAACAAGAGGGCCACGCCCCATTTCTGAACAAATAGATGAGTTGAGACGCCGTAACAATAGTGATAGAGCGTGCCTTGTGCGCGTCATTATAATGGCTCGCGCCTGCTGCTTCAACAGATCGATAACCCAAGAAGCCGCCGAAGATGGCCGCTGTACCGCCTGTACCGATGCTGTGAGCACGGATCTGCGAGGGGGCCTATGATTGCATTACTCACCAAAGATGAATTGTAGGACCCAATGGAATTGGAACCAAATAGGAGAGAAGGTTCTCAGATATCGTGCGATAAGAGAGCCTACGGGGAGAACAATCAAGAAGCCGATGATACAGATAACAGCATGGGTGATGATGGTTTTCTGGTATGGGGGGTACGCCACGTCTTCCACGCCACTTTCGAGCTCTTCAGGGAGCTCCTCGCTCGCTTCTGGTTCTGGTTCTGATTCTTCTATGATGGGCTTGGTCAGATTGAATTCGGCATGTCCGTATCCGGCGTGGAAGTGGATGCGCGCGTCGACGGCAGAAGATTCTGGCCGCACGCGACCATACGCCCAGATGATCTTGCGCTTTTCTGACAAAACTGTCTGGAATCAGGATGAGTTGACGCCGTTCTAGACCGGCGTGCGAAAGTGGACGCACCGGGATATTGAATGCCAGTTTTGAAAAATCACCATCGAGCTTCGAGCAGAGTCTTAGATGGGAATCTGGGACTAGGACATCATCTATGACTGGTGTTCACTCACGTAAGTCCCGGCTGCGGACACGTCAGCGATTCGAGGTGGATTTTTGACCACGGTGGGCATCACTTCGCGGGGCGCTGTTCGTTGGGATAAAGTAATAGACCCATCGTCATTGGGCCACATTATGACCATAGCTGTATGCGCCATGATTCGACCGAATCCTCTGCAGAACGCCATGAAACGGTGATCAGCAACGAAGGCGCTAAAGACGGCTTTTGACTTACACCCCCATCCAGCCCAGAGGCATCGCTCCCTTGCTCTGCATGACATCTGACACACTTGATTAGTGACACGTAGGCGGGATGTTCGACAGCCCCCACATTCTGTTGTATTCCCATTCACAGTGGCCGTGACGCACATGAGCTGAATACATCGTTCAGACTCTTCGTGAGCATGACATGTTAGCCACGCACCTTGTCACAAGCCGAATCCCCCGTTCTCCCACTTGCCCGACTACTGTGTGCACTGGCGTCTATCTATAGGCTTGTCAGGCAATGCACGAACGAGCGGGCTCGCGCCCAGTCGATGTCGAGACTCACATTTGAACGAATGAGGTTAGCTCGACCATCGACGAGCGCAGCAAGCAGTAGAAGGGAAAAGGATGCATACTTCATGGGTGCAGCGTCGCAGCGGGGAGCGAGGATCGGCAGCCCCGGTCCCTCGCAGCCCTATATGTACCTCGGCATTGTCGTCATGGAAGGAAGTCAGTTTGCGTGAGAGGCATTGGTGAGCGGACAGGGCCATCATTCATGGAGTTTCACTTCTTCAGAGCCTCCAATAGGCTTTCTCACCGGCCGTGCGAAGCTGCGCATTCCAGCCAGTCCGGCTTCGGACAACAGACACGGCCCAGAGCCAACTTTCTCATAGCACATAATCTCAACAAAATTCGTGACGTTGAGCCGCTTGATATCACAGCTTAGAGAAAACTTGGACAATATCCGGAATTGAAGAGAGTTCGAGTCAGATAGCTAGTGTACTGCCGCCGAATGCGCGGTTACCTATCGTTCGCACTCAACAGTCCAGGGCGTGCGAACGATAAAAAGATTGTGGGTGCACCCCTAGCGCGCGCGTCCCATTCTCCGACAGTAGTTGGCCAGCCTGTGCCCCCACTCCGAACTTCGTGCACTGTCGTGCACCTTGTCGCACGACCAGATCAATGGAGTGATCTAATGAATCTGCGAGACCGATGTACCATGTCTGTTCGCGAAGCGAGGTGTCTGTATAGTTTCACAGGAACCATGTTCTGAAGCGCACGGCCCGTCAACGGTACCCATAGACGAGGTTGCCTCGTCGTACGAAATAGGGATAGTGCGACGCTCGATGCAGTGTTGTGCGTGCATGATCGCTCGATCACGGCAGGAGGCCTTTTCCGAGCATGCACGCATAACGTCGCGGTCAATGAAGCGCCCGAGCGCGATGGAAGCATACAATAGTGAGCCAAGTACATACAACACACCTCAAGTCCATACGATAGTAAGTGAAACCCTCCGATCAAGCATACTAAGTTTGTATACAATTAGCGATTGAAGTGTGAGAACATAGATGATACGCACCCGCGTAAAGGTGCCCATGGTCATGAACGTCTCCTTCCTCTTTATCCCATCCTTCGGTGCATATAGCGACTTTACAGCATCGCTCATATTGGCCTTTCGCTTCGCCTCCTCCATCGCGAGACTGCTGGCGACGGCACGGCTGGTGGCAGCGATATGTGCACTGACACTTGACCCCTCTGTCGATGGTTTCTTCTTCGATGGCGGTTCAGGAGCTGCGCCGTCGCCTTTCGAAGAAGTATGCTTTCGCTTTTTGCTCTTTGGCTTCGAGGCGTCCAGAGCACGACGACGTTCCATAGCCATACGCATCCGTTCCTCTTCTTCTGAGGAAGGATTGATGATGAAAACGTCCTGCATCTTGTCGTACTTAGCAGCACACTGAGGACAAATGTCTAACTGCTGCTTCGGTGCCTCGACATCGGCTTCCTCCTTGTCCAGCGTCGGCTCTTTCTCGTTTGGAGGAGTTGACGAGGACACAGTCTTGAGGCCTGCTTGCGAGAACACACACCCGCATGTTGAGAGGTAGACGAAGGGGACGTGACCGGTCATCTCTTTCAACGTGAGTGGGCAAACGAACTTGGCACGGTCCGTCGCGGAATCAGGGGAAGCAGAGGCTGGTGCAGTGTTAGGGGTCAGCTTGAGGGTTTTGATATCCTGCTGTCTGTGAGAAGCGATACATCATACAATGAGCGGGTGCATACGGACCTTCAATGACCGAACATGGCCGCATATATCTGCACCGTCCCCGTATGCCGACCGATCTAACAAGAATTCGATGATGGCATCCTTGTTATACAGCTTCCCAAGAGCGCATGCGACGATAGGCTCTTGCAAGGGGCGCTATACAGAAGTATCCTCAGGATTTTTGGATCCTATAGTTGTCGGATAAGTGGTACGAACCTTGGAGAGAGCACAAGAGAACCACCTCGCACGCGTCTGATTAGCCTTGTCCGCCTGCTCCGCTTTGGGCTTGCTGCGAACCAAGTCTCGGCGGTCGGGAATACTTCCTCCATCATTACCCATGTTGTGATGGTCGAGATATAAAGAGCGAAAGTGTGCAAGGGGAGGAAGTTGAGCCTGACTTGAGTTGGCAGTCCAAGCTTGAAGGAGGGTTGTGTCAGCTTGTGGCTGACTGTGGCGCAGAGCAAGCAGATTTGAGCTCAGACCAGAGCTGCGGCTGCACCCTCACCATCAGCTGGTGGGCATTCATGAGGAATTGAGCAGCGCAATGCTGCAGGAACTGTCGAGCATGGACCGCATAACTCAATTGCAAGATGAGATCCAGAATGTGACGTTGCAATGGCTCCTCTTGTGCTGATTCTGGACTAACGAGCGCCGCCCTGCAGCTCCTCACCATCATGTCCAATACGATCGCGTACCTCACCTCTCGATCCAATTTTCTTCAGGTCAGCCAGGACATTCCGGTCACCAAGCAGCGGAATCCGGACAAGGTCGACGCTCCCGACGTTTTCGAAGGTATGCTGAAACATCGATCGCGACGGAAGCACCCCTCACTTCACCTTGCGGCACGCAGCAAACAAAAAGGAGCTCGTCGGAGACTTGATGGTGAAAGCGAAGCAGGTCGAGTACCTGATACAGTCCCTCCCAGTGCCAGAGCCTGAGGAAGAGCAGGTGAGCAATTCATACACAAACCCAAGTGGACACTCGTTTCACGTTATCTTCTAGGCTGCAAGGCTTCAGGCGCTCGAGGATGACATGACCCGCGCGAATGAGGAGTATATTGCGGCTGTCGATCGTGCTAGTACGTCTTACGGCAACTTCTCTTGGCTCGGTACGGTGTATTCAATTCCCCTCTTGTCTCAGAGGCACTGCACGGTCAGATCAATGAGGTGCTGCAAGGCATCCTCGATGACGACGAGTTTGCGACTGAAGCGCCGGGATGACGCATAAGACGGCGTGCCGAATTCTTACCGACACACTGCGATTCTTATGTGGACACTCCGACAACTCGTGCCCATCGTTTCGAGTTCTCGCTGCCCACCCTCGACCCGCGTGCGTCGCATAAGACGCAACACAGAGCCTCATTGCGTCGATCGCGTCGTCGGCATGTATATTGGACGTGTCGGTAACTATGGAAGAACTCAAGATGGGCGCTCTTGGGGTTGCTTTCTTCGTTATGCTTTCCGCGTTGCATATAACATGGGACCTGCATGGAACAAGTGGTTAGCATACTAGAATTTTTCCTTGAGTTTCGTTTCAATCATTCCAAGCTCCCCTCAATATTTGCATATTTCGCACAATTTTACTGCGGATGTCCTGTTGACCGCCGTCTCCACTGAACAGCACATTCCGCTCGTATTGTGATTTGCTATGAATGGTGAGCTCTCTTTTCTTACCTTCGACCCTCGCATTCCTGTTTCCGCCAATCGCGTTTTCGTACTCGAAGTGTTATTATCACATCACACGTAAGTTTACTCCTTCATCTCCATTGGGTACATGATTTGCGACATTCAGAACCCGCCGTTTTCAACGTGTGGTGAGGGACCGGTTCCTTTTTGCGGGCTACCTCGCTGCCAGCTCAACAGCAGAACTTTCGGACGCCTCACCACTTGCACAGCAGAAACCTAACCCTTCCTCGCTGTCTAATTTATTTGGCCCGGCGTCGCCGCCGCCACCTTGCGAAGGGTCACATCGTTCATTGTCAACTGGAAATCACAACAGTCCACTACGCCATATACGTAAAGACACGTCGAGACCAGGCTTTTTGCAAGTGACCAGCACAAACATGTTTAATTTTGAGTATCTCAAATCATCAGCGAGATTTCTTGGCTTCCCCTGAGGCATAAGTCATACGAACGGAGACAGTCCTGTAGCCTATTGTTGACGTTTGGGAGATGACATACGCCTCGTTCATATTCGTCTCAGCGCGTGCTTTTGCGTGCTTCGAGGGAAGACTTGCTTCAATGGAAAGGCCCCAGTGGGGTGAGATATCGTTCTCTTTATCCCCATGCTACGCACCATGCGCGTCCTCATCCTCGGTGCCACTGGACCAACCGGTATCCTCATCGTCAGGGAACTCCTCGCTTCCTCTGTCCAGTACGACATCGTGATCTACGCACGCACACCCACCAAACTCCCTTCCGACATAGTCACTCACCAAGATGTCGCTATCATCAAGGGAGAGTTGTCCGACTCCGACACCTTCTCCAAAGCCGTGGAGGGTGTCGAAGCCGTGCTGAGCGCGCTCGGACCCCTCGCGTCCCATCCGAACAACAACCCTCTCGCTCATGGGTATAAGCTCCTGTTGGAGTTGATGCAGCGCCATAGCGTCACTCGCCTCATCGCGCTCGGGACGGCCAGCATCACAGACGAAAACGACAAATCCAGCTGGGCGTATTCCGCGATGATAGCCACTGTGAAGCTCCTCGCACGCAATGCGTATAATGACATCGTGGCGGTTGGAGAGGTGATCAAGGCGAGCCCAGAAAATCTGCGATGGACGATCGTGCGCGTTGGGTTGTTGACGAACGCGGAGAACAATGATGTAATTGTAGGATATGTCGGGGATGGGAAGACAGGGACGAGACTGGCGAGGGCTGGTTACGCGACGTTTGCTTTACAAGAGTTGGAGAAGGAACGGTGGTCGAGAAAGGCACCCCTTATATCATCTGCTTGATACTGTCGATCATATCCCCTTGCGTCTGTTCATCATGTACCTCATCACGACCCCGGCAGCGAACTGGCAGCGATTGCGCTGTTCGAGACGAGGATGTATACATAGTGCCTCGTGTAGAAGGAACGCATCACTTCATGTTGTAAACAATATATATATAGTTACGCAATGATCTCTGCATGCTTCAATAACTCCTCCCACTTGAAGTCATCAGGGCGTTCATGGAACGCTCGCAGCAGCTCCACCCGTTCATTATTCCCTTCTCCGTCATTCCAAAGATAGAACTTTTGCACGCCTATTGCGAGCAACTGCGCGTCCTGCTGGTTCAGCAAAAATTCCCCTGAGTGTTGAATGGCGTTCGCCGACGGCAGGGACGCGGCCTTGGCCACGGCTGGCGTGATCTCTCCGCGGAGGAGTACCACACCGTGCGAGTGTGCAAGGTCGGTGTAAAACGTGAGAACGAGGTAAGGCGTCGCGAACGTCTCGCGAAGCTTGTACTCCATCAGGGGAGTGAACAGAACCGTCGCTGTACGAGGATTCGGGGAAGGGCCAGGTGTTGAGGATTGAGGTTTAGGCGGAAATGAAAAGTGTTCCGGGCTCGGTGGATGAGGAGCGTCGTGCATGCCCCACTGCATGATGTAAAACTCGTACCCTTTCTCCTCTTCCTTGTCGGAAGCACGAGGAACTGGGACGACAAACATGGGATATGTCTGTGCGACCGGCAGCAATTTGGTGTAAATGTCGACGGGGATGGACGCGCAAAGAAACCCGCGGCCAGTCCCACCTGAACGAGAAGCGTGGTAGGTCGTCCAGAGTGCCGAGACCTGTTGAGACGTGTGCGGAGTCTCCAGGATGCGCTGGAGGTTCAAAATGCTAGATAACGGCTGTGACTGTGTGAGTGCGAGGGACATCCATGATGTGGAAAGGCGTACCTTCACAGGGGAACTATCCTTGCGAACGGACGCGCCGGGCAATTTCTCCTTTGACGGCGACGATGAAGGTGTCGAGCTGCTCGCCTGAGCGGGATGTGCTTTAGCAAGAGCTGCAGCAGCCAGTCTTTCCTTCGCTTGCGCCTTTTGCTGCTCCTTGACTCGTGCACGCAGCTCCTCCAGGCTTGCGCCTTCCCTGACAGCGGAGTTTTATGAGATCGACAGCATATCCAGACATCTGTAAGGAGGATGTTACAACTTAATGTGACACGCGCAACAGACACCTCACTTTTGTGCCCGTCGTTGAAGCTTGTCGGCGTACTTCGACGTATAGTCTACAGCAGACCTGGAATCGTGTAGAGCCCTGGCTCTGCAAGCATGGCAGACGACTTGGGCTTGTCGCGAAGAGGTTTTGAAAGTCAAAAGGCGTGTTCTGCCTACCAACAACATGTCGATGCCCAGTAGGAGGAGGTCGAGAGGGACTAAGAAATTTCGGAGTCGCTCCGGTACGGAAGCTCGACACGTGGCGTCGCATTGCGGACCCGGGAAACTCCTTTCCTCCTTTCCTGCTTGAAATATGTTCGTGAATCCGTGAAAACAATGGTATGCGATGGATTCAGAAAATATCGTGTTTCATCTCAGATACAAAATCGTTAATTCTCAATAAATAAAGAAGACCAAGCGAATCGAGTTCCAAGACAGTCTAGTTAATGTTACTTTGTAGCACGAATGAATAGATAAAATTCGAGCCACCAACAAATAAAAGCAATGAGCGCTACAGTTGAAGATCTTGAGCCACGGCGAAAAGGGGAATCATATATAGTAGCGCTATAAATATGGATATTCAAGCAAGAGCGCAATAAATAGACATATGGTCTTATGACCTTACACGACGCAGTCTCACTGAAGTTCCGCAGGCAGAGCTTCGTAAGCGGGGCAGAGCGAGGACCAGGACCCGTCAGGATGAAGATCGGCGCGAACCTCGTCGGTCCCAGAAGCCATGACAGTAGCCAGCCCCGCTTGCCTATGCCAGAAGATGTGGCAGTGGAAGAACCAAGGGCCTGGGAGAAGAAGTCAACATTGAGTAAAATCAAGAAGCTGATCTCGCATACCAGGGTTATCAGTTCTGAACCTGGGAGTGAAGGATTGGTATCAACTGGAATCAAAATTGATGCGCAAAGAGCGATACCTCAGAGTAGTCCCTGCCGCACCGACGCCGGCCACGTCTCTGATGATCGGGTCGACCGTGTTGACCACCTCGGAGCTGTTGGATTTGATCACCCAGAAATTGTTCTACAAGAGGGGGTGTGAGTAGCATGATGATACCCCCTTACTGATCGCCTACTCCGTGAAGGTGGAACGCTGTGGAAATCATCAGAATTACAAGACAAGGTATTGGATTGTGAAAAACTTACGATGCGCTTCGTCATCGTCGCTGTGACAGATGCGTATGAGTATATTATATACTATATGGATAAGACGAGCTTACTTGGGAGGGAAGTCGACTTGAATAGTTTTATGAGCCGGCAAGATGAAAGTGTTCTCGGTGATGTTGAAGTCCGCATCGTCGGTGGCGCCGTCCAAGATCTTGATTAAGGTAGGAGTTTGAGGTGGAAGATACGAAACGTTGTTGACATTCCACTGAGCCTTGCCCGCCGTCTGCAAAAGATGCACATCAGTTGGATCCAAAGTTGATCGGGAGCATCAACTGACCACTGCAAGATTGAGAGTAATGTTGACATCTGCTGGCGGGGGCTAAACAAAATAATTCGCAAAATAAACTGCTTAACGAGTGCAACGGCTTACTGGTTGCGCTATCAGAGGCTGCGCGATATCATTGATTGATGAATTATTGGAAATGAAGAGACTATAACGCTACTCGCACGAAGGTTGGCCTCGTTGAGAACGACTGCATTCTGAGGCCCAGCAGTCATTGGCGTCTCAGGATCATCGGCTCGAGCCCCTGCATAGCGTAAAATACCGCGCGAAAGCGTTGAGTTTTCTGCACGAACGGGAAGGTCGGCTTCCGAGTGAATCTTGACATAAGGATACACCTCACGGTTCAGATTGCGAGCGGGATTTCCGCCAACAAATCTGGTATAGAATATGATAAATCCGTGCCTCAAAGGTCTCAAGAAGAGACTTACGGAGCGTTGATCCAGTAGTTTCCAACGGGTTTATCGGCGTGAAGCTACCATGAGATGATTAGGACATTGTTTGGCCTTCAGGTTACATATTGATGCGTACAATGACGGAGTAACGTTGGCCGGCAAGGAGTTCCAATTGATCAACGACGAGAGGCTTCGTGGCGACACCATCTGTCTCAATGATGGTGAGGTTGTGGTCATCGATGGAAACGGTGAAGACGTTGCGAGCAGACTCGTTGATGAGGCGAAGACGGTAACGCTTCCCGGGAGTTACATGGGTGACAGCGAATGGGACCGCTGGGCCGCCATTAAAGCGGCCCGCTCCATTGACAGTACCGCTGTCAGAGACACTATAAAACGATAACAATAAGTTTCATCAGAGTACTTTCTAGAGAATAGAGACGTACGGGACGATTCCCGTCGCTTCATAGCCTGCAAGCATCGGAAGTGTGGAATTGTGCCAGTGATCACCTAGAGATGTTTTAGTAACGGCTTCACGTAGGCATCTCCTCAAGCGCCAAATTCTCACCGACTTGGATAATCTATGTAAATTTCATGAGCAATTTTAACTAACATAGTAATTGGCGAGTTTATAACGCACCGTTGACTCATCATCCACATCGTATAGATGCGCCAGAGGGTCCTCGGGATCTAAGATATTGATTTGTTGATATTTTCGCACAGTAAGCCATTGTATTCACCGTAAATGATCAAGGGTCCACGTAGACCATCAACATATTGGACGCTGAGTTGGCTGGAGTATTTGATGTATGTTGAGCATTCAGGAGGTTATAAAGAAAGATGTTGTTACTAACGAATGATACCAGAAGGTTCCCGTTTGGTCACCAAGCGGAACGTCGTATGTGTATCTAGTATTCGGGGCGATAGGGCATGTCGTCACAAAGGGAGTACCTTCGTCATATGCGTTTGAAGTATTGAAAAAAATCCCGTCAAAGTCCTAGGGGTTGTTAAAATTTAGTACATAGTAAATCGTTAAGCCATGTCAAGGGACTCACGAGGGAGGTGCTTCGACGCATCGTGGGGTCTGTCTGTGAGACAAGGCATATGTGAGCCGCTATTGAATCCTAGAGATGCGTCTGGCAGCTAACCAGCTGATTGTTGACCGTGATACTGAGCGTTTCGCCCTTGATGGCCGTGATCAGAGGACCCGGGTAACTGTGTTGCTGTTAAATCTTTTCACAAAGAAGAGGGATTACAGCACTCACGTTCCGTTGGCAGTGATCATGCCTGTTCACTGTGTTAGCGAGACAACGAAAAGTGGCGGATGATACTTACTCCTCTCGAAGCCATCGGGTGCCAGGTGGGTGTTGACGATGTTGAGGACAACATCTTTCTTAGCACCAGGCCGCTTCACGGCGACACCAGAAGCAAGTCGAGAGAGAACCAGAGCAGACAGCACGGAGATGCGCAGAGAGTACATGACGAGCACTGGGAATCATTTACGATCGAATGTTTGCTTTTATAATGTCATCGGACATAAATGCACCAGAATTGCTTTGCCCTATCCATCCATGCCAGCGCGCGACGTGACCGCCTGCAGGTCGGACGGGGCCGAGTTGATCCAGTGCATATGTCGGTCGTGAGGAGACTCCCAGCAAAGACAGACGTTTGGATTGGACGACAATGAACAGCACTCACTACAGTCCAACCTGTATGGGTGAAAAATCACAGGTAGAGAAATTCGCCATGCATTGATATCATTAGTAGCACCTTCAGTGTGAGTACAGTGCTGTCTCGTGTGCAGCTCGTTTCCTCAGCTATAGTGACAAGCGAGGCCGAAGATGCCCGGGTACCTCAGAGCGATCGTGAGCCGTGAATGATGACGGTGGAAATACCGCAGACCTACTTGGCATTCATCCACGCCATGGTTCCAAGAGTGTATTGTGAAGTCGATGCGCGGGCTTGACGAGCCGATACTCCCACCTGCATGTCGTATGACTTAGGCAATGTGTATTGAAAATGACGCACAACCCTCTGTCAACATGCAAATCTACCTCACTCTCGTTCGGGAGGCTCCGAGAGGAAGCACTTGCAATGCTTCGACTTCTCTATCGTGAGCTTCTGCGACAACTCTAAAGAGACACGTTACCTCTCATATGGAAACAGGACGTATACCGGATTGAGTTAAAAGCTCTCATCCTGATCGTCAGGTGCCGCCGGTACCGCGGTCCATTTGGGCAGCGCCAACTCTTCATGGCCTTGTTATTCTCAGGCCAAGCTTGTTGGTTGGACATGTTAAATCGTCTATCCAGGATGATGCCTTCGCGTGGGTGTCCCGTGCGGGTGTGCCTGAGACCGTCCCTACGACCACAAGATGGACGAGTGCTAAACACCTGCAAAATATCTCTCAGTGAAATTTGGGGGGATCAGCCTGAGGGAACGTTTTGAAATCTCGCAATGATATTCTCATGGAGCCATGCAACGTTGACTACAGATGACAAGGTCATATGCGCCGTTCTTACGCTTCGACGGGTAAATGACTCGTACCCTGCGCCATCATATCTACTAGGCTACTCTTTGACAGGCTTTCTATGAGACACAGTACATTAATTCCGGCATAGCGCACAAATAGCAAGCAGAGCGCGGTACACAGACATACCAGTGCATATCATGAAACACATCCTATTCACGGGTAGATTCCTTGCGGGTTGGCGGGCCCCAAGAGACATTGTCTTCCTCCAACATCACTGCCTGATCAACGAGATGCTATCTACAAGGTCAAATCGAAACAGTTTTTAGCTATGGATGAGCGACTTGCCTTGTTCGGTTTGATCTGTTTGTTGGCAGAAGACTTAGAAGATGACGGTTTGTGACGTCCCATGGCCTACAAGAGATAGAAGTGCATAGTACCATGGGACTCGTATTTCTGGGACAATATACTGACAACTGATACCAAGGTAGTGTTCGATGAATTGAAGCTGCCGTTGGATGATGAAGCATTGTCCTGTGAAGCAAAAACGAAGGAGTCGGATGAGTCTTCACGGAGGTCAAAGTTGAAGATACCTTATGATTCGAAGGGCCTTTAGTAACACGCGGAGACATGACTGCTCAATACCTGGAGGCACATCAAAGTTGATTAATGTACCTCCTGCCTGTTCTTCAAAAACGAAAAGGACTAACTGCGTAGATGTGGAACAATATACAGGACGATTCCCAAGATGCACTCTCCGTTGACCCATCTTATACAAGCCACACCCTTCGACTTATAGACGGAACGAACACCGAAGATACATATGCACCCGCCTGTTCGACCTTTTCAAATGTAGCTGAATCAGGACTGCGGGCTCTTGCGGATGCTGAGAATAAGTGTTCAAGTAAGAGTATGGCGGATCAACATCTGATCATAAATAGGGCACTCGTTGATCGAATCATCCCTAGTAGCTGTGGCAGCGCAGTAAGGTAAACCACGATGGTTGCCTCGTGCAGCGGCCTTGCCACTGAGGTAATAGAGGGATCGGAACATGTTACCTCAAAAAGGAAGCACCCGCGACCAATGCAAAGTCTGGTGCGAGTGAAGGAAAATATAGAGACGGTCGAAAAAATAGACATGCTAAGTAATGATAAAACCGTTGCTCAGAGTAGTAGAGACGGGCAAAGCCGATTTTAGAGGAGCGATACGTACCTGAGTCTCATACTGTCCCATACTCATCGAAGAAGAATACCGACTCCCTCAAATTGCCAGCGATGGGTTTCGTCGTCATATCCATATGAAAGTAGATCTCATGGTTCTAATCATTGCACCTGGGAGTCTGACTGCCTGAAGGAAACTGCCAAGATGAGTGACGGAGCATAGTTGGGTCGTGTTATCTGGAAGGCGATATGCATAACTTGAATCTCGCGCCGCATGAGAAAGGGACGTGAGCTATGGAGTGATAGATACCGAAGTTGGACATGCAAGGTTTTTTCAGCTAGACCACAATCTCATGTTTCAACGATCCCAACGATCTCAGCACTCACCCGGTCTAGAGACAAGGCACCTGAGCATTTCAGGCAAAAGGGAGACCACAACTCCCCGAAGTCCCCGATGGAATGGAACCTATCCATGGGCTTCCAGGAACTCCGCATCGAGGGAAGTTTTCTTGATGTCGATATCTAGCGGTCCCGTTGGCCCGGTCGCAAGCACTGTAGATTCTTTGACAAGATATTTCACGGAGGTTTGTATGTGAGATATTTGTAAGTACGAAGATGCAGATGAATCGCTTGGTAACGGGCTCTCAATGTTGCGACCGTCGTCGTTGAAGTCGTTGCAGTCCGAAACGTGCATCGTGAGATTATCGCGGACACCCACAAGACCGGAAAATTCCGGATTACTCAATCACTGCCAAGCCCCCCGACCTTCGTGGCGTCGGTTTGAGCTCCAGCCGTCCATTCGTCGGCCTCACGGTCTCTTGCGCAATCACCACAGTTCTATGCTATCGTGGAATCGTGGCCCGGATATTATGGATCTACTCATGGATTTCGATTATAGTGCAACGCTCGCAAGGCATCTGAACCTTCTTTAGCCTGCCTATCTTCATCTAAGCGGCAAAGCCCCGCATAGCAATGCTGATATTTGTTCTCACATATGCTCTTCGTATCCACAACTGAATATGATCACAATCGTGCTCAGGGTCAAAGGTATGGAGCTATCATTCTTTAGCGTGAGAATGCTAAATGACTCCCTGAGGAAGGATTCGGCTTCACAGAGGCTGCTGCTCTTCTTCACCCACCAGACGCAGAGTTTTTTTTAGAGTGGAAAATAATGTGAGCACATTCGAGCGAGTAGTAAGATATGCACTCGTATCAAGGCTGATTGAAACCACTGCAAGTTAGGCTCTATGAACAATCTGGGAGTGAGGGCTCTGCTAATGCTGTGTACACCATTCCATGAATGGCTTTCAACAATATCATCCCGTGGTTCGCCCTCCATGATGAAAGCCAGGCGGAAACCCCAATCCTCATAGAGAACATAGAAGTACCCCAATTCCACTCACCTTTCTCCTTCCTAGTGCGAAAATCTACTTCGCTATCTGTGGGTCCAAATCTGAGCACCAACACCTTATCAATTCTTTGCCCTATCAATCCCACTGCATTTCATCATATTGGTCAGTTGAACTGATATCGACCTGAAGAATTTACCATGCAAAGTACCATCATACTACAGCAGTGCTTCTTTCCCTCCCGTGGAGCACATTTGAACTTTCTGATACTTCTACATCTGAATCCCCTTTCGCACTCATTTCAATCTGGACCTTGAGGTCCGCCGATAATTTCCTTTTACTTCCGAATGTTCCCTTGCAGGCATTACGGCTAGAGCCTGTGACTCCAAATGCCGAGGGAGTGCTATGTATTCGCTCATCTTGCCCAGCCCATCGCGGATGCAGGTCTGCGAGGTCTGGCCCATAAAGCAGCATGTGTGCCCGTTCTACCGACATACCCCCTTGCCTTCGAACCCAACTCGTTCTCGCTTAACATGCCGATGCTGTAAGTAACGCATCATGAGTTGACACTATCCGAAGCACTGACTGGTTTCCAGCGCTGATCCGTCTACCAAATATGCGCCCTACAATCCGGTTCTCTTCCCAGTCGGCTACGAACGCCGATGGCCAAAGAACCGCACGACCGCCGCACCCATCTGGCTTTCGACAGATCTTCGAGACGGCAATCAAGCTCTAATCAATCCTATGAATCATAAGACCAAGTTGGAGCTCTTCAGGTTTGAACAAATTCTTCACTCGATATGGCCTGGCTGACCATGTCCTGTAGACTTCTCGTTAGGATTGGATTCAAGGAGATCGAAGCCGCCTATCCTTCTGCTTCCGAGGCAGAATTCGCGTTCGTTCGTTCGCTCATCGAGAACAAGGAAGTGCCTGATGATGTCACCCTTCAGGCAAGTCTAACTAACTCTCCGTCATCGTCTGTCCCACTCACCCGTCTCATCTTACAGGTGATTACTCCTGCGAGGTCTGATCTCATCGAGAGATCCATCGCGTCGTTAGCTGGCGCGAAGAAAGCTACCATCCATCTATATAACGCTGTTTCCCCACTCTTCCGCGAGGTCGTCTTCCGAAACTCCGAAGAACAGACTATTGATCTAACGCTCAACGCGGTGCGACTCATAAAGAAGCTTACTGAGGAAGAGACTATGCACTCGGGTATGTCTTCCAGCTAACTCGTGGACGATTTCCTTGCTTAGGATCTCCGTAAAACTTCAAAAGGGACCAAATTTCGCTTGAATTATTGCCTCGAGACTTTTTCCCAGACAGAGCCAGAATTTGCTGTCCAGCTGGGTAACCGAGTGCTCGAGGCTTGGGGCAAAGCCGGTCCAGGCGACAACAAAGTCATTTTCAATCTGGCTGCAACAGTAGAATGCGCGCCGTCCAATCATTACGCAGATATGGTAAATTAAATCTCCAACGCCTCTATATAGCAATTCTCAATAAATTGATCTGCGGTAGGTCGAGTACTTCAGTACTCACATCACTCATCGTGAACATGTGATATTAAGCATCCATCCACACAACGACAGAGGTGAGTAATGCTCCATACTCGGCTTTTGTTATTACAATATCTCACTATCTTTCGAAGGCACTGCCGTGGCTGCAGCTGAGCTTGCTTTGCTCGCTGGAGGCGATCGTGTAGAAGGCTGCTTGCTTGGAAACGGCGAACGGACGGGGAACGTTGATCTTATCAGCCTCGCACTCAACCTCTATTCGCAGGGTGTGTCGCCTAACTTGGACTTTTCCAATCTTTCCGAGATAGTCGAAGTCGTGTGCCGCGCAAACGAGATGTCCACGCCCAAGCGCTATCCCTACGCAGGCGCCCTCGTCTTCACAGCGCTCGCTGGTACCCATCAGGACGCTATCAAGAAGGGTCTGGATGCCCAGCGCCGCCGATGGGAGTTGGTGGATCGTACAGGCGAGGGAAATAAGTTCTGGGCGGTCCCATATATCCCTCTTGACCCTAGGGATCTCGGTTACGGTTACGAGAACCTCATCCGCGTCAGCAGCCAAAGCGGCAAAGCAGGTGCGGCCTACATAATCAAGGAGACCTTGGGCCTCGAGATTCCCCGCAGGATGCAGGTTGCCTTCTACAAGATCGTGCAGAGTGAGAGCGAGCGTTCGGAACGCGAGATGACCGCCGCACTTGTCGTGGATGCTTTCAAACGCTCTTTCGGATTTGATGTAAATTCTCATGCTCGCCTCCTTCTGCGGTCATCTCAACTACGCCCACTGTCACCATCCACCTCTTCAACCTCCGACGGCTTTGAGGACATCCTCGAGTCTCCTTCCGATGAAGACGGGCTCGTTCACCTAGAGGCTCATATCGATGTCGATGGCAAAGCGCGGCTCATCCAAGGACAAGGACGTGGCTCCATCGAAGCTCTCATAGATGCTCTGCGTTTGTATCTAGGAGTCACCTTCAGTGTCTACGAGGCCTCCGTCCAGTCTACCGAGTCCAAAGACATCGCAGTCTTTCTCGAGGTCTCGGAAGCCGCTTCTGAAGCGAAGGTTTGGGGCGTTGGGGTGTCTAAGGATATCTTCGAGAGTAGATGCCGAGCACTGCTTAGCGCTGCGAACATCATTGTCAACGATGACAGAGTGTTTCACCAGCCCAAACTGGTATTTACTCCCCGCACGGCGCCCGGATACAAACTATCTCGCGACGGGTACTTCCTCGACATGTATGCCGGGAGATCGACGCCGCTTGAGCAAGTCGGTGAAGTCGGGGTTAAAGTTGAGGTGCTGAGCGTTGCGGCTCTCTAGATTTTGTTTCGTCTGAATTCCGCTTCTTATCATCTCGGTCGATGTTTCGACCTATAGACATGAATGGCTCTCGATTATCCGGCTATGTATGTATGTCATTATGCCTCGGGTTGTGTTTCTCGTGTAGTTGTAACGCGATAGCAAGCGCGAAATGCCTGAAATCTTGGATCTCTGTATTCCCTGTATGGATATCCTTGTTTTTCTGGACGCTGCTATGCTCATAAGAGGAGCAGCTTTTGGTAACTGTCGGAAAGGCGAACGACCAGATGTAACGCATCGCGTCCTGGCATAGGTTGCGAACCAGCCGAAAATGCTGGCTCAAAGCGGAACCAATTCAGAGAACATCAGTACAATTGTTTGTCATCACCTTTAGATCAGTATTGTGATGTGAGGGGGTCTACAAGAGTCGTTGGTAGACTATCCCAACGAGCCAGACCATCACTACATCAACGGTCTCTACAATATACCCCATCGACCGAACGGGCGTTGAAAAGAATAAACTGAAAGGCGTCAAAACCAAAAGCTGTTTCCAGCTTGCATATGGGTAATATTAGATGGAAACAAGGGTTACTGGCACATACAGAAGAAGCCGTCTTCCGAAAATCTATTGTGATGATACAAGGTGCCTCCTACGGCCGCTTCACAGCAATTATGACACAGGCGAGGGTGCTTTCGACCACTGACCGGCTTTCCGTGCCTCATCTTCCATTTCAGCGATAAGCTCTCCCGCCTCCCCAGCCTTCTCCACTTCCAACTTTTCCATATCCCGCTCAAACAGCCGCCCAAAGGCATTCACAACATCCGGTACTACGTCTTCCACATTGACGGCCTTGCGTGCGGCACGCTCTATACAGCCTGCTTTCACATCTGCCAGCCCACACGCTACGATTTCGTCGAACCACGCGATTGGCTCGCTCGTGACGTTGAATGCGAATCCATGAGTGGTGAGACGGTGCCGCACCTGGACGCCGATACTCCCAACTTTGGTAGTTGCGTTGAGAAACACTCCAGTGTGCTTGGAAGGGATATGCGCGATGCCATGCGCCTCCTGCAAGTGGTTCTCGATCATCTTCTGCATGCGGCAAATGTAGTCGCGAATGCCCATCGCTGGTGTGGTGCGCCCCAGGTCCAGCAACGGATACCCAACGAGTTGCCCCGGCCCATGGTATGTGAGCTGCCCACCGCGCTGTGTGCGCAGGAAGTCGGCACCAATATTGGTGAGGCGTGCGCGCTCGACCGCAAGCTCGGATTCCAGCTGTCGACGTCCGCCAGTGTAAACGGGGCGATGCTGGAGGAGGAGTAGGATATCTTGATGATTATCTGAGGCGCGTCGCTGTTTGAGTTGGATGAAGTGGAGGGCCTCTTGAAGGGCGAGCGTGGGTATGTATGGGAGAGGCGTCTTGAAGTAGTGGTACAATATTGGGGGAAGACTCATTGCACTGACAAGTCAAGGTGGAGAAACGGAGTAATTAGGGTAATCAAATTGAACCCGATGATGGGTCCTCAATTATTACATAATAGTTCGCCAACATGCCGCGCTGTTACCACTGCGGGCAAAGTTCCATGGGATTGGCGATTCATCAGCAAACTGGTAGCCGAGCCCCAGCTGCCCCAGCTGCCCTAGCTACTCCTAGATGCTTATGTCATTCGAGGCGTCTGTACAGAAAGGTGGGTCTGGTCAGATAGTCGCTTTTTTATGATGTCTTCCCCAAAGCAGCTAGCCAGTTCAGGTCTCCTTGCGGGTCTGTCTAGTTAAGCATACATTGGTGTGATTCTTATCATCTTTGTCATACTTGACATCAATCTTATCTTTGTTTGTGTAGGGTCGAGAGATAGGTTGAGCAGTATTATAGAGGGAGCTTTCACGTGAGGCACTCTCGGAGAAGTACAAACAATTTAGAGTAGCTGTGTCGACAAACAAAAAGAGAGACAAGGGAATGTCGCAGACCTCCAACATGGCCTCCATGCGACTGTAAGTAGAAGTCTTCGAAAGAATAACAAGGGCCAGTTGAAGTTGTTCACTAGTGTGACTGTAGGCAGAAATCTCCGAGAGTGACATAAGGGCAGGCTGTTTACTAGTGCGATTGTCGTTGAGCCAGTTAGGTGACAATACCAAGCCGAATCAACACTTACATTATATTCCACTTGCAGAGGAGGGCGTCGTCGTAGTCGTCGTTGCGCTTGCAGCGGTAGCTGAGCTGCTGATCTATTGTCATCAGGGCGGCGGTGGCGGTGACAACATAGCCTGTCTATCAGGGGGAGTGAGTCCAGAGCTGCTGCAGAAACGAACAGGGAAAGTAGAAACCAATATAGCTTCAGGGAGAGGTGTACGGACACAGAGCGAGTGAGCATGTGGTGGGGCAGGCGTAGATGATGTCGTAGCAGGCATCGCACATGCGTGCATCGCATACGGAGAACTCTGGGGAAGGCGTCGAATGTATTATCTTTGTCCAGTAAGTCTTTGTAGCACTGTGAGAGTACTGTGAGTTGATCGTTATTGAGCGCGAGAGGATGAGGATGGACAGAAAGATTGATGCGCTTACTAATTTCAACTTGTCACGTTACTCACCTGCAAGTTCAAACGTTCAACGTTCAACGTTCAAACATTCACGTTCAACGCTCGTCGATGCCTGCCTTTTGTCCAAAATACGGCAAGACATTTGTCTCTGAGGTGCGGGTCGTCAAACATCTCAATGGTCGACAATCCCCTTGCAGCGGTTGGCTCTCAGAGCTTGCCAGTATGGTTGCTGCCACGGATGTTGCTGATTGCGCTGCTGGGCAGACTCAAGATGGACCGACACTTGCAGGGATCGGAGATGATATGGATATTGATTGGGCTGCTGATTGGGACAAGTACCCCGAGGTGTCCTCATGTCCAGACACCGCCCGAACAAACCCATTACTTCTAGCCGAGGACTTGTTTCCAGGTGCCGGAAAAACATACGGTCAAGCACCCACATTTATGGACACTTTTGATGCCGACATCCATGCCGAAAAGCGAGTTGACAACATATTCTACCCTTTTGCGAACAAGGACGACTGGGAGATGGCCTCTTTTCTCCTCCGATCTGGTCTGTCTGTTGCAAAAACGGACGAGTTTCTCTCATTAAATTATGTACGTCTCACCTCTTCTGGTTTAATATGAAGCTGATCAACTCATTAGGTCAAAACTCGACCATTTTTGTTTCGCACAATGAAAGATCTCCGTGCAAAGATCGAGCTGCTACCGGAAGCTCCTCGTTGGACGTCTGAGCCCATATCTCAGCCCGGATACCCTACAAAGCAGCCGATGACATTGTTTCGGAGGAACAGTGTTCTCTGTCTTGAAGCGCTGTTCTCAAACCCCCTCTTTTCAAATAGCATTGACTATGTGCCTCGACACGTCTACCAGAGCGCAGAGAGGCTTGTTCGTGTTTTCAGCGAGTACATGACTGGCGACCGTGCTTGGGATGTTCAGGTATGTGATCTTCTACCTGTGGTACTCCATTTACTCAAACTTTCGACAGTCGACACTACCCGAGGGCGCAACATTACTTGGCGTTATTCTCTCGTCAGATAAGACAACGCTCACTGCTGGAACAGGCAATCGATCGGCTCACCCGCTCCTTCTTTCGCTTGCGAATCTCTTTGCCGGCACTCGCATGAAAGCGTCAAATCATGCATTCTTACTCCTTGCCCTCCTTCCCATTCCAAAATTTCTATGCGCCAAAAATCTTCGCGGGACGTTGGAGAGCCGAGTAGTTCATCAGTGTCTGAGCATCGTCACTGAGGACTTGAAGATAGCCGCAAGATATGGCCGTATGATGACAGATCCTCGTGGCTATTCGCGTTTTTGTTTTACTCCTTTAGCCGCATATATCATTGATAACCCAGAAGGTCAGCTACTTGCTGCTGTGGGCGGAAAGTCTTCACCGGTCACGATTGCGTCATCAAAACAGCTCGGCGATCCCTTCCGTCACCTTTCTCGGACTGCGTCAGTTACGCTGGCTCAGATTCAAGACTTGAACAGCCGTGTTAATCCACAGGATCTTGAGGCATATGTACCAGCTGCGAAGGCTGCAAAATTGAATGGCGTAGATTCCCCTTTTTGGTCGGACTGGGCACGGTCTGACCCCTCTCTGTTTCTCACGCCGGAGCCGCTCCATCAATGGCACAAACAGTTCCTTGATCATGACGTTCATTGGTGCCGAAATACCATTGGTGATTCCGAATTGGACTTTCGCTTTTCCATCATCCAGCCACAAGTCGGATTTCGACATTTTGAAAATGGTGTCTCCACATTAAAACAGGTCACTGGCAGAGAACAGCGCGATATACAGCGTTATTTTGTTGCTTGCATCGCAGGAGCTGTTCCACCTAGCTTTCTTGTCGCAATCCGTGCTCTGATGGACTTTCGGTACCTTGCTCAAGCCCCCCAGATTGACGAGGTAATCATACGTCGAATCTCGGATGCGCTAGCTGAATTTCACCATCATAAACATGCTATCGTTGATGCCGGCGCAAGACGTGGCAAGCGGAAGGCGATCATGCACTGGAACATCCCTAAACTTGAGCTAATGCAGAGTGTTGTACCGAGTATCAGAGCGATGGGAGCGCCAATGCAATGGACTGCCGATGTCACAGAGCGCGCGCACATTGAAGTTGTGAAGGAGCCATTTCGCGCAAGCAACCATCGTGATTTTGACTCACAGATTTGTCGTGCTATGGATCGCGCAGAGCGGCGTCGTCATTTTGATCTTGCAACTTCTATCAAGTCCGCGGGAATTGACCTTGCCGCTGTTTTCAGTAGCAGCCATGTGTCAGAGGATTCTGGTCATGACTCTGATGACGACAAGCTCGATGATGATGAAAACCTTTGGAAATCAGTGATTAATCCTGTAGAGAACTTGACCGGCCCTCGTCGACATTGTACGGACCTGTTTGCAAAGGCAGCAATCATTCTTATGTGGAAATCTCGGATCGACACCACCAGCGGCTCTCCTCGCACCTTCATGACGCCATCTACCGCATTTCACCTTAATCGTACACCATGCTTGTCTGCAGTCTCCGTGGATGATCTCGCCAGTTCCTTCCAGCTTCCAGACCTTCGACCTGCCCTTGCGGACTATGTGCTGCGGCTCCAGGCTGGACAGCAAGTGCATGCTATCGGTGGACGTCGAATTTCACAACCAAATTGCCTGCTTCCTTTCTCGCATGTTGACGTTTGGACACACGCTTATGTGCAGGTCAAGCCCTTGCGAGGGCATGAGATGTCAAATCCTTACAATATTCAAGCGAGTCCAAGATCGGCAGACTGGCCATTCGGCAGGCGTGACACCGCGCTTATTGCCAACACAAGTGATGCCATTTGGCCTCCTTTATCCACAATGGAAGGTTGGTTTCTGCTCACGTCATAAAACTTGGTGCTGATGACTCCTTCAAGGTCATTCTATTGTGTCAATTTGCCTTATCTTCTGTCTGATCTTCTCCACGGGGCAGTCGCAGCCACACCCACACCCATACCTCATGTACGGCCACCGCTTTGATATTGTTCCACAAACGTCATTTGCAGCTTCCGGGACAAGCCACCTGTCACCTGAGGCGAGCTCGGGAATGTACATCGTGAAGCGTGCCGTTCGTGCGGACAGCTCGCTGCTTGGTGATGTTATTCCACTGTCTCAGATACGTACACCGGTTCAACTGATTCCTCGTTATGGAGCCAAGGCTGATCCTCGCTTGACTGCCCAGAATAGCTTCCATTTCACTCGCGAATTTTTTGTTAATAAGTATGCTAACCGGGAGATCTACAACCTGCTGACTTAGTCATTTTCACATGCTGTTCTCCGCCATGTCGTCAATGTATAGTAAGAAACCGCACTGCAGTGTTCAATCGACAGGCTGTTGCCATTCTTCTGTTTCATGTCGCGTGCAGCAGTACTGTAGTTCTATCTAATATTTAAGACTCACAATCATCTCTTGTCCTTCCATCTGCTTTTCAGTCCATCCTTATATTGCTATTTATCGTTCTCAGATCGCACAGTGAATTCTACGATGGATTGGTCAATGGACATTGACGCAGGTGCTGACTACTCTATGTATTACCCTTTCGCGCATCTCTGACTACCCTTGATTCTCTAGTATCTGCCTCTCAACCAAGTCGAAGGCAAAAGAAGCGGCCGGCAGCAGATGCAATTCCAATCATGGAGGCCCAACGTCGATCCACTAGGGCCAACCGAGGTCAAGGTGGACAGAATCTCCAACGAGAACATATTGAAGAAGCTCTCCTTGTGCCGAAGCGTCGTCGAGTGAGCTGTCATACATTTCCCGAAGGCCTAGACGACACAGAGAGGATTGCTGAAAATCCAATGGCTCCACCACCAGCAAAGCGAAAGCACCGCCAGAAAAAAGTAAGCTCGTCATCTATCGTTCACGAATTTGCGATAAATGCTGTATTTCAGTCTATTCTGGGACCTGTTACAGGCCAGGAGATTCCAAACCCTCTAGTTACCCATACTGTACCAGCACCAGTTCCCATTCGGATCCCTGCTGATGACAGAGCGCTTGGCCCTCCGCCCGGGTTTGGATTTCCTCCCGAATTTCCTGCCTTGCGAAGCGCCCTCCCTTCGAGCTCAGTTCATATGTCACAGATTGATCCCTATTTGATAGGTCTTCAAGCAATGCCTCATCATCGTCAACTCGCCACATCTAGAGGACCTTCCCCTTCTACAACACTTCAGCCTCAACCTCAACCTCAACCTCAACCTCAACCTCAACCAGCCTATTCAAGTAATGGCAAAGAGGCACAGAGGTCTGTCGTTGTTTCTATCATAATAGCATACTCATGGTGCAATTTCTAGCCACGTTGACTCACTTCCTTCGACCTACGCTGCAAGAACTCCGGCATATAATGCCGGTGCATTTGTTCCTGCACCGTGCTCCATACCTGTTCCAATTCAGAGGCCGCCAAATCTACCGGTGCAACCTGTGAACTCTAGGCATACAGACGAAGACAGTGAAGCCTCGGATGATAGTATCGAAGAGTTTAATGAGGATGACAAGGATGACGAGGACGAGATTGAGGGTGAGGACGAAATTGAGGGTAAGGATGAAATTGAGGATGAGGACGAGATTGAGGATGAGGATACCGAAGATCACCTTCAAGATATTGAGGAGAACCAGCAGGAAATGGAGGGTTCAGAGTCTGAGGATGATGGTCGGAAAACGAACACTAATAGTGAGTTTCTTTGGCTATAACTATCTTGAAACTACGGCCATGATAATTATGATGCAGATAACCAGCAGACGTGTGGATCGCAACGCAGCCTCCAGCACTCTCATCAAGCTTCATATACTGATGCTGTGGTCACAGAACGTGGCGGTGGGGTTTTGCGTGAGATAATTACATCCCAACTGGTCTGCAATTTTGTTTATTTGATTCTTTTTCGTGCTGATTACTTTGCTTTAGGCACCTCAAACACGACAGCTGCAGCCCACCGATATACTTCACGAGCATCAGCGCCGGAATGGCACACCAAGAGTGCCAGATGTCAATCAACTTACCCAAGTCGCTACAAGGATGTCGACACCATCGGTAATGCCTGTCGCAGGCAGAATTTGTATGTTCCTTCGTTTCTATGTAACTGCTTGCTAATGATCTTTTCATTGAGCTCATTCATCACTTCAAATCAACACGCGCCAGCGCAATCACCCACGCAAAAAATCGGCCATAGATATTGACCCTAGAGACTTGAAGAAACTCGGATCCCTTCCATCGCACTGGCGCTACGTAATTGTTCAGGCTCGCCTAAGGCACCGTAAATGGCTGGCATCCATCGACCCATTCCCTGAATACGAGACTTCTCTAAGGCATTCGACGGCATCTATATATGAAGCGGTCGCAGAGTATACCCAGAACTTCAGGGTACAGCTATTGCCACCAGGTTAGTGTAGTCTCGTGAATCTCTTATCTGCTTATCATATTCGACATTGCAGGTCAGCTGCTGGATCACGATATGATTAAAGGAGTATGTTTTGGTCACATACGCTATACTACTGATTCTTATAGTTTATCAGGTTCATGAGGATGGGTCAACATTCCGAGGTGAGCTCAAGCGTATTGCACGCTTGATTGTACAGACATCCTACAATCTCCTCTCTGCCTCCGACCTTGCTGAGAACTTGGACGCTGCCGGATATCAAGCTCGCATTCGTGCGTGGGTTGTTGAGTTACTTACTGATGGGAAGTTCATGCATGGCCCTTGCGACACAAATGTGAGTGACGTTTGTGTCGTACACCATAAGCTAAATGTATTTTCAGGGCATGATCCTAAACCTCGGGCATCCAGCAATTATGTTGTTGTGCCACACATTCTTCTACTTCGACAAGAAATCTTTGGGTATCCTGTTTCCAGAAACATACAAAGATGTTGTTCCGGATAGGACAATGGCTCTACTAATCTGTGTCGTAAGGTTTCCTCCCATGTCTGTATCACTAATGTACTAATATCTATGCAAATAGATCAAGAACTGTCTGGAGGAATGGGAGGGCGGCATACACAAGACTATCGACTTCTCGAAAGAAGCATATGAAAAAGACTTCGGTGCAATCGTAGGACTCATTCAAACTTTGAAGGCCCACCTGACATTCGGACCCACATACCAGTGCATGTGTCAGCGATGGGCAACAAAGGGACTGTGAGTGTGGAGCTAATCATTATTCTTATTCTGATTTTTCAAAAGCCCAGAAGTTGTTGCAGCGGCTCAACGGAAGTCTGGCCAAACCGACTATGGACTCAAGCTAGACTTTGGCATCCCTGGGCCACCGCTGTCTGTACTCCTTATTTCCGTTTTGTTCCTGTCTAACGATGCTCCGTTTTAGACCATATCAATGATTAATTCTTTCTTCTCTATGACATCATCCTTCCGCCCTGCCTAATGTCACTCGCTGTCCCATATCATTCATTTTATAAACTCTCTCCTTCCGTAATACCACCTCACAATTACTTCACTAATTCTAGACTGTTGATTACTGCCGTTTTGATCTCATTGTTCGGTGTTCAAATGCGACAAATATATACAGTTTTTGGTCAAATTTCACGAGATTTTTCATATTCTACAAATTCTGTCGGGGTGTAGTATCTGCTACCGGGAACGTCTGACAAGAGCCTCTAAACTAGTCAGAGCTGCTCAGAGGCTGTCAAGATACTTTTTTTGTTCGGAGCACCAAAATATTAGCAGCTGGACAGTGTCTAGGCAGCTCCGGCAAGCATCAGTCCAGCAGACACTGTGTCTGTATAATTGGGGACTCGCTGAAGGTGTCTGGGGCTCTGGCATTGTCTGTCCAGCTTCGGACAGACGCCTCCCAGTTTGCTGATGCTTCCAGAATGATTACCTGATGATTTCCTGCCCAAAAGAATCAGTATGAGATTTATAGATAAATCTTGAACAAAATGACAATGTGCTCCTTAAATTCCACACAAAGTGTGCTTGGATTGCATGATGATCCAATTAAAAATTTGTTTCAGAATAAGATCAGGCCGAAATCAGACTGAAATGTCATAAAGGCTGCAACATGTGTCCATGGAGCACAAAAGGGAGGATATTTGAGCTAAAATCACAAGAAACTCACAGATCACATCCTAAACTCATCCTAAATAGTCCACAGATTCCAAGCTGATTCCATTGTGATCAAGTGATCAAGCAATAGTTTGATCACAATGGGATCAGCTTGGTCAGAATAGGATCAGAATGGGATCAATAGACCATTTAGGATGAATTTAGGATGTGATTTGCGAGTTTCTTGTGATTTTAGCCCAAATGTCCTTCCTTTTGTGCTCCATGGATATATGTTGTGGAATTCATGAGATTTCTGATCAATTCCAGCCTTATTTCATACCACAACAATTTTTTAATCAGATTATGAGATATTCCAAGCACACTCTGTGCAAAAACTAAAGAGCACATTCCCTTTTTGCTCAAAATTTATCCATAGATCTAATGCTGATTCTTTTGGGCAAGAAATCATCAGGTAATCATTCTGGGATCACTGATCCCATGGAACTTTGCCCACGGTGTACAACACTGCTGTCGCACTTCAAACCTTCGAACCATCATCTCGCTGTACACATACCCTTGAATCTTGAAAATCGCGAGCAACCCTGAACGGCCGCCTATACCCAGACTGCGCCAGTCCAGGAGGCTACCTCTATCTAACCCATCTCACCATGGAAAACGTTGACACTCCACAAAACAGGCAAGTGGAGGAGTCCATCAATCGCATTGTGCATGAGGGTCCTAGTGGTGTTACGAGCAAGGTGGATTCACTCCTCCGTCGCTCAATGTCAATTCTGAACTGGACAAATACAAACCCGAACTGAAGTTACTCCACGCTATGGTTGCGTCCGACCCGCTACAGACCACGATGGTCGGATCTAGCAGAGTAGGCACTCCCATTGTGAGTCCTTAGTTGACTTGCACACAATGAGTGTTTGTAACTATCACTTTTTTGGGCCACTCCGCCTTCTGGCGTGAAGCTCGGGAATGTGCCGTCGTCATCCGCATCTAATTCCCAGTCTGATTCAACTCAAACTTCAAAATCAATGGATGCCAATGCGTTCCAATCTTTGCTTATGCTATCAGGGAGCACTGGGGTGAGCACTGACTCAAGTCCTGGTGCGCGTCTGTAAACACGCGTGTTTGTGACCGTCTTCCCAGGAGCCCCCATTCTCTATAAGACCTAAGGATCAGACATCTGATATCCTCGTGCTATCTATTGAAGCGGTCAAAGCCACTCTCACAAAAATCGATGCCCAGATATCCTTCGTGGAAAGTCGCTTGGCGGCCGCGTATGCAGAGGCTGACCGTATTCGGCTCGACTCATCGTCCCTTGCACTGTCTGGGCATGATGAAGTCGAAAAGAGGACACAGAGATTGGAAAAGATCCGCGCCTTCATCGCGAAGTTCGAATCGCTCAAGCAAGCAAAGGAGCTTGAACTGGCGGCGGCGTACATTGAGTTTGAGGAGCTTGCCTCGGTCGCAATTGACAGGCCGGATATCGAGAATCTAGGAGACATCATTCCTCTAGATGTACTTCGTTTGGAGTCCGAGCCCGATGAGAGTGTCGTTTCCCCAATCACAGCGACCGATGCTAAGGGGAAGGGCAAGGACAAAGGTAAAGGTAGAGCTCTTTGATATGCCTTGAGGAGGTTGGGTTGATAGCCGCTTTCGGCGGAGGTATGTTTCGGTTTCCCATCACACACACTTATAGCTCATCCGTCCCCGATGATTCATTTTTGGAGAAGACATCTAGCGTTGTAGAAAGAAAAGGCGACTTTGCTCCTTGCTCCAGGTTTATTGGTTGTCAAATTGATCAATTAAGTTCGACTCGTGCTATTTTTTGGGTTCGTCCCGACCTCTGAGCTCTGGCGTAGGGTACGAGCGGAAATTTGAACTCGACGCTTGTGCGTTCACGCCTGTTGAAGGCGACCAAGGCGCTATGACTCACTGCATAACGACGCACTTCAATGATGATTGTGGATCTGAAAAGTCCTGTGGGCTCGTACTACTACGAGTCGAAGCACTCGAGATTTTTGAAGCTGCTGACTCTTATGTAGCAGCTTCTGTTCTCTAAGAGAAGGCTCTCAGATTCGATATGATAATACTCATTCTGTCAGCTTCCCCGCACCTTACAGTAGAATAACCTTCGTCTTCCAACTTTCTGAATTGCTCTGATCCACTTTCTGTAACTCAATCACGAGAGTTCAGCTTGTAGCCATCGACCATGGAAATCTGTGAGGCTCCGGCACTCAAGGAGACGGATGTAGAGTACCTCAATCCCCATCAAGTGCATGGGCACTTGCAGTGGGCAAGGCCGATCTCCTTGAAAGTGGGCATGTTCTTCCACCATCCAAACTGGCCACCAGACTAATTCACCTCTATCCAGCTGTTTCCAAGCTGCATACGACGCCAGCGCTTGGTTCTCCAATGGAGTCCAACGCGGCAATCATCACCATTATATTTGAAGGCATTGGATGAGTGAGTCCATTGCCATTGTTGATCTTTCTTCAGGAATCGCTTTCAGAGGTTAAACTCGTTCACATCATGGATTCCCTTCGACCAAAGCTATGGAAGCACTCTTACAATGTCCGTTCTCCCTAACGACGAGATTTTTCGATGCCGGACATCCACGAGCACAGGGTAAGTCGCATGGCGATCATCGCAAGAATCGCTCAGATCTAATTTTTCAGTCTCTCCCAGTTTTTAGTCAACAACGTCGTCTGAAGTTGTCGTAATGGGCATCAAGTCTCTTCAGGTCTTTGTCGAGAGCGTCATGGGTAGTCTCTGCCTCATAGAATCGTACCTGGTGCATGCAAAAGGAGAGGTCCAGGACGAACTAGCGTCGATGAAATTCAGGCCCGAGGAAGTAGAAAAGCGAAAATCCATCCTAGAATATGCTCATATTGAGAATATCTGAGGATTGGGGAATTGCATTGGATGATGCACAGAGAGCTTGCGGATGCGATCGCGATTGCGGAGACAAGGTCGGATATCAAACTTTCGGATGAGCACCATTCGGAAGACCTATCAGACGAGAAATTGTTGTCGTTCCCACCAATTTCCTTCTTTATCTTTAGCAAACGCATCAATATTGCACTCTGTGGGATTTTTACCATAGGTTCCGCGCGAACGCTGAACGCGTTTACATCCACGTGATACTAATGGACGTCCACGTGATGCGCAAAGTATATAGTGTCTGTAGACGTGTCCGCTAAGCTCGAGCTCAGAGACAACCACCATGGCCGCGCTGCACCTCACCGCTCCCGACGCTCTTCTCAATAGTCCAGGATCATCTGTGTTTGACCTGCCAACGCAGCCCTTACAGCCTTCGTACATTCACCCTCATTCCCGCTTGGTCAATTCCCACGTGTCCGACACACCTGAAGACAGGTCCTTCATCATCATCTCTGGGGGCACAGGCTGCAATGCAATTTGCGCCGCATTTTCTCAAGCATGCTATGTGCTACCAGTCTCCGATGATGGAGGGTCTTCGAGCGAGATTATCCGTGTGCTCGGCGGTCCGTCTATCGGTCTGTGATGCTCTCGCTCGCCTCCAAAGCAAGTACATGTCCTGACGTGGCGGGTACGACGCGTTGCAGGGGACATTCGCTCTCGACTTGTTCGTCTAATGCCCTCTGCACCTTCTGGGTCTCCTTTGGACGCCTTACGTACGCTTCTTGCGCATCGCCTTCCCGTAAATTGCTCCGAGCAAGAGGCACGCGATCAGTGGAGGGCGATCGTCGAGGGACGCAGCGCGTTATGGGTAGGCATTCCAAACGACCGCAAGGAGACCATAAGAGGTGATTTAGGCTTGCAATGCTGCCCAGATTGACTGTTAATCTGTGTGCAGGGTTCCTCGTGTACTTCGAGAATGAAGTACTCCGACGGGCACATAAGAACTTTTCATTCCTGAATGGAAGGTGAGCTATCGTGTTCCGTTGACCTTCCTCTCCTCCCAGTATTATGTAGATACGATCAGAGCTCTTTCTGATACGAGTGATGGCTGTACAGCATCGGAAACTACTTCCTTGCTGCCGCGCAAGGATTCTTCCGTTCCCTTCCTTCAGCCATCTTCCTCTTCTCTTCTATCACTGGAAGCCAGGTCCGCTGTTCCTTGTGCTTTAGTGAAACCTGCTCATCCAGAGTCGCAGGCAAACATTCTCCCAGTCATAGTGACCAACCATACCGTTACGATTGCAGCTGAGCTTGTAAGCCGTCTATTTCTGCTGTGTAATGTCTCCTTGTGTTCAACCCTTAATTTCTTCACCGTTGTTTAGGCGAGCGGCGTGAGTCTCATTGGCCAATGCGAGATATCTCACCCCGTGCGAAAGTCGTCGTTCTCTATTGACAACGACCTTGACGACAGCGCGCTGAACCTTGCATCTCCCACGGATGATCTTAGGGCTACGCTGTCAAAGCCCAAGAATATGATGTTCGACGCGGGCTCTAAGGTCGATTTTGAGGCGCTTGACGCGCCCATAAGCAGTGAGTATCCTTGTGCCCTTTCATTCATTCATAAAGTACCACGATATATATATTCGTAACGTTGTATAGGGCTATATTACATCAACGCATACGGACACGAAATACACCCTTCACCGAACCCTGACTATCTCTCGAACCTGCGCGCGCGGGAAGTTCTCGTGTATGCGTGTGGCTCTCTCTGGACAAGGTCCGTTACACACTCATTCGTTGCGACTTGAAATGAAACAGTAGAGCCTAGTATCATCCCATGCCTCGCATTGCGTGGCGTTGCAGCTGCGATAGCCGGCGCATCGTCTTTGCGCGCGAAAGTTCTCTTCCGTAAGTGCATTGAAGTGACTTCCCTGCTCAGCTCTTCGGTTGACGCTTCGTTTTGTTCACTGTGCAGTGAATTCGAAGAATGACAGGGAGACGGACGGGTATGCCGCGACTGACTACATCGAGTGCGTACTGATGATGATGGTTATGGTTGTTTCTTTGAGATTGCTGAAATACGTTGACATGCTTTAGCGCCATCGTTCGTACGCTCAACGCATCATACCGCGTGGAGCCATATGGTCTTGGCCACGCCGCGACAATGTACCCTGTCTCTGCGTTCATCACTCATCTAGTATATCTGCGAGGCACCTCAGTCGAGGTCGACATACAGCGTGTCACCGTAAGTCTTTTCTTGACCTCGGCTGTTAACGTTCGGTGCTTACTGGTTCTGGGTCGCTCTTAGGAACTGGGCGTGAGATGTGTGGAGGTCGAGAGCGATGTCCTTGGGGATGACGCTGTTCCTTTGTATGATGCTGCATGCGCGCGCAGGGCCATGGAGAAAATTTTAGCAAAGGAAGAGTGAAATCTTGACTTTCAGGACGGTGTGAGTAGATGATATATTGGCTTGATGCCGCGGTCTCATTACACCAAAATTTGACAGGCTAACATTTACGATGTGATATATTCCGGGATAGTTGATAGATCTGCTTCAGAATTGAATTGTGTCAGGTGGTATTTGCTGGTGTTAGCATCGAAAGCCAATGACGTCATGGCGTGCAGCATCATACCTTCCCTAGACGAACGTCATGGGTGTCAAGCGCAAGCATATAAACACATAATGTTTCCGTCGCTGTCGAGAACGACCCATCTTTCTGCTGCCATGTTCCACCATATTGCAGTTGTTGCACGCACCCAAGCCGCTCGCGCACCCGTCGTTGTCTCACGCCAATTGCACGCAACGCCTACTGCAGCGAAAACAGTCACAGAGAAGGTTTCTGAGGTAGCGGATACGGTAGGTGGTGTCTCAGCTCTTATGGGATCTGAGAATACATACTTCGCTCCAGGTGAACAAAAAAGTGGGGAAAGGGCTGGCATCGGCTTTGGACGCGGGCGAGGAGGTCACAGAGAAGAGCAAGCAAGTATTAGGTATTTAATCATCATTTAGAGACGTCTCAGGGCTTACCATTCTGCGACAGGCACCTCCAAAGAGAAGGCACAAGAGGTAGGCGATACACTGCGTTGCTGTCCACATTGTTTAAGACAGATTCTCTCAGGCGACTGACGCTGTGAAAGAAAAGACGTCGGAGGTACGCCGGCTTTCTACTTATGGCCGATGCCCTATATTTACAACCCTCGAAATACACTAGGGCACAGCACAGGCGGCGCAAAAAAAGAATGAGCTGGAGTCGGATGTCAAACAAAGCATTCGCAAGGACTGACTGAACGCATAATATCCAATACATGCATGTACGCTACGGCTACAATATCTTCATGTTTAGTCGTGTATGTTATTGTCAGGCTAATTGTTAGCGCTTCCGGTCACCTAATCATCTCATGATTTACATTTGAGTTCAGTAGCCCGCCAGTCGCTCACATCTTTCAGGTCAGGGCACTGCCAGGGCCACCACTTTTCACAAGTCTGATTCAAACGCCGACAGCGCAGACACTAATGAGATTCCACGTTGCCAGCGCCAGCTTCGGACCCTACAAAATACCATGATGTACTACGGTTCGCCGCGAATACCATTGGGAACTCGGACTCTCACGAAAGCCCACGTCAGGCTCCGTCCCTAGCACGCATCTGCGCACATACCGCATCTTGCATATATCCTCGCCCCTGAGGCCCGTTCCGGTTTTGCGCGGGACGTCATGAATGAATACTGTCATCATGCATCAAGTTCCAGTCAGGTGGGTAGCTCAGTGCAGCTGAGCACGATTCAAATTCAGCGGCGGACCTTAACCCAATCACGGCAGGTGTCGTCGTTGACACTGTGCACCCACTCCACGTCAACGGATCTCTTCCGCAGTGTCAACATCCAAATTGCGGGGAGAATGCGCAGCTGAGGTCGAGGATGAACAGCGGGGTCTTGAAAGATCCCGTTCTGATCTAAATGCGCGCTCGATGTATCCGGCTGGAGAACCATTGGAAGGGAAGCGGGCGTCCCGATCGAGCGTCTCGTGCCATCTAGACGCGGTGCCGTAACGCACCATAATCATGTGGGGTCGAAATGGTGCTCGTCTATAAAGGTGGACCGGTCCATGCTTTGTTAAGTGCGCTACTGTTGCCCACTTTCATTCTGCCACTGCTATCCACGGTGAGCGTGCTCCCATGCGTCTGTTGATATCGTCATGGTCATGGCACTGATCCCATTCTTGTGCTCTAGGTAAACTTCACTTGTAGTCTCTACCGTCGAAATGTACAATCCATTCACCAAGAAAAGCTCTGCTCAGCCCAAGGTAGGCTGTGCGCGTTCTCTAGCATGTCCATGATATTGACGCGCAGAATTATTGCCGCTCAAATCCGCAGGGCCTAAGTACGCGGAAAGATAGTATTGTCTCCGACAATACCAGCGTGTACTCTTCGGCAAGCACTCTTGTGCCACAATCATGGCCTCTATCGCTGGTAAGGCCGCTAGTGCCTCGACCGAAAATATGTGTCACTTATTCATTGGCAGACTACGAGTCAAGCCTTGCCCTCGCGGTCGAAAGCTGCGAGCTCGAAACCATCGAAGGCTAGTAGTGCATATTTTTGAACTGCGAAATGCATCTTAGAGCTGGTCTGCAGACGCATGTCAACTACGCAGAAATGATGGATGACGAAAATATGTCATGGGGCCTCCCACGAAGCACATCTAGCAGGCGGCGGAGGGAACACTGAGGTGGCATAACGATCGGCAGGTAAGTTTCTCGCCATATTCTAGGTTGGCTTCGTTCTCAATGTCTTCCCCACAAGCAGCACGGGGTCGGACGCCGTGGATTCTCCTGTGAGTTGTATGTCATAGTAGATGTGAGTCGTGTCCGCGGAGAGGTAGAATGGTTAGCGCGCGATGTCTGTAGGATCTTTTACGCATGTTGTCGAAGTTGTTGTACATTATGTATTGTTTATACTCGGATCGAGTAATCTGCGCAAGCGATATTTTTTTCCTCTGCACGTCCGGTTGACATTGTGGCCGAGTTTGTAAACATACTCCTCGGAGGAATGCGAAGGACGCGATCGAGAGCGTTTCATACGGGGCGCGCCTCCTGTATTCAGCACCCGGAAGGTACAAGACGATGTAATCCTGGACTAGGAAGGCTCTTGAATACGTTCATTGACAGCCTGGAGCTCTCAGAAAAGTAACCAAGGTTGCGCGCTTCCGCTTAGAAGGGGAGAATGTGCTGAAGCGACGAGGAAGTACAAGAACAGAAGCGCGCCGTGCCTTGACAGTGTGAGGAACTGGAGGGAAAGGTCAGCAGACACTGCAGGCATCGCCGAGATGAACGAGCGGAGCTGCGGTCCTCAAGTATTGTTTCGCACGAAGCGATTCGGCTTAGACTTCAGCAACCCTTGATCACTCGTACCACCTCGAATTTCAGCGTTCCAGTGCTGATTCGCGTCAAATATTGATCTGTTATGCACAGTTAATCAACAAGTAGCAGAACTGTCGCCAGGAACGACCGCTGGGTCACAGAAGAGTACCCATACCGATACTTATACCCATGTCCCCTAGATGAGATAGCGTATACATAGACAAATTGATGTGCATTTCGACAAATCAGAACCTAGGCGGGCCGGGCCTAGAATAGAACGGTTTTTTTCGAGACGAGGTGGTGTGGTGGGAGCGAAGGTCATAGAAATAGTTTTATTCACAAGCACGATTAATCACCAACTGAGAATTGTTGGAACTGGATTATGGCACGAGGAGAAGCTGTGGCGACATACCGGGTGGACAGCGAAGATGAAGGTGAGACTCAGCTTCGGTGAGTGTTCTATCATTGACAGTCCATGAAAAAAACGAGTGTGAGCAGCTGACTAGGGTTAGTATGAAGAGGTACCTTGAAAACGGGTTCCTGTGAACCCTCGACAACGTACCCCCTTGTCTTCGGCGAATCATACCCCACCATGCCACCATCACATTGTTCTTCTTTTATGGCCACCGCCCCGAGGCTCAGTTTATCTTGCTCAGCGTCAGCGCTTGAAATTGTCTGGGCCAGGATATCCGAGCTATCGTCCAAGTGGTCGCCTTGAGAATGCGTCGTGAGCTTCTGCTCTTCCAGGAATTACAATTGCGCTGTATTGCTGCATAGAGCCGAAGCCAGAAAAAAAGGGGGGAAGCTATGTTGCTAATGAATATCCAGTGGTTGGGGATGCAGGTAGGTGTGAAGTGGGTAGAAGGCTTGCTTGAACGAATTGTGGTGGAGATGTTGGAGAGTCAGAGGAGACAATGATTTTCGGCTGCGTCGAGCGCTTCGAATTCGGCAGTTTGCGAACGCCCGTCGCGTGGAGATTCAACGATTTGTGATACGGGCCGCATTGAATCTTTGAAGCTTGACGTTCAAATATTTCAACAACACGTCACCTTTTGTCCAAAGGTTTCTTTCCGAACCTATCAGTGACTCCGCACTCGTCTCACATGCCTGATTTGAATCGTGAGGATAGGATTATATTAGTCTCCATTGCTGACCTACACAGAAGATTGCAGTCGTTCTGTGTGACCTATGTTCTTGTTATCTCGACTCGACCATATGCGCCCAGATAGACCCTGGTGCACCCTTGCCATGATACTCACGGTGCTGGTTGACTTCCAACTACGATGTTCAAGACTCTTTGCTTCACTTTGCTTGTGTCTCTAGGTACTCGCGCCCTTGCAGCTGGTCAGAGTCAACAAGTTTTCTCAACGTCTCGCGCGTCAAACCCTGGCGATGCGAAGAAATACGTGGGAGCAAGTTGGCAAGTTGGGCAATATGACGCTGGGCTCTTTTCACCCGTGGAGACATTGAGCACCCTGAGCGCGTTCGAGTACACAGTTCTTTCGCATCCTGTGTTCCCAAGACATGCTGCTAGAATTAAGAAGGTCGACGACTTTTGCGACCCGACTGTGCAGTGAGTGTCTCCCACGTTCTACACAATCCGATCACATCGCTTAAAATGATACCAAATAAAGAGCGTACTCTGGATATATCGATATTGAGGCGAAACATATTTTCTTCTACTTCTTCGAGAGCCGAAACGACCCTGACACAGACGATGTCATTTTTTGGACCAACGGAGGTGAGTCTCCAGAATTATCTGTCACGCCTACAGCGACTAAATCATCTTGTCACAGGCCCAGGATGCTCGTCGTCCATGGGACTGTTCATGGAACTTGGTTAGAGATCTCTCACTATAAACTAGACATCAACCGATAATAGGTCTAGGACCTTGTAGGGTCATAACCGAAAATGCCACCGTGTTCCATCCTGAAAGCTGGAACTCGAACGCCAATGTATTTTTCGTCGACCAGCCTGTAGGCGTCGGCTTCTCCTATGCGGAGTACGGGGAGCATGTTGTAAGTCATATTTTCCGAAGGCCTTCCTTTGTTTATAGTATGGCTGCTCAGGATACTAGTGAGGATGCCGCAAAGGACATTGCAGCATTTGTGGCGATCTTCTTTGAGAATTTCTCCTCATTCAAGGGGCGTGCATTTCACATGGCTGGAGAATCGTACGGGGTAAGTCTATTACCTGGACCTTGGATTTTATGTCCATTGACAGGGCAAAAAACCCACATCAGGGTCGTTACGTTCCGCTTTTTGCTGCACAAGTCCATGATCAGAATGCGTTGCTGGTTGCCGCAGGCCTCACCCCCATCAATCTGGTGTCCGTCATCATTGGTCTGTTTGTGAGGAGTTGAGACTTCAATCGCACAGGACTAATTAACTATATCGTAGGAAATGGTATGACTGACCCATACAAACAGGTAGCATCTTATTATGACATGTCGTGCACTCCGGCTTCCGTGCCGCCTGTTTTGGATATTAGGCAAGTTCTTTGCTGGACGAACCTTGCTATTTGGCCTTATCCACGGATTTTTATAGCACTTGTATTCGCATGAAAAAGGCGGTATGTATCTCACAATCAACATTTACGATGATTGGTTCACATGTCTGTTGGCAGCTTCCGCGGTGCGAGAAATGGCTGAAGGAAAGTTGCGTCGATCAGTTCGACTCAATGAACTGCGAGGCCGCCTCCAATTTTTGTGAAACGGAACTAGCCGCACCATTTGAAAGCACTGGTATGTACCTATGTGGGAAGTGTGATTCATGTGCAGATGATGCATTCTTTAGGATTGAACTACTATGACATCAGCCGCCCGTGTGACGGAACATTAGAAGAGACATTCTGCTATCCCATCACACAGTACGTATCTCTCACACTTCCCGCGACATTGGGAGACGACTACTTTGCGTTTTGGCAGATCTATCGCCAAATACCTCGACCAGCCCAAGATTCGCTCGCTATTAGGCGTCGATCCTACAGTATCGCAAAACTTTAGTTCATGCTCCAACGAGGTTGGCATGGCTTTCGCCGTCGCAGGCGACATGATGCAAGCATCATATGAATATGTGGCTGGTCTGCTTGAACGCGAAGTGCGCGTGCTCATCTACGTTGGGGCGAACGATTGGATATGCAACTGGATTTCGAATGAGCGTTGGACCCTCGCGCTGGACTGGAGTGGGAAGACTAGGTTTGCCTCTCAGGAGCTGCGGGAGTGGAAAGTCGACGGCGCGGTGGCTGGCAAGACGAGGAGTGCGAAAGGTCTCACGTTTGCTACTGTCGACGGCGCTGGGCATATGGTGCTTAATTTCGAGAGCCTCATCCGGAGAAGTGCTGACATATTCTTGTTAGGTTCCCTATGATAAACCGAAGGAATCGCTGGCACTCATTAACCGCTGGTTAGCTCAGGAAGATCTGTGATAGTCATGACATAGCATGTTGCAATGTGGACCATGGTCAAATTCGACGGCTCCCTCTAAATCTGACAGATGCAGGAGGATATGCTGAAGATTGTGTCTCTTGGTCTACGTTTGACGTTTCATCATGGTTCTTTAGCCTTCCTGTAAATTTTGGTTGTTTCCGGAATTTGATCTGGGCCTTCGTTCCCAGAGCTGTTCTTGTCACTTGCCATGTACCTATTCCCTTGATGAACGGAACTAAATGGAATCCCTATCTTGTCACAATAGCTCTGACGTCTCGCGCAGTTGTCTTGTGCTTCATTGAGTCCCGACATTCATAAGTCATTTGAGTTGTTCCCAATGTCTAAAGTGCTGAAGCGCTGAAGAGCGCGTCGCTTTCTGCGAACCGAACGCTTCTCTTCTGGATCACCAAGGACGAGGAAATTGAAGAGTTGCCTAATATGGGCTGTGAGGAGAAAGAAGTGATCTAAATTTATTTTATCTCTCCCCTTCTTGTGCGGTCCACCATAAGAATCCTTTCGGTGTCAGTCATGAAGCTCACAGCACCGGTTTACCCACAACCACCACCATGTTCGCGACACTTGGTCTCTCTTTTCTCGTATTCCTAGGTACGCGCGCGCTCGCAGCCAGTCAAAGTCAACAACCCTTCCGATACGCCTCAAATCCCGCTGGCAATGCGAACCCGTACGTGGGAGCGGATCGGCAGGCTGCGCAGTACGATGCAGGGTTGTTCTCGCCTGTGGAGACGTTGAGCTCGTTGAGCGCGTCAGATTACACAGTTCTATCGCATCCCGCGTTTTCAAGGCATACTGCCAGAATCAAGAAGGTCTCAGACTTCTGCGATACGACTGTGCAGTGAGCCTAAAAATATCGACATCGCCTGTTCTCACTGCTGAAACCACCTATCGATGAAGGGCGTACTCTGGATATATCGATATCGAGGCGAAACATATATTTTTCTACTTCTTCGAGAGTCGAAACGACCCAGACACAGACGATATCATTTTCTGGACCAACGGAGGTGAGTCTCACTGTTGTGTCAATTGTGCTAGAATCTAATCCAAAGCATCTTATAATAGGTCCAGGATGCTCCTCGGCTATGGGTCTGTTCATGGAACTTGGTTCGGACTGTTCTATATTTTACATTCCGTTTATGCGTTGACAATGAATTCAGGACCTTGTAGGGTAGTCAATGACACCTCCACCGAATTCCACCCAGAGAGCTGGAATTCAAATGCCAATGTATTTTTCGTTGATCAACCTGTTGGAGTCGGCTTCTCGTACGCGGAGTACGGTGAACATGTCGTACGTCTCTTGTGTCATACCCTCCGAGTTTCTTTATATCTGTTCGTTCTGCAGGATACCACCGAGGATGCGGCCAAGGATATTGCTGCATTTGTGGCTATCTTCTTCGAGAATTTTCCTTCATTCAAAGGGCGCGCCCTCCACATGGCTGGTGAATCATACGGGGTAGGTTCAGTGCTTGTAATCATACATTCAATGTATTCACTGGATAACCGAAAAAGGGTCGCTATGTCCCACTTTTTGCTGCACAAGTTTACGACCAGAATGCACAGCTGGTAGCTGCCGGTCTTACTCCCATCAATCTGACATCTGCCATCATAGGTGTGTTTAATGGTGCTCGAGAGTTCAGTTATCGACTGACCTTGCATGTTGTAGGAAATGGTATGACTGACCCATTCAGAGAGGTGGCGTCTTACTACGATATGTCATGCACTGCTGCCTCTGTCCCTCCTGTCTTGGACATCGGGTGAGTGCACTCCGCCAACGCATTCCATTTTCTATATATCTAAAGCAGCGTGGGGTTTGCTTACAGCACTTGTCTTCGTATGAAGAAGGCAGTGAGTATCCATGTATAGCGCAAACACTATTGATTGTTGAATAATCTCTTGATAGCTTCCTCGCTGCGAGAAGTGGCTCAAGGAGAGCTGTATCGACCAATTCGATTCCATGAACTGCGAGGCAGCCTCAAATTTTTGTGACACTGAACTCTCGTCGCCATTCGAAAGTACAGGTGCGTTTCCATACGGTCTAGTGCCACTATGTGAATAACGCATATGTTTTGATAGGGTTGAATTTCTATGACATCAGTCGCCCGTGTGACGGACCAATAGAAGAAACGCTTTGCTATCCCGTCACCCTGTTCGTGTATCACAGACATGCCACTACTTCATGACACAACTCATCGTTCACGCTGTTAGGTCAATCGCAAAATATCTCGACCAGCCCGAAGTCCGCTCGTTGCTTGGCGTCGATCCTGCAGCCGCGCAAAACTTCAGCGCGTGCTCGAACGACGTCGGCACGGCCTTCAACACTGCGCTCGACGCCTTGCACCCGTCGTACGACTACGTCGCGAGCCTGCTCGAGCGTGGCGTGCGCGTGCTGATCTACGTTGGTGCGTACGATTGGATCTGCAACTGGGTCGGAAACGAGCGTTGGACGCTTGCGCTCGATTGGAGTGGGAAGACCGAATTTTCTTCGCGGGAGCTAAGAGAGTGGTCAATGAATGGTGTAGTGGCTGGCAAAACTAGGAGCGCGAATGGCTTCACGTTCGCTACGATAGATGGAGCGGGACATATGGTGCGTCATTCTTGAGAGTGAAATGGGGGCGAGTGCTGACATACTTCTGTCAGGTGCCCTATGATAAGCCGCAGGAAGCTTTGGCACTCATAAACCGTTGGTTAGCGCAGGAGGATTTGTGATAGTGTATACCAATATGGGACTTGCTCGGCGCCATGAGCATGTAGGCCTCGCGATATGTTTGTATTTGGTATATTATCAAATGCATTGTATCTGGAAAGAGATACAACAGCCCTTCATAGAATGAACTTTCACTCATGATGCATCAATCACTCTACGACTATACCCTCGCCCCAAGCCATTTCCAACGCCGCCAAGACAATTCCTTCCTCCACATCGTCCAGCTTCGATGACGTGCCATCTTCTGATACTCCGAGTCTCGGTCCACCTAGGCGAGTTTTGATGAGGTTGCCCAGTGCCCCGCCCAATGCTGCTCGAAGAATTGTATCGGACATGCGCGTAGTCGAGCCCGCCCAAGGTTGCAGACACAGAGAAAAAGAAGCGCACAGGAAGTGCACCGCATCCTTCCGTGCAAGTCGACGAGCACGCGCTTCGCGCAAATTCCTGAGATCCTTGGACGCTGAGGGACGGCGAGAGCCAGAAGCTGAGTCAGAGGAAGAGGAGGAAGGAGAGGGCACCGGGCTTGATGTATCATCGGGTGCAGGATCCGAAAACAGGCCGTTTAGCTCGCTCACAGCCGCCAATGCCAGGCGGTCTTTGAGCGATTGTGTTCGATGAACGAGCTCGTGAACCTGCTGCGGAAATTGGGTTGCGGCATCGTCACATAGGTGGTCTAAGACTGCGAGAATGGTACGTAGACACTGTAGCAGAGCCGATGGCTCCAAAGGCGTGCCGACAGTACTTTGAGATTGAGACGACGAAGGCTGCGTTCTGCTTTTGTGGTGCGTCTGGCCCTTGTCCTTATCTGGTAGCGGCAGAAGTATGCTTGTGTACAGTCGCGTTGCCGAGTTGATGGCCTGGATGATACGAAGTAATATGTGTTCAACGAGCTGCCCCAGAACGGCGTTTAACATCACAGAAAGGTCGTTCCCGATCACGGTTGAAGAAAGAGGCGAGCAGTCGTCTCCCTCAAGGATTGTCGTCCAGGGGGACGTAGTTATCGAGCCAGTAGCCGCTCCCTTCTTTGTATATGCGTGAAGGATAGGTGGCAAGACCATCGAGAGCACATGTGGAACTAGTGTTGTCACCATTTGTAGAACCTCGTGCGGACGTGGAGGCTTATTCAACATGCAATTTTCTGTACAAGATTGAGAAAGAGCAGCGTTTAATACAACCCCAATGCGTTGGAGGGATTGAATCGCAACCGCTACAAATATGGAAGGTGGAGGTAGATCCAAGCCATTTTCACATGTGAGGGAGAGGGCATCCAACGTCCGGAGAGGCTGCATAAAGGCTGAAGAGATTGACAAGGACATGGCAGTTTCTACAGAGCATCGACAGCAAGTCAGCACCATCACGAGTGAAACTTATCTGGAGTGTGTGGGTTCGATGATAACAGTGTACCTGGATACTCGTCAAGTATTCGCTTTGAGCTGAGACTAGACAGGAAGAACGGAGGGCGTATGGGTGTCGAAAACTGATTCTTTTCCGGCACCGACTTTTTTATGCCTTTTTTCTTGGAAGAGATCGTGGTTTGACTCGCGGAACCTGGATGATGTGAGGGATGAGGAGAGTCGTTCAAAGCAGAACGCAGAGCTAGAAGTTCTGAACATTGAACAGGTCATATAAGTCAGCACAAGACGCAAGGAGCTTGTGAATCGTCGGTAGATCCGAACCTATATGCTCAGACTCGGACTGCGAGCTGATGTCGCGCAGTTTGCATTCTAGCTCGAGAGCGCGGGACCTCCATGGGTCATTATGGATGTGACCTGTCTTATCTTCGAGTGCAAAGGAAGTCTGAAGGTCAAGGACATATGCTAGATGTACGGTCATTCTCAATTTGCATGTTTTCAGAAGAAGGCAGAAACCTTGTATAGATTGCGCTGGAGGCCTGAACTTGAGCGCGCAAAGTCCCTGAATACAATTTCTCGGTGAGTTATCAGATCTCCATGCAGATAGAGTTCCTACAATGGCCACGATGACCTGTTGCGCTAGAGATATTTGGGACATGGCTGAACCTGGTTGAACGCAGATGATGTCGAGCGGAGTTGACGTTTACAACGGAGAACTAAGCGCAGGTGCAAATTCCGGCACCTCGCACTGCGTGCACCGTGGGGTTTTTCTCGGGATAAACCGCGGATAAAACCGTGGATATAAATAAAGTTTCTGCTTGGGTTTATTTGCGGAAACTACCGAAAACAAAAACTTAAGGTTTACCTGATATTTTATCACATCCCTGATAAAATATTGAATAAACCTTAAGTTTTTGTTTTTGGTAAGATAGGCCACATGCAAACGTGACTGCATCACGTGGAGTTACTTCTAACGTGACAATTGGTGACCGTTGAGTGACAAAGAACATGTTAAGTAGGTAATCAATAATATTTGTTACTGATAAGTGAGTTGGGGGATAGGAGAGACAGAGAGCCTGCGGCGAGAGACACAACAACATCAGAAAGATATTACTTGATGTTGTCTAGCTGGTCTAAGATGGTGTCTGAAAGTGTGTGATGGCCATGGTAAATTTTTGCTGCCCAACTTGCCTGCTTGCCAGACAATCCTTTTTGATAAGCATCCATAAACCGATGTGCTTGTATTGAGAATCTATTGGCATGGCAAGATAGATATAAAGTTAGCCTTGGTAAAAACTTGCACTCAAATGTAAGGACTCACCATCGTATAGATTGAATTGAAACAGGAGCAAGAGCTTTCTTTACGTTTTGTTCAAGGTCAGCCTCCTTTGAAGAGGGAGGGAAATCTCGGTATATACACTTTGTATGCCCCCAATACTGCTCAATTGGACTGAGCTCGCAGTGAAATTTTGGAAGAAAAATAATTCGAAAACCACAAGCTCAACAATGAGTCTCCAATATAGACTCAACATTCTCAAAGTCAGGCTGACTGTAAAGCAGTTAACGATAGCAGCAGCAAGAAGTGTCATTTGAACACTTGAACCTAGGGCATTCCGCTCGTAATTCTTGAATATCATGATACCTGTGCTCCTCCAAAATCCTTACCATGCCTTTGAAGACACCGGCTGCATGATCTGGATGCTCACCATCAGAAAATACAGTGACTGGGGGTGCCTATTGAACATAGTGTTAACCATCCACACTTTCTCCTTTATAACCTTTCCATCCACACCATAAACCAGCTTTCCATTGGCATCAAGCTTATTCCAAAGGACACCAAAGTTAGAGGGACCAATAGACTTAGAGGGAAATTTGGGCATCTTTTGGGCTGATAGAGCATTATCAGGCCGCTTTAGGTGAGTTGTCACATTGTCAAAAATCAGAATATGTTTGTCATAGGGAAAGTGATCCTTGAGAATGTTCATTGCCTTTGTCGCATGCTCCAAGATATCACTATTTGTGAAATATCCATCACGCGCCTTCCCTGTCTTGAAATAGACTCATGCCTCTACTGCTCCATTAAGCGACTGCAACCAACCATAGTCAGCGGAGACAAAATTGGCCACCATTAGTGAGGCGCCCTCTCCTTTTGATTGTGGGACAGCATTCTCACCGGTGTGAACCCAGTGGACATGCTGTTGATCATTTGCATAGAAGGTCAACTCATCATGATACCAGATGACAGTGCGGCACTCTTGTGGACATGGACCATCTCTCTCCTCTTTAGTACCATCTTGTTTCCACCTGCAAGACATTTCCTCAAATTACGCCATTCTCGGAAGAAAGGAGGTCTGTCAGTACACCACCACATTGCTGTGCTCATGTCCATCAACATACTGGCCTGTAGGGCTCCTTTGCCAGCGATAACCAACCGTGTGCATCCATTGCTGAGCTGTTGCCAATGATATATTCCTCTTCAGTGAGTACCGGTTCTTAATCTCCACACTGTTCACAAACCGGACCACAGCTGCTGCACTGACATATTCACCAATTCCCATCAGGTGTTCATGTATGGCCTTCACAAGATCCCTGGATTCTAGCATAGAAGCATTCCATGAGCCATAGAGATTGAATGGCAGGTTTTCTGGATCATTAATGAAGGAGCAGGACCAGGTACACAGCTTTTTTGCCATGTGAGTGCTTTTTCCATGGGTTTCTGCTGTTTTCACTGAGGCCATCATTCAGCCAAGTTGTCATTTCTTGTCTGCATATGCAGTGAGAAACATCAACATCATTTCCAGCCACCTCCGCAGGAGCTCGTCACCTATAAATGGCTTATGCCCCTTTCTGCTCCAATGAGGGGGATGCAAGATCTGTTTCAGATGACATATTGCAGCATGTGCCTCTTCAATCAATGGCAGGCCAAGGAAAGTGCCGCTATTAGTGGATTCCTTCATCTGGCTTGCTTTGTCGTGCAAATCAAGGTTACTGGGCTGCTCAGGTGAGTTATCGAGCCCTGACATTAAACTGGCACTGACTCACAGGTTCCAAACTTCTTGATTCTGCTTCAACTCGTGGTGCAAGGCTCTCCATGCCTTGACTCAGGCTTAGCTCTGATACCCCTTCCGTCATTCTTCTTGTAGCAGACTTGCAAGATTGCTGGGTGCCGACAATAGCCAAATAGTTCCTTATAAAGCAGCCTTCTATGCCTCTTTCACCCACCGGGATCTGTTGGTAAGAGGGCCTTCATAGAATTCATGGGTGAATTAATAGGTAAGGCTCACATTCTTCTTTTGTTCCGGAAATATCCCTTGACCTTTCTTTGCCCTGTTCCCTAGGTTCTTGATAAATGAAGAGATTAATTGGCGTCGCTTAGGCATTGTTGTGGCGCAACACATGCAACAGCAGCAAGATTTGCAATATACTCCTAAGTAAACATGTTTATGCCACTTCTAGTTAGAGTGACACTCGAAAACATTCGAAAACTATCTCCTTATTGAGTGAGCCCTAATTCAAAAAAATAGCACCAAGCAAATGTCTGTTAAATTGATACAAATGATCTCTTGGTGCCCAATTTCTTAGTTTCTTCTCAGTGAGAGAGAAGATAGCAATTCTTTGCAAAAGTAATGCCCTTCTCCACCAAAAGTGACATCTCTGTGTCATGTGATGTAGCCGTATTTGCATGTGGCCTATTTTAGTTTCTGCAAATAAACCCAAGCAAAAACTTTATTTATATCCATGGTTTTATCTGTGGTTTGTTCTTGGGGGGCCCTAACAGTGTGTGCAGTGTCACCCGCATTGACTTGTCACTGCATTCTCTGAGTCCTATATTCTCAGTGAACTAGCTTTCTACCCATCATGTTGCAACAGTACAACCATGCTTAATCTGAGTTTTTGTCACAGTATTTGGTCTAATGTGCCTATAGAGTTTATAAACTATAAAGTCTAGTGCCCATAAAGTACAGTGCCTGTAAAGTACAGTGCCCATAAAGCCTTGTGCCCCAATATCCCTATATGGCTCTTCTATGATATCCTATAAGGTCCTTTCTATAAGATTCCCATATAAAGCTCCCCATGAGGTCCCATCCATAAGATTCTCCTGTGAGGTCCTGTCCATAAGGCTCTCCTGTGAGGTCCCCTATGAGGTGCTAGGATGCCATTTTGAGCCCCAATGGCTGCTAAGGCATAGCCCACTCTAGTTGCTGGCATTGCCAGGCATACCAAGGCAGACTAGGATACTGTGTGAAACTCTAACAGCTGCCAAGGCATGGCCCACTCCAGTTGCTAAGATTGCCAGGTACAGTAAGGCGCAGCTTGCTCTGCTCACCAAATTTGTTATGGTGCTCACTTCACTTACATGGTTTCTTATATGGCCTATGTGAGCATAAGCAATGATATGTGATCTGAGCCACTGGCCCAGCACCACAATTCTTGTCTATTGCCCTCTATTTATGGATATAGCAGAAATAATAATAAAAAGGCATAATGAGGTGAGAAAAATCCTGATATAGTTCAAAGCCATTAAATATAAAAGCACTTTAAGGAGGAGTCTTGAGAAAACCAATCATAGGACATCCACATTCAACATCTCTGAATATCCTTTCTTTCTACCCTAACAATGATGGTAGACATAGCCATACTTCTCACAATAATATAACATAGTGCTGTGCAGCTTACTTAGTGCCAACCTTTGCTCTCTACTATCTTGGGGATCACCTTCTTGATCATGTCAAGCCAGTCTTGGCCAAGCAGTAGGTTTTGCAATTGAGACTAATGCAATTGCGACAATTGCTGTTCTATTAGAATGCTCATTGTGTATATGTTGATGGATTGTTGTATGGCCTTGATTTTGGTGGCCTTCTAGTTACTGCAGCACTTCTCCATACTAGATACAGGTTCATATGGCCCTTGTGCATTGACTATAGAATACAAGCAGCCCAGGACCCCAGCATATCATGACAGAGGTCCGAATCTACTCAGCCCGAAGGGGAGTCAACCTCCAATGGTGTTCACTTTAACGACAACGATGGTGTATATGCAGATGCAAGATAGTACAATGAGGACAGCCAAAAGTCATGCTGGGTACAAGATACAAGATAGAGATAGATGATTCCAGAGTGCTACTTATGAGAGCGATGACTTTTCTCAAACACGCACCCCCTCATGCCTCTGCCATGGTGACGTCTTCGTCTGCCAACGACATATCTGCATCCTCCACTGCGTCTTGTTCTTGCTGTGACTGATGTTGAGCTTGCTGTAGGCAACGCGCTTGTTCCTCCTCCTCTACCCCGAGAAAATCCAGACATCCGACCCCGCATCCGCGCCACAACAGGGGAACCCGATAGTCCCCAGAACCCACTTTATGGCCAGCGATATACTCGACCCATACAATACGATTTTCCGCGCATTGCGCATACGGAGCGTCGTTCCAAGTCCAATGTCCTTCAGGTAAGTTTTGCCCAACGTCTCCTGGCGCGAGGTGATGTGGCGCGGGGCAGTGACTCATGCCGACCACGGCCTCATCTGCCTCGTCATTGTTCCCAATCGTATCAGGATCAGAAGGCACGTGCGGGATTGCGGGCGGATGCCGCAGTTTTGAAGGAGACGGGAGTGCGACTGCGCCTGGAACAGATGCACTGAGGACTCGCGTAAAGTCCGGTCGGAGGTTCAGCGAATCAAGAAGAGGCAGCTGGAAGTGCTGAGCAAGAATGGACTGTGGGTTGGGGTTCGAGGGCGAGGCGGGCGCAGAGGGCGAGATGAGATATCGGAGGATGAGTTCCGAGAGTGGGGGCACGCGGCCGAGCATGCGGGTGGTAGGCCCTACGATGCGCGTGCGGAGGTGCTTTGCCTCAGCTGGAGAAGGGACAGGGAGAAGGGGATTTGGAGTAACAGAAAGCCTGTCGAGACGTAGAGCAGTCAGTTCTGCCGGGAGGATCGTGATACGATTGTTCGCAACATTAAGTTCGCGGAGGGCACACAGCTGCGCGATCTGGGGCGGGATATAGGTTAGCGCGTTGTTCCCTATATCCGGTGGACGAGCAGATCAGAACAAATTTGGTGGTAAAGAGAAATGCGAGCGGGAAAATCATGGATTAATGCACAAAAGAGAGGTCAGCGAGTAAAAGGCGCACGTAAACTGAGAACGACGAGGTTCTGCAACGAGAACAACTCAGTCGGTAGCGAGCGAATTTGATTCTTGGACAAAAATAGCATCAGACCATGCTGTCCGCCCAGGGGATGCGATGCGGAGAATAACGCCTCGCGCTCAAGCCGTGTCGCTGGGGTAGTGTGGCTACGAGAGAAGGTGCGGATGGTGCGAGCAGGGGAGGGAAAAGCGCCCAGCGCTGGCATGAGCACAAGATTTGCCAGCTCGCCGATCTGAGATGGTATGTATGTGAGACCCTCGCCTCTAGAGATGTCGCGTGCACGTAGGTCAGAAACCAAGATTGAAAAACGGAAGCAGACGTACATGAGGTCGATTCTGCCCTCAGCCGCGTCGATTGCATAGGTGATCTTGTCCTGCCAAATCATCTCCTCCTTGTTGAGCACAGGTGCACGACGTGTGATATCCCAATCCTCATCAAACACGAGCACCCGAGGTGGGGGAACGGGCTTCGTGACGAAACCACCGCGCTCGGGAGACTTGAAGTTGCCATACACGAGAAAGTCGCGACTGGCGGGGCGCTCGTACATGGGCGGGCTGCGCGTCGCGTGAGTCGATCCCGCGAACGGGTGTTCGATGCTGGGCTTGTCGAGACGGGGCTTGTCAGGCTCATCTAGTTCGAGCGGTTCGAGACTCGGCGAAGAGGGTGGCGAAGAGTCTGCACCGCTTGAGCCGAAGGGATCAGGAGACGTCTCAGGGGACGAGGACGGCGACATGAGCGCACGCTCCTCGGCCGTAATAAAGTGGTGCGTTGGGGTTTGTGAGTACATGCTCAGTGCGATGTGGGTAGTTGTGTTGAGTGGCTTGATGAAGAGACAGAAGAGAGAGAGAAAGTAGAAAGGATGAGAACGACACAAAACGCGTAAGACAAAGAAGGTAGAGGAGAACCGATCGAGAGGGCACGCTTGCTTGCGGCGCTCTTGTCCGTGAACGGAGAAAATCCTAGAAATTCATCTCTGCTACTCGATGGATATCCATCCATATTTTAAAAAGTAGGCGCTGTTCGGAGACAAGAAGGATGTTTGGATTATGCAGTTCATGACGAAGAAGCATCGTGCATCATTCTTCGGAGTTCGCGTCTCACAGTGAGTTTTTCATCTTCTTTGGACGATATACCAGTGTGCTATCTCGTGCGAAACGTCCGAGATACCATGCTACTAGCGATGCATGATGGCGACCACGGCCATCTCCTCGATATAACGTCCTCCAAACCTCACCTATTCCAACTCATTTACCCATTGCATAGTCCGCAGGCCTCCGCAGGCCGAGTCCTACTCTCTACACTCTCCTCTGTGTTCAACTCCGTCCATCATGTCTATGGACAGGATAGACTTATAAGCGATGCACTCAGGTGTACTGCTAGGTTGCACTGAGTGCATGCACCTGCATGCCTCCCCAATCTGTACCACAATCGTTGCGTTCTCCTGCTTTCACACCATAACGCGGTCGAGACAAGCAGGGCGCACATTTGGAACGATTCTCTGATCCTCTCTGATCCTTGGTATGGAAATGGGTAGTTGTCTTTATCATTCGCTGAGTCCTGGCCGCTGTGACTAGTGACTCGACCGCACTTGATATTCTGCACTCACTATGTCTGTGAGTCCTTTATCAGTCGGTCGAGGAACTTCCTATATTTAGGGGCACAGCCTGCTGTGATGAGAGGTGTGAAAGTGAACTCATCGTTTTCTGAGCAGCAATGATGTCTTTCGGCGATCTCTCGCAGAGTCGCAGTGCATGTCTGCCAGGGACTGCCCGGGAAGATTCCGCCGCGGCGTTAATAGTAGGTCATCTTCCTACCGTATGCAAAAGCTTCGGTGCTGTTTACATACGACCATTCCTTTTTGATTTTATTTGAATCAAGCACGAACGTTCTCTTGATAACTCCATGTCGTATTCAGTGTGTAGTGTACTCTTGAGGTACTGTTCAGAACGTTTAGGTCTGACTGTCCCCAATCCGGCAACCTCAGATTTGAAATGGCCACGCGAGAAATTTCCCGATCTGGATGTAATCTCGTTTTTGAGGTCTGTTTCTTCCCCGGCTTTGCAAGCTTTCTCTCCCTCAGCTTGCGGCCATGACCATCGCAATCGTTCCCACCCATGTGTCTGTCTCTTCCGAGCATGAAAAATCCAACCGTCCCGCAAATTTGACTCCGTCAAGGGGCAAGACCGATGCAAAGAACAGCAAGCGAAGAGACGAGGGCGAAGATTGTACGTCGATCCATACCATGGTGAATGATTGTGTGACAACTAAGCATCTCTTCAGGCAATCAGAAGGATGACGACTCCAGAGAGAGAAAGCGCAGGAAACGAGAGGAGAAAGACAAGAAGCGCAAGGAGGCTGACGTTACAGTTGCAGGTGTGTTCTACTAACGTCTATATCTGCATACCTTCGTCGCGCTCATGCAATGGTCAGATTCACCACAATTAGAGGATGAGGACGCAGAAAAGCAGGAGCGACGGAAGAAGAAGAAGGAGAAGAAAGAGAAGAAGAGAATAGATGCGTCGGGCCATGACGAGAGTGAAGAACCTGCCGTCTCTCTGGACACATCTCGTGCGTTTCGCCTACTTTTTTTTTCTCATTTAAGTCACACTCATATGTGTAGTCATAGTGTCTGAAAAGAAGAAGAAACGGAAACGCGAAGAGAATTCTACGCAGCCTGAAAATTCAAAAAAAGACGAGAAGAAAAGGGAGAAAGAGCACAAGAAGCGACGCTCTGAGCCCACTTCTGGAGCAGATCAAACCCCCTCTAGCTCGACTGCAACGTCATCCGTACTTTCCCCTCCCGCTGACACAGCCTCTCCCACTGTCATTGAAGCATACCTTGCTGAACACTCTATTACTCTTACCATCCCTCAAGGCGGAGCACAGGTTGTTCCTGCATTATCATTCTCTGCGTTACAAATTCCCAGTGCTCTCCAGAGTGCATTTGCAGGCTTCGATAAGCCAACCCCGATTCAGGCATGTACGTGGCCTCCAGCAATAGATGGCCGGGATGTAGTAGGTATCGCAGAGACCGGCAGGTAATTTTACTATGCATCCCCTTCTATTCTGTCCACTAATCTTTTTCATCAGTGGAAAAACGTTGGCTTTCGGTATACCCGCCCTGGGGCGTCTCATATCGGCGTCCACAAGCAAAAAGACAAAGATAAAGCATCAAGCGCGTGTCCTTATCCTCGCACCGACACGCGAATTGGCCATTCAGACATACGATACCCTCGTTGCGTTAGGCTCCTCTTCTAATGTTGGATGTGTAGCAGTCTACGGCGGGGTTGACAAGGTCCCTCAGATACGAGCGCTCAAATCGTCCAACACTCACATCATTGTCGGTACACCTGGTCGGATTTTAGATCTCGTGAGGGAGGGGTCTTGTGACCTGAGTGGAGTTGATTATCTGGTTCTGGATGAGGCAGATCGCATGCTGGACAAAGGTTTCGAGAATGATATTCGAGCTATCATCGCGTATACGAAGGATTCAGCGGATCGACAGACTCTTATGTGTAAGCGATTCACCTCAGTTATCCTACCATATCCAACTTATCGAATAACAGTCAGTGCAACATGGCCGGATTCTGTCAGGAGATTAGCGGCATCCTTTCAACGCAATCCTGTCAGAGTCACGATTGGAAGCGACGATCTGACAGCCAATAGTCGTGTGGAACAAGGTGGGAGATTTGAATCTACGACGTTGGTACAGCATCTCATTTGATCAGTTGTTGAGGTGTTCGATGATGATCGGGAAAAGGAGTGAGCAGCTCTCTATTCAAGCTGTTATCGACTGCTCCTAAACAGTCCACTCTTACAGCTCTCGTCTCGTCAAGCATCTCCGGCACCTCGCTCCCAATAAAAGCTATGTCATTGATCCGGAAGCGGAGCGCATCCTCGTCTTCGTCCTGTACAAGAAAGAGGCTAGCCGCGTCGAGAGCACTCTGAAGAGGATGGGATATACCGTCGCTAGTATTCATGGGGATTTGTCCCAGTCAGCGCGAATGCAGGCCCTGCAAAGCTTCCGTGACGGCGCTACCAGGCTCCTTGTCGCGACAGATGTTGCAGCGCGTGGTTTGGACATTCCAAACGTCGGATTCGTCATTAATTATAGCTTCCCTTTAACCATCGAGGACTACATCCACCGCATTGGCCGAACAGGTATCTGGTCTCTCTGTGCTTTTAACAATAAAAGTGGATGCTGATTGTGGTTCCAATAGGTCGTGGGGGTAAGAATGGGAAGAGTATTACCTTCTTTACCGGCGACAAACACGAACGTGCATTAGCAGGAGAGCTTGCGCGTGTTCTGCGCGATAGCGGATTCGATTGCGAGGGACTCCAGAAGTTCCCAATGGCGATCAAAAAGAAAACACATAGTGTTTACGGGGCCTTCTTCCGTGACGACGTGGACATGACCGTTGTTCCGAAGAAAATCGTCTTCGACAGCTGAGTAGATGTCGGTGCCTTGGAGCCTTTACCATAGATTGTGCGGAACCTAGGGGTTGCGAATCATATGTGCTGGGTTTCCGCAGAAGGCTGGTAAAGTTTGATCAAGGCAAGGGTATTGTCCAACGAGTGTGCGCTCGCTCTTCGCTTAATCCTGTTGGCTTCTTTGTGGGTGTCATCCTGAGTGCTTCGTGAATACTGATCTGCCTCTGTAAGTAAGCGCGTGTGTGAGGATTTTGTTCTAGAATATCTCAGGCCCTTTGTAGGTTCTAGAAAGCTCCATTAGTCCACAAACAGCCGTGGACCATCAATTAAATTCGGGAGGGTTAGGGACCGCAAGTCCCCGTTCTATCATGCACGTTACATCTCAGTCTGGTAATGCCGTTGCGTCCTAGCTAACATGGAAGCTGGGGAGGGGTAACGGTATGCTAGTTCGCCTCGTTCTCCGCAGCACCTCCGTCTAACCGATCTATAAGTCTCCATCAAGGTTGACAGTCTGCAAGTTATCTCTCTCTCGCGCGCCCGTCCAGCAACCATGCCTCCAAAGTCTTTTATCGCTTCTAGCGCAGATACGGCCATGTTAAATGCATTACACATTTTCAATCCCGAGCGCCTTGAAAGCAATGAGGATATCAGTGCCGCGATCGAAGTCTTGGAGGGAACCATCGACCCCTCCAACATTGCCGTCATCGTGGCACATGCAATGGAGCGACCATTCGCTCTAGAGTTTATCGTTTCAGGTGAGAGTATTTGGTGACTTTGTGCAAATTCACTCTACTCACTTTTCAACAGTAATCTCAAAATATACATTCACGTTCTTGTCCCAGTGGACGGTCGCACATTTCCCCACAACCTTGGATGACTATATTTCAAAACCCGTTTCTGTTCAAGCCTTGATCCGTCTTCATCTATCTTTGTTTTCTTTGCAGCTCTCGGACGCTCACGAATCTACCAGCTTGTGGGAGTACATGCGAGCAGTTGAGCTGGCTCAGCCAGTTCTTTGCGCACTCCCAGATATCGTCAAGGGAACCGACTTCCTCTCTGATACTACCACGTCGAACAGAAAGTCCGGGCCTATGCGACAGCGCAAGATGTCTAAAGCAGCTTCCCAATCGAAGGTCATGGTCGATATAAAGCCCTTCCGTGATCTGGATATACAAGTGCCTTCAGACGCAGCCGCTGCACTGGAATTGGCTGTCAACATTCTGTCTAATCAAAAGAGGATATTGGAGGTATCAAAATCTTGATCTGTTCATCGATGCCGCGAGGGTGATGTGTCATAGTATTTTCTAGACGTATTTCGCCGTCCTGGCCTTTCCGATACCCTGAAAGACATGTATATGAAACCTTCAACCAGCGTACCGAGTGTTCCAACTCAACAAACAGATATACCGGTTCTTCTAGATAGTCCGATGGTCGAGTCACCGACCGATGTACCTCACAAATCCGCTGATCAAACCCTCAAAGCGGCACTATACTATCAAAGCGCAGACGGCTTCGGAGAGTGGAGGATCTTTCTGAGTGACAAGGCAGCGAAGGACCTTCGTCAGCTACGCAAAGGAGATGCAAACATGTTGAAGATTGTGGTGAACAAGCTTAGGTATGCATCGTCATGATACTTATAGATGTGAAGATAACCCTAAGAATTTAGGGAATTATCGAATGGTCGATTTTCTGAGACGAATCAAAAGAAGATTACGGGTTCGCAAGTTCCTCTCCCGGTATTTGAGGCTAAGCTTCCGGGCGATAATCGAATAGTAGTGCGTCCGAGAGTATGACTTTTGCATGGTTTACTAAGGACATCGTCCTCCAGTACCAGGTTGATTTTGTCCAGGAATATGAGGCGCAGGTAGGTGACCTAAGACATTCCTCAAAGCATGCTATTAAAGAATTACTTAGTTCGGTCACCAAGGTACTTGCGCATCATCAGAGGCGTTCTGTAGCAGTCGATAACATTGTCATATCGCAGTACTCAACATATACGGGATCGAAAACCACGCATATATCTCTCGCCAATTTTGGGACAAATTCGCCAGAACTAAGGCGCACATCAAAGGTTCCGGTTACTCTGACTTGTATGCTCCATATCCTATCTCCTCTCACAATATGTACACAAAAGAAATCCCAGATGCAGGCTTCGAGATCATCCTCGGCACACGGGCGACGATATTTTCTCTCCCATGACCATACCCGTCCCATTGAAAGAGGAATTAGGCGGCGAGGTGCCTTTAGAGATTGCCGATATCAGTACAAAAGACCTTGCTGACGTACGCTGCCTCACTTTGATAACCAGTCAAGGAATAGAGCGCTAACATGGCGCTTTTGTGACTCTAGTTTCACTCGTTATTAGTGTAAGTGATCGAGTAGCCTTTGGTTGACGTGCCGATGACTCACGGACATGCTTAGTCTCGACAAATACGTTGCAGTGTCGCGGGTCAGCCTTACCTAGTCTTCATATCACAGAACACTCATAGCTAACACTATCATAGAATGTGCTGACTGGTGAGTCAATGTAATTGAGTAATTCAATCATTTTCACGGCTTCAAACAGGCTTGCTCCTTGATCAAGAACATGAGGAAGAGATTGCACACATCTTTCGCGTATCGTGGGTATCACTGATTGCCATATTCCATTTTGTTAACAATAATTCCTATAGGCCTCGTGAGCAGGAAATTATTGAACATACGGGCTCTTGCTATGTGCTTGGACGAAGTGGCACCGGGTATTGTATCATTCAGTTCCATCTGTCCATAAATTCTGATGCCTACGAGTAGCAAGACTACCACCATGTTGTTCAAGATTTTCGGAATCGAGCGCGCATGGATACAGTTGGGCTGTTACGGCCCTCGCCCTCGGCAGATCTTTGTGACCAAATCGCGAGTATTGGCAGAGAAAGTTGAAGAGTATTTCCAGAAATTCGTCCGGTCGCTTTCGCAGGAATCCGAAGCAGTCTCTCCTCTCGTCAACGATATTCTGCGGCGGTCCACGCTGCGTGGCGAACGTGGGATGGTCAATGTTGAGGAGGACATTGCGTGGCGTGACGATCTGCCTAAAAAATACAGCGAGCTCGTGGACGCGCACTTTCCGTTGTTCATCACATTCGACAACGTGAGTCAGTTCGGTTTTATCCCGACTGTATCTTATATGCCCCGGAACATGCTTGACAGCTCGCTGCGATGGTCGAGGCAGACATTCAGAACACTGCTTGCTCGCCCTCTGACGGTCGGAAGAAAAATAGCGTATCCGCTGATTCTGACAATCCATTGTTCATGTCGTATGAGATTTTTAGAGATGAGTATTGGCCCCGTTTCCCTTACCACGTTCAGAATGAATTCGGTAAGTCGGGGTCCAATTACTCTTCAAGTGAAATTATATTCTCATGTTATTATCAGCACCGTCCTTGGTCTTCGGGGAGTTCATAGGTGAGAAAATTAACCCGATGAATGTAAAGGAATATAAACTCGCTTTTCTAGGGGTTATAAAGGGGTCGCAAATGACGCTGGGGCATAAGAACCGCGTACTTGATCGCGAGGCTTATATTAATCTGAGCCCTCGTACACAGCCAATGTTTGCAGACAAACGCAACGCGCTGTACGATCTTTTCGAGTTGTACAAGGCCGAGAATAGACGTCGAGATGAGTTGTACGTGAAGCGCAAGGTCAAGAATCGTTATCGGGATGCGGCTGATAGGTAAGGTCATTTTGTCATTTTTTACAAGGCATCTTGACTCACTGTGGACCAGGACTCATGCTCTTCTGGATGCAATTCGCGACCATGAATTCCCGGGAGAGAAAGTCGACTTCATGTAAGCGCATCAATAACAATTCGTTACAGTGAATCCGACTGACTCGTCAACCATAGCTACGTGGACGAAGTCCAAGACCTTCTGCTGATTGATACATTATGCAAGTGGTCGTCTTTATGTTCATGTCAGTCGGCAAAAAGGCTGACCTTGTATTTTAGTCCTGAGATGGATCTGCAAGAACCCTAACGGTCTCTTCTGGGCCGGTGACACTGCGCAGACAATATCATTCGGAAGTGCCTTCCGTTTCGATGACTTGACGTCATTTTTGCATGTTGTCGAAGTGAGTTGGTCCTATTAGGGATCCTATTTATATTCAAACAATCATTATAGAAGCAGAGCGAGAGTAATATAGCTCAAGGACGTCCCTCCACACAGAGGCCAGAGTTTTTCCAACTTCTAACTAATTATCGGTCCCATGCTGGAATTGTGAACTGCGCACACTCTATCATCGACTTGATCAAGGAATTTTGGTATGATTCGATCGATATTCTTGGCAAGGAAAGAGGTATTGTCGACGGTATGAAACCTATCTTCGTTGACGGATGGGATGCGACCCAATTCAAGCTCTTCTTTGTCGAGAATAAGTATGTCTACCTTACCCACAAATTTATCCGACTGCTGAAAGCTTGAACAGAGATCAATCAGCGCGAGAACTAGGGGTGCATCAGTGTGAGCAACGATGTAATAATAATGTTCTGCCGATTTCGCATACCCAATCGATTTTGTCCCTTAGGTATCCTAGTCAGAGACGATGATGCGCGGGAAAAACTTGAGGGATTGATCGGTGATGTGGGGATAATTCTGTGAGTGACCCAAAGGCCTAAGTCGTCAGAATCTGCGCGGATTGTTGATTGCTTCCCCTGATCACACAGGACATTATATGAGAGCAAAGGATTAGAGTTTGACGATGTACGCTTTGGCATATCAAGAATTCGGTCTGGCATTGATAGAATAATGCTTTGTTCGACCTAGGTTCTACTTTACAACTTTTTCGAAGACTCTGCCGTCGATGAAAATCAATGGCGTCGAGTCATCAAAGCAGCTCAAGACGGCCCCCATGCCTGGTCGTATCGCTCTGCGGTTGGGACTAGTGCTCCAAGTGTCGGAATCGAGGTTTGTGTTGAACCTTCCATATGCGGTAGAGCTGTGCTCATCATCTACCATAGTTGAAATTCCTCTATGTTGCCGTCACCAGGACCCGGAAGAAGTTGCTGTTTGTTGACCAGTCCAGCATCGCACGACCCATTAAGGTAAGCACCTCGAGCACATATCATTTTCGTCGATACACGCCTACATCAGCTTTTAGCAATACTGGGTTAACAAGGATCTCATTGACATTCAATCGCCCGAAGATACCCTTTCAGAATTTGCCTCCGCCTCAAAACCAGAGGAGTGGGTTGAGCGTGCGAGAATGCTGTTTTCACGTCATCAATATGACCAGGCAACCAAGGCCTTCCGCCGTGCAAACCTGCCTCGCGAGGCCGCAATCGCGAATGCCTACCAACTCCGGGTTCTCGCGCAACGTGACACAAAAACTAGTGTCCAGTCATTCTGTCGGGCTGCTGATGCCTTTATCGCATGTGCGTCAGATTCGAGCAACGAAAAAGAGATTAAGAGCTTTTTCCAGGTCGCTGGCGACTGCTATCTGAAGAGCAAAAAGTATCCTCAAGCAGCAAAGGCATACGAGAATGCACGTCTTTTTACTCAGGCTATATCTTGTTACCTGGCCGCACGTTTACTGGATGAAGCTGTTTCCGTATTTAAAATGCATGAGGAAACGGTCGAAGCCGGAGTAGCGGAACGCGTGAGGAACATTGCCCGCTGTGCATACCTCAACGAGCAGAAGCACAGGTATGGTTTCGATGAACTGTACGAATTCTTTCTTCTCTGATACCCGGCTTCGTACAGACAGGCATCGGAACTTTTTCAGAACGAAAATGAAATGGTTCAGTTCATGGAGGACCTTGGCTTTGACCATGCTCATGCCGTGTTTCTAGAGCAGAAAGGTGACATCAAAGCTTCTGCCGAGCTCTATTGGAAGGAAGGCGATATTCTTCATGTGATCGAGCTACTACTCAAGGACGGCAAACATGTAAAGCAAGCACTTAAATACCTGCTAAGGGCTCTGTGGAAACATCTATCCTTTGGAGTGCGCTATGTTCCTACACAGGATCAAACCCCATCAAGCTTTGAGCTTGGAGAACTTTTCTCGTTTTTAGATCGACTACCCCAGGATGAGATGAGCACTCGAGAGATAGCAGAGGTACTCTTCCCTACTGAGAACTACCGCCAGGTTTGACTGATACCAACCCGCTGTATAAGGTCAACATGTTCAAAGCAATTCGTGATTCCGATATGCAAACACTGGAGCATTTAGCAGGAGTGTTGTGTCGAAGTGACGTTGTCGAACCTGCCGCAGTGCTCTGCCTTGATCATTTTTTTAGCCAGCAGTCCTCATTAGCAATGGGTACTCAAGAAGAAACCAACATCACTTTGCAAATGTTTCAGAACTATGTTCGACTCATGCGGGAGGTCATCATGCTGCCAAACCCCGTAGACTCGGAAGTCGTACAAAAGCTGTTTGCTATCCGACCAAGCTCCGTACAGGACCAGCTCATTCTACCGATGGGTACCTTTATGTGGAAACACTTCACCGAGGGCACTGTTCACGCATCGCAGACCCAAGATATGCACATCTTGCCAGGTCTCTTCAGGCAGCGATTTCGCCGGAGTCTCATTCAAAGGCTCCGAGTTCTAGTAGAATCCGAGGATCGCAGCTGTCTTAAATCTACGGTATTCTCCCCATGCTTAAATACCCTCCTTGGACGCCGATGTTTTAAGACAGATTGTCCCTATGCCCACGAGCTAGATGAAATATGGTATACTCGCAGGGTGCGATTTCATCTACAACAGATTTGCATCTTGCATATCTTTCAATCCCTCCACGATGACAGCTTCCGCGATCGGATTCGGCGGCAAAGGTCTGTTCGAGTACAGATGCTCGTACAGCGAACAGATATTAACATTGTTATTGTCAGACTCTGGATCAATCGCCTCGATGATCTGTTTCATCCTTTGTCCTACCATTGTGGTTCTGCATCTACACTTTGCGTTGATGACATCCAAGAAGCACGACTCGCGTTTCAGTGCATTAATCAATGGGTGACAGATATCTTGTTCACCCTCGAACCCAACCGCGAAACACTACAGAGGCCATTCTTGACAGATTTCTTGAAAGCTTTCGCGGTTGGGTATGCCTTGAGCGGGAAAAGCGTTGATGAATGCCTTGACCGCGTTCCGTGCATTCACTCCCCGCACCAAAGACACCCTCTATTACTCATAACTGGGAAGAGTTCGTCCTACGCTCTCCACAGGCTGGTGGCGTTCATGAGAGGGAGTGATGATGGTCTCTATCGGGGCGCTTATTTCTTGAGGTCAGTGGTCAAGATTTGAACAGGTGTACAAGGCTCTGATGTCATCAACATAGCCTTGTTGTCGAGCATCGAGTTCCTGTGCATATCGGGGCTACATGCCACCTACTGGATCGCATCTGTGGATTGTTTGCTCTCGTACATTACTTCCAGTCTAGGAAAACACTAAACGGCATAACACTTCCGCGTACGTGGCTGGTGGAGCTCTGGCAAGACTTTGAAATTTTTAAAAATAAACCGAGCCGAGCTTATCGATCAGTTGTGAAACCTATTGAGCAACTAATGGAGGACATATACTTGCAGGCCTACAGTGATCCTGGTGAGTATTGCTCGGGTATCTTGAATATATCTGATGTATCGAATGTTATGTAGAAGTATATCGCAAGTCTCTTGATATTCCCTGGCATGCTGCTAAGAGCATCTGTCTGGCGAGAATGTAAGTAGCTCACACTGCACATGAACACTATCAAGTTATTCAGTATTCAAAAACTTCACGCAGCTGCAAAGCCGTTTGCCTACGTGAGCAGACGCAAAGGCATGGCTGAATTTATTTGTCTGCTAAATGTGACAATTATCAGTGGGGTATAATATTAAAGACTTAACTCTACGGCAAAACATCGTTCGAGCTCTGAGTTCATTAAGAGTCAAAGATCCTACAAGGGTCTTTGATTCTGTATATGCACCGTTCGTCTCTGTTCTAATTGACGTCTTTCGTTTCTTATATCCTCAAATAGATATGCGATGGCAAAAAACTGGGACGATTCGGCAAGAACCATTCGAGTCTCCACGATGAACTCGCCCTTCGACGAACTGGTACAATTATTCTCCGCACAGTCTAGCCAGCCTACCAACGCCCTGCGTGGTATAAGGCGAGTTGTTTTCCAAAGGCACGAAGATATTCCTCTACTGCTTGACCCCCCACCGCATACTCGACTGCCAACCTTCATGGGGGTCAGGACGCAAGCGTCGTCCACTTCGAATAATAATAGCGATCTGGGATCTACTGTTTCAATGCCATCAGAAATGGCTACGCCTTTCATAGCGCAGACGGACGAAGACGCGGAATATAGCGCCGATGCTAATGATGCCGACGAAGTTGCGACCAGTGTGTCAGAAGAATCTGATATTACGGACCATGTCGATACAGCCGCATTCTTCACGGGCACATCCAAAGAACAATTGGAGGCAGTTGAGCGGGTTCAGCAGGCTTTTCGGCGAAAACTCAAGCGTAGGAATGCGGCCGCAAGGGGAGGCTTTTCAGCGTCACGAGCGCGCTTTTTCGATGCTTGTCTCGACCAGGTCCGTGATGTGGACTGGGCACCTAGAGCACCCTATCGCATCGTATATCTAGGCTTACTCCCTCACATCCTACTCTGTCTGGAATGGCTCAAGAGATCAGCGACAGAACTAAGAGAAGGAGTCAAGAAGAAAAGGACCCCGGGAGTGTCCACGGACGAGTTAGAAAAAGGTTGGAGAGATATGACCATGGCAAAGTGCGTTGTCTCTTACGAACCTTTTGGAACATCTGAACTCAACTGTCCGACTTTGGCAGAGATATTTTGGACCATGTAGAGCGACTTCTCGAGACGTTGGAACCAAAATCCTCCTTCCATGATACGCGCGATTTGGATCAGTTCCGTCACTTCGCTGAGGAAGTCAAAGGGTTGATGGACAAGTTGTTAGGATCAAAGCGCATGCCAAAGGAGGACATAGAGCTAGTTATGAAGGGCCTATCTCCCGCGAAGACTCGACGCATACGACCGGAGAAGCCTGAACTGAATGTGGAAGACTTGGATATGTAGGAATGTATATATGGCGCCAAGTAGCGTGACACGCACTCGAAACACTTCGTGTCTTGAAAGAGAGCCTTGGCAAGGTTTCCTAAGGACTAGTAGGTGTCAGTCTGTGTTTGAGCACATTTAACAGGGCTATACCTCAGCATGTCCACGTTCCTTGCCACGCCGTAACCCTCTTCCAAGGAAGGAGACGTATATCATACCATGCTCGGAACCAAATCCATCTACGAAAGCTCTTCAAGCGGAAGACTGGCTAAGACTAGCCGTGCCAGGCACGTGGATCAGATATGCGCGCATGTTTCAGTACGACGGGACATCATCTTCAGTTTGCACACGTCTTGTCCTACTATTCTTATCCTCTCCAAGGTCGAACAGGATACAACCAAATGAAATCCATGTGCTTTCGCATACGCCACGCCAGTGCAGAGTATGCAGTATTCGACTGGCGTCATGGTGAACACTGCCCCGTTGACCGTAAACTGTCCTATGTCACTCACAATAGGCATTCCTGTTATGATGCCTCCCCGCTCCAGGCGCAGTACGCTGAAGCGTACGATGCGGATCAACGATCCGTAGCAGATTATGAGGCCACTCATGGACCTCAAGAGGATTCAAGTACCGCCGACACCATCGACGGCACTAAACTCCCTATGTGGCACCAACCAGTGGCACTCTATGGTGCGTGAGGTTACAGAACTATGATGTCGAATCTATTTACCGTGATCATACAAATCCTCGCTTCAGGATACCAAGAGCCAACCTTACCGCAATATCCCAGGACAGATACGCCACAATTTGCCACCGCTGCGCATTCCATCAAAGGAGCGGCGTATCAGATGTCCATCCCGAGTTCCGAGGTCAGTTGAGTGTTTTTATTCGGGACTATGGTCTGATACTCTGCAACAAATCGCGACGCGACGAGCAGAAGCAGACATTGTTCGCGACGGCCCGTTCACAGGTCATTCAACTTTCAGAGGAAACTGTGACACTGTGCACCCGGGGAAGTATGGCCGAGGTGCACGCTACGCCGAGGATAAAGCTCCCATCATGGCAGCGAACTGAAGGAGGCCATACAATCCATAAATACATTCAACAACGGGCACAACAAGGATCGCTCCCCCGTGGAGCAGGCATCTGCTGAAGTTGTTCTAGCGTCGACTGTCGAACCTAGCACGGATGCTGCCAAGGCCAACTTCGACGCCAAGTGCTCAGCCTGTGAATGGACCATAGATCTGTGAGAAGGGTGGAGTTTGCCAGTCACCTCGCACGACACAAGACGACGATCCCGGGCCATGACGAGTATGCAGGCCCGCCGTCTGCGTGTGTGGAGCGAAGTTCCGTCGCGAGGATGGTGCGATATTCCACTTCAGGAAGTGGTGTCCCCTCCGTCCTAGGTAGTTTACGAGGTCAGTGTCGCATCGCGTGTGAAGTTGAGGTGAAGAGATAGTGAAGAGATGGCAGGTGCTGAGGGCATCGGGGATGCACTATTTTCACACTATTATTTCCTGCCTCTCCCTCTCTTCTCACCCACCATCGATTTCCCTGATCGTTCTGAATAGTTGATATGCCTACACTTTCCTATCCCGTCTTCGTCTCGCGATTGCTTGCAATTGGATTACTCTTCTATTCTCGGAAGTCAGCTATCTGCATTCTTGGTTTCGATGATGCTCACTACCTACGAGGGCCTTTGATCGTGTTTCTCAATCATAGCATTCTTTGCCTAGGCAGTCATGCAGTAGTCATGCATGTTGTGAGAGGGAAGCGTCGCGAAGCGTGAGAACAGTGTGAGAACTCAGATGGCCATGCACTTTGCTCTAGTTTTGCTCTAGTTTGCTATCTTTTCCTCCTGCGGCAACACCGATGGGTCTATCATCTCAGAAGGCTAGTTCACATCGTAAGTCCAGTATGCAATATCAGTCTACAGATTTGACATCATGTTCTCCTGCTGGGCCTGCCTTGAAGCCTGTTTGCTTCGTCCAAGGATGCTACGTGATCACGATAGAATAGATCTATGATTGAACGGCACATACAAGTTGTACTGACCAGGAAAAACCTACGCTTTATTCTAACAAAGACGAAGATGACAAGGAACCTGATCGATTAGGATCGATGAGAGAAGGGGCAAAGAAAAGGAGGCTATGATGCAGTAGGGTGCGTCTGTGTTATACGATGTTGACAGCTAATCTTCTCCCTACACTCGCGATTGGCATCGACCGAGAGGCACCACGGGTCTTCACACCCAAGAACGAGGAGGGCCGGTGCACTTTTTGGTCTTCAAGTGCTTGTACATCCCATCTCGACGAGAATACTCCCGTCGACAGACACAGGTGACAGGGCCCTGGTATGCCGTGTGACCGGGGGTTGTCCGCTCGTGTCGAACCAGATCTCCATGATGACGATAGGCCGTGCGATGCTTCGCGCAGATATGTGGTCTAGCGTCGTCACGCTCTCTCGTTGGGTCTCGAGTCTTTGTCCGTCCCCTCGCCGAAATTACCATCATTTTATTCGGCGTTCGATTGTCCATGGATGTAGCAAGGCAAGCTGGCGAAGCATAAGGTCCGGCAGTGGACACTGGTATAGCTGCAGCGAACGGTGGTTCTATCGGGAAATCATTCCCATCGTGCCCGTTGCTGGATATGTTGGTGTTCCGTTGTATGGCCCTGACCTTCGCTAGCCTTCCGGGTGCGAATTGCCCTCCGGGAGCCGCGTTCGCCTCAGCCATACTGTCTCTGCGGCACAGTGGACTCATGGTTGTCTCAGACAACCAATTCCGCGAGTCGCTATGGACAGTTATTGGATCCTGTCTCCCACCTGAGCGCTATGGTAGACTGTTAAGTCCATTTAGTCTGTATGACTAATGACAACACTCACGACAATTGCTTGGGCGGGATCGGACATCGAGTAATGCGTGGGTGGCCGAGGCCACCATGAAGTCGAGTCGGATGCCCCCCACAAATCCGTCAAGGTAAGTGGATCCGGTACTTGAACTGTAAGACAGTGTTTTATATGCGAGCAGCTCACGATGCAACATCGCCGATTGTACGCACCAATGGGAACTGACTGCGTGTCGACCAGGCCCAATGCGGCGCAATTCTCGTCATATATGGAGAACCCAAATCCCATACTGAACAGAGGTTCAGGTCCGAGTTCAGAATCTCTCTGTCCTTCGAGAAAGCTGGGACTCTAGAATAGAGACAACAGTGAGTGACGTTGCTTGTCCTGATTGTGGCCCAGGTTGACAAGGCAGTCTATGTTCAGCAGTAGATTCAGTGTACTGTACTTACCAACCCTATTCGATCCTGAGGACCCTGGTGAAGTGCACGGCGAACGGAAGTGCAGTCCCCCCACTGGGGGCCATCCATACACTGAAAGGTGGATGTATCGTATAAGAAATTCATCGTCAATTTTGTCCGATGCGTTTCCTTCAAGACAACGCAAGATGGAGTGGGTGCTCGGAGACTGGGGGTAGAAGCGGGGTAGTTGTTTGCGACTAGAGACGGGTGCCCCTTCGGCTTAAATATGTCCGCCCATGAGCTCCGTGCATCTGGCGCATATTTTTTGCCGCTTCTTGATCTGGCTCACATCCTTCACTGATGGGAGATAGCGCCATTGGTTTGTGCATATCATGATGTAAATGAGACAACAATGCAACTTCTCCTTGCTTCTCTCGGCTCCATCACTCTACGCTTCGACCTTTGTGTCCATATCGAGAAGGAGGTGGCAAGAAACATGAGGTTGGTTCAGTAAGATCATGCTCTCTCATTAGTTTCAAAACTGGCTGATGCATTGGAGAGCACGGCCCTACGTCGCTGCCAACAGCGTCTCGTCTGCCTACGCCGGGAACATCCAAAACAGTCAATGGGTTGCTCCTAGATCAGTACAGTCAACTGCACGCAGTCAGTGCGCTCGCCCTTTCACCATAATGCGATTCGATGCATGATGATGTCGTAAAGCGCTGGCGAGAAGATGGCGAGAAGAGATGAAAGCCTCGTAGCGATAGCAAGGGACAAAGGGAGGGCGTGGTATTGTATTTTTGTGTACGTACAAGCACTGGCAAATGAGGAATCAGCATCAGTCGCCACCGCTTCTCGACATGAAAATCGTGCAAGACCGCTCATGTACATGAACGAGATCCTCAAAGATGAAGCATCCGAACGAGTTCTTTACACTCATTGCTTGAACCTGATATCGCGCTGCGATTTTCGAAGCGTACGTCATAATGCATAATGGGCGAGGCAACATTTCGAAGGGTCCTTTTGCCAACAATCTTCACAGGCGAGGCGAGGAATGAAATAGTCTATCAGACCGGCAGATCCAAGAAGAATCACCTCGTACTCTGGAGTCTCATACTATTCGTATCACCCATCAAGGCCAGACAGGACACGAACCTTTCACACAACCCCCTGGCGATTCACGGGCCACGCCTCCGAATGAACGCATAGGTATCCCACATTGGCGCAGAGTATGCAGTCTTGCTGACGCTATGGTGAGCGCAATGGCTTTCGACTGTTGAGGTGAATAATCCCATGAGCCTCATGTTGGAAATTGTCCGATACCACCCGCGATACGCATCTCCATATGATGCCTCTAGGTGCAGTGTGCTGAAGTGTATGATACAGATCCACGAGTCGTAGCAGAATATGGCCTCAAGAAAGTGCCACTGACCCCATGATGCACTGAGCTCTCTATGTGACGCCAACGAGTGGCGCCCTACGGTGCGTTAGGCCCACGCATCATAAGAATATAATGTTCAGTCTACCTACCTTGATCTAGCAAGCTTTGCTACAGGATACCGAGAGCCAGCCATATCACGGTATTGAATGGCAGATATGCTACAATACAGTGCCACTTCGCCGTATTTCAGCGGCGATGCGTTATGTCAAATGCCCTCCTCGAGTTCTGAAGTCAGTTGGGCATTCCATCCCAAATGATATATTCCTAATATACTGTAAAGCACGACGCGATAGCGGAGCACCAGGCATCTGTTGCGATGGCGAGTCCACAGGACATCCAGTTGTCCTAGAGAAGGGTGATGCCGCACAGTTGGGAGAGAATAACCCAGGTGCGCGCTACACAGGGGGTAGAGCTCACACCATTACAGCGCGCTGAAGCCGAGGTCATACGTTTCAGCACTAAGATATCCAACGACGGGAGAGCATGTTTTTTTTTTACCGTGCTGCATCCATCTGCTGGGGTTGTAGTAGCGTCGATTGCAGAACATGGCCAAAGCTTTTGATTCCTGGAAGCCAAATGCCAGCACTGTGGAACATGTCTTGTGTCTCTTATGTCTTGTGCTCTGATTATTTGCGAGAGTTAATCGACACCGCAGCGGCACTGTTTGCTGATTTACAGTCTTGAACGAAGCGTGACAAAGCGTGACTTTGACTACAAATTGTGACTACCCTTCCTGGTTTTAGCATATTTCATGAGCAAAATCGGAAAAAAGTTAGCATTTTTCTGACCGATTCGAGAGTATGTTGACCGGGAAACCTACATAGGAGCTTCGTGGGGCCTGCGAGAGGTCAAGGGCCTCGGGGCGAGTGCTACGTCTTCGTCATGATTTGATCCACTTCATATATCAACCATCTACATCCTCAGGGATAATCATGCTGAGTACTTACGAGGGACCTTGTAAATGCTATCATTGAGAAGGTCGTGCGCTTTGGTATCTTGTAGCATCCCGCAGCATCCCGCCCACAATCTAGCCGTACTTAAGCTTCCTCCTGCGTTAACACCGATTAATTTTTGTTTTCAGAAGGATAGTCCGAATAGTATGTACAGTATGTGATACTGGTCTATGGCTTTGACATCCCTCGCTGGCCTCACCGCAAAGTCCATTTGCTTCGTTCAAGGGTGTCAACAACATGAGCGCATCGAGCCTTCAATGCAATGGCGGGTAGAACATTCGCTGAGAAATTGAACGAGGCAGGCATCATGGTTGGGACCTGGTCGATAAGGATTGAGAGAAATGGCAAAACAAAAGGAAAGAGAAACTCACCCACGGTGCGCCTGTCTTCAGGTACTACTTCAAAACTACTCCTGCCTGCCCCGCAATCGAGAATCAGGCATTATGTGTTATGCATCCTCACCCCCAGTCAAAAGTCAGTCGAGGTAAATAGAGGCAGATATAGGCGAATCTATATGAATGGGATTGAATCGGTCTCCCTCTTAAATTTTAGACTTTTTATAGGCAGATCGAGGGGGATCGATTGGCATAGATTCAGGTTTATTTTTACATTGGCTGGGGGGTTTTTTTTTCGAAAAATGAAAACCGGGCCCTTTTGAATCCATTTGAATCCATTTGAATCCATTTGAATCCATTCAGATCCATTGGGATCCATTCATATCAATTTGTGTGGAATGTACAACCTAGTCTATGCCAATCATGCCGTGCCACTGCTCCGCCTTCCTCCGTCACTGCTCGTCAATTGCCTAACCATCGCCTGCCTACACCCTGGCACTGACCTATCCAAACCACAGTCGCTGCTGTTGACGTGCAGATCAAGACGCAAGAGCGTCTCCGACTACGCTGTGGATGCTGCCGCATCTTGATCATGTTTGGTGCAGGGGTATTTTGGCGCAACAAGGGATGCAGCTGGTTGGACTTGATGAACGGCGTCGCACGAGAAGGTGGTCATGAAGATGGGACAGGTGCAGAAGAGCCAAGAGTGGAAGAGTTGAGCTGGTTTGGCTCAGAAATAGTAGGATAAAGCCTCAAAAAAAGGAGCCTGCAAACCCAATGCACAGTCAAGTTCCATTGGAAGATAAAAAATGGATCACTGCATGCCCTCCATCTGGTGTTTGAGCTGTACATTCTCTAATTGAAGCGGTGTATAGGCATGGTTGCCACAGTGCACAAGTGCCTGTGCACTGGCGGAGGCGATGGCTTGTCCCAGTGGTACATAAGTACTATATGATATCTAAAGATGTATGTCAGTGGTGAAAAGTGGAAATACTCATCTAGCTTTGTACATCCTGCAGGGGCTGCATACAACGCCAGTCAAACTCATTTGACGGCATATTGGATGTTGGACTGGAGCTGTATCTGGAATTCTGCAGATTCAGCATGGCTGGTTGAAAAATTGCGGGCATCTCTGCTTGGTTGACGAGTTTCGAGCCGCTTGCAAAGGGGAGAGAAGGAAATGAGGTCAACATTGCGGACATTGGGGAATCCTGCGACATCAGGGAGCCGCCCCTCCTAAGGCTGGAGGCATGAGATTGGAGAGCTGAAGATTGGCCATATGAGTGAGTTGGAATGGTTATAGAATTATCAGCGCCGTTTGGATCGTACATGTCGTCCGCGCATCCAGAAGTCGACGTCAAAGGAGATGGCTTGTCAGAGCTCGCTGGGTGCACCACGCACAAGTCAGTCACATCACATGACGTGGTTGAAATTAAGATCTGACCGAGTTTGGTTGGGTTGTTCTCACTGGATTGTTTTATCACATTTGTTGTTTTGTTTCCCGCACCACACACACGCACGCCTCCGCCACTGCCTCTAAGCCACCCACAGCCCTTGTGCCCAGTCACCTGCACTACACACATGCACGCACACATGCACACACATGCACGCAGACCGCCGCCCACTCCTTCTGTCGCCCGCGCCGTGCACGCGCACGCCTCCGCCTCCGCCTCCATGCATGCCTTCTGCTCCCCACATCACGCGCGCGCACGCAGCCCTCCGCCCTTGCTGTCACTCGCACTGCACATGCGCACGTTGCCGCCGCCGACTCCGGACCGCCCTTGCGTCCACCGCGCACGCAGCCCGCCACACACCCCTACTGTCGCCCACACCGCGTACACACACGCCGCCTCTGCTGCCCAAACCGCACACAGCCCGCCACCTACCGCCTCTGCCTCCGGACCGCGTTCGCGCCCGCATCGTGCACGCCGCCGACTGCGCCTCCGCCTCTGGACCGCCCGCCTCCCATCATCTCTGCTGCCTGCACCGCACGCGTGCACGCCGCCGCTCCTGTATACCTTATTTCATACTTAATGTTACTATACCCGTGCTATTGATTCATCTGACTTGAATAAATTCATTCAAAAATCTTGTTCTCATTCAAAACAGCGACTTAGGCAAAAAAGATTGAAGCAGGCAATCTAGAGGTGTCGTGACAAATTTTGACTATGTTTCATGACTTCAGCATTTCCGGTGTTTGCGAAAGACAGCAAAAGGCTAAACAAATGTCCATGATTTCACGTTTCTCAAAGCATTTTCAGTATTAATAATCTGATCTAATTGCTGTGAATCGATCTGCCTATATATGCCTATATTTCCCTCGATCTCCCTCGACCGACTTTTGACTGGGCATCAATTTCACCGATCGGTCTGGCACGAGTAGTTCATGTGCCTACAATTTCCTATCCCGTCTTCGTCTCGCTATTGCTTGGAAGACCCCCCTATTCTCCGGTCTCAACTATATATAACATCCTTGGCCTCGATGCTCGTAACTTACTAGAGAACTTGTCTTTACTGTTATCGTTTCAATCATAATAGCATTCTTTGCCCAGAGACTCGAGTCGTGATGAGAAAAACGGAAGCTTTTTGAAGCGTGAGAACTCAGATAGCCGTGCACTCTGCTGCCACTCTGCTGCCTTTGGCATTCTTTAGCAACCAGTCGATACTTCCTCCTGCGCCAATACCGATAGGTCTGCTATCTCAGAAGGCTAGTTCGCAATGCACGATACAGTATGCAATATCGGTCTACATCTTTATTCTCATGTTCTCCTGCTAGATCTGCCTCAAAACCCGTTTGCTCCGTCCAAGGATGCTAACGTGATCGCAATAGATCTATGATAAAACGGTAGATACAAGTTACACTGGGAAAATAATCGGTCAAGCATATACGGTGCTGTATTAGAGACGATGGCTGGGGACTGATTGATAGGGATGGATGGGAGAAGGAGCAAAGGACGGAAACAGGCTATGGTGTAGTAGGGTGCGTCTGTTCTACGATCTGACAGCCAATCTCCTCTCCAGACTCGCGATTGAGCATCGATCAAGGAACATCATGCGTCTTCACGCCCAAGAACGAGGAAGGCCGGTACACTTTTTGGTCTTCAAGTGCTTGTACATCCCGTCTTGACGAGAATACTCCCGTCGACAGACACAGGTGACAGGGCCCTGGTATGCCGTGTGACCGGGGGTTGTCCGCTTGTGTCGAACAAGATCTCCATGATGACGATAGACCGTACGATGCTTCGTGCAGATATGTGGTCTAGCGTCGTGAAGCTCTCTCGTCGGGTTTCGAGTCTTTGTCCGTGCCCTCGCCGAGCTTACCATAAGCTTCTTCAGCGTGAATGCAGCGGGACAAGGCGGTGAAGCAACAGGTCCTGCGATGGGCACTGATATAGCTTCAGCGAACGTATGCTCTACCGGGAGATGATTCCCGTTGTGCTCGTCGTTGTATATATTTGTGTTCCTTTGTACGGTCCTGACTTCTGCTAGCCTTCCGGGTGCCAATTGCACTCCGGGAGCCGCGTTTGTCTCAACCATACTGTCTATGCGGCACAGTGGATGCATGGACATCTCAGATGGCCAACCGTTCCGTGTATCGTTACATGCAGATGTTGGATCATATCTCTCACCCGATCGCTATGGTCGAGTGTTAAAATCATATAGACCTCATGACCAATAACAACACTCACTACAATTGCTCGAGCGGGAGCAGGAATCGAGTAATGCATGAGTGGCCGAGACCGCCAAGAAGCCGAGTCGGATACCCTCCACGGATCCATCAAGGTAAGCGGATCCGCTACTTGCACTGTAAGACAGTATTTTATATGTGAGTAGCTCATGATGCAACATCACCGACTGCACGCACCAAGGGGAACTGGTTGCGTGTTGAGCAGCAATGCGGGGCAACTTGCATCATAGATGGGGGAGAACCTGGTTCCCACACCAGACAGAGGTTCGAGTCCGATTTCAGAAATGCTCTGTCCTTCGAGAAAGCCTGGATTCTAGGGTAGAAACGGTGAGTGACGTCGCTTGTACTGATCGATGTCCCAGGTTGACAAGACAATCTGTATTCCGTAGCAGAGTGTATTGTACTAACCAAACCTATTCGATCCTGGTAAGGTGCATGGATATCGGAAGTGCAGTCCCCCTACTGTGGGCCGTCCATACACAGAGGATTGGGATCCTGTGGAAACGGCCATTCAAAGGACGTGTCGTATGAGAAGTTCATCGTCGATTTTTCAGGTGCTTTCTTTTAGGAAAATGCAAGGTGTTGAGTGAGTACTTGAAGACTGGGAGTAGAAGCGGGGTAGTGGTTTACAACTAGAGAGAGATGGCCTTGCGGCTTAAATGTGTGCGCCCATGGGGCTCCGTGCGTCTGGCGCATATTTTGTTGTCTGTTTGCGATCTGGCTCACATCGTTCACCGATGAGAGATAGGACCGTTGCTTTGTGCACGTCATGAGGTAAACAAGACAACCATGCACCTTCTCCTTGCTTCTCTCGACCTTTGGATCCACATCAAGAAAGAGGTGGCAAGGAACACGAGGATGGTGCAGTGAGGTCATGCTCTCTTACTTTACGTCGCTGCCAACAGCATCTCGTTGACCTACGCCGGGAACGTCCAAAAAGGTAAATGGGTTGCTCCTGGATCAGTACGATGACCTGGTCACGCAGTCAATGCGCTTACCCGTTCATACTGATGCGATTCCATGGGTGATGGTGTCATGAAGCGCTGGCGAGAAGATGGCAAGAAGAGACGAACACCTCATAGCAGCGAGATCTATATCAGGGGATAAAGGGAGAGCGTAGTCTTTTGTGTACGTACAAGCACTGGCAGATGAGGAATCGGTATTAGTCGCCACCGGTTCTCGACATGAAATTTATGCGAGACCCTCGAAGATGAAAGCGTCTGAACGAGCTTCTGAGGCTCATTGCTTGAACCTGATGCCGCGCTGCGATTCGAAGCGTACGTCGTAATGCATAACGAGTGAGACAACATTTCGAAAGCACCTTTTGCCAAGCAATCATCTTCACACGCGAGGCGAGGAATGAAAAAAATCTGCAGACATGAGTAGTACCGGCAAATCCAAGAAGAATCGCCTCGTGCTCTGGAGTCATGTCCTATTATTCGTATCCCCATGAACCACAGCCCCGAAGGCGTTCGTATGAAGATCCTATGCGTACGTACGTGTTCGATACCATTGCAGAGTATGCAATCTTTGGCCAATGGTTTTTTCGTATTGGTGAGTATTCTTTGGACATGACGGTGCTTCCGAAGGAGCAAAGCGTGGGAAGGCCGTGCGCTCCTGCTTTGCCATTCCGCTCACAATTTGGCCATACTTCCTCCTGCGTCAACACCGATTGGTTTTTGGTTTCACCGGTTTCAGAAGGATAGTCTGAATGGTATGTACAATATGGAATACTGGTCTACGGCTTTGACATCACTCACTGGCCTTGCCGCAAAGCCCGTTTGCTTCGTTCGAGGGTGTCAATAACACGAGCGCAACAAGTCTCTAATGCACTGGGAGGTTGGCTGAGAAATTGAATCAGGCAGGCGTCATGGTCGGGACCCGGTCGACGGGGATGGATAAGGGAAGGGGCGAAACGAAAGGAAAAGGAAGCGCAATCACGGTGCGTCTGTCTTCAGGTACTACTTCAAAACTCCTCTCCTACCTACCGTGCAATCGACAATCAGGCATCATGCGTTATGCGTCCTCACTTCGAGGGACGGGACGGGCATAGGTAATCCTTTGTTTTCAAGTACATCTAATCTCATCGAGTGTATCTCGGCCTGAACGTTGAACTAAATGTGGGAAACCCCAACGAAGCCGTCCACGTTCTGGGGTTCGAATTTTCGATTGCTTGCGTTCAGAAGGGCTCTTTTTGGCATTTCCCGTTTTTGGTAAGCACCCAGGCAGATATACCAATAATCGTATAAAGGTGAAGTGGCGAATCTGTTTCTGCAGTGTCACTTCAGGTTGTTCGAGAATCTCTCTTTCACATCACATACATGTGTGGCATCAGATGCCTTCGATCAACCGATAAGACTGAAGTCGTGAGGTACGTGAACATCTAGCGTGGCCTGCATTGCTAATATCAAGGACATGTCTGACACCCAGTTGTATTGCAGGCTCAGACAGGGTTGAGCAAGCGGGTCCTCCGACCATTCCACGTTTTTAAGTTCTATCTAATTGTTTTCAACCAAGCCAATATATTTCATAGAACAATGAATGCTCACTATGTGGCACGATTTGGCTGAGTCGGTTGTTCTCTGTATCACAGAAGTGTCTTGTGGGCCGGAGAGCATCTGTAGCTTTCTTCCTCAATGTTCGAACTTCCCAGCGCTTTCTGTGAGGAAGTTTGCTAGCTCTTGTTGTCACACCTCGCACATTCGGCACTCTTGCGTCCTGATACGGCTCTCCACGGGTTTGCCTCATTGCTTTCCGCAGCTGCTTCTATCCTCCTATCACCCCCCACCTATATATTCCAACATCGTCTCACAGCATCAACACTTCCTCAGCTTTTCTCGTCATGCAGTCTCGAATCAAGGATAAAGCTTTTTTGAAAGGCCTGGATGTGTTCAATCCATCGCTACTGCACAACGACGACTACGCCATCCGCACCGCCCTCGAAGCCTTACAATGGACTATCGATATCGAAACTGTGTCTACTATCGTCGAGCACGCAATGCTGAGCCCCATTGTGCTTAAATTTATTCTTTCTGGTACGGATAAATCATCTGGACCCTCGATAATATACTGATATCTACACAGCCGTCCAGCAGAAGACCTTCTGTTTTCTACGTGACTGGATATGCGACCAATTCCCGACTACGTTAGAAGACTATGAGCCTAATCTTCTGGTCATGCGGCTCCTAGCTCGACTTCATGCGGCTTTGTTTTCAACATCATACCCAGACGAACACGAGCCTGGAAATCTCGATTTATGCATGCGAGCAGTTGAATTGGCGCCCCCCGTTCTAGCAACCCTTCCTACCATAGCGAATTATTACGATTCCATGATCCAAGAGGCTTCAGACAAAAAACAAAATCCTCCGCGAGGTCGAAAAATGTCCAAGGCGATGGCTCGGTCAACGATGACATTCGATGAGAAGCCGTTCCGTGATATGGATGTTCGGGTCCCCGTGAGCTCTTTAGCTGCCAAGGAATTAGCTTCCCAAATCTTGAGGGACCAGAAGGGTATTCTTGAGGTATTTCGTCGATAAATCAACCATTGTAACGCAACTCATCATTTTATGCTAGTATTTTTTCGACATCATTCGCCGTCCGCAACTTCTCGACACATTCAAACAAGCGTATCTTAGCCAAGCTGCCAGTCCTGACGAGACCTCAAGCCTTCACCCTGTGACGGTCCAGAATCCGACCTCCAGTGTTGCACGTGAGGAAGAAGCGCTAGACATCACGATCGTCACACAGGGCCTCAAAGCTTCGTTGTATTTCGAGAGTGCTGAAGGATTTGGCGAATGGCGTATCTTTCTATCGGGCCGTGCTGAGGACGATTTGCGAAAACGTCGCAGAGGTGATGCAAGGACGTTTGAGATTGTTTGGAACAAGCTCAGGTATATGCCTCTTGTAAAATTGTATTGAAGATTCTGAGCTCGTCCACTCATATCAGGGAGCTTTCCAATGGTCGATTTTCCGGGGCAACACAGAAACAAATCACTGTTTCCCAGGCTCCAATTTCAATCTATGAAGTCAGACTTCCCGGAGATTTGAGGATTGTGGTATGTTCAGGATTGATCAGAACGCCTGCAGGATCTGATTTCCTGTGCTTTAGTATCAAGTCGATGTCATTCAAGAATTCAATTCCGATGTACGTCTGCTAGCTCATTTCTCGAACCTTGTACTGACTTGAGGCATGCGGCCCTAGGGCGATCATCAAGGTAGATATGACCACAGTCGAAATTCACTGATAACTGAATCCATTAGTTTTGACCATATATGGCCTCTTCAACCACTCTGAAATTTCTCGCGTGTTCTGGGACAACCTGGCTCAAGTCAAAGCACGACAATTTGGGAAGACATACTGCGATAGGTACTCACTTCGTTGTCCATGTTTGATCAAGGGCGTGAAAATGACCATGCACGCTGTGTAGGTGCAGTGTAAGAGATCATCCTCGTGGCACGGGCGAGGACGTATATTTTCCACTTACCTTTCCAGCTACAACTGAAGAAGAAGCCAGCGGTTCTTCATATGACATCCCTGAAATCGGCCCTCAAGATTTGGAGGAGGTTTGTCATTTACTTATATCTGTGCAGAAGGCCGCTCAAGATGTGTTGGACAGCTCCATTCTTTGTTAGCGTAGGTCGATGATTGTTCATACATCTTGAGCCTGAGCTTACTGGGAACACTGAAGCCTGGAGAAATACATTGCTGCATCTCAAGTGAGTGTCGTCAAACGCCCTTGTTGAATTGTTTTTTGATATCTATCATTATATCAGAGCGTCCTCAACAGTTGGTCTTACTAGTCTTAAAATTCACATGGCTCTTTTATAGTTGGGCTTTAGATCTCTTGACAGACGAAGCCGTGGCCCACATCTTCCGCATCTCGTGAGCATCAATTATCTAAGTATGCTCACAATATGCATGAGACGACGGGATATTCATCTAGGCCTCAAGAACAAAAGGTTGTTGAGCATACACACTCGTGCTATGTCTTAGGCAGGAGTGGAACGGGGTGAGCACATATTATTCAGAATGGCTTAACCGAGATTGACTTGCGAGGACTGAATAGTAAAACGACTACCATGCTGTTCAAAATGTTCGGCATAGAGAGAGCGTGGGTACAGTCAGGTTGTCCCAGCCCTCGACCGCGCCAGGTATTCGTTACACAGTCTCGTATCCTAGCGGAAAAAGTCGAGGAATATTTCATCAAGTTTCTAAGATCGATTGCAGGAGAAACCAACACACCGCAGCACATAGGGGACCTCCTTGAGCGATGGAGAGCACACAGTGACCGAGGCTTGGTTGATATTGAAGAAGACGTTAATTGGCGCGATGAATTACCGAAAAGATTCAGCGAACTTTCAGATAAACATTTCCCGTTATTTATCACTGTCGATATGGTGAGTGCCCATTTGTGCAAACAATTTTTCTTAACTACTTATGATCAATACGACTAGCTTGCGAAGCTCATCAACGCTGATTCACAGCCCGAGGCCGGACTATTGGAAGCCAACGCACAGAGACGAATTCAAGGTCAAAACCCGTTGTTTACAATCAAGCGAGAGGACTTGGTATCATATGAGACGTTCAAGAATCGGTATTGGCCACGTTTTCCTCGATCTCTCAAGAAGGGGTTTGGTAAGCATCATATAGATGGCATCAATTTTTTCTGAGGCTTTTTTTACAGTACCGTGGATGGTTTTCGGGGAGTTCGTTGGCAAGTTCCTCCGCGATTTGATGACCAAAAGAACTGCTGATCAAGTCTGGACAGGAGTGATCAAGGGGTCGCAAGAAACCTTGAAGCATCAAATGAGGCGTCTTGATAGGACAGCTTATGAGAATATTAGCACCCGAAAATATCCTGCCTTTGTATCAGCGCGAGATACAGTGTATACGTTGTTTGAGCATTATTTGAAGATCAAGAGGGAGCGTGGAGATTGGGATGCCGCGGACAGGTGATATGGCCTCGATCGTTTCACTGGCATGGGTCCTAACGAGTCGTCCATCCACAGAACCCACAAGGTTCTCAAGGGTATTCAAGAGAACGGATTCCCTGGAAAGAAAGTCGACTTTTTGTGAGTTCATTGGTGCCGTACATATTTATATGATCAATGAGCTAATGCAATGTCTATTAGATATGTTGATGAAGTTCAGGACATCCTTCTCATAGATGCCTTGTGTAATTTTCATTCGTCGGAATGTATCCCTCGCTCTGAATTCTTTCAATCTCAGTGCTTCGGTGTGTATGCAAGAACCCAAATGGCCTTTTCTGGGCTGGAGACACGGCCCAAACTATCTCATTCGGGAGCGCCTTCCGTTTCAACGATTTGACATCATTCTTATACGAAATGGAGGTAAGGAATCTGTCAACACGAATTTACAGCATCACTGAAGAACAACTGCACAGAAAAAATCCGCGCGATCAGTATCGTTGAAAAAGCCTGTATTCTTCAAATTGTTGACTAATTACCGCTCTCATGCGGGTATCGTTAACTGTGCTCATTCAATCATTGAGCTGATCAAGAACTTCTGGAGTGATTCGATTGATATTCTGGATAAGGAGAAAGGCTTGGTAGATGGGATCAAGCCTGTCTTTTTCGACGGATGGGATGGATTCGAGTTTTCAAAGTTCTTCTCCAGTTCCGAGTGCGTCAGTCCATTGGTAGTCCTTATCCACACTAATGAACCATGACTATATAGAAACGAAATGATTGAATTGGGGCATAATCAATGTAAGCACTAATTAAACTCTGCATGCGGTATTCAATGATTATAATTCATGATAGGCATCCTCGTAAGAGATGCCACTGCTAGAGAAGAGTTGGAGAAGAGGATTGGAAATATAGGCATGGTTCTGCACGTCCTTCCAGCACTTTTTTCCGTATGAGACGTTGCTGATGCGCAAATTCTCATTACTAGAACATTGTTCGAAAGTAAAGGCCTGGAATTTGATGATGTAGGCACCCCAAAGCAGGGCCAACTGAATTTCACTTATGTCGAATGCCATCATAGGTTCTCATCTACAACTTCTTCGTCGACTCACAAGTTGATCGGAATCAATGGCGGCGGGTCATCCAGGCCGCCTCCAACGGTTCAGGGTCAACTCAAACGGGCGTTGACAACCTAGGGGTCGGGAATGAGGTTCGTCGATCACGAATCGCATCCGAAGTGCACTTACTCAGCGCTCCACTCTATAGTTGAAGTTCTTGTACGTTGCGGTCACACGAGCACGCAAAAATCTGTGGTTCTTGGATCAGTCCGATGCCTGCGCGCCCATGAGGGTAAGTGCTCTGACAATCAATTGAGATTTACACTCATCTTCACACCGTTTCTCAGACATACTGGGCCAACAACAATCTGGTAGAAGTTCGAATTCCCGGCACTGATGATATGTCGAGATTTGCTGTCCGATCCAAGCCAGAAGAGTGGACGGCCAGAGCAAAGGGGCTTTTCGACCGCCATCAGTACCAACAAGCCATCCATGCTTATAAGCGTGCTCACATGGAGCGCGAAGTATCAGTGGCATCTGCTTACCAGCTCCGAGTTCAGGCCCAGCAGGCCACCAAAAACCCAACGAAAGCATTCCTGGAGGCAGCCCGCGCTTTCTTTGCTTGTGGAACCATTACATCCAAGCAAAGTGAGATTCAAGAGTTTTTCCGAATTTCCGGCGAATGCTACGTGGAGGGTAAAAAGTATGACCAGGCAGCGAAAGCATACGAGAAAGCTTCCCTGTACAATGAGGCTGCACATTTCTACCTTTCCGCTCATATGCTGGACCATGCTGTTTCAATATTGAAAAAGCACAAAGGCGAGCTCAATCTGGAACTAGCTGACCGCATCAAAATGACTGCTCGTTGTGCCTACCTGAATGAAGAAAAATTCGAGTGCGTGTTGTGTCTGATATTAATGAAACACTCACTTCTTCGACTCACTCGTGGTTTAGGGAAGCGGCCGAATTGTTCGATGATGCAGAGGAACAAGAAGAGTTCATGCAAGATCTAGATTTTGGTATCACCACGGCGCATTTCTTGGAGAAGAGTGGAAATGTCATGAAGGCGGCTCGAAGCTATGCTGATGAAGGACAGGTTTTATATGCTATTGAACTACTCCTTCAGGACCATGCAAACCAAGAAGCGTCGCAGGAAGCTATGCGACACATTCTCAGCCGACTGTGGATGCACTTATCATTCGGTGTCCAGCCTAACGATCTTTCTATAGCAGTAGATGTCGAAGTACAAAACCTGCTTGGATACTTGACACACCTCGACCCTACCCATCTACAAGACAGCGACGTCCGTGAGGTGATTTCAACGATACTTCGTATGCTTCGATCATCACTAAAACAATGTCTCTCGATGTCAAGGCGGGGGTGTTTAGGGCAATTTATGCATCCGATATGACCTTGCTGAAGCATCTTGCCATTTGGTATTGCGATCGTCCTTCTCTCGAGAATGCCCCTGCAGCGTTGCTGTGCCTGGACCACCTATTTGAAGACTTGGGCCAGCTTGATGTATCCACGGAGTTGAGGGCTGTCTCGTCTCTGCGACTGTTCTATGTTTACGCCGACCTCATGTACCAAATAATCATCGATAAGCGGCCCTCGACATTGGACACCATCCAGAGGCTGTTTTGCTGTCAGTCGACCTCGGACCAGGTATTCCTTCGACCCCAGACATATTTTGGTGATTTGTTCCTGCGTATCCATCCGGAGACTTTGAATCGAGAACAGGAGACGATCCCGGTGTCAACCTGGCAGTTTACGCAGCTCTTTCAAAGACATCTAACTGCGCGACTGCAAGATAGAATTTTAGACGAGATCGCCAAGGGCTCATACGTGGAAACTTTCAACCCGTGCACGGCTGCTAGCTTCGGGTCTTGTCTTGGACACGATTGTCGGTTGGCGCACAGCATGGATGCCGAGTGGTTCAATCGAAGGATCAGATTCACTTTTCAACAGATCCTCATCGTTAATATATTCCAAAATTTAACGATTGGTGACTTCCCAACTCGCATGAAGCAAAGGCGGTATGCATACAACCACCTAACCGAATCATCAGCTGATGTTGATTCATTTTGGATGATCGTCAGGTTTTGGTTAAGTCGCTTGGACGACGCTCTCAATCCCCTATGCTCTGGCCATGGATCTGCATCCATTGTTCGCATCGATCACATTGCCGAGTCCGAAATAGCTTTACAAACGGTCAAGTTATGGATCCCGGATGTGTTATACAATCTCAATCCATCCAGGCTAGAGCTTCAAGCTACTTTCCTCACGAATTTCATGAAAGCCACTACGATCGGGTACTTTGTGGACAAAAGGATCATGGACGAAACCCTTAACAAAATCCCCTGTGTACATTCCTGGATACAAAGACACCCTCGGCTACGCATAGGTCAAGATCGCTCAGGATATGCTCTCCACAGCTTTGTTGGCTTCTCGAAAAGCTTGACTAGCCTAGACCTTACCCGTGGAGCATCGTTCTTCGCGTAAGTGTATGCCATATGCAGATGCCACCAGCTGTTCTAAACGTGAGCGCCGTAGTTTTGTCGTCGACAACCGAGTCAACATACATATTGGCGCCATGTGTCATTTACTCGACCGTATTTGTGGTTTGTTTGCTCTAGCTGGAAATATTCAAGAAAGGGCGCTTCACGGCGTGACGCTTCCTCGTGCGTGGGTACTGGAGCTCTGGAAAGACTTCAGAAATCAGCAGCATCGATCCTACATGATAGTAGTGAACAGTATTCCGTCCTTATTAGAGTGGTTTTACTCGTGGCAGCTTCGTGAAGGTGGGTATCATAAAGCCAACATACTCAAATTATCATTTTGACCTGATCGCATTAGACTCTCACTTCAAACCTCACAATCTCGACACTCAGACAGCCATAGCGCTATCCATCGCGAGAATGTGAGTTCGCTCAGATATCATTCTATGATGAATAAAGGAAAACAAATTGATCCTCTACAGTTGTAGAGCGATATGCCTCCGTGAGTGCCATTTACTCACCATAGGATAAAAGCTGACAATACACTGTAGTTGGTTACAACATTGAGGACGGCGGTCATCTTCAGGAATCGATCCTAAAGGGAATCACTTCGCTGAGGACACCAGACCGGAAAAGACTATTTTCACCCATATACGAGCCGTCAGTCGGTCTCCACCTTGTTTTTCTTTTTCTTTTAAGCTCAACAATCCCCCAGATTCGTGCGTGCCCAGACGTGGGATGATCTCAAGGAAGCCGTCTGGGCTTCTACCGGTCATTCTGCACTGGATGAGATTGTGGAGCTTTACTCGGACAAAGACTTCGAGGACTGGTACACGCCATCTGGAGTGCGGCGAGTTGTCTTCCACAACATCGAGGATATTCCTTCCCTGTTGGACCCAGAAGCCCATACTTCACTTCCGACTATGGCGAAGGCTAATTCCCAATTGCTGCGTTTGGGAGCGCATGCGAATGGCTCATCCGAAATCGAGCACAGCCAGAATGATGTGGGAGGTCCTAGCAGCGCGGAAAACGATCAAGAGGGGGAGGATACTCGAGCTTTGGACGATGACGAATCCTCCCCTGTAGCTATGCAACGTCGGTCCGCCGCAGTGAAGATCCAAAGGGCGTATAGGCGCGTGATCAAGCGCAGGCGTTACTACCAGGAACAGGCTGCAAGGCGAAAGCACAGTATGGCAGCTTCTCGCGCGCGTCTGTTCGCAGATTGTCTGAAAGAATCACGGGGAATCGACTGGACGAAGAGATCGTATCGCCTATTGTTCCTCGGCATCCTTCCGCATCTCCTAATCTGTTTGGAATGGACGTTGGAGACAGCCCGCGTCAACAAGGCTGACGCGACCCGAAGCCGCAAGAAGGGCGCTTCATACGACAAGTTATATGAATTGATTCTTTGCCAGAAGGATATGAAGTACGCTTCGGTTCAATCTACCATTCTCGAGATGCTGATTTCTTCATTATCCAGCCGCATCTCAAACGATGCAAAGAAGCTCCTCAAACTTTTGGAGCCGAAGTCACCTTTTCATCGTCTTTTTGATGAAAAGGAGCTGCAAGAATGTGCCGAGAAGGCGAAGAAATTGATAGACGAGCTCCCGCAGCGGATACAGGTGGAGGAAGATATCAATTTGGTGATCAAGGGAACGTCTTTGAGGAAAGCGAAGAGGAGGCCTCTGTTGAACCTCGAAGATTTGTAGGATACGACTACCAACGGAGCTTAGCGAAGCCTGTATACTGTCTGCAGTCATGATTGATTTGTTTCTGCTCACTCGAATTAGGGAAAAGGATGGCTTGCACATTGAAAACGATTGAGAAGAGCACATAGAGATGCCCTAGTCACCGTCGTCGAGCAGAAAAAACAAGTCGTACGGGCTCCTACAGATTGCAGAGAGAGAACAAGTACTAACTGCCAGCCAGCGTGTGAACCACGACATAGAGGGAATCGATTACGTCACTCCCAACTCTTCCTCCTACCGCTCCAGATGTCCAAGCGACCAATAGTGTCCTACGACGACATTGTCCCTACAAACTCCCCGCATGCAGGCCCATCGGTAACACCGCAGCAACAAGAAAGGTCTTCAGCTGGGCCATATCCTAAGAAGAGGAAGCGGTCTAATCCGCGCAATGGCCGCCAATACGGAAGGGGCGCAGAGCCTCAGCGTCATGTCCAGCATTGGGACGATCCAGGGAGCGCCGTGCAGCCGATGCCATACGACGATGAATCATCTATATCCATGACCACTCAAGTCATACTTGAGCCGGAGGACGAGGGACAGGAAGAAGCGAATGAAGAAGAGGAAGGAGAGGAGAGCAGGGAGTTGACACACGACGAGATCTGGGATGATTCGGCGTTGATCGAGGCATGGGAGTCAGCGGCAGCAGAATACGAAGTATGTTTGTTATGCCTTCTGCGGCTGTTTCGCTCAACTACCATTCTCTTCGGGCAGGCATTCCATGGCACGGATCAGTCGTGGAAAAATGAACCGGTGAAAAAATCTCCTCTGTACGCCCCTCACTTGCTGTTCCTTTACCATGCTTGACAATTGTTCATAGATGGTATAATATCCCACCGCCCCCCTCAAAGCTTAAAAAATCCCCTCAGAAGTCAGAGACCAACGTCGCTCCAGGAGTGGATGCCGATGACTCGCAACCCATCAACTTTGAGGGCTTTGTTCCCCATCATGACGCGTCGCTGACCTCTTCCTCTGCGATCATACCACGCGTCCCCAGCATTGATGGTCATCAATTAGCGACAGCGCCTGAAGGTTTCGTGAGCCAAGACGAGGCGTTTAACCGTGCGCTAGGTGCAATGTACTGGGCAGGCTATTGGACTGCCGTCTATCATGTATGCAGCCGCTTTGATCTCTTCGTACGCACGTATTAATCTTACATTCAGGGCCATAAGAAGCAGCCAGGAGCATCAGCTCCTTCCAATGAAGGTGAGGAAGAGGACAAAGATCAAGAACCGGGCGAAGCAGACGACGTAGACGACGCGACTGTTGAAGAGGAATTGATCTCGACGCAACGATAGCGGGCCTTAGATGGATCCATCATGAGTCGGTTGCCCTTCATCTTGCGATCACGTTTGGAACGATCATTGTTAAAATGAATTACTAGTATCTTCGGTGAGTTGAGTTAGCGTAAGTACGAAGCCTCTAGCCAGTGCCTGTGGGCAACAGCCTCCTTGGAACATGCCTGTGAATGAATCGTTAGTCGCCCTAGCTGTTTAGCTTATTTTTGATATATATATAAATCGACAAACGATATGAGTTCCTCTACATAAAGCTTCGCCGGTTGTGGGAAAGTATAGCGAAGTGGCGCGCGTGTCTTGACCGCGTCGCGTTCAACGATTGCCACTCTCCACGGTTTCGTTCCTTTACCAACACCCCCAAAGGCCAAGACTGCGAGCATCTGTGGAGATAGCTTAATTATACATCTGCTTCTACTGTGCTATCGTGACTTGCGGATCTGAATATGGCCTCCGACCTTTCTGCGCTTTTGACCTCGTCGAAAGCTCTGACCTCGCACCTCTCAAGACCCGACCTCCCGCATGTCAACCTTTCGCTTGATCAAATAGAGGCGCAGTCAAGACGCCTTGTCGCTCGCCAGTCAGGTGCTGCTACAGACAGTGGGCGCGCGTACGTTCGTTTCCAGAATCCCTAAGAGGCAACATCTAGAACCAACGCCTGATGACTTTATTTTTATGCTCGCAGGAACTATTTGCTGGCGCAAGCGCACGTTGATGCACCCGCTCTTGCCAACGCCATAGCGCATCTAAACACCTCCACCACATTCTCGCCACTTCGCCCACTTCAAGACACAGATGTTGCGGGATATTTACGCCACGCGCACGAACAAAACATCATATCGACTATTGAGGAGGCCCGGAGGGAGACCCAGGAGGACTTTTATCGAATCTTGGAGGAGAGAAGTCGAAAAGACTGGGATGCGCGCAAAAAGAGGGTATTCGAAGAGCTCGGGGGACGCGTCGCGGGTGACAATCAGTCGCTGGCTAAGTGGGACAAAAATCAGCGCGGGAGGAATTCTTTAGCAGTGAGTACGAATCCACTTCTTCCATGACGCGACTGAAGCTATAAGCGTCGTGAACAGCTCAGCACAGGCCCAAGCCCAACCTTGCAAATGCAGAACAAGATGATGGCCTACGACCGCGCCATAACCGAACTCAACGCTGCGCGCCTACGCGGCGTCTCGTACCCTATTGTACACGCCCTCATCCAAGCCTCCTTGACCGTCAGCCCAGAAGCAAATCAGCAGATCATCCAAAATTTCCGCATCCTCGCCAAGATCACTGGCGAGCCGCCTGCGCTGCCGCCGCTTGAGCACGCGGGCGCGCACATCCTCAACACGCCACTCTTCGAGCGCAAGCACGCGCGCGCGTACCTCGGAGACCCGGCATCCCGCGACGCTGTAGACTTGCGCCGGCAGATCGCGCGAGGCGGGCGTGAGGCATTGGAGGAGCAGTACTTTGATGTGCTGGACCGCGCAGTGCTAGCGCGGCCGTTCGAGGCGAAACTGGGCGGAGACCCGAGCGTCGCGAACAAGGTGCGCGCGTTCCTATTGGTTCGGTATTACCGAAATGGAGAGTGGCAGGATCGGATTGAGGTGCGTGATCGTTTGCAATTTTCAGGGTGATGTTGGCAGGCTAAGGAAATGTTTCATCAAGTTGGTTGGCAGTCAGCCTCTCTGGGCCAAGCTGTACTACTTAGTGCGGACGGGCCACGCTCAGGAAGCGCTTGCGGAGGCATTCAAGTACCAGCAAGCAATTGAGCATCGAGAAGATAGCTTTGTGTCACATTTCAAAACTTGGGTAGAGTCCCCTGACAGACGGTAAGCAGTTCCGCTCACTTTCCCGAGATTGTGTTTCGATGTCAAAGGTCTTTCAGGCTTCCAAAACCACATCGCGATCATATTCAGTCGATATACAATGCGCACATGCTTCATTCCACGACTGTTGACCCTTTCAAATTGGCTCTATATAAGCTGATGGGCAGACTGGACCCCTCGAGACGCACCGTGCCTTTGGTCACTGCCACGACTGAAGATTGGCTATGGTTCCAGCTTGCGATGGTAAATTTCCTCGTTTGAGTCCTTAAAGCATTGTCTCTAATACCCCAGGCATAGGTTGATGAGGAGGAAAACGGCGGCCTTCGCGGTCTGGCAGAAACCTTGCTTGGATATGGAGAGCGACACTTCGAGGGCCCGCCCGGCCAGAAGGCGGGCAAGGTCGGTTTATGGGCCTCCATCTTACTCTTATGCGGCCAATTCGAGCGGGTGAACAATTTCTTCTTACCCGTCCGATGCAACGGCACTCATTTTTCTGCAGGCTGTTGCAACAATGTGGGAAAATCCCGAGACCGAGATCGAAGCCGTTCACTTGGCCATCGCGCTTTCATATCATGGCCTGCTCCGTATGCCCTCTCGAATGGAAACTTCGGACATGACCCGTGCGTTGTATTCTTCCGCATTGTCTTCGCATTTGCTAATCTCAATATCAGTGACGTTGACCCCCAATGGACCTCCTGCGCTAAGCCTCCCCACACTCATTTGGCGCTACGTTCGCCAATTCGTCAAAATGGACGCCAAGGAGGCGTTGCAGTACGTCTACACCGTGTCACTCAACTCGGACCAAGCGGGTGGTATTGGGCAAGAACAAGTGGAGAATGCCCTTGAACTCGTTCGCAGGATCATCATCCTCGCTCATTCTGGCCCTGCTTGGGATGAACTCGTCGGTGGCTTCCGAGCCGATGGCACACGATTCGTACGTCCATCCTCCAGAGTTTCGCCGTCAAATATTCAAGTTTCGCTCTTCATCTCCAGAACGGCGTTATCGAGCAAGGCGCTGCACTGCTCAAGCTCCAGGACTCGCGGCAGTTCAATGAACAGATCCTTGTGCGTGCGGCGAAGCATTCCGAGGAGAATGATCGTGTGCTGGAAGCTATCAAACTGTATAACCTCGCCGGCGATTACAAGACCGTAATCGTCTGCCTAGCTCAGGCGCTCGGCAATACTGTGGCTCAGCCAAATGGAGGAGGCGAAAAGGGTAAGGCCATCGAGCAGACCGCCACGGAGATTGTCCGACATTATGAACGCACAAACCGAGCGGTAGGTAAAGAGAGAGAGACCGTGATCCGGCTCTTGCGCATCCGTGAAGCTACGAATGCGAAAGCGGATGGGAGGGTGGAGAACGCTCTGGAGGTTTGGGTCTTTGGCTTCTTTTTCTTTGAAACCAATCTGACATTCGTGACTCTTACAGATCCTGCAGTCGACGGATCTGATACCTCTCGATGGAGATGTGGCTAAGATTACGAGACGAGCGGAAGAATTCCGGGATCTGCACGAGGCTCTGCAGCGCAATCTGCAATCCTATCTGTCGCTTACGATGGACTGTATTGCTGCGGTCTATCAGAGGACTAAAGCATCAGGCGTGTCAGACAGCAGTCGACAAGCGGTACGTCACACCTTACCAGCATCCATGTATGGGGTCTGACTATCTCCTCCTAGAGCCTCGGATCTTTGAGAAAGATGTCACGATCGCTGATGATGTTCGCCGGCATGCTCAGGTATCGCTTGTCCCCGGACGTGTATTCGTATTTGGCAAGGTTGGACGTGGAGATCGCGCTCTGAGGCGAGCGGGGCTGTCTTTTGTAGCGCTATGGTGTTTGCATACGTGTCTTATGTATAAATTGAGGACTCGCAGTGGTCTTGACGCTCAGCACAGTAACTGCGCAGCGTCACCGTTCTCATCACTTAGTCTCATGACTTTCCTCGAAGTCCAACCTCAAGCGCTAAGGCCCGCTTGAACGCCAACTCTAAACCCTAGTACAATATCAGCATGCTGCGTGCGAGTGGGCTACATATAACTCTTTCCTTCCACTCCTCACCATCTCGTCAACGGCGAGCGAGCCCATTCTGCTTCCGAACCGGTTAAGTCAACTTCCACCATTTACGAACCATCTCACACGCTCTTCATCCAACTTGCTCGGACACAATGGCCCGGAGAGGACCTCGTCGGCGACGCGGCGGACACAAAACCGTCGAAGGCGCCTTCGACCCGAACGACGCGACGAACGTCGAACACGTCAAGATCGGCGTATGGGACCTGTACATTCGGCGCGAGCGGCGCAGTCTGCTGGCGTATGTGCCCCATACGTGGCTGTTGAACGCGGAAATGTACGCAGGCATGTTGCAGGATATGCCCTATTTCTGGAGGACGATGAAGGACGTGGGGGAGGCGTCATGGCACATACTGGCCATGTATGGGATTGTGGTGTTTTTGCTTGCGCTGATACCTGCTATGAAGTTGTGGTGAGCTTTGACTTTGCTTTGCTTGTACGGATTGTTCGTGATAGTGATGCGCGGATTCTAAGGTACTCGGGGCAGCTCTTGAATATCGTAAGTGTTCTCGAGCTGGTTGCTGCGTTAGATGCCCTAACGTGTCATCGCGGGGTCATTAGGTTCAGACCGCCGTAGAGAACAGAGTTGTTGATAAAGAGGCACTCATCCGCATCGCAGGCGGGCACGTCCTTGCCTCTCTCATATCCCGCATATTGGGCAACTTCCGCCAACGATTGACCGCGATTCTGAATGGACGCATCAGGCGATATTACTCGGTGCACACGTTCCACGCGATGGCGAGGCTCGATGTGCCCACCTGGGAGGATCCTGTCGTCTCTGAACAGGTTGACGCGACATTGCCGACGAGCCGGAGCAGCATCGCCTGGACGGCGGTGAACAGCCTGGTCGGCGTCGGGTCGGTGCTCGTCAAGCTTCTCTCTCAGGTCACCGTGTTGATCTCGGTCTTGAGGGAGCAGCGCGACGGGCCGCTGCTCGCGATTTTGTGCTTCGCGGAGCAGATCTTGGTGCTGTTCAAGTCTGAGCCAATGAACTCTGCGACTGGAGGTACGCCGTGCGATGTTTTTGTTGGGACTGGTTCGAGCTTTCAGTTGACCGTCTACGCAGTCTGGGCGGCCACGGCTGCTGATAAAGACTTTGTAAAGAGCGAGGGGCTGAAGAAGCTCCTTACTGGCGACCGCCATCGCAAAGAGCTTGTCGCAGGCAATCTTACCGACAGTCTCACAGCGCGTAAGTGTCCGTCGGGTTTGAAAATGTGTTGGGGTGTTCACACGCATCTCAGAATATCGGGAGCTCACAGGCAGGCTCGGTGATCGAGGTGGAGACTTCTGGGGTTTGTACAATGAGTGGAAAATGAAACATTCGAACAACTTTATGAGTTTGCTTCGTGAACCGTTAAGCGCGCTGCCTCAGGTACGTGCGTTCGACACGTTTTGTTCATCACTACCACTCACTAACTCCTATGAAATTCTTCTTAGATTGTTTTTACGCTCCGAGCTGTCCAATACCCTACCTCCGTTCCACTCTCCCTTGCGTCTCTAAGTCTGATCCAACAAACGTCGTTGTCCTTCTCAGCGACGATTACGCAGTTTTTGAGCCAGGTCGGCTCCGTTTCAAACCGCCTGTCGAGCCTGCGTCAGTTGTATGAAGTTGCCAATATTCCTAATAGAATACAAGATGGAAACGCGCCGTTCCCTGAAGACCCGCAGACTATCCGTGCCGGCATCTCCTTGGAGTTCAGGTATGCTTTCGTGTGGGATCAATGGATTAGCGGGGGCCGCTGACTTTTGACGTGGGGGTTGCAGGCACGTTTCATTCCAGTACGCTGGGAGCGAGGATCATGCGCTCCGAGATGTCTCGTTCAAGATGGAGCCAGGCCAACTCTGTGTGAGTAGCCCTTCATTCCCAACGCGCGAGAATGTCGGCGCTAACGGTGACTCACGCGCAGGTCATCGTAGGGGCGAACGGCTCTGGGAAAAGCACGATCTTGAAGCTAGTCGCGCGCATATACGACCCAACCGAGGGTGTGATCCTTCTCGACGGAAAAGATATCAAGACACTGCGACTAGCCGACCTACGGCGCGCGATGGCGATCCTGTTCCAAGATTACAGCCATTTCCCTCTGTCCGTGCGTCTTGCTCTCATTTACTTCTTGTCGTCGCACAGGATGTTGATGCGTGAAATGACAGATAAGGGATAACATCGCTCTCGGGGATCCCGAGTGTGTGCCGGACGAGGATAAGGTCCGCGAGGCTGCGCGTCTCGGCGGCGCGCTCGAGTTCATAGAGCGCCTACCGGAAGGGCTCGACACGTACCTCGAGCGACCGGTACGCGACGTGTACTCGACTCTGCCGGAGGGCACGCAGACGCTGTTCGGGCGGCCAGTGGAGTACGGGAGTGTGCGAAGCTTTATGAGCGGCGACTCGCCGAACAAAATGATGTTGAGTGGGGGACAAATGCAACGGCTTGCGGTGTAAGATTTATATCCTTTGTTTGTGTGTCAGTCTCCTTTTTCTGATCGTCGGTGGGCTTGGGGTGGTTGGTCGATCTTATTATATAGGTCTCGGACGTTTATGCGCTCTTCGGTTTCAGATCCCAAGGTCGGCCTTCTATTATTTGACGAGCCAAGTGCGTCGCTGGATCCCACAGCTGAACACGGTGAGTGAATGAAGGACCCGATCAGGGTTCTCATCCGAGTTACCTCATATGGACCGTCACAGATCTATTTGCGCGGCTGCGCGAGCTGAGGGGAAATAAAACGATGGTCTTCTCGACGCATCGATTCGGTAATCTGACGCGTCATGCCGATATCATCCTGTGAGTCATCGCTCTGCTTGACGTTTCATCAGGCGGAGGAGATTGCTGATCGCGCTGGGAGCAGGTACATGAACGACGCGGCCATCGTGGAGGTGGGGACGCACAACGAGCTGATGAAGTGCGAAGGCGAGTATGCGCGCTTGTGGCGCATGCAAGCCGAGGCATTTCTATGAATCTGATGCTAAAGGTGAGTCAGCATCTGTTCTATCCCTCTGCCTTTGGGGTAAGATGTCATTCGGCTTATTCTTAGAATGAATCACGAGTCACGATATCATGATAGAGTTACGGCTGAAGGCGAGGAGGGAGCTTAAGAAGTGGCTAGTAGCTCCGGATACACTAACTTAGGTCCAAATAGTATGGCGTATACAGCATATCAGATAACGGCTTTCAGGGTGACTTATTGGCGTAATGTGTGGAGGAAGATGGAAATCCAGGGGAACGAGGAATCCCAGGCTTCGTGCATGATCTACATGATTTACAGGAGTACGCTGAGAAGGTATCGCATGATGTGCATTCTGTGGTATAAGCATTCCGCGTGTACATGCTTGATCTGGTTGGGGTTATGATTCGCATCGAGAGATCTTTTTGTTCGATTATCTACTCTGCTATGGCAAGCCCTGCTCGAGGTCTCGCCATGGGAAGCGATCTGGTTGAAACTCATGCAAGCCTTCGGCGGAGTAGGCGGTGTTGGGAAGAAACCGGGCGGAAACATATATTACGCAATAAAAGCGGGAGGGTGCCTCGAGCGGTGTTTGAAAGATGGAGAAGGGGAAGGCTGCGTGACGGTGACGAGACCGTTAGTGCAACGCCGCCAACGCTGTCCAGTACGTCCCCCTCCCCTTCCCAAATGCCCTTCGTCGTCGACCATGTTCGTTCATTAGGTCCCGCACGCCGCCCACAATGCCTCCTCCCCACTACGACTTCCTCATCAAGGTGCGTAGGCCCTGTCGCTCGCATCGTCCTGCAACTCACCCCTCCACAGCTCCTTCTCATCGGCGACTCTGGTGCGCGCGTTCGTGCCTTGTTATGAATTCCTACTGACGGAATAAACGTACCGCCCGCGTGTTACGTGCTGCGTGCGCGTTTGGGGTGATGGTCGTCGTCGTTGCGAAACAGGCGTCGGGAAATCGTGCCTACTGCTCCGCTTCTGCGATGACGCGTGGACGCCCTCGTTCATCACCACCATCGGCATCGACTTCAAGATCCGGACCATAGAGCTTGACGGCAAGCGCATCAAGCTCCAAATCGTACGCATTCGCTTCTGTTATATCGGCCCTGTCTATTGATTTGTAGGCTACGGTCGGGCTGACGCTGCACTCTAGTGGGACACAGCCGGCCAGGAACGGTTCCGCACGATCACCACGGCATATTACCGCGGTGCCATGGGCATCCTGCTCGTGTACGACGTCACGGACGAGCGCTCGTTCAACAGTACGCACCATTCGTCGCTGGCGCCACTCCTGGCCAAAGACCGACATGCTGACTTGTGGGGCTGGCAGATATCCGCACCTGGCACGCGAACATCGAGCAGCACGCCTCGGAGGGCGTTAACAAGATCCTGATCGGCAATAAATCCGACTGGACGGACAAGAAGGCCGTCACTGAGGAGCAGGGCCGCGCGCTCGCTGACGAGCTCGGCATCCGCTTCATGGAGACGTCCGCGAAGGTCAACGAGGGCGTCGAGGAGGCATTCTTCACGCTCGCACGGTGCGTCTCATTCTTTCCCGGTCGTGGAATCTTGCGCGATCGGAGACTAAATCGTGTGTCTGTTCATTCGCGGTTGTGCGCGCACAGGGATATCAAGGCGCGTCTGATCGACTCGCAAGCCGACGCGGCGGGCGCACCCGGTGGTAGCCCCGCCGATGGCTCAGTCAAAGTCAACCAGCCCTCGACGCAGACCGCGACGGGATGCTGTTCATAGATCTGGCACGACCGCGCGTCGTGTGCCTCCTTCCACTGTCGGTCTCTCCTCTCGTCATTCGTCGATGCTGGGCTTCGTGTACCCCTGTACATATGCACTCCGTATCGCTCCACGTCGTGCGCACTCCCGGGGCCAGCTGGAGGGCCCCGTTCTTGTTGTCGTACTCCCTGCTCCCCCACCCTCTGCACGTTGCCGTGTCCTGTCTCCATCTCCTGCAGCTTACCTAGGTCTTCTTCAATTCGTACATCTGTAATGCATGCCAAGGACCACTTCCGTATTCATCCGTCGCGATCCCGCCCCAAAAAGTAAGTAAACAAACAAGAAAAGCAACGACGACGACAGCGCGAATACTACATAGTACATGTGAACAAATGAGATCCTATCAACACTTTCGCAATCGACTCCAACCCGCGCGGCATCCCGCACCCACATTTTATTCGGTGATATTACTCCGCCACGCTGGCATTCCAGTTCCCGCCCCACCACCGGCGCATGCGCTCACCGCCCCACTCGTCGTACTCGGCGCGCGACACGCCGACGTGCGCAAACGCGTCCGTGCGCGCGAATGCGGCCATGCCACGCCACGCGTCGAGCGCGGGGTCCGCGGCGCGCGCGAGCGCGAGCGGCATCTCGGGCGGGAGGATCGGGCGGAGGGTCGCGTGCAGACGGTCAGCGAGGCCGGGGAGCGATGCGGGCTGGCCGGTGAGGAAGACGTTCTGACGGAATCGCAAACGATCAGTGTCAGATCAGTCAGTACTGTTGGTTGGGAGAGCGGGTAAGGGAAGAAGAGAGAGGGTACCTGCACGAGCCGTCCGCGCTCGGAGAGCGAGAAGGCGCTGAGGACGTTTTGGAGGACTTCGCCGAGCCCGGCCGAGTCGACGCCTGCCATGTTCGGGGAGAACCAGGCCTCGGCGACGCGCCACCGCTCGGTGGAAAGGTGGATCCGGGTATTACCTGCATGCAGGTTAATTAATAGAAAGGGATATTAGAACACAAAAGCATGCAAGGACCGAATGCGCACCCTCGACGTCGCCATCGTCATACTGGGGCCGGAAGGCGGAGATGAGTGCCGAGCGCTGGCTCGTGAGCGCCGCGTGTGTGTGTTGGGCGTCGAACGTCGGGTCGTGCGCGAGCAGCTTCGTCTCTATGGTCTGCAGCTGCGCTATATCATCCTCCTCGTCCGAAGAGGGCGCGGTCGTGTTCTACGAGTGTGCGCCTCAGTAGGCTGAAGAATGCCGAAGATGGAGCGACGAATGAACGCACAATTTTGCGATAGATCGCCCAGTCGGCGTCGTCTGCGCCGAACATGTCCTCTACGAATAAGAGATGTCAGTGGATGAGGTAAACGATCTGTCGAGAGGAGGACGACGACACTTGCCACCTCCGCCCTTTCTTCGCTTCTTCGACACGCGGTCGTCCGCCGCGAGGCTTGCGATGCTTTTCATGCGCGCCTGGCTCGCCGCGCTCTTCCGATCCGTGAGTGCGACCTTGCGCCTGCTGCGCTCCTTGATGCGGCTGATGATCGTCTGAGGCGCAGGTGTCAACTGTGCCAAAAATAGTACGCCAAGGAAGGAGCGACGCACCTCCTGTTCTTTGCGCAGCTTGCCTGCCCACCCGGCGAGATCGCGCTCGCGCTCCTCGAGCTCCCGCTGCTCCTCCGCCGCACGCTCCTCGCGCTCTCGTTCTTTCTCGCGCCGCGCCCGCGCCCGCGCTTCGAACCCGGCCTTCATCATTTTCTGCTTGCGCTTCTCCTTGATGCCCTCTTCGTCGAGCTGTTTGTGCGGACCACACAGAAATTAGATAAATCAATACTTTGGCGAGGTGCATGCAGAAAATTGGGGAGGGACATACTTCGGCGTCGGGAACGTCGACAAGAGGGAAGGCCGGCTCCTCCTGGTGGCAAAATATATGTGAGATTTACACAATCCGTCTATGTGGCGAGAGCCGGAAATTGGTACGAACAATGACGTCCTCGCCCTCAGCCTCTTTCTTGCGCGCCTTTTTGAGATCAGCCTCGAGTTTCTTGATGGACTGGTCCAGAGCGGCATCGTCACTGAAGCCCTCCGATTGCAGAGACATCTTCCGTGTCATACCGGCAGTCGATTAGATTCGGGTTTTCTTAGACGTAAATGTGGGTGCATGCTGCGCACCTGCCACTCGCGCTTTGTCTCTTCCTCCTTGCGCTCTTTCAGGTTGGTCAAGTACTGCAAATCGTTCTCCTTCTGCATCAACTGTTACGATGGGGCGGGACGACATAGCGGGCCGTGTATAAGGGACGAGAGCGAATAGTTAGTGCCGGTATCGCTCGAGTGCTCCGCATATATGCACGCGCCTTGTCGAGCCGCGCTTTGGCAGCAATCTCCTGGAGCTTGCGTCCCTGCTCGCGCCGCTTCTCCTGCGCGCGCGCAACCTCTTCGGCAGATTTTTCGTCTGCAACGGGGATGGCGAACGGGAATTGGATTATGCGCTCGGCAGCGCGGAGCGCAGCCGGGTCGCGCAGGCGCCGCAAGAGCGCGGTGTAGTCTGGGGCGACTTCGCAAAAAGTTTGAAGCATCCACTACATGCGAGACTGGTTAGACAGAGGGAGAAAGGGGACGGGATAGGTGAATTGGCGCGGATAAGAATGCGTACGTTTGTTTGAGAGGGTGGGACACGCGTAGTGAATGTGGGGTATTTTAGCTGGATGAGCTTGAGGAGGTAGTCGGTCGCCTGCTGTGCGCCCCACGGTATCCTATATGCGGGCAAATGTTCGCCTTTGAGTCTACATATGAAGAGCAGATTTCAAAGCTTCCAAGCCTCGCGAAACGTGAAACTGGAAACGATAGCACAACTATTCGAGGCCTATGATAGCCTTAGAGACTAAACTTGGCCGTATTGAATGGTATATCAAGTGAGACTCTCCAGTGGCGATGGTAGTCGTTCTCATACACTCTGCTTTTCGACACGCGAGGCTTAAAGCTACCGCACCGAGACAAAGCACGCACCGTTTTGCCTGGCTCATGATACCTTTCCCGTCGAGGACGGGTATCACGGAGGTCGAGGCCGTGTTGAAAGAGACAATGAGACCGTCGACAGTGAATGGAACGGAGAGTGGGGTTGGGAGGTTGTTGTGGTAGAAGGACATGACAGAGTCAACGGCGTATGTGAGGGAGGGGACAGAGTAGAGCTCGAACATAAGCTCAGAGGTGACTGGAGAAGCAGATCGGGTGCTCAATTGTTTTGTGTATGTGCTAGGGAACAGGACGTACGAGCTCGCGAGTGCAATGGGGACGCGAGGCGCTCGGTCATGAGGACGGGGTGCTCAACGGTCGGTGTGTCGATTCCAAGTTGTATAAATGCATAGTCCAGTGCATGTTCCTAGTCGACGCCCAACCAGAGCAAAAAGCGCACCTTCGTTAATTCGCACTCAAAGATTCCCCTCTCACGCGCTCACAAAATATCTAGATCAAGGTGTGAGGACTCACCAACGCGTCGAAGTTGAGCAGCACGTCACCCTCCCAAGGCGTCCTCAGCTGGCCCCGAGCGCCGCTCTCGGCATCAATGGCGTCACCGAAGAGGAGCAGCTGGCGCCCCTGCTTGCGCTCCTTGAATTTCGCGACGGCATTGATCGCGGTGCGGGGCGCATCGTCCGTGGAGAAGCCGAAGCGCAAGTTGGTCGCGCCATTGTCGATGATGAGGGGCGTGCGTGCGCCGCGATGGGGGTCGTAAGATGAGGGGGTGGGAACGGCGGGCAAAGAGGGAGTTGGGAGGCGCGTAACGTTGAGTTCAGTGGCCATGATGCATGGTCCAGCGCTCTCACTGCAGCTCACGTCGAGGACGGTCGATCCCAGAATGGAGACTCTCACGGACCAATTTACGAATGAATCACGCAGGTTTGCTACAAATGTGTCGAAATAGCTCATCATCTAGTAGCCGCCGTTCTTATCCACCGCCGCTCTCTTTGTGGAAAGCAATGGTAGACCACAGTGCACTCTAGTGCACTGAACAGTCTACAAACTGCGAGTACGCGAATACCGCAACGCCCAACGTCAACAAATCTCAAGTTGCGCCAAACCATGCACGGATTTCCAGAGAACCCCTGGCCAGGAATAGAGCAACCATCAGTTTATATGGTCCAACTATGGTCCGTCGCTCTATGCATCTTCTCACGTTCGCTGTATTGGAATTTTTTGTTCCTCCTTGACCTCTACAGTTGCATAAGTATGCGGAACGCGGCCACTCTCATATCAATCTGGTGCTGTAATGTCCGCTCAAGCTACCTCCGAACCTGGTTATAGGCATCTGTGTTCTATAGGTCTCTTCCGATCCGCCGATATCTTCGACGCCTGTCCACTTGCCTCGCGGCTAAGAGCTGCACTTGGGGCCCCACGATTACTACCTTAACATGCGCGGCATCACCTGCAGTCTTGGGGACCGATATGGAAGGGCACCTAGAATGCTATAGTTCGCCTCGCCCCATCCAGTCGGTGCTGTGACATGGCGGCAAACAGCCTGCATCCTCTTTCTCCAACCACGATGATGTACCCGACTAGCGTTCAACAGCACGACATTCCTGGGGCGTCTGACCGAGCAGACATCCGATACTTTCGATTGGAGACTGTTCATGAAATGGTCGCTGCCATTCACGATCGGTCCCCATCAGTCCTCGGCGTTTCTGTCGGGCTCAACGATACAGGTTCAATCACAGCTGTCGCTTTTGCCACGGAGCACAATATATTACATCTTCGATGGGAAAAGAGCGAAGCCCATCTCTTGAAATCCCAAAGGATTCTTTCCGTTTTCAAATCGTTGTTTTTGTCCGCTCACGATAGACCTTTCGCCGCGTTTGAGATGGGATATGTTGCATTTCTGATCTATGGCTCTCTCGGTGTTCATGTCCAAGGCGTGGACCTTTCTACAGTCACCTCTGAGAAGCTAAACTCGCCGGGTTGTGTCATGGCCAAGCTCAGAAACCTCGAGTTCGCATCTCAGCTCGCAGTGGACGTGCGCTGGGATCGGCTTGGCGAGGGGAAGGGCGCACAACCAGATATCTGTGTCCGTGCATGGTACTCAGCCATGTAAGTTTCTCCTGTATTCACTTCACTTGGTGAGTATCTCATGAAGATGTCTGCAGCACAGCTAGTGCAATTAGCAGTCTTCTTGCTCCCCCGCTGTTGAAGACCGATTATATGAACAAAACAGTGCATACTCTATCAATGGGATGACGGCGCTTTGAACTCATTTTCATATAGGATCTTTCAATTCTCCATAAATGGGTCAAAAGAATTCAGTTGCTGAATAACATGAAACCCCTCGTTCAAGAGAACGATTTCGACGGCATCAAGCTCACGAAGAACGATGACATATTAGTGCAGAACTCTCGTTTCAAGACTCGCGTCAGAAAGAGCAGACAGGTACGTTGGGGCAAAAATTTATCCAGGCGAAGATTAAATTCCCCTCCCTCATAGACCTCAGTACAATTCATCGCTTCAAACGGCGATGTGCTCCAGAGTGGAAGAGCAACGCGTGCCACTGGAAAAAGGACGACCGTGAAGGCCGTCGGCGCACCCAACAGAAGAGTGGAAAAGTTTTGTAAAACAGTCCGTATCCATGGTCGCGAGGAGCCAACGAACGCAGAATTTGCGCAGTATTGGTTTCTGTTGGATGCTTTGCGAGGCAAATTACAGCTGCGTTCAGCTTCGAGCTTCATCGAGCTTTTGTGGCTCCCAAAGTCTGGTCGTAAGCAAGAACTCAAGATGACACGCCCGCGTCTTTCTCATCAGCATCGTGGCGATCTGGGCGAGGTCAATGACTCCCAAAGGCGAGTCATCGAGGCAATGTTATCAGAGGAACCATTAGTCATCGTGCAGGGTATGTATGATATCCTTATATCGCAAGGCTCTGCTCATCCTGAATAATATATTGTCTTCCAGGGCCTCCGGGGACCGGAAAGACATCAACCATAGCGGAAGCTGTCAAGGTTTTACGGAATAACAGGGAGCCTGTGTGGGTCGTTGCCCAATCGAACGTTGGCGTCAAGAATATTGCGGAAAAACTCTTCAAGGAACGCATCGACTTCAAACTCATTGTATCTAAGGAGTTTTATGTCGAATGGTATGAATCAATCTTTCTCACATGCCTTTGATCTTCGTCACCTTCGGTGATGTTCCTCCAGGCATGAAGAATTGTACGAGAAAATTGAGAAATATATCATACGCTCTGACGACCTGCCAAATGACGATAAATCTGGTGTCGCCGTTGGGCGTCTTCTTCTAGGAAGCACTATCGTGCTTTGCACGCTCAGCATGCTATCCAATCCAACGTTGCACAATTGCCGCGCATTCTCTGTAGTGCCTGTGGAGCGGCTCGTCATTGATGAAGCATCGCAGATCGACGCGTTTGAGTTCATGGCAAGCAATATGCATGATTCCTTTGTCATTTGATTATTCAAGCTGGGCTGTCGCATTTCCAGCACATCTTTCGCAAGTTCAAAAAAGATCTCTCAAAGTTTCCTTCTTCGGTGACCCAAAGCAGCGTAAGTGATTGCTTGAGTGTGGTTCACTATGTATTAGCAACCATCCACCGTATAGTCCCACCGTATGGGGCCGAGCAGGCCAAACTGGAAACCATCTTTGACATCAAGCATCTCTCCAAAGCTGCCTACTTTTTGGATACACAATGTAAGTCTCTTATCGATGCCTCTCCGATTCTGTGATATTGACTTGCATAGATCGTATGCCTGTGCCCCTGGGCAATTTCATATCCAAACATGTGTACGGCAACAAGCTTCACTCCCAACATGATATAAGGGAAGCAGGTTGTATTCAATTCATAGATGTTTCCAAAGGAGAGGAACAGAGATCGGGGAGCAGTTCCAAGGTGTGTGATCGTTTATCCGATGCGGCACTCGCATAATATTATCAACACGCATTTATAGAACGTGGAAGAAGTGCACACAGTCGTCCGACTGGTTCAACAGTATTATAACAAGGAGGACTTCTGTGTCATCACACCATACGATGCTCAGAGAGCGGCCATATCGATGCAGCTGAAGAAGAACGACTTGCATTCTGATCGCGTCTTTAATGTTGACAGTTTCCAAGGTATCTCCTTCCATATTCATCGCCGCGCCTGGCTCTGACACTCCTGCGAATTGCAGGCAACGAGGCGGGTTATGTAATCGTCTCAGCCGTTCGGTCGAAAGGCCCTGGCTTCCTGCGCTCCGAGAACCGGATGAACGTCATGCTCACCCGGTGCAAGAAAGGTATGGTCATCGTCACTAGCCGAGCATTTCTCCAGGGCGGTGGCCGAAAGACGCTGCTCGGGCAGCTTGCGGCAGAATACGAAGATAAGTTTGGGGTAGAGAAGACTTGGTCAGACTGGAGACGAGTGGTAGAGGGGAAGGCCGGTGGCCCCATGGAGGCAGGCGTCTCCGCACGACGGTTGCAAGCGACTAAGACAGACACGGCTCCGAGAGTCCCTCCAGGCAGCCATGCACACAGTAATGCTCTGAAGCTCGGAAACCGTCTTAGATTGACGGCCGCCAGCGTATTGTAGAGGTGTGTATAACAAGGATCAACGGTCCACGGGTTCGCTAGCTCCGCACATTTTCCACCTATTCTTGATATATGAGGCTTGTCAATGCCATCTGATCTTGTGTCGTGGCAGGGTAGTCTGGCAATGATGTAAAAACGACTACATGCGATAATCTAACACAACACGACGTTATATTCACAAGAGTCATGCAGCTCATGGCTTCGCCTTGACACTGCTAACGATCAAGTTCTGCAGTCCTGCATTCAGCAACCGAGCGTAAAACCAAGCCCAAAAAAGGACGAACCTTGTACGCTTGCACATCGCCCTTGAACTTGCTGACCATGCCGTCGCCACACACCCACAACTACAAAGGGAGAAAAAAAAGTGAGCGATTAAAGCAGGGAGACCAAAGGACGGGGAGCTCACCTCTCTCGCGACGGTGGTGATGAACCGTTCGTCGTGAGAGATGACGATCACGCCTCCATTCCACGCACTCAGCGCCATCATTAACGCGTCGAGACCCTATTGAAATATTAATATTGATCCTGTCTACATGGTATTGTACCACATACCTCCAAATCCAAGTGATTAGTTGGCTACATGATCAGGATCTCGTATTAGAGGTTATCGTGGATGGCACAGAAAGAGAGACAGACCTCATCGAGCAGCAAGATATGCGGCTGCTGTAACGATAGCACAGCGAATGCTACGCGCGACTTTTGTCCTCCACTCAGAGTACCGATCAGCTGCAACCTGCGCGATCACACGAGCACCGTCAGCACTCGAGTGCGTAGCCTGACATCCACGGTAAAAAGACAAGACGCACCCAGTCATACCACTAATTTGGAAATTTCCCAAATGCTGGCGGTACTCCTGTTCGGTCTTCCCTGGAAATCTTGACGCAAGGAACTGTACAGGGGTCATCGTCTGGATGAGCGTGTCGACGTGGTGCTGTGCGAAGTATCCACTATGAGAGTATATGCGTTCACATCTGTAAATGGTGTCTACGACAGAGGAGGAGAGAAAACGTACACGCGTAACCGGCCATTGCGCGACAAGTGTCCTGATAATGGCTTCAGCTCGCCCGTCAATAACTTGATCCTGCAAAGGCGTTCAAGTCACGTCAGAACGCCATACCTTCATTGTATTTGATCTTCTGCGCGGTCGATTCGGACTCACAGCGTAGACTTTCCGGCACCGTTGGACCCGACAATGGCGATCCGCGAGTCCAGACCAACATCAATGTTGATCTTTTCGAGGATGATCTTGGCCTGGTCGTATCCGAACGTGACGTCGGACAGCTGAAGCAAGGGTGGGGAGATTTTTTCTGTCTCTGGGAAGCTATGAGAAGTAGTGGCGTATTAGTCGCTTGGTGTGCATGGCAAATCATTGAGCATGTATGTATCACCGGAATTTCTCAGTCTCTTCCGCTTCTGGAGGCGTCAATTCGGGCAGCTGGGACGAAGTTTTGTAGTCAATACATGCACGTAAAAATCGGGGCACATTTTACCTTCTCGAGGATCTTAATCTTCGACTGTGCCTGTGCAGCTGCAAGGACGTCAATATCCCACGAAACCTTTCAGATGATAAGGGCAATTATACCCCGATTGGCGTTGTATCGCCACCGGTCGATGAACGCCTGCAGGTGCTTGCGATATTCCATCTGCGCATCATACTCTTTCTGGAGGTTGCGTTCGCGCTCTGATTTTGTCGAATAGAATTGGGTGAAATTCCTACGGACGAAACAGTCAGCCTCTTTCAGGGTGTGGAAGAGATAATGCGGCCGTACCCCTTGTAGTAATCGAGTCGTCCAGAGTGTTGGTGTATAATGTCGGTAGCAACGGCATCTCTGCGGGCATGCTAAGCACTGTTTACTGAGAGAACATGTAACGACCTACAGGAAAGCTCGGTCATGGGAGCTGATCGGAATCAGCTTCTCGGCTGTGGGAATAGGAGAAGAATGAACACGCACACGACGAGTAATGTGCCCGGCCATGTTTGCAGATAATCTTCCAGCCACGCGAGAGCGTTCAAATCGACTGTGGAAAATATGAGCACCTTACCCCTTGAGAGGCATGATGACTTTACTGTGATTAGAAGGCTCATCCAGAAGCAGAAGCGCAGGCTAACGGAACGTGAGTATACGCTATGTCATAAATACCATGAAATATACCTTGACAAAGAGGGCACGCGCCAATGCGAGTCGCATCCTGAAGATTGTCAGATATAATTGTTATGAAAATGCGAGGACTTACCTCCATCCACCACTGAATGAGCTTGTCGGCCGTGATTGATCCGATTCGCTGAATCCCAAACCTGCGATATATCTGCGTCACAAATGTTTACGACAAATAGGCTGCCGGATAGCACTCACCAGCCAATAATGCAGCCGCCCTTGCTGGCCCGCTCTCTGCATCCATGTCGGCCAACCTTGCATGTACCTCTGCCATCCGCCCACTGACATCATCACGCTCCTCCTCCAAGCGCGGGTCGCTGTCCCCCTGCGCATCCAGCTCTGCCATCTTCGCGTTGAGTATGGCTTCTTCTTTGAGCAGGTGATCTCGCCAGACATCGGCTTTGAGAACCGAGGCGAGAGCTGTTGTGGAATCGCCGATAATCTACACGTGGCGGGAGGTCAAGGAAAATTAGGCGAGGCGGAGAAGTGCGTACTTCTTGCTCAACGAAGAGGATTGTGATGTGTGGAGGAATAGGGACTTCTCGCATAGCAATGTGTCTGAGAAGGGTGGACTTTCCGACACCTGGACGACATGATATGGGTTTGCAGTAGCAAGTGGTGCTGCAATGTTATCATACCGTTTCGTCCGATGATACCATACCGACGACCATGAGCCAAAGTGAGGGAGGCACCAGACCTAGATAGAGTGATAAGTGTATCCGTGGCATGCAGCTTGATGATCTTACAAAATGCGATTCGAGCCGAAGTTGACATCGATGGAAGGAAGGTGAATGTCTTTGCTCTTGTTCTTGGACGATGCGCTCGCTTCCAAAGGATTGATCTGGATGATTATTTGATGTCAATGGCGGGCATGAATTCACAAGCTGACGAATTCTAACTTTCATGAACATCTCCTCGTAAGATTGCTGCAGAAATAACCTCCTGTCAATACCTTGCGAATCAAAGATGGAGGGAGCAGCGTGCCTGTTTCTTTTGCTGCTCAAGCAATTTTGAGCCTTCGTAAAGATCTCTGCGAGATCGTTTCTCAATTTTGGCCTAAAATTAAAGGACATGGTGAGTACAAAAGCATGAGAAGAGGTACCATAGTGCGCGAACCTTGAGTTTCGCTTCTTGTTTCTCAAGTTTCTTGACATCGACACGAGATGCTCTTCCAGAACTTATATATCAAAAGAATTCTATGATAGACATTGACTTCAGCTACGCACTTTCCCTTGTTGATCGACTCCAGATCGACACCCTCCGTAAATGCGATGGTGTTCGACATCGCGCCCGCCTTGCTCATGTCCATCACTTTGTCTAGCCGCTGCAGCTTCGGTCCTGACCGATTGTTCTCCCTCGCCATGAGCTGGTCCTGCAGCAGTTCCCCGAGCTTGCTCATGAGCTGCTCGATCACGCTCTCTTTGCCCATGGCGACAGAGTCGAGCATCAGGCGCGCTACCTGCAGGATGTCATCGTCCTCACTTGCTTCGTCGACGAGATATCCGGAAAGGTATTGAACAACGATTTCCTCGATCCCAGGAAGCGTGTTCCGAATTTCTTCTGCGATATCTTGGGACGACATGTACGCAAGATGGAGGCTCGAAATAGGACCGAAAAGGCTTCCGAAATTCGACCTCGATTGGGAAATGAAAACGACCTGTGATGTCGCAGTCATGCGGGATGCGTCATCACGCGTCCAGTCACGTAGAACGCATCGCGTCTCAATCTTCAACTGTATTCTTCGTTCCGAGACTTCACAAGCCGAACTGCATCTGTGTCGCGGTTTCAAGGTAACTATATCAATCCGCTATCAAGGGCATGTTTCTTGAGCATCGAGACAGAAGCGAAGCACGGAAATGAGGGAACAGGTCGAAACTCCTTGAGCAACACCGTACTTCAAAGGAGAAGACTATTCAGCCAGGCTTCAGAGATCCATCTGTGCAAAGGGGTATAGATGTTGAATGCCAACATGCCGGCCGTCACAGTTCAGTGCATCTATTCACTCGTACAGATGCGATATTGGAGCATGATATTAGAGAGTTCAAGCGTCGTGCAAGAACCACTGTCATTGTTTTCATTGGTTTTGATGTCTTGGTGGAGCCGCCAATTGAAGCACAAGGAGATCAAAAGCATCCGGTTTAATATACTACGCGCTAAAACTTGAACAAAAGAGTGACCTCAGGGAGAAGGATCCACATTTGTGTATGCGCGGATTCTCTGGCATGGTGAAGATTGAGCTCGTTGGTGAATAGGTGGATGGAGGTATATATGCATTCAAGTTGTTGACAAAGGCTTTACATCTGTTCCAGCTAGATACAAATATCCGGAGACCACGTCGGAGGTTGAAGGAGAATCGTCAACGTTGCTGCCTTTGGGAGACTAGTTCCAGCCCGAGAGGATGTCACAGCCTTTGTGGTGCGGCAACACCCACGTCGTGTGCCACGACAGTCTGGCCGCGCGTCTTAAACCGGGATTGTTAATTGAGCACAGAATGGAAAAGGCGCTCAGACTATTCAACCTTGAGAATCTACACATCGTTGCCGCCACGTCAGAACAAAGGATTGATCGTGGTTCAATGTTGAATTGAAACCCACACGTTCAAGTGTGCATTAAGGGCGGCGGCTATGATGCATCTCTGACAGATGAAGCCAGTCTGTCACCTAGAGATGGAAAGCCACCATCACCGTTAGAGAACAACAACGACGGGTAAGGGAGCCATTGACGCTGAATTGAAGGAAGCTGTGGGGGCGTGACGGCTGTGTGACACCGGGAGGTTTTCGCGCTGCTGTGCGGCTCTTCCTCTGACCACGATGACCATGCTCTCCTCTACCACCGAGGCTCCTCAGCCTTTTGCATTCTTCGCACACCCTAAATCCTCGCTGTCCTCATCTTCCCCCAGCCCCGCCGTCGTTGTTACCACGCGTATCGTGACGGTGCCGCGTCCTGTCACACAGAAGCCTAACCTGGTTGCGGTCATACGCCCACCTACCAAATCTGTTCCAGTCTACAAGCCGAAGCCGGATCGCCAGTCCACTCCCTTAAAGCGAAAACACGCCGATGATAATGGCGCTTCCGAGCCACCACAGCCGCCCCCCGCAAAAAAAACACGCCTGAGTCCATCAGGCGCAGCACCACGCGCGAAACGCGCGAGCCACTCCCCGAGTTCCTCATCCGCGTCAGGGTCGGGGTCGCGCGCTTCGACGCGTCTTCGGTCTTCTACTCCATCATCCTCTGTCGAGCCTCTTTATAGAAAAAGTCGATCACGCTCTACTTCCGTCCTTCGGGCCACTGACGAACCAATACCAAGAGGTGATTGCTATGAAGCGCAGAGTGGCTCTCCTGGGGTAGGGTTTCGCAGCAATGAAATGGTCGTGGTTGACCTGATAGACAAGGGTGTCACGCATTACGTAGCATGTACGCACAACCACTGTCTTTTGAAACATTCAGCTCACATCCCTCTAGATTTCCGTAATCCAGACGACCCGACGGACAAGTCGTTTGAGCCACATCCTGCTAATTATCCAGTAGCTGAGTTGGAGTTTCCAAACACAGGGTCGTCAGAGAGGTTTGTCTCCTAGTGTGTTAGACATTCACGCGCTCATCACTCCCTCAGGTACATCCTCCTTGCACCCAAGGACCCGAATCACTACAGTCCCATTATGTGTCTTGAACAATCGTTGTATCGAATTGTGGAACGTGAGTAGGATTGTGACTTTGCACGGTCTTTGCCTAATAGACATTCCAGACTACCTTACCCCCGAGCAACGGGCATTGTTTGGTACTCTGCCTGATACTCTTGTATCTTCGGACGAGTCGTTGCCTTCCACATCTGATCCTTCACGGACGGACTATCTTCGACTAATTCGCCGAGCCATCCATAAGCGCGATGGACCTCTCTTTCTCTCCACTCTCGCTGAAATCAATTCACTTCTCCATCGACTAAAATACCCTCCACTTCCTGCCGACCCTTTCGCTCCACTCCAGCCAAATGGCTTGAAAGAAGTTGTTCGTGAGTGGGCCACGTCAGGAATCCCCACAAAGGTTGTCAAGCGTATTGTCGAGGAAACATATCAGCGCACTGTTGGACCTCGCACGTCTGAGCTTGGGAATTATCCTGCCTTTTCGGATTACGTCTATGGAGAACTACAGCCGGACTTTATATCCGATCTGCTACATCTTGCGCACTTGCGCCCTGGCATGCTGCTCCTTGATCTTGGATGTGGTGTGGGCAACGTCGTATTGCAGGCCGCGCTCCAGAGTGGCTGCGATACTTTTGGAATAGAGTTCATGGCGGCACCAGCAGATATGGCCCGGGAGCAGTACGTGCAGATGAAGGCCCGCGCCAAAATGTGGGGAGTCTCGATGGGGAATGTCGAGCTGGTGGAAGGCAATATGTTGGAGAACACGAGGGTATCCGAGCTCATGAGCAAGGCCGACGTTGTCCTTGTGAATAACAAGGCATTCAGCGAGAGCCGTACGTCTTTCATGTCCACTGGCCGTCTATCAATATACTTACTTTGAACAACTTCACAGTGAACGAAGCCATCCGGCCGAAGCTGCTCGATCTCAAAGAGGGCGCGTTGGTGATCTCACTTGCGCACTTCGTGCCACCAAATGCCCGACTCACAGAGCGCAATATCGACGACATATCTGCGATCTTCGATGTGCAGGAGCACAAGTATCGCCAAGGCTATGTCTCGTGGCACGGCGAATCGGGATCATTTTATGTCCATCGCGTTGATCGTGAAGGGTACGCAGAGATTCGTGCTCGCTTTGAGAGTGGCCGAGCGGCGTTAGGTAGGTATTCTCGCTCACGGCGATAGCTACGTGCCATCGTCGCTGGACATAGCCGTTCCGTTGACTATGTCTGGGGGGGACAGTGGCTGTTGGACCATCATTTGTTATTTGCTCATTATCGGTTGTGATGCTTTGGAATTGCTTTTGGGATGACTGTTTACTTCTTATTCCTATCATTTTTATTCAGTTCTTGCTGCACTGCTTTGTTCGTTTACCGTAGACTGCGGTTCCTATACATATATTTACCTACGTTCCGTGTTTACTTGCCATTTGTTGTCTGTAGCTCTATTATCACAACTCTGTACGGCGTGCAGGACTCCTACATTACGTTACGATTCGTATATATTCTTGTTAGGTGCTAATGTGTTATTGTCATATCTACCTGATACTTAGTCTTCCCAATCCTCCACCTGTGGACGCAAATTCAGAATCTCTGGTATGGGATGGCGCCGGCATCTTCGGGCCGGGAGCCGATACATGACATGGCATCCCGGTGCAATCGTCTTGGAACTGCAACGCCTACAATGGTCCACAGGCTCGATCGTGCTTCTGTCTTTCTTTTTCTCTTCTTTGTGCTGCTATCCAATTGTCCAGACTTGTCTCAAATATTCAGCTCAGTTCATCTTATAGATCGAAGGAAACGCGAAGCATGCTTCTTGTCATCGCGAGCATCGCCTTCAAGTCACTGTGGCCAGGATATATGGCATTCCAAGAGGGATGGGAGGCCACACTTGGGACACGTTGGTGGCTTTCTATTGAAACGAAAGAGGTATAAAGCCTCATAGATGAGCATCCTCCTGGATCTCACCCGTCCTCACGATCGCATTTCCACTTCCACCCCCACGCCCTGCCATGAATCCCAACTATTATCAGTTTCCCGTGCCTTCCGATTCATTCCAATCTGGACCTTCTTTCCAAAATCCGAATAACCCGCAGGCTTTCGATACGCTTGGCTCCGGCCCTGCTCTTCAAATGAATCCCGAAAACGACGGGTTCCCCGGATCTCATGGTTCATTCCAACTTGAAGCGCTCGGTCAGAGTAGTCATCAAACCTTGGACACCTTCCCGGCCCCTTTTATAGCACCAGGATATGATGCAACTCCTTATAGGCTCGAGCAAGGCTTGAATGCTAGCTTCGCTTCGAACGCGGGTTTTGGTTTATACGAGCAGCCCCAGGTAGCAGGGAATGCACATCAGTACGAGTCGAACTCTGTATCTCTGCCCCTGCCAGAGGGCCATTTCCCGCACCCGGAGAGATTCTCTTCCCATGAGGAAGCGATGGCAGCCGCTACCTTCATAATTCGATCGACCTCTCGCGAGGAAATCGAATATCTCCTCCAGCCCACCATGCTCGAAGTCGTCAGTGCGGCCTTCGGGTGGAATCACCCATTCACCCAGCACGTTTATCTACTGAACTGGAGTTCTCTCTATATGGAGCCCTTTCGGGGCATGTCGCAGCCACTCACTATCCCTGCTTTCCCTCAAGCACAGGGAGTCTCCAACAACGAGTTGAGTACTATACTCCCCTTCGCCAACGAGCCAGTGCCACTCGCTGCCCACGAGCATCATGCTTTCCCTACCATGCAAGGAGCCTCTGGCGATGCACTGAGTGCTATCATTCTTGATCAACTCCATGTCCTCGATCATATGACAACTACGGGATCCTCCACGGGGCATCTACTTCCAGTATCGATTGTTGATGAGAGTGAGTTTTACCAGTCATAAACAATATGTAAAATCAAAACTAAAGTGGAACGTTTTCACCGCACCTTAAGGCGTATGCACGGCGCGGCTGCCAACTGAATTGTGGATCAAGATATTCAGCATGGCTATTAAAGTTCCAGGAGACACGATAGTTCCTGTGCCACCCTATCCAATCCCAGGTGTTCCGCCCTCTCTCCATCAATGGCCTCCAGAGGCGGAGATGAAGGACAGAAGACAAATCGCTCTGAGCCTAACTCTTGTCTGCCGATCGTGGCGGGATATCGCTACCGAATTCTTGTACCGCACAGTTTTCATCCAAGATAGTGCAGCCAATCCAGAACGAGTGGCTAACTTTTGCCTGGCGCTCCAGCTATCATCTATGAGGCGCGGCGTTTACGGAAACGGGACGCTGGTTGATTTTCTCCTCATTGAAGCGGAAGTATGTTCCGCTCATGAGGTCGGGACCATACTTCGCCTTTGCCCACGTCTACGCACTTTCATCATCAAAAAGAAGAACTACTGGTCGTTGAAGGAAATCGGTCAGTTTATCTATCCTGGACTTCATGCCAACAAGAACTTGTGTCGAGTGGAATGGAAGGCGATATCTTTTGGGCGCAGAGTCACGGGGAAATCTATCATCATGGCCAAAAGCATGGTCAACTTGCTCCCTGAAAGTGTCCGAGCCTACGAATTCTATTGCCAAGCCGCACCAAAGGATGTATCGGGAAAGGGTGTTCGCTATGCGAATCTCGTAGATTTGACTGTGCATGGCGCGCGGCGGAAACATCTAGAGGCCTTGCAAGATTGGGAACTACCTTCGCTGACGCACCTGAGCATTGACGTGGCAGATACCTTGCACATAACTTCCGTGCACGCTTTGCTCAAAATACACGGAAAGAACCTTCAATATCTCCATCTAGATGAATATAGCACCACCTCCGCGTCCGCAGCTCTGAAAGAGCTGTGTCCAAACCTATCCGAATATGCGATTTCTGCTCATCGAACGCGTTCGATTTCCGACGCATTGGTCCCGCCTCGTCTGTCCAATCCTACGATCACCTACCTGGTGCTTGCCATGCAGGACTGCTATTGGCGTGGATGGGATGATTTATATATAACGATGGATCGGATCTTAGGCTTTGAAATGCCTGCCTTGCGCTGTGTACGCGTGCTCCTTGATCGAAACCCAAGCAGACTGTTCTTGCCAGCAGGAGTTGCCATCTTCAAACGGCAATTCCAAGAGCGAGGCATCGCAGTCGAAGATCAAGACGGCCTGGATCTCCTCGATGAGAAATACCCGGTTAAGGTGCCTGCTCACTTGCAAGGCCTCAATTTCCTCATGCCAGTGGATTCCGATGGACATCTCAAGCAACAATAAGCCAGAGAGATCCGTATACTTCACTCATTATATACTATTCAAACTTCAAGTCCCAACCTCCGAGCCCCGATTCACTTTTTCTGGCCTGTTCTTGTGTAGCAGAAGAGACATGGCGGTCTAAGTCTTTACACGATTCTATGTTATGTTCTTTGATCGATCTTGCATGTGTATCAGTAGTCTATGTGTTTTATGTGATCCGATCCTTTACCCTTTGCTGGAGAACTCGAATGTAAGTGAGTGACTAGCTGGCATGCACATGAAATAGAACAATGGGCACATTTTGGAGCGACAGCACAAAGATAAAAACTGCACGAAGACGTTTCGTTGTGTGCTGCTGGCTCGGCAAGATGCTTACAAAATATGTGTCAAAGAGGGCGAACACCACAATCGTCCAGCCCACACCTCGTCCACGTCGTTCCTATCCTGTATGATTGTTATCCTCAGTCTGAGGAGACGTCTTGCCAAAAACGCGTACCACGTGACACTCTTCACATCTAGCGCGCGTTTCGTTCCAACGCGTCGGTCGCACCTTTCGCCGTTCCACTTTTCTACCAACGCGTTCCTTCACGCCACCTTTTCCAGTGGCACTCACACACTCGCAAGCATGAGCTCTTCCGAAGAGAACATCGATATAGATGTGTCTTCCGGCTCCGAATCGGACGACTTTACGCCAGCTGTGAAGAAGAAATCAACAGTGAGTCTTCTGAATCGAAAAGGGGACGCGTGCTGAATAGCAATGGTGATGCACAGGCAAAGGCAGCGTCAAAGCCCACTGCGAAGTCCAAGGCCACGAAAGCTCCTTCGAAATCCAACGCAGCACCAAAGAAGAAGGTTCCTATAGACGTGGACGAGAACGCGGATGACAGTATCCTGGATGTAGACAGTCGCGACTATGGGTCAGGCTCGTCCACTGCCAGAGCAGCTCCTTCTGCAAACGGCAAGAAAAAGACGGCGTCCGAGACGTATCAAAAGGTGCGCCCAACTCAATAAATGTCTTATTGTGAACCCGAGCGAGCATATATTCTTGCAGTTGACCCAACTAGAGCATATCTTGAAACGACCTGATTCATATATTGGGAGCGTTGAGACAGTCACGCAACACATGTGGACCTACGATTCAACCACAAAGCGAATGGTGCTTCGAAACGTCAAGTACGTTCCCGGTTTTTTCAAGATAGTGGATGAAATTCTCGTAAATGCGGCTGACAACAAGGTCAGTCCCGCGTATATACAGTGGTCTCACCATTCAATGATTTCGGTGTATTGTACAGATCAACGACCCCAACATGGACACTCTTAAAGTTGACATCGACGTTGAAGAGGGTACCATATCCGTCTATAACAACGGGCATGGTATTCCCATCGTGATGCACTCCAAAGAGAAAATGTATATCCCAGAACTCATCTTCGGACACCTTCTTTCCTCGTCTAACTACGACGATGACGAAAAGAAGTTGACTGGAGGTCGTAACGGCTACGGCGCCAAACTTGCCAATATATACTCAACGGAGTTCACCATCGACACCGCGGACAAGAACTCAGGCCAGAAGTACAAGCAGACGTGGTCTAATAATATGGGTACCTGTGGCAAGGCGAAAATCACCAAGAATAGCCGCGGCGAGGAGTATACTAGAGTCACCTTCAAGCCGGACCTGAAACGTTTCGGGATGGAATCCATTGACGAGGACACCGTTTCACTGCTCAAAAAACGTGTTTACGATATGGCAGGAACGGTTAAAGACATCAAAGTTGTCCTGAACGATGAGCGGGTCAAGGTCAAGACTTTCAAGCAGTACGTGGACATGTACCTCAACTCTGCAGCCGCAGAGGCGGCGGAGAACTCAGGTGGCGCGGCTCAGGTGAAGCCGTCGGTGATTTACGAGCGCATTAATGATCGATGGGAGGTCGCCTTCGCCGTGTCAGAGGGATCATTCCAGCATGTATCTTTTGCCAACTCAATCTCGACGATCAAGGGTGGCACACACGTCAACAATATTGCTGACCAGATTGCGAAGACGATTATAGCCACGATCAAAACCAAGAACAAGGGGGCGGTAGCGACACCGCAGAAGGTCAAAGACCACATGTGGCTCTTCGTTAACGCCTTGATTGAGAACCCTACGTTCGACAGTCAAACCAAGGAGACCATGACGCTTCCCGCATCCAAGTTTGGCTCAAAGCCTCACTTGTCGGAAGAGTTCCTGAAGAAAGGTAATCTTCTAGTCCGTTGTCCTTTCATCGTCGCTCACGATTGTTCCGATGAAGTCCAAAAGTCTTCAATCATTGACAAGGTTTTGAACTGGGCGAAATTCAAGGCCAACCAAGAGATCAAGAAGACCGATGGTACGAAACGAGATCGGTAGGGTCTGGTCAATTTCCGAGAAGCGTGTATTGACACTTGAATGGATGCAGGTTGACCGGCCTCCCGAAATTATCTGACGCGAACAACGCTGGGACGAGGAATGCATCTAAATGTACTCTCATTCTCACTGAAGGAGATTCTGCCAAGGCCCTTGCTGTTGCGGGGTTGGGTGTCGTCGGGCGCGACAACTTTGGAGTCTTCCCACTTCGCGGTAAAATGCTCAACGTGCGCGAAGCTAGGCATGACCAGATCATGAAGAACGAAGAAATCCAGAACATAAAGAAGATTATGGGCCTTCAGAGCAACAAAGAGTATACGAACGTCTCGAGTTTGCGGTACGGCCAGTTGATGATTATGACGGATCAGGTATAAACTCTGTATCTTCAAGCTTGAGCAGTCGAAAATTGACCGTTCTTCACAGGATCACGATGGTTCTCATATCAAAGGACTGCTCATTAACTTTTTGGATCACTTCTTTCCTTCTTTATTAAAGCTCGACAATTTCCTGGTCGAATTTGTCACGCCGATTGTTCGGGTGAGTAGGAATTTCGGGTTGATTTGGCGCTTGAAAGTGACGTGTGGGTGGTGTTCAGGTCACGAAGGGGAAACAACGCAAGGATTTCTTCACGATTCCAGAATATGAACAGTGGCTCGAGCAAACCCCCGATGCTCACAAGTGGGATTCAAAGTACTACAAGGTCAGAGATATTTACATCGCGTATCTTGAATCTAAGCTCATGCGTCCGATAGGGTCTTGGAACAAGCAAAGACTCTGATGCGAGAGACTACTTCAGTCATATGGAGAAACACATGATTTCATTTGCAAAAACTCAAGAAGGGGATAAGGAGTTAATTGAGTTAGCATTCAGCAAAAAGAAAGCTGACGAGCGCAAAGAGTGGCTGCGCCAGCTGAAGGTGTGGATAGTCTGATGGTCCTAACATACCTTCTTGCTAATTTTCCTCCAGCCGGGGACATTCCTGAACCACGACACGGATGAGATCTCGCTATCTGACTTCATCAACAAGGAGCTTATTTTGTTCTCTATGGCCGATAATATCCGGTCTATACCATCGATTGCAGATGGGCTCAAGCCAGGTCAGCGGAAGGTCATCTGGGCTTGCTTCAAGCGCAACTTGAAGAAGGAAATCAAGGTTCGCTGTCTATTCTGGTTAGATGCATATATCTCACACTTTCAATTCACTTTTAGGTTGCTCAGCTAGTCGGTTATATTTCCGAGCATGCTGCGTATCATCATGGTGAACAGAGTTTGATGATGACGATTGTTAATTTGGCGCAAGACTACGTCGGAAGCAACAACTTGAACCTGTTGTTACCGAATGGTCAGTACGGAACTCGCGACCAAGGTGGTAAAGATCATGCCGCGGCCAGGTATATCTTCACCGAGACAGCACCGATCACTCGAACAATCTTCCACCCCGCGGATGACCCTCTGCTCAGCTACCTGAAGGATGATAATGACCCTATCGAGCCGGAGTGGTATATGCCTGTGTTGCCCCTCGTCTTAATCAATGGCGTGGAGGGTATCGGGACTGGTAAGTGAAACTCTCTCAGTGACGCTTGTTGTTAAACTGGGTGCAGGTTGGAGTACTTCGATCCCAAGCTTCAACCCAGTCGACATTGTGCAAAATATCCGCCGTCTCATGGCTGGTGAGGATCAAATTCCCATGTCGCCTTGGTGGCGCGGCTTCAAGGGCACGATCAAGAAGACTGGTCCGCACAGATACGACGTCATCGGCGTCGCGCGTAAAGTCAATGACACCACCGTTGAAATCACCGAGTTGCCAATCCATAAGTGGACCCAGACGTATAAGACTGAGCTCGAGAGCATGATGCTTGGCGAGAAGGGGGAAGGTTTGATCAAGGCAAGCCTATGATTCGCAAGATTTTGGCGAGCATTGACTTCATTGCCTATCCGTTGTAGGACTACAAAGAACATCACGACAATGTTAACGTCCACTTCGTAATCAACATGTTACAGAAGGATTTGGAGAAGGCCGAGGAGCAAGGGTTGGAGGAGTTTTTCAAGCTGGTTGGTAAGATCAGCACAAGCAATATGATGTGCTTCGATTTCGACGGGAAGATAAAGAAGTATAACTCACCAGAGGAGATCATCGAAGAGTTCTACCCTAAACGTCTGGCATATTACCAGAAACGAAAGGTTCGCTTTTCGAACCCCATGCTGCTTCGTGTCCAGAATTCACGTTCTTACTCCACATTAGGACAACATGGCAAAAGATCTTCAGGACCAGTTCGATAAGCTGACAAACCAGGCACGCTTCATCCAGATGATCGTCAATAAAGGGCTTGTCGTTTCCAATCGGAGGAAGGCAGACATCGTAGCAGAGTTGCGCAAACTTGGCTTCCGACCTTTTTCCAAGATAGCTAAAGCTAAGGCGGTGGGAGATACAGAGGCTGTTGTCGAGGACGAGGAAGAAGACTTCGGCAGTGCTGCTGATTATGACTACTTGATGAATATGGCTATTCACAGCTTGACCAAGGAGAGGGTATGTTATAACTTCGTGATGATTTTTCATGCGCATATTGACAATATCCAACAGATCGAGAAACTACTCCAACAATCCCGCGACAAAGAAGTCGAGCTGCTCACGTTACTCGAGATGACTCCGGTTCAAATCTGGAACACTGATTTGGATAGATTCCTACAGGAATGGGAGGTGAGTCCTTGATGGTGTCGGCCTTGATAGCATTTCAGACTAGGTTTGCAGAACGTTTGCCAAGAGTGGGATGAGAAAGCTGTCCTCGACGCCAACGGCAAACGTATCAAACGCAAGCAGACAACCCTCAAGACACGCAAGTCTCTTACCGGCAACGGTCGGAAGGGTGAGGACGATGGTTCGGATGACGACTTCAAGCCCACCAAGGTTGTGACGCAGGCGAGAAAAGCCCCTCTTAAGCCTCGAGCCAAACCCGCCGCTGCTAACGATGTCGATGACAAGCTGCTACCAAAGAAGCGAGCACCAGCCAAGAAGGCTGACGCCAAAGAGGAATCAGACACTGACGACAAGCCACCAGCAGCCAAGAAGCGAGCACTGGCCAAGAAACCTGTGATTGAGAATTCAGATGTTGAGACGATCGATGACGACGACGATCCTCCTCCATTAAAGACCAAAATTGCAAAGAAGAAGGTGGGGTCGGACGATTCCGGAGAAGACATAGTGGCTGCCGCGATTGCCAAAGGTAAAGGAAAGGCGAAGGAGGCGCTCTCATCCAAGCGCAAAAGGTTGGTTCTATGTGTTCTCCGTCTTTGATTCCACTGACTCTTTCACCGTAGCCCTGCCTCAGAAGACGATAGTGAAGACGCCTATATCAAGCCTGCCAAAAAGAAACAGGCGACGCAGCCAGAAGTGACGGACTATTTCAAGAAAGCTCCCGCGGGTTCGAAGCCTGCTGCTACCGCGCGGAAAGCATCGGCTAGTCAGAAGGTACCGGAGAGCAAGGGGAAGGCTCCGGTGAAAAGGGCTCCAGCGAAGAAAGAAGTCGTCGATAGTAGTGACGAGGATGCCTACGTGGTCGTCGAATCGTCACCGCCGCCTGCTCCTCGTCAGACAGCGCTGAAACGGGCGGCGAGAGGGAAGGCCAAGGCCTACGTAGAGCTTACTGACGGTGACGACGACGACGGCGGCAATGGCGATGGCGATGACTCATTTGAAATTTAGACCAGTCTTTTTTGTTGTCTGTGATGCTCCTGATGCGTGGTATTTATGCTCTGTATGTTTACTATTGATCCTTCATCATTTTTCCGACGCTCTTCGTTTGTCAATCATATACCTTGCCTCAAAAGATCTCTGCAGTCTCCATAACATTGAAAAAGGAGGGAACAGGTCAAAGACAGCTCTCAAATCGTGGAAATGATACGACCTCCTGGGCGAAAAGGAAAAAACAGGACAGTCCACGTCAGCCCGGGAACGTTGCTTTCTCAAATCGATGACCACCCAGCCGTGTCGTCCTTTATGAGCTCAAACAAACAATAGATGCAGAGAGGATTTTAACATTGAAAAAGAATAGGTACCGGAGACCATGTCTGACGAAATTTCATCGATGCGTCAACGCGACCGACCGCATGAACAATGCCAACATCGGAGCCTGCCGGGCCAACTGCCGCTCGTTCGCCAACACATCAGCATAAACGAATCCTATTATCAGGTCTGGAGCCGTGACCACCTAGAGTAACCGAGCTCCTAGCAACTCAAAAAGGTGAAAAATATCAGTGTGGCGAGCGTCCCCTGAAACACGGCCATTTCCACTGGAAGTATGAGGGATGACACGGACCGGGATAATGGCAAGAATCGGTTGATGGATTCATATGCCGGCAGATTGACTGTTGTACGCGCATACAAGGGCTGCGGACGACTACCAACTTTATTATGGCCGCAGGCCCGAAACCAGCCCCTCGAGACGATCTGCTTGCGGTGAGATTGGTGGTCAGCCTTCCAAGTGTCGGCGTATGTGAAATGCTGTAACACCCACGTTCCCTGATACTGGCTAACTTATCGGCATGTAGAAACAACCCGCAACTCAACTTTGGCCGGCCGCTGTGGGCCACCGACAGGGTAAGTAAAGGCTCCTTGCTGTCTGTACCTTGCCGTTGTTACCAAGCTACCATCGCCTGATGCGACTTTGCCACTCACTGTCATGGTCTGTATCTTAGGCCGCGGGACATGTGGCCAAAAAAGAGAGCAAATGCGGAATGCGGAGACGAGTCACCCGTTCAATGGCCCAAGACGGTATGTGCCCTTTACACGATGATGCTCGCCACTGACGCACATTGCGGACATCAAAGACGACATCCAGGGGCTGATGTCGTTACATTCTGACTCTCAACTGCCGCCCCCGATGTCGATCATGGCCAGTCCAATCTGACTTCTCCTGCTGATCAGCAAATCACTGAATTTATTGTATCACAGAGCGAGACGACCGCGAAACGTAAGGCGCCGCTCGACGAAACGAACTCAAAGAGCATCCATCGGTCAAAGCGGGCCAGGACGTCACGCGAGGACGTCCATGTGGCTGAGGCAGAGGCAGTAGAGGGGTTTCGATTCGCACTCCAAATGCTGGCCGAATTTGAGGTCGCACGATCAAATACAGAGGAGTTCAACAACGGGCACGATGAGGATCATTTTTACATGGTGCATCCGTCCGTCGAAGCTATACCTGCATTTGCTGCAGGACCTGACCATCAACCAGGGCTCGGCACACCGGGGACGACCCAGAAAGGGGGAAAAGCCCCGGCGAGGAAGGCGAGTGTGCGTGCGGAAGGCAAGGCTCGCGGTAATCGGGCTGCCGACGTGCAGGCCGAGGATGAGACGGAGGGGAAGGCGAAGAAGCCCCGAGCAGATCCATGGAGACGCAAACTACCCAGGAACGGATCATGGGTTTGCGAGCTTTGTGGAACCAAGTTGGACGTTTATACGATCTCGCCCGACACAATAGAACCAAGCACAAAGGGCCTGATGGCTCCGTCCAATGCGAGTGTGGGGCTGTCCAGTCACCAGTGTCGCGAGGATGCGCTTGCGAGGCATAAGCGCAATTCTAGGGGCTGGCCTCTCCGCCTGTGACGATGATTGATCTCCATGACAGGCGCAGAGGAGGTCGGAGGGATTGAAGACAGTGATCGTACGTGTCGAAGCAGACTTGAGGGACGTACCGCGGTGTTCACTGTATGCATCCCTTTTCTTTCATTCTATCTCTATCTCATCGTCTCCCGTCGATCTGGACGCATTCGAATTCCCCCTCGGTCTGTGCACCCATCTCTTGTCCCTGACGCAAATTCTTCTCTCGGTTCGCCTAATCCTCGCAATCTCCATGTTATGTTCTCCTTGTCCTCGTTCTTTTGTATGATAACATATAGAAGTTACATTACAAGCTACTGTTGTTCAACTGTGCTTCTGAGTGCTGCCGAAACGAGACTGTCGCGAGTGCGATTGAACAGGATTGAAGAGACTGTGAGCGCAAGCTGTGAAAGAGTGCTGGTGGCGGTGAAGGGGCTTGCCTCTGCTTACCTCCAGTCTTCGTTCTCAAAACCCTCCCCTTTACTCCGTCCGCACTGAGGAGCTCATGCAGCCAGCCTCAATCAATATCCACGATATGCTATCAATACATCAAGTTGTGCGCGTCAATATTCCACGGATGTGTTCTCCTCATGTCCTACAGCCCCTACCTCGTGGACAAGCTTCGATGAGTTCGTGGTAGATACTCTTCCGTATCACAAGACACTTGATGCTCAAAGCGCGATGCTCATGGGTTATTGGACTGCGTTTTATCTTCTAACCTTACGATGCACATAATCACACAAGAAGATCTCCGATTTCAGTATGTATGAAGTCCTTGGTGCGTGACGAGCAGACCCGGGGATACAGACAGCTGATACACAATAACAGAGGAATGCAAGAGAAAGACAAAGATGGATAGCATAGAAATATAAGCATGAAAACTGTTCAGATCGATCAGCGGAATCGATGGTGGGTGTGGACAGATGGAGAAGGAAGACGGAGAAACCAAAAGGCTTGGTACGTTTTCGACCCATTCAACCCTCACCATCTCTTCCCCTCCACTTCACCTGCGATGAGACGACGGCCTACAACGGAGGGGGCAGCTTCGCTTATAATGCCTGCTCATGGCATCTGGGCGAGTGAACTCTGCTCCGCACACGCAGATGCAAGGACCTTTGTACTCATCATGGCCCTTTGTCGTCTCCTTATGTCGCAACATCTCCCAGTAACGGGCATATTCTTGGCCTTCCACATGGCAGATCCATGGTCCATCCCCAGGCGGCATTGTCCTCTTCGTCGCCACGGCCTTACCGAGTATCTGAGCCTTCGCACTCGCCTGAGTTCTGCCCTTGGCCCCTCCTGCATTCTTCCACTCCATCGCTCTCCCCTTGCTCTTCGTCGTCTGATCAGTTGTCGACGAGGCTGGTACTGGCGGTATCCGCGAAGTACTAGGTCCTGCGATCGACGCTAGTACACCTTCAGCGAATGGCTGGGCGGCGGCGGAACATTTCACGCTGCCCCCATTGTTGAATATACTGGTGTTCGTTTGTATGGCCTCGACTTCAGACATCCGCCAGGGTGTATGTTGTATTCCCTGCGTAGTCTGTGCCTGAGCCATACTGCCCCGGCCGTGCGATCTCATGGTGCTCTCAGACCACTATATGTCCGACGGACAGGTGGAAGGTTCGATATCAACGTTGGGCCTCACTTCACAAAACTATCGCACTGACCACAGCTTCCGGAGTGACATCGTATCGCGGCAGTGATGCCATGGGGTCCATCGGTGGCGAATGATAGCCTACGGAAAAGAAGAGGTAAACCATAGTAAGCTAGTCGAACATCATAGCATCATAGTACCACGTACTGTAATGCGCCATGATCTGATATGGCGCATACGGGTCCGCGCCATAGATAGGGGTGGCAACGACACCCGCACCTTGAAGATACCCATACCGCCGGGCCTCGACCCGTCCCAAGGACGGCGGGGTGTTGTTCCGCGCTGACTCCCCATATTGTCCCGGGGAGGCATATGGGTGCTAAAAGGCGTGAGCCTCATCAGCGACATGGAATCGACTACGATAGCGCCACCGACAGGATAGTCTGCGGCCAAAGTCAGAGGTATCGCACTTACCATGCCATGGGCCAGTGGGTGGTCATGCCCGTACGCATAGGCCCACAACGAGAGACCATATGTGCTGGGGTGGGTGGCCCGCTGGTCAGGGTAGTAGGGCGGGTAGGGCTTGTGGTGCCCCGTCTGGCCTTGGTATCCCTGGTAAGACATGGCGATAATTGAGTGGGTAGAGTGAGTAGACTTCGGATAATGACTAGCAGTTGGGTGGATTCCGGGTGGTGGTTGGTTCGAAAAGCTGGGTACTATCCCATCATACTTAAGTATGCGCGCTTGTCTGACCCATGTACCTGGCGCAGGATGACTCTTCCGCCTAAGAAGTGTTCGGGGTTGACGGGTCGGCTCTGGAATGCATTATGATGTAAACCCACGGTGCTTCTCCTTTATTTCAAAGGAGTCAACGTGGATGCGGCGGGCTGAGGCATGCCTTGATTTGACTAATATATTATTCCCTTTTCCCCCAAGCATTGAGCAGCTTATCCGGATTGTTTATGATCAAAATCTCATCAAGCTAGCGCATGGATCTGGTGCCATAACAAGATGAGCATTATGAAATCATTCGTATCCAGGATATGCGGTTCATGAATCCGCAGAGAGCATGTATTTGAGTATCAGATATCTGCACTGACTCGAGCTTTCTATAATACCGCTCATCACTGGAGTTGGGCCGTGTGATTGATTCACAGCATGCCTTGGTGCCTCCTTGTTCTTATAATCTCCGTCGCACGAGAAGAGCACAATCACACGCCGTTGCTCTAACAAAGAAAAATACAAAGGATTATGTCTCGACGAGTGTCTTCGTTTGTCGGAAGCAAATACGTGCGCCTACAAGGACCATGTCCGGAGACCTCCGTGATTTGACTCTGTAGGTATTTTGCGGTCCCGCAACATCCTGATTTATGAACCGATGGCAATTCGAACTGCATTCTCATTTGTCGCTGCTCATGCTACGTACACAGACAGCTTCCTTATCTTGTTCGATATCAATCACCGTTGTCTAGGCTTTACGCCTTCGACAAAGCAGTCCTTATCTTGTTGACGGACGACAGATAGGGAGATGTGCTCCCACAAATTGGAGAGAAGTAAGCTTGGTCTCCAGCTGTTTTCACCAGGCCTCTGATACTGGCTGCTATTTTTCAGACACTCGCACTCCTGTGTCCTCCCCCAAAACTTTCAAATAGGGAAATTTGTTATATGCGATCCAGCGCGTTTTCTCAAAAGAAGAATCATCAAGTTCATGACTTCAAATGTCATCAACTGGTCCTTGTCGGAGTTCCCTTGTATGTAAGCTTTCCCTGTGGCAATAACGAACGGCTCTTTACTAACTCCAGCAAAACGTATTCCACGTCTTATTCGGAAGTGACATACCCTTCCCACCCAGAATTTTCTGGGGATAAGCGCCACATGTCTAAGGATGAGGAAGACACTTGACTACATGTGTTTCCATATTCACGCCCGTCTTCTGAGGACCTGTGTCTTTTCTCGGGAGGCTCTTTCCGCAATTTTTTTTAGAGTGACAGAAAGGCGAACTGAGTTTATGTCAAACTCGCCTCGCTATATGTCTTGCAGACTTTTGAAGGAAATGTTGCCCAATCTTGTGTAGAGAGCCGTAAAGCCGAGGCATTTCAGAGCAGCGGCACATCGGAGACCAAAAGTGCCGTGGATGTGCCGCCCGGCTGACTGACAGCACGTCGCCTCGAGTCTCAGTCATTCAACATTGAAGAACATACAACTCATCAAATCTACTACGATCGGAACGGCTCGTTTTATATGACATTCAGAGCATGCTGCCTAAGTGAGTCTCACCCCCCAGTCCTCACGCAACGTATTCATAGTCTCTGCTGCGCGGGCTCACCTCTAACTTTAGCCACAGACTATCCTGTCGGTGGCATTGTCGTAGTCGATTCCATATCGCTCATGACACTCATGTTTTTAGCAATTATATGTTCCCCTAGGACAATATGGGGAGTCAGCATGGAGCGGCGCCCCACTGTCCATGGCGGGAGACGAGGCCCGGCAGTATGAGCATCTTCGAGATGCGGGTGTCGCCGCCACCCCCATCTATGGCGCCAACCCGTATGCGCCACATCGTACCACGATGCATCACGGTAAGTGTAGTTCATGTGCTATGATGCTACGATATTTGACTAGCTTACTCCGGTTTACCTCTTCCTTTCCGTAGGGTACGATGCACCACCGATGTGCCCAATGGCATCACTGCCACGATATGATGTCTCAGGATGTTTTTTGACAATTCTTTTTGCATTATCTCAGTGGTAAGCGTGACGACAACACCTGATGATTTTCCCCCTTCTGACTGAGTTTGCAGGATCTGCCAACGCTATCTGCTCATGTATGACATGACCACGCGGTATATCATAATTGTAGGGTTGCTACGTATTATATACATTCTATGACCTTATCAAGGTTTAAAATTGTCTCCTCAATTTCCCGATGGACGTGCTGTCAGTTAGCCGGGCAGCACACCCACAGCACTTTCGGTCTCCGATGCGCCGCTGCTTTGAAATGCCTCGGCTTTACGGCTCTCTACATAAGATTAGCCTTTCAAAAGTCTGCAAGACATATGCCGAGGGAATTTTGATATTAACTCGGTTCGCTTTTCTGGGACTCTGACAAATTGCAGAAAGAGTCACCCAAAAATCAACGAGAAAAAAAGTCACAGGTCCTCAGAAGACGAACGTGGATATGAAAACACAAGGAAACTCAACGTTGATCACGCCAGTGAACTCCCCAATCCCATAGATCTCATATCATCTTCCCAACTCGTCCTCAAAGTGTCTTTTCGAAAACTTCTGCTCTCAAGTCGATAGTAGAGAGATATCGTGTTGTTGCAGCGATCTGGAGGACTTCTAAGGTTATCAGAGTGGTAGCGGGCGCGATCGCACGCGTGGGATGAGGGGGGAGGGGAAGAAATGAGGTCCAAGCGTTTCGTTCCCTACTTCTTGAGCACCTACCATTTAGGGTACAAAGGCATTCTGAGAATCATACATGGGCGGTAACGCAGGCATGAGGCATGCAGCAGGTCTTTTATATTGACGGGGCGACTTCGCGGACCGCCTGCGAGATCCGGAGACAGCGAGCAGCGAGCGCATTGATTCTTTGTGACACCTGATATGAGCTGCTCAGCCGGCCTCCGACGACCGTTCTCCAGAAGGCAGGTAGGCCAAACGAGCTACTAGCACAAGGCAGCCTCGCATTGTCCTTCTCCTCATCCCGTACTCCAAGCACGCAGCTACGGAGCCTCGCATTGGACGGCTAGAACACCGCCCTGAGTCGGTGGAACATCTGGAAGCCGGAACATGCTCGAAGGATGTGACGCTCCAGGTGGAGCCGCCTGCCCTTCACATCATTGTGCCGGTGTACGTTACAAGACCAAGCTCGTCCAAGGGTCGGGATGAGCACGCTTGGGCCTTGCGATGCTTCTGGAGCTCCGTAATATCCACCGGTCGCATTGACCGGGACCCGCGACCAACCCGCCGGTCCTGTAGACCTGTTAAAGGTCTAATGTGACGACGCGCACGCCAAAGCGATTCTGCCACAAGCCACCCAATGCCAAAGTACAAGGTAGTAAGGTCCAACATGGCTTGGACATGAGGCCGATGCTCGAACTCCGACGCCGTAGCTGCGCTGAATCAGAGAAGATATAAGGAAGTCAGCGGGGGAGGGTCCAAACACACCGCCATCACCCGCCTCTATTGTCGCGATCACCCCTCCAACACAATAACACAACTCACTCACAATGATGTCCGGAGACAATTGTAATGTCAAACAACTGTGCAGGTCATCTTCGTCGCTGATCCGGTTCCGTTGTAGACCTCGATGCCACCTTCGACTGGAACTTTGACGCCATCGCAAGTGGCAGTGGCACTGACAACTGGAGGGCGGCGAACGACGTGAGACAATTCACACCTTCGCCAGACGAGCCACAAAGTTCCCAGCCCCTCCTCGACGCGGAATCCCGAAGAGACCCGGAGGAACTGCTACGATATGGGTCTCAAGAGCCACTGTACGTCTCTGACCGCCCAATTGTCAGTGACGCCCGACTCATGAATTAATCAAATTTCACAGACCCCACGGGCTGTATCTCCCCCCCTCCTCTTCCATCCCACCACCGCTCACTACCAGCTATCAGCTGGACACTCCTCACTTTTTGCCGTCCGCGCAACCGCTTTCATACCATCACGTCTCCCCTCCTGCCCATACGTTGCGCGCTCCTCTCCCCCAGAACCTGCTGACCCCTCCTCCGGATTATCTCCCCATGGCTGAGTTTCACACCCCTACCCCGTACCTCCAGCCGGCATATGAAACATCGTCCCAGCCATGGCCTCCCCTCCATATACCATCCACTAGCACCGAAAGCCACTGGATGCCACTCGCTTCCACGGGGGCCCAATCATTCCTCCACCCGTTCACAGCACCCACGTTTGCGAACACACCCTCCTCTGGTCCCACGATCCCGCCGACATGGTACTCCCAGGGACCATACGCACACCCGTCGCTGGCACCCCCGACCCCCAATGTCTCCGCTGCTGGCCCTTCTCGCGTTCGGAGACCCCACAAGCGAGTACAGCCATATCATCGAGATGAGGTTAACTACGCACCTCCAGCGTCATTTCCCGACTTCCTCGTCGCCGGCCCCTCTTCCCAGTTCCAGGAACCCCCTGTCGCTGGTCCCTCACGGCCCCGACAACCACGCCACCGACGCCGATCACCCCCGGCCCCCTCGCTCCCTCCCCCTTCTCCATACCCATCAAATCCCCGTCTATCATACCCGTCGCCGCCCTTCCCCACTCCCCCTCCGCTTTGTACACCTCCCTCCCCGATGCACGCACTCGCCTTCAATCAGGGCCAGAAGAGAAAGCGACAGCGGGCAGATGACGAAGACGAAGACGAGGTGCAGCGCCCATGGAGGAGGAAACAGGGCCCTTCACGTCCAGAGCAAAGCTCTACGACGTGCCAGGTGAGTTGTGCCCCTCATGGGGTCCAACCACCTCAACATCTGAAATTTGCGAACGGCGAGCCGGAGGACGACCTCCAACTTCATGCCGCCCCCAAACGTGTCAAACGTAGGGTGGCGGGACCACGGAAGGCGTCAACCAGCTCAACGCCAGCGCCGAAGCGAGACCAGCCAAAAGGGAAACCAGAGGCCGTGAAGAACCGGTATCCTTGCCCCATAGCAGGATGCCCGTGCGATTTCACGAGCACAAGCGACATGAAGAGACATGTTGGCACCGCCAGAAGCCATCGAGGCTTCCGGGACGGAGCCGACTGGCCCGCGTTCATAGAGGAGCATGCGCTACAAGACTGTCACCTTCTTCACTATTGCGATATTTGCGACGTAGAGCGCAAAGCGTCCATGCGATTGGATGCCCTCATCCGTCATAGAAGAGATTCTCAAAACCACTTGGATAAGGTCGCTGCCGGCGGCCAAAGTGCTTAGCGCTGAGTAGGCGGCTCGCGGATGCAGGTCTCTGTCGCGGCCAGTAGTCGGAGGAGTGGGGCAGGACGAGTAGAGATGAGCGATTGAACGAACAAACAACATACCCACTCTGATTTATACCCCTCTCGCGCCCCACCTCAGCACACGCTCCCTTGTTCTTGACCTGGACGATGGAGATCATTTGCCCCATCCGCTACTGGCTCCGTCGCGGTGGCGGTTTCCATCCTGGACAGAATGAGGAGACTCGACGTGGGGCCCTTGTTCCAAAACTAGAATCACTTACGTTCTCGCCTTTTACCCAGCAACGCCACGCTTCTCCCAACCATGGACATCTTTTTTCACCTCTGACGTTTCCTCTGTCAACCTCATTCAATTTTTCCTTTGTTCTTTTCCCTTGTTCTTACCGTGCGTTTCCGTGCACCTATACCTACCTACACGCCTTGTACAATTCTTAGATGATTAGAAGATTTCATTACTGCTACTTTGCTCCGGACTCTGTTTTACTCTGCTCCACTGATGATCGAACGAATCATACTGGATTTCTCGACTCAAAAACGGACTCACAAAGTTGTTGAGCAAGCGCCTGAGCTCGACCTGCTTCGTGACGTTCCTTTGAATCACGACATGGGATCAAGATTGACTCTGACGGATCGATGCACAGCTGCAGGAGCCAGGACTGCTGTAAGTGGGATTGCCGATAGCCTAAATGCAGGAGTAAGGCTGGAGATGGGTCGAGTTCGCTGACGCTGCCTCCGTGAAAATCTCCTCCATGTTCGAGAAAGAAATTCTGGTCTCGAAGGTGATGAGCATTGGGACAGAGTGGGAAATGGCACTTTTGGAATGATGAAGCTTGAAGTCGCGCCCGCTGTAGGTTGCACTGAGACGGTGGTTGACGACAAAAAAATTGAGCGCCGGCGGCTTCGTTCATACCGGTACCGAGTCGATCGGGACTCGGCCATTGCTCTGTAGCGACTCTACCTACGCTCTGAACATGTCTAGACTTTTTCGTACTCATTTTCACCCCAACAAAGCTGTCAGATCGCAGGGCCAGGTGTCAGATGGGAAATACGTCGTAGCACAGTGAGTAAGTGTTGCCTCTGAGCATCGCGCGGATTCGTGTGCAATCGAACAACTGACTTCATGTGCTAGTTTCATGGTCGGAAACACCTATGTACATCTTTTTTGCTTCCGCTGAATCCACGATGTAAGACATTGAGCCTCTTGTACATAGCCATACACAACCGAAGACTGGGTCGAAGATATTAAGCTCGCCAGGGCACATGGATTGTAAGTTGCATCTGCATCCCATCGTGTGTACCTCAGGCAAGAAATTTCGCTCGGCGCTGGTTTTTGACTCCCATCAAACAGGGACGGCTTTGCGCTGAATGTGGGACGAGAAGAATGGCAGCGGTGTCGTGTGGAAGATTGCTATACGGCGGCTGCACGTCTGAATCAGTCCACGACGGGTCCCGATGTGTTCCAATTCAAGCTCTTCATCAGTTTTGACATGACGTGCGTTTATCTATTGTCTATCGCTTGGCTGAACTCTCATCTTCGACAGATCAATCCCTTCAGCAACTGAACAAGATACTCGATTGTTGTGTGATTATATGCAACTATGCAAACTACACATCGGGACCTGCCAGCTGATCCACAAGGACCGGGTGCTGGTGTCAACATTCGCTGGTGAAATGGCTACATTTGGGAGAAGTAATGGCGAAGGGTGGGTTTGGGCGAAGCAGCAGATGGAGGAGATAGCGCCGGTGAGTCGAATTGGACGACCTTCGATCATTGAGTGCTTGAGCAGATTGCGTACGTGTGGTATTACAGATAAGTTTCATTCCGGCTTTCTTCATTGATCCTGCCCGCTATCCAAACCTGGACTCCATCGACGGTATATTTCATGTATGTCGATCTTGGCTCCTGCTCGTTCACAGTTGATCTGTCCGTTACGACAGTGGAATGGCTCCTGGCCCATCGGCCTCACTCCTTCCTCCCCTCGCTCTGAAATTGTCTGCCCCAAACTCGATTCAGATCAACATCACATCAGATGCCTCAATCCCAAACATACGAGCGACAGAAGAGGAAGCCGAAAGACTTACATGGCGGCCGTGTCACCTTGGTTCTTTACCGTACGTGTGGTCACGACTCAGTTGTATCGCGCGGTAATGAATGACAATTCCCATAGCACTACGGGGCTGATTCATGGAACAAAAATGTGCGCGTCTCCTCTTTTCCTGAGTGAGTTGGCTGCGCGGATAAGGCTCCAGAACTGACCCTCCTGTATAGTGGATATATCGAGGAGACGATTGGCTTCTAGCTCGGAGATGGGAGTACATCATGTCTATCCGGGATGAAGTTGACATCATACAGATCATATCATGGAACGGTACGCTACTTGCATGACATGAATTATTTTCGTCATCGAGCAGTGGCGTTGTTATAGATTACGGCGAGTCGCACTACATAGGCCCCATCAAAGGCGCGCAGCCCAACTCCGAGGCGTGGGTGAACGGGTTCCCACACTTACCTTGGCTCAAGCTCAATGCCCACTTCGCGCGCGGCTTTCGAGAGGGGCGCATGGTCGTAGATACAGACGAAATCTACGTCTGGGCAAGGCCGCACCTGCGCGATGCTGTTGCATCCGATCCCGTAGATAGACCGAAAGGGTGGGAGCTTGTATGTGTCATCTGCCTTCTCTTCGAGCGAGCTGGACTGAGATTCTGTCTGCGAGAAAAGACCGATGATCGGTTTTGGGTCGCCATTCTCGCCACAGCCCCGTCGACAGTGGTTCTCTCGACCTCCGCGGAGTGTTCTCAACAAACTCGTGTCCAAGTATCCGCCGGCCTCTCGAAGCTCTCGCACCGTCTCATCGTGGGAGAAGGGGTGAAGGTGCGGGTGTACCGTGACAGCGATCGCACTATCGTGGCGGACTGCAGTCCCAGCCTCGAAGAGTTTTGCGTGCAAGAACGGCCGGAAGTGTACAACTTCAACGCGTTCGTTGCAATGTCGAGTTAATCGACATTCTGCTCGTCGCTGCCATCAGCTTCCATCCTATGTGGATCAATATCATCTCAAAGATTCATGGAGTGCTGTCCCCACTCCACATAAACTACCGAGTGGATGTGAGAAGCTGACGAGACTCTTGCCGCGGGAGTACCACCACCACACTTAACATTTGATACAGAAGAACAGGGAGAATATCTCCTCATTCAAGCTGAAACCAATGTGCTGAGCATGGGGTCGCAAAACCGCTGAAATCTCGTCGAACTCGCAATCACTGTTCATTTCGAAAGCGCGAGCAGTGGCTCCCAAGTTATGCGTGAGTGTAAGGCCAAGTGCGAAACGTATACGGGACGATCTGGTCGGCTTGGGAAGGTAGTTTAAAGGGGCATTGCCAGTGAGAAAGTAGGTAAGCTCTCTTATGATTATATACCCCCCTCGAACCACTCACTCATGAGTATACCTAGAGCGTGCAATCTCTTTCGCGATTCCGTCGCCTGATATTCACACGCGCCGCCTCGGCTATCGCTGTTATCACTACTTGAGGGACCAGTGTATCAGTGTGAGGACGCTGTGCCATTGTTCCGTGATTCTGATTTGAGTGACGATCTATGGTTTTGAGACTACGTACCATATTATAGAGTTGGCGATCAAGATGAAACTGGGAAGATGGTATGGACGCTGGCAAATGCGACCCGATCTGAACAGTTTCACTTGAAAGACCCAATAAACGACAGTACTAAGAACCACTCAATGCGCGCCACAGTCCGGAAAGAAGGTAAAACCCTTCTAGATATCGGAAAGAGTCACGAGAACATAACACAGCGAGAGACAGATGCTTCATTGCAGCAACGCATGCCGACCGGCCGCGGCAATTTCAGACTCCGAACCGCCGGATCGCAGCAGCCAGTTCTCATCATCATCATCATCTTCGATTTCGAACATATTCACCAAGTTTCACCACTTGTTCGCTGCTCAAAATTGTATATTCTATTTCGTCAGGACTTTTATCTGACATAGATAGCACCTCGAGATACTTAGGGGTGCCCTCAGACCGTGCTCACATCAATGCAAACCAATGAGTTTAAGTCTGATACGGATTTCAGATGGTAGTCCCACCATTCCATGATTCGCCCAGTAGCATATAGTGTAGGTGGATACGCACTGTATTTCCATTAGATCTTCTTTCGACCACTACCATCAAGCAGCTCCAGCGCCAACACTATTTAACACTCAACTCGCTATTGGAATATCCCTCTGGCTGCCTTGCACGTTTTCACGATTCTCCAATTATTGTACCTCCACTTGATACCACCTAGTTGTGTTCATTTGAGCTTCCCACCGAGCTGATCAACTTGGTATCCGTCACGCTGTCGACTGGCTTCATTGCTTTCGATATGCTTCCACCTTGCTTTACACCATGCGACTACCCTTCTGCCCATCACCCTTTTCCCTATATTCCTCCCGTGCCCCATTAATATGCTTATACCTTACCTCGCGCCATCATCATTCGTATCCTCCCATCTACCCCACGCATGATTATATCTACTTCTTCCTCGTCCAATACTACTCATTCCTTTACATTGCTCGCTTAATGGCCGTGCGGTTGCCCTGATGGCAGAGTCCACGGGTGCCCTCCCAGGATATTAAACAAAAAATTGTTATGTGATTCGGTGCGTACATTCGCAACCAATCATTCAGGTTACATCGCAAGAGGAATATTAGCACCTTTTGGGAGAATATCCTATATCAAGCGTTTTAAAATGGGTGCTGTCTCGAAAGTGCGCCCGACTTACTCTAACCATGACACTCAAACGCTGTCCACGAGATGGATCTTCTGCTCGCAGTATGGAGTGCTTGTAACCATATCGAATGGAGTCTCTGTTGGGCGTAAGTAATGGGAGAGTGCGGCTCGTATTGCACAACCTGCCTTTGTATATAAACACTCCCTGACGGCAGCGGAAGGTTAAAGGGTGCCCGATGCGCAGCGTCATCTGTGTCCTCCAAACGCAAGACTCGTGTGGCACCTAGACTGACGCCCAATATCCAGGATCCGCTGGCTCCGACATTATCGACGTGCGGGAGGATCTCACCATCCGATGCGAGGTGCAGAACATGCATCTGGGTTTCTGAATCGCTGGGATAGAGTGTGCGGAGCGGATAGCGCAGGAGAGTCGGCGTTCCCCCACGAAGATACGTGAGTCTCTCGGAAATGCTTTATGACGCCGTCTAAATGGCCCTGCGACGCTGTACCTCATGGAAGTCGTAATACTGATCGGGGAAAAAATCTTCCACTGTCTGAGCTGTTTCAGGGATGGGAGAACGCGTTGACAAGAAGTCCTTGCGGCGGCGACGTAAGGCTCTATTCTCTAATGAATCTATCTTGTGAAGGGCAGCATGAAGGAGTGTATGCTGTAAGGTCCAGAAATTTAGGAAAGAACATAAAGTCCTTCGGAAAGTCTGCAACAGATATGTTCGCAACCGAAGCACTGCTGTGCGTTGTGAGACCTCTATTGAAGCTTGACAGAAAATACCGCCTGCATATACCTCGAGCTCCCTATCGATAAAAGTGTACAGTAAAGCGACAAATGCTGGTAGTATGTCGCGAAACGAACATACCGAAAATCGCAGGTTCGAGGGCATGTTTATGTGTGAAGCATTCAACGTGGGCTGAACCCAGTCAGACCAGTCACCAATGTACCTGTGACGATAATTTAGAATACTACTCCGATGATGATTTCTCACTGGAACCTATGTTCTGCTCACGCGATTCGAACAGGAGAAAGTGCTTCGGATCTGTCGGGATGACGCGGAGAGCTGCAGTGGCCGCAGCCTCCCGTAGGGGTTTGCCGGCACGGCAGATGCCGAAAGGTGCCGAAGCGCACGAATCTGCAATCCAACTGGTGTTGCCTCACTGTCTCACAGTTCATGCATTTCATCTTGTGTTTTCCTGGTTTCCATTCAAGACTATGCGACAAGGACGTGGACTCATCATTTCTATAAAGCTGTAGGTAGAGCATAAACTTCGAAACTAAAGTAGACAGGCATACGAGAATGTGAGAGGCGGTGAGAGATACGACGAGAGATACATGTTACAGATCGATGGAGATGGACGCAGATGGGAGGGGCGAAGTAAGAAAAAGAAATCATGATTATCATGCGTCTGCATTTGCTGACTCTTGTCTCATATCCACCTAGATCCTCCCTCTTCCATCAACACAAGCCCCCATCGTCAGGCATCCACTGCGAGGCGGTTAGCGTCTTTATTTTGAAGGAAAGAGGCGGCGGCATCTCTTCGTCTTCAAGTGCGTGTATAGACCATCACGACGACTAAACTCCTGCCGACAGACGCAGGTGATAGGGCCCTGGTATTCTGCATGGCCGGGTTTCGTCTTCCGGTGGCGTACTAGATCTCCGTGGTGGCGGAAGACCTTGCCATCTAACTTGCAGATATGCGGTCCCTCACCGTGCAGCTTACCCCTCCGCACTCGGGTTTCCTCCCCTCTCAAGCTTACGTCATAGCTATTCGCGGCTTGAGCATCCGTTGGCAAAGCCGAAGTATCAGGTCCTGCAATGGACACTGGTATACTTTCAGCAAATGGATGCTCTATCGGGAGATGATTCCCGATGTGCCCATTGTTGTATTCATCAGTGTTCCCTTGTATGGGTCTAGCCTCCGCTGGCCTCCAGGATGCGGGCTGCAAGCCCTGACTCGCGCTCATCTCGGTGTGCCTGTATGGCCCGTAATGCTGTGGACTAGAGATCAGTTCTACGTGCACCTTCTAAGGTAGTGAAACCGTTTACATTGCTTCGAATTGGGATGGGTACGGAGTGCGCTGCGTTGTGGACTATTCTCAGTGTTCGTATTTGTGAATCAGTCTGGTATCCCGGCCATGAATCCACTTGGGAGGTCAGTGGCGCAGGCCCTTGAACGTAACCTGTGAAACAGGAGTAACACGAGTCAGTCAGTGCTTTGATATCTACGATAACACCATGCATGAAGCCTGACCTCCGAGAGCCATCGGCATGCGTAGACGGGCCTGAGCGGTGTGGTTCCGCACACCGTACACGGGGGAGAACACGGCGCCCGTCCCGGACAGATGTTCAGTCGCAACCTCTTGGGTGCTGAGTCCTTGGACAAAGCTAGAGCTCTAAAGTGGAGACCACGGTAAGTGACGTTCGCTAGACAGAGTGCGGCACATAGTTGCGTCTAGCAGCAGAAAGTATGTACTTACAACGACATTTATTGCCATATGATGCCCTTGATGCCATGAAGCACTCCCTAGGTTCTCTGGGTCGTCCAAGTATGTTCCTGGGGCCCGCTGGGGATCGAAGGGGAGTGACCATTCGTCGTATGGAAGGTAAGAGGTGTTCATTGTCTCGATAGCAGAAGGTGTTGATAGACACACTGGACGTTCGGAGATAGCTGGCTGGCAGTTAGCAACTCGACTGGAGCTGCCTCTTTTTACTTAAATATAACAATCAGTGAACCCCCGTGCGCCTGGCCCACAGCAAGCTGTTTAATTTGGAGATGCGCTTGTTCAGCGCGTGCATTGATTCTTTGTGCATATCATGAGGTAAACGAGGCAAAAATGCAACGTCTCCCTGCTTCTTCCGCCTCTATCTCACCCACCTTCCGGCTCCGTGTTCAGATTGAGAAGGTGGTGGCGAGGGACATGGGCACGTGTGGTGAGATCGCGCGTTGTTATTGATTTTGAGACTGACCTTCACGTATTTAGAGACTCGTGGAATCACGATTTGCCGTTGTGCTCGAATCAAGACACTAAAAGTGGGTCCACATTGGACCTCCCCGACGCTTTAGCGGTCGAATGCTCAAAGCGTTCGATCGATATGCGATAGTAAACGCACCTCAGCCATGACTCAGATTCTTGGCAGGAACTTGCACTCCCCTCAAGGCATTTTAATCACCGGATTCAAAGGGTCGCTGCAATTCTAGGGCAGTATGATGTTCCAGGTTGCCGCCGAACTCTTCTTGAATCTGCCTGCGCACACGTTTCGCATAGTCTCTGCATTACTCACTTGGCTTGTGAAGAGATTTCATACAATGCGAAGCCTGTGACGTACACTTCGAATGTGATAGTAGGTACAAGCTTATGCTTCTATCGTTCGAGGGTTTCGTTTATCTATGTTCACGGTTCCGGGCGCTTCTCATGATGATGGATGGCGGCTGATGTTGAACTGCCATTTGCCAGTGCTTGTACGTACACAAAAGACCGTCGCCTCCCTTCGTGTCCCGCTGGCTTCTTCGATATCAATCTGTCGTGTCTACTGCTGGGCTTTTATCTCGTTCAATTATCTTCTCGAAAACGTTTCACGGCAGCTTAATGCATCCATTCGAATCGCATCTCCCATGATCTTTGCGAAAGGCAAGAATACTTAGAGCATGCGCATGAGAGTGATCATATTGAGCCAGGAGAAGACCATGGACTGTCTGAGGTGTTCCACCGATCGAACAACGCGCTGCTGAGATGTCCGTGCGGCGGCAAATACGTCAGGCGGTCTCAAAACCGATGAAGAAGTAAGGTTTCACCGCGCCATACTTATGTCTCTTGCCATCTCTTTCTATATGCGGACAACAGAGCTCGAAGGCAAGATAAGAGCTGAGAGAAGTAAGGAGAAGTCGCATCGCTCTTTGATTTACCTCATGATGTGCACAAAGCGTGGACCTATTCACGAGCCGGGAGGCTAGATCACAACTTGTTATGGCGATATACATGGAGCTCATCAAGGCCCTTTAAGTACGAAAAGGTAGCACCTACCGATAGTCGTCAACCGTCACCCAACATCCGACACCTACTACTGCCTCTCATTGCTAGTGAGGATCGAAGATCAAGCATTGTTTCCTCAGCCCAGCTACCGAGCACTTTCCTCTTCCAACACAAAAAACTATGAGCTTTCCAGACAACCTCCTGTACGCCCAATGGCCTTTGCCCCTGTCCACCTACCCTGGATGGGTGCCAAAGCCACACATCGACGGATTCCAGTATGCTCCATTTCCCAACGTGCATCCGAGGCATCATCAGATGCCAATCAATTACATGGTAAGTCAACCATTTAATGTTGGTCGATATGGACAATATCTCACCGTAGCTTTGATCTTAGAGAGCTGGCACTGTTCAGGGCAATTCCCTGATGACACCGAGTTCGGATCCGTGGCCTCCAGCAGTGCGGGTTACGCGCAGGCCTGCCTCGACACTCCGATGACTCCTGTTGGAATGTACAGTCAGTTGGACTTCACCGCGTTGTGACGCACGATGGCTCATGCTGCTACGCAAATCTGCTTCGCAGGATACACCTCAGGACTGGCCATGCCGCTCCACTACCAGAAGAATCTACGGCTGCGATTTGATACCCAACAGGCATCACAATCGGCACCCGCGCCTATGTGGGGCAATCTGGTTGGTTCCATTGTCTAGCATTGCCCGTAGATTACTCATTTCTAGTCGCAGCGTGACGCAGAAGGTGTGGCCATGATCAGCACGCCACCTGAGTTGCAGACATCGCCTTGGAGGCTAGCTGCTGAAGCCAAGCCCGTGCAACAAACGACGAATACATACAACAACGGGCGCAACGGGAACCATCTCCCGATAGCACATCCGTTTGCTGAAGCTATACAGGTGCCTGTTGCAGGACCTGATACTTCGCTGCCAGAGGCTTTGCCTGCTCCATTCGTGGAAGCTCAAGTAAGGGAAGACAACGAGAGCTTGAGAAGAAGAGGGGAGAAGGCTCGGACGAAGAGGGGTAAGCTTCACGGTGAGGGTCCGCATATCTGCACGATGGATGGAAAGGTCTTTCGTCACCGCGGAGATCTGTTACGCCACCGGAAGACGAAACCCGGCCACGCAGAATACCAGGGCCCTATCATCTGCGTCTGTCGGCAGGAGTTCAGTCGTCGGGATGGTCTGTACACGCACTTGAAGTCGAAGAGATGCCTCCGCGCTCTTCGAGATGAGGATGCATGATGTCTAACGGTGCATTCTCGTTCGTAGGAGGAGAAAAAGGGAGGAGAGAGGACCTGATGGCAGACTCACCGTGGCCAAGTCATCTTTTTATTTTGCTCTCATTTCCTTCCATCGTCATCGATCTGAGCCTTGTATGCCCATCGTGTATGCCTATCACCACCTCTCTGAATAGGTCCATCTCGTTTGTCGTTTCAGTGTAACCTTTACCTACGTTGGTTATAGATCTGTTGTCATAGCGGACGTTGGCTGGAAAGCAGGGATGGAGCAAATGGGCGAGCAAGGGGGCGTTGCGTCCGATTCCCTATGAAATGTGAATTTTGTGTATCCACAGATGAGTGTCGTATGCTGTCAAAATCAGACTAGACCGTTGAAACCATAGGCGTTGATGCAAGAAGATGGAAAGTCGGGACGCCAAAGTACGTCAAAGCGCGGCCTTGCCAGAATTCGGCATCTGCCAGTGCACTTCTCCTGCCTACTCCCGAGCACTCCGTATGATACTCTTCCATACTCCCGCATCGTGAACAAATTCGATACCAGTTCATCGGTAAGTAACAGGCGTCAATGGGCCAGAAGATACAAACAACTGATACACAAGATTAGCAGAACGCAAGAGAAAGACGAAGACAGGTGATATAGGAGAAATATAAGCATGAAACCTGTTCAGATCGATTAGCGGAATCGATGGTGGGTGTGGACAGACGGAGAAGGAAGACGGAGAAATCAAAAGGCTTGGTACGTTTTCGACCCATTCAACCCTAGATCAATCTGCTTGAAGGTCATCATCCGCCTTTGTCTCTGTCCCAGATGATGTCGAATTGGCAGGAGAGTGTGCTCGTCATGAGCTCTCAGTCGATACTCAAGGGTTCCACAACACTCTGGCCTCTTGGGTGATATTGCGGGCCTCTCCTGCATCATTTGACATTGCATTGATCTCTCGCGTCGTTCACGACATCGTCAGTGATCATCAATCGTTGGAGAATTCTCTCGTTTCCCGTTCACACCTCCATCAACGCCCGGATCTCTGACTAGTGCTGAGGGATCTAGTGTCAAGGAAAAAGATGCGATGTCGTGGATCTCAGACGATTTTCCCTTGCTGTAGTTCTCATCGCCAAATCCGAAGGACAATAGATCATTGACTTCAGTATCTCGAGATCATTTCATAGAGGAGGGCCACCCTCCGGGTGAAGCAGAGACGTCGCTATCCTCGCTGCTGCGCGACGCGTCCATCCCTACTGCCGTTGTCGCCTCTGTCCAATCCGTTTACAAGGCTCAAGAGTGTCGCCGTCGACATCAATACCCTATCCGCACATGGCTTCGGCTGTGTCTACGGATTTGACCTTGAATCCCAGTCACGCCACAGATTTTGCGGGCTGTTGGAGACCTCTTCCGCTCGTTGCTCCATTACTGGATGACTTTTTGTGATTTCGGATAGTCATATGTGATCCGGAATGACAAGGACAGCACTACCGCAATTGCTTCTGCTGCTGCTCAATCTTGCTTAGCTTTCCGACTCCACTGCCCAAATTCTTTGACTCTACTGCACGGATAGCTGCCTCTGTTACACAAATCACTGACTGTCGCAGGAATTTCTTGTCTACGACTAAGATTTCTCGACTCTCATCAATTATTTGCACAAACAATAGACTCTTGCACGGCCGCTTCATCGCACGAATTCCAGACTCCGCTGCACAATTGCTCGACTCGACTGGCACAACGCATAGACTCTTCGTACAACGGATCTATCGCACAACTACGAAACTTTCAGACTCCTCCTACGAATATCTCAGCACTCAACTTGCACAACGACTCGTTCCTATCGTACTAGAATTAGCCTATTGCACGAGCTCCAGACTGTCTTGTACAACTTCCTGAATCTGCACACTTGCCTGATACCGTCTCGTCGCCCACGAACTGCTAGATGTTAAGAAATATGTCGACTTGTCCATGGCGATAATAAGTTAAGATATATCCAGGCGAGCCTCTTCGCTTACCGGCGTGCTTCCTGTTCGCTGTCGCCTATGCTTTCTATGTGCTTTCTGCACGCTTTCCGCCTCGCTGTGCAACTGCCATCTCGCGTGCTTTTGATATTGCTGTGCATCGTGCTTTCCACTTGGTTTCCGCCTTACTTTCTTTTCCTATCCGAGACACTTTCCGACGTGCTGTGCACTTGCTTTCTCCGACTCCCTTGCGCTGCATTCCTCATTTACACTTCATCGCGCGATATACATGGCATTGTTCACTACCCCCCCCCCTTGCGCTGCTGATTGACCATCTGTTTCTTACCCGCCTTGGCCATTTTGTCCAGGCCGCGGTCTAGTACATCAATGCGCATCATATTTCGCTCCGCTTCCTCATCGTTTGTGTTGAACTATAATGATCCCTACGACATGTGGCAGTATGGCATTGTGTGGAACATACTGAACAAGAACGAGTGAGCGAATCCGTCCAGTCTTAGCTGGTACTGTCAACGACTTTATTGGAGGAGTATGTGAGGGGCTGGGCTGCGAAACTTCGCTCACTGATAGCGGATGACAGATGAACCCGCACGGTCTAATCTCAAGGGGCGTAGTACTACTGATATGCTTTTGAACTGCAGGAGATGGCAACTCCTCTCTTCCACACCTCTGCAGCACGAACGAGACTACAGCTGGTATGAGCAAAAACAATCATCGAGTGTCTTCGAAACAGTATCACGAAACATGGTGGAAAATGAAAGAAAAGGAAACACTTCGCGATACACTGAGTTCCACATATGCGATCCACGAGATTGGGTGGCCCAGACTCAGACATCCGTGAACAACCACAACGAGAGGGGAAACAGAGTGCTGGGTATTGTATCAGTAACGGATGTTTCATAAGAGTCGTAGTGGCTGACCTCTAGTACATGCGGTACCACATCGGCACCATATTGACACCCATGGCAGCCTGAACGCTCTGAATGATGGCTTCATCTGGTCGCTTTCGGTCTTGTTCCAGATAGTTAGTCCCAATCACCAAGCATAAAGCCAGATCATCGGGTTCGTCTTCGCCTGTGTATACCGTTCTACAGTCAGACTTCCTGAGTTTCGCATCAAATCGGATTTTATCGAAAGCGACAGTGTCGGTGGTGAACCGCTGCTGTTCAGTGCGGATAGGGCCAACCTTATTGACCGTGCAGTACCAGTCAAGAAAGTCACGCGTGAAGAGAAAACCGAACAGCATCAAAGGCCTTCCAGGTCTCCACAGAGGAGGGATGGTGGTAGTTGGTTGGTGAGAACGCTGCCGAGCTTGATCACGCTTTGCAGGTTGAGCGGGAGGCACGTCGGTAGGGAGAGGAGTAGACTGTTGAGTGGGCGTTCGATCAGACCTAGAAGCGTTAAGTAGAAACTGAAGTACGAGCATAATGAATCCACGAACATGTTAGGTGTTTGAGCTGTAGTCGTTGGGGAGGAAGGCTGAGGATCCGCTGCAGGCCTCTATTAATATTGCATTCAGCGTGCACGTGACAACTCGAAGAAGGTTCGGCGAAGTGGGTCCTGGGTGGTGTAAACAACACAGCACTCAGTGGTCACCACTCGGCGCTGATCGATGAGCCTGCACGGTTCACTCGCACTTTCGAGAGTATTGATACCCTTGAGCATGGGATCATGCCGTGATATGGAAGGATTATATGCCGCGAAGTCGTCGAAGCCTGTTCACGAGGTAGGGCATGTGAGTGCCAGCGGATTCATGGGATGTCCACATTCAAATTCCAATGCATCGATAGCGGTATCGAGGAGAGGATTCGAGTTTCTGAGTGAAGTGGAGGCCGCTGAGCCCGATGATCGCGGTGGGAAGCAAGGAATCCAGGAGCGCCGTCTCAGCGCCACAACTTGTGCCCGCAAATATACTTGCGCTCATCGCGCCCGACTTGCCTCTATGGACCATCGTGCACATGCTATTGCTCTCAGATGCACCTACTCAAAGTCTTCGCTCAGAATCTCCGTTCACTGACAAGGAGACGAACAACTGATACCATATCATGCATTGTGCAAGGGAACGATGAGAACGAGGAAAGAATAGCACACGGGAACCACAGTACGAGAGAAGGAAACATGTTAGGGGCAGGACTATACGTAGGAAGACGCGTGGAATGCGTACATCGATGGCATCGATGAGATAGAGAGGGGCGACTGGCAAGCAAGAAAAGACAGAATGGGAGGACATGGGCATGCATAAAACTGGACTGCGCTATGGTGCGTCCTTGTCGCTGCAGGCGAACCCACTTCCCTCGTCGTCAACATCCTCCTTCGCCCCTATCAAAAAGCATCACTGTCGACGATAGCAGGTCGTACGCTGGTGCCTCTGCAGCGAGTCCTTGCGGGAATAGGAATATTGACATCGCTCGCACTGGAACTCCTCTGCATTTTCTTCGTGCTTGCGGCTCCTCATGTGTCGGTCCAGTTCGTTCCAGCGCCTGAATTCGCAATTATGGACCTTACAGACCCATGGCCCGTCCCCAGGTGGTTTGCACCTCTTCTCACGCTTCTCCTCTGTCTCGCCGCCGGCCTGCGCGTTAGCGGTCTCACCATGAGCCTCGCCCTCTGCACATGCGCTCGCCTTTCCCGCTTGGGCCTCTCTCTCTCCCTGACTCGTGATTAGCGTGTCGAGCACTGCCATCGTTGGTTGACGGCTAGGCCCTGCAACGGATGCAGGTATAATTTCGACAGCCGGCTGCATCATGTGGAAAGTGTCCGCATCGTGCCCGTAGTTGAATATGTTTGTGTTCATTGGAGGGGCCTCGAGGTCCGCTCGTATCTTGGACGCTAGTCGCAAGAGCTCTTCTACTGCGTCTGCCTCATCCCCACGCATGTCCTCGCGTGGTATCCTGGCTCGCTTCAAGCAATGGATGCCCTCTGATTCGACATCGTCTACTGACGCCTTTCGTTTCGCGGTCGTCCCGCTCTGATACAATGAGTGAGTCCCCAAATAGCATTGGATGGCAGTCGGAACTTACCATGACGTTCTCAACGGGCATCGGGAGTGGCCACTGAGGGTTGGGGCGCGACGACATAGGCCAGTGGATGTCGTCTACGATATGCATAATTTATGTCAGTGGTGAGCATAACGATCGTCATTTCGTGCCGCACGCACTAAATCGGCTGCAATCCCAGCTTGTGCTCCCTGGCTGGGCCACATCAGCTGCCTGAGTTAGAGCCTACGACAGTGAGTGGCAAAGTCGCATCATTCAATCAGAAGCTGATAATATCATGTAGCAGGCAACAGATAGCTTCGACTTACTACGTTGGTGGCCCACAATGAACGGCCAAAACACAGTGGAGGGGTCGGGTTGACTGTGGCCCAGTCCAAGTCCGGGGATGGAAATGAGTTCCATTGGCACCCCATTGGAAGGCCGTATTGAGTGAAGTACGCTTGAAAATTATCAGGGACGGGTGGAATTGACATTTTACGGAGTGTGGTAGATGGACAATGGGCCGTTGTTAGTTGCAGAATCAAAGCACTGCCCGCCTTCTTTTAACTATGCGCGCCTACCGGCCCATCATTTTGGCGCAGGACAGACTCATCCCCCTACAGCTACAGCTCTCCTGCGGCTCCCAGAGGATACCCACATACAGCTGTCATTCTGTATGTCTCATGATGTAGGTGGATTAGCGCATGATGCTTCTGTCACTCTTATTTCACCTATTCACAACAGCTGTATAATTCAGCTGCGACAGAGATCGTGCGTAGAGTGTGATGAGATTTCACATATTCACATACACTTGTAAGGCCTGATTCATACCGCGGCTGCTCAGCAGCTCCTCTGAGGGGCCTGGATCCCCCCGATACTGCGCAGCAAGAGAAGCCACCCACGTTTCTATCAGTTTGCCGGAATGGAAAGCTACCGAATGTTTCCCAGGATGGTCACTACTAGTTATCCTACATGGCACCGGTTCGCGTTGACTCCGCCAGATTCCACAGATACTTCAAAAGTGCAGAGGACATTATGTGAACACGGAATTTCTATATTCCAAACCTAAATACAGGGTAGAACTGGAAAACAAACAAGATAGGCAAGCCGTGCTACGAGATGGCAGTGGGCATCCAAATGGATGGAGATGGATGGAGATGGAAGAGGAAGAGGAATGACAAGAAGATCGGCCATGGCGAGTCTGCCGGTAGGTTCTCTCTCCTATATCCACCTGCGATTGAGGATTCATTGTTAGACGTCATGGGTCTTCATCTTGAAGAAAAAAGAGGACAAAGGCATCTCTTCGCCTTCAGGTGCATGTACAGACCATCGCGACGACTGAGCTCCTGCAGATGATAGGGCCTCGATGTTCAACGCGGACTGGTTTTGTCTTCCAGTGGCGTACCAGATCTCTGTGGTGACAAAAGACCTTGCCACCCAACCTTACAGATATGCGACCCCTCTCCGCGAAGCTTGCCCCTCCGCGTCCGAGTCTTCTCCCCTCCTCTGACTGCGACACTAGTCAAAGTCCACGTCAAGCAGTCTACTTGCTACGATACTGATTGGCATCTGATGACGCCCACAAGGCGCGTCGGTGAACGAAGTGTGATCCGTCCACTGTGAACTGTCCGCGTGTAGCTCAGGACCCATCCATAGTCGAGGGCAGGGGGGAAATGCAATTGGCCGTATGAACAGCTGTGTAGGTAGTTCATTGGTGCGTTTAAGAAGGAAGACGTTCAGTAGCTAGGCTGACGACGCAATGATAGATTTTTGATGCTCGATGATGAGAAATAGTAGTAGATGTTGGATGCTGGGTATACTGTCGACGGGTGCTACCATTTCGTACTACTTGAAGGCCTCGATGGGTTTCGTGCGTACTCTATCGTGCACGATAGGTTGTGACCTAACTCGGACCTTGCAGCCCACGACCGAGTCTATGCTTTGTGTACATTATGAGGTAAATGAGGTAAATAAAGGGGCGAAGCGACTTCTTACTTCTCTCGCCTCCATCTCACCCTTCTTCAAGCTCGGTATTCCACAAATGGAAAGAGGAGGCAAGAACCATAGTGGACCCTCATTTCTTCCCCTAGTTTTGGGACCGTCTGATGTATTTGCCGCAGCAAAGACATCTCAACGGCGCGTTCTGCGATCGGTGGAACATCTACGGCAGTTCATTTCCTCCTGCCTCGTACAATCGCTTTCAGGCGCCGAGTACCCTTGCCTCTCGCAGGAATCGTGCGAGATGCGACTCGATTGGATGCATCAAGTTGCCATGAAGCGTTTCGAGAAGATGTTGGAACGAGATAAACACCCAGTAGCAGTGACAGACACCACAGATTGATATCGAAGAAGCCAGCGGGACACGAAGGGAGGCGACGGTCTTTTGTGTACGTACAAGCACTGGCAAATGGCAGTTCATCATCAGCCGCCATCCATCATGAGAAGTGCCCAGAACCGTGAATATAGATAAACAAAACTCTCGAACGATAGAAGCATACAAATAAGCTTGTACCTACTATCACATTCGAAGTGTACGTCACAGGCTTCGCATTGTATGAAATCTCTTCACAGGCAAGGCGAGTAGTACAATGATTATGCGAAACGTGCGCGCAGACAGATTCAAGAAGAGCTCGATTGCAACCTGGAACATCAGACTGCCGTGAATTTGTACAGACCCCTTGGATCCAGTGATTAAAATGCCTTGAGGGAAGTGCAAGTTCCTGCCAAGAATCTGAACCATGGCTGCCGGCTTTATAATCAAATACGATCATTGGACCCACACACGGCATCTTGGACTGAAAACAATTGCAAACCATCATGCCTCGAGTCGCTGGATACGTGAGAAAGTACACCAGTCAGTCGCGAAACCAATGACAGCGCACGATCTCACCACACGCACCCATATCCCTCGCCATCACCTTCTCAATGTGGACACGGAGCCGGAAGGTGGGAGGCAGGAGAATCAAGGAGACGTCGCATTATTGTCTCGTTTACCTCATAAGGTGCACAAAGCAACAGTGCACGCCTAAAACAGGCGGATGGCCAGATTGTACAGCTTGATATGCGCGTGCACGGAGGCCCATAAGCGGATGTAGTTAAATACAAAGGGGCAGCTCCGGCTGAGTTGCTAACTGCCACCCATCTCCGAACGTCTAACATCTACCTACCAGCATCCAGCCCGGAACCTTCCTTCATCACGTAGCAATGAACACACCTTACTTTTCCTACGACGAGTTGTCTCTCTCCCTCGCTGGCCATTGTCTCCAAGGAACATACATGGAGAGTTCCGAGAGGCTGGGGAGCGGCCCTTTTCAGTGGCATCATCAGATGCCATTGGATGCCATCGTCAGTCCAAGATCTTCCACTGCTTGACGCGACTGTCCGCTCGTGTCGCAGTTAGCCCAAACAACGTTACTCACAGTAGTCTCCGCCTTAGAATCTTAGCTTGTTTCCGGGGCAGAGTATTCAAAGCACAAGCGCTACGTCCCTTTCCGGGCACAGTGCTGAAAGCCGCGCAGTTCAAGCCCACTTGAACACGCCTATGGTTCTGTCTGGGTTGCGCGGTCAGTCTTCATACACCATGATGTTATGAGGATAAACGAACTCATTGCCACACATGAATCTCGTCTTCCAGAGCGCGTTCCGAAATCAGAGCCACTACCCTACCAAGTGGATCTGTGGCCAAAATACGACACGGTCCCATGGCCGCCACCGACCTTCCCCAATACAGCTCACTCCTCGCATGTCCCGGGCCCAGTATACCTGGTCGGTTTCTTTCTTTTACAAGGTGCACAGGCACTGAATTTTAGTCGCAGCGGCATCCAGACAGTATGGCCGAGGCGAACGCGAGCTGTGAGTTGCAGGTCGCATCCTGGAGGCCCGTAGAGGCCAGACCCATACAAGGGAACACTGATAAATACAACAATGGGCACATCGGATATCATATCACGATAGAGCATCCATTTGCTGAAGGCATACCAGTGTCCATTGCAGGATCTAATGTCATGGCTCTGCCAACGGATGCTCCAGCAGTGATGAGCAATGAGGTAAGCACGAGGAGGAGAGGCAAACTACACGGTGAGGGACCGCATATCTGCAAGTTAGATGGCAAGGTCTTCCGCCACCACGGAGATCTAGTACGCCACCGGAAGACGAAACCCGGCCATGCAGAATACCAGGGTCCTGTCGTCTGCATCTGTCTGCAGGAGTTCAGTCGTCGTGATGGTCTATACACACACTTGAAGACGAAGAGATGCCGCAGCCTCTTTCCTTGAAGATAAAGACGCTAAACGCCTCGCGGTGGATGCCTGACGATGGGGGCTTGTGTTGATGGAAGAGGGAGGATCTGGGTGGATATGAGTCAAGAGTCAGCGAAGGCAGATGCACGATAATCGTGATTTTCTTTTTCTTTTGTCGCCCCTCCCATCTGCGTCCATCTCCATCGATCTGTAACATGCATCCTCTCGGATCTCTCATCGCCTCTATATCGTATGCCTGTCTTGCTTAGTTTCGAAGTTTATGCTCTACCTACAGCTTTATGGAATTCATGCGTCCCTGTTCTTGCCACCTAGTATTGAATGGAAACCAAGGATAGACAAAACGAAGTGCATGAACTGTGAAGCAATGCCGCTAGTGGGGTTGCAATAATTGCACAGTCGTATTCTTCGGCACCTTTCGGCATCCGCCGTGCCAGCAAACTCCTGCGGGAGGCTGCGGCCAGCACACCTCCGCGTCATCCCGACGGATCTGAACCATTCCCTCCTTTAATATACCACACGAGCGGAACCTACAGTTCCATGGAAAAAACTATTGTCTGAGGAGCGGTGTTCTCAGACGCTTGATATAGGATGTTTTCTCGCAAGGTGCTATAATTCCTTTCGCGATGCAATCTGAATGAACGGATGTAAATGTATGCACCGAATCACAAGTCAACTTTTGGTTTGATATCCAGGGAGGACACCCGTGGACTCTGGCACCAGAATGACCGCACGGCCATTAATCAATCAATGCAAAGGGAAGGATAGTATTGGACGAGGTGTGCATATGGAGAAGGTGTAGATATGCTTATGTGTGGGATGGCTATAGGAATAATAATAGCGTGGGGTAAGGTAGAAGCAGGTTAATGGGGTACGGGAGCAATGCAGGGAGAAAGGTGACGGGCGGAGGGATAGGAGTGTGAAAGCAAGGTGAAAGCATCTCGAAGGCAATGTTGAAAGCAGTATGGAAAGCCAGTCGATAGCGTGGTGGTTAGCAAGGTGGATAGCATGGTGGATAGCAAGATGGATAGCAAGATGGACAGCAATTTTGACAGCGAGGTGGATAGCATGGTGGATAGCGTGGCGGATAGCATGGTGGATAGTGTGGTTGATAGCACTGTGAAAAGCAGGGCAGGCCGCTAGATACGTGTCAACTCGATCAGCGGGCGAGCAATCATGTTGACAGACTCTTGACATCCAAGGAAGCCCAGGAAAGAGGTAGGCGGTATCGAACAGGGGTGTAGTAATAGTTTGAGAATCGTGCAAATAGAGAATAGTGCAAGGCAGCCAGAAGGATCATGCGTGGAGCATCAAACGATGTGCAAAGAATCCAATAGTGCAAGTTGAAGCTGAAGAGTCATAGCATCGTGCGATAGAGTCCTGAAGTCGTGCATAGTCGTGCAATAGAATCATGTCACGGTGTTGTGCAATGGAGTCCCATAGTCGTGCGATAGAGTCCTGGTAGGCATGCAGTAGAGTCCTGATAGTCGTGCAGTGGAGTCTGTGTGTTGTGCAAGCCTTGCCTAGAGGTTGTCAAAGAAAAAGACACAAAGTTGTGCGAGAGATCCAGAAGCTGTCCAAGAAAACTAAGGGTCCATGCAAATAAAAGAAGCAGATCCAGAAAAGAGGCAATCCTAGTCGTCATAATCGTCCTGGATCTTAGACAACGGTCCTAGGTCCTAGATCCGAAGATGTAGCTGAATGCTGAGCGGAAGAGGCACCCGATGATACTTAGGGCCATGTCAAGCGGCTTGAAGCCAGATGACCTGGTATATGAACGAGTGTCAAGCTCGAATCCGTAGTACCAGTCGGAGCCGCGTGCGGATAGATAGTCGGAGTCGACGGAGGCACTCTCGAGCATGAGAAACGGATCCGATGAAGTCACGATGATGGTGGGTAATGACGCGTTCTGATATGGTGCAGTAGAGATCGGTGACTGTTCTTCCTGGAAAAAGAAGGTGGAGATGTCGACGGAAGGGAGTGAGGATCCCATCGGTTCGAAAAAAACTGAGGCATAGAAGAGGTTCTTCCTCTCCATGATGATGTCGTCGCAGATATCATCTTCCTCTGTGATATCTCTTTCTCCAGGTACATCAGCCAATGAGCCAGGTGATCCTTTACCCTCACACGGCAATAACGAGGACTGTGAGAGGGGAACGCGGTTCGTGATCCATGGCTCCAGTACCTCGTCATCTATGCTTGTCAGAGATCCGGGAGTAGACGGCGTGGTCAATGTAGTGGATTTCATGAAAGATTCATCCGATGACGTGTCGTCCATGTCAGTGTCCGATGCGAGAGATGGGATATTAAACATTGCCGGAGAGGTTTGCAACGATGTGAATGGTGAAGCCTGGAGGAACCCATGCTCGTCAGGTAAAACCCAGTGGCCAGAGTCTCTTGCGGAATGAACACTGTGATTGGACACTGTCCCTGAATACAAGATGTGCATTGATAAGCGCACTGTTGAAAATGAGAGCGTGAGTAAGAATGTATGGCGACGAGGAGTATATGAGCTTACTTTTCAGCACCGAAGCAAGGCAAACGCTTCAGAGGCATGCGAAAGCTTTGCGTCACCTGCCCAAGACGCCGTAGGACCATAATACTGCTCGACGAGAAGCGACAAATAACACTAACGCACAGACCGCTCGCGTACGTCCCACTGTGAGAGGAATTCGTTCCCGGAATATAGCTGGAGTGATAGCAATTGGTTCAGATATGTCTGGTCTTGTCTGGTACACGGGGAGCCAAGATGGATGCATTGCCGAGAATTGGCGATTCCAAAGTCCTGCATCGAATGCGATCAGTAAGCAATTGTCAGCGCGAGGATACAAAAGAGCATACCATGATGCAGAAACAACTCGAGAGTCCTCCTCATCGTATGTGAAGATCCCGCGCCGAGTCGCATAACACATGATGAAAGGACTACGGAGGTCGCAGCAAAGAGCGTGGGTGGTACTTGATTGGAGTGCGAAGGAAGGAGCGGACAAGGCTGAGACCGTTTCACTATGCGCTTGCGAGAAAGTACGACGAATTAAACGATCTGCGGCCACACGAAGACGACGAATGACACGAGCGGTAGACCAGCGAGACCAAGAAATATGATGCGGAGCCAGAAGTAGAACATGCTCTGTTAGACAGGGTTGGTGCTGGAAGTGTTGAGCGACATCTTGATGGTGGTGGTCGAGGGAGAATGGTCGAATGGAAAGCATTTGAGCAGGTGCGAAAACTACAAGGTAAATGAAGGGGTTGGGACCGGCGGGCCAGATGAAAATCAGGCAGTCTCGATTGAGACACTGATGTTCGTGGAGTCAATTCTTGTCGGATCGTCGGGGGAGAAATTGGGAAGATATTCTAGCTTGCGGTGCTTGCAAGAAGATAGCTCTCATCGTGGCGACGAGTCCTGAGCTGTCTTGAGATGTGATTAACGTTGAGCCCACGCAGCAGAGATTTTGAGTACGTTGCGTGAGGTTTGGGGGGGGGGGGGGGGGGGGGGGGGGAGACTCGCTTATGCAGCATGCTCTGAATGTCACAAAAAAACGAGCTTTTTCGATCGTAGATTTGATGAGTTGTATCTTCGTCAATGTTGAATGATTCGAGGCATCGGACGTGCTGTCAGTTAGCCGGGCGGCACACCCACAGCACTTTCGGTCTCCGATGCGCCGCTGCTTTGAAATGCCTCGGCTTTACGGCTCTCTACATAAGATTGGGCGACATTAGCCTTTCAAAAGTCTGCAAGACATATGCCGAGGGAATTTTGATATTAACTCGGTTCGCTTTTCTGGGACTCTGACAAATTGCAGAAAGAGTCTCCCAAAAATCAACGAGAAAAGTCACAGGTCCTCAGAAGACGGACGTGGATATGGGAACACATGTGGTCAAGCGTCTTCCCCATCCTCAGATGTGTGGCACTCATCCCCAGAAAATTCCGGGGGAGAAAGGCGTGTCACTTCCGAACAAGACGTGGAGTACGTTTTTTCGGAGCGAGTAAAGAGTCGCGTTCGTTATTGCCACAGGGAAAGCTTGCATACTAGGGGACCCCGACAACGACCAGTGTCAGCGGCCTGGTGAAAACAGCTGGAGAGCAAGCTCACTTCTCTCCAATTTATGGGAGTGCATCTCTGTATCTGTCGTCTGTCAATAAGAGAAGGGCTGCTCTATTGAAAGCGTAAAGACAAGACAACGGGGATTGATATCGAAGAAGGCAAGGGAGACGATGCGGGACGATAGGGGCTGTCTGTGTACGTAGCACGAGCAGTGACAAATTAGAATGCAGTTCGAATTGCCATCGGTTCATAGATAAGGATATTGCGGGACCGCAAAATGCCTACAGAACCAAAGCATGGAGGTCTCCGGACATGGTCCTTGTGGGCGCACATATTTGCACCTGACAAACAAAGGCATCCATCGAGATGACCGTTTGTCTTTTTCATACAACAATGGTGTGGGGCTCTCCTCATGCGACGAAAGTAATCAGAACGAGGAGGCACCAAGACATGCTGTGGATCACTCACATGGCCCAACTCCAGTGATCAGTCATCTTATGGAAAGCTCGAGTCAGTGCAGATATCTGATACTCAGATACATGCGTCCTTCGGATTCATGAACCGCATATCCTGGATGCGAATGGTTTCAGAATGCTCATCTTGCTATGGCACCAGATCCATGCGCTAGCTTGATGAGATTTCGATCATAAACAACCCGACTAAGCTGCTCAATGCTTGGGAAAAGGGGAGTCAGTCGATAATACATCAATTAAATCAAGGCATGCCTCAGCCCGCCGTATCCACGTTTACTCGCACAAGTACTCCTTTGGAATAAAGGAGAAGCATCGTGGGTTGACATCATAACGTGTCCCAGAGCCGACCCGTCAACCCTGAAAAACTCTTAAGCGGGATAGTCATCCTGCGCCAGGCACATGGGTCAGACAAGCGCGCATACTTAAGTACGACGGGATAGTACCTAGCTTTTCGAACCAACCACCACCCGAAATCCACACAACTGCTACTCATCATCCGAAGTCTACTCACTCTGCCCACTCCATGACCGCCATGTCCTACCACGGATATCAAAGCCGAACGGGGCACTACGAGCCCTACCCGCCACACTCTGACCAGTGGGCAACACACCCCGGCACATATGGTCTCCAGTCGAGGGACTATGCGTGCGGGCATCCCCAGCCAGTGGCCCATGACATGGTAAGTGCGATACCTCTGACATTGGCCGCAGACTATCCTGTCGGTAGCGTTATCATAGTCAATTCCATATCACTCACGACGCTCGTGTCTTTTAGAACCCATATGCCCCCTCCGTGCAACATGGGGAGTCAGCGTGGAGCGGCGCCCCGCTAGCCATTATAGGATATGAGGCCCGGCGGTATGGGCATCCTCAACATGCGGGTGTCGCCACCACCCCCATCTACGGCGCCGACCCGTATGCGCCATATGAGACCGCGGCGCATCACGGTACGTGTGATATGTGTTATGATGCTATGATGTTCGACTAGCTTACTCCGGTATACCTCTTCCTTTCCGTATGCTACAATGCGCCACCGATGTACCCGATGACATCACTGCCGCGATATGATGTCGCTCCGGAATTTGTGGTCAGTTCAATGATTTTGTGAAGTGAGGCACAATGTTGATATCAAACCTTGCATGGCTGTCTGTTGGACATTCAGTGGTCTGAGAGGACCACGAGATCATACAGTCGGGGCAGTGTGGCCCAGCCACAGACTACGCAGGGAGTAGAACATATACCCTGGCGACAGTTCGAAGTCGAGGCCATACATTCCAACACCAGCAAATTCAACAATGGGGACAGCGTGGAACGTTCCACCGCCGCACAGCCATTCGCTGAAGGTGTACTAGCGTCGGTCGCAGGACCTAGTACTTTGCGGATGCCGCCAGTGCCAGCTTTGTCGACAACTGCTCAGGCGCCGAAGAGTAAGGTGAGGATGTTGAAGAGGAAGACTGCAGGAGGGGCCAACGGCACATCTCAGGTGAATGCGAAGGCTCAGATACTCGGTAAGGCCGTGGCAAAGAAGAAGAGGACGATGCCGCCTGAGGATGGACCATGGGTCTGCCGTGTGGAAGGCCAGATATACGCCCGATATTGGGAGATGTTGCAACACCAGGAGACGACAGAGGGTCATGACGAGTATCAAGGCCCCTGCATCTGTGTGTCAGGAAGGAGTTCACTCGCCGAGATGGCATGAACAGGCATTATAAAAAGGGCTGCCCCCTCCGTCCTAGGCCATCTTCGTGATTATTGCCTGATCGCAGAGGAAGTCGAGGGGAAGAGATGGTGAGTGTTGACGGGTCGAGGACCTTCTTGTTTTTCCATCTTCCTTCTCCCTCTTTTCACACCCGCCATCGATCCCGCTGATGAATCTGAACAGTTTACATGCTTACATTCCTCCTATTCCATCCGTCTTCGTCTTTGCGCTTCCCTTCCTCTATTCTTGTGTATCAGCTTCCTGTATCTCCGGGCCTGCCCGTTACTTACCAAGGACCTTTCACATACTGATGTCTGAGATCTTCTTGTGTATTTATGTGCATCGTGAGGTTGGAAGATGATACGCAGTCCAATATTTCCATGAGCATCGCGCTTTCAGAATAAAGTGTCTTGTGATACGGGAGGGTATCTGCCGCGAACTCATCGAAGCGTATCCATGAGTTTGGGCATGAGGCGAACGCATTCGTAGAATATTCTCGATGCACTGATAGCATATCGAGGACATTCATTGAGGCTGGATGAGCTCCTGATGCAGACGGACACAGGCCGATGATCGTGGTAGGAAGCGAGACTGGAAACAAACTCCATGCACGAGATCACCGCCACCATCCCTTCACACCTTGCGCTCACACTCCCTTCATTCCCGTTCGATCGCACTCGCGACAGTCTCGTTTTCGGCATCACTCAGAAGCACAGTTGTACAATAGAGACTTGAAAAGTAATGTCTATATGCTATCATACAAAGAACGAGGAGAAGAACAAAATAGCATGGAGATTGCGAGGATACGGCGAACCAAGAGAAGAACCTGCGTCAGGAACAAGAGATGTACACAGACAAAAGGGAAATTCAAATGCGTCCAAATCGATAGGAGACGATGAGATAGAGATAGGATGAAAGAAAGGGCTGCATAAGAGTGAACACTGTGGTACGTTTCTTGAGTCTGCTTTGACACGATCACCGCCTTCAATCTCTCCGACCTCCTCTTCGCCCGTCATGGGGATTCATCGTCGTCGCAGGCGGAGAGGGCAGGCCATAGGACTGCGCTTGTGCCTCGCAAGCGCATCCTCGCGACACAAGAGAGCCCCACACTCGCATTGAACGGGGCCACCAGACCCTTCGTGCACGGTCTGATTATGTCGGGCGAGATCGTATGAGCGCCCGAACTTGGTTTTATGAAGCTCGCAAACCCATGGCCCGTTTCCAGGTGCTTTGCGCCTCGATGTACCTGCTCGGGTGCTCTTCGCCTCCCCCTCCGTCTCGTCCTCGGCCTGCACGCCAGCAGCCCGCTTACCGCGAGCCTTGCCTTTCGCACGCGCACTCGCCTTCCTCTTCGAGGCTTTTCTCCTTCTCTGGATCGTCCTCGGTGTGTCGAGCCCTGTCATCGCTAGTTGATGGCTAGGTCCTGCAACAGATGCAGGTACGACTTGGACAAACGGATGCACCATGTGGAAATAATCCTCTTGGTACCCGTTGTTGAATTTGCTTGTAATTGATTGCGCGACCTTGGCTTCGGCCAGCATCTGGGGTACTAATGGCAACCCCTCTGCGGCCTCCGCCTCAGCCGCATGAACGTCCTCGCGTGTCGCCCGAACTCCATTTGACCTCCGGACGGTCCTTGTGTCCGTTTCGTCGAGCGGCGCCTTACGTTTCGCGGTCGTCCCGCTCTGTGATACAACGACTTCAGTGATTTACTGATTGTCAGAAGACAACAGATGGGACTGACCATGATCAGCGCCGGGGGCGGCAGTTGGGAATGTAACGACATCTGCCCTCGGATGTCGTCTATGATGTCCGCAATATGCATCAGCGGCGATTGTCGTCGTGAAAAGAGCGCATACCATCTTGGGCCATCGAGCGGGTGACTCGTCCCTGCATTCCGCTTGAGCTCTTATGTTGGGCCACATGCCCTGCTGCCTAAGATACAGAACACGACAGTGAGTGGCACAGTCGCATCAGGTGATGGTAGGTTGGTAACAGCTGTTGGCAAGTTACAGATAGTAAAGAGCCTTACACTTACCCCGTTGGTGGCCCACAGTGGCTGGCCAAAGTCGAGTTGCGGGGGCGGGTTGACCGTGGCCCAGTCAAAGGTCGCTGATGAAAGGAGGCTCAAATGGCACCCCGTCGGGATGCCGTACTGACAGAAGTATGCTTGTAAGTCTGCGGAAATGGGAGGGATGGACATGGTATGGAGCGCAGTGGGTGTTCGGATGCTGGTGCTGGGTAGTGGCTTGTGCGAGAGACGAAGCGCTGCCTCGTACTTAAGTACGCGCGCTTACTGTCCTCAAGTTCGGCGCAAAGAAAACTCGTTCCATTTCGTATTTAACTGAATGCCCCTATGGGTCCCCGTGCACGCGCATATCAAGCTGTGCAATCTGGGCATTCGCTTGTTTCGGGCGTGCACTGGTGCTTTGTGCGCCTTATGAGGTAAACGAGACAACATTGAGACGTCTTCTTGCTTCTTTCACCTCCCACCTTCCGGCTCCGTGTCCAGATTGAGAAGGTGGTGGCAAGGGACATGGGTACGTGTGGTGAGATCGCGCGTTGTCATTGGTTTCGAGACCGACTGGTGTATTTTTTCACGTATTCAGCGACTCGAGGTATGATGGTTTGCAATTGTTCTCGGTCTAACATGTCGTGTGTGGGTCTAATGATTGGGCTTCCCTGATCTTTGAGTGATTGATATGCGATGGTAAAGCCGGCAGCCATGGTTCAGATTCTTGGCAGGAACTTGCACTTCCATCCAGGCATTCTAAACACCCGATCCAAGGGGTCTCTGCAATTCTTCGGCAGTGTGACGTACACTTCGAATGTGATAGTAAGTACAAGCTTATTTGGATGTTTCTATCGTTCGAGGGTTTCGTTATCACGGTTCCGCGCACTTCTCATGATGATAGATGGCGGCTGATGCTGAACTGCTATTTTCCAGTGCTTGTACGTACAACAAAGACCGCCCCCTCCCTTTGTGTCCCGCCGGCTTCTTCGATATCAATCTGTCATGTCTATTGCTGCTACTGGGCGTCCATCTCGTTCCATCATCTTTTCGAAAACACTCCATGGCAACTTGATGCATTCAATCGAGTCGCATCTCGCACAATCCCTGCGCGGCAAGGGTACTCGGCGCCTGAAAGCGATTGAACCGAGTCAGGAGAAATGAAGTGCCTTAGATGTTCCACCGATCGCAGAACACGCCGTTGAGATGTCTTTACGGCGGTGAATACACCAGACAGTACCGAAACTAGGGAAGATATGAGGTCCGCTACTCCATGCACATGTTTCTTGCCGCCTCTTTCTATCTGGGGAACACAGAGCTCGAAGAAGGGTAGGATGGAGGCAAGAGAAGTACGAAGTCGCATCGCTCTTTTATTTGCCTCATAATGTGCACAAAGCATGGACTCATTCGTGGGCTACAAGGTGCGAGCTAGATGACAGCTTGTCGTGCGTCATATGCATAGAGCCAACGTAGGCCTTCAAGTAGTACGAAGGGGCAGTGCCTGCCGACATTCCGGCATTCAACATCTACTACTGTTTCTCATCATCCAGTATCGAAAACCTAGCTAATGAACACCTTCCTCCTCAAATTTTCCCATTGTACCCTCAATCATAGTTTGGATTATAGAATTATCGTGTTCCCATAATGTCCTCTGCACTTTTGAAGTATCTGTGGAATCTGTCGGAGTCAACACGAACCGGTGCCATGTAGGATAACTAGTAGTGACCATCCTGGGAAACATTCGGTAGCTTTCCATTCCGGCAAACTGATAGAAACGTGGCTTCTCTTGCTGCGCAGCATCGGGGAGATCCAGGCCCCTCAGAGGAGCTGCTGAGCAGGCGCGGTATGAATCAGGCCTTACAAGTGTATGTGAATATGTGGAATCTCACCATGCTCTACCCACGGTCTCTGCGCGGCTGTGTTATACAGCTCCTTTTGAACAGATGAAAGTGACAACACCAAAGCAAGGAAGGAGAAGCATTGTGCGCTGATTCACCTACATCATGAGACATACAGAATAACAGCTGTATGTGGGTACCCTCTTGCGCCGCGAGAGAGGTGTAGCTGTAAGCGGATGAGTCTGTCCTGCGCCAAACTGAGGGGCCGGTAGGCGCGCATAGTGAAAAGAACGCGGGGGCAGCGCTTCGACTCTGCAACGAACGACGACCCATTGTCCATTGTCCGAGCATCTATCGCACCCCTGACAATGTCTATTCCACCCATCCCTGCAAATTTTCGAGTGTACTTCACACAGAATGGCATTCTGACGGAGTGCCAATGGAGCCCATTTCCATCCCGGGATTTCGACTGGGCCACAGTCAACCGGCCCCCTCCACTGTACTTTGGCCGTCCATCAGTGTGGGTAAGTCGAAGCTATCTGTTGCTTGCTACATGATGTTATCAGCTTCTGATTGCCTGATGCGACTTTGTCACTCACTGTAGGCTCTGCCTCAGGCAGCTGGTGTGGCCCAGCCAGGGAGCTCAAGCGGGGATGGCCGCCGCTTTGGGGCGTGCCGTACGAAACGATGATCGTTCTGCTCACCACTGACATATGTCATGCATATCGTAGACGACATCCACTGGCCGATGTCGTCGCGTCCCACGACGCCCATTGGAGGCGTTATGGTAAGTTCCAACTGTCGTCCGATGACGATCAGGGTCTCATGCGGTGTATCAGAGCGGGACGACCGCGAAGCGCAAGGCGTCGGTGGACGATGCTGACTCGCTGAGCGTCCATCGTTCCAAGCGGACCAAGGCGCCGCGCAAGGACATTCGTGGGGCCGAGGCAGACACAGTAGAGGGGCTGTTGCAACTAGCACCCCAGATGCTGGCCGACCTTGAGGCCCCGTGACTACACACAAGCATATTCAACTACGGGCACGATGTGAATACTTTCCACATCGTGTAGCCGACTGTCGAAAGTACACCTGTTGCAGGGCCGAGCCGTCAACCAGAGATGGCAGGATTCGACATGCGGATCACGAGGCAAGGGGAGATAACAGACCAGGCAGAGAGGGCGAGCGCGTGTGCAGAGGGTGAAGCTCACAGTGAGGGGACTGCTAACGCTCAGGTCGGCGACAAGACAGAGGAGAAGCGTGAGAAGAGGTACAAACCACCTGGGGATGGGCCCTGGATTTGCGAGGTCCATAATCGAGAGTTTGGGCGCTGGTACGAACTGGACCGACACATGAGGAGCCGCAAGCACGAAGAATTCGCAGAGGAGTTCCAGTGCGAGCGATGTCAAGATTTCTTTTCTCGCAAGGACTCGCTGCAGAGGCACCAGCGTACGGCCTGCTATCCTCCAGACGACGACAGTGGTGCTTCATGATGGGCACGGAGGAGGATGACGAGGAGGGGAGAAGTGGGTCCGCCTGCAGCAACAAGGACGCACCGTACTGCAGTCCACTTTTATGCACGCACATATCTTTTCTTGCTGCCGGTCACCCCCCTCTATCTCATCGATGCTCATCGATCTATGCATTACATGTCTTCTTATGCATAGCCAGTTCTTCTGCCCCTAACATCATTCCTTCTCTCGGCTCGTAATTCGCATGTGCTATTTTTTCCTCGCTCTCGTCGTTCTCTTGTACGAGATGTTATGGCCGTTTTATGGCCGTTCGTCTCCTTGTTGAGGATATGTGAATCTGGGAGGCAGTTTCAAGCAGACACATTTGAGGGCGGTGGAATGAAAATTGTGCACGATGGTCCATGGAGGCAAGTCACTAGCAAGTCGGATGTGAATGAATTCTCGGACGCAAGTTGTGGCGCTGACATGGCGCTGCATCCTACCACGATCATCGGTCTCAATTTGTCTCAACAGCCTCCTCTTTCTCAGAAACTCGAGCCCTTTCCTTCATGCAGCTATCGATGCACTGGCATATGAACGTGGTCAGTCCACGAATTCGTTGGCCTCACATGTCCTACCTCGTGGACAGGCATCGATGAGTTCGCAGCATATAACTCTTTCATATCACGACACGATGCCACCGCATGCTTGAAGATATAGATACTTTGAAAGTGCGAGGCCATTGAGAGCAGACTGTGCTAGTTCATCCGTCATCTGCTATCAGTGAGCGAAGTTTCGCAGCCCAGCCCCTCACATACTCCTCTAATAAAGTCATTGACAGTGTCAGCTAAGACTGGATGGATTCCCTCATTCATTCTTGTTCAGTATGTTCTACACATGTGTAGGCATGCCATACTGCCACATGTCGCAGGGATCATTATACTTCAACATACGATGAGGAAGCAGAACGAAATGTGATGCGCATTGATGTCCTAGACCGCGGCCTGAACAAAATGGCTAAGGCGGGTAAGCAGCAGATAGTCAATCAGCAGTGCGAGGGGAGGGGTAGTGGACATTGCCATGTATATCGTGCGATGAAGTGTAAATGAGGAGGAATGCAGCGCAAGGGAGTTGGAGAAGGTAAGCACACCGCACTTCGGAAAGCAAAAGAAAGTAAGGTAGAAAGCAAGTGGAAAGCAGAAAACACGATGCAGAGCAATATCCAGGCTCCTACCCACCACCGTGTCGAGGGCAAGGGTCTATTACTATGAGGAAATAATGAAAAACATATGAGAAAACATATGACAAATGAATGATGTAATGAAGTAACATTTTGAACCTTAATCCCCAGTCAGAACCCAGCCTAGTTGGAGCTAGCATGCTCAACCATCGGTGTCGGAGATGAAGTGAGCTATGCCCTGATAGAAAAATGGCCCTTTACTAGATTTACTTACTCCGTAATTCTATGAGTATCTATTGGGCTATAGTGTCCTCGTGCCAGAGTCAATATTACCATCTGTGCTATTCCTTGCTATATCGCTAATGGCCTTGTACCTTATATTGATCCACTCTCCTATCACAACCTAGCAACTAGTTATGTCTATGATCGGTGTTCCTATTATGCCCTAGCAAATAGCACATTAAGTGCCCTATCCTATACCTAATTCTGCATGGGATATATATTACTATCTAGCAAAGTATAGCATAATGCCCACTCCCACGCTCTGAAGAAACCACCCTAGATCACCCAATTACTGCCTTCTGCTAGGTTAGCTACCTCCTGTGCCTCGCGCCGCTTTCTGTGAAACAAGCCAATAAGTTAATATTATCACAAGCAGACCGCCTTGATCACAATACATACCATTGATTTTGCTTTAGTAGTGTAGATCTGCGTCATGATGTGAGGCCGTCAGAACATCATCGTCACAATTATAAAATGCACAGTATACATACCTTTTTGTCCAACTTGAACAACATCTTCCAATAGGTATCAAAGGCTTTCTTGGTAGCATCACAATTTTGTTCCTTCCACCAAGCTCCGCAAATGTTTCTGAATATTGGAATAGTCAGCACTGTACACTACAAGAGAGAGTGGATACCTACCTTGTGGTCACCATATGTAGTGGCCACAAAGGTTGGCCAGTGTCCTTCACACTATTGCTGCCATCTCTTGCTTCAGTGGAGCTCGTGCATGTGGAGGGAACTCTGGGATTTGATGCCATTGTGATTGCTCCCGAGGCTTGTTCTATGCTCACACCAGGATTTGGTGTCATTACAGTGGTCGTTGTTGATTGTTCTATGGCAGCATGCCCCTTATTAGTATAGCCGGTGGTTGTGATGGAAGCGTTGGACGTCTCAACAACACTGCTGACAGTATTGTAGGTGGCTGGCTCAATGGATGCGTTGGCACCACTCTCTGGACCTACAGGGGATGCCTTATTAAGGGAGAGAACAGTGTTTGCAGAAGCATTCTCTGTCAAAGCGACAGTGCTCGTGGTTGCTCCCTACCATTAGGTTAGTGCACTTCTCTAGTCACAATGATAACAAAGCCTTACATCATTGGTGTTTACAGAAGTGTTCTCTATCGGGGCGACAGTGCTCGTGGTTGCTCCATCTGGAAAACTACCCCTTTGTATTGAGCTCTAATTAGTTCTATTTATGCATAATTAAGAACAATTAGGATTAGACATTTTTAGCTTACCCCCCCTCTAAACCTGTTCTAATTAGACATAATTTTCATAAATTAGGAATTATTAGGATTGATTATAACTTGAAATTTCGGAAAAATCATAATAAATCAAGCATCACAGTTCTCATAGCCTTCTTATAGAGTCATGTCTATTAAAGCACTAGTTAAACACCTGAACACAGAATATACCTTATAATAAACTTGCCTTCTGCCAGAGTTGAACCAACAACCTCATGTATGCAAGCATCCAGGACAGATGCTCTAAGCCACAAAGCCACAAAGTCTAATATATAAACTTGGTAATCTAAATAAGTAGACATATAGGCAACCTCAACATCTCTGATTTTATTTAACATTTATCTTTCCTCTATCTTATAAATAAATAGGTCAATAAATACCTAAAAAGTCAGGTCTTTCAGGATTTAGTTTAAACACCAGCTAAAAAGATAATAAACTAATGGAAAATTGATAATACACTTTATATAGGATAAAAATAAATTATGGCACTTATACAATTTGGACTGAGAATGTGTAAAACTATGATTGAGTGTGATATTCAATGGGACTCTACTAGTATAGACAATGCTACCTAAATTTGCAAATTTGATCAAAAACATGATTATGAATAATCAAGATCCAATAAGAGAGAGGGATTTTCCAAATAGCCACTAGTGAGATAGAGGGTGGGGACAAGAGTATATGTATGGCATGCCTATATATAAATAAGGACAAGATTGTTGGAGGTGATCTTAATATGCTTAATGCATATATTTCCTATATGGCAGGCAAATATATCATTCTGGCACCACATACCAACATGACTGTCTTTTCCAGAGCCTAATAGCTAGAGGAAAATACCAAGTTTGAGCATCTTCTGTATAACAGGGCAATAGACAATATGAATAGTGCTAAAAATTGTAATATCAATAGTGATGATGATTGTGTGCTGCACAAGATAGTATTAGCTACTATACTAATAGACAAGGTCTATAAGGCTGCATATAGCATATCCCTAAGTCCAACCCCCATGTTGTGTCCTATAATGACCAGTAGCAGGCATTGGCTAACAATAACAACTTTAATGATCCTGTGTGCAAGGACAAGGTACCTAGGTCTTCATAGCCTCTTGTGGCAGCTGCCAAGCTGCCAACAAAGTGGCTAGGAGCATCAATGCACATTTCTCTCTTTCTATGTCCCTTATAAAAGCAGCTAGAAAGTCAGCAAAAGAGCTACAAGATAATGGTATAGGCATATATGAAGGAGAGTAATATACTGAAATAGTATAGAATGTGCCACATCTTTACCTTCTCACTGATAGAGTAGTAGTACTTACTATTTCCTACTAATAATTAAAGACTTCTTAGTATAGAATTAGTGCTAATATCATGAAATTAGAAACCAATCCAATGCTCACAATGTGTTGCTCCCAATTAGGAAATTAGACACTTTTAGATGTTATTAACACTTTTAGATACTTTTAGACACTATTAGATATAATCTGGAGCTAATACAAGGAGGTGGTTTTCCAGATGTTGTCTTCTTTTAATACCACCACCCACTTGTGCCCACAAGTGTGGGCCTGTATCCTCTTGCTGCCACCACCCACCTTGCCTACGCTCATGCTCTCTTGCTGCCACTGCCGATCCTCAGCACCCATGCTCGCACAGGACGAGTACATGCTCATATTCTCTTGCTGTCACTGCCCACCTTACTTGCACTCATATTTTCTTGCTGCCACTGCCCACCTTGCTTGCACTCGTACCCTCTCACTGCCGCTGCCAATCCTAGCTGCCCATGCTTGCACAAGATGAGTGCAGGCTTGTGTTCTCTTGCTGCCGCCGCCCACTTTGCCTGTGCTTGTGCTCTCGCGCTGCTGCTGCTAATGCTAGCCACCCATGCTTGCGCAAGACAAGTGTGGGCTCATGTTCTCTTGCTACCACTTCCCTCCCTGCCTGCACCCATACCCTTTTGTTGACCCTCTTGTTGCCATGTGCAGACTGTTGAGCCTCAAACAGAGTCCAAGATGGAGGACTATGTGCCACTCACAATCCAGTGTGCTCATTTTAGATGCAGGGCTGTCCTTTGTTTGAAGTATTTTGCATACAGTAAAATGATAATATTTTGATGGTAATAATGTTGTATAAAATACCTGTGTGAGGCTGCAGACGGGGTCTGAGCTAATGACCAGATTTCTGACTATTGTTCTGGATAAGCTCTGACTGGTCTGAACTAAGACAGATGCAGAAAGGTAATTTCCTAATGGCAGAGTCTTGTTCTAACCTCTGATTTGTCTGAGCCATCTGAATTCAGAACAATCAGAAGCTCTCAGACCTGGATCAGACATTGGCCAATTTCCTGATGATTGATGCAAGTCAAAAAATCTTCATAGTAGACAAGAAACTCCTGTGACAGTCAGCAATTTGTGTAACAGAGGCTATGATCCATGTAAGTTAGTAGAGTCAAAGAATTTGGACAGGGCAGTGGAATTGGAAATTCAAGCAAGATTCACTCACCCAGAGCTTCTTTGGAATAAAGGAGAAGCACCATAGGTTTACATCATAATGTGTCCCAGAGCCAACCCATTAACTCCAAGGACCCCTTGAGCAGAAGAGGCATCCAGACACATGGGTCAAACAGGCATGCATACAGTCGCAGACAAGCAAAGTTGACAAAAAAGAAAAACAATTGTAGTGGCTGATGCGCCTAAAATTTACGAAATCTGACTGCAGATTCAGACTCAGGAAGTCAAAAGACATCTAAAAACACCTTTTTGGGATTTTCACACAAGAAATTGGGACCTGCCAATTTTTTGGCAAATTTTTACTAGTGCTAGATGCCCCAAAAAAGATACATGTGATGCCATGTGAAGTAAACTAGTTGAGAACTGCCTTGATGCTCATCATTGTACTTTGAGAAACAGTGCGATGGCTTTTTTGCTTGTGAATAGCTCATTCCATCACCTTCGTGGTCAATCCTCTGCAATATGCATCTATAAAATGCCATGAGCAATTGAAGAAGTGATGAATGTCCTCGACAGGACAATTGTCAAGGCATTTGAGTGCATGCTTCTTTGCATCATCAAACTTCTCCTTATAGACCTCACAATACCTGTACTTAACAGAACCCCAGTACTGCCAAAATAGGGAATCAATAAACAGAGAAAAATAAAATTGAAAATGGCAGAATAAGCAGTTTACTCATCATCTCCATCAGGTTGAGCTCACAATGGAACTTTGGGAGAAACATACAAATGTGACTGTGAGCAGTAATCTCCTGTTCAAGAAGGGAGACTTGATTCTTGACATCGGCCTGGTTTGAGAGAAGACGAGCCATGCAGCAATGCTCATTCTCAATTGAGCACACCAGCGAGCACTTGGCCCATATGCACATTACCTTGACAATTTTTTGGCGATAAAATATAGATATTTTCAGCAAATCTTTGATGGATTCATAAAGTACTCATTGAAAGGAGTCAATTGGTGTATTTTACGTGATTTATAGACCTTTTTTGTGGGGTCAGCCAATTTTTGGAGGTTTCCGGGTCAAAGAATTACTTTTTCTGGACTAATGGCTTGTAGGACTTTACTCATAATATTTCCACGACATCTACTCAAGCATTGCTATCGATTCCGGTGTAGCCGGGAAGCCCTAGAAATGGGTGTCAAAATTTGTCGACTCTGCTTGTCCGCGACTGTACTTAAGGATGATGGGATAGCACGTAGCCTTTTGAGCAAACCACCACCCGGGATGCACCCAATTGCCACTCATCATCCAAAGCCCACCCACTCCACCCTTTCCATTGACGCCATGTCCTACCATGGATACCAAGGCCAGACGGCACACCACGAGCTCTACCTGTCCTACCTTGACCAGTGGGCCACCTCAGCGTTTGTGGTCTCCCACCATGGGACCATGCGTATGGGTATCACCAGCCAGTGACCCGTGATTTGGTAAGTGCAATAGCTTTGATCACATCTCAACACAATTTAGGACTCATGTCCGCCACGATGATTATCTTCTTGCAAGCACCGCAAGCTGGAATTTCCACCCAAGTTCTCCCCCAATGATCCCATAAATGTTGACGCCACGGATATCAGTGTCTCAATTGAGACTGCCTTGATTTTCATCTGGCCCGCCTGTCCCAACTCCTTCATCTACCTTATAGTTTTCGCACCTGCTCAAATGCTTTCCATTCGAACCTTCTCCCTCGAACACCACCATCAAGATGTCGCTCAACACTTCCAGCACCAACCCTGTCCAAGTCCAACAGAACATGTTCTACTTCTGGCTTCGTATCCTAGGCCTTGGTCTCGCTGGTCTACTGCTCGTGTCATTCGTCGTACTTTCTCGCAAGCGCACAGTGAAGCGGTCTCAGCTTCGTCCGCTTCTTCCTTCGCCCTCCAATCAAATACCACCCACGCTCTTTGCTGCGACCTCCATAGTCCTTTCATCATGTGTTACGCGACTCGGTGCGGGATCTTTACATACGATGAGGAGGGCTCTCGAGTCTGTGTTTCTGCATCATGGTATGCTCTTTTGTATTCTCGCGTTGACAATTGCTTACTGATTGCATTCGATGCAGGACTTTGGAATCGCCAATTGTCAGCAATGCATTCATCTTTGCTCCCCGTGTACCAGACAAGGCCAGACATATCTGAACCAATTGCTATCACTCCAGCTATATTCCGCGAACGAAGTCCTCTCGCAGTGGGACGTACACGAGCCGTGTGTACGTCAGTGTCATTTGTTGCTTCTCGTCGAGCAGTGTTGTGGTCCTACGACGTCTTGGGATGGTGGCGCAAAGCTTTCGTATGCCTCGGAAGCGTTCACCTTGCTTCGGTGCTGAAAAGTAAGCTCATATACTCCTCGCCACCATACATTCTTACTCACGCTCTCATTTTCAACAGTGCGCTTATCAATGCACATCTTGTATTCAGGGACAGTATCCAATCACGGTGTCCAGTCCGCGGGAGACTCTGGCCACTGGGTTTTACCTGACGAGCATGGGTTCCTCCAGGCCCCACCATTCACATCGTTGCAAACCTCTCCGGCAATGTTTGATATCCCATCTCTCGCATTGGACACTGACATGAACGACACGTCATCGGATGAGTCTTTCAAGACATCCACTACATTGACCACGCCGTCTACGCCCGGATCTCTGACAAGCATAGATGACGAGGTACTGGAGCCCTGGATCATGAACCGCGTTCCCTTCTCGCAGTCCTCGTCACCGCCGTGTGAGGGTAAAGGATCACCTGGCTCATTGGCTGATGTACCTGGAGAAAGAGATATCACGGAAGGAGATGATATCTGCGACGATATCATCACGGAGAGGAAGAACCTCTTCTATGCCTCAGTTTTTTTCGAACCGATGGGATCCTCACTCCCTTCCGTCGACATCTCCACCTTCTTTTTCCAGGAAGAACAGTCACCGATCTCTACTGCACCATATCAGGACGCGTCATTACCCACCATCATCGTGACTTTACCATCGGATCCGTTTCTCATGCTCGAGAGTGCCTCCGTCGACTCTGACTATCTATCCGCACGCGGCTCCGACTGGTACTACGGATTCGAGCTTGACACTCGTTCATATACCAGGTCATCTGGTTTCAAGCCGCTTGACATGGCCCTAAGTATCATCGGGTGCCTCTTCCGCTCAGCGTTCAGCTACATCTTCGGACCTAGGACCTAGGACCGTTGTCTAAGATCCAGGGCGATTATGACGACTAGGATTGCCTCTTTTCTGGATCTGCTTCTTTTCTTTGCACGAACCCTCAATTCTCTTGGACAGCTTCTGGATCTCTCGCACAACTTTGTGTCTTTCTCTTCGACAACCTCTAGGCAAGGCTTGCACAACACACAGACTCCACTGCACGACTATCAGGACTCTACTGCATGCCTACCAGGACTCTATCGCACGACTATGGGACTCCATTGCACAACACCGTGACATGATTCTATTGCACGACTATGCATGACTTCAGGACTCTATCGCGTGATGTTATGACTCTTCAGCTTCAACTTGCACTATCGGATTCTTTGCACATCGTTTGATGCTCCACGCACGATCCTTCTGGCTGCCTTGCACTATTCTCTATTTGCACGATTCTCAAACTATTACTACACCCCTGTTCGATACCGCCTACCTCTTTCCTGGGCTTCCTTGGATGTCAAGAGTCTGTCAACATGATTGCTCGCCCGCTGATCGAGTTGACACGTATCTAGCGGCCTGCCCTGCTTTTCACAGTGCTATCAACCACACTATCCACCATGCTATCCGCCACGCTATCCACCATGCTATCCACCTCGCTGTCAAAATTGCTGTCCATCTTGCTATCCATCTTGCTATCCACCATGCTATCCACCTTGCTAACCACCACGCTATCGACTGGCTTTCCATACTGCTTTCAACATTGCCTTCGAGATGCTTTCACCTTGCTTTCACACTCCTATCCCTCCGCCCGTCACCTTTCTCCCTGCATTGCTCCCGTACCCCATTAACCTGCTTCTACCTTACCCCACGCTATTATTATTCCTATAGCCATCCCACACATAAGCATATCTACACCTTCTCCATATGCACACCTCGTCCAATACTATCCTTCCCTTTGCATTGATTGATTAATGGCCGTGCGGTCATTCTGGTGCCAGAGTCCACGGGTGTCCTCCCTGGATATCAAACCAAAAGTTGACTTGTGATTCGGTGCATACATTTACATCCGTTCATTCAGATTGCATCGCGAAAGGAATTATAGCACCTTGCGAGAAAACATCCTATATCAAGCGTCTGAGAACACCGCTCCTCAGACAATAGTTTTTTCCATGGAACTGTAGGTTCCGCTCGTGTGGTATATTAAAGGAGGGAATGGTTCAGATCCGTCGGGATGACGCGGAGGTGTGCTGGCCGCAGCCTCCCGCAGGAGTTTGCTGGCACGGCGGATGCCGAAAGGTGCCGAAGAATACGACTGTGCAATTATTGCAACCCCACTAGCGGCATTGCTTCACAGTTCATGCACTTCGTTTTGTCTATCCTTGGTTTCCATTCAATACTAGGTGGCAAGAACAGGGATGCATGAATTCCATAAAGCTGTAGGTAGAGCATAAACTTCGAAACTAAACAAGACAGACATACGATATAGAGGCGTTGAGAGATTCGAGAGGATGCGTGTTGCAGATCGATGGAGATGGACGCAGATGGGAGGGGCGACAAAAGAAAAAGAAAATCACGATTATCGTGCATCTGCCTTCGCTGACTCTTGACTCATATCCACCTAGATCCTCCCTCTTCCATCAGCACAAGCCCCCATCGTCAGGCATCCATCGCGAGTCGTTTAGCGTCTTTATCTTGAAGGAAAGAGGCGGCGGCATCTCTTCGTCTTCAAGTGCGTGTATAGACCATCTCGGCGACTGAACTCCTGCAGACAGACCCAGACGACAGGACCCTGGTATTCTGCATGGCCGGGTTTCGTCTTCCGGTGGCGTACTAGATCTCCGTGGTGACGGAAGACCTTGCCATCTAACTTGCAGATATGCGGCCCCTCACCGTGTAGTTTGCCTCTCCTCCTCGTGCTTACCTCATTGCTCATCACTGCTGGAGCATCCGTTGGCAGAGCCATGACATTAGATCCTGCAATGGACACTGGTATGCCTTCAGCAAATGGATGCTCTATCGTGATATGATATCCGATGTGCCCATTGTTGTATTTATCAGTGTTCCCTTGTATGGGTCTGGCCTCTACGGGCCTCCAGGATGCGACCTGCAACTCACAGCTCGCGTTCGCCTCGGCCATACTGTCTGGATGCCGCTGCGACTAAAATTCAGTGCCTGTGCACCTTGTAAAAGAAAGAAACCGACCATGTATACTGGGCCCGGGACATGCGAGGAGTGAGCTGTATTGGGGAAGGTCGGTGGCGGCCATGGGACCGTGTCGTATTCTGGCCACAGATCCACTTGGTAGGGTAGTGGCTCTGATTTCGGAACGCGCTCTGGAAGACGAGATTCATGTGTGGCAATGAGTTCGTTTATCCTCATAACATCATGGTGTATGAAGACTGACCACGCAACCCAGACAGAACCATAGGCGTGTTCAAGTGGGCTTGAACTGCGCGGCTTTCAGCACTGTACCTGGAAAGGGACGTAGCGCTTGTGCTTTGAATGCTCTGCCCCAGAAACAAGCTTGGATTCTAGAGCGGAGGCTACTGTGAGTAATGTTGTTTGGGCTGACTGCGACACGAGCTGACAGTCGCGACAAGCAGTGGAAGATCTTGGACTGACGATGGCATCCAATGGCATCTGATGATGCCACTGAAAAGGGCCGCTCCCCAGCCTCTCGGAACTCTCCATGTATGTTCCTTGGAGACAATGGCCAGCGAGGGAGAGAGACAACTCGTCGTAGGAAAAGTAAGGTGTGTTCATTGCTACGTGATGAAGGAAGGTTCCGGGCTGGATGCTGGTAGGTAGATGTTAGACGTTCGGAGATGGGTGGCAGTTAGCAACTCAGCCGGAGCTGCCCCTTTGTATTTAACTACATCCGCTTATGGGCCTCCGTGCACGCGCATATCAAGCTGTACAATCTGGCCATCCGCCTGTTTTAGGCGTGCACTGTTGCTTTGTGCACCTTATGAGGTAAACGAGACAATAATGCGACGTCTCCTTGATTCTCCTGCCTCCCACCTTCCGGCTCCGTGTCCACATTGAGAAGGTGATGGCGAGGGATATGGGTGCGTGTGGTGAGATCGTGCGCTGTCATTGGTTTCGCGACTGACTGGTGTACTTTCTCACGTATCCAGCGACTCGAGGCATGATGGTTTGCAATTGTTTTCAGTCCAAGATGCCGTGTGTGGGTCCAATGATCGTATTTGATTATAAAGCCGGCAGCCATGGTTCAGATTCTTGGCAGGAACTTGCACTTCCCTCAAGGCATTTTAATCACTGGATCCAAGGGGTCTGTACAAATTCACGGCAGTCTGATGTTCCAGGTTGCAATCGAGCTCTTCTTGAATCTGTCTGCGCGCACGTTTCGCATAATCATTGTACTACTCGCCTTGCCTGTGAAGAGATTTCATACAATGCGAAGCCTGTGACGTACACTTCGAATGTGATAGTAGGTACAAGCTTATTTGTATGCTTCTATCGTTCGAGAGTTTTGTTTATCTATATTCACGGTTCTGGGCACTTCTCATGATGGATGGCGGCTGATGATGAACTGCCATTTGCCAGTGCTTGTACGTACACAAAAGACCGTCGCCTCCCTTCGTGTCCCGCTGGCTTCTTCGATATCAATCTGTGGTGTCTGTCACTGCTACTGGGTGTTTATCTCGTTCCAACATCTTCTCGAAACGCTTCATGGCAACTTGATGCATCCAATCGAGTCGCATCTCGCACGATTCCTGCGAGAGGCAAGGGTACTCGGCGCCTGAAAGCGATTGTACGAGGCAGGAGGAAATGAACTGCCGTAGATGTTCCACCGATCGCAGAACGCGCCGTTGAGATGTCTTTGCTGCGGCAAATACATCAGACGGTCCCAAAACTAGGGGAAGAAACGAGGGTCCACTATGGTTCTTGCCTCCTCTTTCCATTTGTGGAATACCGAGCTCGAAGAAGGCAAGAGAAGTAAGAAGTCGCTTCGCCCCTTTATTTACCTCATTTACCTCATAATGTACACAAAGCATAGACTCGGTCGTGGGCTGCAAGGTCCGAGTTAGGTCACAACCTATCGTACACAATAGAGTACCCACGAAACCCATCGAGGCCTTCAAGTAGTACGAAATGGTAGCACCCGTCGACAGTATACCCAGCATCCAACATCTACTACTATTTCTCATCATCGAGCATCAAAAATCTATCATTGCATCGTCAGCCTAGCTACTGAACGTCTTCCTTCTTAAACGCACCAATGAACTACCTACACAGCTGTTCATACGGCCAATTGCATTTCCCCCCTGCCCTCGACTATGGATGGGTCCTGAGCTACACGCGGACAGTTCACAGTGGACGGATCACACTTCGTTCACCGACGCGCCTTGTGGGCGTCATCAGATGCCAATCAGTATCGTAGCAAGTAGACTGCTTGACGTGGACTTTGACTAGTGTCGCAGTCAGAGGAGGGGAGAAGACTCGGACGCGGAGGGGCAAGCTTCGCGGAGAGGGGTCGCATATCTGTAAGGTTGGGTGGCAAGGTCTTTTGTCACCACAGAGATCTGGTACGCCACTGGAAGACAAAACCAGTCCGCGTTGAACATCGAGGCCCTATCATCTGCAGGAGCTCAGTCGTCGCGATGGTCTGTACATGCACCTGAAGGCGAAGAGATGCCTTTGTCCTCTTTTTTCTTCAAGATGAAGACCCATGACGTCTAACAATGAATCCTCAATCGCAGGTGGATATAGGAGAGAGAACCTACCGGCAGACTCGCCATGGCCGATCTTCTTGTCATTCCTCTTCCTCTTCCATCTCCATCCATCTCCATCCATTTGGATGCCCACTGCCATCTCGTAGCACGGCTTGCCTATCTTGTTTGTTTTCCAGTTCTACCCTGTATTTAGGTTTGGAATATAGAAATTCCGTGTTCACATAATGTCCTCTGCACTTTTGAAGTATCTGTGGAATCTGGCGGAGTCAACGCGAACCGGTGCCATGTAGGATAACTAGTAGTGACCATCCTGGGAAACATTCGGTAGCTTTCCATTCCGGCAAACTGATAGAAACGTGGGTGGCTTCTCTTGCTGCGCAGTATCGGGGGGATCCAGGCCCCTCAGAGGAGCTGCTGAGCAGCCGCGGTATGAATCAGGCCTTACAAGTGTATGTGAATATGTGAAATCTCATCACACTCTACGCACGATCTCTGTCGCAGCTGAATTATACAGCTGTTGTGAATAGGTGAAATAAGAGTGACAGAAGCATCATGCGCTAATCCACCTACATCATGAGACATACAGAATGACAGCTGTATGTGGGTATCCTCTGGGAGCCGCAGGAGAGCTGTAGCTGTAGGGGGATGAGTCTGTCCTGCGCCAAAATGATGGGCCGGTAGGCGCGCATAGTTAAAAGAAGGCGGGCAGTGCTTTGATTCTGCAACTAACAACGGCCCATTGTCCATCTACCACACTCCGTAAAATGTCAATTCCACCCGTCCCTGATAATTTTCAAGCGTACTTCACTCAATACGGCCTTCCAATGGGGTGCCAATGGAACTCATTTCCATCCCCGGACTTGGACTGGGCCACAGTCAACCCGACCCCTCCACTGTATTTTGGCCGTTCATTGTGGGCCACCAACGTAGTAAGTCGAAGCTATCTGTTGCCTGCTACATGATATTATCAGCTTCTGATTGAATGATGCGACTTTGCCACTCACTGTCGTAGGCTCTAACTCAGGCAGCTGATGTGGCCCAGCCAGGGAGCACAAGCTGGGATTGCAGCCGATTTAGTGCGTGCGGCACGAAATGACGATCGTTATGCTCACCACTGACATAAATTATGCATATCGTAGACGACATCCACTGGCCTATGTCGTCGCGCCCCAACCCTCAGTGGCCACTCCCGATGCCCGTTGAGAACGTCATGGTAAGTTCCGACTGCCATCCAATGCTATTTGGGGACTCACTCATTGTATCAGAGCGGGACGACCGCGAAACGAAAGGCGTCAGTAGACGATGTCGAATCAGAGGGCATCCATTGCTTGAAGCGATCCAGGATACCACGCGAGGACATGCGTGGGGATGAGGCAGACGCAGTAGAAGAGCTATTGCGACTAGCGTCCAAGATACGAGCGGACCTCGAGGCCCCTCTAATGAACACAGCTACATTCAACTACGGGCACGATGCGGACACTTTCCACATGATGCAGCCGGCTGTCGAAATTATACCTGCATCCGTTGCAGGGCCTAGCCGTCAACCAACGATGGCAGTGCTCGACACGCTAATCACGAGTCAGGGAGAGAGAGAGTCCCAAGCGGGAAAGGCGAGCGCATGTGCAGAGGGCGAGGCTCATGGTGAGACCGCTAACGCGCAGGCCAGCGGCGAGACAGAGGAGAAGCGTAAGAAGAGGTGCAAACCACCTGGGGACGGGCCATGGGTCTGCAAGGTCCATAATTGCGAATTCAGGCGCTGGAACGAACTGGACCGACACATGAGGAGCCGCAAGCACGAAGAAAATGCAGAGGAGTTCCAGTGCGAGCGATGTCAATATTCTTATTTCCGCAAGGACTCGCTGCAGAGGCACCAGCGTACGACCTGCTATCGTCGACAGTGATGCTTTTTGATAGGCGCGGAGGAGGATGCTGACGACGAGGGAAATGGGTTCGCCTGCAGCGACAAGGACGCACCATAGCGCAGTCCACTTTTATGCACGCCCATGTCCTCCCATTCTGTCTTTTCTTGCTTGCCAGTCGCCCCTCTCTATCTCATCGATGCCATCGATGTACGCATTCCACGCGTCTTCCTACGTATAGTCCTGCCCCTAACATGTTTCCTTCTCTCGTACTGTGGTTCCCGTGTGCTATTCTTTCCTCGTTCTCATCGTTCCCTTGCACAATGCATGATATGGTATCAGTTGTTCGTCTCATTGTCATTGAACGGAGATTCTGAGCGGAGATTTTGAGTAGGTGCATCTGAGAGCAATAGCATGTGCACGATGGTCCATAGAGGCAAGTCGGGCGCGATGAGCGCAAATATATTTGCGGGCACAAGTTGTGGCGCTGAGACGGCGCTCCTGGATTCCTTGCTTCCCACCGCGATCATCGGGCTCAGCGGCCTCCACTTCACTCAGAAACTCGAATCCTCTCCTCGATACCGCTATCGATGCATTGGAATTTGAATGTGGACATCCCATGAATCCGCTGGCACTCACATGCCCTACCTCGTGAACAGGCTTCGACGACTTCGCGGCATATAATCCTTCCATATCACGGCATGATCCCATGCTCAAGGGTATCAATACTCTCGAAAGTGCGAGTGAACCGTGCAGGCTCATCGATCAGCGCCGAGTGGTGACCACTGAGTGCTGTGTTGTTTACACCACCCAGGACCCACTTCGCCGAACCTTCTTCGAGTTGTCACGTGCACGCTGAATGCAATATTAATAGAAGCCTGCAGCGGATCCTCAGCCTTCCTCCCCAACGACTACAGCTCAAACGCCTAACATGTTCGTGGATTCATTATGCTCGTACTTCAGTTTCTACTTAACGCTTCTAGGTCTGATCGAACGCCCACTCAACAGTCTACTCCTCTCCTTACCGGCGTGCCTCCCGCTCAACCTGCAAAGCGTGATCAAGCTCGGCAGCGTTCTCACCAACCAACTACCACCATCCCTCCTCTGTGGAGACCTGGAAGGCCTTTGATGCTGTTCGGTTTTCTCTTCACGCGTGACTTTCTTGACTGGTACTGCACGGTCAATAAGGTTGGCCCTATCCGCACTGAACAGCAGCGGTTCACCACCGACACTGTCGCTTTCGATAAAATCCGATTTGATGCGAAACTCAGGAAGTCTGACTGTAGAACGGTATACACAGGCGAAGACGAACCCGATGATCTGGCTTTATGCTTGGTGATTGGGACTAACTATCTGGAACAAGACCGAAAGCGACCAGATGAAGCCATCATTCAGAGCGTTCAGGCTGCCATGGGTGTCAATATGGTGCCGATGTGGTACCGCATGTACTAGAGGTTAGCCACTACGACTCTTATGAAACATCCGTTACTGATACAATATCCAGCACTCTGTTTCCCCTCTCGTTGTGGTTGTCCACGGATGTCTGAGTCTGGGCCACCCAATCTCGTGGATCGCATATGTGCAACTCAGTGTATCGCGAAGTGTTTCTTTTTCTTTCATTTTCCACCATGTTTCGTGATACTGTTTCGAAGGCACTCGATGATTGTTTTTGCTCATACCGGCTGCAGCCATGGTCGTGCGGAGGAGGTGTGGAAGAGAGGAGTTGCCATCTCCTGCAGTTCAAAGGCATATTGGTAGTACTACGCCCCTTGAGAGTAGACCGTACGGGTTCATCTGTCATCTGCTATCAGTGAGCGAAGTTTCGCAGCCCAGCCCCTCACATACTCCTCCAATAAAGTCGTTGACAGCACCAGCTAAGACTGGACGGATTCGCTCACTCGTTCTTGTTCAGTATGTTCTACACAATGCCATACTGCCACATGTCGTAGGGATCATCATAGTTCAACACAAACGATGAGGAAGCGGAGCGAAATATGATGCGCATTGATGTACTAGACCGCGGCCTGGACAAAATGGCCAAGGCGGGTAAGCAACAGATGGTCAATCAGCAGCGCAAGGGGAGGGGTAGTGAACAATGCCATGCATATCGCGCGATGAAGTGTAAATGAGGAATGCAGCGCAAGGGAGTCGGAGAAAGCAAGTGCACAGCACGTCGGAAAGTGTCTTGGATAGGAAAAGAAAGTAAGGCGGAAAGCAAGTGGAAAGCACGATGCAGAGCAGTATCAAAAGCACGCGAGATGGCAGTTGCACGGCGAGGCAGAAAGCATGCAGAGAGCGCATAGAAAGCATAGGCGACAGCGAACAGAGAGCAGGCCGGCAAGCAAAGAGGCGCGGCTGGATATATTCCAACCCATCATCGCTATAAACAAGTCGACATATTTCTTAACATCTAGCAGTTCGTGGGCGACAAGACGGTATCAGGCAAGTGTGCAGATTCAGGAAGTTATGCAAGATAGTCTGGAGCTCGTGCAATAGCCTAGTCCTAGTACGATAGGAGCGAGTCGTTGTGCAAGTTGAGTGCTGAGATATTCGTAGGAGGAGTCTGAAAGTTTCGTAGTTGTGCGATAGATCCGTTGTACGAAGAGTCTGTGCGTTGTGCCAGTCGAGTCGAGCAATTGTGCGATGGGGTCCGGAAGTCGTGCGATGGAGCCGCCGTGTAAGAGTCTATTTTTTGTGCAGATAATTGATGAGAGTCGAGAAATCTTAGTCGTAGACAAGAAATTCCTGCGACAGTCGGCGATTTGTGTAACAGAGGCAGCTATCCGTGCAGTAGAGTCAAAGAATTTAGGCAGTGGAGTCGGAAAGCTAAGCAAGATTGAGCAGCAGCAGAAGCAATTGCGGTAGTGCTGTCCTTGTCATTCCGGATCACATATGCCTATCCGAAATCACAAAAAGTCATCCAGTAATGGAGCAACGAGCGGAAGAGGTCTCCAACAGCCCGCAAAATCTGTGGCGTCAAATCCGTAGACACAGCCGAAGCCATGTGCGGATAGGGTATTGATGTCGACGGCGACACTCTTGAGCCTTGTAAACGGATTGGACAGAGGCGACAACGGCAGTAGGGATGGACGCGTCGCGCAGCAGCGAGGATAGCGACGTCTCTGCTTCACCCGGAGGGTGGCCCTCCTCTATGAAATGATCTCGAGATACTAGAGTCAAGGATCTATTGTCCTTCGGATTTGGCGATGAGAACTACAGCAAGTGAAAATCGTCTGAGATCCACGACATCGCATCTTTTTCCTTGACACTAGATCCCTCAGCACTAGTCAGAGATCCGGGCGTCGATGAAGGTGTGAACGGGAAACGAGAGAATTCTCCAACGATCGATGATCACTGACGATGTCGTGAACGACGCGAGAGATCAATACAATGTCAAATGATGCAGGAGAGGCCCACAATATCACCCAAGATGCCAGAGTGTTGTGGAACCCTTGAGTATCGACTGAGAGCTCATGATGAACACACTCTCCTGCCAATTCGACATCATCTGGGACAGAGACAAAGGCGGATGATGACCTTCAAGCAGATTGATCTAGAGGCAAGCGCACTGTGAGTGAAAGTAGGTTCGAGCGTAATGATCAATGTATGCTGACGCACTCGCGATCAAATATACAGTGTGTATGCTTCAAAAAGATTCTCATGCCGCTCAGTCAAGAATCGAACTAATTAAACTAGAAGACGCCTTACCGAGTCGTATCCACATTGACACACTTAGAACTTCTTTGGAATAAAGGAGAAGTACCGTAGGTTTACATCATAAAGCGTCTCGGGGCTGACCCGTTCAACCCCGAGGACCCCTTGAGCGGAAGAGCCATCCTGCGCCAGGTACATGGGTCAAACAGGCGCGCATACTTAAGTACAACGGGATAGCAACTGGCCTTTCGAACAAACCACCATCCGGAATTGACCCACTTGACACTCCTCATTCAAAGCCCACTCAGTCCGCCCTCCCCATTGCCACCATGTCTTACCAGGGATACCAAGGCCAGACGGGGCACCGCGAGCCCTACCTGTCCTACCCTGACCAGTGGGCCACATACTCCAGCACTTATGGTCTCCCGTCGTGGGACCATACATACGGGTATCACCAGCCGGTGGCTCATAACATGGTAAGCGTAATACCTCTGACTCTGGCCGCAGACTATCCTGTCGGTGGCGCTATCGTAGTCGATTCCATGTCGCTGATGAGGCTCACGCCTTTTAGCACCCATATGCCTCCCCGGGACAATATGGGGAGTCAGGGCGGAACGACACCCCGCCGTCCATGGGACGAGTCGAGGCCCGGCGGCATGGGAATCTTCAAGGTGCGGGTGTCGTCGCCACCCCTGTCTATGGCGCGGACCCGTATGCGCCATATCAGACCATGGCGCAGTACAGTACGTGGTGCTATGATGCCATGATGTTCGACTAGCTTACTATGGTTTACCTCTTCCTTTCCGTAGGCTATCATTCGCCACCGATGGACCCCATGGCATCACTGCCGCGATACGATGTCACTCCGGAATTTGTGGTCAGTGCGATAGTTTTGTGAAGTGAGGCCCAACGTTGATATCGAACCTTCCACCTGTCCGTCGGACATATAGTGGTCTGAGAGCACCATGAGATCGCACGGCCGGGGCAGTATGGCCCAGGCACAGACTACGCAGGGAATACAACATACACCCTGGCGGATGTCTGAAGTCGAGGCCATACAAACGAACACCAATGAATTCAACAATGGGGGCAGCATGAAATGTTCCGCCGCCGCCCAGCCATTCGCTGAAGGTGTACTGGCGTCGGTCGCAGGACCTAGTACTTCACGGATACCGCCAGTACCTCCTTCGTCGACAACTGATCAGGCGACGAAGAGCAAGGGGAGAGTGATGGAGTGCAAGAGTGCAAGAGGGGCCAAGGGCAGAACTCAGGCGAGCGCGAAGGCTCAGATACTCGGTAAGGCCGTGGCGACGAAGAGGACAATGCCGCCTGGGGATGGACCATGGATCTGCCATGTGGAAGGCCAAGAATACGCCCGTTACTGGGAGATATTGCGACACAAGGAGACGACAAAGGGCCATGATGAGTATAAAGGTCCCTGCATCTGCGTGTGCGGAGCAGAGTTCACTCGCTCAGATGCCATGAGCAGGCATCATAAGCGAAGCTGCCCCCTCCGTTCTAGGCCATCGTCTCATCGCAGGTGAAGTGGAGGGGAAGAGATGGTGAGGGTTGAATGGGTCGAAAACGTACCAAGCCTTTTGATTTCTCCGTCTTCCTTCTCCATCTGTCCACACCCACCATCGATTCCGCTGATCGATCTGAACAGTTTTCATGCTATATATCTCCTATATCACCTGTCTTCGTCTTTCTCTTGCGTTCCGCTAATCTTGTGTATCAGTTGTTTGTATCTTTTAGCTCTTTGAGGCCTGTCACTTACCGAGGAACTAATATCGATTTTTGAAGAGGGATATGAATGGTGTGCATCGCAAAGATCGAAGAGTATGAAGTGCTCGGCATGATAGATGAGAGCTGGATGAGTAGGCACTGTAGGATGAGTAAATGGGTACAGATGCCGAATTCCGGCAAGGCCATTCGCTTTGGCGTACTTCGGCATCCCGACTTTCCGTCCTCCTGCTGCCTGCATCAACATCGATGGTTCCAACAAGCTAGTCTCACAGCATACGATATCCATTTGCGGATGCACAGAATTGACATCTCATGGGGAAATGGACACCACGTCCTCTCGCTGCCCTCAAAGCTCATTTGCTCCACTTCTGCGTCCCGGCCAAGGTCTGGCTATGACAACGTGGACACAAAATAGATCTATAACGACCGTAGGTAAATGGTACACTGGGATATCGAACGAGATCGGCCTATTCAGAGAGATGACGATGGGAATACATGTCCCAGATCGATGAAGATCCAAGGAGATAGGATGAGAGCAAAGCTAAAGATAACTTGATCAAAGCGAGTCTGCGTTCAGGTTTTTTCTCCTCCCTCCTCCTGTGAACAAGCATGTACCGTTAGACGTCATACATCTTCATCTCGAAGAGGAAAGAGGACCATGGCATCTCTTCGCCTTCAAGTCCGTATGCAGACCATCGCGACGACTGAACTCCTGCAGACAGACGCAGATGACAGGACCCTGGTACTCTGCGTGGCCGAGTTTCGTCTTCCGGTGGCGTACCAGATCCCCGCGATGCCGAAAGACTTTGCCATCCACCTTGCAGATATGCGGTCCCTCTCCGTGGAGCCCACCCTTCTGTTTCCTAGTCTTCTCTCCATTTCTGCTCGAGCTCTCCTTGTCTTCCCTTACTTGAACTTCCACGAATGGAGCGGGCAAAGCCTCTGACAGCGAAGTATCAGGTCCTGCAACAGGCACCTGTATAGCTTCAACAAACGGATGTCGATCGGGAGATGGTTCCCGTTGCGCCCGTTGTTGTATATATATGTTGCCTTTGCATGGTCTGGGTTTCGGCAGCCAGCCTCCAGGGAGATGACCGCATCGCCGCCATGCTTATCATAGCCCTGCTGTTTGTGCGACCCTGTAGCGATGAATGAATCATCTACGAGAAATGCGAAACAAGTAAACTGACCGTATTTCCCCACATGGGTGCTGATTGCGCTGCCTGTTGAGTGTTAAATCGCAGTCGTGAATTCTCCTGGTCTTCCTGGGCGTATCCTGCAAGGCAGAATTCCCGTAGCAGAATTAGCCATCCTGCGTCACAAAGCGGTGAAGTCCAACTGACTGTATATTCCAACAGGAGCCACCAGAGTGTCAAGGCAGGCCTGCGCGTAACCCGCACTGCTGGAGGCCACGTCTACGCCGGGAACGGATCCGAACCCGGTGTCATCAGGGAATTGCCCCTGAGCAGTGCCAGCTCTCTAAGATCAAAGCTACGGTGAGATATTGTCCATGTCGACCAGCATTAAACGATTGACTTACCATGTAACTGGTTGGCATCTGATGATCCCTCGGATGCACATTGGGAAATGAAGCGTACTGGTCATCGTGGATGTGTGGCTCTAGCACCCATCCAGGGTAGGTGGCCAGAGGAAAATGCCGCTGGGTGTACAGGAGGTCGTCTGGAAAGTTCATAGTTTTTGTGTTGGAAGAGGAAAGTGCTCGATAGCTGATCTTCGATCCTCACTAGCGATGAGAGGCAGTAGTAGGCGTCGGATGTTGGGTGACGGTTGACGAGTATCGCAGGTACTACCGTTCGTACTTAAGGGCTTTCATGAGCTCCGCACGTATGGCGCATAACAAGCTGTGATCTAGCCTTCCAGCTCGTGAAAGAGTCCACGCTTTGTGCACATCATGAGGTAAATCGAAAAGCGACGCGACTTCTCCTTACTTCTCTCGGCTCTTATCTTACCTTTCTTCCAGCTCTGTTGTCCGCATATAGAAAGAGATGGCAAGAGACATGAGTATGGCGTGGTGAAACCTTACTTCTTCATCGGTTTCGAGACCGCCTGACGTATTTGCCGCCGCACGGACATCTCAACAGCGCGTTGTTCGATCGGTGGAACACCTCAGACAGTCCACGGTCTTCTCCTGACTCAATATGATCACTCTCATGCGCATGCTCTGAGTATTCTTGCCTTTCGCAAAGATCGTGGGAGATGCGATTCGAATGGATGCATTAAGCTGCCGTGAAACGTTTTCGAGAAGATGATTGAACGAGACAAACGCCCAGCAGTAGACACGACAGATTGATATCGAAGAAACCGGCGGGACACAAAGGGAGGGGGCGGTCTTTTGTGTACGTACAAGCACTGGCAAATGGTAGTTCGACATCAGCCGCCATCCATCATCATGAGAAGTGCCCGGAACCGTGAACATAGATAAACGAAACCCTCGAACGATAGAAGCATAAGCTTGTACCTACTATTACATTCGAAGTGTACGTCACAGGCTTCGCATTGTATGAAATCTCTTCACAGGCCAAGTGAGTAGTGCAGAGATTATGCGAAACGTGTGCGCAGGCAGATTCAAGAAGAGTTCGGCGGCAACCTGGAACATCATACTGCCCTAGAATTGCAGCGACCCTTTGAATCCGGTGATTAAAATGCCTTGAGGGGAGCGCAAGTTCCTGCCAAGAATCTGAATCATGGCTGAGGTGCGTTTACTATCGCATATCGATCGAACACTTTGAGCATTCGACTGCTAAAGCGTCGGGGAGGTCCAATGTGGACCCACGTTTAGCGTCTTGATTCGAGCACAACGGCAAATCGTGATTCCACGAGTCTCTAAATACGTGAAGGTCAGTCTCAAAATCAATAACAACGCGCGATCTCACCACACGTGCCCATGTCCCTCGCCACCACCTTCTCAATCTGAACATGGAGCCGGAAGGTGGGTGAGATAGAGGTGGAAGAAGCAGGGAGATGTTGCATTGTTGCCTCATTTACCTCATGATGTGCACAAAGAATTAATGCACGCGCTGAACAAGCACATCACCAAATTAGACAGCTTGCTGTGGGCCAGGTGCACGGGGGCTCGCTGATTGTTATATTTAAGTACAAAGAGGCAGCTCCAGTCGAGTTGCTAACTACCAGCCAGCCATCTCCGAACGTCCAGTGTGTCTATCAACACCTTCTGCTATCGAGACAATGAACACCTCTTACCTTCCATACGACGAATGGTCGCTTCCCTTCGACCCCCAGCGGGCCCCAGGAACATACTTGGATGACTCCGAGAACCTAGGGGGCGCATCATGGCATCAGGGGCATCATATGGCGATGAATGCCGTTGTAAGTATATGCTTCCTGCTGCTGGACCCAAATATGTGCCGCACTCTGTCTAGCGAACGTCACTTACCGTGGTCTCCACTTTAGAGCTCTAGCTTTGTCCAAGGACTCAGCACCCAAAGGGCTACGACTGAACCTCTGTCCAGGCCGGGCACCGAATTCTCTCCCATGTACGGTGTGCGGAACCACGCCGCTCAGGCCCATCTACGCGTGCAGATGGCTCGTGAAGGTCAGGCTTCAAGCATGATGTTATCGTAGGGACCAAAACGCTACTGACCCGCATTGCTCCTGTCTTACAGGCTACGTTCAAGGACTTGCGCCACTGACCTCCCAAGTGGATCCATGGTCGGGTTACCAGACTCACTCATGGCCACTGAAAACCAACCAAAACGCAGCGCACTCCGTAATCGGCCCAAGTCGAGGCAATGTGATTTGTATCATTACTTTATAAGGTGCACGCGGAACTGATCTTAAGTCCACAGCGATACGAGACATATATACACACCGAGGCGAGCGCGGGTTGGGGCTTGCAGCTCGCATCCTGGAGGCCAGCGGAGGCCAGACCCATACAAGGGAACACGATAACATACAACAATGGGCACATCGGGAATCATCTCCCGATAGAGCATCCATTTGCTGAAAGTATACCAGTGTCCATTGCAGGACCTGATACTTCGGCTTTGCCAACGGATGCTCAAGCCGCGAATAGCTATGAGGTAAGCTTGAGAGGGGGGGAAACCCGAGTGCGGAGGAAAAAGCTCCACGGTAAGGGACCGCATATCTGCAAGTTAGATGGCAAGGTCTTCCGCCACCACGGAGATCTGGTACGCCACCGGAAGACGAAACCCGGCCATGCAGAATACCAGGGTCCTGTCGTCTGCATCTGTCTGCAGGAGTTTAGTCGTCGAGATGGTCTATACACGCACTTGAAGACGAAGAGATGCCGCAGCCTCTTTCCTTCAAGATAAAGACGCTAAACGCCTCGCGGTGGATGCCTGACGATGGGGGCTTGTGTTGATGGAAGAGGGAGGATCTAGGTGGATATGAGTCAAGAGTCAGCAAAGGCAGGCGCATGATAATCATGATTTTCTTTTTCTTGCTTCGCCCCTCCCATCTGCGTCCATCTCCATCGATCTGTAATATGTATCTCTCGTCGTATCTCTCATCGCCTGTCACATTCTCGTATGCCTGTCTACCTTAGTTTCGAAGTTTATGCTCTACCTACAGCTTTATAGAAATGATGAGTCCACGTCCTTGTCACATAGTCTTGAATGGAAACCGGAAAACACAAGATGAAATGCATGAACTGTGAGGCAGTGAGGCAACACCAGTGGGATTGCAGATTCGTGCGCTTCGGCACCTTTCGGCATCCGCCGTGCCGGCAAACCCCTACGGGAGGCTGCGGCCACTGCAGCTCTCCGCGTCATCCCGACAGATCCGAACCGCTTTCTCCTGTGTTCGAATCGCGTGAGCAGAACATAGGTTCCAGTGAGAAATCATCATCGGAGTAGTATTCTAAATTATCGTCACAGGTACATTGGTGACTGGTCTGACTGGGTTCAGCCCACGTTGAATGCTTCACACTTAAACATGCCCTCGAACCTGCGATTTTCGGTATGTTCGTTTCGCGACATACTACCAGCATTTGTCGCTTTACTGTACACTTTTATCGATAGGGAGCTCGAGGTATATGCAGGCGGTCTTTTCTGTCAAGCTTCAATAGAGGTCTCACAACGCACAGCAGTGCTTCGATTGCGAACATATCTGTTGCAGACTTTCCGAAGGACTTTATGTTCTTTCCTAAATTTCTGGACCTTACAGAACAGCACACACTCCTTCATGCTGCCCTTCACAAGCTAGATTCATTAGAGAATAGAGCCTTACGTCGCCGCCGCAAGGACTTCTTGTCAACGCGTTCTCCCATCCCTGAAACAGCTCAGACAGTGGAAGATTTTTTCCCCGATCAGTATTACGACTTCCACGAGGTCAGCGAGCTCATTCTTTCACAATGCCTAAGGGATACTGAGGTACAGCGTCGCAGGGCCATTTCGACGGCGTCATAAAGCATTTCCGAGAGACTCACGTATCTTCGTGGGGGAACGCCGACTCCCCTGCGCTATCCGCCGTCATCGACCGACTCCGCACACTCTATCCCAGCGATTCAGAGACCCAGATGCATGTTCTGCACCTCGCATCGGATGGAGAGATCCTGCCGCACGTCGATAATGTCGGAGCCAGCGGATCCTGGATATTGGGCGTCAGTCTAGGTGCCACACGAGTCTTGCGTTTGGAGGACACAGATGACGCTGCGCCTCGGGCACCCTTTAACCTTCCGCTGCCGTCAGGGAGCGTTTATATACAAAGGCAGGTTGTGCAATACGAGCCGCACTCTCCCATTACTTACGCCCAACAGAGACTCCATTCGATATGGTTACAAGCACTCCATACTGCGAGCAGAAGATCCATCTCGTGGACAGCGTTTGAGTGTCATGGTTAGAGTAAGTCGAGCGCACTTTCGAGACAGCACCCATTTTAAAACGCTTGATATAGGATATTCTCCCAAAAGGTGCTAATATTCCTCTTGCGATGTAACCTGAATGATTGGTTGCGAATGTACGCACCGAATCACATAACAATTTTTTGTTTAATATCCTGGGAGGGCACCCGTGGACTCTGCCATCAGGGCAACCGCACGGCCATTAAGCGAGCAATGTAAAGGAATGAGTAGTATTGGACGAGGAAGAAGTAGATATAATCATGCGTGGGGTAGATGGGAGGATACGAATGATGATGGCGCGAGGTAAGGTATAAGCATATTAATGGGGCACGGGAGGAATATAGGGAAAAGGGTGATGGGCAGAAGGGTAGTCGCATGGTGTAAAGCAAGGTGGAAGCATATCGAAAGCAATGAAGCCAGTCGACAGCGTGACGGATACCAAGTTGATCAGCTCGGTGGGAAGCTCAAATGAACACAACTAGGTGGTATCAAGTGGAGGTACAATAATTGGAGAATCGTGAAAACGTGCAAGGCAGCCAGAGGGATATTCCAATAGCGAGTTGAGTGTTAAATAGTGTTGGCGCTGGAGCTGCTTGATGGTAGTGGTCGAAAGAAGATCTAATGGAAATACAGTGCGTATCCACCTACACTATATGCTACTGGGCGAATCATGGAATGGTGGGACTACCATCTGAAATCCGTATCAGACTTAAACTCATTGGTTTGCATTGATGTGAGCACGGTCTGAGGGCACCCCTAAGTATCTCGAGGTGCTATCTATGTCAGATAAAAGTCCTGACGAAATAGAATATACAATTTTGAGCAGCGAACAAGTGGTGAAACTTGGTGAATATGTTCGAAATCGAAGATGATGATGATGATGAGAACTGGCTGCTGCGATCCGGCGGTTCGGAGTCTGAAATTGCCGCGGCCGGTCGGCATGCGTTGCTGCAATGAAGCATCTGTCTCTCGCTGTGTTATGTTCTCGTGACTCTTTCCGATATCTAGAAGGGTTTTACCTTCTTTCCGGACTGTGGCGCGCATTGAGTGGTTCTTAGTACTGTCGTTTATTGGGTCTTTCAAGTGAAACTGTTCAGATCGGGTCGCATTTGCCAGCGTCCATACCATCTTCCCAGTTTCATCTTGATCGCCAACTCTATAATATGGTACGTAGTCTCAAAACCATAGATCGTCACTCAAATCAGAATCACGGAACAATGGCACAGCGTCCTCACACTGATACACTGGTCCCTCAAGTAGTGATAACAGCGATAGCCGAGGCGGCGCGTGTGAATATCAGGCGACGGAATCGCGAAAGAGATTGCACGCTCTAGGTATACTCATGAGTGAGTGGTTCGAGGGGGGTATATAATCATAAGAGAGCTTACCTACTTTCTCACTGGCAATGCCCCTTTAAACTACCTTCCCAAGCCGACCAGATCGTCCCGTATACGTTTCGCACTTGGCCTTACACTCACGCATAACTTGGGAGCCACTGCTCGCGCTTTCGAAATGAACAGTGATTGCGAGTTCGACGAGATTTCAGCGGTTTTGCGACCCCATGCTCAGCACATTGGTTTCAGCTTGAATGAGGAGATATTCTCCCTGTTCTTCTGTATCAAATGTTAAGTGTGGTGGTGGTACTCCCGCGGCAAGAGTCTCGTCAGCTTCTCACATCCACTCGGTAGTTTATGTGGAGTGGGGACAGCACTCCATGAATCTTTGAGATGATATTGATCCACATAGGATGGAAGCTGATGGCAGCGACGAGCAGAATGTCGATTAACTCGACATTGCAACGAACGCGTTGAAGTTGTACACTTCCGGCCGTTCTTGCACACAAAACTCTTCGAGGCTGGGACTGCAGTCTGCCACAATGGCGCGATCGCTGTCACGGTACATCTGCACCTTCACCCCTTCTCCCACGATGAGACGGTGCGAGAGCTTCGAGAGGCCGGCGGATACTTGGACACGAGTTTGTTGAGAACACTCCGCGGAGGTCGAGAGAATCACTGTCGACGGGGCTGTGGCGAGAACGACGACCCAAAACCGATCATCGGTCTTTTCTCGCAGACAGAATCTCAGTCCAGCTCACTCGAAGAGAAGGTAGGTGACACATACAAGCTCCCACCCTTTCGGTCTATTTACGGGATCGGATGCAACAGCATCGCGCAGGTGCGGCCTTGCCCAGACGTAGATTTCGTCTGTATCTACGACCATGCGCCCCTCTCGAAAGCCGCGCGCGAAGTGGGCATTGAGCTTGAGCCAAGGTAAGTGTGGGAACCCGTTGACCCACGCCTCGGAGTTGGGCTGCGCGCCTTTGATGGGGCCTATGTAGTGCGACTCGCCGTAATCTATAACAACGCCACTGCTCGAAGACGAAAACAATTCATGTCATGCAAATAGCGTACCGTTCCATGATATGATCTGTACGATGTCGACTTTATCCCGGATAGACATGATGTACTCCCATCTCCGAGCTAGAAGCCAATCGTCTCCTCGATATATCCACTATACAGGAGGGTCAGTTCTGGAGCCTTATCCGCGCAGCCAACTCACTCAGGAAAAGAGGAGACGCGCACATTTTTGTTCCATGAATCAGCCCCGTAGTGCTATGGGAATTTGTATTCGTCACCGTGCGATATAATTGAGTCGTGAACGCACGTACGGTAAAGAACCAAGGTGACACAGCCGCCATGTAAGTCTTTCGGCTTCCTCTTCTGTCGCTCGTATGTTTGGAATTGAGGCATCTGATGTGATATTGATCTGAATCGAGTTTGGGGCAGACAATTTCAGAGCGAGGGGAGGAAGGAGTGAGGCCGATGGGCCAGGAGCCATTCCACTGTCGTAACGGACAGATCAGCTGTGAACGAGCAGGAGCCAAGATCAACATACATGAAATATACCGTCGATGGAGTCCAGGTTTGGATAGCGGGCAGGATCAATGAAGAAAGCCGGAATGAAACTTATCTGTAATACCACACGTACGCAATCTGCTCAAGCACTCAATGATCGAAGGTCGTCCAATTCGACTCACCGGCGCTATCTCCTCCATCTGCTGCTTCGCCCAAACCCACCCTTCGCCATTACTTCTCCCAAATGTAGCCATTTCACCAGCGAATGTTGACACCAGCACCCGGTCCTTGTGGATCAGCTGGCAGGTCCCGATGTGTAGTTTGCATAGTTTCATATAATCACACAACAATCGAGCATCTTGTTCAATTGCTGAAGGGATTGAGCTGTCGAAGATGAGAGTTCAGCCAAGCGATAGACAACAGACAAACGCACGTCATGTCAAAACTGATGAAGAGCTTGAATTGGAACACATCGGGACCCGTCGTGGACTGATTCAGACGTGCAGCCGCGGTATAGCAATCTTCCACACGACACCGCTGCCATTCTTCTCGTCCCACATTCAGCGCAAAGCCGTCCCTGTTTGATGGGAGTCAAAAACCAGCGCCGAGAGAAATTTCTTGCCTGAGGTACACACGATGGGATGCAGATGCAACTTACAATCCGTGTGCCCTGGCGAGCTTAATATCTTCGACCCAGTCTTCGGTTGTGTATGGCTATGTACAAGAGGCTCAATGTCTCACATCGCGGAATTGGCGGAAGCAAAAAAAAAGTGTACATAGGTGTTTCCGACCATGAAACTAGTACAGGAAATCAGTTGTTCGATTGCACACGAATCCGCGCGATGCTCAGAGGCGACACTTACTCACTGTGCTATGACGTATTTCCCATCTGACACCTGGCCCTGCGATTTGATAGCTTCGTTGGGGTGAAAATGAGTACGAAAAAGTCTAGACATGTTCAGAGCGTAGGTAGAGAGTAGGTAGAGTCGATACAACGCAATGGCCGAGTACTAGTCCCGATCGACTCGGTACCAGTATGAACACCGCACATCGTCCCTAATAATCCCCAGGGGATATCTGTGGTATATTAGCAATATACCCGGAACCAACCGCGAATATACCCACCTCCCCTCCGGGGATATTCACGGTCGATTCAAGGTAATGTGAATATACCGTGAATATACCTGGGTACTGAGTATATTCACAGTATATTGTGGGTTTATTCGAGCTCGATATCATTCCAATCACTTTATATGCGCTCCAGAGATAGAGAAATAAATATATTAACAAATCATAAAACTAATACATGCTATTGAAGGCTACACGACAATTCTAAGGCTTGAAAGATCTACAAAATATACTTGAAGAGGCGAGAGGTGCGAATCCCGGCTAGATGTTCCCCCGCATACGCAAGCAGCCACGGCGCGCATCAGGGATGGGACGACCAGCACCTTGACGCAAGAATCTATTGCGGTGGCGGGAGCGGTGCGTCCGCGCGTGGCCTCGAATTCGAGGAGTACATTTTGGGGGGTGCGTCGGGCTGTCGAACACGAGCACATCTGGTAGCACGCCACGCGCACAAACGCAGCCGCTGGCGAGTGCATCGGTGCCGGCAACGTAGAGGCGCATCCTGCGGACAAGCGGGGTGAGCATGCGTGTCAAGGCTGAGAAGATCAGTGCGGGAAGAGACAAGGTCACCAGGAAGGGTTGCAGCTTGATAAGGTTGGCGAGTGCAGGGAGCGAGGGGAATGGAAAGAATGCGGTGTAGTGCGGGGGTCAGTACTGCCGTGCGGGGGGTTAGCACTGTGACACGGAGAGGCCAGATGAACACTGGCCTCACTGATGTTGTTGCTGCTGCTGCTGCCCCGACGACATTGGCACTTGCGCACGCACCGCAGACTCTGAGGCTAATCTGAGCCACCATGCGCATGAGAAACACAGATGCTAGCACCCACGCCAACGCCACCAAGCTCAGCCTGTGCTTACCCTTGATCTCATCCATCCAACATTCACGCTCACACCCGCAATACCCACCGTTCTGACAATTCTTGCCGCACACATGTCGTAGGCTGTGCTTGCAATCTCCTTCAGTCCCACCCCGGCCCGCTCTAAATGGACGCATATATGCACTCTGATCCCGCATTTTCAGGCATTAGATCTGATTATATGAGAAAACCGGAACTATAGAGCATATGGAAACATGTTTCAGTGGGAGAAAGACTGATCAAAATATGTGCACACTGGAGGCTCCTAGAGAGTAAGACGAAGGGAGCACTTAAGAGAAATCTCGACGCTGTCCGACGACGCGCACTCATCAGGTGACCGTCGAAATGGATGAGTCATTTCTCAGTTGGGATTGACTGGGGGATATTTGAGGGATATTCCCTGACGAGTATATTCCAGGTATATTCCAGGTATATTGCTAATATACCCCGAATATCCCCTGGGGATATTTGGGGGCAATGTGCGGTGGAATGAAGCCGCCGGCGCTCGACGCTCGACAATTTTTTTGTCGTCAACCACCGTCTCAGTGCAACCTACAGCGGGCGCGACGTGCTTCAAGCTTCATCATTCCAAAAGTACTATTTCCCACTCTGTCCTCAATGCTCATCACCTTCGAGACCAGAATTTCTTTCTCGAACATGGAGAGGTATATCACGGAGGCAGCGTCAGCGAACTCGACCCATCTCCAGCCTTACTCCTGCATTTAGGCTATCGGCAATCCCACTTACAGCAGTCCTGGCTCCTGTCTTGATCCCATGTCGTGATTCAAAGGAACGTCACGAAGCAGGTCGAGCTCAGGCGCTTGCTCAACAACTTTGTGAGTCCGTTTTTGAGTCGAGAAATCCAGTATGATTCGTTCGATCATCAGTGGAGCAGAGTAAAACAGAGTCCGGAGCAGAGTAGCAGTAATGAAATCTTCTAATCATCTAAGAATTGTACAAGGCGTAAAGGTAGGTATAGGTGCACGGAAACGCACGGCAAGAACAAGGGAAAGAACAAAGGAAAAATTGAGTGAGGTTGACAGAGGAAACGTCAGAGGTGAAAAAAGATGTCCATAGTTGGGAGAAGCGTGGCGTTGCTGGGTAAAAGGCGAGAACGTAAGTGATTCTAGTTTTGGAACAAGGGCCCCACGTCGAGTCTCCTCATTCTGTCCAGGATGGAAACCGTCACCGCGACGGAGCCAGTAGCGGATGGGGCAAATGATCTCCATCGTCCAGGTCAAGAACAAGGGAGCGTGTGCTGAGGTGGGGTGCGAGAGGGGTATAAATCAGAGTGGGTATGTTGTTTGTTCGTTCAATCGCTCCTCTCTACTCGTCCTGCCCCGCTCCTCCGACTACTGGCCGCGACAGAGACCTGCATCCGCGAGCCGCCTACTCAGCGCTAAGCACTTTGGCCGCTGGCAGCGACCTTATCCAAGTGGTTTTGAGAATCTCTTCTATGACGGATGAGGGCATCCAATCGCATGGACGCTTTGCGCTCTACGTCGCAAATATCGCAATAGTGAAGAAGGTGACAGTCTTGTAGCGCATGCTCTGTTATGAACGCGGGCCAGTCGGCTCCGTCCCGGAAGCCTTGATGGCTTCTGGCGGTGCCAACATGTCTCTTCATGTCGCTTGTGCTCGTGAAGTCGCACGGGCATCCTGCTATGGGGCAAGGATACCGGTTCTTCACGGCCTCTGGTTTCCCTTTTGGCTGGTTTCGCTTCGGCGCTGGCGTTGAGCTGGTTGACGCCTTCCGTGGTCCCACCACCCTACGATTGACACGTTTGGGGGCGGCTTGAGGTCGGAGGTCTTCCTCCGGCTCGTCGTTCGCAAATGTTATATGTTGCGGTGGTTGGACCCCATGAGGGGCACAACCAACCTGGCACGTCGCAGAGATTTGCTCTGGACGTGAAGGGCCCTGTTTCCTCCTCCGTGGACGCTGTACCTCGTCTTCGTCCTCGTCATCTGCCCGCTGTCGCTTTCGCTTCTGGGCCCGGTTGAAAGCGAGTGGGTTTATCGGGGAGGGAGGTGTACAAAGCAGAGGGGGAGTGGGGAAGGGCGGCGACGGGTATGATTGGTGGGGATTGGAAGGGTATGGAGAAGGAGGAGGGAGGGAGGGAGCTGGGGGTGATCGGTGACGGTGCCGTGGTTGTCGAGGCCGTGAGGGACCAGCGACAGGGGGTTCCTGGAACTGGGAAGAGGGGCCGGCGACGAGGAATCCGGGCAATGATGTTGGAGGTGCGTAGTTGCCCTCATCTCGATAATATGGCTGTAGCCGCTTGTGGGGTCTCCGAACACGAGATGGGCCGACCGAGGAGACATCAGGGGTTGGCATCTGGACGGGAGGTGCCAGCGACGGGTGTGTGTATGGTCCCTGTGAGTACCATATCGGAGGGCTCAAGGGACCAGAGGAGGGGGCGTTCGCAAAAGTGGGTGCTGCGAACTGGGAGAGGAACGATTGGGCCCCCGTGGAAGCGAGTGGCATCCAGTGGCTATCGGTGCTAGTGGATGGAACATGGAGAGGGGGCCATGACTGGGACGACGCTTGATATGACGGCCGGAAGTACGGGGTAGGAGTGCGAAGTGTGTTGACGAGCTCAGCGCTCGTGGGGAGATAATCCGGAGGAGGCGTCATCAGGAGTAAAGGAGTCTGTGGGTGAGGAAGTGGCTGCGCGGACGACGAAAACTGAGGAGTGTCCAGCTGGTAGCTGGTAGCGCGCGGTGGAGGGATGCAAGAGGAGGGGGGGAGATACAGCCCGTGGGGTCTGTGAAATCTGATCAATTCATGAGTCGGGCGTCACTGACAATTGGGCGGTCAGAGACGTACAGTGGCTCTTGAGACCCATATCGCAGCAGTTCCTCCGGGTCTCTTCGGGATTCCGCGTCGAGGAGGGGCTGGGAACTTTGTGGCTCGTCTGGCGAAGGTGTGAATTGTCTCACGTCGTTCGCCGCCCTCCAGTTGTCAGTGCCACTGCCACTTGCGATGGCGTCAAAGTTCCAGTCGAAGGTGGCATCGAGGTCTACAACGGAACCGGATCAGCGACGAAGATGACCTGCACAGTTGTTTGGCATTACAATTGTCTCCGGACATCATTGTGAGTGAGTTGTGTTATTGTGTTGGAGGGGTGATCGCGACAATAGAGGCGGGTGATGGCGGTGTGTTTGGACCCTCCCCCGCTGACTTCCTTATATCTTCTCTGATTCAGCGCAGCTACGGCGTCGGAGTTCGAGCATCGGCCTCATGTCCAAGCCATGTTGGACCTTACTACCTTGTACTTTGGCATTGGGTGGCTTGTGGCAGAATCGCTTTGGCGTGCGCGTCGTCACATTAGACCTTTAACAGGTCTACAGGACCGGCGGGTTGGTCGCGGGTCCCGGTCAATGCGACCGGTGGATATTACGGAGCTCCAGAAGCATCGCAAGGCCCAAGCGTGCTCATCCCGACCCTTGGACGAGCTTGGTCTTGTAACGTACACCGGCACAATGATGTGAAGGGCAGGCGGCTCCACCTGGAGCGTCACATCCTTCGAGCATGTTCCGTCTTCCAGATGTTCCACCGACTCAGGGCGGTGTTCTAGCCAACCAACGCGAGGCTCCGTAGCTGTGTGCTTGGAAGAGGAGAAGGCTGATACGAGGCTGCCTTGTGCTAGTAGCTCGTTTGGCCTACCTGCCTTCTGGAGAAAGGTCGTCGGAGACCGGCCGAGTAGCTCATATCAGATGTCACAAAGGATCAATGCGCTCGCTGCTCGCTGTCTCCGGATCTTGCAGGCGGTCCGCGAAGTCGCCCCGTCAATATAGAAGACTTGCTGCATGCCTCATGCCTCCGTCATTGCCTATACATGATTTTCAGAATGCCTTTGTACTCTAAATGGTAGGTGCTCAGGAAGTAGAGGACGAAACGCTTGGACCTCATTTTCCTCCTCCCCCCCTCCCCCTACCTCCCTCCCCCCTCATCCCACGCGGGCGACCCACTCTCCGCCACTCTCACAACCGTTGGAATCTTCCATATCGCTGCGACAACACGATCCCTCTTTATCATCGATGTGAGAACAAAAGTTTTCGAAGGACATCTTGAAAGCGAGGTGGGGAAGATGAGATGCGATCACTGCTACTGAGGAGTTCGTTGGCGGGATCAACGATGAGTTTCTCGTTGTCTATCTCATTATTTCACTCAAACAACAATTTTCGAAAACCGTTCATACCACCTGTGAAATCCCTCTGCTCTCCTGTCGATAAGTTCTAGTGTGTATCCTCACTTCGAGAGACTCTCCAACTTGAATGTCAGTTGAGTACTATATGCATCCCAGGTGCCATCGCCTCAAAGAGATGAGTGTCGATTTAGTGGGCACATAATAGTCTACATTGTCAGGCGATGTTGCTCTGCATGACCGCTCCTGCTCGGTTCTCCCATGCCTACGGGCGACGCGTTGGGACGCGCGAGACGCGAGACGCGTGCGGTCACGGGTGTGACATACGCGTTTTCATCACATCCCCTTTGGACTGACCGGTCTACGGCAGTGTTGAAAGTAAAAGTCATATCATACTTGTCGTAGCTGGACCGAAGATGATACTTGGACTTTTGGTCCATCTGGGTCGGGCGTCGTGAGATCTCTGTGCACGTCAACCGGGTGAGCTCGAACACAGGCCGGGCGGTCAGACTCAACCTCACCTGTCTCGCGGAACATGACTAGTACCCGCACGCCTCAGAGCCCCCTCCACAACGATGACCACCCATATCACCGCGGCGACGCCTACGAACGTGGGCACCGACGCCAATATGCGGAACCGACGCATCGGCACCGCATTCACCGGCGCACCTTGGGAGTAGTTGACCGTGAACACCAATATGAGCAGTCCCGTCATCACGAACGCCGTCGACCAGAGGAGCAGGACGATCGGCATCGCCCCTACGCTCGCGATGATCTCGAGGGACATGTCCGCCCTTCCTTCGCTATGCATCTGCACGGCTTTGTCGACCTCTTTGTCGGTCAGGTTGAAGAGGGAGACGGTGATGTAGGAGATGATGACGAGCCCCGACAGCGCGAGCCCGAACCCGCCGTACCAGAGCGCGCGACATACCCAGGATGCGAGGGTCACGTCGCTGATGGCCAGGCTAGCGGCGTGGACTGCGATGACGAGGGCGAGCTAGCGACGAATCACAGTGAGCACCATATCCAGCTGTGAACATCTGCCTGCGTACCGCGACCGATATCCGATCCCACTCTTTCTGATTCTCTTCTCGCCATCCTTGCTCTTCCCCGATCGGCAGCGATGCATATTTTGCGTATCTCTCCTTGTATCGATGGCCGAAGCCAAGGAGGAAGACGTTGCTCAGTCTCCAAAGGTAGTTTCTCCAACCCTTCGCCATGCAACGAGACTATGCCTTGAGGACCATTGCGCAGTGCATGTACAGCTGTGTTATATATGTACGTACTCCGCAATATCACCGTCGCGAGGCGCTGATTGCCGTCACGACACGTTTCTTTGAGCGCTATAATATCAAGGGCCGCATCAGGAAAACGCCCAACGATGCTTCTACACCATGGACTTCACTCGTCTCGCATATCGCGAACGCGAATACATCGTTCGTCGCCTTCTCGACTTCCTGGCAGCACCACCCCACGGCTCCGAGCGCGATGCGTTCTTCACTATCGCCTACGTATGTCGGGAATGGCAAGGCATCGCACGCCGCGCGCTGTATCCAAGCCCCCATTTCCTTCGCCCACTGCTCGACGCCCCGTTGCCCGTCACGCACGTCAGCTACAACATCGACGACTACCTGAAGGACCATGACGGCGTCTGGTACGACTTCACGATGGAGCAGCACATCATCTACACGAGTTGGTTCGAGCTGCGCAAGTACGACTCGTGGCTCGAGTGGAAGCACGAGTTCATCGTGACCGGGTTCAGATGGGAGGGCTGCGACTTTGCGGTCCAGGTGGACCGCGCGTGGGACGCGCCCGTCGGATGGCGACAGTACGTGCCTCTGGGAGGTCTGAGAGGAGGGAAGACGGCGGGGAATGAGCTGACGCTGATGCGTGGCCTGGCCGCGTTGCCGACGGCCTCTGGGCACTCGGTCGACGGCGTGCGCACCGTGTGCCATGTCCGACCCGAGTTTTTCGCGCGGGGGACGCTGCTGGAGCTCCTCGACGAGGCGGCGTACTTGAGCCACAACACGCCGCGCTACAGCCTGAGCGGGATCAACTGCTGGGCGTGGTCGCGGTACCTGCTGTTTTTCTTCGTGTACGAGCACAGCCATCTGGAGGCGCTCGTGCTCGATGGGGTGGAGATCTCGCGGGAGGCGTTCTTGCTGGACCATCTCAGCCCCGCCTGGCTCGATCGCGTGCGCTACGGCCAGCCGATCCCGACGTTCTTGATGCTCGTCTATCAGACTCTCGTTGTCCTTCTCGTGGCTATCCTGCCGCATCGGCTGGCGCTCCACGTCTCAGATTGGTTCAGAAACTACTGCGTCCAGCAAGTCATATCCAATCTCAGGCGCACGTGTCCCCGCCGAGGGCGCGCAGACCTTCAAGGCCTGCAAGTCTCATCGACAGCTGTGTCCATCGCGTCTGACGAAAAAGGGCGCGTGGAGGTCTCTGGTTACCCGTGGCGACTGGCTTCGGTGGACGAGCCATCACGGGAGGCGGCGAAGCACATGCTCGACGAGCGCTTCGTCGAGGACTGGGGCTCCCAGATGCCGCTGCCGCTGCACGTCCCGCAGTGCGATCCTGCGCGCGCCCGATTGCCGTCCACCGACCAGTACGCGACGCTGTCGCGTCCCGGCTTGCTCTGCTACCTCCTCTGCCCTGTGGAAGTGCGCGTGTCTGCGGTTGAGATCGAGCTCTGCAGCGGATTCGAAGCCGGTGGCGGCTCAGACTCGTGGACGAGCGAGTCTAGAATATTCGCACGTTTCGCTGTCGTGCGGGGCTCTGAAGTATTGTTCCCTTTCACCCTATTCTGTGCACGCGCCGGCGGGAGGGATGTCAGTACCGGGGACAAAAAAGAGGGCAAGATGCAGACGCGATACTTCCGGGTGCTCGCGGACCACCCGGCCGTGGCGAATGCGCGGCGCGGAGATCAGTTCTGTGTGTGGGTTGGGGCAGAGGGCGATGCCGTCCACGGCGTGTACGGGTCGGTGGTGGGACTAAATTCTTCTACGCTGGTTGACAATCCCCGGGTGGTCAAGTTTTCTGCCGCCCATCTGGAAGCAAGCTCGTCTCGTGACTATCTGGACGCGAAGAACGTGCCCTAGTTAGTAGAGCTCAAAAATGTACTCTTATTCGTAAAAATTCATGGGACGCCGCCCTCTTCTACCGTATTTTGGGACGTTTCACCACAGATGGTGGAGGTGGACGCGGCCACGAAGCATTACTGAGTGGGGTGAGGAGAGGGACGGAGTTGGCGAGTAGTTGGCGACGGAGTCCGGAGCGAAGGCGATGACGCAAGAGCGCCAACGTCACCAGCGGCTCAGTAGCGGTCCCTTAAGCGCCCTAATTAGTCGCCATTTATCGCCCTCGCTTTCTCTGCCATCGACCACGACGACAGCGACGACGACCCCGACGCCCTGCACGGCTGCACGCCCCATCCACCTATTTTCTCTTGCTTTTCGCGAGGCGGTGCCCTTGTTCTGCGCACTCATCATCTGACGCACAGCTTTCCTCAGCTCGCCTCTACACGCACACCACCACACCCTACCTCGACATACACACGCCGCAGCCATGATGGGATTGTTCAGCCAGGCTGGTGCTCATCTCCGAGGCGCCAGGCCACGCGGCGCCTCGTCTGCAGAAGATAAGGTCCCAGAGGACACCGAGCCCGACGACACATCCATCCTGTCCGTCCTTCTTCGCCCGTCCAATGTTCCACCTCCCGCCTGATCTTTGTGATGACAGTGACGAGAACGAGGGCTCCATCATCACCTCCCTCATCTCCCAACTCAGGTGCGTCTGTCCTCCCGCCGTGCCTCCGCGCTCTTCGCTCACGCGCGCCCTCCTGATCGCGATCGCGCGCGCAGAGTCGGCATGGACCTCTCTAAGGTGACCTTCCCGACCTTCGTGCTCGAGCCACGCAGCATGCTCGAGCGCATCACCGACTTTATGGCCCACCCAGACCTCATCTTTGGGTACGTGTTTTAGTGCCGACTGCCCTCGACCCCACCTCGGCTCCCCCCTTCCTTGCCCTCTCGCCCAAATCGATCTCTCTCTCACCCCCTTCGCATGGCCAGTGCCGAAAACTGCGACGACCCCGAAGAGCGCTTCATGCGCGTGCTACAATACTACCTCGCGGGGTGGCATATCAAGCCCAAGGGCGTGAAAAAGCCGTGAGCAGCCATTTCAGCGCCCCTTTACTGCGCTTGCTGATCGTCCCTTCGCCCCGATCGTCCCGTTCTGACCGCGACCGCCTTTTTCGGCCCGCGCAATAGGTACAACCCTGTCCTCGGCGAGTTCTTCCGCTGCCGCTACGACTACCCAAACGGGACGCAGGGCTTCTACATCGCAGAACAAGGTGCGTCTGCCCGCCTGCCATACCTTTCCATGCCCTGCCCAGCTCCTTCTCGTCGTGCGCTCATCGCTGTCCGTCGCCCGCGTGCTACAGTCTCCCACCACCCGCCTGTGTCCGCCTTCTTCTACGTCTCGCCGCTCAACCAGGTGCAGATCGTCGGCGAGCTGCGGCCCAAGTCCAAGTTCCTCGGGAACAGCGTGTCGACGACGATGGAGGGCGAGAACCGCGTCGTGCTCATGGGCCGCCCCGACGACGGCGAGTACGTGATCACGATGCCGAACATGTACGCGCGCGGGATCCTGTTCGGGAAGATGGTGCTCGAGCTCGGCGACACGTGCGTCGCGCAGAACGAGCGCAACGGGCTTGCGTGCGATCTCGAGTTCAAGACGAAGGTGCGCGCCACTGCTCTCAATCTTGTCACATCGGTTCACGCTCAACTGCGACGCTGATCGATCCGTTTATGCGCGGTGCAGGGGTTCTTTTCTGGGACATACAACGCGATTGCGGGGCGCGTTCGCAAAGGCAACACCGACGTCGGTGAGGTTAGTGGCAAGTGGAGTCACGTGATGGAATTCAAGAACAGTAGAGTACGCAGCCGCCCCCTTTGCTTTTCGGCGTGATCTCGTGACGAATGGTCGTGCCTCTTTTCTGCACAGACAGGCGAGAAGCGGCCGCTGTTCGACGTGGGCAAGGAGGGACAGAAGGTCGCGCCCAAGTGGGTGGCGCCGGACGACGAGCAGGAGATGTACGAGTCACGGCGGTGCGTCTTCCCCTTTTTCATATTTCTCTCTTTTACGATGCATTGATCTGATCTTTCTTTTCCCGTCTTTCTGTTGTGCGCACGTGCCTGCAGGCTGTGGTCCGCGCTGACGCAGGCGATCCTGCTGAAGGACATGGAGGCCGCGACGGAGGCCAAGTCGGCGGTCGAGGACGCGCAGCGGGAGATGCGCCGCAAGCTGGAGGAGTCGGGCGACGTGCACCAGACGCGCTTCTTCGAGCTGCGCGCGGGCAGGTGGGAGCCGAAGCTGACGTGCGTCTCCTCTCTCTAACCTCTCTCGCCGCCTCTCTTGTTTTTGGCGATGTGCGACCTGGAGCTGACTGGCTGATTTTGGCCTGCGCAATGCTGCAGTCTGCCCCAGGATCCGCAAGAGGCGGTCGTGGCCGTCCAGGAATGGATATATGGTCGCGTGCCGTCGCCGGCGCCCGCGTGAGCGTCCGCGCGCGAGGAGCTGCTCTGCCCGATACGTACCGGACCCCTTTCGCCTCGCCACAAACATGAACACGACCACGACTTCAACATCGACATCGACATCAACCTCGACAACAACCTCGACTGGAATCTACTCGCCTCGTTTCGCCTCGCCTCGCCTCGATCCGGCAGACCCGTGCACACGTCTACACACATCCGATAGAGCTTGCATATCCACCCCCTCACCCATTCACCCATTCACTCACCCACCCACACCCACACGCCCTCACCCACCCATACATATCCGCCCGAGTACCCCTACTTGCTCCCGCCCCGTCTGCGCCTGGCTTCTTTTTTTGCATACTCTTCTCCCGCTTCCTAACAGACTGAAAGATTAATCACGGTGGTAATGAATGCTGAATGCTAAACGCTAAATGCTAAACGCGCGGTGTTGTGAAGAATACGAGACAACCGATGTGTTGTGTTGTTGCGGTCGCCGCCGCCGCCGCCGCTGCTATTGGTTGGCTGGCTGGCCGGGCGCATGCTATGGGGCCAGAGCGCGGGCTCACGCAGCATTCAAGCGTCAGATGAGACTTTGACGACTTGGTGAGGGCTTGATTTGGCCAGCGCGAGGGAGGCGGGTCTGTCGACCACACCTACGCTCGGGGAGCGAGGCCCAGCGAGACGCGCTCAAACGTGAACAGCTGCTCCGCAACCGTACACGGCTTCAAATACTAAGACAGAACCGAGTGGATCATCATCGCAAGGACCCGCTTTTCGACCGTCCCTCGAGTGCGGGGTCCGTTACCTACGTTTTTCGAGGCGTTCTTGGCACATGCCACCGCGTTTGCGATTCCGCTGTGCTCATACTCCACTGCGTCCTGCACGCATACTGATACAACATGGTCGGGCAAACATACATACATTGAGGGTCAATTGAGTAGTTCTACGTAGGCCTGGCGGACGCTCTTGATGAATCCGTACACGTTCCGCGAGTCGTTCAGCTGATCTACCAGTATCGGGAGCGTGGGGAGCGGCGGGGTCGACGTGAGCACTGCGGGTGCACACACACACACACACAAAAGGAACGTCAGGCGGAGCAGATGGGCGAGGGGGGTGGCGCGCGGACTCGCCTCGGTAAGACCGCGCGGAGATGTCGAGGACGAAGCTGAACTCGCGCGTGTGGTCGGTGGGGTCGACGTGCGAGAAGCGGATGAGGAGCTGGTCTTTGGCGATGCCCTCGACGATGCAGCGCAGGCGGGACTCGCAGGCGCGCAGCTCGGGCGAGGTCGTGGAGGCGTACCAGTTGAGCGTCGCGTGCTCGCTGTTGCGCTCTGGTGGCGCGGCGGTGCCGGTATTGCGTCATTGCGTGCGCCGTGCGGGAAAGGGGGAAGGAGCGCACCTTTGCGGAGGTTGGAGGTCACGGCGCGGTATTGCTCGATCTCGACGTCGAGCGCGGCGCTGGCCTCTCGTATGGACGAGAGCTGGCGCCGAAGGGCGGCGACGGACGACTCTGCGGACTTGAGCTCCTCTTTTTCCTTCTCGAGCGCTGGGGAGGGGGGCAGCAATGAGCGACGCGGACGCCAGGGGAGAAGGGGGACACTCACTCGCGACGAGCTCGATCTCCTTCATCTTGCAGCGGTTCGTCTCGGCCTCGATGACCTGCGCGCGGTCAGCGAGCTTCTTGAGCTCTGCGGCGTGCGCATTGCGGCGCTGGGTGATCTCGGCGACGACGCGGGCGGCGTAGCTCGCGACGGCCTTGGAGAAGTTGCGATTGGATGCGTCGTAGGCGTCGAGGCGGAGGTCGATGTGCGGGTTCTGTGCGGCGAGGATGGCGGCGAGGTCGACCTGCGGGGTGCGCAGAGCGTGCGCCATCGTACAGACAGCGGCATCGCGCACCCGCGACCCCGCGTGCGACCCCAGCACACGTGCACGCGCACGTGATCCTCGTGTTCGGCGCCTGTACCACACACTTACTTACCACTCACTCGCTCACCACCACCACCACCATGTTCCGCGACATCCACATGAACACGGCCAAAGGCCTCCCTGCAGGCCTTCCTGCGGGCCTCCCAGACGTCCACATGAGCACCGCCAAGCTCGACACCACCCGCACCTTCAAGCAGGGCCAGTTCCGCCTCTGGGAGAAGGAGCTGCTCGACAGCCCAGAGGTCAAGCGCAAGGCGACCGTCGCCCAGCTCTGTGAGCGGTCCCCCGCCCCGTGACTCGTGCTCGCTGTCGTCGCCGCTGACCCCGCGCGCCCCCGCAGACTTCCTCGACTACTACTTCCAGCTCCTGGGCTACATCGGCTCGCGCAAGGACCGCCGCGCCAAGTTCGACGCCGACACCGCCGCTCGCGCGCTCTCGTCCTCTGAGCACCACAAAGAGTTCAAGTCGTATTGCGGGCGCGAGCGCGTCGTCCTCCGCAAGCGCCGCACGAAGCTCCGCGTCGATCAGTTCCACATCATCGCTCAGGTCGGACAGGGCGGCTACGGCGAGGTCTACCTCGCCCGCAAGCAGGAGACCGGCGAGGTATGCGCCCTCAAGAAGATGCGCAAACGGACGCTCTTCAAGATGGATGAGGTCAGCCCCCTCGATATATATTTCCTGGCGCGCGCCGGCGCTCATCTCGTCTCGATCTCGCGCCCAGATCCGACATGTCTTGATTGAGAGGGACATCCTGACGGCGACCAAGACGCCGTGGCTCGTGCGCCTCCTCTACGCGTTCCAGGACCCCTCCTTCGTCTACCTCGCCATGGAATACGTCCCCGGCGGCGACTTCCGCACCCTGCTCAACAACTCGGGCGTGCTCAAGGAGGAGCACGCCCGCTTCTACATCAGCGAGATGTTCGCCGCCGTCTGCGAGCTCCACAAGCTCGGGTACATTCACCGCGATCTCAAGCCCGAGGTAAGATCCCCGATCTGCGATCGCGCCGTGCGCCAAGCGCCCCTCCTCCGCTCGTTTGACCTCGTCCCGTCCAGAACTTCCTCGTCGACTCGAGCGGGCACGTCAAGCTCACCGACTTTGGCCTCGCGACGGGCGCGCTCAACCCCAAAGTCATCGACGCGCTCAAAGACAAGGCACGCTCTCCTCGCGATCGCCCCGATCCGTCCGTCGTGCTCACTTAGCGTCTGCCTTTCCCCCCTCCCTCCCCCCTCACCTCCTGCAGCTGGACAAAGTCAAGGACAAGGAGATCGTCCACCGCTCGACGATGGAGCGCCGCTCGATCTACCGCTCGATCCGCAGCGACGACCCGCGCTACGCAGACTCGATCGTCGGCTCGCCGGACTACATGGCGCCCGAGGTGCTCCGCGGCAAGCCGTACACCTACGCGGTCGACTACTGGTCCCTGGGCTGCATCCTGTTCGAGTTCCTCGCGGGCTTCCCGCCGTTTAGCGGGAGCACGCCCGAGGAGACATGGACGAACCTCAAGAACTGGACCAAGGTCCTGAGGAGGCCCGAGTACGACAAGCCGGAGGACCTCATCTTCAACCTCACCGACGTCGCCTGGGACGCCGTCACGAGGCCAGTCGTCCCCCCCCTTCCTCCTCCAAACATCGAGCTAACCGTCCGCCAGGCTCATCGCACACGCGAGCGTGCGCTACGCGCACCTCGACGACCTCGCCGCGCACCCCTTCTTCGCGGACGTGCAGTGGGAGCACCTGCGCGCCACCAGCGCGCCCTTCGTGCCCGCGCTCGACTCCGAGATCGACACGGGCTACTACGACGACTTCACGTCCGTCGACGACATGGCGAAGTACGCCGAGGTGCGCGAGAAGCAGCGCAACGTCGAGCGCGTGCGCGAGAAGGAGGAGCCGTTCGCGCGCGGCGTCTGGGTCGGGTTCACGTTTGGGAAGAACGGCCCCGGCGTGAAGGCGTTCAGCGCTATGGGCGAGGGGTACGACGACAGCGGCGCGATGGCTACCATATTCTGAGCCGAACGCTTCCCCTCGCGCGGCTGATTGATCGGTAGGTGCGACTGCTGCGTCCCCTTTCCCCGTTTGTGCTCACGCAGTCTGAGCCAGGCTGCTTTTACCCCTCTCTCGGCTGATTATAACAGAATCGTCGTCCGTCTGGAACGGCACCATGTAGCCTCAACACTCTTGTTTTCTTTTTTTCTTTTTCTTTCTTTTTTTACCATACCCCATCATGATATACCAACACCACCACCACCACCCCGCACACATCGCATTTCAAGAAAATAGAGACATGAATTAAAGAGAGTTCGGGTTGACGATGACGATGATGACGATGATGATAATAATGATGTTGTCTCTCAGCAGAATGGTATCGTGTCGTGTCGTGTCGTGTCCAGGCCCCTCCACCAACAAAAAGCAACGCAGGAACTCGGAAGCCCTTACCTAAATGTCTGCTGGCTGTACGTGCCCCGAATCGTCCATGCGCGCGCTAAAAGGGGAGAGGGAGAGGGGGAGGATTCAAATGGTCAGCGTCCCGCGAGCCGGGATCGACGACGATGATAGAAAGAATGTACGTACACGGCCTCGTCGACGAGCTCGGTGTGGTCCTTGACGCGCATGACGATCATGGGGAGGGCGAAGATGAGGCCTGCGACGAGCAGGACCCAGGTGGAGATGAAGATGTTCATGTAGCTACGGACACGTCGCGTCAGCGAGGTGGGCTCGACGACGACGACGACGACGACGATGACGATGACGGGGGGAGAAAGACACGCACGGGAGCTTCACGGCGTCTGCGCGCCAGACGCCCGCCGCACCCGCCGATTGAATCGACTTGTCTAAAATAAACCAGTCAATCAGTCATCCAGCCAGTCAGTCAGTCAGCTAGCCGGCCGGCCAGCCAGCCAGCCACTACGCGATACGCACAGAATCCGGTAAAGTAGGCGAGCTTCGCGGGGTCGTTGGACATGGCACCCATCATCCAGTACGCGGTCGTCTGCCACATCGCGTCCAGCAGACCACAGAAGATATACAGCCAAATACGGCCCGCATAACCGTGGTCGTGGATGTCCATCTTTGCGGCCTCGGGCGGGATCGACTCGCGCGTGTAGTTCCTAGTAGACGCACGCCCCCAGACCGTCGGAGGGGTTCAGGGGAGGACGGAGAATGCGAGGGGGAAGGGACTTACCGTTGGTAGAAGTACGCCCAGATGTGGATGACGAAGACCATGAGGAGGAGGACGAGCCAGCCCGAGAAGGCGCGGAAGCGGCGCGCGAGGCGGCGCTGGTCGAGGAGGAGCCCGATCGCGATCGACCCGACGATCTGCGAGAGCCAGTAGACGAGGTTGTTGAGCGAGCGCGCGCGGATGTTGAACAGCGCGCCGTTGTAGTCGTTGAACTCTGTCGTGCGGCGGGCGAGGCGTCAGTTGTCTGCGCTGCAAAGCCACGACCCGGGGGAGGTGCTCACGCCATGTGTAGAACCAGTTTGAGGCGAAGAACATGGGGAAAAGGAGGACGACCATGGGGTCGGTCTTCAGCGCGACGTAGAGCCCGTACAACTCGGTCTGCCAGGAGGGCTGGCGCGGCGCGGTGACTTTTGTGCCGTCGGTGCGGATCATCTTGTTAGGATCGGCCATGAGCATCGGGATGGTCACCCCGATGAGGGTCAGCACGAGGAAACCGATCTGGGGAAGCAAAGTGAGCACGCGAGCAGAGCGACTATCAAACGAGCGAGTGGACTGACATAGGTTCCGTTTCCAACTGAGTTTTGAAATCATGTTATGAACACCCTACATGAGAGCGAGCGCATCGCTGCGAATTCACTCACCTGCGTTGGCCTACAGAAAGGGACTCGATGATCATTTCGACCGATATACCCATGACAGGTGCGTACCGTAGAATGGAAGTTTTGTCCTAGGGACACCGAAGCACCGACAACGCCGCCCAGATTGAAGATAGCCCAAAAGACGCCGATGTACTTTCCCTTCTCGCTCTCGGTCGGATAAGCCAGCATGATGGAGCCCTGGGCCGTCCAGAGGAGGCCGGCGCAGATACCGAGGATGGCGCCGGCCGTGATAACGAAGGCCCCAGCGTGGCTGTGGATGTTCACGGCGCTAATGATTTGATGAACATCGAGTTTGGGAAGACGGGCCGGAGGCGGGAAAGGACTACTGACAGATAGGAGCCAATGTAGAGCGCGTAGCCAGTGCTTCCGATGAGGAGCGTGAGCTTTGGGCCGAGCGTGTTGTTGATAGAGCTATTTTATGCATGGTTTTCATTTATAAAAAAAACACTATATAGAGAGATGGCTCGAAGAGGGCACATACCCGGCAAAGAAAGCAAAAAAGGAAAAGGTCGCGTAGAGGGCGACGTTCGCATTTGCGCTAGTCGTGCTGTCGACCTGACCACCCGCGCCCAGGCCATTGAGCGCGTTGAAAAGACCGGGGCCCATGAAGCAGACGAAACCCAGCATCGAGACCTGGGTGAGCGGATGGTAGTAGACGCCCTTGAGCCCGGTAGGACGCTCGAAGATCTCCGCCGCAGACTGAGAGCCATCGTCGCTGGTGCCGCTAGCGTAGCCTGCCTTTTCGCCGACGGGGTCCGACATTGGGAGGGGAAGGACTGGTGGAGGGGAGCTAGGAAGAAGGAGAGGAGGGCAAGGAGGGGGACATATATATGAAGAGGGAGCAGAGTCACGCCAATATGATGGAGCTAAGGGCTGCGTGCTTATCGTGGGCGGAGAGTGTCCCCCCTCCTGGAACCACATCCACCTCCGAACTATCGCCTCCATGCTTCCTTTCGTCTCAATCCAATCTTCATCAAATGTTCCATCTGAGCATCGCCCATGTGCCTTCTCCTAAACGTCAGTCGTGTGTCCGGTTCTAGTCTAACACATTCCTCCGTTGGATCTCGAGTTTCATAGAGGAAGGGCGAGCCCATACTGACAACACCGGGTGCTGTATCCTGTCGACACATGTAGCGAAAGACTAGCAGAGTCGAGACAGCTATCTCACAACATCAGCCGATATCGGCACGCTTTAGCGTTCAGCGCTTCTTGATGCCTACGGCCAGGGCCATAGACGCCTATATACACCCTCCGAGGAGCTCGGTCACCCACTCAAGGAACATTTCGTCGCATACTTCGAGGCCGTCTACTATCCAACATACACCACACACAAACGCACTGCACGAGGCCACGGAAACGAGAACACGGGGCTGGAATACGTCACATAGGCGGTCGTTCAGTAGATCATCAGAAAACAAGTGGGGGAAGCAGTGAAACGAAAGCAAACAAAAAAATGTTCTAACAGGCAGAAAGAGTAGAATAAAACACCCAAGGAAACCCATCCCTTTACTCCGAGACAGCCGTCGCGACTCGCTCACGGAGGGCATCGGCCGAATCTGTTGTCGCGTGGCCGGAACGAGCCGACTGGCTGACGTTCGCCAGAATGGGCTTCAGCACGGTGTGGTAGGTCGTTTGGGCGCCCTACGTCATCACAAAATATCGTCAGCCCGCCTTCATGACACGTCATGTGCAAAAATAAATGTACGCACGCGGAACGCAGGCAGCTGCAGCCAGAGGATGAAGAGGGTCTTGAAAGCGAAATACCACGGGAAGTAATACAAAACAACACGGAGTGCGAATCCTTCGGTGAAGTTGAAGAAACCGAACACGACCCAGTAAGTCAACCACTGAATGTCATCTTGGTGGCCGGGAGTCTCAATGGCCTTGAAGGACAGGTAAGCGGGGAGTGCCCAGCCGACGAGGTTAGAGACAGGGGCGGCGAGCGAATTGATGAAATGGAAGAGGGTGACAAGTCCGACAGCGCCAATGAAGGCGTATGTCTTTGGGACCTGCGTGCGTTGCTCAAAGTTGACAAGGATAGGGTACTTGGTAAGCTAATAAAGGGCACACGACAACAGCACATCAGGGGTCGACGGCGAACGTTTAATCGTAAAAAAAACGATCAGCGTACCTCCTTATCCAGCTGGGCAAGGTAAAAATTGGCCTTGGCCTGAGCCTGCTGGAAAATGGGGTGGTCCTGTACTTTTTGCGCGGAAGACATCTGTGTATCGGTCCACGAGAAACGAGGCAGGACGGCCAACGATGCAAGTGAGCACACAGAAGACAGTCGAAGGGCGGGGTGAGGAGGGATGATGAAAATGAAAGACGTACAACTGAAGAAGAAGAAACAGATAGAAGGGTCGTCGTCGTTGGTGAAGAAAGGGAGGGGTTGCGTCGACGGGTTGATATGGGATTGATGACACGTGTTTGCGTCACCAACGGAATACGTCAGCTTGGTGCGAGGCCCTTGAAGCGCAGCTCCATCCACGTCTACGCGAACGGCTCAGGACAGCATGTCGCAAGACACTGCAGCTGCATACGATGCGATAAAGGCAGGTCATCTCGATGTCATAGGTTTCTCGTTGCTCATTTGGTTGTGTCCAGCAATTGCACCAATCTCTTCCGGCGTTCTCTCCTTACATCGCTGTCGGCCTGCTTCCGTACATCGCGTTCTTTCTCCTTACTGCGACTTTTGCCCTCGCCTTTTATTTCTCAACGTGAGCCTACAACTATCCCACACTTCTTGGCTGTCTGACAATATCATGTCTCAGTCTTTCAAAAGACACCCTCCCAGTCCGCGAGACAGTGGTCGCTCTGACGGCCAGCGCGTTGGGCGGCTTTGGAGTGGTCGCGCTCTTCTGCACTGTTGGCGTATACGTGTAACCCGCCTGTTCCCCGTGAAGGATGCCAGTATTGACCTCGTCTGATTGATGGTATTTAATTGTTGACGCGCCATCCGTGCCTGCAAGCGACACACTGCCGTGTCGTGAATATCGACCTCGCACCGCAGGCGAGACGTGTCACGTACTGTATAAAGAATGGTAGACCCTTCGTCGGCGCTGCGCATCTGAGAAACATGCACACTTCAACGAAACGCCCGAGGTATGCACGGGTCGCGAACGCACCTGGATTTCCTTCGAAAAGGCTTCCATGTGCCCGCACTCGGGGCACTTTTCGGTTACCTTCACGGGTCCCGCAGTCAGTCTTCGGCAGAAGGCCGCTGACGAGACACGCTACGCTACCTTGAGCTGGGCATCTGAGCCCTCGTGCGTCTTGGTCTGCGTCTTTCGCTTCTGTCTCAGCACGGACGGAAACGCGTCTGGGTGGGATCGCGTCGTGATCTCGATGTTCTCATATGCTGCGCGTCTTTGATTGAGTCCACCATTCGTCTGATACTGAGCCGGGTTTGTGACATACATTTGGCCGGTTCCTTGTGCCCGCATTGCTCGCATTTCACTGACGCCTCGTCGCCGTGGGGCAGGTCTAATAGCGTACCGCAATCCCCGCAGAAGAGGAGGGAGCCTATAGTCGATAAAATCTCGGTCAACTAGATGTCGTCCCACCGCGAAAAACAACTAACCTATTTTATGCGCAGAGGAAGGCATGGATTTAGAACATCGGTGCACCGAGGATTTTAGAGATCCTTGAAGTTTGCTAACTGTATTTACGCAATACCGGAGTGCACGTGACTGCGGGCGATGACGGATTCAAGACGTTCCGCATCCGGCCAGATGCGCCCCGCTGAAAACGCATGGAGCACACCAGGACGTCCCAGAGCCCTCGATGGCCTTTGTTTCAACTGTCATGGGTATCGTAGAATGAAAATTGGGCGCTGAAATTTCGCGTTTTTTGTTATACAGGCATCGCCCTACAGCGCCCGACGAATGCATACCGGTATGTCTCGTTGCTACCAGAACTCTGACCTCCGTATCAAGAAGCAGGTTATCATGATCTATCACCATGTTCTCTGTCCGAATACAATAACACCTTTCGGCATTGCGCGCTTTTTGTTTTCTTCCTTTCTCCGTCAGGCCTTTATATTCCCTGCAAGGATGGCCTCTCGTATGCTTTGGCTCTTTCCCAGGTTTCTCTTCACCCCCTACCGCTTCCCCGCACGCTGGCGTGCCACTCTAGACAAAGGACTTTTCACGACCTCTAGCTTTACCTCCAACATCTAATTGACTGTTCCATCCGACTGTACACGTTTTTTTCGCACTTACGCTTTACTACTCCCCGACGCGCGCACACGTTGAATGACCCTGCCCCGCACCGAAGCTGATATCATCATGACGCCACACAACGACCCCACGGACCTGCCCCGTCCACGCTCCGAAAGATACCTCAAAGAATGCCGCCTCTTCAAACTGACAGACATCGTCCGCCTCGCGCGCGAGCGCCAGCAGCGGATCTGCCGCGAGTACAAAAACACCGCGGAGTCGATACCCAGCCTGTCCAAGCTGAAGGCGAGGAGAAAGCTCCTTGACCCGGAGAGTCCCCTCAAGGGCCTCAATCTCGGCCGACTGGTCAATGCGTTCGAGGACCAGGCCAAGTTCCATGGCTGGGAGAAGGCTCCCGTCGTTGTAGCTTCCCCAAGTCCATCGCCACGCAATGAGCCCCAGCCAAACCCGGCGGCTCATCCACCGTATGTCCCGGTTCTTTGATTGCTCTGTCCGTGGCGCAGCTAAACGGTGGCTTTACTTTTGTAAGAATGCTCCAGGAGAGGCCCCGATCGCCGATCGCTTCTCCCCCCAGCACATCTGACCGACGCGCTGAGCTCGCGTGGAAGATGGACTGCTGGCAGGCGATGCTCGAGCGCGAGCAAGAATTCATCCGCCATCGGCGGCAGGTCGACCCCCAGCTCATGGATCGGTACCGATGGGCCTCGCGCGAATACCAGCACGATCGCCAGATCACGCTCTGGTGGCAACGCCTGGTCCTCGACGATCCAAAGCGACCGCGCAGGGGCGACGCGCCGCCGACGCAGGCAGACGGGGGCGACTGGCAGAGCCCCGCCCCCGCGCACTGTCTCCGGTCCCACGAAGAACACCGCGCGCAGCATTCGTACTACGATCCTGCGCGGGACGCCTACTCGAGCCGTCACGGGCTCCAGGAGCTGGACACACGCCTCGGCCGACAGGAGCACCCTGCGGGCGGCGCGCGGCACCACGAAACGCGCGCGACTCACCTCCCCCCTCGGCAGCGCCGACGTGTCACGGAGAGGTGCACGAAGCCGACGCTGCCCTCGCCACGGCCCCACCATATGCGGCTCTTGTCCCCCTTGCATCTGCCCTGGCCGGCCGCGCAGCACACCCTCGTCCCCCCAGATTACGCATTCACCCCCGTTTATTCGCTTCCGCGGCACGGTCGCGATCCGGTGGAGCGTGCGGATTTGAGGCATTTCGAATGCGTGCCTGGTGCGTCCTCCAGCGCCCGCCTCTTCCTGGACGACGTCTTCTCACAGACACGCGATGTTTTAGCTGACAGAGAGCACGGATCATTCGCGCGCGCGATGCCCCGCATCTTTATATCTCCAGAACTGGCGCCCTCGGACGACTCTGTCGTTACTGATGCTCCCAAGCCACGGAGAATTGCTCCGTTGTTGATCCCTTGGCTCAATGAGCCGGATCGTCTATCCCCAAAGGTGGCTGATCGCATCGCATCTCTTTGTATCACTCAGCTCATACGCAGTCGCCAGGGTCATGCTCTTCTTACACCGGCATCCTTGTCACGGCCAAAGAGAAGATCGGAAGAACAGGCCCCGGATCCTCAGGTGACTCGTCTTTTGGGCCCGTTTCTTTCATCTGTGCTGATAACACGTCTTCGAAGCCTTGCAAGCGTTTCAAGCCCGACGCGGACGACGCCGAACCCTCAGACAACGCCCTCAAGCTGAGGCTCTTCCCCGACCGGCCGTGACGTCGATGACCCGAACGAACATTTATTTTCTGATTTACCTTTTCCACGAATCATGTCTCTTCTGAAGGACCTTTGTCGGATAGATTGTGTGCTTTGCTTAACGACCGCGCGCTCACGACCCGCATGATGCTTATTGTGTTATTTCTCTTCCATGCCACTCATGCGTTTTTTTCTGTATACCTATAGTTATTGTGTCGATTCTCTGTGCCCATCCGTATGTATTCATAGTTTCTGGCCGCTTTTAATATATCTCTCTTCTCATGAATTCCTCGACATCGACGAGACGGCCAGCTATGATCTTATCTTATCTCATGATCTGGATGAAGAATCGACTGATCCGTATCATATCTTGATCGACGGAGCCGACTACTAACTTACGAACGTACTGCCATCATGCCCGACCCAACCTCGCAAGCTAACTATTTGGAGATCGCCACCGGACACGTCCACTTTGACTGGACAGTGGACTGGGAAAAGCTGATCATCTCGGGGGCCGCTACGCACACGCTGACGGCCAAGCAAGAGGGCGTCGACAAAGTCATGTACGTGCCTGTGTGCTGATATCTTGCCGACCCCACGTCTTCTCAACACCGCGGGACGCTCGGCAGACTCGACACTGCAGATCTCGATATATCGAAGGCTGAAGTGGATGGACGCGAGGTGTCGGTGAGGCTTCTGGACTTGGAGCTGCAGGATGCGTTTGCCTGACCGATGGTGGTTGCAGTACGCGTTGGGGGAGAAACATGCCGTGATGGGATCGTCCCTCACCATTCCCTTGTCCGCCGCGGTTCAGGTTGGGTCCCAGGTCACGGTCAAGATATACTACGAGACCACCGAGAAGTGCACCGCGCTCCAGTGGCTTTCGAAAGAGTGCGTGTCCCCGTCTCGCTCTTGCTCGAGGGAGGTAAAATCTCATCGCACTGAGAACAGGCAGACGCAAGGAGGCAATTTTCAGTATCTCTTCAGTCAGTGTCAGCCCATCTACGCGCGCGCGCTGGCCCCGTTGCAAGGTTCGTCGTGCGCTCCATCCCCCACGAAACATCATCACCGCATCGACCCGCTCTCGCAGACACGCCCTCCGTCAAAATCGTACGTCGTCTGATATGACCTGGATCTCGCACGCTTCGGGGAACTGACCAGTCTGCAGACGTACAGCGCCAGCGTAGCGTCGACTCTTCCGGTCCTCCTGTCCGCCGTCCGCGTTTCACCACCGTCGGAAGGCCCAGCCCACGACGGCAAGGTCATCGGCCAGGAATCGGTCACATATACGTACAAACAGGTGGGAAGACAACCAGAGGTCCTGCCCCTCTCCTTTCGCTAAATGTGAGACAGCCCGTCCCGATCCCATCGTATTTGATCGCCATCGCCAGCGGGAACCTGCGTTACAAGGCATTCGCACCCGTCGAGGGCAGGCCGTGGAAGAGCGGGGTCTGGGCGGAGCCGGAGCTCATGGAGGCCTCGTTCTGGGAGTTCAGCGAGGACACCGGGAGGTGAGCCTCGTCCACTCTAGATCCCTTCGGCCTCCTCACCACGTATCCAGATTCTTGGCCAAAGAGGAGGATATCGTCGGCCCGTACAGGTTTGGAGTGTATGACCTCTTGGTTTTGCCTCCTTCGTTCCCTTACGGTGGGATGGTGCGTGGACCCCGCGCTCGCGTCATTCGACGACTGATTCAACTCGTAATCGCAGGAAAACGCTTGTCTCTCGTTCTTGACCCCAAGTACGTTCGCTCTCCGCCTGGCGGCGCACGCGCTTACCAGGTGAACGCAGCTCTTTTGGCCGGCGATCGCTCCCTCGTCGATGTGGTCGTACACGAGCTGACCCATTCCTGGTTCGGCAACGGCGTGACGTGAGTCTATCGCCTCGAAATCCGTGGATCTCCGCGCTCATCCTAATTTTCTGTGTGCGTGCGTGCGTGCGTGTGTGTGTGTGTGCAGGCACGCCGAGGCGACCCATTTCTGGCTGAACGAGGGCTGGACGACGTACATCGAGCGCCTCCTGCAAAGCTTCCTCCACTCGCCCGCCGAGCGCGGATTCTCGTACCTCATCGGGTCCACGGCGCTGTACGAGGCGCTCAACCTGTACAAGGACAAGCCCAAGTACCAGCGCCTCGTCATCGAGTTCGAGCCCGGGGAGGACCCCGACGACGCGTACAGCAGCGTCGCGTACGAGAAGGGCGGGAACTTTTTGCTCTACCTCGGTGCGCACGTGCTTTTGTATTTTCTTGTGTTTGGGTCGTCTGAAGGTGTTTGGTTTGCAGAGCGCACGTTGGGCGGGCTGGACGTGTTCCTGCCGTACGTGCGCGACTACGTGGACACGTTCATGGGCAAGTCGATCACGACGGACCAGTGGAAGTCCCACCTCTTCGCCTACTTCAAGGCGCACGGCGGCGAGGCCAAGATCCGCGCGCTCGAGAGCGTGGACTGGGACGTACGACCCCCTCGCATCTCTCTCCGGTATTCATGATGTGCTGAGACGGGGGCTTGCGTGTGCAGGCGTGGCTGTACGGCGAGGGCACCCGGCTGCCCGTCGAGATCGAGTACGACATCAGCCTCGCGGAGCCGGCGTACCGTCTAGCGGCGCGCTGGGACGCGGCGCGCGACACCCCAGACGCGTCCCAGCTCGACTTTGACGCGTCCGACGTCGCCTCGTTCAACTCGAACCAAAAAAGTATGCCCCTCCCTCCCTCCGCCCCCCCGTCCACGCCCCTCACGCCCGTCCCCTTTCTCTCTCCTTTCCCCGCGCCCAGTCGTGTTCCTCGAGCGCCTATACACCTACGCGCCCCTCCCCTCCACGCACATCGCCCACCTCGGCGCGCTCTACGCCCTCTCGACGTCCCCAAACGCCGAGATCCGCCTGCGCTTCTACACCGCCGCCCTCCGCGCCCCGCGCTCCGCCGCCGCCCGCGCGTTCGCGGAGCCCGCCGCGCGCTGGGTCGTCGGCGCGGACGGGACCGGCGTGCTCAAGGGCCGCATGAAGTTCTGCAGGCCCGTGCTGCGCGCCGTCGCCGCCGTCGATCCTGCGCTCGCGCGCCGCTTCTTCGAGGGCGCGCGGGGCGCGTTCCACCCCATCGCGAGGAAGCTGATAGAGAAGGTGAGCGCTGAGCGCTGAGCGGCGGCGGCTCCGCGCTTTGTTTTGTTTTGTTTTGTTTGCTCGGCAGGATGTGCTGACGTCGCGATGCGCAGGATCTCGCGTCGGCGTGAACGAACGCAGAAAAACGCGCTTGAATATTCAGAGAAAAAAAGCCTCCCCCCCCCCCCCCCCCGCCTGCTGGGGACGCCGTGGACGTTTGTAGGTAGCGATCACGAGCGTGCCGTGTAGTACAGAAGCTGCCAATCTCGATATCCTTCATGTCGTAAGAGCAAGACGCGCCGCCATCCTGCGTAGTCCGTAGTTCTATCTACTTGAACCCGCCCCAAAGATCCCCGAACACGTCGTCTTTTTGCTGCGCCGCGGCGGCCGGCGCACCGAACGCGTCGCCCCCCGCGCCGCCGCTGACCGACGCGGACCCGCCCCAGATATCGGTCGTGTTGAAGAGCTGCTGCTGCGTGGCCGTCGTCGTCGTCGTCGTCGTCGAGGACGGCTGGGCGCCCCAGATATCGCCTGGGGCGGGTGCCGCGGGGGCGGCGTTCCAGCCGTACCCGACGCCCCAATTCCCGCCTGCTTGCGCAGCTGGACCCACAGCCGGAGCGGGGGGCTGAGCGTAGCCCGCGCCGCCGCCCGTCGCGGCCCAGGGAGACGGGGCGTGCGCGGTGGGGCTCTGCGCGGAGGCGAAGGTGCCGAACGCGGATGGGGGCTGGGGGGCTGCGTGTGCGGGGGTGGAGAAGAGCGAGAGGATGTCCTGCTTGACGTCTTTCCTCGGTGCCGAAGATGCCGAGGCGGAGGAGGAGGGGGCGGGGGCGTGGAAGTCGAGGGAGAAGAGGTCGTTTTCGGGCGCGGTGGGTTGCGGGGGCGGGGGCGTGGGTTGCGGGGGCGGGGGCGTGGGTTGCGGGGGCGCGGGAGCGGAGGCGGGGACGGATCTGGCGGTGCTCGTGGTGCGCGCGTGTTGCGTCGAGAGCAGCTGGTGGGCTTGCGGCTGGCGGGCGGTGATGGGCGGCCGGGCGGGCGCGGACGAGGAGGAGGACGAGCGGCGCGGCGCGGACGCTTGGGGGGCGGTCGGCGCGGGGGGGTCCGCTGCGGGCGCGGGGGCGCCGCTGTCGAGGACGGCGGGGTCGGAGGGGGGCGGGCCGTCCATTGCCCAGCGGCGGGACTCGTACTTTGAGCGGATGAAGGACTCCATTTTACTGTGTGTGCGGGTGTGTGTGTTACGGGGTGATGGATTGGGAGGGAGGAGGGGAGGGACGTACTGATCTGGAGGGACGTGGCCGGATTTGAGGTGGGCTTCCCAGTAGAGATTTGCCCTGCGGTTGCCCCATTTCGTGATGGACTAGATAGAGGGAGGGCATGCGCGCACGCGATGCAGGCGGGGTCGGATCGGGTCGAGTCGAGTGAGCGGGTGAGCGGGCGCGGACGTACCTCCATCTGCTCGGGGGTCCAGGTATCGAGGTCGATGGACTTGACCTTGCTGATGTGGGTGCCCATGCCGCGGTGGATGCCTGAGCAGCGGATGCACAGGAATACGCCGCTGTCAATCGGGCGGGGGTTCAGCGTCGGCGGCGAGGTGTGAGTGTGGAGAGGGGGGGCATTACAGGTTCCATGAGGCCCAGCGGGGATCTGCGCGGTGGCGAGGGTGAGGACGGTGGGAGGGCGGGTGAGAGGGCGGTGGGGGGACGGACCGTTGTGTTTGCAGTCTGAGCAGGTCTTGTTTTCTGGGCGCTTTACGAGCTCGCGGAGGATCTTTGTGTGCCGTTCTGTGGTTGCCCTGTCCTGCCGTGACATTGTGGATGAATGAGCGGGGAGAGGGAGGAGAGGGAGAGGGAGAGGGAGAGGGAGAGGGAGAGGAGAGGAGAGAGCAAGGCGTGGGCGGTGGGCGGTGTCGAGTACGTAAGGCGGGCAGGACAGTGCACCACCGCGCCAACAAAGTCGCCAAGACCTCTTCATATCATAAAATGCCGGATCTCACACACAGCGTCCGTCCTTGCGCCTTGCTCGCTCTGACACCCCCTTCATAGTCAAAGCATCTTCGCTCCCCACAACCGACTCGCACGACACTACGACTTGCGGCAAGGGACACGAAGCTGACATGCCAGGCGACGCCAGCGCTCTCATCGCGTCCGAAAAACCTCGACAGCCGCACTCCCCGTCGTTAGAGAGAGCGGAGCACGGGCTGTCTCCCTCTGCACCCCCGCCTCCCCACCGCGCGGGCTCACTGAGCCACGGTGCGCCCTATGCGGAGCACAACGGCATGGCGCGTTTCTGGGCGCGGTTCAAGGGCAGAGGCAGGAAGAAGGTGGGCTGGGCCGACAGCGCAAAAGCCATCGTATTCTCATCTTGTACGCCCCCCGTCGTCTCGGAACCAACGCCGTCGCTCATCGGGGTACGGGTACAGGGCTGAACGCCTTCCTGATATTCATCCCGTTCGCCTTTGTCGCGCGGTACCACGAGTCCTGGGGCCACGGCGCCGCCTTCGCATGTAAACACCCTGAGTTTCCTCGCTCGACGGGTCGTGTCTGACCGCCGCGCTGACGCGCCGCCTATGATAGTCGCGTTCCTGTCCATAGTGCCCCTCGAGAAGCTCTTCGACTGGGGCGGCGAGCAGCTGGCGCTGTACTGCGGCGAGGATCTCGGAGACCTCATCGTCGTGACCCTGAACAAGTGCTCTTTTTCATATCGTCGCTCGCGCTCGAGACGAGACTGACTGACTGACCGCTTCGTGCAGCGCCGTCGAGGCCACGCTGGCCATCATCCTGCTCCTGAAGTGCGAGTACGTGCCACGCCGCCTCGTCGTCGTATATGCCACATCTTAGAATTTCAACGCTGATCTCGCGCCGCGCAGACTGAAGCTCCTGCAGTCCACCATCGCAGGTACGCTCGCTCCCCTTGCTGCACCGCGCTGCGCCGCGGGTGCGCACGTCCGAGCCCGTCTGACGCGTCCCGCAGGCGTCGTGCTCCTCCACCTCCTCCTCGTGCCAGGAACCGCCTTCCTCGTCGGCGGCGCGCGGATCTGGGAACAGCAGCTCCACCCGACGCGCACGCAGCTCAACCACACGCTCCTCACCCTCGGGTAAGCCCCCCCTCCTTGCACCCCCTCGCTGCTTGAGCGCGTCTGACGGGAATATGATCGTAGAGTCCTGGCGCTGGTCGTGCCCGCGGCGTTCTTTGCGGCCCTGGACCAGGGGCTGACGACTAACGCGGACGGCAGCGAGTCTGGAGGGGGCGTCGTCGTCGACGCGCTCCGCGCGGACTTCCTGCGCCTCAGCCGCGGCTTCGCGATCGTCCTGCTCGTGGTGTACGCTCCCGTCCCGTCGCCCACTCGCACCCGCCGCTCGCTGACTATGCCTTCTGGCGTGTTTGTGTGTTGCCTTATTTGTCGAAACCAGCTACGTCTGCTCGCGCTTCTACCTGCACGACCCGCCCGGGCAGGACAACGCGTTCCGGCTCCCGGCCGGCGCGCCGCAGGAGGCCATCGAGCGCGAGCGCGAGCTGGCGAACGCGGAGCCGGAGGTGAACCCGGTCGGGTGCGTCGTTTTGTTGGCCGTGACGGTCGCGATCATGGCGGTCATGGCGGAATTCGTACGTCTCTTCGTCTGGCTCCGTGCGCTTTTCATCGGGGTAACGGTGCGCGCGCTAGCTCGTCGAGAGCATCGAGTTTGTGCGCGAGCAGGGGAACATCCAAGAAGAGTGCGTCCGCCCCCTGCGCTCCATTTTCTCGAGTCGCGCGCTCACGCGGCCCGCGCAGGTGGTTCGGCCTCGTGCTCCTCCCGCTCATCTCCTTCTCTGCCGACGGCACGGTCGCGATCGTCTACTTCGCGCGCTCGCTCCTCCAGGCGCTCCTCGGCTCCAAGCCCGCGCCGCCGCCCGACTCGGTCGCGGAGGCCAAGGCGATCGACCTCAGCATCCAGTTCACGCTCTTCTGGCTGCCGTTCCTCGTGCTGCTCGGCTGGTGGACGGGGCGCCCGCTCACGTTTTTGTTCGGTGGGTCTGTCCCGCGGCGCTCGTGGTCATGGTAAAGTTCAAGGAATGGGTGGGCTGACGGAGCGGTGTGCGCGTGCGCGCGCGTGTAGATCTGTTCGAGGTGACGGTGCTCATCGGCTCGTGCTTTCTCGTGAACTACATCACGGCGGACGCGAAGACGAACTGGGTGGAGGGCATCATCATGATCGCCTTTTACCTCATGATCGTGCGTCGCCGCCTTCGATTATCCACCTTTTTTTTGCTGACCGCCGGGGCGCGACGCAGGGCCTGTCGGCGTGGTATTATCCCGGCCAGGCGGAGATCGGCGTGTTGGACGCGTGCAGGGAGAGCATCGCCGAGGCGCTCGCCGCTGGGGTGGGCGCGGGCGCGGGCGCGGAGTAGGCTGGGCAGCGCACCTGTTTCGCCATGCGCGTCGCGCGAGTGTGTCTGCAGTGTTGATACCCGTAGTGCCCACGGCGTCGTCGCCGTACCCGCATACGCTCAGGTTTTCTTTACGTCGAAAGGAGATGAATCATCCCGGTTGTGCTTGTGTGGAAGATGCTTGGATTTAGCTGCGATTAGACCACGTCTGTCTGTGTGAACTCGAATCGGATTGCACGCAGCTCTCAGGGACGGTATTCTACGAGACACTGCAAAAGCTAGAAAGCACGGAGGACAGCTGCGACGACGGGGGAGCTATTACAACATGCACGACGAACAACGCCTAATACAGCACAGAGCCGAAACTACACATGACTTCTTCCGGGCTCCCACTCCCACATTCAGACCCCCTCCCGCTTCCGCCCACCGCCGGCACCTCGACGCGCAAACCCCACCACGCCGTCCTCCACGGCTCCGCAGCCACCGCCTCCCACCCCACCCCCCCTCCGCACCCGTAAACGCGCGACTCAGCACCACCGCCCGGATCGGGCACGCCCGCGCGCCCGCCGCGTCGCGCAGCGCACAGCACGCGCGCACGAGCCCCTGCAGCACCGCGCACCACGCCGCGTCCGCGTCCCGCGTCTCTGCGTCCAGCATCGCCGCGAGCCGCACGCCGCGCGCGACGGGCGCGTCCGCCGCCCACGCGCGGAGCTCCCCCTCCTGCGCGCCGCCGTCGGCATCGCCGTCGCCGTCGAACCCAGGGGCGCACAGCGAGGCGAGCACGCCGCGCCGCGCGTCGCTGCGGCGCACGGCATCGGGCGTGGGGAGCGCGCACGTGGCGCGGGCGCAGGTGAACGCGTACTTGTCGCGGAGCTCGTGCTGCCGCGCGCGCCGCGGGAGGAGCGTGGTGCTGAGGTAGGTGATGGTCGCCTGCGCGCCGGCGGGGATGGGCTGCGGGGCGCGGACTTCGAGGGAGAAGGAGTCGAGGTCCCAGAAGCAGTGTGCGTTGGGGCTGCAGCTGCCGCGGGCGTCGACGCGCGAGCCGTCGAGGGCGGGGGTGGGGGTGGGGGTGGGACGCACCTGTGGTTGAAGCGCGAGGTCATGTCGCAGACGCCGGCGTACGCGAGATCGCCGCTGCCGGGCAGCGTGCCGATGAGCAGCGCGTTGGTCTCGACGATGCCGCGGAGGTCGGCGGGGTTGGCGGACTTGTAGTTGGTGAGCCTCTTGAGGAACGCGCGGTCGGTCGCGTTCGTGTGGTTCTCGACGACCATGGCGAGCATCGCGTCCGGGTGGAGGCCGCCCGCGCGCTGGTCGTAGGGCATCATCTCGGGGAGGACGGGTAGCGGGCGCTCCTTCGCGATGAGCGCGCCCGCGGCGTGCGCGCGGGCGAGGACGACGCCCTTGCCTGCGTCGGGGACGTCGGTGATGTTGAATGCGCCGACGGGGGCGAACGGCGTGGGGAAGGACGGGGTGGCGAGGATGCGTTCCTTCACGCCTGGGTAGAGGAGGCAGGTGGCGCACGCGGTCGGGGGCCAGACGAACGTGGTCGGGGGCGGGGGGAGGACGGTGACGACCATGGCGTGGTTCGGCGCGGCGAGGAGACGCGCGAACGCGTCTGCTTTGGCCTCTTTGAGCGACATGGACGGTGCGCGTGGACGGGGAAGGCCCGACGGGATGGGGAGTGGCGTGGCGTCCTTGACGCGTTGCACCTTGACGGCGTCGACAGGCTTTTTCGCGCTGGCGGGCGGTCGCGGGGCGTCTTTGCGGGCGTTGGGGGCGAGCAGAAATCCGCGGCGCATGGTGGAGGAGGACAAGGAGGAGAAGGAGAGCAGCACGCACCGTAAGCGGGCGCCGGAGCTCAGAACACGCATGGCATCCGGGTACGATCCTGAATCAGATTATAACTTAAGAAACACGCAGAATACAGATTGGAGCAACAGGCGTCAGATCCCGACTCGCCGCCGCGGCGTCTGCGTCACCCGCGACCCAGCCCCGACACCCGTGTGCCGCGGCGTCCCCGGCACGATCACCTTGGCGCTCGACCCCGTCGCCGCCTTGACCGCCTCCGCCTCCTCCTTTGCCTTTTTCGCCGTCCTGTGCGACATCGACGCGCGGTCAGTCGCGCGCTTCACAGCACCGCTCGCAAAGGGAGAGAAACACGTACTCCTCGCGCTGCTTCGCCATCTCGGTCTCCAGCTCGGCCCGCTTCGAGAACTCGCGGTCGGCCTGCCGCCGCGACCCACGCTCGTCAAAGTTCTTCTCCCGCACCGAATAAAACACGGATCCGAGCTCGGCTGCGCAAAGAGAAAAAGTTAGTGTGTTTGTGTGTGTGAGCGTGCGTGAGAACGCAACGCGTACCGAGCCAATACGGGTCCACCGCGGTCACCTGCGTCATGTACTCCTTCGAGGTCAGGATCAGCTCGTGGTAGATCACGTACGACGGCGTATCTGTGCGTGCGACGGCGCCAGCGTCAGCATCCGTTCCGCGGGGACGAGTCAAGCAACGATTCGGCGCTCACATCCCAGTCCGTACAGCGCGCTCGTGGGGTGCAGGTGCGTCGGCAGGCCAGAGCGGATGTTCACGAACTCGCCGATGCCCTTCACCCGCGCCGCCTGGTGGAAGTACCCGGACGCGATCGCCTTCCTGCACACACGCACGGTCTCAGCATCGGTTCGCGCGCGCGATAGACAAAGGAGGACGGCGGACGAGCGGATGGGCGGGCGACGTACCGGATCACGTCAAAGTCCGTCCCGGCCGAGATGATGTCCATCTTCTGGAACTTCATGATGTCCTCGAGCTGCACGCGCACCTCCCGCGCCTTCTTCAGCAGCTTCGGGTGCAGGAAGTGCCGCAGGCCCCAGTCGTCGCGGTACCTAGACGGAGACGACCGATCAACTCGTGCGTGGCACAGCGACGGCAAGCGCGCCTGCTCACCCGTGGCTCTTCCACTGGTTGAACACGTTCAGGAGCGTCAGGTGGTCGCTCTCGGGCACGTTGAACTTCTCGCGCGCCGCGTCGGCCTCCTCCATCCGCTCTTTCGGGCGGTAAAACACGCTCGGCACGGACAGCATCGAGACGATGGTCAGCATTTCCGACGAGCACTTGTACTCGACCGACGTGATCAGCATCTTCGCCATCGACGGCTCCATCGGGAACTCGGACATCTTGCGCCCGCTCGGGGTCAGGTCCCCGACGTTGTCGAGCGCGCCGAGCACCCACAGTTGATACATAGAATTAAGGATGTTTGCCTGGACGAATGAACGAGTGAGCTCGCCGCGGCATATACGAAGGGAGGCGGGAGGGGAACTACCTGCGGCGGAGGATCCATAAAGTCAAACTCGAGCAGGTTCTTCACCCCGAGCGACTTGAGCAGCAGCACGGTGTTGGCCAGGTTCGTGCGCTGGATCTCGGGGATCGTGTTCTCGAACAGCTCGTTCCTGTACGCCATCTCCGTGTACAGGCGGTAGCAGAAGCCGCTGCCCGTGCGCCCCGCCCGCCCCGTGCGCTGGTTCGCGTTCGCCTGGCTGATGGGCGTGATCTGCAGCGCGTCCATGCCCACCTTGGGGTTGTACACCTTCAGCTTTGAGTACCCGGCGTCCACGACGTACAGGATGCCGTCGACTGCCAGGGTCTTGCGTCAGCTCACCTCGATACAACGAAGCGCGCAGCCGAGGGCTTACCGGTAAGCGACGTCTCCGCGATGTTCGTCGCCACGATGACCTTGCGCCGGCCGTCGCTGGTCGGCTCGAAGATCTTCGCCTGCAGGTCGGCGGGCATCTGCGAGTAGATCGGCAGGACCGCCAGCGGGGCGGGTTCGTCGAGCTGGGAAAGGCGCTCTGCGTGGCCGATCAGTGGACGGACGGTGCGTGGAAAGTGGCGCACACACGCACCCTGCACGACTTGGCATGTGATCTCGATGTCCTCCTGGCCCGTCATGAACACCAAGATGTCGCCGGGGGGCAGAGAGAGGTGGATCTGCAGGACCTGCTTCACGGCGCTGTCGACGTAGTCTTCGCAGGGGGACTTTGCGTGATAAGTCTCCACCGGGAACGTACGACCGGGGATGGTGAAGGTCGGCGCATTGCCGTAGAACGACGAGAACTGAGCGCGTTGTTGGCGTGAGGGTTGGACGGACGCGTGCGAGGGGTCGTTTACGTACCTTGTCGGCGTTCATCGTAGCGGAGGTCACGATGAGCTTCAAGTCCCTCCTGCGAGACAATACTGTCGTGGGAGGCGATGAGCGAGGGCCACGCGATAAATAAATCGTTGCCTACTTTTACGGAGCAGGCCCATAAGGACGTCAGTACTGAGAGAGCGCTCGTGCGCCTCGTCCAGAATAATGACGCTGTACCGGTCCAAGTCCCCCTCGTTCAACGATTCTCTTAGAAGCACGCCGTCCGTCATATCTATTTCCATCGCAAGCGTCAAGTCGTCTCCAACGCGCAAAGCAAGCAAGGGCGCAACGCACACTTGATCTTCGTCTCCGCCGACGTGCAGTCCTCGAACCGGATCGCGTACCCCACCAGCGCGCCGAGCTTGCACTCCATCTCCTCGCTCACGCGCTTCGCGACCGACATCGCGGCGACGCGCCGCGGCTGCGTGCACCCGATGATCCCGTGCGTGCAGTACCCGTCCTCGTACAGGAACTGCGACAGCTGCGTCGTCTTGCCCGACCCCGTCTCGCCCACGACCACGACCACTGTTATCCACACGCGCGCGCGTCAGCAACTGGCACACCGGACGGGTGGGCGGACGGGCGGGCGGCAGGGTGGACGGGCGGGCTTACCCTGGTTGTCCCGGATCGTGCGCAGCAAGTCCTCGCGGCACGCAAACGCAGGCAGGTACTCCCGCTGCTCGCGCAGGGTGCGGTTCCGCGCAAAGGCGCTCACGCCGGCGGAGGTCTTCAGATGGCTCGCGAACTTGGAGTCGCCCTTGTAGTCCTCCTTCTCCCCGCTCTTCGCCTTGGCCTCGGCCTCGGCTGCAGACGCACACGCGCATCAGGCAGGAGCAGGAGCAGGGGCGGCGGGGCGCGCGCGCATAAAACGCAAGACGCTACGTGAATGTCCAATATGGCAGGATCGAGCAACGGGAACGGGCACGGCGTACCTTCAGCCGCGGCCTCCTCGTCCTTAACCCCCATAATATTTCCGAGCGCAGTCCCGCCGAGCGCGGCGAGCTTCGCGGCGGCCTTGGCGCGCTCCGCCTGCTCGCGCTTCTCCTTGACGAGCGCGGAGCCCTTCTTGGCGAAGATCGCCATGTCGCTCGTCGGGTCGCGGATCGGGTTGATCGGGTCGAGCAGCTTCGTGAAGACGGTGCGGCCGTCGAGGAAGGGCGGCTTGAGGTCGTGCACGATGACGTGCACGGTCGACTCGGACTCGTCTTCGAAGTCGAGGTCGACGCCCTTGCGCGTCGCGATGCCGGACGTGACCATGCGGTTGGCCTCCCACAGGTCGTTGTCTGCATTCTGGGAAAGTAAAAGAGCACTCAGCGAGGGGAGCGCGCGCGGCGACGGACGGGGCAACGTACATATTGCGCTTGCCGCGCCGAGATCTTCTTCTGCAAAACGACGGTGTGAGGCTCAACAGCGAGACAAACTTACACCGAACGTACCACCTGCTTCGTCACGATCTCCGCCTGCTTCAGCGCCGTCAGATCCTCGTACTGCGCGAGCGGATTATGCTCCTCGTCGCCCATCAACCCGCCCTCCTCCGCGCCCATATACCAATCCCGGTCCAAGCGGATCTGCTCCTCCTCCCACTCCCGCGCGTCAAGCTGCACGCCGTCGCCCTCGCCCTCGTCCGGGCTGCCCCCGCGCGACGCCCGCGGCGTCGGTGCGTCCCACCGGCGGCCCCGCGCGCCGCCCCACCCCGCCCCACTCTCACCACCGCCCCGCCGGTCGCGCGGCGTCGAGTCCCAGCCGACATTCGGCACGCGCACGCTCGGGTTGTCGTCGCGCGCGCCCGCGCCGCGCTCCGAGCGCGGCGTCGCCTCCCAGCCGCGGCCGCCGCGGTTCCCGCCGTAACTATCCCTGTACCCGCGATCGCGCTCCCGCTCCCGCTCGTCGTCATTACGGTGTTGTTGGTGGTGATACCTGCCGTCGCGCCTGTACTCGCGCTCGCGGTTAGAGCGCCGCTGAAACTCGCCGAGCCCGCGCGGGGCATCCTGCCGGGGCTCGGGGCGCGCGACGATGCCCTCTATCGAAGAATCGATGAGAGGCGCGGCGAAGGGGCAGGAGCGAAAAACACTCACCGCGCTGCTTGTCCCTGTTCCGACGGTACTCCTCGAGGCGCTGGCGTCCCGTCTCCGAGAGGCCGCCGGGGTGCGACGGGGTCTCCTCACCCCTGTGGCGAGCGTTGTTCATGCGCGAGGCCGGGAGCGCGGGGACTGGCGGGCGGGGCCGTCAGGCGAGCGATGTGAACTAGTTTGGGTGATGTCGGGCGTACCTTTGAAGACGGGCTCGGCGGCGTCGTCGAGGCGCGGCCGCTTGCGGCTGCCTTCTTGTGCGGCCGCGAGCCGCTTCTCGTGTGCGAGCCTGTCGAGGCCGAGCACGGACGTGCGCGGGGTCGGCGGCTCGAGCGGCTTTGCGGGCTGGCGGAAGGTGTGTTGCTGTGCGCGAGGGTGCGTGAGGCAGGGAGTCAAAGAGTCAGTCAGGCAGGCGGGCAGGCGGGCAGGCACGAGGTGCACGCACCGAGTCTTTTCGCATGAGGCCGCCCTGTCTGACGGGCTCTGGCTCGAGGACCTCGCTGTCGTGCACGGTGATGCCCTGCACGGGCTGCGGAACGTGGCCGGAGGCCTCCTGCGCCGCGTGGGCGGCGATCTCGGCGTACAGCTCGGCGAGAAAAGAGTCCCTGAACTTGCCGAACGATTTTGCGGCTGTCCGCGGCGGCGAGCGGCGAGCGGGGGCAGAGGAACGAAGGACAAGGGGCGCGTGAGGGGCGGGGGACAAGCAGAGCGGCGGGGCGGGACTGACCTTTGAGGAAGCCCTCCTCGGAGCTGGTGCGCGCGATGTCGGTGACGCGGGTGGCGAGGAGGTCGTTGGGGTTGACGAGGTTGAGCGCGCGGGCGAGCTTGATGGCGAGCTGGTGGTTGAAGTCGTCGGGCGGGGCCTGGGGGCCCTTTGGCGACGTCGGACTCATGGTGGCAGACGTCGAGTGCGTGTGGGTGCGTGTGGCAGGCGTCGTCGACGCAGAGGACGGCGGCGAGGACAAGGAGGATTCGATTTGTCAGCACGCGGTTCTGGTATTTACGCTAATAAATATTCGACGCTCGACGCGACGCGGCTCTGCACTGCGAACGATATCTCTCCAGCCATCGTACAAACAGACCGTCCCACGTGTTACACCCCGACCCGAGCGAAAACCCCATCGAAGAAACGACTGCGCAAGCTCATCAGGCGGTGCTCGGTGTGCGAGCGCGAGAGGACGTGCCTCTCACATATACAGCCCCTCATCGTCGTCGGCGCGGGCGTCTGCGTCCGCGTCGTCGGAGCCTGCGCTGGAGCCCGGCGTCTGCGCCTCGACGCGGACGATCCTGGGCCAGGGGATCATGACCTGGCCGACGTAGCGCCCGTGCGGGTTCTCTGCGGGGCCGAGGCGGAACTCGTCGGTGTTGACGAGGAGGAGGTTGAGGGCCTTGTCTGTGCCGACGAAGGTGCCGAGGAAGATGCGGCCGTCGGCGATGGTGACGCGGAGGGGGCGGCGGAGGAGGGGCTTGAGGGCGTCGGCCATGAATGGGGACGGGTCACGCGGGTCACGGGTGTGACGGAGGAGGAGACGTGACGGTGTGCGGGTGCGGCGGGGACATGAACCCGTTCCAGAGCGACGCCGCGCTCAGCATGCAGGGCGCCTTCTCCTCCCCCGACACACACAAGTACTCCGTCATCCTCCCCACCTACAACGAGCGCAAGAACCTCCCCGTCGTCGTATGGCTCCTCGCACGCGTCTTCCAGCAAAAGTGAGTGCGCGCGCCCAGGTCTCCGCGGGGGGGAGCAGCGGCGGCGGCGGCTGACGTGGTCGGCGAGCACACAGTGATTTGGCGTGGGAGATCATCGTCGTCGACGATAACAGCCCGGACGGCACGCAGGTCGTCGCCGCCGAGCTCGCTCGCGTCTACGGCGAGGACAAAATCGTAAGCTGCCCCCACCGCTCCCCTCGCGCCGTCCCGCGCTCAAATCACCTCTGCAGGTCCTCCGCCCGCGCGCCGGGAAACTCGGCCTCGGGTACGTGCTCACGACCTGATCGTGTCCGCCGCAGCGTGGCCTGACGGTGCGCAGGACGGCGTACATCCACGGGCTCGACTTCGTCACGGGGGACTTTGTGATCATCATGGACGCCGACTTTTCGCACCACGTACGTCCCGTCCCGCTCGCCGCCAGTCGTCACATCGCCGACGCTCAGTCGCGCCGTCTAGCCCAAGTTCATCCCGCAGTTCATCCGGTGCGTCCGGCTCTCTCCCGCCTCCCTCGCCCGCTAACTGGTGTGCCGGCGCGCGCGCAGCCTCCAGCGGGCGCACAACCTCGACATCGTGACGGGCACGCGCTACCGCTCGACGGCGACGCCCGCGATGCCGGGCGCGCAGCCGGGGGGCGTGCACGGCTGGGACCTGAAGCGCAAGATCGTCTCGCGCGGCGCGAACTTCCTCGCGGACACCGTGCTCAGCCCCGGCGTGAGCGACCTCACGGGGAGCTTCCGGTGAGTCCCCGCCTCGCCCGCCACCACTGCGCGCGAACGCCCGTTGACATGGACGTGGGCCTGGACGTGTGCTTGGGCTCGCGCGCGCGCAGGCTGTACAAGGTCGCGGCGCTGCGCCATGTGATCACGCTGACGGTCTCGCGGGGGTACGTGTTCCAGATGGAGATGATGGTGCGCGCGCGCGCGCTGGGGTACACGGTCGGCGAGGTGCCGATCACGTTCGTGGACCGGCTCTTCGGGGAGAGCAAGCTCGGCGCGGACGAGGTCGTGCAGTACGCGAGGGGCGTCTGGGCGCTGTTCACCTCTGTGTAGCACGCGTGTTTTGTTTTCGCTGTGTATTACTCGTGATAAAAAAATAGTCTCGTAGGAAAGACGGAGCGACGAGTGCTTTGGTCGAGTGAGCTGCGACGAAAACGGCGTCGAGTCGAGTGTTGCAGGAGACTCGACCCTGAAGTGTGACGGACACCACCGCCAACGATGCCCTCCCCGCCTCTCATGCCCGCCCGCCTCTTCAGCCTCTCATCCGCCCTGCACCACCAGAACCCCCTGGTACGCCCGCGCCTACACACACCGCGCACTGCGTCGCTGACCTGCCCAGCCCAGGGTCTCCCGCGCGCCGGCGCCCCCGCGCCCCCCTCGCTCCCGCGCAGAGGCGGACCCGTCGCCAAACGGCCAATCCCACACGTGAAGAGGGTGCTCGTCGTCGCGAGCGGGAAGGGCGGCGTCGGGAAGAGCACGGTCGCAGGTGCGTGCGCTGCCCGTCGTTGCTCACGAGTCGTGCCGCGTGTGACGTGCGACGTGGGACAGTGAACCTCGCGTTCGCGCTGGCGATGAGGGCTGGGGAGCGGCGGCTGCGGGTGGGCCTGCTCGACCTCGACATCTTCGGGCCCTCCATCCCGAAGCTCATGGGCCTCGACCGCGCAGACGAGCCGCACCTCACGCCCGGTGCGCATTCCCTCCTCACACCCGCGCCCCAGCCCCCACTGACCAGCCCACGTCTCGCGCGAACGCACGCACGCACAGCCGGCGCCCTCGTCCCGCTCACGAACCACGGCATCCCATGCATGTCCATGGGCTTCCTCCTCCCAAAATCCACCCCCGCACCTGGCTCGAGCGCGAGCGCGGGCTCGAGCGCAGACACGCCCGTCGTCTGGCGCGGCCTCATGGTACAGAAAGCAGTCCAACAGCTGCTGTTTGACGTCGACTGGCGGCTCGGCGCGCGCACAGACGCATCTGCGTCCGGGTCCGAGTCTGGGTCGGGAACGGGGACAGGGCTCGACGTGCTCGTGGTCGACATGCCGCCGGGCACGGGCGACGTCCCGCTCACGCTCGGCCAGCTCGTCGCCGTAGACGGTACGTCTCCGCGCGGCCTCGCTTCGCATCCGCCTTTTTGACGTCGCGCGCCCCTGCGCGCGGGGGAAACAGGGGCCGTCATTGTGTCGACGCCGCAGGACGTCGCGCTCGCGGATGTTAGGAAGGGCATCGCGATGTTCCGCAAAGTCGGAGTCCCCGTACGCACCATCCTCCACCTCCGCGTCGCCGTCCCTAATCTTGTTTTCACTCTCTTATTTTATCTTATTTTATTGTTTCTCGCGGGCCAGATCACTGGCCTCCTCCTCAACCAATCTTACTTCCTCTGCCCGTCGTGCGACGTCCGACACGACCTGTTCGGCTCGTCGGACCTGTTCCACGCGACCGCGCGCCAGCTTGGCGTGCCGGTGCTCGGCGAGCTGCCGTTGGCGCCGGAGGTGAGCGGGAGCGGCGACGCGGGGGCGCCGTATGCGCTGCTGGGCGGGGCGGGCGGCGGAGGTGGGGCGCGGTGGAGGGAAGGCTTGGAGGAGGTTGCGGAGAGGGTGTGGGGATCGCTGGGTTGATCGAGGTGAGTGTTCGGCTTTCGTTTGCATGCGTGTGCGGCGTCCTGAACTGACGGCCTGGTGTACTTGTGGGATAGAGTGTTGGTTGCGTGTTGCTTTGCGAGTCATGATGTCTTCGAGCTATACGCGTCGCTTGTTGGACGTCGCATGAAATACGAGCGTCTTACTTGGCTCGTTTAAGACCCGGTACCATGCTCGGACGGACAGAGTGGCAAGCAGTACTCGCACCACCCCAGGGCCTGTCCGTTACAAACACACCGTCGACTGATCCATCGCGTCGCCGAGCCACTAACTCCCGAAACCGACCTGTTGATTGGGCAAGGCGGAGCGGCGCAGCCGCCCAGTCACGTTCCTCGCCTCTCACTTCACGATGACGCGCGTGATACCACTGAAACAAGCTGACATTCGCAGAAATCGTCCGGCATAGCTGCATACAGATATCAAACCAAGGATATAAAAACCACGACCCCTACGTGCGCCGCCCTTGGAACAATGGGCACTCAAGCCCCCACATCAAGGTCGAGCACGAGCGCGGGCAATACTCAGATATTGATGGGCGTGCACCCGATATTGATCAGCCCGTTCTACCACCATCGCCAATCAGCATTCACGGTCGAACACACGGACGGACAGGCGCGCTCACGAAGCTGTTGCCGGTGCAGCACACGGGCTGCGCGGCGCACGACGCGCCCGCGCCCGCGCCGCCGACCGTGATCGGGGCGCAGCCGAACCCGACGATGGCGTTCACGTCGCCGACCTTGATCCCGAGCAGGCCGAGGATGACGCTGATGCCCGGCGCGCCGGCCTGCGGGGGGTACCAATCAGATTCAGGGTGGGAGGGGGAGAGGGGGGGGGGGCTTACGGATTGGAGAGCGTTGCAGCATTGGATGCTGCCGGTGTTGCAGGCGGCGGCGCTCTGGCTGGGCTTGGTGGTCGCGCTGGGCTTGGCGGCTGCGCGGGACGCGGCGGCTGCGGGGTGCGCGGACGCGGACGCGGCGCACGCGAGGCAGAGGAAGAAGGCGAGGAAGAGTGTGGGGACGCGGGCGAACATTGTGTAAATGGATGTGGGTGCAGGTGAGCGGGGTGGGGCTGCTGTTCGGTCGAGCGAAAGAGTGTGCGGAGATTGCTGGGGAGCTGGGGTAATAGGTGAGTGGTGCGTGTAAGTGCTTTTATAGCGGGCGTGCGGGCGTGCGGGCAGGCGGGTTGGCGGCAGGTGGGAGCGTGTGTGGGCCCGAGCACGACGCCGAGGTTTCCATGTTCGCGCTGGCTGCTGCTGCTGCTGCTGCTGCCAGCCCAGTGTCCGCCCACACTCCCGAGAGCTGATCGTGAAAGGTCAAGCAGCGAGCCATGGCATCGACCTCGAGACGTCCGAGGACCCCCACCCCCACCCCCTACCAGCACCACCACAGAGGGAGACCAGCACCCACCGCATTAGCCGCTACAAAGGTGCACATCAAGCCTCCCGCCACGCCGCTTCCGCACAGCACGATGCGAGCGGAGGACGAGGGGACGGGGAGGTTCGCGGTCCCCTGGGCGACGTCACGTCCTTCTAGACGCTGAGCATCGCCGGCCGCAGGTCGACGCGTGTGCGCGCGTGCGGGCTTGCTCTGATCACGCACGGCGCGCGACGCCTGACAATTGGGGGTTCTCGCGCGCACGCGATGGTGCGTCTGTCCACGGTGTACCGATACGTACTAGTGGAGGTTCCTGCGTCTGCAACGAAACCATGCCCGATATCGGCGCCATGCGCGTATACGCGCGCGCTGCTCGGCGCTCAGGTGTTCATTCTGGGGAAGCTACAAGGAGAGACACGGATCGTACGAGAGCAATTACAAAGGAACGGAACAGCACGCTTCGTTTCACGACACGAACACAACGCGCATCTCACCCCGAACCGTTCTCGCCCGCCTGCGCACCATCCCCCGCCCCGGCGGCGGCGGCCACGCGCAGGTTCCACTACACCGTCCTCTGCGGCTCCTCCGCGACCTTACCCCACCCCGTATCCCCGCCCACAAACGCCCTACACATCTCCGCCGCCCTCCGCGCCCACGCCCTCGCGCGCGTAGCGTCGCGCAGCGCGCAGTGCGCGACGACGAGGCGCCTTAGCAGCGGCGCCCGCGCGCGGTCCTCGTCCCACGTCTCCGCGTCGAGGAGCGCGACGAGGCGCAGGCACGGCGCGGTGATGTGGTCGTCTGGCAGCGCGGGGTCTGCGGCCCGCGCGCGGAGCTCCGCGTCCTCGGCGGCGGCGACGGCGGCAGCGGAGGCGTCAGAAGCGTCTGGGGGGACGGAGGCTGCGAGGGACGCGCGGCGCGCGTCGCTGGCCGCTGCGTCGGCGGTGGGGAGGCTGCATGCGGGGCAGGCGCAGCGGAAGGCGTACTTGTCCGCGAGCGCCTGCTGGCGCGCGCGCCGCGGGAGGAGGCGGGTGTTGAGGTAGGAGATGGTGACCTGCTCGCCCTTGCGGATCGGCCGGATCGCGCGGAACTCGAAGGAGAAAGACTCGAGGTCCCAGAAGTGGGTTGCGTTGGGGGAGCAGCTGCGCGGGCGATCGTGGCGTGAGTAAAGCGGAGGGACGGAGAGAGAGTGAGAGCGAGTGAGACGAGGAAGGTGCTCGCGTACCTGTGGTTGATGCGCGAGGCGGCGGCGCAGACGGCGTGGTGCTCGAGCGCGTGGCCGGGCAGGCTCGGGACGGGGAGCGAGTTGGTGTCGACGATGTCCCTGTAGTCCGCGGGGTCTGCGGACTTGCAGTGATGGAGCCCCAGGAAGAGCGCGCGGTCGTCCGGCGGCATCGTCTGGTCGACGAGCATACGCAGCGGCGCGTCCGGGTGGGTGGCGCCGGGGGCGCGGGAGTAGAGGATCTCGCGGGGCACGAGCAGCAGCGGGCGCTCCTTTACGATGAGCTCGCCGAGCGCGAGGTCGCGCACGGCGAGCACGCCCTTGCCCGCGCCAGGGACATCGGCGATGTCGGCGGCGGCATCGGGCATGAAGGGCTTCGGGAAGCCCGGGGTGGCGAGGATGTGTTCCTTGGCGCCCGGGAAGAGTAGACACGAACGAGTAGGAGGGGGGGCGAGGGGAGGGTGGTCATGATGAGGCCGTGTTGCGGGGTGGCACGGAGGCGGGCGGACATGTCTTGCAGCACGTCTTCGTGCGGGACGTTCAGTGGGGCGGGGCGGACGGGGCCTGCGGGGATCGCGAGTGGCATGTTGGCCGACTCGCGACGAGCAGGGGCTCCGTCGTTGCGGCCGGCAGAGCCAAGCAAGAAATCGCGGCGCATGGACGAGATCAAGGGACGAGGAGGGAGGAGGAGAGAGGCACACAGGTGGGCGGGCGGGAGGAGGACAAGGAAGGTCGCGGCGGGCGCTCAACGAGGGCCATCGACTCGGGAAAGCAACTGCATCGTACAATTCCGACAAACGCTCAGTCCTGGCTACCACATATCGTCCGAGCCAGCGTCCCACCCGCCCTTGTCCCGCACCCCCGCCGTCCCGCCCAGCTTCGTCTTGGCCTTCGACTTGCGGCCGCCCAGCTCCTTGTACATCTCGCGCATCTCCAGCTTGCCCGGCTTATCCACCGCCTCCGCCTCGAGCCGCCACCGCTCCTCCCGCTGCTCGCGCGGCGTCTGGTGCCCCGACGCGGTGGGCGTGCTGTAGCCCGAGGAGCGCGAATAGGGGCGCATGGGGCCCAGCGGCGGCGAGCGGCTGAGCACGAACTGGGCGTACATGGCGATCTGCGGATCGCGCGTGGGTAAGAGCCGGCTTGGCTAGGCAGGCAGGCCTGAAAGATAGACGTACCCAGCTCTGCTTCGACTCGCGCTTCGTCCACTTGCCCTGCGGGAGGCTCTCGTCGTGGAAGTTCTCCTTTCTGTAGTGCTGGAACCAGACTGGCGCCCCGATCGTGAGCACGAGCGATCGCCGAGGGCCGAAGGCGACGAAACGCACCGTAGTTTAGCGTCTGGCTCTTGTGCCATTTCTTGGACACGCGGGAGCAGGCGGCGAGGTCGCGGATGGCGAGATGTCTGAAGATCTGCTGGGAGATCTCCGTGGGGAACGCCCGCAGGGGGTCCGCGGGAGACTTGCGCGCGGAGAGGTGCAGGGGGCGCGGGAGGGGGCGGGCGGCGGCTCCTCTAGTCGGGGACGGCGGGCGCGAGGAGGGACGCGAGCGCGCAGGGGTGCCAGGGAGGGAGACCTGGGGGCGCAATCACGATTCGGGCCCCGTGGGATGATGGGAGCGGGCGACGTACGACGTTGACGAGCTCGTCGTCCGAGTCGTCCCTGTCTGCGTAGGGCGGTGTGCGCTGCTCTGCGGCGTTCTGTTTGAGGAGACCCTGGAGGAGCGAGGAGGACATGGTGGGCGGCGGAGAGGAGGCGGAAGAGGAGGCGGAGGCGCTCTCCACCCCTTGCTTTGCGCTGACGTCACAAGATCATGTGATGCTCTCATCCCCTGCCGCCCACCGACATTGATGTCCTCCCATATGTTTCGACACCTTTCATCAGATGCTTTACTTGTACCATCGCCGATGGCATATTAAATGTAGTACGACATCTTCCTCGAGGCTCACGACAAACCCTATTGGGCAGAAAGTAAGAGCTAAGATAACCTCAAGCACATGCATGTCGGATACACTGAATGCATGGTATACAGCCGTCCAACGAGTTCAGAGATCGAGGATGATCAAATGAAGCGTAGTGACAGTGACGCGACGGAGGGAACAGAATTCCGCAGCGATCATGGGCAGGGCACAAGAGGGTATGAGTCTGAGCCGTGACCGACCTCAGGGGATCCTTTTGACAAGCCTCAACGGAATCCGGTCAAACGTGAATGCAGTCCCCGAGAGGCGCGCGCAGCCCATCGCCCTCTCTTCATACTTCTCCGCAGTCTCACCCTCGCCCAGGACGGGCTCGAATTTCCAGTCGAAAAGGAACGAGGCGAGGATAGCGAGGGCTTCGACCTGCGCGAACTTGCGCCCTGGACATGTACATTCACGATCCCCTTGAATAACGCAGACACGCCGCTCGCGTTTGAGAGCACACACGCACCTACGCAGGCGCGCGGGCCCATCCCGAACATCCCGACCTCCTGCTCGGAGGCGCCGATCCACCTCTCGGGGCAAAACCGGTCCGGGTCCTGGAACAGGTATGGGTTGCGGACTGCCCGCCCCCAGATCTCAGTACCGAGCTGTGGTGCCACGCCGGAATCGAGAGACGGCGCTCACACATCGCGATCAGGTCGAAAATCATCAGGGCGCCTTTCTTGAGCACGACGGTCGACGCCGTCGGGCGGGCGACGGCGATCGGCACGTCTTCGGTCATCTCCCGGGGAAAGAACAAGGCAGCGGCTGTGGGAGGTGACGAAGGAATGAGCAGCACGCGGGCGCGGTATCGGTCGCGCTGGCTCACGGCAGAGCCTTTGGGCCTCCAGAAAGCAGGCAAGAGTGCGGCTCAACTGGCTGCTGTCGATGAGTTCCTGCAGGAGGCCGAGAGCCACGTCAGTGAATAGCATCCGACCAGGCGAAAGTCAAGGCGCACGGATAAATTATGGGTCCCGAATGCCGCCTTGACCTCTTGAAACGCCTTGTCCTGCTCATCTTGGTAGAGGGCGAGATAGACAAAGGTCGACATCAAACCGCTTGCCGTGGTCTCTGCAATGAACCATTCGATTTGGGGCAACAAACATCGCGAGGGAATCGCGACTCACCATGGCCCGCGAACATGAGTGAAAACATGTTGGCAACCTGGGCGCGCGTGATTGTCAGATCTGGCGGCACGATAGAAGGGGCATGTATTCACCACTTCTTGCTCGCTGAGAGAGTACTTCTGTGTCCCGAGGCTGGACGCCACGAGGCGGTTGAGGATATCGCCTGGTAAGCTGGCATCGTCCAAGTCGGCCCCGTCCATCTGATCATTTCTCCTTGTATCGATCGAGGCCGATATGAACGATGCAACAATCGACCAGGCATCCCCGATCCTGCGTAGACTGGAAGAGAGAAGATAGAACGATGAGATACTTCTGAGATAGAGATCCTCGGCCGACCTTTTCACAGGAAGCTTGTAAGCCCAAGACGGAAGGACCATCCGGGGCACAATGATCTCTGACACCACGCGGAGAGCCTCCGGAAAAGCCATGGCGCCCGACTCAGGCGGAGACCAGGACGTGGCAAATCCGAATCCACATTTCGAGATGATCATGAAAGTGAACTGCGTGACGTTCAGGTGATCTTCACGACAATGGACAAGTGGACAGAAGCCGCACCTTGAGTAAAAAGGAGTGGGCTTCCACAAACATGATATCTGTTTGAAGGCTCCAGCCCTCTGCTTGAAGCATCTGGTCATAGACCGCTCTAGCTTCCTTCCAAACGGAGGAAAATCTGAAGGTGAGAGTGAGCAGACGATAGCAAAACGAATATAGTGTGGCCCACATCTTATTGGTAAAAGCTGGGGCCACAACGCGACGGTGTCGTCGCCAAACATCGCCACTTGCCGACGAAAGGCTGTCGCCCAGGATTCTACGATATTGCGCCAACTTGAGAAGACTCGAGGGTCGTGTAACCCTGCGGAAACGTTACCTTGCGAGAGTCAAGTCTTGTGGTTTGACAAGGTTCAACTTGCTTTCGTTTCCGAGGATCTGCTTCATCACGTCCACAGAATTTGTATAATAACAAGGGGTTCCCGGAAAGATGGGGACCATCGATATAACATCACGAGTGTGGTTCAAGTACGCTGCAACAACGCACATGAGCATGTAGAAACTCGACGAGACCGTAGTTGATCACATGTCTTTGAGCTCCATGACCAAGAACTGCCAGGATTGGCACGATTGTTGGGGAAGATGGCACCGAAAGGACTTAGTGGAGAAAACATGGGTCTGAAACCGGGCATGAAGCTAACCCTCTGGGGTGGAATGGCTTGTTGAATGTGTGAACAGATGTCAATTAACGAGTTGCACGTACCCATAGACTCCTAACATATTTGAACACGCACAGAGCAAGAAACGAACACGAGACAGCGATAATGAGCGCCATGAAAGGGATTTGGTCACGTATGGGAGAATGTAGAGATAGAGGGATAAGATTGAGGACAACGCAGAAGCTGTTGATCCATGTTTTTCCCAACGCGTTTGCCTCCATTCGAATTTCCGAAGACAGTTGAGGCGGGATCAGGAAGGTCTCTTGTGAGAAATCAGAATGCTCTTGTGAAGCGTATGAGCGCCGAACACAGCAACGGCGCACGTACCTTCTCTTCAAAGGCATCATGCATCATATCACACACCCATGAGGACATCTAACACCAGCGATCACATATCAAGCAGGTTTGTACTGTGCCCGGCAAGATCCATGGGTACCTGTATTTTACGTTATTTCGGCTGGACATCCAATGAGATGAAGCTTACCAGGAGAGCAGGAAGGCTGAGATGCCTCTATCCAGCATTGCTCCCTTGGGGTCTTCTCCACTGTTTGTCGCCTGGCGAGGGACGAAAATGAAAGTATATGCGCGTAGCTTACAGTGCGAAAGCCAATTTCCAAGTCCTCGCCGTCCTCGGGGTTGTGACATAGGCGTGATGTCACAAGCGGTTCCGACGGGAAGGCTCATCCGTGTCCGGCCAGGTTTGGCCAGGAACCCCACCGGACCTGGGGAGCGCCAGCGCCGCGCCCCCGGGTGCGAGGACCGGGACCCAGTCGGCGTCGTTAAATCGCACGACTCGGGTGAGTTTTTGGATTTTGTATGGTGGGGAAATGCGGGGAAACGATGAGGGGTGCGGCGCAGCTCATTACGTGTCATGCGCGCAGAAGTTACGACTGCGAGGAGGCTCTGTGTTCGTTCAAGCCGGTTCGAACCTCGAGGACGCATACAAGGCTATACCACAAGGTTCATCAAACTGGATCCTCCGTCACACATCCGTATCGCTGCCAGGGCTGTCTAAGGTAGCAATATGGCTGCACGCACATCATCGTCCTTATCGAGGGGACGGAACTTGGTGCCCATCTCTTGCATTTCTACATCGCAGTGCGTGGGCTCGTCTCTCATTGACGTCCGAGTCATCATGTTGACTGTGCCCACGGTGCAACTTCGTCTAAGTGATGGATTTGTGCGTCGCTCACGAGGTCATGATGTCGACCGCAGGGCTGAACGATATCCCAGACAAGCGCGGAAAGTGAGTGTTGTTCCACATTATCGGCCCCAACAGGATGTGGTCATCGGTCTATACCGGCTGACAAGAATTTCGCGAGGAGAGAGAGGAGTAGAGAGGTATCATTCTGCTCTCCGCTTCTTCCTCTAACCTGAGCTTTGTGCTGGCGATAAAATGTATTGCGATAGATTGGGCTACAATTACGCTCGCGTATGCAATCCCATCGCGCGCAACGACTGATAGAGAGAAGGCGAGGGACAGCTCTACGCAAGTGCTGTGGTTCCCGACCTGCAAGAACTGAGCCACAGGTTCTGTCCCAGGGGCCAGGCGTATGATCGGCTGCAGGTTGTCTTCAGTATGTTTCAGAATGAGCTTCCTTCAAAGAGCATCATGATCTATCAAAACACGCTGACGCACTGTGCAGCCTGCCGATGCGCTACCATATGCGCCGGTGTTGGTCTTCTGATGGGCCTCTTCTAGTCCAAAGCCGCCACATCGAAAGGGGCCATCTTCAATACCAACGAGTCTTCTTGTTCATCGTCGATCTGATGCTCAAGGATCATGATCCTGGCGCTTGGAGCTTCCGGGTGAGCAGTGAACCGCTTTTCATTTTATGATGTACAAGTGGGACCGTTTTCACCACGTGCTGCAGATTAGATTTGGACTGACTTCGTATTTAGCCAAGTAGATGCTCTGAATTCAGATTCCCTCCCTATTCCGCCGACCATGGACTCCGTCCGTGCAGCAGATGCTAGTCTGTTCAGCGCTATCTACCAGACTCGTCAAGTGAACTATGTGACGAGTCAGTATCCCATTGGCGATCCCTCTATCGATTTGATAATAATCCGTATTCTGCGCTTTCTGCTTTCAATTTTTTAGTGTCTGCATTGACATTTCTGGCATTCGATATATGCGTTCAATTTTCGAGTGAGGTAGCTAATTTCATCTTATACTCTACGCTGAAATCGTGGGGGATGGACACTTATGGCATAGGTTGATCTGATATGGAAGTAGGTCGGAGATCCATCATTCTCTACTAGCATGTTGCCGGTGGTTGAAACACAATATTGCTTTAGAAGCCGCTGGTCATTTCCGAAAGTGCTGTATATATTTGCTCGATACTGGATGCATTTCCACAGGTTTTGGAGCAGTTCTAGATTAATAAATCGGAGTCGAACCTTGTTTTAGATTTGAAACTAGAAATCTTACAGAACCATAAGACCATCTATGACTTGGTGAACCCACGCACTTGATATAAGCGGAGCTTCAATCACGATCTGCCTCCGTGCAGCCAGCACGGATAAGTCCACCGCAGATACACCACAAGCCCACCATCTACTGTTCAGCTTCGATAACATTGGATAATGGCATATGCAGTGGATCTTGATAACTTGGTTTTGCTAGACTCTGGTATCACAATGATGATTAGGTGTTATGGAGCGAAGCTCTTGTCTGTGTCAGTGTTTTCGCCTTAGCTCGCAGGATAGCGACGACAAGGTTCAAGCGGAGTTCAAAAAAACGCGTTTACAATGGGCGAATCTGAACTGGAAAGGGGGGGGGAGCCCCCCTTCCAGTTCCAAAATCTAGAAGGGGGGTCTCAAGCTCCGACAGAATGGATTCGCTCGTGCCGACGCGGCAACCAAGCCATCGGAAGAATCT